TATATATATATATATAGAGAGAGAGAGAGAGAGAGAGAGAGAGAGATGACCGAAGCTTTTGTACGGTGAGCATTTTTTAAAGTTTCACTCCGGTATGAAGGTAGAAGCCTCAAAAAAACAACAGTTGAGAACAAATAAGTAGGACCACGTAAAATTGCAACACATACATAACACACTGTAACATGTGGCGTAACACGCAATATTGATTCCCAGAAAAACAACCAACGGGGAGCAAACTCTGTCTATTAAGTGACGGCTGGCGTATCACCCGTAGTCGGTGTCAAGTCACGGAACATTGCAACACAAAAGATCAAAAAGGCGCCACCTACCAGTGTAGAGATTCGCGGACTTCCACAGCATGAGTGCTGTGAACAGCACGCAAGCCGTTGCGAGCGTCTGCTCGATGTTCTCGCGCGGGCGCTTGAAGAACTGACGAATTTCATTTCGCACAGTGGCTATTTCTCCCTTAATGTAATCCATTGGTAGTTTTCATTTATTGATATCACGCGACCCCCAATGCGCCGCGAGGCATCCGCACATCACGCCGCCGCCCCTCGTCGCCAGCCTTTCAACCCAAGGGTTTGCATTACCATATCGCTAGTTAATAGGTTTAAATGGATATAGTGGTTTCATTTGTAATCAGTGTTTGGATGACCTAATTTTTTCTAACTCGTCACCGAAAGTGTGGTCCACCTCCTTCTTCCTTTGCCATACGCTCAACCAACGTCTATTAGTTATATTAAATAAGAATATATTGAGGTGTGTGTGTCGGTGGCTGCTATGATTTTGTTTGCCAGCGGGAGGCAGTGGCGCCTAAGGTTCAGAATTTAACATCACCACCCAATGTCAATCACTGCTTCCATTGTGGAATTGGGTGTATAGATGTATTCAAAAGAAGTATTATTATACTCAATAATATCATTGACCACCTTTGCCAATACCCGGCCACACTGATGTCCCCTGTGAGGGCTCTTGTAATGCCTTGCATCTCGCTCTGGCGATAATTTGACGACCTTTTTTTAACAAGATGCCACAAAACGAGTACATAGAGAGGCATATTGCCCTTCACGGGCGGCGCTTTGATCACGAGATTAGGACGTAGGTTTTATTGGTATTAAGGGAGCAGCGCACTCCCCTGGCTGTTACTGGTACTTACTTGCTCTTATGACTTTTATCCATCTTCCTTTTGGCGCGGCCATATGAAGAAATGGTTGACTGGCCAATTGGCAGGAAGAACGGTGCCGGCGCGCTGTCTCAACAGATTTAAGTGCTCGTAACAACAGTAAACTATGTGATAAACGTTGACTAATGTTTCTACAGTCGTAAGAAAATGGCTAGAGCTGCTCATACTATGAGCAAAAAGATCCAGAAGATGCGAGGGCTCAAGGCTAAAATCTTCAGGAAGCGGCGCTATGCGGAGAAAATCGATATGAAGAAACAGTAAGTAGCATATAAATCTATGATATCTGCCACATTTTCACCATAACAATGTGATTTACATGCCATTCAGAATCAAAAACAACGAGGAAAAGGAATCCACGGAGCAGGCAGTTGCATCCGGTGAGGGCGCTATCCCAGCCTACTTGCTCGAGAGAGGTGAGGTCAACCGAACGAAGATCTTGTCGAACATGATCAAGCAAAAGCGCAAGGAGAAGGCAGGGAAATGGGATGTCCTGATACCTAAGGTGGGTGATTCGGTCTCTGCGATTAATAGGACTTAGGTTCGCCAGATGAATGAAGCCGAAATGTTTAGGGTTATGAAATCAGGGAAGCGCAAAAAGAAGCAGTGGAAACGCGTGGTTGACAAGGTTTGTTTCATTCCCGAAGACTACACTCGCAAACCGCCAAAATACGAGAAGTACATCCGGCCCACTGGCCTGAGATTCAAGAAGGCGCACGTCACTCACCCTGAGCTGAAAACGACGTTTTTCCTGGATATCATATCCGTTAAGAAAAACCCGCAGTCAAACCTATACACGAGTCTAGGGGTTATAACTAAGGGTACTATCATAGAAGTCAACGTGAGCGAGCTGGGACTCGTGACGCAGACGGGGAAAGTGGTCTGGGCGAAATATGCGCAGGTCACCAACAACCCAGAAAACGACGGTTGTATCAATGCAGTGCTTCTAGTCTAAAAGTTAATGAGAAGTGTCTCAGAAACTCGCTACAGCAGCGGAACCTTCAACGAGTCGATTAGGTTGTTTTCGAGGTCCCCGACAAAGTTACCTGAACCTTGTTTTGAAGCATCGAACTCAATTTACCTATTTGTATATTTGGTTGTAGATCCGCTCTTGCAACGTTATCTCGCATTTCGCAGTAAGCGGAAAGAAACTGATTGACGTGGTACGTTTCCGAGTACTGTAGATTGTCAATAGTTATGAGAGACTCATGCAGCGGGAGCCTTCCGAGGGCCTGTCTAATCTTTTTTACCCTCTGGTACTTTATGTCTTCTATTAGCCCAGCAACTTTAGAAGCGTAGCTGTAAACGTGGTTTCGGTTCGACAGGTTAGGGACGTTTACCCTCTCAAATAAGTGGCACCGGGTGAAAAGGTGTGCAATCTCGAAGTAATAGTCATTAGGAAGCTTTTCCAGTGTCTGGTTCTGTTCCTCTCGGTCTCTTAGCTCACGCAGCGCGCTGCGTGTAAGGTAGACAGGTAGGTCTACTGACACAAAACCGAAGTGCGATAGACGTTCCACCACATATATCGGTAACCAAGCTTTCTCTCCTGTTTTAAGGCCTTCGAAGACATAGCCCTAGTAATGATAGTTAGTGGTGATCAGAATGCAGTGTGCATAAACATAGATACAGTAAGAACATTCACACGTAATGAAATTATATCTCACGTCTGATCCCCTGCAGTGACAGTGGAGATGACGCCTACCTCGTATGAAGACAGATCAATCCCGGGCACGTCCACAATGGCCTTTACCACCACCAGTTGGCGTTTTGCACGCTCCAATATCACTTTTGTTACAAGGTTCGGCACATAGTCGTTGTTAATGGGTACATACTTCGGGATGTAACCACTTGAGTATTTCGACGGAAGATACTCACACTGCCTTGAAAAGTGCGGTAGCAGCTGCTGGTGGGTGAATGCATTGCCTGTAATCCTGTTGCGTTGTATTGTTACGGCAGCATCATCCCTGGGTACGACGAAATCGAATGTAACCAGATTCACTGGACGCAAGAAAACAAACCCGTTGATATATATCTGCGATAGACGGCAAAAGGGGTTCGCATTAGAACCTAGAAATCTATAAGAAGCCTCGACGTCGGCCATAAATTCTAAAATTGCCTCCAGTATTTTCACAGAGGACGACACTTCCATAAATTGCGTTTCCATCCTTTTACGAAGCTTCTGTAGGCATTTATCGGTTGTACGGTGATTAAATACCTCTAGCTGGGATAGGAACTCGTGCTCCAAGTCAGGTTGCACAAGGATCTCGTCATTTCCGAAAACCATCTGGTCGCGTGCCTATACATATAAATTATCTATTGATAACGAAAAGCATAAGGTAAGAACGGTAAGGCAAATCGTATGTGCCGACGTAATTTTGCAAGGTTACCAACCCTGATAGGCGCATGGTGGCTGTGCTCCCCTTCGACAATTCGCAGAGGCACGACAGTAATGGGAGTCAACCAATGGTAAGCGAATGAATAGGACCTGATTCATTCTATACGAAATCGAGTACTCACCCAGATCACGTAGTTGAAGGCCTTGCACAATTCGTAATCAACCGGTGGCATAATGGGAACGTAGTAATCGTCGACTTGGGAATTGTCGTCGGTCTGTGTCTGCGATTGTGATTGCCTACGCACGTCATCAGTCAGAATGCCACGGAATGTCCCCCTCCTCGCGTGATTTTGCGATTCGTGTGCCGGAGCGGACTGCGATCCTGACGTATTGTCTGCGTTGACTTACAGCGCTACATTATCAAACAAACCTGCGTCGCCATTGGAATATCCGTTAGGCTTCTTGGGGATCCGCTTCCGCTTTTTGAAGAAGTCGAAGCTGGTGGATTGACTTCTATCATGATCAAACATTGTTCGCAAGCCAAGCTTGGCTGCGAACGATCATGTTGGCCAAAGTGGCTCAATTGCAGTGCGAAGTCGAGCAGCACAGCTGTACGAATTATGCCAATGTCGGTGTGTTACTCGCACGCGCTTCTTATGTGCTCCCCATGGAAGTAATTTTCCGTGTTCGTTTGGCTTGAAGAACGAAAGTCGTATTGCTTCATTAAGCAGTGGATTTATGGATTTAATGCAACGGCATGATAGCACTATATATCACTTAATCGGGGCGAAATAGAAGACTCCGCCCTAACAACTCTCGCCAAAGACACCAACTGATACGCTAAGGGTTACGAAAATACAGGTGTATTCACCCAAAATTTTCGTTACCGTGTATCTAAATGAATGGAAGCTTAAACTTTAGTCTGTGAACCCGTGTACATCCCGTTCAACCGTCAAATTCCTTGTGCTCTATTCGCATTTGATCCACGCCAAATACGTCAGTTGGTCTTAGTTACCCCCGTTAATCTGGGTCATATATGCATTTCGTTTGTATTGATACTACTGTGTTGCTATTTGATGTAGGCTTGCCAGCTTATGCCAGTAAAATGAGAAGTATCAGTAGTTCAAGCCGCTCTATGAGTGTGAGCCGGAGCTTCAGTAATGATGCGAACCGTTCCAATTCCCACTTAAGCAAGAGGCGTACCGAAGAAACACGACGTTATGCAGGGAGCTCCGCCGGCTCTACATCGTTGTCTCGGACGAGGCGCCGTCGATCGGACTCACGCGGCTCATCCTCACGTTCCTACTCCAGGCCAAGAAGCCGCAATACACGAAATGGTAGTAATTCAATTTCTAGCTCTAGATCCAGTATTGGCGATCATTCCCGTAGACGTCGCAGAAGCCGATCCCGTTTACGACGGCGACGTTACTTGGGTTCGCATTCCTCCTCCAGCAGGTCACGTTCACATTCACGCAGACGGTGTGATTCTTTTCGATCTCGAAGCGTACGACACAGTAGGAAAGGCAGGAGCCTGTCTGTGGGATCGAGATGCAGCCTCCGACATCGGTATTCCACAAGCAGCAGCTACTCGACGCCGCGCCGGTGTGACCGAAGTAGGCGCACCGATGAACGCCCAGGTTATCGCAAGGGCATCAGGGAGTTCCCAAATTCATATCGCAGCCGGAGGGAAGCTACGAAACATCGCCAAAAGGAAACGTATCAGTCGGCGAACGGCTCAAACGGAGTGCCCGTGCGAAACGCACGGTCGAACGCTCAAGACGTTGTTGCTAGGCGCAAGGAAGTCACCAAGAAAACAAATGTCGATAAGACGATGCATACGCCATTTTTACTGCGTGTGTATGCTTTCATTGAAGAAGCCACCGAAAACACAGATCACACCGAAAACTACGTAGCATTGCAAGAGCGTTTAGACTCATTGGAAACGGTGGAAAAGTTAGAGCTTTACATTTGGATAGACAACACCTTACGCGACTTGGCTAACCTGATTAAAGATCTATGCGAGGCAGCAAGGTACAAGGAAGGCATGTGGACCTTCAGTCGGAACGACGCGACACGCGAGGTCATAGGTACTATTCATCCCTACAAATGGCGACGATCGGCAGATTCTGTCACTCTTCGCAGTATTAATTTCCGAGTGGGTGATTCCCTGCTGCTCCGTTTTCGTGGTGTTGCAAGACAGCCCACGGAAGGCACACAAACGACTGGACAGACGCCTGTGTGATATTTGTGGTGAACCGATACCCTAATATTTTTGGAAACAAAATGACACATTGTCTAAAATGAGGAGGCACACATTGATGCCAATAAATCTCTACTTCCATTCTAATAAGAGGGTAGGTTTTTTGTAGAGACCGCTAAATACGCGGCGGGATACACGCGCCGACCCATCAGAGGTTAAGGCACTATCTAAAGGACGATAAGACAGTCGTATCACATGATGTGTCAAGTAGTTGCGTCCTCAAACGCCCAGCTATCTGTGGCCGCTAGAAATTTTCACCCTTGACCTTCTAATCTACGTCTCAGGAATGGCGCGCTCGCTACATGGACAATGGCATCAAGAAGGCGAAACACTTTTCCTGCAAACGGTACAGGGAAAAACGGTCCTTCTTCCTAGCCTCAGTATTCATGAGGGCGCTCTCGGAATACCACGAAGTGCCTTCAGACGACTTTATCGCCTATTGGGCACTGCGTACCGACACCTTCGCGGCGTTTAGTGAGGGCGCGGTTAATCCGTCGGAGCCAGAGCCTCTATCGAGGCCGGAGTCCTCGCCGGGAGGAAGACAAGGCGCCACCGACCCTTGTCTCACTGGTAAAACAGAACATAAGCAAGTGGTTGACGGGCTCGCGGACACACTTACAGAGTACAAGTTTGTGGGCGACAACCAGGGAGAACACAGCATCAAGACGCCATGCGTGCTTAGGCACGACTCATCGGGAGATATACTCTCGGAAACTTCCAGAGAAGAGTCAGACGTAGCTTCCGAAGCCAGTGTTTCCTCAAAAGAGGAATCCAGTGTAGTTCAACTGCACGATGACCCACGGGTCAAAAGTTCGATCTTTTATGATGGGGACTTTTCGGCTTTTTTGCAACGCCAGAAACTCCTATTACACGTAATTGAAGACCTGCAGACCTCATTATTTGTATCGAAACCGTCGATTGATTTCGTCCCTGACATCAATCTGGATTTGATTGAGAAAGAGTACATCGTGCTAAACCAGAAGCTTTTGGGAACCAGGGATACGCAGCGCGTTGCAGCGCATCCTATACGACCACGCTCGATAGACGACAGAAGTCTTCCGGCGAAACGTGTGTGTACGCAAGGAGTCGAAAGAAGGCTGCCTCGCCCACCAGATTATACCCTCGGTCGAGTACTTAAGAAGTGTGCAGACTGCGGCCCGGACAACCTTCTAGAAAGGAGTGTACACTTGCAAAAACTGGTGAACATCCTTGGCGGTAAAACCCCCGTGGAGGCGTATGCAAACGAGGTTCTTGATGGTATATGTTCTGTAAAATCGCTCTGTGCAAAGACACAGGCCGAGTTTGGACCCCGAGCGTTTTACTCGCCATCTTTGCGGCATCCTATCGACTCCCTAACGGGCACCAGCGTGAACGGCATGACGGCACTAGACACAAATAGCTTCGTGGATAACACGCTTTACAGCCAACAGAACGCCTTTATGATGCCCAGAAATATCACAGGGTATATGACCAAACAAAAGGACGAGGCGTTCAATGTGTCGGACGGTGATGATGGTATTCGCTTACGAATGTCACGTATGTCTAACACCAAATTGGCACATTTTGTCGAGTCGCTATGCCGGGTAAACTTCGACGAAAAGGTAATCCACAATTCGCTCGAACAAAACGCGAAAGAATGCTGTGATCTTCGTTCGCTGATCCAACTTTGCCAACGCGAGTCTGAAGTCGAATCGGAAGGGATAGCCGAGAGCTGCAGCGAGGTTACTGATGTGCCAAACGAATATTTCACAAACACGTCAAACCACGTAGGGCTTATTGACAACATAAGCACCACTGCGGTAGCGTACTACAAGAATCGAGTACTCCCACATGATGCCATGGACTTTTACCATAACACTACCGTATGCGACTACAAGAAGGGTAACATGGTGCGTATGCAAGGCGGCGGCCCGCTCGATGTCTCATCAGATACTTTCAATACCTTCGACAACCGCAGGCAAAATATGAGCCACTACCTGGAGGCTATAAGTGCGCTCGAGGTACGCATAAGAGATATACAGTGTCGCTCTGAGAAAGTGCAACGTGCGTTACACCAGTACTCGCTGCAAACGCGTACAGAAGGCGTCAATGACCTGCAAGAGGTACTGAGCCTCGAGACGCTACTGTTTGTCTGCGACACACTTATGGAGACGAAACGCAGGTTGCACGAGGAACTCCGTCGACGTGTACAAGACGAGCTAGATATGATTAACCACATTTTGCCAGAACCCCTAGCTGACTCGTTAACACGCATACTGTACCCAAGTGTGAACCGCTAAAGTCAATTATGATTGTTGAGCATTAAGTGTGTCCCAAAACGTGCGAAAGGGCTCTTTCCAGCCGGCGGGATCGAAGGCGGGCTCAGAGACATGGCACCACGTGTAAATACACGCCTCTAGCCATTGGCTATGTACCCGTTTTATACCCGGTGCTGACACCACAGTTGATACGTTGTTACTTAGGTAGTGAGTGGTTTCGGCATCAACAGAAGATTTTACGACCCCGAACCGCCGGGCTGTGAACCCAAGGTCCGTCTTGAAGAAGTCACTTTCTTCACCTGTTCTTGCACTTAGAAAGTCGTTTCGGTTTACCGCTAGCACCACTCCGCGCAATATTCCTTCGCGGTGTTTGCAAAGTAGTACGCCAACGTCGGGAAGGACATTTTTTTCAATTAGATATTTCAGCTGTTCCAGCGTCACTTCTGTATTGTCGAACTGGTCGAAGAATTGTTTATGCATTTCACATAGCAACTTTGTGATGCATGGTAACTGCTGGTCGCAGTCACGCACGTAAATCTTGCGCAGTTTACGAGTAAAGCTGCCCGCTTGTGTCAGCGTTGCGTTGTCAGTAGTTGCCTTACGACATTGCGGCGCTCTTTCGGGATTCACCTCTGTATAATCATCAGAATGTGTGCTAGGTGTGATTGTTACAGTCTTGTTTGTACCCTTGATATTGCGATTTTTATCCTCGGCTGGAGAACTGTCCGCCGCCAATATTGCGCCGCCAGACGGTGGGAAAGAAGCCTCAAGAGGTAAAGTCTCAGCTACTAAATTTTGTCTTTCCGGCGTATCTGGCGATTGTGTTGTGTTGGAAACCTCCCGGGAATGCCACGCAGCACTCGTCGATTCCGCATGTGAAGCCCGTCGAAATATACAGGACGGTCGGCTGTTAGCTATTAATAAGTGGTTGTATCTGAACGTCGGGGGGCATTTGCCAGGGACCTTTAAGCCCATGGGGACGGTGAACCCCTCGTAGTCGCGGACCGGGGCTTCACGCAATGCGTTATCCTTCCAGATTTCCATAATCACGGAATGCCACACATAGTTAGAGTAGTTACAATGGGCTTGCATAGCCGCTGAAACGCGTCCCAAGTTTCTGCAATCCCTATTCTTTATCAACGCCAAGTCTGTAAAGTAGTAGTAGGGGTACACCTTTATCAAACCGGGCGCATCCACCCAAATGTGCTCGGAGTCATCCAGAATGAGTAGTAGGTTCCGGTAGTTAGGGAAAATGCGGCAGAGCGATTTGAAGCAGTTGTTTGTTTCGGATCTGCTGAATACACGATGACCGAAGAAAGTGCCACTGGGATCCAGGATCTTCAACGCGGCATGGGCGTGTGCACGTGTTCCCATTGTGAATAAGTACAGCTCATATAACTCCGACGCACGCCTCAGGAACTTGTATACGCCTGGCCTCAGCTTGTAGTAGTTGACGAAGTAACGATTGTCCAACTCGTTTAGAGTCCGCGTCACCAAAATAGAATTTTCGAGTTCTTCTTCATAACGCAGATTATCCTCTTCGTTGTCGAACTGGAGCTTGTAGCCTTCTGATCTGCCGTACATGTCTATCACGGCGATATCAATATCGTCTGGAACTTTGGTGCACGAAGAGTGAATAAGTGTATTATCTAAGTCTAGCACGAGACATAATTTACGTTTACGCAAAAGCCTAAGAAGTTCCAACAACTCCATTTCATTGGAAACTTTGGCATTGACCCGGACCTCATTGTTATTGGTGATGAAGCCTGGAACAACCATCAACGATGTATCAGAGGCCTGGAGGTCGGGAGCCTGCCTTTTAGCCTGTGCGGCTATGGACTCCTTACGCCTTTTAGAATCCGGGTTTTCCACAACACAACAGCAGGTGACGCAAAGCCCATGAATGATTACGCTGTGGGAGCAGGGTAGAGATTCCACCGTCCCCAGCACAGCTGAGGCGTCAGTGACGAGTGTGTCCGTCGAAACCGTCTGTTTGAGCGTACCGTATGTTTTGGACCGCAAGAGAAAAGGGTCGTGAGGTAGCTGCAATCGGCACGTCACCGATCCCACCGATGTAGAGGAAATAAGCCCAGCTGCACAATATGCAGAACCCTTTGTGGATGGGCACGTGTCACTAGACGTTCGACGCTCCTGGTGCTCGAACCCACGAAGGTGTGATGACCCATCATACCGAGAAAGTCCGCGGTTAGCATCTCCTGTGGCATCGCAATGAGTAGCCTGTGATACTTGGTAAGGCTGTGAATCTTTGCCTTCATTCTGTTGCGCAGACGATAGGGCGGCCAATACTTGGTTTTCCACTACATGTGAACCATCGCTAGCTATCCAGCGGATTTTGAAGGGGACTGGTGCGCCCTCTGGTGCGGTTAGAGCTTCATTTTCGTTCGTCAACTCGCTCTCTAGCCATTCTTCAAGGTCGCCATGTTCGTCAACCGCTTCTGGCTGCACGAAGGTTTAGACGTGATCAGAGTTAGACATTTTCTAAAGATGCATCATTGATCCCAAATGAAGTTGGACACTTAACGGACATATTTCACATACATTACAGAAATGAAAACTGGTGGACTTTCTGTGAGGCACAGTAACCTGGTATTTTGTAATAGGGTAACATCACGGGGTCTATGCACCAATGCGTTGAAACAGTATAGCCAAATGACTGTTGAAAACATTGTTGCGTATTTATAATGTTTCTCGCCCCCGATTGACAAAACAATAACCCTTGAAATTCCGGCGATGCTGTATGCGCCGGAAACAAGGGGTCAGTAAAACTGGCCGTATCAGGGATCGAACAATTCACCACCCAACTACATAAACACTTTGCGCCTTTGCAATACAATAATATGTAACAAAACAATACAACATCAGACAGTTTGATCGTACCTCATATGTGTTCATCGGTGGAGGTCGGTAAATGAGCGGGAAACAACGCCCTAACAAAGGGAGATGTATTTACCTAACTTACTGCAGAATTTACTCGTAACAAACATGTGGTCGACGCAGAGCAGTACGATGTTGTACATCGTACACACCTCCAACAGCGGGTTATGGGTGTGGACATTTGGCAGAGGCAGAGTTGCACGACATGAGGGTTATGCACATTTATCGCGCAAAATCGCTTTGACTGTCACTAATTCTGGATCCTAATCAGTTTTTTGATGACGCAATTCTCTACATATGTGCTACGTACGCCCTGAACCTTCGTAATCTATCAATGATGGTTATATGCCATTTCAAGTTTTTTCATGCTTAAGTGTCATTTAATTCGTTGTAATGATTGATTCTCGATGGTATGTGTAGCTCAGCAGACAAGCAACCGCGTAAAGGGTAGTCGACATGCCCATAGCAGTCTCAAAATGACACAGCCAGCAATAATACGTGATTTGTGATGCCAAACAGTACCATGTTTTACTTAATCGCGTACGTTGGTGTCCTGAATAATATCTTGTCTGTTGAAACACTCGCGCAGAGAAATGCAGCACAAGTGCACCCCGCCCTGGATTCTAAAAGCAGGCTACGATGCTCGCACGGGCATGACGGTGGATAGCAAAATACACATTTAGTAAATAACCCTTCGGTGCGAAAAATCTAGGCGATCTACTCTGCGCATACGTTACACATCTAAAGGGGCATAGCATTCGCCGTTTGAACAGTGCTCCGGTATGTGTGCCTAGCTCTGTCATACGTGTTAATGCATAACTGCGTTCAATTGCGATAAATCGCAGCACCTCTAAATCTAAGTTTGAACACCTTAGTCGTTCCACAGAGAAAGAGAGCGCCACCATGGCTGGGAAACCGAAAGCAGACCCCTCGCGGTTAAAAAACAATTTAGAACGCTCGATAGAGGCGCATCGCCTTCGATTGCAAAAGGCAAGAGGTCTAAATACAGCGAAAACAGGGAGGCTTTGTGAGTGCAAAAATTGCGATGTGACTAGCGTGAAACCATCAATAGTGTGCACAAAGTATGGTACTAGGAAGCTTGAGGATGAAACGGTGAAAGTAAATGTGCCTGCTAGCGTCAAACTGCCTACAAACATTCCAACAGCATCCACCAGACTGCTTCGACGTAAGCAGTCTGGATCCGGGGGAAAAAACGATAAAAAAGTAGGAAAGGGTAGGCTAGATAATAACGTTGAACTAAATGGGCCAACTGTGGATGTCAGTGATGAGGAAATCCGTTCCGCCATATCCCACAATGCCAAAAATGAAGAGCATAACGAACGTGATGAGTCGAATCTGCTGGGAACCGTCGTCGGTAGTGAGTGTGATTCAAGTTCCAAAGTGGACGACGGGAAGCAAATGCCTGAACAACGTACGTTAAGCGGCAGCTCTTGTGAGCTACCCTCCGGGTCACCATCTGAAGAGGCACAGGAGAATACGAAAGATGTTCCGGATATAGATCTCAACAAGGTAATACGTCGGTTAGAAAGCATTAGGATTGTAGACTCAGCAGGAGATGAACACCGTATAAATACGGCCAGTATTGAGACTAAGATTTTGGACATTGTGAACGAAATAGTGCGCAAGAAATTGAGTGCAAATGAAAACGTCGAGACGACGCTCGAATCTCAAAATTTGATACATAAAACCGATAAAGAACTCATTCAGAAACAGGAGAAAACGCTCCCAGTCTCAAGCGTTAACGATGTTAAACAAATGGGTAGTGCACAACCAACGCAAAATGCTGGAATCAACAACTCTGAAACATCAGGGCCTGATCTTATTAATAAATATAAGAGTGTGATTGATGTGTTGTTGAATTATGTTTCTTGCGGTGCGCCGGCGAGGCGGGATATGAACCCTGGTACGGGAGAAATAGGCATTGCGTCCGGAGATGTGAAATCTGTCCAACATGCTGCAGATGCAGCGCACGTGTCGTCAGTGTCGCAATTTAAAATGGGAAACCAAGGGCATGTGGCAAACAATTTCGACTTGCCTGCCACCGGCAAGCGGTCCAACATCTGGTGCAGGGGTATTGGATCGCAGGGCACACAGTCAGTAAATAATGGTTATACAGGTGGTTTGGTATCCAACTCTATACATGGCAATCAATTCGACTTGACCAGAAGTATGGCACTGGCCAAAGAGGTTAGGCATGTGTCGGCTCGCAGAATGCTAAGTACCCCAATGGGACAGATGCCGCATCCCTCGCAAATTAACGGAGGGTATTGTCATCCGCTGAAATACACCAACAACAGTCATGTGTACACCCCGCATATGAATTGCTATGTTGATAGTCGCTACCAGGGACCATGGGACATTCACACATTAACCAAAAAAAACAGTTCTAGGCAGGTCACATCGTCATCGAGGCGACACCACCTACTCCGCCGCAACCGCACAGATGTGACCGCAGTGCCGCCAGTTGGGTGTAAATCTGATTTTGATATCCACAAAACAAGCGCTAATGAACATTATATGCAGAGCTTAGCACCTCGCATAAGGAACACCGTCAAAGCCACCGGAGCAGCGCCGGTCGGCATTCTGAATTCACCATTTCGTGTGATTCAAAGACAGTCCACTGGGTCTTTATACAGCCGAAACACCGGGCGCGCTTATGGCCATCAAGTGCAGGCCGCTATGATGTGATCACGGGTTGAGCGTGACCTAGGTATGAGAATGCAACTTTACCCTGTTACATATATAGAAATACTAATATGCAGTTATTTCATTAATGTACATTGGACGTGCTGTGTCATCATACAATGTTGTGAGTGGTGTAGGTAGGGGTCCGCAAGGGTGGAAATGTACGACACTTCCACGCTAATTTTTATTAATCGTATTTCCATTGATTTATTCTCTCGGGTGCAAACATATGGTCAGTCGTAATGGAGCGACGTAAAACTGATCTGGATGATTCCCTTTTCAGGCAGTCAGACGCGAGCAGCGACGATGAACGACCGCAGCGTAAAAAGCTGAAATTTCAAAACTCCTATACTAAAAAACGTGCCATAGTCTCGGCGTTCTTGGATACGGAAGCGCAGGTACGATTTCGAGCACTCTATGCAATAGCACTGATGTGTGAGTAACCTAATCAAAAATGTGTAGGTGGGCGACGAGGAAGATGAAGACAACTATGACGATGATCTATTCCTTCCTGACGAGTCGACGGAGGCGGAGAGCCTCGAGAATCGAAGCCGACTTCGCAGGCTACGGGATGAAGGTGATCGCAAGGAAGACCAACGCCGTGTTGGTGGCGCAGGACTTTTGGAAAATGCCATCGACAAGCTGACAAAGAGATATCAGGACATGACGTTTGAGGATGACGAGGACGATTTCATAGACGACGATGGTACCGGAACTGGACAGGACTGTACGTTACATCTGGGTCGTTAAACGTTCATGATTTTTTCAGACAGTGTCATTGAGGATGCAAGCGTTCTCATGCCGGACTTAAACGACCCCAAATTATGGATGTTGAAACTCAACAAAACACATTCTTCCAAGCTGGTCGCCATCAGCCTACTGAACAAGTTCCTTAAACTCCAAAGCCAAGGGCGCCATCTAGGGGTGTATTCCTGTTTTGCGCCGGATGGAGTCAAAGGGTTTCTTTATATAGAAGCCGATACAAAAAACGCCATCATCGATGCTTTTTCAGATTTTCGTAACATAAACCTTGGGAAGCTAAAAATGGTGCCCATCAACGAAGTTTCAAGCATCTACGCCATGGAATCGCAACAGCAAATCGTACCACTCATTGGGGAATATGTACGCATAAAGTCAGGTCGATATGCTGGTGACCTAGCGCAGATATATGACTCCGATGAGCTGAATGGGATAGTGGTAGTTAAGGTCATACCTAGGCTTCAGGAGGAAAACAACGATGTGGATCCACCCCTTGGTGACGACGGAATGCCTCTGTCAAAGGGGAGTAATGAAAACAGTGTGAATAAAATAAAGCCCAAACTTTACGTGAAGCGCCTGTTTGACCGCGAGGCCGTAGAGCTGAAGGGCGGCTTTATAGAACAAGGTTTTACACCTGGCACCTTCCGATACAACAACATGACATTTCTGGATGCAGGTTTCCTACTACTACGTATTAGTGTACGCAAAATAATTGTCGGATCCGCCGTTGATGCAACACTCTCGGAGCTCAAAGAGTTCAATTTGGAAGATAATTACGGGAATGTGACAAACGTTATCAGGAGCTCAAATCTGCACCTATTTAGGTTGGGCGAGAAGATACGCGTAGCTCGCGGCGAATTAATCAATGTGATTGGGCACATTGCTAGCATACATAACGAAGAAATCGAGATTCAGCCGGAGGATGCTAGCATCCCAAATTTTCGTATACACCCATCATCGATCATAAAACATTTTCAAGAGGGGGACAATGTCCGCATCATCGACGGAATAAACCGTGGAGAGTCGGGGTTGATTTCTCTGGTGGACTTTGAAAAAAGAAATGCCATTGTCTTCTCGCCTCATAAGTCCGAACAGTTCAAAGTGAAACTCGACTACCTGGTTCTCATTAAGGAGTCCATAAGTTTCGAGTCTCTGGGGTCGCTTAACGGTTACTTTCTCGGTGATCTAGTACAGTCATCTAAGGGGGAAGTAGGAATAATTGTCTCAATTTCCAAAAGCTGTTTCAACGTACTTCTAGATACCAATGTTGAGGTTAAAATGGTCATCTCCGATATACTCTGTAAGCGTAGTTCATTCGGGTATAGTTCAAAGGATGTAAACAATTCTACTCTATACACTCACAACAAAATCCTTATTGTCAACGGCCCCTATAAGAACAAACAGGGTGTAGTTAAACATCTGTGGAAAAACAAATGTTTTGTACAGTTGGAAAAAAGTGTTTACTTAGTCGTAGACAGCAGCATGGTGTTGAACATGAGCATCAGCGAAACGCAGAACCCCCTGGAACAACGCGGAGGGTACGAGAAGGTGAACGAATTGCGCGACAAAAGCAAGATTCGCATACCTAACAAGTTTATAGGGAAAACAGTCAAAATACTAGTTGGCAGACACAAGGGACTATTGGGAGATGTCATATCGGTGGATCAGACCGAGTTTACAATCATCCTTAAGGTCAAACCAAAGGTTGTACGTATCAAAAAGGTTGACGTCACCATCCTGGACAACCGAGACCTCATGGTCAACAAGATGCGTTACGCGAGTTCCCTGGCTGACGTCACTCCCAAACCTGCGCAACGCTTCAGTCAGGCTGATAGACAAGACACTCGATGGGTTAAGAAAGGTGTCGTCGTACGTATAACTGGCAATGGAGAGTACCAGAATAAAATTGGTATAATCGATGAAGTGGTAGAGAATCAGGCAGATACGGACCTACAGATCGTCCATGTCTTCGTCGACGAGGATTACATCGCAATCGCCACAGAGTCGGTAGAGGTGATGCGTCCTACGAAACAGCACCAAGTAGTCATGATGTTCAGAGAAGGAGATCTGATCGGTAGCGTGGTATCCGTCGACGGAACTCACTTAACCGTCAAACTGGAGGACGGCACAGAAGTGGAGGAAGCTGTGGACAATGTGGCATTATATGGTTCACTGAACATTTGAAAGAGTGCCTGCAGCAAAAACACAAATGCAGTACCACATTAATTTGTGATCTGAGCCAATCGCTGCAGCTCCGGTGGCACCGGTTGCTGGACACTGTTGAGAACGCCGACCAGCTTCTGTGCGAACCTCGCTTTGCGAGGGTCTGGATAGTCGTTGACCAAGAGTAGTAACGAGGCGCCTATTTTGTCACCGCGTGCAGTGCGCCCAATCCTATATGTCATAATAAGTTCTATGTACAAACGTGCCTGTGAATGTAGTCCTCGATCGTGCGCGGTACGTCCACGTTGACAACGTAGTCAATGTCTTTAATATCCAAACCCCTAGACGCAACATCGGTGGCTACCATTATGTTGACAGCGCCACTGCGAAACTGGCGAATTGTGTGATCTCTCTGGATCTGTGTTTTGTTGCCGTGGAGGGAGAGTGCATTAAGGCCTCGGCGACTAAGATCGCGCACCAAGGTGTCGGCCCCGACACGTGACTCCACGAAAATCAGCACCTTCTTGTTGTACGCTTCGCCAGTCAAAAAGGTGCACAAGTGCGGGAATGTCTCATCTGACCGTAGAATTTTGACCTGTTGATTGATATTCGCGTTGGCTGTCAGCTCCCGGTCTCCCACTTGGATGTAAATGCAATTGCTCTTGCAAAACTCAGACGCTAGCCGACGTATTGATGAGGGCCAAGTAGCGGAGAAGAGTAGAGTCTGTCTGTCAGGCCTCACCTGCGACGATATCATCCTGATTTGGGGTTCGAAACCCAGGTCGAGCATGCGATCAGCTTCGTCCAGCACGAAGTAGCTCACTCGATCTAACTTCAGAATGCCGTTTGAGAGACAGTCGAGGAGTCTGAAATATGATGAGACGTCATTGCATGGTTGACACAGTGCGTAATGCGACTGCTAAGTGCAACGGAACACTGAACTCATTACTCATTTTGAGATACAAATGGAATGACTGAGGCTCGAATATACTTAAATGGCTTTGGTGTTTTCCTAAAACCTCGGCAAATATGCAATAGTGCAACGTATTTGCGGTAAAAAAAATCGCCGGTGGCAATGACAATGCTTTAATTTGTTTCTGTACACACTTACCTGCCGGGTGTAGCCACCATTATATCAACTCCACCGACTAGTTGCTGTTGTTGCTGGGCCTTGGATACCCCTCCGTATAATATGGCGCCCCTTAGGTTCATCACTCGCATGAACCGCAGAGCCTCCGCGTAAGTTTGTTGGCATAACTCTCGCGTCGGCGCAAGCACCAAAATAACTGGACCCATTCCCGGTGACACTGGTGGTTGCGCCAAAAGGTGTAGCAAGCCGGGAAGCAGAAATGCCAACGTCTTTCCCGAACCAGTCTGGCTTACTCCCACTACATCACGACCTGTGCCATGTTATTTAACAAATAGACCCTAGGGCACGACGAACTAAGCATTCAGTTAACAATCATGTCGATGTAGAGCTATTTTTGACTAGGCAACTTACCTGTTAGGCAAGACGTCCAACCAACTTTTTGTATGGGAGTGGGCTCCACGAAACCCATTTGTTTAATTATACGCTGTATCGCATCGTTGAAAACAGCCTCATCAAATGTATTCACGGGTTTCGGAAGCGGAGTCTCCCCATCTATTATTATTCGGTGGCGTGCTAATATGGCTTCTATCTCGTCGCCCGGGCGATTATTGGCTTCCGGGCTCAAATCGTAAAAATCCTTCTTTATTTCGACCAGTTGCTTTCCATTCCAGTCAACGTTCGGCAGCTTGAAGGGTGGTTGAGCACTGTATCCACCAGCTGCAACGTACTATTAAAACAATCTTCAGGACGCAGAGAATTCCATTACGGAGATCGCTATAACATTGCGACGTATGGAGGGGAAATGATCAATGATAACACAATTCAAAAGCAGTGAGCAACACAGATAGCGTAGCGAAAAATAACTGTAAAGACTCAAAAGGCGAGTCATTTACCATACCATGGACAGGGAGACTTACCGTTGTATGTGCCGTACGTTTGTTGATGCCCTCTGTAGCCATTGTACCCATATTGAGCCATACCATATTGGTTAGTTCTGCCTGCAGGTTGAAGGTAACCATAAGGGGCATTGTAAGCTGGATGAGAAGTCACGTGGCTGGGGTATGGAGGTTGAGCATAGCCCCTCTGATAGTCGAATCCGCCTCCATACTGTTCTCCATAGGTACCAAGTACAAATACCCTTCTAGATTCCTGTGCTGAAGCCCTACAACATACGTAATTAAATGGGAAACGGGCCGCCGCAACGCTGCCGCCCTGGTGACTGGTTGGGCGAATGAAAGCCACGCCACTCACTCTGCCAAGTCCCAGCACCATCTGACTCGGCAGAGTCAGAAGAATGAAGGCAAAAGGCAAGTAAGTACGAATCAATTGGGATATTGTGGCGCCAAAAAAACCCATATAAACTTGTCGCGTGCAGCGAAAACTTAGTGTCATCTAACAACAGAACCGCAAGGGCCGGAACCACTGACGTTACGCATGTATCTTGACATAGTACTCTATAAGACACAGAAGATGGTTAGAAGGCCAAGAATGGCGCCAATACACGAGTTCATTCGATACCATGGGGGGATAGACACCCTGACACGTAAGGTTCTGTAGCTTTCTCCATTTGAGGAATTAAGAACTGCTGAGATAATGTATTTTCTAATGTAATTTCGTCCATTTAGAAGGAGTAGGGGGGAGTCACTTTGATGTGTAGCATACATGAATCTGAAAATAGGTCGTCGCAATAAAATCCTTTGGTTAAGTCGATCTATGAATGAGTTCCCCTTTTTCGTTCACTAAGGAAAATGTACAGCGTGTCATAATTCACTTTGGTACTACGTAGTGTACTTGCAGTTTTTTGGGCGCTGTAGCAGCTGGAGAGCAAAAAAATCTCAGGGTTGTGCGGTGCAAAAACTCGTTGTGAGATGTGAATAAGTATACTAACCGTAATAACCTTATAGGAAAATCATTTTTGATTGTTGTGGCGGCGATAGCACTCCTTTACGAACTGCTCCACCATAGTATTAGTCAGTGTGTCGCTCATGGACGCAGAGATCCTCTGGTATACTCCCAAGTTAAATTTAAAGACGATATAGAAATTCACAATAGTGGCATCACCTTGATCTTTAAACTCCCAGACTGTGTCCAAAGTTTCAAACAGGGCGCTATCCGCCGCAACAGCCTGCGATTCTGTTGGGATCAAAAACAATTGCTGGCCATGCACAATGTAACAGGTGGGTCTTAAAAGTGCGACAAACAACACGCTGCATATTTCGACAGTTATATCAAGGAAGGAAAAACGTACAGCGCCGTGTCATTTTGAGAGGTTGCAAAGAATTAGATTTTTTAATGAAACACACTAACTGCGATATAGTACACCAACCCTTATGTAGTCTAATGGCTCAAATTGAACTTGAGAGGTGTACGACTCTTTTAACAGCTTGAAGTCCACCGTTAGACACGCCTTGCGTTGACCAGGACGAGCTGCCAATTCGCAATCGTTTGCATAGTCGATCCAATAACTCTGCTGTGATAGTGGTCAAAAGACGATTATGGCGTGTACACAATGTGTCTTACAAGATTATGAAAAGGCTTACCTTGCACCAAGGAAGAAATTGAGAGTAACTCGGTATATCTAGCACTGTGTTGTACACAATGCCCCGTGGGATGCTCAATAATTTTGTTTTTTTGTAGTGTAAAGGGCCTGTGAGTGTAAACAGGTTCAAGCACTTCAACATGTTCTTGCAATAGGACTGCCATCGATCAGTATTTTTCAATATAGTGCAAGCATAAAACGAGAGTTGCGCCTCCTGGCAGGGCGGGCGTGGTCTAGTGGCTATGACGCCTGCTTCACACGCAGGAGATCCCGAGTTCGATCCTCGGCGCCCGTATTTCCATCAAGTGTTCCTCTGATCTAAATACTTCATTTTAGGGGGGGTATACGCATTGTAAATGTAATATGCCAACAAAGAAATTTAAAAATCGTTTGTAATCTCATGTTTTACGTTACTTGTAACATAATGATAGAAATAAAAGGGCGGCAGCTGGAGCGGGCATGGTCTAGTGGCTATGACGTCTGCCTAACACGCAGAAGATCCCGAGTTCGATCCTCGGTGCCCGTATTTTATGATCCCGCAAATTTGTATTTAGTACTTCTATTTTTTTAATAAAGACCTCGTGATGCTGTTGGATTCTCGCACTTGACGTGATCCCGTCGTAGATGGTCGCAATATAGGAAGGGACCACGTTGTGCGCCGTCGCGTGTCCTTGCCCCCGAGGTACCACGTATGCGAGAGCTTAATTTATGTGTCAACAGTTCGAACACCTCTGCAAATATTTTGTGAGTAATCGTCGACTTCAAAGCGGGTAGCCCAGTCAAGCGAAGCGCGTCGACGCTAACATCACGGGCTTTCGCGATCCCTGGGTTGCGACGACGTGTGACGCACAGGATTCATTGGCGTATCTATTTTCAACATGAGTAGCCACGCATACGGCCTATTTTTCCGTAAAGGATGGTTCAGCAGGAGCATCCTCCGGACCGCCGCACTCGTCATTGGAGCGGACGCCTACGTTAAGTAGTAAGTGGACGGCGCAGCTTAGTGGTTGCCGACTGTGTTATGGCGTGTTGTTATGTTGCGCAGCGAGTACGGTATTGACGTAAACTACGACTTTAACACTTCTGCCTGGAGCTGGTGGGTGGACAAAACAACGGAGGAAAGGTACATAATTTATATGCTTAGCTGAATGGCGTCCGTAAAATCTGTGTATCTTACGGTTCACGGATCTGCACTCTTGATTGTCAGTTGTCAACGGCCGGTTGTGGGAGGTCTCAATTTGGGTCATCCACCTGACAGTCGTGGGCCGTGTCTTTCACTCAACTCACAGCTATCAACAACTGATGAGCTCTGTGAAGTATGACGCCTGTGATAAGTTTTCATTTGTCAAAATGTTTCGTTGTTGTACAGTAAGTACAAACCACGTTGTTCTGTGTGTTGGTTGCGCTGCCGTATTACTACTAGGTCTAAACAGCTCTGTACGATAGTCTCAATTCTCCTCAGGCAGATGTTATCTACGTACTCGGGTAAAACACAAACAACATAGGAACTTCTGTAATTGTGAAGTGTAAACGCGATTATGCAAAGTATTTATTTATCGTATTGCGCGAACGCTGAATGTTGGGATTGCTGTTAAAAGATGAATCTCTCACGCGAAGCCTGTACCCCGGCATTTGTCGAGTCAGCTTTACAAGGTCGGCACGTGAAACAAATTTTATGCGTTTCTTGTTACGGCGCTGCTGGCCGGAGAGGTGGAGTTTCTTTCCCCTGCACCCCTGCTGCAAACGTTCCCAACCGAAACGCGTAAGACGGAACCTCATAGCCACACGTGGCTGGTTTTTAAGCTTGCGTTTCTTCATAATCAACTGCCTGCTGCGCCATCGCTGTCTTATACCGACCCAGTTTACGTGACGGACAGGGTTGTAGGTGCGCCGGTCAGATTTTATTGGTAGCCTTGATTCCACAAAGCGACATTCCGTTGTATGTAGCACACTAGTATAACGGTCCAGTAGGGCGCCGCGTGACCAACGCGCAGCGCTCTTTGGCGATGACGCACACGTCGATTGGGAGTGAACTCGCAGATTCCAAAGAGAACGAGATAACACAAACATGATCTTTTTACATGGTAAAAACATTTAGATTGTTTTCGCTTTACCGCAATCTTAACGTTAGGAATGTTACCCAAGGCGGCACGACACCCGCCTGGTAAAGTCGTATAAGGCGCCTAATGGTCATATGATAACTTCTCGGTGTTATATTATAAAGGGATTGGTTTGCGGGTTTAGACACAACTGCCGGTGTACCGCGACCACCTCGGCGTCACCGCGTAGAAAGAAGCGTAGACACCAATCGTCGACATGAAGCAGCGGAAGGCCGTGGAGTGACGGTCAGTTCAACGACTGTATGACCACTATGGAATGGATGAGAGAACGGGATAAACCTGAAGCGGTAAAAGACAATTTGGCGCACTGCAATAGAAAACTCCGATTTACAAGCCTCGTGCTTAGCTTCATCTCTATTTCGTTCGTTTTATTCTCTGTGCAAGCGTGTCCTAGCTCAGACGACGAGCATCAAATTTTTCCACGGACGGCTTACTTTAATGCCACTCATGACTCTACTACGCCTGGCCTAAGGGCTCGTGTTGCAGAGTTTGATGAAGCACAAGAGAAAGGTCATGATCTCCTTTCAGTAGAAAAATCTGTCAAATCCTCACAAAATGATAAATGTTGTATCACCTCACCCGCATCTGTCGATGACAAATTAAGTTTGGATGAACGAAATGACTATTCCAAAGTGATAGGAGATTTCGCAAAACTGACTCGTGAGATGTATGAACTGCGGCTCCTTTACGAAGACGTCATATATTCAATAAAAATGAAAAGGCAGAATGTTGCGACACTCTCGAGTCTAATCGAACAGCTCAGGTCGAACAACAACCAACTTCTTAAAATACTGAGGCAGCATAACGCACGCAGTTCCGAAGGATCGTCACAAAAGCATCTGAGTGGGAAGCAAAGAATACTTCGTGCACTTACAATCGCTGAGTGTTTACGGGGTATCTGCATTGTCTTCCGTGTTCCATTTGTCCTCCTCAAACAACACTTTTGGCCATACACTCAGGTCGAAGAAATAGTTGGGTTATTTGTCAGCCGAAATGTAGCAGCTGCAGCTAGTGCTTGCTCTCGTGTATATGAAAATGTGTATGTCTCAGGAGTAGACAAGATTTTTAATTGGGCGCTCACTCACCTGAGAGCGTACATCACAGCCCATGCGTCTCTACAAAGCGAACACATGGCGATGAGGCTCGACCTTGAGGATTACATAAAACGGGAATATAACTTCGACGCAACCGTTTTTTCTAATGATGAAACGCGGCACTGGTCTATCAATAGAATCCGGTCTCTGCTGTATTTGAAACTAGGGCTAAGACATTGTATGTATTGGTGGTATGCTTTAGTGCAGGACTCAAACAAACATGTACGCGGAAACTACACGTTGTCCAGGTTGTTGATGGCTGTTTATGGCCAAAAATTTAGGATATTCTGTAAACGTATAGAAGTTTACCTTTTGTGGCTAGCTGCATCTTCAACATTTTCCATCTGGAACCCTAAAATGTCTGAGGATGATATACAAAGCATACAGAATCTTCTGGTAGGACTCTACGGTCCCATCGTTTTGTCCCCTTTTACCATCAGGGAATGGTTCATAGTTGTTTCTGTGGCTCTTAACCGGCTCATCAAACACATAGACAACGAACTCAAGATGTTATATACCCATCTAACGGCTGTATACCCGGAATTCGTGCATGTGTGTCCTGTTTCTTTAAAGGAAAGGCTTTATATGACCTTGGCTATCGTCTGTATAGCGGCATTTCTAGCGTGGCTAAGCGTCCGTATTATTTGCTGCGTTGTTGCTGTAGTGCACGTGTTCCTTGCTGGCTTGAAAAGACTGAATTTTGTATACAGCATATTGGAAAAGTTCAAGCACTGGTATCAGACATCATTTTTACGTTGGTCATTCACTTTACTTCAAAATGAGCCAGGTGAAGTGAGGCCACTTTCGCAAGGTAAAGGACGCAAGAAATTAAGGAACGCGCATATTCACGGCCTTTCGGATGAGACGCATGCTCTAAATTTTAGGAAGGCTGGCGGATCGGTTAATAAAACTACCACGTTCTGGAACACTCGTGCACGTCGCGACCGCTTGCGTGACACGTATGGTTAAATTATTTTCGTGAAGGCGAATGAGAATGTAGCTTGGCTAATCGCATTTTTATGAAGTCTACGTGAGATATTGCAGCGGTATGTTATTTTACGATAGCGGCGCGGTAATTAACTATTTAAGGGCGTTGCCAAACAAGTGACTACGTCATATCCTAAATCTCACACATTGAAGCATGATCTTTGGCTCTACTCTACAAATTTAAATGTGAGTTGTATGCACGCAAACGGTGATAAGTACTTGGTACTATCGCCTTAATGAATCCGAACTAATGGTACCTCGAGGCGCCATTTTGTACTACATTGCGCTTACTGTGTGTCATATATTTCACAGTTGGAGTCAATGCATACATCTTTATCTGTCCTATTTGACGAACAATGGCGCGACTTGAATCTCAATCATAGTCTGGTAGACCCACCCATTGAGCGCTTTGGCATACCGCCTATTCTTATTACCAAGAGACAGATTGCTTAGTACTGGTGGTAGATATGCGGATCGCAGTAGTACCAAACAGAACCCAAAAATCGTAAGACGGAAACGTTCTGACAAGCAGGCTCTACAGCAAAAGCGAAAAAGCTGAAGTGTTCATCGACTCGTCTTAGCACAGTTTTTATTTGCATAAAAGTTAACATTGCGTAGTAATGTGCATGAATGTTGGTGAATTAAGAACCTCTTACGACTGCAATTTTCAGGCCTAGATAACGCCAAAAAAGTAGATTATTAACCCATGAAGTTTGCAAATTCTGTTCACTTGTTACGTGTAACGTGGAATTTTGCGAATGTAGTGTGTAGAAACCCACAGCTTGGTGCTGTCCGGCCAGTACCACTTTAGAACTTCATTGGCCGCGAACATGTAGATAATTGTCGTGCTCCTTCCAGGCAACGCGGTGTAAGAAGTCCTGCTCTTTTAGGAATTTGTGATTCTGCTGGAGCGCATCAATACGGTTGTCTTCTTTGTATTGATTCCAGTCGGCTTCCGATTTCTTTATTGCGGAAAGCTTTGGAACACTATCCAACTCGCTGACAATATCATCGATGAAAGAAAGGGAGCCGCCGACAGCTTGACGTTGTCCCTTCATGTGTTGCTTGTATCTCCTGGATGTCTTGTCTACACGTTCCTTGATGGTATACGTTTTTCCTGCAAAGTTGTATGCCTTTGCTATTGTAGTAGGTTCAATATTATCTGAAGTCCTGACCGCCTCGTGAATCAAGCCCAAGTTTTCCGAATCTGAAGTATTCCTGCACTGCTGTTTGAATTCGCGTATGTTTAGCGTTTGTTCTTCATCAAATATGCGACTGCTACAAAGCGCCATGAAACGGTCTAACTCATGCAGTTTCCCGTTTCGGCATCCGGCGCCAGTATAATCTCTCCTATGAAACTGCAACATAAAATCTGTAGGCTTGGTAGTTTGTTTGTGCCGGTACATCATGTCGCTCTCCTTTATCATATCGCCAAAGATGTTGTCAACTTTGTGCTTCAATTTCTGGCGCTGCTCCTCCAAATGAATCTCTCGTTTCAGCTGTCGCTTAGATTTCTTGACCTCACGCTCATCTTCTGATGAAGGTCCAGAAGCGGAATAATCCGAGTCGGCTTCATCATCGGATGGCAGGTGCATAGTCAGAATGGTAGCCATTTTTTACGGAAAACCTGTTGTCCTTAATCAAAAGGAAATGGGTTGCCGAAATGTGCAACCAACAAATCTTGAGTAAATATGTATCAAGGAAATAGCAGTATTTCGGTTTAAGTGGTAGTAACGATTCAAAATACAATTAATTGACCGTGAAACCTTCCTTCCGCAAGCATTGGTTGTGCAACTCGATTAACTGCATACATTGGTCTTCACCCTTCTGTGCAATACACTCATCCCTTGCCAATTTGGTCTCCTTGCAAACACAACAAATCCGTTTACCGGTTACTGAGACGGCGGGTGCGACGCTCCCGGTCTGTCCGGAAGCTGAAGCAGACGACAGAACGGAACCCATTAATCGAAGAAATGCTAATTACGAAACACTTCTTTAAAGGAAGACGTTTTGCGTGTAACTGCTATTAAATGTACGTGAGCGGGCAACAAGTAACGCCCGATTTGGTGGGACCAACACTCGGAGAAATTGGCCAGAGAGCGGACTTGTAGACCACCGGCGTATTTAATAAAAAATATGCCGACATTTGTATATTATGGAGCAGAGTTCTAAAATTATAGTGTCTAGTGGTGTGTAGAAGGGCATTGAACATGAAGCTCAGCCCATATCAATCGCAGTTGTTGATAATATCCGCTTCTTTACTCCTATATTTCTTAAGTGTTACTTATTTAGAACGAATAAGAGCTCAATCTGATACACGTAATGTCCTTCTTGAGCTGGCCAATTACAGCCGAATATCCCACGTGGCCGACGATACAGTTAATTCGCTCAAGGCTTACTATGCAGACATATTAGACTGCGTACAATTGCATTCCCTTCCAGTTGGTTATGAAGTGGAGGAATTTTACATCGCGAATAGCAAAGGTGTGTTGCCGTTCTGGACAATTTACCAAATGAAGCAGGTACTTTCAACCTCTTGCAAGTAAATAATACCAACGCGATAAAAGTAGACTTTGAAGGCGGATTAAAGTTAGTGTTGCGTATTTATAACAAGAAAGGAGATGTATACGGAGGTAAATACATGCCGATATATAGATTAAATTTTTAATAGAATCAACTTGCTATACTACGCTCCAAACGTCTAATGTCTGGTATCTTACCCATAATTTGGCAATCTATCCAAAGCTCAATGTCTATGATATTTCATCAATATGCCTCATCTGCGGCCTGCTGCTTGTAACCGTTTTGTGCCTACGTAACAAATATGCCTACGCTATTGCCTATTTTAGTGCTCTTTTTCTGTCTATAGAAATCGCGAGACGCTCCGCTAAGCTGACTAAGCATGCAGGTTGGTACGAACATATGCTGATACAGTTCTCAGGTGCGGAACTAATGAACTACATTAGTTTTGTATCTTCCATATCTCTAATCGGCGCGGTCATCCTCATTTACAAATTGCAAGCAGATGTGCTGTCTAAACATCATATTTTACACACAGTCTTCTGCGAATTATTCAAAAGTGGAGCCGTCCGCCTTTCCATATTATTTGTGCCCTTTGTACAGTATATAGGGGTTCACGTCTCATATTGGTTTATTTGGGTACCTATAGTTCGTTGCAGTGTATTGAGTGCTGTAGGATCCCTTATACAGCGGGAAACGTTGAAAAACACGGGAAACATACATTTTGGCCCCTCGGGGCATATGGAAAAAAGAGTGGTATCAATATCGGACCGTGAATTAGTTGCAAAAACTACGTTACCGACGCGTGGTGCAGTTCTGGTCATTTTAAATGTAGTGTTGACCATATTGTTGGTTGTCTTCTCATTCAAAAGCGTCCGCGGTACGAATTGCACAGAATCGTTGCAAAATGCGCTCAATGGGACTTACGCTATTGAAGTCGACAGAGTAGTCTTTGGTACCTCTCCTAGTGAAGGTCTAAAGACGTTAAGTGCTGAGATGCAAGTGAGTGGTGTCCGACTCCTGTGTATCATATTGCAGAGAAAGGTAGTGCACGTAGGTATACAGCAGGCTAGATCAATAAAACACGCGAGTGAATGGGTCAAGGAGGTGCTATTCAAGATCGATATGCCAAAAAAAATGGGTTTTCTTACACGAGCCGTAGGTGACAACAACACATATGTTACACAAATAGACCCACGCAATGTTAATGAAGTTATGGACGCAGTGGATACACCAAATATTGAATGTGTCTTCATATTTCAAACATCAGATGACGATGTCATGTATCTGCAGGTCGGTGAATCAGGTAAATGTTCAATCAATCATCTTTAGGTTGATTTCGAGGGGAATTCCGTTGGCCTCACGAATATTGAGCAATCAAGACTGTATCACATGGACACGAAGACAAATTTTATACCGATGTCACTCGGTGGTTCTCTGTTTCTGGTTCTATTGTTGCATATATATTTTGAAATGAGGACGAACAGTTTACTCGGAGGGTGGAATATTTTTTGTCAAGGAAAATCTAAGACAAAGGCAAGAGTATACATACTTGTGGCTATTTGCATCCTTGTCTTAACATATACATTAACTTGTCTGCTGATGACCTTCAAATACAAACCTGAGGTAACTAGGCAGCTTTCAGATCCACAATTCGGCGTACTGCTCCATTTATTGAGAAGTATCCCTATCATTGACAATCTGAGCAAATCAACAATATTCGCGATTGCAGTTTTTTTGGTTTTGTATGTTGTCATGATGTTGCCGCAACGCTACTATTTGTTCACCAACAATGGGGAAGTCATCAGAAGGAGTGTCTCAACAAACTTAAGACACTTATCAGTTCTCTTGTATCAAATATCTCTGTCGTTAATATCTTGGTCTGTCGTGGGTAGGTTGGAATTTGCAATCTTCTTACTTTCCGTAGGAAATCGTATTTGCGACAACTCTGTTGATGATTTCAATGGTTTCTTCGAAACCTTGCGCTACAACTTTATTTTGGCACTCAACAAGGTTTTGGCAAGATATGCAAGCAAATATCTCAATGTTTACAATGATATTACCACAATGTGGTTCTATAACTTGGGACTCACATCGCTGTTGGCCGTGAGTTACTATTACGCGCAGTCCAAGAAACAAAAATTTATACCGACGGATACCTTTGCCAAGTATAAAGATAACTTCGAAATAGACATCGTCGCTCACATGGATGATATAGTGGGATTCAAGATTTTTCTCAAGTCGCTGGAAGAATACAAGCAATACATGCATAATTCTGCCAAGGAGGTCTGTTTCTGATTTATTATACATATTTTTTAGGTAGATTATTGTCTCAACTTTTTTTCCAGGTTCCCTAGAAAGGTACCCGAGGGCGTTATTAGAATGCATCCAAAAATACAGGTTCATAATTACCTCGACCGCATAAAAAAGTATATGCTGTGTGTAATGTTCCTCCGTATGAAAGTAAGAAATTTGCTATTAAAAATTGAGACCCTCGAAAAACAATCTATGCAGAGAAAACCGTGTAATGAAAGCAGGCGGCGATATATAAATGCTCTAAAACAAAAATTGCAATTGACAGTGGCAGCAATTGAGGGATTCAAAAGGACAACAGAAATATTGAAAACTGGTGCACGCTTGCATCAAATGGGAAGTGCAATGAAGACTGGTATATTTGCAGGCTACGCAACTAAGGGTGAAATATGTGACGAACGTGAAGGTGATGACTGCCTAGATCGAGATACAGCTGAATTGGAGAATTTTGTACTACCGCAATCGCGTAGTTATCAAACTCCGAATAACGGTGACCAAATAAAACAATATGCTGACATCGCATCCGTGAACTATGATCTTTTGTCTTTCGAACGTCTGAGTTCTCTTACTGAAGACCCCAAATATGGCAGACCAAACTCGTATTTAACAAAGGGGCATGACGGCGAATCTGCTGAAATGGAAGCATCTGCCGTACATCAGCGGTCAAATATGTCAAGTGTGATGGATTTCCCCAAAGGATTTTTGCCTTTGTCTTCCAGTGGAGGTAGGCACACTGTACTACCCATTAGTGAAAGGATTAATACGCCGAATAATTGCAGCAATCAGGATGTTGTAATAAATACTACACAATGCAGTCTTTCACAAGGCGACGACTTGAGGATAAGCACTCTCATTTGTGGTTTTCCAAATTATAATACGTTTCAGAATGAGCCTCGGATCTGTGGAATTGTTAATTCTTATGCGGAAGATGACACAAATAATCGAGGTCTATCTGACGTAAGAAAAGCTACAAAAACTGTACGTTCTGTTACATTGCCATCTCTCGATACATCTAAAGGTGAGACCAACGATGGCGGTTGTACCAATATCGAAGAAGAATCTGGTGCTCTGAAAATGACTAACGAATCGATGAGCGTCACAGACGAAACTGTGGTTTCCAATGCACTATGTTACGACGTAGCAAAGGCCAAAAAAAAACATATAGGACACCATTCTGCTACACAGGTCTCGAATCTCGGTAAGACTCCGGAGCTCATGAGCACTCCAACCGACATGAATTACACATTTATTGTGGAAGACAATGGAAAGGAAGCATCCGGATTTCTCTTACAAAAAAACGCTTCAAAAGATGCCAATTTGTTCGATGAGCATTCTGTTTCTAAATCAGAAGCTTCAGTGATGCAAATAAAACATGAAAAGGTGAAAAGCGATAATTCTAAGGATGGAGAAATGGGTATATTCAAAGCGAGCATTTTTAGGAAATGGCGATAAATAGGTTTAGAAACATTGGTACTGGTAGTACACAATGATGAAACCCACATTGCGGGAAGATATCTTATCACCTTCCATTGCCTTAAATCGATATCATCCAGCTGGAAATCATATATTTTTGTTGTAGAACGAAAGGTTGTGTATACGGAGGTATCTTGAAGGTAATATTTTTAAAGGTGTATGGTAAGATTCTGTTACCGTGACACTTTTTTGAACGTTAACATTCAAATATTGACTTGAAATTACTGTAAATGCTCGAATACATTCTGCTGTGACCTTACGAGAGCGGTTTGGATTACTATGTTTCTAAGGTCGTTAACACTGGTGCTTGGTAGGTTCAAAGTGGCACGCGACTACCGATGCCACGAGATGCTGTTTGTAGTTCATATGTACACCAACGCGCATGCCATATCTCAAATAGTGTCATCGCAAGAGAACACACGAAAAATTTTTTGCTAGGTTTTCAGTAATACTAAACTGACGTTGATATGTATCATTAACACAATACTCTTTATCATAATGCACAGTTGATATGTAATATAAACCTGTTAGAATCACAAATTTTCTTCCCCAGCCGAACGACCTAGGAATGAAAGCTGCATTAAGTAACTTAAATAACCATCGTCATGGCTTCAATTTGTCAGTCACAGCAATGCGCTGTAGTTTGTGCAAAATGACGTAAATTTGTGTACATGAAGGTTAGAATTCGTTGGGTAGTATTGAAAATTTCAATGTACCCATTACATGGTTTTGAAGTAGATCTCAGCCAAACCGAGATTCCACCTTGCGTAGATATATTCCGGGGAACTTTTAGAGGAGTAGTACATATACAGGCTCTTTCACTCTAAAGATTTCATCATCCGTCGTGTCAGTGAAGGTGACCAAGTTTTGAATGATGCAACAACTCGTGACACCTATATGAGTGATGTAAATGTTCAACATTATAGATGTGGCGGTCGTATTTGTATTGCTTAGTCATTTTCATGGCGAAGAAAATGCAACGGTACATGTACCCAATTGTTGAATTATAGTCAAGAATGTCAAGTTAGTACGGTTAAAAGTGATAAAAATGTTTGTGAGAAGCCCTGTTTCATTGCATCTAGATATATATATGTGGGTAGGGTACATCCTTTAATAGTTGCTTTGGCTGAAAACGAGGAACAAATCTGCAACACGTGGTCCGCCAGCCACTTTCTCGGGGTATACAAACTGACACCATAATAACTCGTTTGAGAGCCCTGTGGCATGTGTTATACATCTCCTATACTCAATATAGATAAAAAACCCCGTGATATCAACACCACTCCACCATCACTCAGTTCATATAGCATTAAAATTGATATTACGGATACACGTGATTCCATCAATTTATACATACTTCAGGATAAATCAACAGCATTACAAAGGGCAGGTATACCGCCCACTGAAAATGGCATATTCAGACCACGAAATATATTGAAACATTTCTACAAATTGTCCTTCCACCAAATGCCACATACCTCCCCAAGACCGAATATACTTATTATAGATATATCCAAAATTGTGACCGAAGTGCCAGATATAGTTATTATGGCGAACCTAAGAAGGGGATGTTGGCTCTACACTCAACACAGCTTCGTGTCATCAGTAGACCTTACACGCACGCTTGTTAAGGTCATGAATTCAGCGAGCTGCGAAATATACCAAGTAACAGATGATGCAATCGTGACACATGTGGAACTCTTCACTCATGTCAAACATGGGTGGCAATATGTTGTAATAAATGTTAAGCAATGGGTAAAAACGCATATAAAGGATGCACGAATAGTTTACAAACGCATAGACGGAGAAAAAAAGTTAACCTACTTCAATCTAAATAACTTCTGAAGTTGCTTTGGCTGAAAACGAGGAACAAATCTGCAACACGTGGTCCGCCAGCCACTTTCTCGGGGTATACAAACTGACACCATAATAACTCGCTTGAGAGCCCTGTGGCATGTGTTATACATCTCCTATACTCAATATAGATAAAGAACCTCGTGATATCAACACCACTCCACCATCACTCAGTTCATATAGCATTAAAATTGATATTACGGATACACGTGATTCCATCAATTTGTACATACTTCAGGATAAATCAACAGCATTACAAAGGGCAGGTATGTCGCCTACTGAAAATGGCATATTCAGACGACGAAATATATTGAAACATTTCTACAGATTTTGTCTCCTACAACTGCCACATACCTCCCCAAGACCCAATATACTTATTATAGATATATCCAAAATTGTGACCGAAGTGCCAGATATAGTTATTATGGCGAACCTAAGAGGGGGATGTTGGCTCTACACTCAACAAAGCTTCGCGTCATCGGTACACCTTACACGCACGCTTGTTAAGGTCATGAATTCAGCGAGCTGCGAAATATACCAAGTAACGATGATGCAATAGTGACATGTGCAACTCTTCACTCATGTCGAACATTGGTGGCAATACGTTGTAATAAATTTAGAAAAAGTAATCATATTCAATTTCCTGCAAACCGAGAACAAGATAACCGCAAATACAGCAATAGTGAAAAATGCTGACGTAGGTTGCTAGTCCTAACATAAAGTTACATCATGAAATTACCCACAATAAATAGAATCTAACACTCATTATTTAATCATCATGTAATTTCACGTGTAAGAGATTCTCATTATGAAAGTAATTGCACCTCATTCTTGCGACAAAAAATATATCGAAAATATTATATTATTGCAACCTATTTTTAAATTATATCATTGTGCACATCTATGTTACAATCTCCACGTTTCGTATAATTAATTGTCAATATTCGTCGTTTTTATTCCATATTTTATGTATAACATCAGAATGCTATATTATGACATTATATTTCATTATTTATTATGATAATATCATATTTTGTGTAATGTATGTTAGTAATTGCATGATATATTTTTGTTGACATCATGTTATTATTTCTGCGATACGTCGTTACATGCGACCAAATATTACACATAGCGTTAATCATATTAAAATTTATCATACTTGTCATATTTTTATTACACATGCATATTTATTTAAATAATGCACACCACTGATTAAAAATATGCATCGTTTCACGTTAGTTCACACACAATATATGCCGCAATCAAATATTTACATGTCGAATTATGTGAGCAAAACATATATCATATCCGCACAATGATATAATTAATGTAACCATATTTTAATTGGCATTATATAATTACAATTTTATCATTAGTGCATATATACACACATATTATCGTTGGTATTGTTGCAATTTTATTCTATATGACATGTCGAACATCAAACCACAATATCAATTACAACGCAATGATAATCGTTGCTATTATATTTAAATTATCATTTTTCAATATATTGCATATCAACTACCCAGTATATCAAATATATAACATAACCACGCGACAACTCATTTACAGTAACACATCCAATGATATATTATATGAAAATATTGCATAAATATTGATATATATATATTGACGTTACGCACTATAAAATCGTGCAACGTAGTATATTAAAAATATGACAATTATATATATATATATATATATATTTAATAATTTATGACGGTAATATGTAACACATCAAGTGATATCGAATGACGAGTTATACATGAGCTTATATAAATCGAAAGACAGCCATACAAATATAAGTAATTTATACAATCGAATATCTTTATATTATATTGCTAAATGTAACTATTACAGTTGAGCATATATATATGTTGTTATATATATATAATAAATGAGGATCTGATATGTTAAGGTGTATAATATATCGATTACTTTGCACCAAATGTTTATCAATACGCAATATGTATTTGTAATTTATGATTAGTAAAGCATTACGACGATATTATCAATGAAAATATATGATTTTGTCATATTCACATGAAGTTTAGAATAAAAACTTATATTAAATAATATTTATATGATATATTTATAATAGTATATAATTTGTAAACGACATTGTGTAAATTAATACATTTCGCATAGCTAAGAACACATATATATATATATATATACAATTATATATATGACAATTGTAATATATTCGTGACGAAATATGAAAAAAAATGCTCAATAAATGTTAAGTATAAAATGTCGCTAAATAATAAATAACGTACGTCATTATATGTAAATAAATCACACATGTCGTACACGATTGTCTATACTATGTAAGACAACAACGGTCAATATACAGTTATTTATTATAATTTTTAACGAAAATAAATAAAAAAAAATACATATACGGCATGTTGATAATACGTCACATGTGGAAATCGTAATGTAATGTGAATACGTGTAAACATATAGTTTGCACTATAGATGTACATAAAATACGTGTCTTGATATGCAAAAATATATTTTACGTTGGTATATATTGATTGCACATACAGCGATGTAACGTTAAAGTAATTAAAAATATAAATGAATAAAACAAACAATAGTGATATGCAAACTATTATTAAAATAATATAACAATTCATTACGCATGAGGGAAGCATCATTACATTAAGCGTAGTATAATATTTAGGCGATGATATCATCAATAAATACAAAAGATAGGGTTTAGTTTTTGGATGGGCGTAGTCGTAAATTAATGTTATTTTATTTTAGTTAGTAAAAGCAACGGTGAATTTCGACACGCAATTTGTATGGTAAAATGGAATCGAAACGAAATGCGGCAGGGGTTCATAAATTTTGAGTAGGAAATTCGGATTTTAGTAGTGTGTCAAATTTCAGATATTTGAGACGTAATTGTTGTATCGGTAAATGTAATATGTATATAAATAAAAAACTGTGTGATGACAATAGTGGTTTCGACGTCAAAAATGAACTACTTAATGATACCAGATTACGTCGTCACTCGACATTGTTATCAGCGATTAACAGCGCACGCGTAGCCATTCTGTGAAACAAAGTTTTAAGTTGATTTTTCATATATCTAAATGATTTATGGTTTTATATCTCGTAAATGAAGGGCAGATGACGTTCAAGGTCCGTCAAAGTGTTTCATGTTGTCATCCATATTTTAGGTGGTGATTGACTGTTTTGCAGCTGGCGCTCCCTTCTGTTAACACCTCATTGGCGATCTATATATTATTTTTATCAATAATCATTTACCAAGGTGGTTATTTGTCGTTTATTTAAATTTCGATAACTTCGACTTGACGTGTTACCATAGGTCTGCTCAATTATGTTGAGTAAAAATTCTGGAGGATGCCCATCAAAATATGTTCAGTTACATCGCCTACTTGACAGACCAGGCATATGTCAATGTCGTGCGACACCTTAGAGCTATTCTTAAAAGGCCAATGTGTTGGTTTATTCTTTTAATATTAGATGGCAACTGCTTATTTGAATTTCGGTACGACGCCACCGAGTGACTTAATGGACAACATACAGCAGCTAACCGTAGGAAATTACAGGTTTTATTTGAGTAAACAAGTGTTCTATGAAAACTTTGCGACAATAAACTCCAGGTTTAACTAAGGTTTAGGGGTATAACCACGTGATGTGAACACATTAGCAATCGCTATAAATGATGATGAGAGGAGTTGCTTATTCAATTTGTGAGAAATACCTATTTTGATGTTCGTGTATCACAATTGCAAAACACCTGCTATGCTTTTACGTGAGTGTAATCATTAATCATGCCTGTATACACGCGTAATTGACGTGGGTCAGCTGGGAGCCGTCAGTAGGTGTCGTAATAATTTGCCGAAAAAATGGCAATTATATATCGTCTATTGTTGTAATACGACACTACCAGCTTGTTAACGATAACTGTGCAGCATGGTACCTGTGATGATTAAAGAATGGCGAGGTAGACCTAATAATTAGTGTCCCCAATAAACATCAAATGTTGCGTCCATCATAACATCATTGCCACCGCGGTCAGGGCACTCTGTCGAGAGTGTATTAATGTTATATAGCATATCTATATACGGTTGTACCCAGAAGTTATTTAGATTGAAGTAGGTTAACTTTTTTTCTCCGTCTATGCGTTTGTAAACTATTCGTGCATCCTTTATATGCGTTTTTACCCATTGCTAAGAAATGTTTCAATATATTTCGTGGTCTGAATATGCCATTTTCAGTGGGCGGTATACCTGCCCTTTGTAATGCTGTTGATTTATCCTGAAGTATGTATAAATTGATGGAATCACGTGTATCCGTAATATCAATTTTAATGCTATATGAACTGAGTGATGGTGGAGTGGTGTTGATATCACGGGGTTTTTTATCTATATTGAGTATAGGAGATGTATAACACATGCCACAGGGCTCTCAAACGAGTTATTATGGTGTCAGTTTGTATACCCCGAGAAAGTGGCTGGCGGACCACGTGTTGCAGATTTGTTCCTCGTTTTCAGCCAAAGCAACTATTAAAGGATGTACCCTACCCACATATATATATCTAGATGCAATGAAACAGGGCTTCTCACAAACATTTTTATCACTTTTAACCGTACTAACTTGACATTCTTGACTATAATTCAACAATTGGGTACATGTACCGTTGCATTTTCTTCGCCATGAAAATGACTAAGCAATACAAATACGACCGCCACATCTATAATGTTGAACATTTACATCACTCATATAGGTGTCACGAGTTGTTGCATCATTCAAAACTTGGTCACCTTCACTGACACGACGGATGATGAAATCTTTAGAGTGAAAGAGCCTGTATATGTACTACTCCTCTAAAAGTTCCCCGGAATATATCTACGCAAGGTGGAATCTCGGTTTGGCTGAGATCTACTTCAAAACCATGTAATGGGTACATTGAAATTTTCAATACTACCCAACGAATTCTAACCTTCATGTACACAAATTTACGTCATTTTGCACAAACTACAGCGCATTGCTGTGACTGACAAATTGAAGCCATGACGATGGTTATTTAAGTTACTTAATGCAGCTTTCATTCCTAGGTCGTTCGGCTGGGGAAGAAAATTTGTGATTCTAACAGGTTTATATTACATATCAACTGTGCATTATGATAAAGAGTATTGTGTTAATGATACATATCAACGTCAGTTTAGTATTACTGAAAACCTAGCAAAAAATTTTTCGTGTGTTCTCTTGCGATGACACTATTTGAGATATGGCATGCGCGTTGGTGTACATATGAACTACAAACAGCATCTCGTGGCATCGGTAGTCGCGTGCCACTTTGAACCTACCAAGCACCAGTGTTAACGACCTTAGAAACATAGTAATCCAAACCGCTCTCGTAAGGTCACAGCAGAATGTATTCGAGCATTTACAGTAATTTCAAGTCAATATTTGAATGTTAACGTTCAACAAAGTGTCACGGTAACAGAATCTTACCATACACCTTTAAAAATATTACCTTCAAGATGCGAGCAACGATATGAATGGCACACTTATGGTATTTTACTGCAACTGAAATTTTGTTGGTGATTTTGGCCTCATTTAACAAACAGCGTGTAATGGCAACCAATTATTGGAAAAACAGCTTTTGGATCGCCAACGCTGTAGCCGGATTAGTGACTGCACGAGGTGTTGAAACATGGCAGTCATCAATGAGATAAAATGTGGCGAAAAAATTCATTCAACATGATAATTTGTTGCATCCTCGTTCCCTAGAGTCGTCTAACACACGGTCGTTTTTTACTGTGAATGATTGTCATTGTTATTCAGACGCCACAAATTAGTGACACTATTGAAGATAAATGGTTATCTAGGGAGCATTACGATGTAATTTGTCCACGGCGACATTTTTTCACTACTCCAGCACTGACGACATCTTAACCCATATGATTTCAGCCAAATTTAATATTGTTATTACAAGCAACAATAAACATATCATAAAAAATTTAAAACGGGCACATATAACGTTAATATACAAGAGGTCCTGCCAGGATTCGAACCTGGGTCTGTGGAGTCAAAGTCCACGGTGATAACCCCTACACCACAAGACCGCTAGAAACAGTCCAAATTAACACAATTAAGACCTAATTACGAGGTCAGCATGGAGCATCGTGGCTGATATTAACTTGTCATGGTTGCCATAATGTTCGGCTGAATCACATATACCTGATCTCCACGTTGAACCACAAATGATGGCTGAGGCGCCACAATGATAAGCTGTTTCAGCTCAGCGTCTATGAGAGGATCTTGGTAAGTTCGCAATATACCTATACAAATTTTATGCTTAACTGCTAGGTAACGCGTAAACAAATTCTTGAATGTTGTACCATTAGATTCCACTGATATATCCTCTAGACATATGCGATTGCTAGTTTTTGAATCTTGATTGCCATAGAGAATCTTCTGAATTGTGTCGTAGCCTACCGAATTAGAGGAAGGTACATATGAATGCGCCAACAGTCCGTATAACATATCTTGTACAAAAATCGTCCCTGAAGCCATTTCATAACTTGTCATAAATTCACCGAAATTTTGCCATAACCGATTCATGGTATGTCTTCCACAGGAAGCTTCCATAGATGATACCAACGAGGGATCCAGGTATTCTAGACACGATGAATGCTGTATATCCAAAATGACATGTGTTGGAGTTGAGAGCAGTGATGAAGTAATACGTATGTGCTTTAATAAATGGCGCACAAACAACACCTGTGAATCTTTGGACAGTTGGCTCCCGTTGAACCCAGAACTGCATTGTGCACTGTTTAGAATAACAATACAGGTGGCTTTCAAAACACCAGAATTGACGAGAGTGTCGATATCCATAGCAGAACCGTCTATGTAGACAACCGAGCTCCTAAAACTAGACAGAGTTAGCGGGGACGAGCTTTTAACGAGATCCATAGGAGCTAGACATATGACATTGGCAGCGTTATCCGCAAGTAGAGATTTGAGAAAACAGTGCATATCCACTAACCACCCGCATACTAAAATCAATTGAGTTCTTGATTCCGAAAACACATTGACGGCATCCTTGTAATCATCAACTTTGTAAATTCCATAGAACAGCGAGCCGCTGTGATTGTTGTCGTCCGACATGATGTCACCACTGTTCTCCGGTATGGCATGAGATATCTCCAATGAAGTACCTGGAATAGTTCCATCCATTTTAAGCGGTAAGAGATCTAGGCTTGGGTTCTGAAGTATCGCAACGTGGTGAACATCTCTTAAAGACTGCGCCAAAACCAATCCCTGATATTGCAGACCATCACGATTGTGGCCGATGATACAGTCTATAGGATTTAAAATACATTCTTCCGTTGATACCAAACCTAGGAGAAACATATTTTTAGACTTATAGAGATGTTGACATATTTCCAAAAACGTAAATCCTGAAAACGTATGAAAGAAAAAGCAAGTGTGCAACTAACCATGTAAGCATGGAGGAAAGTCTAGTTTATAAATCTGGAACTTCATACCAGTGACGATTTCAAAAAGTTGCTTCGCAACTTCATGAAGGGAGTGTTCCGCATCATTCTGGCCCTCTTCACGACTGTTAACACCTGCAGTCATAAAAGCACTTCGCGATTCAAAACTAACTTGAAGTCGCGAACAGCTTGTACAAATCTTCAACATAGACACGAGTTCTGCTGATATTTGTTGGAGTATGGAACAAGGTTAGGATTAAGTAAAATAATCCCCGACAAGTAACGGATTTAGCAATGAGTTTGTACTTAAGCTCCCGTATAAAGCAAATCTAGTATAATTTGCATCACCAAACTGTAAAACAAACCCTAGAAAAATTTGACGAACTCAAGAACGGCCCATATTCTGAGCCATACAACTGCACGTCTATTGGAATCCCAAGGATTTTCGCTATGTTAGAGCATGCAACAGTTCTCAAAATCGCCATTCGGTCATTTTCAACCTGTTCCCCATGGGACTCCGCCTCCATGTCGTTTACTACAACAGTACGCATCGATAGACCAATCAGTTTGTATACTGACGATGGAGCGCATATTTTTTCGCTACCGCCGAGTATGCAAAGATTGAGCCTTGTATTCCGTCTAACAGCGCCATAAACCACTCTGTAAGATTCTAAAGGCAATGGAGTAGCCACCACAACGGTGTCTACGGCTCCATCGAAGGAGTTCACAACAGACCTAGCATGCTATATTCTAGGTTAGTAGTACTTACCGACAAAAAGTAAGAATCTGATAAGCCGAGAGCGGACCCCAGAAAAGTACGTATTTGTAGCCTGTTAAATCAAAACGCAGGCCTGAAGAGTTATGATCATAAGAGGTATAACACACCCATATCGACGTCACTCAGCGTTATAGCCTCTTTGAGTCGTTTGAAACGCACTGCGCCTAGAGATATGCAGGTACAAATCAGCAGAATTGAAAGTAATCGACCCATTACCGTTATAGGTGCGAAATCCCCGTATCCCACTAAACGATTGTTACAATTCGATCGAAAATGCTGACCAGTTCCCATAGTGGCTACTCCAAAATAGACGAAGTCAAAGGGGGTTACGAAGTTTGATCCTTTGCGCGGTGCTTCCAGAAGATACATCATGCCGGAAAACCTGTATCGCTAATATTCATGAGCCACATTACCTACGAAAACAAAAGTGACAGCGCGGCAGTGGCGATGCCAACAATGATCATATGGACATCTGATAAATTATCGAAGCTCTTATTTAGCAATTCCTCGGCTTGTGTGAGCTTTAAAAATCTCAAAGGTCCGAACTAAACGCCTTTATTTTAATATAATATGTCACCTACAAAAAGAAGTCCGAATTTCTTTATAGATCCATATTTATCTTGTTCTAAGTCGAAGTGAGACGACACGAATGAAATTGTTTGAGTTAGAGCAGGGGTCATCGTTAGGTCAATAAATCCATTTAGGGAGAAAATGTATCTGCACCTTATTTAGACGAAATGTGTAACTTACTTATAACGGATATCACATTCGTAGAACTGAATGAGATAGTTCATGCAAAATATAAGTTGAAACGCCCCCTCAAGTGTAAAATACAGTTCAGGTACCGATTCGACGGACCACTGGACCAGATTATAGTTCCCTTCCTCACTACAGTAAGATAACTCTGAATAACGAAATATACTTACCGTTTCATGTAACACGCCGCCCACTCCCATACGATGCACCAGGTTACGGTTACAATAATACCAGACACAACCCATATTGCATTGTGCAACAAGGGCTTGATCCATATATGTTTAAGCCAAAAGTTGAAGCCGTACAACAATCGTAGATACTTGTTCTCTACAAAACGATTAGAAGACGATTTATCACAACGCACTACAATGTTTTTGAACGTCAAGGTCAAAATAAGTGTAGAATGCCATGCGTTCAGCAATTCGTTCAAATATTGAACTGTCTTCCGATGCTTTGCCATATCGACCAAGTCTGCCGTAATCGCTGTAGAAACTTACATATCTCACGTCATCGCGTGGTAATAAAGGAAAAGCATGCTGAGATAGATTACTCAAATGCTCGATGCCAAATGTCGAACGCCTAACTTGTATATCACAGGACATACTTCGCGCAATATCCTCCCGAGAATCCGTCTGGTCTAAATCATACTTTATGCTGTAAATACGTCAATACCTTCCACATTTAGCCGATGAGCAAAGCTTACGCTACCTACTACAGATAACACTATAGATTCCGAAACTTGCCATCATTCGATGTAATATTGCAACTGTTAGCCGCGTAGTTTGAAACAGGTGAGCTATCAGAGGGGTTAGATGAATCAGAGAAGCCATATTTTAGAAGCTTTACCCATCGTTCCACATTTACTAGACAGAACGCGATTAAAGAAGCGATGGCTAGGATTGCGATAGCTATGATGGAAGCTAACGGTATTTTAACGCACAAATTGACGGCCGAAAAAATTAAATATACAACGATAAGTACTGCAATAGTTTGGTCGGCTAATTTCACCGACGCGTGCAAAAATACCTTCGCCATTTACACCGCGATCTTTAAAGGGAAAAGTAAACATCTGAACATTTGGCTGAAAAATTCAAAACGACATTAAATTACCAGTATCAGCTAGAAGATTTTATTTGAACGAACGTGTTGGGTAACGCGTTTGCCGTTGTTTGGTTAACTACAGCACACACTTTGTGCCACTGTGTACTATTCGCCATTTTAAAATGCAATCTTTCGAAAGATTCGATAGTCGCATTTAAAATGTCTTCTCGGTATAGCTGTCTGTCATCGTCTGTTTCCCCCCTGATGATTCGGTTTAGCGCCAAAAACCCCCTAGCATCCACAGGAAGTGGTTTATCAATACTGCTTATCTTCCCTATTTTTTGTCGTAACAGCTCCCTTTTGTCCAGTGATTCCAATGCGTCAGCAATGGCACTTGGGACGCTTCTATAAACCTGAAGCGTTTGGTTGAAATTGGGATCCGCATAGGACATGAATACGACATCGCCACAGGACGACATATTGCAAAACACACCATATGCCCCGAGCGTCATCCGTATTTGTTTCCAAAGATAAGATGTACTGATGTAATGCAACAACAGGTCATCAGCTCCATTCACGTTCTCTTCATTAAATAGGGGTCCGCCCATTCCCACGAAATTCACATTTGTTGGCGCTACTATAACTTCATCGTGCGTATTGTTATAACCCTTCTTGATTACCTCAGCGACCCAGTTGCGCTCTGATCCTTTATGGTTTGAAATTCCGGCAACTCTATTAATCTTTCGCGCCAATAAAGCAGAACTTGGTTCAAGCCACTCTCTGACGATGTCTGGACTTGCGGTAACGTTTATTATAGCGTTTCTCAAAGCAATAAGCTTAGATCTTATACCTTCTAATTTTGTCAAGACATAAGACCATTGGTTTTCAGCCTTTGGTTGAATTTCGTTCTTCAGTGCGACCAGGTATGAATACCCACTAGAGACTTCGGTAGCATAGTCAGCAACAGAGAATCCACTCATAAGTCTTCTGGCAGCGTACATATGTCCATCCGTTGTCAAATCAGATTCCACCTGATTAATCCTCCTTTTTATTATTTCCAGACCCTTTTCCATATTATCGAAATTGCTGGACTCGAGAATATCTAGAACAATATCCACCATGTCATCTGCCTTTTCTCTTAAAGCCTTTGCTCTTATATAAACGTAACCCAAAGCATTGTTACGTTTAGAGTGCTTTCTTCCATTGGCCGCGGTCATAAAGGAGAAACTTGTCGCCAACCCTCCTAGGTTGGTAGATATATGATAGGTCAGATCTTCGGACGTCATATTATGAGTGCCCGCTTCCTTCAACATGGAGCAGAACAAATCCAGATACTTAATTTCATCTAGAGTTATATCTTCCAAGGATATTGCCAGGTCTAAATAGACGATACCTTGAGATTCCATAGGATGACACACCACTAAACAGTCTGATTCAACTGCTGGCGCTTCGTCGTACACCTTAGGGCTACCCAATTTATAATAAATTGTAGGTATAAGCTCATTTTCATGGTTTATATCCTCTAAAGACAAAGTTGGCAGTTCATTTAGGGTTCCACGGTCTCCTGTATCGTCGCACTCGGCTTTGAATTTAGCATACTCAACTTCCATATCCTCAACGTTTGTTTTGGTTATATTTCCCAACCTCTTCATCAATTCGTTTCTTATAGCTTCATTCGTTCTCCTTTCAAAAGTATGAGGATCTAGCGCTTCCATGTGAACGGTAACCTTGTGTTTGTTACTCAGGAAATGTTTTGCAACCAAGTTCGGAAAGTATTCGGTATCACTATGAACTCTACTCTTAAGTTGAGTTATTATTGAGTCAAAATACAGATGCTCAAAAGGATCCCGCTGATATTGCGACTGCGACTGGATGAGGTTGACAATCATTAAACCTTTAGGAAAGGTTCCCGTATTGAGTTCCCTGAGCTGGAATTCAATATAGTTCATAGAGGCATCTATAGCCTCCTTTTTAATACCATTTTTTACAATATTTGTGAAGCTGGACACTACAACATCCTCAAATTTCGATATGGCACTCTCCTTGGAACCAAATTTCTCACAATCGACGCCAGCCAACCCTATTATAAAATTGGATTGCTTGAAATAGTTAGTCAACCCCGATCCCACAACTTTTTTACCTAGCCCCGATTTAATCAATGCTTTATAAAGCAAGCTTTCCGGTGTGCCCATCAACAGATGTTCTAACACTTCCATCCCTAACGCGTCCACAATATCAATTTTAAATTTACCTTCAACGTGTTCACTCTTGCTGCCCTCATGCTGCGGATCTAATATCCATCCTGTGAAAAGAATATCCTCGTTTTTGCATCCACTAGATCCGAAAGTGCCATGAAGAACCTCGTTCAATTCTTTGTACGCCTCAAGCTTAAGACCATTTTTTGCTGTTTCAAAGGTTGCAGTGTATGCAACACTATCCGAGGTTATTCCATTTTCCCTAAAAAAAGTATCGACAAACTGCAAACGTTTATTCACATCATCTGGCCCATAAAAATATATACTGGCCGTTTCGGGCCCGTAATATAGTTCATAAAATTTGACTAGGTCTTGATAGTTCAACTGCACTATATGTTCTGGATTTCCACCGGAATCAAATCGGTAGCTATTTGTGTACAAACCTTGATATATGATATCCTGGCCTCGAGATATAGGGTCAGAGTATGCCTTTTGCATTTCGCTATATACCACACCTCCATAACTTATATGATGATCGTGTAATATAATACTGTCATCTTCGTTACGGTTAACCAGTGGATCACATTTTGTAACTTTGTAATGCCACGCCTCCTGTCTGAAAATCCTTGAATCACTTCTTATGTTAGGTTGAAAAACCGCATTCATGTAAAAATCCGCCGTAATGTAGAAATCCTTTTCGTTTGTTGATGCGAAAAGGTAGGATGTTCGATCTTTATATGTAAAGGCATTTACAAAACTCTGGAACCCCCCCTGCAAAAGGCGTGCGAATCCACCCTTACTAGGATACTTTTTTGAACCCTCCAGCACAGAATGTTCCAAGATGTGAGGGCAACCGCAATCGTCAACTGGTGGTGTAGGTATTATGACATCAAAACACATTTCCCTGCCGCTACCTGCATCCGTAGCTAAAGAAACAACCTTCACACCCGTTGATAGGTGTCTATACACGACAGCTGCCAATCCCAGTTCTGGAATGAATGCTTCTCTGATTTTCTCGAAAGCAGCGTGTGTTACCTTGAATGTATCGGTTGCCCATTTAGGAGTGCTGCATAAACATGTCATTGCCTCTCGGCTTGGAATATTGCAATATGCTTTAGTGGAAGACATGCTTCTGCTTACAAACGGCACGAATGATAAACCTTCTGTCCTGGAGGTCTGCATATCCGTGTAATGCTTCAGCAACTTTGTGCTGGCATTATTCTGCTTGTCGTTCTGAACGGAAAAAAACCTTCCAACGACACTCAATGCTTCCACTCCTACAGGGTTTCGCAAAATAGGACCACAAAAGTAGCTAATTAGGCCGGCACCGGCCAGCGAAGCTGCGATATGTCTTTGCAGAGAAAAGCTGCGTTTTAAAAACATGATTGGTGGCAACCACTCACATTAATAGAGCGTTCCAACAAATAGATCGCACCGAGATAAAATGACGGACGGAAAGCGTGAACTGACAGCACAGTCCCTCCTCAAGTCGTGAGGTCACCTATCAAACAGTGCGAAAATACCATCACACCACTGCTCCTCCAGTGTGTGAATAACTGTCGTCAAATGGTGTTTTATCATAAAATTACACATGTCACTCACATACTCTTATGATGTTGTGAAACATGAACACCGGGCTTGCGTCAATCGCGGTTAGCCACTGCAATTTTTCTTTAATAATTTAAAAGACTTGTGATCCTTTTCCCCCTAGAAAATGTCCCAAACCACATCGGTGATTCACGTGGAAGAATCTCTATGCGTAGGCGTAAAATGGCACTATGAAACAAATACCCATTGTGTGCGCGTTTTTTTGGCATGGCGCCAATGCAAAAAGGCAGCTTAAGTACAGGCCACCCTAAAACATTTATTCCGCATTTACTAATGTGGACAGTGTATCTTTATTCATTATTAAAACCTCACACATTTAGCACAAAAAAGCTCACGTGCAGCTTCATAAGCTGCTTCCAGAGTGACGTTGTTGCCGTCAATCATGGATTCCACGACCCTAGTTTCATTTTCTTCGGGTATATAAGGTTATATCAAACATAACACCTCTCAAAATGAGCCCATGAGATGGTAAGAACATTGCAGTCTAACCATCTCTAATAACGTGAACACAGCCCTCAACGGAGTCGATACAAAACAGTTTTAAGGATAATGATTTATTTATTGTGCTACTGAGGCCACTAAAAAAATCATTTGGGACCCAGGCTTCAGCAAACTCAACCGATGTAACTAACAGCGTCCCAGACTATATTTATATTTTAAAGGATTTCACAAACAAATGTCGAGGAACTGACATCAAGAAAATAGTAGTGACAACGGAAGTTGTACATTTCTGAACTCTTTTGCGAAATAGCTCAGCACGCCTATGTACTATGAAAACAGTCAGATTATACGGAGTGGCGCAGCACTCCGTGATAACAATGAAAGTTCTTTATATTTACAAAACCAGAAAAACCAGGAAAAAAATGCCATCGCTAATGTTTGATTTTGTGTCAGGTATATTGGTGCAGATTTTCATCCGACTTCGCGGAGGTAAACTCCGACCTATAAGCACGTAAGATGGTTACGCCTTGAGTATCCTTAAACTGTTGTTCACAGATTTGAAGTGAACAATACTGAGTAGCATTTATCGTCTACTAAGGTGGTAAATATCCTAGTGACATACCACCTTACGGGTGTGCCAAATTGTGTTATTGAAGTGTAGAGCTGCTGCTTGCCAACCAAGTATGTCCAGGTATTACCAGCTGCATTTTCAATGTTAATATCCATCAAATTCACCTCAGCTTAGAGTAAAATGATGCTATTAAAAAGATAAAGCGTGCCATTTGTGAAACGTTCATGCAACGTTTCACGGCATAGAATTTCGTTTTAAATGTTACTGTATGGCAAATTTCAACAGCATTAACCTTATGTTTACTGGGACTCACCAGTGCATCGCCGACGGCCGCATTGTAAGCTTTCAGCCTCGGGATATGATGCGAAAAGGGCGCTTACATCCACGTTATGCCTCGCTGGCCGGGCTTCGTGCAAATGGCCCGCTACTTATCGAAATCGCCGTGCCCATTTCACAGGGAAGAATGAGGTAGGTTAGTTGTTTCAACGCACATGTAAATAGAATGATCGAACAAATTATCACAATTAGAGTGCTTGACTTAGCACATTTATGGCCCACCAAACCCTACCCAACCACAAGCCGGATCTTCGAACTGTTGTTGTTGAATCCAATTGTACACGAGCGGGGATTACCATTCTTGGTAGTTATAAATAGAGATTCTACTGATCACATTGCACGTAGAAAAACTGTTTTTTTTTATTCAGACACGGGGTGTTCGGTTAGCTTTTTCGATCTTCGCAACGAATATAGTTTTTTTTGCCGATAAAGATAGCACAGTGCATTACATCTTTAGTAGATGTTCATTCAGCTACCAAAAAGTTTAACAATCACACGCAATATTGTGAGCCTGACGAATCAGGATCCACTCATTCGCTAAACTTGAGTCGGCGTACGCGTTCTGGAAAACCTGGTATCGCAATGGATCCCTATAATTTACTTTTTTATTCCTAAAGAAAGAGGAATCATGTAATGGGAGCGTTGAGCGCGTTATGACATTTTGCAATCCGCAACACGGTGGTTTTTGGGCGATACGCCACCTTTATTACACTTCCTTTTGGCAAGCGCATTGATTAGGGCTAATTTGAAGCAAATTTGCATTTTCTCAGCTATGTGTATACGTCTATACCAGAAAAGTTTGTCATACAGGGCTCCTCACAATATACCCTGCCACTTGCTTCGGCAATTAACCTTGAGCATATATCAGGATGTTATGTGATACCAAGGGCGCTACGGACTATATGTATTGCGTTTGCTCAGGAAACTATGTTGAAACTTCAGACACTGCAGCCCCCCTGACTTGCAAGTCATGTAAGAAGTTGAGCCATCGGCCATGCACATGTTATTTGGGACCAGATGAAGATTTTGAATGCAGCTTATGTCAAGTTCAGCTGCTTGACCCATTTAACAATTTGCTGGAATTCCTGTGGTATGGTAGTATGGGCTCAAAAACTGCGGTTTTCAAAGTTGATATTCCTGACCTGGAAAAATGGGAATCACAGCATAAAGACGCATATATAATATCATTACCACTGCCTACAAGTAATGTCGTCCACGAATGGCCCAAAACATTAGAACTGAGGATTAATAAGGACGTGGTACATACTGTCAAGGAGCCCAGTTGGGGACACTCACGGAGGGACAACCCTATAAAAATTACTTACGCGATGCAACCAGGTGTAAACTTGTTTGAGATAAGCAGCACTACCTACCCGGAAACGCTTCGCCAATTTCTGATCATAATTGCGGTTTCAAAACGCGTTGCCGTGGAAAGGATAATAGAAACTGTTAAGAAGCGACGTACAATACCTAGTAAACAGTCAAAACAACGAATTTTAGAACTTATGAGCAATCAACGCGATGATGATGACGTAATATGCATAGAACAAGGCCAGAAAATCGAATTGAATTGCCCAATCACGTTGAGCCGAATGGAGTTACCAACGCGTGGAAAACATTGTAGACATGTACAATGCTTCGACCTGTACGCCTATCTTCAGGTCATGCAAAACATGTCAACACTTAATGCTCGATGGAAATGCCCAGAGTGTCAGCTGATTGTTAAGCCAATAGACTTGGTGATTGACGGTTATGTGCTCCAAATATTGAAAACCGTACCCCAATGCACATCTGCCATAGAATTAGACAAATTTGGGAATTACAAGGGCATTAAAATTAATGGCCATTGGCGTGATTTCGACTCTTCCAATATGTTATGTAATAAGGGTACGTTTTGCGAAATTTCGAGCAACACCATCGGTAAATCTATCGACACGACAAATGGTATTCCAGAGAAGGATTGTCTGCCTTCATCTTCAAATTTGAAGACAAAATTGCATTTTACAGACGCCTTAAACTTGGCTGCGCAACCGGGGGTTGCTTCTAACGACGTTGTAGTCGTGGGTGCCCATGAAAGAGTACAATCATCTTTCACCTCGATGTCGCCACAAAGAGAGGTAATCATCCTGGATTCATCGGATGACGAAGAGTGTCAGACAACATACACATATGTCTGCACCGACTCCAAATTGACATCCGACAAAACGTCGCCAAAAAAAGAAGTGAGTTTTTCTCGCACTGATACAGCGACTCGCGGAGCCGTTACAAACACTGCAAGGCTAGACAAGAAAAAAACTTTGGGGAGAAGTTCCACTCTAGAACCATCCACACTATCGCAGCGCCTCAATCGTTTGCCTAAGGTGGCAGAACCGCCTAGCGTCACACCGCAGTGCGCCAAACGCGGAATCCTTACTGTGGACGGGACCAATGGGAGACAAATGTCTGGAACTTCAAAACAAGCAGGAACACAAGCGACAAACAATTCAAGTGAAACACGCGACGATACAATCAAAAGAGTCAAACAAACGTGCACTTTGGAGGCCCGCGACCAGGGATCAGCTTACCTGTGTTGAGTTCTGTTCAAGCTGCTCTGCGCGCCACACTGTAGAACTACATAACACGGTAAAAACTTAAACACTGAGGTATTGCGCATATCAAAAAAGTTACGAATACTGATTCATCTTGATACACGTTTGGAATGAACCCATATGGGTCGTGCACGGTGAAAGGCCTGGCACATCGTCAAAACATTTGTTTGAGAACGTACCACCTTATTTGTGACCGATGACTGTAACGGTAGCGACAGTGTTATGGGAACGGGATACAGCGTGGGCGTTCCGTTCGTAATTTGAAGTTTCAGCGCAACAGCACTGCGCTTCATAGACCTTCTCCTGAGCTTGAGAGACACTCGCGCATTCCTGTTACACCCATTTATAATACAAGGGCTTCTTATATTTAATACTAGATATTTTTGATTCAGAGGTCTCACTTTAACACTACGGGACAGTGCTGCACCTAAATGAGCGGGGAATTCGACATACTCAAGATCATCTATGGCCTCGTAGGTTTCACCCCTGAACTTGGAGATATCTCTGTAATATCGAAAAATGGCTATCCACCTGAAATTATTAGCTGGTGATGGCACCACATTCGTATTTTTTACTGGCTGAAGTTCCGTCCCATAGCCATGAAACTTATCGTATACTGAGCATTCTGCCTTATTGTTTACATTGTTGATTGCCTTTTTGAGTTTAGAGGATACGATAAACTTGTCCATAGAACAATCGACACATCGACATTTTTTCCCTATGTCGGCGTTACTAACCACTTTACTATCGCTTTGACACGAGTCTAAGACCTTGTGTATGGTGTGCGTTACCCCCCTGACCCTGAGGCGGTGAAGATAGAGAAAGACGAATTTACCCCTCAAGCATTCGACTTTCACGTTGTACTTACTGAATCCTGAAAACATGGTAAGTATTTTCCTGGCTTCAATGAGGAGGTCGATTTCAGTTCGGTTCGACTTAACAGAAACAACCCCGGGGAACCTCAAAGATGCCTCACTACGGCAGATTGCAGACATGAAATGAGGTTCCGTATTCTGTTCCATTAGATGGAACCAAGGTGGTCGAATCCAAGTGTTGCCACACCTCTGGACACCCTTTATTGATTTGGTTCCATAATTGAAGAGCCCTATACCATGCCACTGTCTTTGAATGTAAACCAGGAATTTCATTATTTCTGGCCATTCTACGGAGGTAAAAAACATCTCCGTATCACTGTTGGATATTGAACTAGTAGCACACTGCGTATTAACGGTCTTCGTCTCACTAACGTTCACAGGTTCGCATAAGCTGTGCATTATACTCATCACAGTTTCCGCTCCTTTACGGGTAAAATGACAACGTGCAAAGTGTCTTATTACTTCTACCCTACTGTATATACCACAACCTTTCAGTGTCAGATTGGATATTCTACGTACTGCTCCATCCTTTAGAGGATATAGGTGAGATGCAGATACCACCACCTCCATCGCACAGTTAAACGTAGCATCATCACTGACACAATCCGTAACGAGCGACAATATGTGTTGCCGATCTTTTTCTGTCATAGGTATTGTAACTATAGCATGCCTGATGATTCGGAGCGCGAGGTTTCGAATGTGTACGTTGTTGTCCTCCAGTAATAGCAGTAACCAGTACTTCGCTTTGTGCCACAAACGCCCTTCATCACCCCAGTTTGTGTCAGACGCAAGATACTTAGGATAGCAACCTTTCTTTTTCGAATCCGTAACTACTTTTGATACCTCATCGAGACCATAATGTGATGAATGAAAATAAGCAACTGGAAATTGTCTTTTTGTGCATCCAACAACAACGCAGATCTTTCCTATTCTATACGACGCCTTACGTATCAATTCGTCTGACGAGGTGCTTGCTGGTCCCATTTGCGTCATACTGATACCCAATGTTCGCTGTAGTTGGAGTAGTAGTAGGGAAGACGGGATAAATTCCTCTCCGCGAATATACTCATTCAACATCGAATGGAGCAGCTCCCTACGTTTTCCTTGCAAATCGATTTCTCCATATGCAACATCTCCGGGACTTTCGGTAAGTATCAAAGATATCGGGAGCAATGTTTTCAAAATGCTGAAAGTGGATTTAACTGCCCCGATTTTAATTTCGTCTTTATAATGGTCCGAGATACTACAACACCTTAGCAAAGTAGAATGAATTAAAGCCTGAAATAGTACGATAAATTTCTTCTGTGTTTTCTGATCCCTGAGGCAGCTGATCAAATTCGGTAACATCGTCATTAGCATATCAATGGAATAAGGTGCAAATACAACAATTGCTTTGAATCCCTCATAACCGTTGATGTTAAGTATTTTTGCATGAAAAGACGCCACAGCACTGTAAAGTTCTTTAAAACACTCCGTGATGTCTCGCAAAACTGAGTTAGCTTTGATTGATTTCACCATCATAAACACAGAAGCAAGCGTAGAAACGGCCAGATGAGAACCCTTTAGAATTCTTAACCCTTCTGTGTGCAGACTGCTCACTCCCCTCTTTGTGCCAATTATTTTGGTAAGCAGTTTCATGCGCTTCACATGTCTACTGTTCGCTGCTATATGTGTATCCAAGTCTAAGGCATTGTCTGCGTAATATATATATGAACTCTTTTAAAAACTCACCCAACATGCCACCGGTAAGAGTTGTGTCAAGGTTAGGTGCAGTTCCTTTTTCCTCAATCTCACCTTCCTCCAGGGAGTCCCCAGTGGAGTCACTGCTGCTAACGGCCGAGACCGAACCCGGGCTTTGCGAGATTCTGGAAATCTCACTTAAGGATGATATTTCCGACTCGGAACGCCATGCGTCTGGCTGTCGTTTCCATAATTTTACAAACGGTAGGTTTGATAGAGTTGGTTCTCGAGATGCGAAAGACTCCGATTTTCTCAATTTTCTAATTTCCGAGAGGGGCCCTTCTATATCCCGCTTATTAGGGTTCACAGCTTCCATTTTTATATTAATTAGTGATGAATTCTGATCATCTCACTAGCATTAAAGTTTCCAATTCATACTCTTGAGGAGTAGGTGTTTCTCGAAGTTGGTGTGTGCAGCATATAACTACGAACACTTAGGGGTATTTGACTAAAGACATACCATTCTGTTGTTTTGCGATTCAACCTTTAGGGTACACAAGATCCGAATGTTGTATTGCATCAAGTCATTTGTGCCAGAGTAACTGGAATGCTACACGTATAGCAACAATATAGACTGCATACAAGCCTTATTAGGCTGTTACATATAGTTATATAACTATTTCTCTGGCAAAATAATGGAGTCACACCCTTAGTACGTATACATCCAACAGATATCTTGCTGCTAGCTTGCAAATTACCACAAGTGTTCTGCAAATAATGCGAAAACTCCGGGAGAGGACCTTTGATACGTTGCAGAATAGGGAATCACCGCCTTCTTCGATTGCATAGCACACCTCTTTCTCCAGGCGTATGGCCAAAGCCGATATAGAATTATTCACACACGAATGGGAATTCAAATTAAGTTTACTTTTCGATAAAGGGATATCGTGCTTGACGCACTATCCACATTTCGTCGTTTCGCGTTACTAACATGACCAATAGACCCATTTTTAAAAAGTTTGCGAACAAATTTGCCACTGTAAATGATGATTTGGTTGGTTTTAGAATATAAGATGGCATATCACGTTCAAATCGACAGCATCTACTATTATCGTCTACGCCGGGGACCTTGCGGGCTATCTGGTAGTTGAATAGTTCTTCTTCGACCATCCAAAAAATTACACAATATAACTAGCTGTATCAAAGTTACATTTGTAACTAAAATTGGATGTTTTAGTATGACGCTGTTTTCGTGGCCTTTGTAAAAGGCATACCTTCGTGTTGATTGGTGTGCAGCAGTGTTCGGAAATAGAAGACACCGCTTTACCGATAGTCAAGTAAACTGACCCGATTGGACGGACATATTTGTACCTTTTGACGAACATACTGTTATGCGCCGGATTCGCGCGTGAGGTCGTGCCCCGCACAAGCGATTTACACTGTTCTGCATTTCATAGCATCAGATACGCGTCATTGCCTTCCACACAATAGTAATACACATTCATATCAAGACACTGTATTTAGTAGACGCTAATTTGGAGCTATGTGTTATTCGCAGAATCCCCTTCACGTCATCTGCGACAACTGTGGAGCCATCACCGATGCCGCAATGCCAATATAAACGGGCAATTGCATACACGCATTTTAAATTCATTCTCAAGAGTAAAGTATTACGATGGGTTGTCCAACTACTAATGTTGAGCCGCCTTTCGTGAGCCCCAATGAAAGTGTCATCAATAAAATATCGGATGAGGAGGCTGCCCGTATGGGTAGCCGTATGGCGGTGGGAGTTAAGGGCAGCGGACGTATTCACCTGCGAAAGGCAGCAGGCAATGTGTGGAATGACCCTACGCTCGATGACTGGCCACAAAATGATTACCGCATCTTTTGCGGCGATTTGGGCAACGAGGTAACAGATGACGTACTAGCGAGCGCATTCAAAAAATACCCGTCGTTTCAACGCGCACGTGTTATCAGGGATCGCAATTCAGGAAAGAGCAAGGGATACGGGTTTGTATCCATGATGAGCCCAGACGACATGTTGGCGGCTTTGAACGAAATGAATCACAAATTCGTGGGAAATCGTCCAATTCGCGTGATGCGTAGTAAATGGAGGGACAGGGATATAGGTTCCTCGAAAAACAGACAATCAGCGGCCTTATATCAAATGACGGCTGATAATTCCAAGACTCTGCGCAAGTTTAAAAAATTGGGTAAGACAGTCACCGGTGGCAAAAAGGCCAATTTGGTGTACGAGCCCAAAACATTCAAGAGGAACAAGATATACCTCAGTACCGGCGTGGCTAACAGATTCGACAATAGATCACGTCTTTCTCATGATCACTTGTTGGATAACATCTAGCACCAGTGCATCGGTACTTTCGGACTTTCATTGTCACATACTGCTGAAATAGGTTTAATTATAAATTACAATCGTTTTTATCTTTGTGACGACCTTGAAAACCTAGCATTATGTAGTTCGTAGCTGCTGTTCCTTCAACGTCATAGATCGGTCATGTTGCGTTTCATCAAAACATGCGATACACCACATTTCAGTTGTGAAACGGCTGAGGCCGGTTCATTGTTTTTTGTGATTGCAGAAAAACCCTTGTCTTCCAAGACGCTCGCGAACGCCGCGATCCTCTATAAACACCTTTAGTGTTTAATGAAGATTTACTACAAGTTTGGCTGGTGTCTTCACGTTGCTGTGCTGCCTGAACACGTGAGGGTATTGGACTCCCGGATGGTTCTCAATAAGATAATTTTCCTTTAGTTTGAAAAGATAATCTTTAACTTCGTTTACGTTGAAAGGGTGGTCATGTCCTTTATCGAAATATCTCACTTCGTAAGTCATCATAGATATGGCAGCTCCCGGCCGTTTGCCTTGATTATAGAAGGCAGTAAGGATCCGAAACTTGGCTGAGGCAGATTTAAACATCTTTATATGATGCCACTTGGTCGTTACAAACAGATAGCATATAATTTAAGGAGTAAAATCGAATGTGAGGCGTAACACCTCATAGTTATCCATTACAACCGATTAAGCCCGGCGCGGCGGTCCCTGTGCCGTGAAGCACACTTTTGACATTTGAACATATCAATGAAACTACAGATGTAAAAATCAATAAATACAGTGAAACTAAGGTATATCACTTACGTGAATTGAACCAATAACGGTCAAGTCTCTCCCGAGGCGGCGCATCTGCTCGTCGTGAAGATACATCAACGACAACATACCAAACACTCTAGAATACCAAATAAATAACCCGAATGATGCGATTGCCGTCCATGTACCTCCAAACACGAAAAAGTTCCTGCTAGAAAATTGCCCTTCAAAGAATTGTCGCCATAATGGCGTTCTTGTGTAATTTGGCGGTTCTATGATCCACCTAGGTTTTGCAACACGCTCAAAGTTTATGTTTTCGAATAGGGGTGGCGGCGCAGAGGCCAAGAACCGTCCTGAGAGACGAAACATTTTTACTGTTTTATATTCTCCCCACCTAACCTCCTTCCTGGAGGCTACAATATGTACCAAACTACGGTAATGATTGTCACCCTGCAATCGCACGATTGATAAAAACACACCACTATATTCTTTGTAATAGATCGCAGAATAGCTGCTCCCTCGTCTAACACTTTACACACTCGTCTTTTTGTATATTAACGTAAAATCACGATTACACATGGTTATGTATAGTAGTATTGCTGTCATTGCACATTAAATTTCTATCGGCCTGCCATCACGTCTGGCCACTGAGGCCCATGTAGACCGCAGCATACGCGATGAAGCAACCGAATCGAAACGCTCGTTATTGGTGCCACATCTGTCTAAACTTTTACAATATTATCGGCACAAGCCGGATGTTACTATCTGTCTTGTTAACGAGACAGCTTGTTGTCGCTAAGTCGTATTAATGATGTAAGTCTGGTCGTGACACAGTCGTTGCGTGGAAGTAAAAGAAGTCATAGATCTGAAAATGACAGTATAAGCCTATTTGATATCCCAAAGTTCCCCCAATTCAACTAACGCCCACCAAACAAATGGTTAACCGCTGCTGGTGCGACTCTAAACACGAAAACATTGCCCCTCCTTCTGTCCAACCTGGTCTGGCGTTGGTCGGCACGTATTTTCATCAATATAACCTCCCTCATGTCGTCCATGATTTCGCGCTTCATCTGATAGAGCGAATGTTTGAGAAAGTCGACATTTGTGTCTATCATGGTGGTGTCTATGACATCCATATCCAACCAAAGATGTCTGTTTTCTACTCCGAGATCTTCACTTAATCTTGGAAGTCGATACGAATCAACGCCGTCTGACGATTGAGGAGACACACTAAAGGCCGCATTTGCAGGAGTAGGCGATATTATGGAGTTGTGCATTGTATCCCTCTTTACTTTGCTGGATACTTGCCCAGTTGACATATCAATGGCAAATGACCCACCAACAAGATGGCTCTGTCTTGGCATTGTTATTTTAGCTTTGTACATGGTGTATCGGGATACATAGGACAAACCGGTAACACCGTCAGAATCATCAAACGACAACCCAAGTCCTGATGCCTCCAATACAGGGATAACATCATCCAGCAACTCTGGAGTGGTACACATTGAAAAAACAGACATACCCAACGAGCTCTCAGAGTTGTAAAGCTGAGATATAAAAAGACAATGATCTCTAGTGTCAGCGTACATCACAATATGATCACAGTAACTTCGCACTACAAAGTAATCATTATCCCTGAACTGCTCCATGGGGAAATCTGGATTTAGAAGCAACAACGTATCCATACGAATAGAGCCAACGCTTATATCATTCTGAGACTTAGCTCCATCGTCGACTGCAGATTGAGTACGTCTATCTTTCCCCAAAATCGGCGTTACCAGACCCTTACGTATCGCCGCCCTGAATACTTTAAAGAAAACCCTGGCACCACAAGAATGAGCAATAATGTGTAAATGTGTAATGCCCATACCCAAAAGCTCACTCAAGAGCTCACAAAATGACTCTTCAAGTCCTGGATGCTGCGAGATATTTTTAGCCTTAGGATAGGCAATGGCACCTAAGGGACCCCAATGCTGACCATCCCAGTTAAAAACAAAGGGCAAAACGTAAGGCGGAAGTTTGGAGAAGGCTACAATATGGGCCATCTGCGAACAGGCCTCCTGAAGAGTTACATTATAACCATGAATGTAGACCACCGCCTGATCCGCAATACATCCCATCTTACCAAACGATCTTATCGGTGCCCAGTTCTTAACCATCATCTGAGGCACAGTGGAGTTAACCTGATCTTCCCAATCGTCTTCATCTAAGAACAAATGGGAAATCCCATCCTTGCCTTGGGTGGAACGCGGCGCACTCAACAAACCCCGTTTTGGCATCATTCTTGGGAGCTCAGTGGGTTCAGTTTCTGTTTTCGACTGATTTCCTTCATTATGTTCACCATCATCAGTTGATTGTCCTGAAACATTTTCAACATTCAAACCACTGTACAAACGATGTGTATGACTGTTTTCATAAACTTCGACGGGATGCTTTATAGCATCATCATCCTTGTGTGAGGCCAGTTTAATGGTGATCTCATCACAAACAGCAGAAGCGCCATCGGTCCTCTTATATCCATCCAAACGAAGTGATTTGGATATATTGTCCACGTACACAGTTATGGCGGAAGCATTGGTGGGCATATTGAGAAAGAATTGCGACCTCAACATTCGAACACACCATTTGAAGGACGCCCCTTGCAGATCAGCAAATCTATCGTGTAAGACATTGAAAAATCTACATCGTTTGTACAACCCTCCTGTATTGTGAGTGACTCTATCATTGTACAATGGATTGAAGAAATATGTCAATGGGAACTCCCTGAAAAAGTTTCCTGATATGGAACATTCGGTAGATGAAATACCGTACCTAACCTTACCACTAAGCCTTCTCGTATCAGTAATGAACGCTACCCTGGTGTTCGTGAATATCGATCCCGATCCTAATTCCTGTGAACTGAATGGCCCAATGGGATAGCCGTGCCACCAATAACCCTGCAGCCTTTCACCACATCCATCATCCTCTAACCATTCGCCGTATCCATGGGGAAGTTCGTTTTCGTCGACTTCACCCCGGTATCTCATTTGATGTGAGAAAGGCGTCTTACAATTCGTGACGCCATCCGTTGCAACAACCTTCTTAATCAACCACGCCAGCAAACGATACGTCACCCTGTAAATACACGTACACAAACCACAACCATTCGCTCCACACATAATTGAATAATCATTATACCTGGATATGGTAATATTGAGATCACTTCCTTTTTTTATCCTCTCAAAAAGGTGGAGATGTTCCGTACAGGGAAAAAACCAGCCATTGAGCGCCAGAAGCGGTCCAAGCCATATGACTATCTTGGTACCCACAACAAGCGTGATTTGCAGAACGGTATATACCGCAAGGGACACCCATACAAAACTACCAAGGCTGATTACGTGCTTCAATACGAGCATGGTAACAAGAGTGGCAAACATAAAAAGATAGGATATGACGACAGGCCATTTAAATGGTATAGAAAGCTGTATCCTTGCCAACAAAAAAGAGGCAAAGACAAAAAGCAGTGATGACGTGTACGAAATCACTCCACGCTCTATTTCCAGCCCAAACAGATATTTATCATGCTCCTGCTTGAAGTATCCGAAAGGTACAAGCGCCAAACAAACACAAAACAGAGAAATGAATATAGCCTTTTTGTATGATATAGGCTGCCTTATACCATTAAATCGGCGTCTGAGTCGACGGTAGTCCATAAATAATACCGTTTTGTAAATCATGTGCCCATCTAATTGTCTAACCTTTCGCGTATCGTCCTTTACGTCCGCAGGTAGTGCCGACGCATCTCCCAGACCTTCAGACGCTACCATGGGTGCATGTGCATCCTGTTCCAGGGTTGTAACACCTCCCATGACAGCGTCTTCGTCCACAGTGTCCAATATAGTCTTCATTCTACTCGACAATGCCCACTTAACTGTTCTTGTCACTCCTCTGCCTCACGTTCCTCACAGCAGTCAATTTACTTTGAAGCACCTCAAGTGTTTCTTTACAAAATAAAAATTACAATTGCAATATCACTGGCTGTACTAACAGCACAGTAATATGAAGTTTGACGAATTACACCGAAACAAGAGGATACATGTATTCAATGTTGCACATGTGACCGCTTCGACACTATATGCAACTTATTTGAAGCTCCTTTATTTTAGAAATTATAACGCGCTAGCGGATACACCTGAGACACCGACTTCCGCATATAGTATCAATTCGTAACCAAATGCGGAAAGACGATCGCACTTTTCAAATTTGATAAGCAACACCTACCTCGTTGATAAATATTTTACAATGGTATACTATATAAAGAGGTAAATAAGCTCAGAATATGAGAAGTAACGAGCATAATCCAATTACTTCATACGATATCCACGTATACAGCTGCGTCTATCAATCTCTCGCCGCGATTCGTTAGTATCTCCCCCAAAACATTTTCTAATAATAATTCGTTCTTGTCTATTGATCAATTGCTTTTATTTTATGGTGGATCTGCTATCTGCTAAATGTTACACATTAGTGTGTGCGCGCCGATGCACCATGGATAGGTGTGCTCACCTCGTACCTTACTATGAAAAATAGTACAAGCAACACGCTACACACATTACCATACAAATCAATGTAACAAGCTGTGTTGGTTACAGCAATTTTGTTAGAGTATTTTAACATGTCCAAGAACTCGGCGCCTATGCTCCGTCACCTCAATGGTTCGTAAACATTGACGCGGCGTAGTATCCCACCGAAAGCCAACACAGTGGCTACTGTGGCTATTCCGAATATTTTCACTAAGGCGACCAACTTACTCATGTGCCTAACGCCATGAAATGTGGCCGCAACCGCGTATCGCATGGAGGGCCGCCAAACTTTGCTAATTATGGCAGCCTCCATAACGTTGTGCAGGGTATACACCTTCTTGCGTATGCATAATTCTGCGACGTAGAAAGGCCCGCTGCCCCCTACCACAACTTTCCCGCGTCTAGTCAGAAAATACCCGAGATTTTTAACAAGTTTATCAAAGTTAATATTCACTTGACGTCTGGAATCTCCCCTAACGTTTATTGTCCCCATGTAATCTTGGGGTACTAACAAATTGGTACCTTCAAGCACATTAAGGAAGTCATCCTTTACTACATTAAAAAATGGTACCAGAGGGCTACGACCTTTATTCAATGCACTGAACATACTAACGCCATGACTGGACAATCGCTTTTCGACGAATTTAACGTTGCGATACCTTAGGGCTACACGTGCTACATATGCCACGTTTTTTGCCATGCACAGTCTCGATCTTATTCGCCACAGCGTGTCCATACGTTCTCTTAGTTTTATTCTTCGTTTCACTGTTATTGAAACCTTGAAAGGTTCAAGAAAGAATATGAAAGTAAAGGCATTTCTATAACCATTCAAGCCGTACAAGTTAATTTCATTTTCCTCAGCAAACGGCATAGTATGCGCAGATCTCCCACATATTCGTATAGACGGAGAAATTAACCCACCTAGTACATCCACAAATCCTCTATGAGCCAAGCGATCGGTGCGGTGGTATTCATTGATCATGGAATGATAGGCGCCGAAGTCAACACGATAGTATCTACGTACACACTTCGAAAATTTGTGACCATCTTTATCGTCAAATTCATCAAATGCGTCTAATGTAGGTACATTTTCGTTTATGATAGCCACATTCGGCACCAACAAAGGCAGCGACGCAAGCCACGCAAAGAAACCCAAAGTTGTATTCTTTATATTCACACCATTATCCACCCTTACATTAGATAACTCTAGGAAATTACGAAACAAGCACGTGGAAGTTGGTGCCTCTTCACCGAAATATTCATGTTGCGAGCCTTCCAATTTCTCTCGCATTACATTCAAAGGCCCCTCAGTCCAATTGGCCGAAACATTTGTTTTAGAGAGAATGCTACCAATCGACAAAAGGAGTGCGAGTATCTGCGGGTGTATGATATTGCCCATATCGCACAATCCATGTGCCGTGTGTCCTAAATACCCAAAAGCTGGAGCGCCACGTCACTCATGCCATCATCAAAGTAGTCATTAATTGTTCCTTTTGATAATCTGGAGGCTCTTAATACACGGTCGATTGATCATCAGACCACTTTGCTGGTTCTTTAGGGTACACATTAGGGCACCCAATTAGATCTGTCCACACGCGCAAATTCCTATGAGTTCGTCAAACGATAAGGAACACACCGTTCTCAACCATTAAAAATCCGATATATTTTACTGAGGTAAAATGACGTTACCATGTTCATCGCGTGGAGCTTCCTTATAAGCAATATTCAACCCTTCACGTAGCGTACGTTCCATCTGCTCTACCTCTCCCTTGGAACGTTTCTTTCTCATCCGCTCTTCACCTAGCAATTTAAATTTTGTGTACATTTCAATAGCCTTCTGCAGTCTGTGCGCCTTGTACGCATCATGTCTGTTCTTGAAGTATTGTCTGAAGCGTTTAACCCATTTTTCACGTTCTATATACCACTTCATTTGGTACATATCCAATTTGCGCTCTTTTAAATACAAATTAGCATCGATCATACTTTCTGGACATTCGACTGTCGACAGTATATTTTTGACGAAGCACGTATTTACCGGGTTACCGCAAGTGATTGTGACCACTTTATCGCTTTCACCCAAATTAGCATCCCTATTTTCATCAACTTGCGGTGCTCCCTGCTCTAGCTGTGAGCCACCAGAATCTAAAAATTCTTGATCGTTTTCTATAATCTTGAACACATCTACACTTTCATTTCTGTAGAAGGCGTTCATTTCCTTGAAGAGTTTATCGTGTCCCCTTTTAAGCTTGATTTCGCACGATGCTTTTTTTTCATCATATCTTATATCGAAAAACAAGGCTTTGCTCATGCGGAGAACAGCCTTGCATGGCGCACGCCAATCACGAACCTGTTTGACAAACTCTGGAATGTCATTGTAAACTAATCGCCTTCCTAGTACCACAGCGTCGTACCCAATGAGTCCCAGTTCATGTATTTGGCTGAACTTAATAATTCCACCTGCGGCGATAAGTGTAGCGTCATCACCAACCATTTCCTTAATTTCCAATGCCCTCGTTGGTCTCAACACATTCGCCACTCTGTCCCACTGGTTTACCAAAAGATGCGTAGCGCCCACGTCAATCGCCATCATGGCCTCCGTTCCCGTGTGAACCTCGACAATCGCCTCGATGCCCATGGTGACACACGCAGCGAGCATTTCCTTCAGCGCATTTCCCAGAATGGCAGCACTCAACAACACACCATCGGCCCTGTATTCAGCAGCCTGGGCAATCTGAATTGGATGTAAAAATATGTCCTTCATGACGATAGCTGGCCTAGTCCTCCTTCCAAGTTTTCGGAGTTCGAGAAAACATTCGTGAAGTTCCGAGATATGGCCACCGTAGACGGTTTCGTCGGTGTTTACGAAGATAACATCAAATCCTAATACCGTATTTAGGGATATGCAGATGATTAGATTTATCTTATAAAGGTGTAAAAAATAGACACGAAACATCGCTGTTGCCGCCGTATAGACAAATAGATTCTACTCTATGGCACTACCAATATCACCCTAGTTATAGTACTGGCTGCAAGGTACGGACATCAGACACACACGATGTAGTCAGGTTGCGTAGCACAAGATAGACTATAGGGTACAAGCCCATGGTCTAGTTCAACAACGTACCAATACTTGCCATATTTTTGGCGACTTCAGGAGCGTCGATATACGTAAGCACAGTACCGTCAGAGTTGGGATGATGTGTCGGTGTACGACGCTTCAGGTCGGCGATGACAGATAATGCATGTCCGTTGCTGTTACTGTTTCGCCTGAGCATTTCACCCAGCTTATGGTTGGCAGTGCATTCCACAAAATTTAGCCTTAGCTGCATAATTATATGTGGTTAACAGTGACATTACGGTTGAAGTCAGACGCCGTAACATCTGTGCTTTTGACACACCTGTAAACTATCGTTAGGATCCTTGTGTTCCTCTAAGAGTCTATCGACTTGGGCATACTTGTCCATTATCATTTTGTAAAATCTCTCCTCCTCCTTGACCGGTACCCGTGAATCGCTGGCCTTTAAGCATGTCGTTCTGCTTCCATTTTGACGCCGATAAGCAATATAACAATATGGCTGCAAACCATAATTAGCAGACGCTTCAATGTTCCTGGCCAGCACTCTCACAAAGAGTGATTGCAAAAGTATGTAAAGGAGCTCACTCGGTGACATCAACACGCTGCTCGGGGCTAACCGCCGTCTTTAAACGTCGGTTGACCGTATAACAATGGTATGTACTTCCACTCAAATTCCTACACTACAAATTTCGCACATATGTAATAAGCGCAAGTAAATTAACTAAAAACCTTGTTAACACAGATGGTTATGCGGAAAATGTGCTGAGCAGAATCTCACGGCGAGCGGTGTGCAGAAAACGTCTTCCTCTCATTGGCAACTTACTGGTTTTTTGCCCTAGGAAACAAGTTTACTTTTACTAGGTTGATTTGTTATTGTAATTTCATACAATGTTCGATAACCCTTTTAAACATCGCCACGAAAACCTTATCCCATCGTTATCTTGGTAAGAAAACACACCATGGATTCTTCGGACTACGCGTTAAGCCCGTTTTCGGCAACCTACCGGTTGGCATATAATCTGGAGACTTCTCCAAGTAACATACGCTGCGGGTGTGCCGTAAATGATGCTTTTCTTTCTCTACCTTTGGGGGTGTCTAAACCGTCACTGGATGCCGAGTTGCTGGTAATAGGCGACGTTGATGGCGTTATCCAAATCTGGCGATTATATATCGACGGAAGAGTTGAAATGTTAAACAAATTTGTGGGCCACGATGGTACAGTTATGGACGTGGTTGTTAGCAAGAAGATCAACACCGGAGTGAATTTCAACCACTCCAGCAGCTCTGACGTGGAATTATCGGCACTAGAGGCTGCTTTGACATTTTACACCTGTGGTAGAGACCACCTGATACACCAATACACCGTAATGGGTCAGAAAATCAGGACCTTCACGGTAAGTTTACTTCATGCCCCCACCGCTAGACTCATCTTCTAAATTTCTTCAAATACATTTGATTATAGGGACACGGAGATGTTGTTTGTAGCCTACACGAATTAGATGATGGCGAGCATCTTGTCAGCGGCAGTTGGGATGGCACGGCGGTCGTATGGAACATTTTAACAGGGTCGATGGAATATCGTCTCGGTGGTAGCCCGTACAAGTATGCTGTCTACTGCAATGCAATGTCTCAAGGAACTGTCGTCACTGGTATGACTAATGGTGATTTGTGCCTGTGGAAAAGCGGCCACTTAGAGAAAACGCTAAAGGCGCATACAGGAGTTATACGTGCTATAAGCGTTAAGGACGATTCGCTGTTAACTTGTTCCAACGACTGTAGTGTCCACAAATATAATGATCGTATGGAGCTTATTTATGCTATTCCTGATGCCCACCAGAACTTTGTCTACGGTAAGACATATTTCGTTTGATTATTTATTCGTTAGATGTGCGACACTCTAACAACTTCCCAATATTCTTTACGTCGTCAGAAGACCAAACCGTGGGTATATGGAATCTAGAAAATGGACAAAAGCTTCAAATATTGACACTAGCTTCATCGATATGGATGGTACGTGTCATACCTGGAGTCGTCTCTGTATTCCTGTATAGGTGGTTGAAACAAGCAAATGCGGCATCGCCATTGTTCCATCGGCGGGCACAGTTTCACTCTGGCAACTGACAAAAGATGTGGCATCACGTTCATCACGACTAGTTAGTTTGTGTGGTAAAAAACTATACACATGCCCATTAGCCCGACCGTGATGGATTCGACATCAACGACGGTCACGAGAAACCTAAGGCGGAAGGATCATTCGACATGATATTATTTCGCAAAGCTAACACACTAAAGGCGCTCGAATACTTACATTCGTATAATGCAAACAAACCACCAGAGGTGAGTTAATGCTCACCCGCCAGCTATATGTCTTGCAGTTGTCTATATCGGAAGGAGATTTCCAAACGATTGCCGACATTTTTAACGCTTCCTCCCTATTGAACAGGTATGTCCGTGTATTGTGTTGCACGTGAAGATTTTACCGGAATGGATGCTAGTATGTCGTTATTTATTTCCATGGTATGGTTGATGTGAGCCGTGGTGTGCAAAGAGTGTTTCTTTAAAGCCCACATAAACACTAACAGCGATTTATCGTTCATTTTCAAGCTTATACAATGGCCTTTTGCGGAACTGATCCCGGTATTCGACCTTCTGAAGATTTTATTCCTGAACACGAGTTGCGCCAAGCTGTTCAGTGCCCGCAGGAATGGTTTTGCAATATTCAACTGCGTATGTTCCAGCATAGAAGCCAGCCGCTCCAACACACCCGTCTTGACGGTTTCGCTTCAGCTTCTGGGCAACATGTTCTATTTAACTCTGCCTCGTGGAATTCTGCTGAGTCACTTCACGACAACCATACAGGCAATTCAGAAAGCTGGTGATATCTGTATTAAGATGGTGCAACAAGCCCATTCGGCATGTGTTCATAACCTTATAATTTCATCGGGTGATCGAGCACGCGAGTGGTCGGAGAAGATTGTGGAGGCCCTTCACATTGCCGCATCGGCCCTGCGTCGTTGCGGAAGCACCCACCCATGGATTGGAGGCATTCTACTTCGTCATTGCAGGTCACTGGAAACACTCATATGCCTGGACAGCACGGCGGCATCGCTGGTGCTCCAATCAGGGTTGGAACAGGTTTTACGCGATGCATCTGCATATGTACCCATTTGTGAAAGATGCACTGTCGAAAAGGCAGTGAATCATCTTAGCCAATCTATAAATTAACTGTTGGGGTGTTTTGGAAGCATAAATGTCGTAAGTCCCAAAGAGTCTCCCCTGCGATCGCTAAAACTAAGCATTAAGTCACTTACGAATTAGCATGATCAATGACCGTGAGTAAAATGGTAAAGAGTTGAACTGAGGAAGAATTCAGTTGTACTTGTATAGCGATTTTGTATTCCCCTGTGAGCGTTAGTTTCGTAGCGCCTCCATGCTGCTTGCCACCGTCACTACGTGTCACACCGTGCACTTGAGAAGGCACAAAATCTATTTTATGTTTCCTAGAGACAAAATCAAGTACAGAGTACATAGACAAAGGAGTACACAAGACGCCTCGTTCTTTTGACAAGGTTTTTACTACAATAGAAACCGCCACATCTGTCGCTTTTTCAGAGGAAGAGTTATCGATTCCATTTCCCGCTTGTTTCACTACAACGTCAACTGCAGCGGTGTTAACTACAAGTGTGTTTCAACTTCCATATCTTATAAAATTGCACTGCTGGATTCACGGCAACAATGAGATGTGTAAATTCCGCGAGCGCACACAAATTTGACAATAACCAGTGGTGGAGATATCAGGCCAAACACCTTCCAATGGAAAACAAAAACAAAAGACACCACACATAATATCTTTTAATAATATAGACACCTCACCAGTAGCACGGCTGAATCCCGGTTCTTTATACGGGCCAGCGAATAGATCTAGATTTTCCCAATTGGAGTATACGGCTATACCATGTGGTATTAAATGATAATTGGCATATCCACGTGGTATTGCGACGATTGCTCCCTTCTTACCCAACGCCGGGTGGTCACGAAGGAGAATGACATTCACCTGTTTTTCCAGGGAACGCGGGTAAAGGGTTCTACGAGCTATTGTTGGTCTTACAACTGAGATTTTGTAACGCTTAAATAACGTGTTAAAGCTATATTTCAAAACCATTTGGTACTGTGCTACTTACGTTAACCATAACTACCCCAACATTGGCGTATGTTACGCTCGGTGTAGTGGTTGTCCTTATCTCTTCTCTTGACACGCCAATATTTTTTAAAAGTGCCTTCTACGTATTATATGTATATCGCACAAATTTGTGAGTTGCGAAGGATTTATGGACGATGTGTGTTACACACTACTCATTGCTCTTGTTTTCATTTTTGACGTCTTTTTGTCTCGCGGTCAATAGAGGTTTCCACACAGGCAATTCTACGTTTGATACCACTTTAAATACGGTGTTGTTCAATAGCTCCCAAGACAGACTGCCAAGTGTGGTCACTCCTTCTAATAATTTAACAATTGAGATACTTCCATCTGATGAAGATGAGGACGACGCGCTATCGTTTGGCATTCTAAGAGATGCATACGGATTTGGGGAGGAAATTCGAGATGTTGATGGCAATAACGATTTTCAGCCATAAACACGTACTATTTTACCGTTTACTCGGCACTCCGGTGACTAGACCTGGGAACCTTTGTTCACGAACACCTGTTATGGGAAGTAGAGTCACCTTGGAGCTGTGACTCCACCATTACATTGACCTAAATAAGGTTGATTGTATTATCTATATATTAGTCAAGACGGGTTAGGATGGTTGCACAACAATACTTTTGTCTCTTCGCACGTCACTCTGATAAGAAACACAAAACATGGAGAGACGGAATGATATACGTCCAGGGAACGCAGAGATTTGCACGCGTTTCCCTTTATGAGACGGATAATCACAACCATATGACAGGACCCGTACTTGACACATTCGACTTGTTTAACATTCAACAAGACAATTTGACAGGTCAGGTGATCACATCTCCGAGATTTGTTGTCAAGGTTTGCGACTTAAATACCAATTTTCGGAAGAGAGCTCTGCCACAGCTCCCCGCAGCTGTGAATAATACACATTCACCTCTGTTTACCCGTCCTGGCAGAAGAACCCCTGCTTTGGGAACCCGACGGCGCTTGAAACAATACCGTGTATCCCATATGGTGGTACCCACATGGTCGTCAAGGCTGCAACCTGTTGCCGCAGGGTGTGATATTCAGTCTGAGCACCGCCTTTCAGTGGCAAACCAGGATACTAGCATGGGCAATGTACGGGGTATCGACAGGTCTCAATATAACGCTGACTCTTCCAGTATCAGCCAATACAGGTGCCTGGATTTTTCAGTGGATGGATTGTACGTCAGCTCTGAGACTCAGGACCCTGCAAAACCAACAGTAGCAACACCACTGGTATCTTCAGAACCCGAAAAACATCAGCCCCTGGAGCCGGCTGCAAACTCGCAAACTGGTTTCACATTGGGACCACACTGTGACTTAGTGCCGACCACACACCATACGCTGAATACCCCCGTACAACGCATTTCAAAACAAGTTGCACCAACACCACATCCGATCGCGTGGTCCGAAGGACAATCACACGATGTAGTTAGGCCATTTGCTGAAGAATCTGTCACTAATCGCTGCACGGTCCTCCACTCGAATGAGCCTCTGGGCAAAAACTTTTTGGTACATCTTATAAATTCGTCAGATGATGCATCTGAAGTGCCACCTCCTTTTGATGAACCGCCAATTGTGGATTCAGAGCTGCTTGACTGTATAGAGTCAGCCTTAGGACACTTCGGCGAATCAAAGCGCGACTCACCGAACCACGATATGCGATCTACGGATGCGTCACAGTTGACTTCTCTCTCATACACGCCAACGCAACGCGGAACTTTGGTGAGCGATTCATACACCTAAAGCTCCACCGATAGACTAGCTATAATTAAGCACCATGTATTGCTATTACTAACCGTAATTTTAGTCTGCCAATTATTCGAATGTACGTGCCGATGTTGGCCTTATTTCTCAAGGTCATGTGATTGCTTGAGAACCGTCACTCTTTTGAGAAGACTGCACCGCGTACTAGAACTCTCTCAATTATCGCCTTTTGTGAGCGATACGCATTTCTAGTGGCGTTTCCGTTTCCAGCCTCAAAGGCGTAACTCCGCCTTATCTGGCAACTCATTACACAACGATGAATGCTGTACAGCGCATTATATATGCTAGTCGAATCAATGACCGAATAAGTACAGGATAAGGTCAACCACATCCTGTGCTCGTATACCAAACGCCACGTGAAGTGTCACTTTTCTTATGTCGGCAATGCGGCGCAGTAAAACCTGTAACCTACAACCCGTAATTTCCATATAGATGTCAAATTGTCGTTCCACAGACGCATTGTAGTTGCGCGTTTCGTCACCACCTACGAATGACGGATTAGAATCGCATTTAACTTTGTGGTACAAAGACGATCTCGTGTTGTTTTCAATTGTCGTCGAACCAAAAAAGCAATCTAACTCATAATCTTCAGAGCCTGAACGAACAATACAATTTTGTTCGGGGTAAGATCTTAGGAGCGATTTCCGAAGTTCTCCTTTTTTTATTATACCGCATCCGAGGCGCTTGAGTTTTTCAATTGTGTTAATAACCACCGAATCGCTGGCAGTATCACAGCTAATTTCGGGTCTATCTTGAGTGACTATATGCAAATCATTCCTTCTGAAGATTTCAGTACTGTTGCTATTAGGTACACCTCGCAACCTTACGGGTGGCATCAGGCTGTTTATATAAGCAACAATGCGCTTATATCCGGCATCACTGACACCGAATTCAAAATAGACCATTTGTTCGGGATGCAGAAGTACCCAGTCGGTGTGTAAGGTGAATGTACGTTGCCCTTTGTTGGGGACGCATGGCGGATGAATGTTTGACACTTGTGGATGTACGATCTTATCACTCCCGTGTTCAACTTTTGCGCTGTTAGCGTTACACACAGAACTTGTCTGGGCAACTGTACCGCTTTGTGATGCAAGTTGATCTAGATGCCCATCCTTTACACCGATCGGATTGTTACCTTTATGGGCCACTTGAATCACAACCTTATTATACTCTATGTTCTTATTCGCTGTTGTAGTAGCCTTTTGCGTTGTATTTGACGCAGTATCCGAGGCTTGTTTGTTCTTTACACGTTCTTGCTGCGGAGATGTTGGACATTCTTTGACTTGGGGTTTCCCCTGAATACTCTTATAATCCTGTGTTGCCTTGGGCATCCTATATAAGGCTCCACTATTGTGGGTTTGCTCAAATGTAGAGCCTTCATTGACCCTACTAATTGCGTGTTGAACGGAATGAGATGGAGCTCTGCTTTTCGCCTGTGCGATATTCGGTCTTGACTGTTCCAAACCCTGAGGAATGAGACAACGTCCTGCAGCAATATCCCTATGCTGGCCTATATTTTGTGGTGTGCTCACTCTATGATTCGGGGCGGATTGTATGTTCGTCATGGCATTATGGCTGATGTTTGCATTCACTTTTTGGTTGTACGCCATCATACCTACAGGATCGTCACCTTGCACTTTACGTTTTTTTAGATGTTCTGAAGCCACAGCTGTATTAGCAGATGCATATAAAAGCTCAGCAGGCGCTTTCATTGCCGGAGTCATCGGAAGTGCTCTACTACGTGCGCTATCGTTTCGGTTCTGTAACGTCCTGGAACTGCACACATCGTCATGGTGCCCTCGGTTGCCGATATTCACCATAGGCGGACGCGCCACCATGAAATTTGGTGTGTTATAAGTAGCAGCCACCCCCGCATCATGATGTTGTATTGGTGATCCATAATGGATGGGAGGAGTATGTGCTTTCGCAACACCCTGGGGGCACCTGGGCACCCTATCGGCAGCACTAAGTATGGGTAAGATTGGTTGTTTATGCATATTCGCACCGAGTTCCTGGGCCTGAGACATGAGTAGATTAGCATTAGGAGGCATCCCGGCCCCCTTGGGTGAAATTCGATTGCCGAATGGCGCTGCGCCCATCATATGCTGATTTTGATGGCTTGTGACTCTTGGTCCCATTGATAGCTGATTGTAAGAAGGAACACCAGGTGTTTTCGCAGCGGGAGTCCACGGCTGAGAACCATTTTTGTAAACCGGGACGAGGTTGGGCGTATTATTTTGCATCGTCGTTCATTTAACAGAATCACCCACTTATATCCTCACACATTATGTATTTATGCGGCTGTTGATTGCCTTGCTCTATTGCACTTAAGCTACATCATACATTTCACCGTCTGAGGCATGCTATACTCTCCCAGAGGCATTGAAACTTCGGCCTTCAGTGTGTATATTCGGTTATGATGCAAGTAAGATTTGCAATTTTTGTTCTGTATCCCTTGTGAGCGTGACGTCACCGCGCCGGTTCTGATGAGGGCGGGCGGTACACAAGGTCGCGCCCTAGAATGTCTCTAGGAGTATGAGTATTTTACGGTTAACGACAGTTTTATGACATTATGTTCCACAGACAAGTGCTGCATTTCAGTATACGGAGCGTTACATGTCTTGCGGCGCCCACAAGTTCGGCGAGTGTTATGTGCAACTTGAGAGGGAAGCGATCGGCGACAATAACCATCAACTTGCTTAGATTCCTACAATATATAAGCTCAGACTGCTCACATGTTTACCTGCCGCTTGTCTGAATAACGAAGCGCGTATGCTTAGCATCGCCGTGTATGACTTTGATCGGACATTCAGTGTACCCCAGTGTACCGAAGCTCAGCAAAACATTCACTTTCAAGAACAATTCTAAAACATCTCCATCTATACGTTGACATACATCGCTGTCTTCGCAATCTCTGCACAGTCACATCAAGGGACATAAATAATCTACACGTCGGAAAGCAGAGTTTTAACATAATCTTTTTTGGATGTTGGAACACATATACTAAACTCACTAAGTGGCATCGCAATAATACCCTTGTGGTACCAAATAACTTACAAAGCAATGAGAACGTAGACCCTGGTATCTTGCGTGGCCCCAATCACTGTTCGCTCGGCCCTGGTCCCACGAGCCGGTTGGAGTGGCATCGCATTGCATTCAGAAGCCTTCTACGAGGTGTTCAATATTGTTCGAATGTCAGAAACATGCATACCCGTCGCATTAAAAAAGTAAAACCCTTAGGCTGTGGGCCATTCTGTCTATATACGCGCCGGGCGCCTCCAGCAGATGCATAAAATTCACACACTTGCTTGAAAAAGTGACAGTTATAGTGTGTATATAACTGGAGGCGACAGCATCAATATACAGCCTTCTCGGCAGGGTAAAAATATATCGGCCAAGCGTTGTGCAATGCGAAGAGATGTATGTCTCCAGGGAGACTTTCTTAGATCAACTTAATAATAAAATGTGTAATAATTAGTATAGGCACCGCATATTTCTCCTCCTGGCCGATGTACAGGGAATCTTACCAGGACGGTTCTGACCCCATTAGCTCTGGATGAAGTCAGCACGACGAGCACTGCTCGCTTACCGGCCTTGTCACTGTTGGACTAAGGGCGAAACCTTCAATATACACCAATATTACAGTAAGTTTCCATTATCGGTAAGCATTGAAGCGGAGGTTTGCTAGAGGTCCGGTCTGAGCACCTTGGCTCTCCACCATTGCTGGCTACAATGACGTCCCTTTTTCAACACCTAATAAGTTTGCAGCCCGCTGATCTTCTATTTATCTACAGTGATTTAAGATGGTAAGTTACTTTCTGTCGTTCATAAGCACACCTAAACATTGTCTTTTATTCCAATCGTCCTAAAAAAGCTTTTCAGGGTGCCATTAAATCGACCAGTTTAAAGAAGCACTTGGCTAAAAAGATGAAGCAGAACCGTCCGCTGCCTCATTGGTTCAGGCTGAAGACCGACTCGAAAATTCGGTACGTTATAGGGTTTTGTGAATGACGGTGTTTAGTTACAACGCAAAGAGGAGGTACTGGAGACGTACTAAGCTGAAATTGTAAGCTGCCTGGGAGGCAGCAACCTCCAATGAACTATTGATTAACAAAACGCTTCACAACTTGTCTAATAACTTCTGTGAACTGTTTTAGTCGTTGATGTTGACGCCGCGGTGCTTTCCACACGCCGGCTTTTATTCTTCCCGGGGACTAAGAGTCCGTAGCTCTGATAGCTGCTAGTTACCGCTTAGTTTACCTTTCGGGGTCTCCGTTTACGGCCTGAGCTGCGGTTCTGTCACCCCAAAAGTTTCGGCGTTTGTAGAATAGCCATATAAGCTAAGAAAGCATCTAAACTAGCTTTGTATATCCGCATATTTGAACAAAAATGCTTGGATGGATTTAGATAGAGTTGCTGTGTGGCTCGGGTATGGATGACGAGGGTGCCTTATGGCAGGTGGTTATATTTAATTTCCGCGGGAAACATGTTACCTATACAAATGACTTTTTGTCGAGGCCTTTTTACACACCTCTCGCCGCGTGTTGTCTCTACGTCGAAGGCCTCCGTCGGTACAACGGCAACCCATACGTCTGCATCTCCATCAAGCCCAGTAAGTCGCGTACAAGGGAGTTCTCTTCTCATTTTGCTAATACGTGTGATTGATCTATTTCAACCAGTGGTTGACATTAGGGTCGACGTCTCTTGCACAAAATCGTTGAGCCCAGTCGACCGTGGAGTTCGCTCCTGGTGGATTCGCAAACTGAACACGTCATCCCCGTTTTAGTTTGCCTAAAGGCTTGTGATTCTGACGTTTATATATGTGGTAGCACATTTCGCGCTCGCGTTACTGCATTACTTTTACTTGAATGACAGACTTATACATACGCAGACTTTACACAATGCAAGCCCTAGACTGCCCCTGCTCTATTACACAGCTAGCGCACGCGCTATGGAGTCGATGAACCATCGTGTTTTCTACGCAAATTGGATTTTCGTGTTTGCTGCTTACGACATATTAACAGCGTATGTGGACTTTTAAACTTGTTTTAAATTATTCCTTACTTCCATGATTTATACAGTGCAAACGCACAAAGGGATGCCATCATAACAAAAAGTGTTCCTTTCATAGCATCGTCCGATAGGAGGTTGAAAAGGAGACTCCGTAGAGAAAGCGCTGCATGGTTCCGTGGCTCCTATGTAGTCATGTATACGTCAATGCAGAGTTTTTTCGTTATAGGCGGCATCTCACTCACCAATCTTAGAAGCATATCTAAATGACGTCTTGCCTTCTTGTATTCTCTTCTTTTCATATGGCACAGAGCCAATTGGTACATGCACTGGGCACTGCAATAGATGAATTACCAAATTCGTGAATCGCTGCAACATACACGACCAAAATCATTGTTATAGGATTTTATAAACGCTTAAATCGTAAGGAAGACGAACGGTGCGCAACATGTTAAAAATGAGATCTAGGGATCCCGTGGATTGTTTATGCGCTCAGCCCAAACACTTAAGTCCTTGCCTCCACAAAACAGGTTTTTAAGCACTTACCTCTGGTATCTGATTCGAATGAGCTCGTCGAAGAGCTCGATTGCAAGTTTTATGTGCTCACTTTGAGGTGAACACATGAGCATACAAGCGTAATCATATTGAACCTTGGGGGAAGGTTGGCTATTTTCGATACCCTGTAATGCGTCAAGGTGTATTTGATATGTAATTTTATATAAAGGCCTATATATGACGGACTGCTAGCATACCGTTCATCGTATCACGTATTAATCACATGAAGCATGGGCCTACACATTGCACGTTTATCTAACTACATTCACGCAATCAAGACAACGCTGCTACAAAAAAATAACGGAAGCGTACCTCTTCATACTCTAGTTTCAAACGCCGAATCTCGAATTGTATATCCTCAAGTCCTGCCATGTCCACGTTCTCCGATATGCCAAAAAAAGAAAACAGTGAACGATATGGATCTCTTAGCGCCTTAACACAAACCAGTTGGTCTCAATATAATAAGATATGTAGGTCTGTATGAATTCCATGTTATTAATCCCCCTAAGATCCGCTATTTTTTACAGTGTAGACACGAACGTCGTTTCAACCTTCCATCCCCAGAAAGGAATACACACGAACTACTACTTCCTCCTTCTGTATCGCTATGTGAACTAAATTATATAAGTCTTGATACATATTGTCATATGCCTGCGAAGTTTCAGGATTTGCCCTTCACGTCCTCTGTGGCACTGAGGCCACGGAGGACTGTTTTGAATCGATTGTATCGAAATACATTACTTAAGTGGATCTCTAGCATCGCTGATGACAGTGATTCGTTATTTAGATTGATAATTACAACCGGTTTGTGTATTACTATTTTTTCTTGCTGTTTCTTTTCATCGTTTGATAAGAATCGTTTTATCCATTGCTCTGACAGCATACATGTCTTCTGTTCTTCTTTATTGCTAATATCAATGTTATATAGCTTTTATAATGGCCACAAGTATGAGATAGTGCCGCTCTTTTGCGCAATTCGTTCTCTGGACGTGGCGTCCAGTGTCAATTTGAGGGCGTATCAATGTAAGATAGTGGATTCGGTCCCACACATGGTGGATTCAAGGCGCTACATGGTTACTAAGGTAACAGATCCCGTTATTGGAGGTGGAATCGCTTTCTTATCTGTAGGGATGCCATGCGCCGTGTCTAGTAGGTCAGCGTCAAGAGGTAGACCAAACTCCACTCCAATAGCCCCAACTTTACAAGGGAAACTTCCTTCAAAGGTCTATTCAACGTTGATCGCTGCGATAGATACGTTTGATTTGGATATGGGCAGTGGCAGATTGCGTCGTCTGGCGTTAAATGCTTGCAGTAACGAATCAGAAACTGACGTGGACTACTACAAAGTGCTCTCTTTGCCCATAGACTGCACTGATGCTGAGATAAAATCGCGACACGAGGAGCTGAAGCAGTCACTCAAATCACTTCCATCTGTGGACCGTTGTATCGCAAAAAAGATTAAGGAGGCATACAAGGTACTCTCCAATCCCGCTTCACGTGCTTTGTATGACCAAAAGTTGAAGCGCAAGTTAAGTGCTTTGCCATCACCAGAGGATACAGATGAACAAACAGACGATGACTATAACTTAGATGACAGCGTGGAGCTTATTTCGGAACCCGATGCCGATTATGAGATTGATGTCACCGAACAAGACACATCCAATCAGAAGCACACTGGATTGACCGGTTTTCTCGGAAGCTTGCTCGGTTTTAATCGCGATTCAGGGTTAAAGAAAGTTCCAGCTGCACGAACCGGTGATGCACGGACTACGGTGAACGTAGATTTGAAAAATTTAGTGTTTGGCGGGACCGTAAAGGTGATGGTGGATAAATTATGCAATTGTCCAGACTGTAACTCTACTAAGAGCAGTCAACAGAAGTATATCTCACGTTGTGCTAAGTGTAGAGGCCATGGCATGATTTCTAAGAGTCAGCGCACACCTTTCGGATATATCTCCACATCTCGTACTTGCACATCGTGCAATGGGCGTGGCATATCGCGTATTCAGGACTGTGTTCGTTGTAATAACACAGGTCGTACTCAGCAGCAAGCTTCGGTTGATTTGGATATTCCAGCTGGTACCAAGGAAGGTTCGACATTTAGGGTCAGAGGTCAAGGACACTCTGGTGGGTATTCCTCCCGCCCTGGTGATCTGTACGTTTTCATGCAATTAGAAACGCAATTTTTATTTTAGATTCGTTAAAGTTGTTTCTACACCAAGCGAGCGCGAGTTCGTGGAAGGTGACAAGGTATATACCAATGCGAGCGTTGATTACGTGTCTGCAATTTTAGGCGCCACGGTAAGTTACCACTCTTTTGTGATTACAACGTATAGATTGAGGTGGACACTTTCTGCGGACCGAAACAAGTCGTCGTTCCACCGGGAACACAACATGGTGACGAAATCGCTGTAGGAAATTATGACGGCAAAGCCCACTTGGTAAGGCTCAACGTATCAGTGCCGAGCAGGCCATCTCAAGAGGAGATTTCGCTGCTTAGACAGATAGGCGAACTTCGTAAATCTAAGTAATTTAGAGACCCATGTATGCTTTGCGGCAACCATGTTATCGCTTTTTCGATGCTTTTAACTGATTTATGAGTAAGCCCCTGATTCGGCAATTACATTCTAGAGCGCACCTTTACCTAAACCGACCTACAGATATATAGTTTCTGAGTAATTTGGCGGATATTTCCATTCAGTGGAGCGTCGGTGAATCTCCAGTAACCACACATCAGGGCGCTCCCGCAGCGTCGCACGGTCTACCGTTCGGCGTGTCGAAATTTGCTGATGGTAATTATCCACCTTAAAATGTATAGAAGTTGATTGCATGAATGCTAAAAAGGGGAGGTGTACATTCTCAGCTTCAGGAAGAGAATTATTTCTCCGTCATTCCAGGCGCTTCGTCTTCTCTACATGTCCTGTTTTGAAACATGATAGCTGCACAGGTGAGATTACACCAGATGACTTGTTTCTAGTTACAATCAGTTTGGCATTGCATGGCTATGTTCATTTCGTGGGTAGATTGGCGTTTTAATCATTTTCGTATTTAATTGTACTGGAACATTGCACGTTTGGCCGTCAGTTCTTAGTTTCTTATGTGAAGTGATCGCTGTACAGCTGTGTTTCGCCCGGGTAGCACCCTGTGTGTTACTGGCCCATGTTCCAGCGGAAAAACGCTAATTGCAATGCACGCTCTGGCTGATATTTTAGGCAGTTATGGTATGTACGAACGTGCAGTTTATTTGGATTTCGACCTTTCCTTTGATGTTGCAGCATTCAGGAAGATCATTCGGAGCCACGTGAGTTAATACGCCAACGTTAATTTTCATAGTCAGATTGAGGAGTGCGGACTTAAAGATATCAACATAGAAACAGAGATTGATGATATGATCAAAAGACTTGTCTATATACCCGTGTACAATGTCCGAGATGTACCTGCATTGGTTGTTGCCCTCGATGTTTACTTCAAATCCAAGGATACACGAGCGCTGGTAATCGACTCACTTTTGGCTAAGCCGGGTAACATGGACGATGACATAGTGGAAACATCCCTACATCTATTGCACCACCTACAAAAGAAGCACAACCTTATGGTACTATACACGAAACGTGAGGAATGCGGATTTACTGTACCTTTCTATGTGACTCTTACCCACCATCCGGTTTTCTGCGAAGATGACTCTACGTCTTCACCTGTTTACTTTGAAACACCAATCAATAATGATTGTGCAGCAGATACGCTCACTTTAGGCCTGCCCGTCGATTGGATGACATTAGAGGTTGACGCAAATAGAACTGGCAAAATAGCATCAGGGTTCGTTCAGCCTAGACCTAATCGCATTACCGAGAAAACAAAAGCATCGGAAAGGCATTGTTTTCATGGTATTGATGCAGCTTTCGGCGCGGATATATCAGGTGAGGAAGCTACATCTCACCACGGTGTAACAGTATGTCTGCTCCCCGGCCGCAGACCATTGACAGAATGGCACGACTACGTAGGGTGCATATACAAGGTTACTAATCAACATCGTGACAAAAACATTCGGCTTGCCGAACTATGTGAAATGGACGGACGGAGAACGCTATTAAGAGTGAATTGTATATTAAATATGTCGAGTGGCGTTGAGCTGTCTGAAGATGGAGACCTTACTCTGTATTCAACGCTCGCCATGGAATCCGACATTGTGAGTACTCCAGACTCGTTTAAAAACAAGACGTCAACCACAGATCCCTCTTTAAGGACCGTTAAAACAAGCGCCACCACGAGATCTCCTTCTCGTCAGAACTCTAAAGTATTTCGCCCTAAGAGGATGTCGGTGGACATCGATACACTTCGCAAGCTACGATTTGGATTATTCATCATTAATAGGGACAGCTCGTTACGTTCTCAGTCATTTGTACTACAAGGCTAACATATTCACGAAACTGTGATCGCAAAACTGGCAACTTGTCAATCTGTAACGAACACATAGCCGTACTTTACATGTAAGGTGATCCATTTATACGCGGAAAACTAGAATTTATCGACATCTCCACGCTAAGTAGTTGGTTATGTATCAAAAAGTATGTATGATCCAGTGGCGTGCCATTAGTGGTGTCGCGGAGCCAAGACTGGCGAATCTTCGCGTAACTCGTTCACCCTTGCATATCGCAATATATTTTGAGCTCGCGGGGATTTACAATAAAAATTCTATATGTACATAGATATTATATTTTAGTTGCTACATCTCTGGAAAAAAATGAAAATTCGCCTCTGAACGCGGGTGCCGTATTTTCACAAAAAATGACATTAGGTGTTAAAACGTACACCAGTAAGATATACTAGATCGATTACGTCCATGTGTAGCAAGGATGGGCTTGGATGACCTGAGCGATGCACAGCAGAAGCTGTTGCATCCGCTGATGCGGCTCAAGCGTAAGACTTCTCAAGAAGCGATTGGGAGTTTGGTAGAATTTGTGGGCGATATCTCGCGGGTTTACCATGATTTTGCCGTGGGACTTCAACAGCTGGAAACAAAGGCTGAAGCGTGTTCCTTTCTTACTGGGCTATCAAATGCTGATTCACTAGAAGCATTACGAGTTATTCGTGACGATGTAACAGCTAATGATGACTCTGTAGTGGCAGTTACAAAAGAGCAACAGGGTATGACGGCAATTTGGATGTCACTTTTCACCATGTTGTCCAGAACAAGGAAAGAAACGACAGATTTTATATCAACACTTGGCCATAGTATTGCGGATCCACTGAGCGCCTTCTGCGATGAGTTTAATGACGGGTTTTACGAACCCGTTGATCAACTTGAGATGAATGATGTTCTCAACTTTATTCCGAATTTGAAAACTTTGAAGCAAATGCCTGGTTTCCATCACTGCGGAGCACGCAAATATGTTGAAAACGTATTAAAGGCATATAAGGATCTACAGAACGCGCTGGAGAATGAGAAAGAGCTGGTTGGCGATGCGGCTGGTATCAACCGCGGCAAGTCTCAAGCTAAAGCTGTGAACAAAACAGTAAAAGCCAAGATATCACTGGGCAAACATATCCAGCACCTTTTCGATCAGGCACCGGAGATGAAAATTCTTATAACGAAAGGAGTGTCCCATGATACCATTGAACAGCTGGCTAACTCAAAGCTGAAAAAGTCACCTGTACTAACTGAAAAGGCTCCAACTGATCCGTTGGATTTCCATACCCGTTTTTGTGCTATGGAGAAACGGAGACTTTCAATGTTTTCGTCGTTTTTCCAGATTTTGGTTGAATCACTAGTGAACTACGAGCGCAACTCGTACCAAAACCTACGTGACTTATACCAGGCTGTCGTCGCATTTTCACCGGAATCGGACTATGTCCATTTTGAAAGTCTCATATTAGGGGCACAATTATGCCACATAGCAACACATTATCGCATGCCAGAAGATATTTGGATCCCTAGAAATCTCGCGCAACTCGAACCCTTCACTAATGTCAACCAAGACAGCCCCTGTTTGGCAGTGAAACAAGCAAAAGGCATTGAGGACGGTGATTCGGAAACTGCTACAGTCATTGGGGATGAAGCTATAACAGTTGAAGATTTGGCTGAACTAGATAGGAACGTCATTGAAACCACCAAAGAGTTGACTATCGAAAAAGTAGGCAGCGCTCGATCGATTACTGCTGTAATACGCCGTATAAGTTCGGCAGTCTCGGAAATGTTGAGTGGTGCAAGCACACCCAGTATCGCGGAGAACGCAAGCGTGTCATCTCACGGAAATTTTGATGATGTGGAACAACTGAGTGCCCGTACAGACGAGAGTAATGATAATAGTGCGTTGACATGTACTAAAACAGGACTTGAAATAACAAATGATATGCGTGATCTTGGCTCTGTGGATGCTCAAATCAAGTTATCTGTTTCAGACATGCAATGTTCAGTCCTTAAGCCACCCGTGTACTCGCCAACCACCGATGAATTCCCTTCCGTTGCGGACGCCGTGTTGAGGAAGGATGCTGAAACGACGAACGCTGTAGGAGGAGGGGCACGGTTGCGTGCAAGCTCCATTTCTAAACTAATTGAGAAGGACTCTGATAACAAGCATGTTTCACTTTTGCGACGCGGTATGTTTACTTTCAGCAGACACAGCCGACCTGCAATTCGTCGTAGTAGCAGTGCGTTGCCTTGTGACATACGCAATCTGTCTATCCCGTTATTTACGAACAAGAATGGTAAAAAAAATGATCGAATGTTTGACAATAAACACAACAAAAAGGAAACGTCTAACAATGGACAGGCGGCACGCGATAGAAAGCGTGCTACGAAAGGTGATAAAACACCGATTGCATACATATTACATGACGTGAAATGTGACAGTACCCATTTCGCAGACAACCCAGATAAACCGTTTAATGATACAATAACATTCGATTTCGAGACCTTCAAGACTGCTAAGGAAATACTCCAGAAAACACTTGAAAGATCCGACCGGTTTTTCATTGGTTTACATCGTCATTGCGGTTTAGACATAAATCAACCTTTCGATTTTCTTGTCGACGATTTGAACAAATTTTATGACGCAGGAGATCATTCTGAATATCCATTTGAGATGTTAACTTCCCAATGTGCAGCTGCGACTTGCAACAAGACGTCAGATACGTTAGATAATGCAGATATGGGTATGAGACGTTCTTCCCCTGAAGTGCCGTCTGGTGAAACCAGAAGCAACGATTTCAACTGCAATTTGCGCCGTGTTTTACGCTTGGCATACGATTTTGATGATGGATGTATGGATATGCGCCAGTGGAACTTATTGTCATTGGAATCACTGGTGCTGTTGCACAAATATTTATCCAATTTCCTAACCCATCCATGCCTATCGAATAATTCCGATAACACTCTCAAAGAATTTCTGCTCACTAACCTGGGGATAATGGAAAATATAGTCGCCCGTATTCGTAACTTCATAGATATTTTACGGAAGCGCATAGATGTCACCAAGCAAGAGTACGCCGTTTTAGATGTTCTACTCACACCTCGTGATTCATTCGTCAATGAAAGCCCACACATAAGGATTCATCCTATGGATGTTCGGTACCGGATGCTCTTACTAATTGACTCCTTGCGAAAGAACGACGTGCCTTTGGCAGATGAATTCCTTTTCGATTTACCGGAATTCAAACAATTCTTGAACAGACAAATATCTCTGATCAAACTTTCCATGATGCAAAAATTGGCAAGGGTTATTCGAAGGATACCTACTCTTGACAGCGCTTTGACCTCACGTTGGACAGATGCTTTAAAGTCAGAGGATCCTATGAAGGTACTCACCATGAAGTTTACCTTTGAAAGTGATGCCAAGGTCGAACTCATAGCGAATAAGATCCTTTTCTTGCTGTGTGAATGTATCGGTCGCCTAAATGGATTACAAAGAGTTGTTGAAAAGGGGCAATGGGGAGAAGAATCAGTTTGTGATTCAAATTACATGACAATACAAGATCAGCTTTTACACCTTTTAAACACGACGACTCAATTAGAGGATCTTGATAATGACTTGATGGGTTTACTTGGTGTAGAACCTAAACAGTTGGAATCCACGGAGGCACTCAACAAGACTAAATCCAACTCAAGCGTTGTGTACCCCTTTAAAACTCCGCAAGAAGGCACTGGATTTAGAAATCCGTTCAACTCACGTTTGACCGGAAGGAAGGCCTCGTTCACCCAAAACGATAAATCTGCTTCACGTAATGTCACCAATATACCGATTTCTGACGCCGATGCGCATTTTTGCACTCCTATGTCGATTTTTGATGATGAAGATATTTCTGTTCTAAAAAGAGTTAATGGGAGAAGGGGATGCTTCAATAAGTGCATGTCTAGACGAAATCGGCGACACCTTGATACACAGCACAGCTTTGTCAACCCGTATTTCATAGAGCCCTTAGAAGAAACTAAACTTTCGAGATGCTGGAAATTAGAAGATTCGGTGATCATGCGTCTTGCAGCCTGCTATCATAACTTACTTGCGGAACCATTGCGTTTGGGAGAATGGTCGATGAACTTCACTACAATCGAGTATGTGGTTTATTTCCTCTCAACTGGCTGCTTACTCAATTTCCTCCTCTATAGAGAAAGGAAGAATACGGACTATACAAAAGTCTGTACGTTGTTCCATGCCTTGTTAAGTGTCGATGCTTTGTCTAAAATCCACCGTGATGTAAACAAAACTGCTTTTGGAGATGGATTAATTACTGCTTCCCACATCGTTGGCGGGAGTCCAGTGGATAACCTAGATGATACGAAAGATCGATTTGCAATTTTGCAAGTTCCGCACAATATTGCCGCCCTTCCTAAAGTGCTGGGTGACATTGAGCTTTACCTCCAGATGGATATGAGGGAAGCTGTCTCCTCCTTAAGGACGTTAAACGTGGCACGTACAGCCCCTAATTATTCATCGATTCAGTTTTCAGATTGGTTGACAACAGAAAATCTAAAAGAACGAGTTTACATGGCGAAGAAGGATCTCGCAGGAGTGCAGTTGAATAGATCGAGCTATAAGATTCATAGATTAATCTTGGACTCAATATGCCACAATATTCCTATAATGTCTCGAATAGTTGGGCAGGATTCGCTCTCACTGATCAACGGTTCGCCATGCGAACAATGGGTGACCAATATATTGATGCTACGCATTTTGACACAAAACTTCGCTAAGCTGGTATTCCAGCAACTTGTCGACTTCAACGTTGGAGAAGGAGAAACGAGCCTTGCATTAAAACTTTCATGCTTCATTCTGGTAAACCGTTTGCTCTACCAGGATGACCTTTACAGGGGCGTGAGTGATGCAGGACCGTTGGACTCGCGTTCACTTTTGGAGATCTCTGAAAACGACCTAAATATAAACAATTTGCTACGCAGAGTAATAATGGAACAAGCTAGATCCACAGTTGCTAATATTTTCGCAAAATTGGAGGCTTTTAAGGTAGAAGACTTTGATTCCTTTGCTGCAAGTGTTATCGATAACCTAACCACGTCGATAAAAGAAAATCTCCAATTTTCTAGCACATGGGACGATTACTTGCCTATGGGTGACTTCGGCGTTTTGTTCACTAATGCCTGCATCTATTTCTTCAAGATCACCATTCGTAACAAACTGTCTAGGCCACTTGATGTTTGCAAAGTTATGCCTTCAGCGCATAAGCTACGACTCCTGCAACGTGAAATAGAAACTTCGAGACTGGTTAAAATTCATTCGGGCACGCAGTATGAAGATTTGTTACAAGTGCTCAAATTTTCATTTGCACATCAAGGGCTGCCAGGGCGCGAACTTTTGTCGGAACATAGCGACATAATGGCAGTTATAGGACTAGATGAACTTGAGAAACGTCTAGGAACTCTTAAAGATGTTGTCACACGTGGCATGAAAAATGAAGATTGGACACAACTTGGTTCACAAAATCACACACGTGCTGTTGTGGACATGGCAACCGTTTTCAATGCCACCGTTAATGCTACTCTGAGCCTTAACATACCGTTGTCAAACCTTTTATTGCCGCTGACAGGTGCATTGGAAGGCGCATTGAACCATTATTTCTCGTCTGTTGCGGGTTCCAAGGCATCGGAATACGTAGAACAAATCATGTCAAAACTGGGTCATGATACGTTAATATCTGTCGAAGATATACTGAGCAGGATGGGTGGGTGTCATAACATCGAATACTTTTTCTTGCGCATGGGTAACATGATCTACCTTGGTAAATATCTCATCGAGTGCCAAGATAACATCGTACAGTATTATCACAGAATGCTCACAGAACGATGTGAAGACAGTGAGGAAGTACATCGCCAACTAGAAACGGATATCTATCGCGATTCAAGTAAATTCTTCACTTTCGGTATAGAAAGTTTCCAATCGATGAAAGAGTTGGCACTTGTGCCCGCTTCGAAGAGGCTAATTCAACGTCAATGCGAATGGCACATTACCACACTTGCCAGGTTGTGCACACTGGCAACACTGCTTCCGCCAATGTCCCGGTTATACCAACCTACGGTTGCACGGGGAAGTCGAGTTACCGATATTTTGGGCAAGATCAAAGATATGTGCTCTGAGTTCTCTAAACTCGGCGAGTATGGTACTACAGCACTTTATGTTGTTTTCGAGAGCACATTCCATTCTCTGATGTGTGTCATTCGAACGTCTAGGCACTTGTCAGAAGAAAGCGGCCTATTGCTGGAAGACATTGAGACTTTAGCTTCGGCAGCCATGGAGCACCAGCAGGACATGTCCAGTCTAGTTGCGTTAGCAAAGAAACTCATTAAATAATTTCACTGGCATTATATTATGTCCGTTTTATACGATGATGATTTGCCTCATTCCCCTGGATGGGAGGCTAGTCCAGACGAAGAAATCACGCTTGACAATCGCGATGGTGTGTACCGGTTGTCAATGTGCCTCCGCCGCTGCGGTGTTACGAAGATTCCACCGTCAGACACCCTCAAGACTTTAATGGAAGTACTGACGGCTAACCCGTTACGTACTAGTATGTTTTACATTTATCGCTTAACATCGCTACAGTCACCTTGGATGACGATCTCGTAGTTGACAGTTATTTGTGGAATTTTGTAGTGATACAGCTAATGCGAGGTAATGACAACACCAACGTTCTTCAAGAACTTGAATCATGGCCGTTTTATCGCGAAAAAGCTAGAATAGAAGCGTCGAAGGAGAAAGTGCAGGAAATATTCATCTACAATGTTATGCGTGATCTGCCTACGATTGTCTATTGCAGAAACAAGAAGGTTTGATTTGTTTCGAGCTTATTAATCTTGCCACTGCAGAAATTTATAAGAGATTTCAGTCGAAATGCTAGTTCGTGCGTTGCGGAGATACGGTTCGAATTGGTACACGAGGTAAGAACAGACATGACAATCCATCGTAACCAACTTCCTACAGCAGTCGAAACGTGCGAACATAAATGCAGCATCTGTTGATGCTGTATCACGCGCCAATCAAAAGGAACAGATTGTCATCGGTGTGATGGGTCTTGACAAGAAAGGTGACATTTCCATTAAGGGCAGCCTCAGTCAAATTCGTTTAATTATAACCGAAAGCACTGTCATAAACACTGGGATTTATGGTGTAGGCAACACTGCCATCGTCCGCGGTATTATGGAACCTTACAAGGTGGGTTGCAAATTGATTTTATTAATGCTCTGAAGGGGGCCATAAGATGCGTAGAGATAACCCACCCTCCGCCTCTAGTTGACATAGACATACCTGATTTTTTCGGTGGAAACATATCAAGATCGGATTCATCCGCTCTTGAAACTATAATGCGCCACAAGGTGGAATGCGGAGGATCGGAACAATGGATCATTATTTCTGACCTCCACTTGGACAGTGAAACTGCTATTAGGACGTTCGAAACACTTCTGGATAGTTAGTAACGCTTGTTTATTATCAATAGATGCAGCATTTCTGCAAATGTATCAACACGAGGGATTCCCAGCAGGATTTATAATCATGGGTAACTTCATGTCCAAGGAATTCAATGTCACCGGAAAGAGCTCTGAAATGTACAGTCAGGGATTCGATCGGCTATATACGGTACTTGTAAAACCCAAGTACAGGATATTGCTAATGAGCTCCTACTTTGTACTACTTCCTGGACCTGGTGATGCAACGCCATGCAGCTCGCTGTTACCAATGGCTCCTCTGCTTTCAGATTTCACATCGAGCATCGCCAATCGCATCAGCACACTATTAGGCGAACAATCAAAATTCATTTGTTCAACGAATCCTTGTAGGATTCGACATTTGAGCCGACGAATGATATTCTGCCGCAGCGATTTATTGAACAATCTGCTGTCCTCATCGCTACTAACAAGTGGCACGGCCATGAAGACAATACCCCCGTCAGAGCTCACTAAAATGCTCATTAATACTGTGTTTGGCCAGGGTCACATATGCCCAAACAAACCAGGTGACAGCACTATTTTAAAGCATGACGCAGCACTGCTGCTCTACCCCCTTCCGGATTTGGTATGTATAGGGGACATGTCTTGCCCCTCATTTGTGGAGTCAATTCAGTCCACCGTCTTTTGCAATGTGGAACCTTTCTCAGCTACTAGGTCGTTTTTGTCATACGATGCGGTCTCAGGTCACTGTCAGAAATTCTCTATTTGATAGCATATATCCCAGAGATTACGTCTGAAAAACAGCCAAAAAGTGCAGTTTCATTGGATGGCCTGCCTTCCTTCTTGTAACTGGGAATTTCTAATTATAGGCAACGTAGCGTTAAACTAGGCAATGAAATAATTAACTAACAATATTGACAATCACAGTGCGCCGATCTTGTCCATAGGCTGTTTGAGCCGAAGTAGGTTCCGGCGTTTTTTAATGCCGTGTGCCAAAACCAAAATTGAGAATGTAATCTTGAGAAAAAAGAGTGAGGACCATATAAGAAGAGCACCTATGAATCTGGAGAATGTCATAGAGTTTCTAATATACGGGATGTTGCAGACGATAAGCGCTACAATCGGTGAGGGCATCAAACCCAATCTCCTAGCTGGTATATGGGAAAACGAATAGGCTCCCTTACATGTGACCCGGAAATCGAATTTAACAAGCCCATGTAAACGCCGTTGGCAACGCGACAACAAAACATCGGCCATCAAAACCTCAGTGTAACGTTTAAAAATCTCACCTTCTATTTTGTTGAACTTGAGCAAGAAACTGTGTTTGAAATAGTCAATCAAAATTTCTAGCATCAACATCTGAATCAACCACCGCGATACCTGCAAGTATGCGTTGAAGGGATTCTGAACTGTCGACATCTTGAAGAACACAATCATCGCGTCGAAACAAAGGTGGATACGCTCAACCGCATCGGTTGATACTATAGTAAAAAGGGAAGTTTCGTTGTACTTCTTGAAAACAGTTGACTTGATCTCTGCAAAGTTATTCGTCACCATAAGAAGGAACATCGCCGAGTCCGATGAGTTTATTGCAATATTGAAGATCAAAACTCGAACAAGATGCAGAAAGGCGTGAAACAACGTATAAGCTGCTACCAACATAAACCTCAAGAAAAACTCTAGGTACATATTTCTCCACTCCTGTGGATCTGTTGACGATTCCGGAAATACGGTGTCTGGTATTGTATCCATCGACGCGGGCAGATCTTTCATAAGCGCATTCGACCGACAGATTAGGTCACTGCTTATCTCTACGTGTCTAGTTACCATATTGCTCGTGCATCCCATGTTCTTTGACAGTTGATGTTTGTGTGTAGGGAAGGCAACGGGAGACAAAACCGGTGACAAGCTTATATTCCTCTCAAGAGGTGAAAAAGGGGATGTTTCGTGCAATTCTCGACAACTCGTTGTTGGAGTAACCTTATCATACCCTCTAAAGTGAATGCTGCCGCGGTCAGTATCGACGGAACTGTTCTCGATAAATGTTGAGTTGTGGATAGTGTTGTTTGGGGATAGTAACACATCACTAGTCCTTTGAAACCTATTCACATCCATACCAGAGATTACAGCTTCACGAATTTCGTTGAAGTTTGAAAGATGTTTGTAGATTTTCATGGTAGTACGCATAAGAGTGTCAGTGCAGTCCCTTCCAAAAGATCTACAAAGACGCTCGCATATTTCCAACATATTTAGGATCACGTAAAGCTTAAAAAAAGGCTGACCCCGGATATTGTGATAAACCTTGGACGTGTCTATTCGCGACAACATCATTACAGTCAATATTAAAGCAATGAACCGTACAAATCCGCATGCCTCACTCGGATTTATCAGATAAGGCAAAGAATTATATCGCGAAAATATTGTATAGTCATTCTTCGTTTCAAACGAGAATGAAGGATCCCGACTTACATTAACGTCAAAACTTTCAACCATATTTTGGGGGCTCTGTAGGGATGTCTCATTTAGCGGACTTACATCATCCTTAGGACTACTTTGATGGCATGTCGTCGCATCCTCATTGATTTCATCGACTAAGTCACTAATTATGTCATTACCTTGGTCACTGTCTAAGGGATAAATGGTTCCATCTTCCATTTTCGCATAACTATCGTTCCCGATATAATATGATCTCAGATCCCTCGGCCATTCATATGCCGTCTGTTCAGAACCGGCAATATCCGTAACATGCCGTGAACCTGCATTAGGAGGCAATAAATTGTCTGAAAAATTTACGAGCGCCAGCAATTTTGTCAAATGATGATCACATAGAGCTACTATTCGCCCTTGCCCCTTTTGCAAAATGTAAATAAACGTACTAACAGCCTAACAATTTTGATACGACTAATAGGTAAACTAACCTGTATTGGCATTAAAGTTAGTTCGAATAACATTGCATCAACAAACATGCTGAGTGAGTAACACATAATCCTTTCAAAGTGTTTGGGCAACTTTAACATGTGCTTCAAGGAATTCTGGACTTATTAGAACAACAAGACATCTTTTCATTCTTACCTCTGGTATTGCATCTATGGGATCCAAAATTTCATCACCAAGGGTTATTGTATCGCCATAGTAGACATGCTTCACTTTGCTCTCCGGTGAACTACACTCCCCCTCTTGCGTGTATTTTACTGGTTGCGACTGTTCAGACAAAAAGAAGGGAAATCCTTGTATTTCCATGCAGATAAAGTCTGCAAGAGTCACAATAAAGGCAGTCATCTTGGTGATCGACTACTTCGGCAGGGAACAAGACGTCGAACATCTTCCACAGCAGAAGCTGAGGAATGACGTCAAAGTCAAGTCCACTGGTTATTGGGTTTTCCTATAGTGTCAATTTTCTCCCAGAAACATGAAAAACAGTGGAGGCATTATTCCCTGCTCTATTCATAGGAGCTTAACAAGCTTATCGCCATAGCCTAAAATCTTAGAAACATATTGAGTATTCGAGTGTGTAGAACTAAAATTGTCTGGCAACATTTTATATCGTTTTTAATCCATGATGTTTAGCTGTTAAGCATGGGTAACACGCGACCCACGAAGTTACGACACGAGTCGCCACGTGACAACGATTTGAGTCATAGAAGCCTGTTTATATAACTATGGCATGCTAACAACACACGTAAAACATTTTATTACGATGTAGGGACACTTTTTCGCGCGGTGTGTCGAGGACCCAGTGAACGAGATTCCGACAGTTATGACCATCTAACAGGTCTACTAAATACGGAAACCAGCGTATTCAATTCTATAACCACAAAACACCTGTATCAAGTGTGTAACGCTTCTTTTCAGTTACTGTCATGGATTATTCCTTGCTGTCATGATGATTGCCAAACCAAACTAACAATTGGTGCTTCTAAAGGTGATGTATTCGCCCCCCAAGAACGAACCATAACAGCTAAATACTTATAGAAGTGATAATGACATACGAAACAGAATCAGAATCTCCGCATATACATTTCCTTTTCAACTGCAGGCACGGACCTTGGGATGATTCACCTGGTATTCCAACACCATATAAAACAAATCGTACGCCATAAGTCATACTGATGACATTAATAAATCACGTTAAACATTAGTTACAGTTCTTCCTGAAGCATTTTACTGCGCCGCCGTTTCAGTTTCTCCAAATCGATCAAACCAGAAGATTTCACCAGTTGCCTTTTGGGAACTGTATCCGCGTCCTCATCAGAAGAGATAATATCTTCTATGCCGTACTCCCGTCCAGTGTCACTCTCCATATTGCGATCTTCTGATGACGCCGTCCCATGACTCGGCACACCATCTCCTTTTGTACAATTTATTTTAGCTGGACTTGTATGTTCAGCTGAATTTGCGGGTACCAGACTACCAGTTATATTACCTTTCGATGAAGCGCCGCGCATGTCGATTTCTAACTCTTGGTGTTCTTGAATCTGCATAGCAGGGTCTTTACCTTGCTGCCGTAAATCGCGATACGGTTTCCAGTTTAGAGCCACTTGTTCCAAAACCCTAGGCAGTTCAAGAGACTCCTTAGCTAATTGGCAGCATATGGATGAGCATATAATGTGGTCTCGTTTTGTCAAGAGATTGTATATCGCCCCCTTCTCACTCATCTGCGCTAGGTTTACACGCCCGCAAAATTTGGACAATAAACGTGGCATGTCAAACATGACGACATAATCAACTTGTGGAAGATTAATATGGTTCGTCAACATGTCGGTCGACACCAAAATTTGCAAACCACCCGTTCTAAACCGTTCCAGCGTCGCCGTTAAAACATCTTTCGATAGACCCTCGTGAACGAATTCCACAGAATCTGTGATGTTAGTGATGAAACTGTATATGTGTTCAACTGTAATCTTTTCATTAGCGAATATAACCATGCGAAAAGCTTGGTGGAAATGTGACAACAGGTCACTTAAAAAAGATGTTTTTTGTATTTTACTAGGCTCCTTTAAACACGCTATCCACTTCAAATTTAGGTGCGAAAGTGTGGTACTCGCCACGTACTTTACCGTAACCGAACATTTTAGATATTGTCGTATAACCGTTAGTGTTCCAGCACCAAGCATGACATTAGACACAATAACTTTCATTGCGTTACGTTGATTAAGCAACATTTCTGCTTCATCCGCATGCTTTCGATATACCTTCGCAAAGTCTTCTAAGACTACGGCATAAGTATTCGACAGGAGTAGAGAACGACAATTCAGTAGATCGCACAGCTTAGCCGGCGTTACGACAAGGAATTCGGTACCAGATACCACTTGATTGTAGTTATCATACCCAGTAGTTACCGTAGCGACTCTAACGTTGAAGGATTTTACAAGTTTAGAGAGCACGATAAATATTTGTCCGCAAGCCTCACGGGTGAGAGCCATAATTACACAAAATGCGGACCGTTTCGGCGCCGCTGAATTAGTTTCACGAATCAGATTTAAAGTATGACAAACAAGTGGAATCAAGTACGACAGTGTTTTCCCGCACCCACTCTCACCCATCAATATAGCATTCCTACCCTGCAGCAAAATTGGCATAGCTTGGCATTGCATAGGGGTAGGCTCCGTGTAACCAAGCTTTGAAAACCGCTTCATCAATGCCGGTGGAACACTAGAAGACAGGTGGGTAAAAGCACGCAAAGGTTTTGGTACTCGTACACCCATTGTTTCTATTCCCAAACGTTTTTTTAGTTTTACGACTTCAGGAAGAGACACACTATCAATCGCTGGATCGACATGATAAATATCCTTGAAACATCGACCACCCGATACTTCGTCGACAACCGAATTAACTTGGTTATGTGCGAAATTTTGATTGTCCTGTGTTTCCACGGCTGCCCCGTCTTGTGATGGCCGATAAGAGGGCGTTGTCGTTATCTTGCAGTCGGAACGCCCTCCCGTAAGTCCACCAACGACATCTTCAACCGATCCCAACTGTCCACTGTCACTCTCATCTTTCAATTCTTCCAGTGATTCCAAAAAGGCGCCAAGAGTGTCTGCGTCAGCCCCTGAATAATGCCATGAAACGATAACAGCGACAAGGGTACAACCTTTAGCACCATCTTCATTACCAAATAAATGCAACATAAAGACAAATCTTAATGGTTGCAATAGATCTTATAAGGTAAAAGACCATTATTCTGAAACTTCGACACCGACGTACATAGTTCCATGTCTCATCGGAGAAAGCTGTCTTATGAAGACCTTGCCTAGAGGGTCAGACCTACCTTCATTTGTCTCTACATTATATGGAGCCTCGCCATCAGAGTCGTTGCCCATCCTTAACAACTTCCGGGCAGCAAAAGTATTTGTTCAATGACAGAAGGATACGCTGGGTATACATTCATCCCACACTACATAAGTGATCTATGTGGATAAAGTCGTGAGTTCTCACCATTTGCGGCACTAACCGACGCCCGAGTTGGGCGCCTCCCAGCCAATATATCGCCATGTAAAGGGCGTTGAATAGTTTTTTTAGCCAATGTGATTTAAATTTATCAACTTTTAAAAGTCGACAGCTATGGATATGTGATCTGAAGGGTATATTTTAGAAGGCAGACCTTCAAATTCCTGCGCATCCTTCTCGCTGATGCCCGGCATACAGCGTTTCACCTAGAAAACCATTAATTAAAATGCCAACACAGAGACTCGTTCTTTGAAATAATATAATACATTGCAAACAGGGGATTAACATCATACGAGATCACTATAACCGGTAAAACAACGTGGAATCTAAAGCATCTCAAGCACTACATTTAACACCAAAAAACAATCAGAAAACTTTTACAATGTAGCCAATGACACTAATATTGTGTATCCGAAACATTTTTCATTGATGTGTACACGATTTCACAAAATAGACAGGCCCACTCTCGGTGTTCAAAACCACAAACCTGATGTGCAGCCTGCCATTTACCTCATGCAGATAAAACCTACCTTAAGATTCTTCGAATGAAATATGTAGTCTAGTGTACCATTGAAAGTCTTCACATAATTCGTGAATGGAAGTTCACGACCACTGTAAGCATCTTGGTAGCCTTTACAGTTTTCAACCTCTAAACGCTCTTTCGTCTCAAGCGGGTAATAGACAGTTCCCGATCTTGTGAAGTGAAACGGCGCCCTTTGCTGTGATGGGTTGAACTTTTCATGCACGTATTTGAGGCCAAAGTCAAAGTCCTCGTGATTATAAGGTACCCATCCGTTGGCCATAAGGTGAAAGGTTCCTTCGGTTTTAAAGGAGTTAAAATCTCCGCAGATGATTGTGCTAGATTCAGTGTCAATGTCAAACCCGTATCTTTGAGCGCACCTTTCTTTAAAACGTTCCAATTCATTTAGCATCACATAGGTCTGTAGAAGACGAATATGCCGGCCATTAGGGTGAAAGTACAGATGAGTGTTCGCCAAAAACAGATAATTATTCTTATCATCCAACGTGTTTTTTAGGCATAACATTTGGAAAATAGTGTGGTACCTGTTGAAATAGGTCACTTCGTTGTAGTTCAACCAATTACCGACACCTATGCGTGCTAGCACTTCGCGGTATTCTGGCTTACGGACCTCTTCCTTGAAAGTTAGACTCTGAGATTCTAAGATATCAAATATACCTCGTTGCAAGAATATACAGCATCCCTCATCCGAGGTAGTGTTCTTTATTGTAAGCCAAGAATGGTACTGTGAACCAAGTATAGGCTCTATGTAATCGCGGTACGCGCTTGTTGCACATTCCTGTACACACAAGATGTGTGGTTTCACCATAAGAATTTCACGAAGAATCAGCGGGTTACGGTAGCAACTGTCAAGCCACTCGCGGGGACAGTACGGAAAGAACCTTTGAATGGCTTCATCAGTCGAAACATACGTTGGCGACAAGATGTTGAATGACATAACCCTAAGGTCCCTTACATCACTTTGCATTGGATCCGCCGTAGTGGCCACAGGCGCGGAATTAAAATGTGCAACGCGTTCGTGCTGCCATCGATTTCTAGGCGCATCAACAACTTTGCAGAATTTAGATTCCACTATATTCCACGTCATCTTTTTGTGTGACACTCTGACCTTCATTCTACGGCGGTTCATTGCTTCTGGCGGAATATAAACGGTACCTTTGTACAATGGTTGGTCTTTTTCATCCAGCCACTCCACAAGGAGGTCTTTGTAATTACACGGACCGTCCGTATGGATAGCCACAGTTACAGGACAACCAACTACCGCCTTATGACCAATTTTGACGTCCATGACACGAAAAATATTGTTGAAGATTTTAAGTAGGGTGTCATTGATGGATAGGAATGATGCTTCGTGTGCTACCTCCACCAACGTTTGTTGTAAATCAAAAGGTTTGAAGGTATTTGTCATAAAACTTATAGAAAAATTGCCTGGGACTTTAGGCCCTGCCTCTTGAGATGCCAGTCCCGAAGAACTTGGATCTACCGTCGAGGTTGGCCCCGATTCACCTTTTGTCTTGACACCAGAATCCTGAGATGCTTTCACCTGTACGCCCGAAGTGCTGGGCGCGTTTCTATCAGAAACCGCATTTTTATCACCTTTGGATGTTACATTGACAAACTTTTGCAGCGACCGTTTCAAACGTGTTATTGTAGTTCCGATAGGTTCGTTCCTCTTCCTATCCATGTTAACCTCATGACCTAACCAGCTAAGAGTTATAGTGACGTTTTCACTATCGGGATAAGCTTTGAAGAGGGCATAGTTGGTCCCGAGGTCCGACGTGGAATTCTGTTGATCTTGCGCACCGACGGTGGCGTCTGACCTAGTTGCACGACACGGCATAGTGCTGCGCGAATGTTACAACAAATCTTGTTATTTATGGTTAATAGACCAAATGCACCGTAGTAACATGTGACGAGGAAACAAAACAGAACATTAGCTGGACTTCACATAGCAAAGTCAAAACGTTGTGAAGTGCCACGATGTATTGATTACGTCTACCATACAATATCGCCACTTTCCGTGGTTAACACAAACATCATTGAAGTGCGTAAGCCTACCTGTATCGAGTTCTCAATCCTGAAAATTTTGTTCCTGGTCGCCATGTGAAAGCGTATCCCAGGACCCGGTGACTATTGGTTAAACCGAAATGACCACGGGCAGCACAACTGGCAATAGAAAGATATCGTGAGGGGCAGTGTACGCTGATGTTTTCAGGTCTACATAGTCGTGGTATCGCGGGACTGAATGTAATCGCGATCTTGTTTGTCAAGAGGAACATGAACGCGTAGAGGACGAGTGCCACGTAGCGCCGCGTTATTATTCTTGTGACTAAACGACGTACAAGCAATGTCATATGCCACGTAGCGCAGTGCAGGCGTCCTTCCTAGTCTCATTCAGTGTAGCGTATATCATATCTTTATGTTCCTGGCATCGTCATTCAAGGCAATTTGATTACCATGGGTTACATGGACCAACATTAACTACGCTGCAATATAAACAATAATGTGTTTTGCATATGGTTATGTAGCGGCCGCACTCATGGTTTCATTTACGTAGTTTGGAAGGCGTCTTGGTACTATTAGCCACTGGGTATCAACACGCTTTGAAAATTTTTATTCCTGTCAAATCACTTCAATCTATTTTGTATAAATTGCACTTATATATTTAGCCATGCCTTATTGTATCAGCATAAAACTGTAAACTTTTGAAATTCGGCGATGTAAAGGACAACATTACTTTTGTTTAACGATGACGGCATAAACACTCGCCTATGATTTATGTGCGGGATATTCGTGTTAAGTTGATGTGTGGATTCAACTGAGCGATAAACGCTTGGAATTGGCCTGGGTAACCATTCCTTCCTTTCCATGCGCGCGCCATGCTCTCCTTAATGTGAGATGTTCTCCGCAATTATACGGCCTATTTGTGTTGCTGTGTGATGGCCAAACGCGCTTATACTGGGTATCGTAGCGTTCCGAAGGGAATACACTCACAACACTCCCTGACATGTAAGAGTATATAGGTATGTCATCACATATAATTATTGAAAAATGTTAGAACATTCTCTGGAATATACGTACCTTTATATCTCGTAGATATAAGGTCGCAGGCTCGACAAGAATTGTATCATTAAGGGGAATCGCAGGTTTTGATTTCTACGCACCATGTCTACATTTGCCAGGCGACGAATTGTCCAAGACATATCCAAGATTGCGAAGGATCCTCCTGAGGGAGTCCGTGCGGAACCTTTTCCAGATAATATGATGGTATGTCATGCCGTCATAAGAGGGCCAAAGGACACTTTATGGGAGACCGGCACGTTTCACTTGTTGGTAAAGTTCTCGGAGGAATATCCAACCAAGCCGCCGAAAGTCAAATTTCTTTCTAAAATATATCACCCCAATGTCTACCCAGATGGACGTATCTGCTTGGATATCTTACAAAACCAATGGACTGCGATATATGACATTTCTGCTGTACTCATGTCGATTCAGTCATTGCTAAGCGATCCTAACATCAAGTCGCCTGCCAACACAGAAGCTGCGAATACTTTCCAAAGGGACAGGGTAACATACGATAGAAATGTGCTATACTGCGTAGAAGATTCGTGGTTTGCACCAGTACTAACAGAAAAGGTGTTGGAATTTTAGGTTGTGACTAGAATCCACTGGTAAATGAAAACATTGCTTAATGTCGTGATAAAACTCCGCATTTTAAATTTTAATATAAATATAGATGTGATGGGTTTTTTGAATGTGAAATTTACCTGTTATATGCGTCCGTTGTAGACGATTTTAAAAAATTGTCTTATCCATGCTATAGAGCTGTTATAGCCTTAGATTTGTCATTTGCTTTGGTGGACTGATTGATTTCAATGAAGTTGCTATTAAAGAATAAGGAAGTTGCATACGAGTCGTATTCTTGTTCATTTTATACTATATTTGTGTTTTCAACCTCAACGGAAAGGAGCAGGATTGCACGACTATGCGTGACGGAGGTAGGGAACAAACATCTAATTCGTTTTGGTGGCAGTTTTTAGATTCTGTATGAGTTACAGTTACTTTATAAACAGGTGTGAAACGAATAATATGGGTTTCCGGCATCTCAGCGCCAATCAAACCACATTGTACGTTATCTCTCGGCTATATGAATCCTGTGGCCACCTGCAGCAGCCTTCAATCCTAGTTATACTTCACATGAACGATGATATTATCTCCAATTTTAATTTTACAACTATTCCCTTAGGGGAAATATCACAACCATTGTTTAGTTGTGATGTATGTTACCCACAACTCAGACTGCTCAAAACAACCTTCTGCTCCACATTTAGGTACATTTTTGTAAAATAACCATATGTATCGCATACTGTGTGATCTAGCTACCACAGCATTAGCTATAACATCTGTGATTCGACTTTGTACGTATGCACTAGGAATCACGACAGTTAACAATATACGAATAGAGTGAATGCAACAAAAATTTTGGAATGTAACCTTGAATATCTACCATTTACCTCTCATTATTGAATGATACCCACTTAATAGTTATATATTGGCTAATTATTGCGGCAACAAGATTAGTGGAGTGTTCTAATTTTGTTCTCACTGAATTTCAGTGGGACAAATTACATCATCTATTTTGAGTATCATCTTCACCACCTGCGTGGCGAGAGACAATTGCTGTACCTTGGAATGTAGGGACTCAAAGATACCTTGCTCGCGCATATCGCCAACCGTTCCTTTCAGGCAATCGATACCGGCGTGGCAATTAGTCCGTTGCATCTGCGTCGCCCTGGCTACCATATCGAAGACGTTAAGCCCCGAGTTGTCGGCCAGTGCCATAGGTATCTCTAGTAACGCCTCGCTGAAGGTTTGTACGGCGAATTGCTCCAAGGTGTTGAAATTTGCAGCCGCTGCTTTAATGGCAATAGATGCTGCAATTTCCGGCGCGCCTCCTCCACCAAGGACTCTACCGTCCCGCACAAGATTACGGACACAGCATATGGCATCGTGGACACAGCGTTTGGTCTCCTCTACGTAGACCCCGTTCCCCCCGGAAATGAGCACAGTAACCGATTTCGTCTTCTGGCATTGTTCAATAAATATAAATTCCTGATGATCGGTTCCACTTGCAACCTCACGGACAACGCCCGCACGACCCAATTTAGATTCGTCTAGATCCTCGAAACGACCTACTATTTTACCCCCAGTGGCAATGGCAACTAGTTCGAGTTCAGCTCCACCTACCCACCTGACAGCAGATATGCCATGTTTCATAAGGAGGTGGTTAGCCTCGTCATCGAATCCCCATTGACAAATGACGACGTTGGCTTTACTATCAACCACACGTTTCACCATATTTTCGAAATATACCTTCTCACATTCCTGCAGTTTCTCATAGTCTTCCACTGTCCCTATTTCGATGCGGCTCTTAGTCTTTGACTTTGGAGGCTCGAATGGACACGAAAGTATGGCAATGCGAGCATCGGTAACCGTTTTCTGCATTTGGGAGTGGCTGAACTCTTTTGTCAATACAATACCCTTAACCAAGCATGTATCCTCCAAACGCCCCCCTGTTTTGGCTTCTACTTTGATAAGTTCGAGGTTGACATCCTTGCGTTCCTCGTCCATTACAGATAGCACAGCATTCACAGCAATATCTGCGAGATGCTCCTGGCAGCTTGATACGACTTTAGAGCCAAGGGCGGTAAAGGCGGCTTTCTTGTATAGTTCCATATTATTGGCTGTTCCTGGACGGTATTTTTCATCCTGATTGGCAGCAATTTCTTCTAAGCGTTTAATAGCGATGTCACACGCCTTGTCATATCCGTCAGCAATCCTCAGAGGGTGTAGACCGCGATCCAATAGACGGAGCGCCCTTTCCAATAGTGCCCCTGCCAAAATTACTACACCTGTTGTACCGTCTCCGATTTCTTCATCTTGGCTCTTTGACAAATCAACAAGGAGTTTAGCACACTGGTGCTCTACCTCCATCTTTTGCAATATGGTTGCTCCGTCATTGGTCACCGTAACCTTTCCATCAGGACTGACAATAATCTTGTCCATTCCACGTGGGCCTAGTGAGCTTCTCAATGTGTCTGCTACGGCCTTAGCAGCCATGATATTTGCCTTGTGTGCCTCGAGCCCCGTCAACCGCTTCTTCTCCTGCTGACGCAGGATGACGAAGGGCTTGCCGAATTCGTCGACAGCCACATTCATATTGTTCTTTATAGATCAATAGTATATACACATATGTGTCGGGAATAGCTAGCTGGAAAAGGTTTGGCGTATGTGGTACGGCAACCGTGTTATATTAGTTACGTCCTTGTCGCGCACATGAAAAACGTTAAAACCCAGGTGGATTCCGCACTGCAGCACGTTACATGCGGCGATTCAATTGAAAAGGATTGCTGGGTTAAGATAACGCACATTTGTACGTCCAGCAGGAGACGGTTGTTGTGCAGTGCGGCCCGCGGCGTTGCCACATCAGGCCCCCTTGAAACATTGATATCTATCCACACCAATATCTCACCTTCATTTTATATTAACATGTGTGTTGGTATGTTGGTTGGTTTGTGTCTACACTATGTGTTACGGTACTCGAGATCTTCGGTACCTGTACACGGCACTCAGTAGGCTTTCTTTGGGCTCCTGAATGCGAAATAGAGACATACGAGAATGAAAATGGCGACTAGAACGTACACCATATACTTCTCCAGCAGACCTTGCCGTGCAAGGATCTTTGACGATGTTTTAAACTTGAGCGTTTCAGCTTTTAGCCCGTATGCCATACGGCCGATGTCTACTCGTATTGGAAAGCATTATTGACACATAACTCACCATCCAAGTTTTCTCCACGATGTAATATCTCATCTATGTTGCGGCGCATAATATTTGTGACCTCGTTAAGGCTATTGTTGATCATGTTCAATGCTTTGCTAGAGTTTGGGTCCTTGAAGTTGGCCTTGATTTTGTGAATTGTGCGATCTGAAACAACATAAATTACTTTCACAACCTTTGTAAAACACTTATAACTTCAATAAACAACGTAATACGCATGTTATGTGCTTATTTCGCTACCCGGACGACCGTAGTTAACATATACCACCAGTATAAACGAAACCACAACTAACCAAAACTCATGAAGCTGTAAGGCTTTGCGATTGTGCTGATAGTTTCAGCCAATGACGACGAACCTAGTTGAACAGAGAGTTCTTTTGAAAAAGCAGTGCACAAGTCCGCAAGGTAGAGGAACGCAAGCTTTTTGGGATAGGATATTGGTGTTACCGTCATGTAAGCAACTCCATCCTCCACAATATAGTGATAACACATGTTTCCTTCTGTGACAGAGCACTTCATTGGATTCTGTGGCAGTGTTCGGCAAATCGTACGGGCGTTAATTTTAACAGCTTGCGTTATCTTGGATGGGTCGCTGGAGTTTTTGTCAATCGAATCAGGAGTTAGGCGGTCTTCCCACATCTCTACTAGTGGGAGACCGTCACTAGCACGGCATATTAAGGTCAAATCACCCATACTGACTGGTTCATGAATGTATTTGGACCATAACGTATGAGACAACTTTCCGCTGGATCAAACTAAAGTTCAATCTTTATTCCATCTAACCTCGATTCTAACGTTTCCCCTATCACTTTAGGCATCCAAACTGTCGATATATACGAGGCCGAGTCCGTGTGTCATTGCAAATGTAGCTGTAATTTACAAAGCAAATTCTACGTAACTTGCTGTTTTCATATTATATGAACACTATAAAACGTTCTTTGTCACCGATTTACTGCTAATCATAAGTTAAAACCGGAGCGGGCTCCAACGATCACCACTAATCGGGGTGTAGGACACTTCTGTTCTAAAGCCATATGACATTTCATGTCCACACTGTGTATTCTGCGTGATATACCACATCTGTTAGCGTGTGTGAAAATACTCTTGTTGAATTCACGCCGGATGGCCTAAATTGGTACACACCCGTAACTGAGGTTACGATGTGTATATATGTGTTTTACGTCGATGGGACAACTTCCTCCACCGCTACTTGGCTACTTTGTGAATATTTGTTTTTATTAAAAAACATTAAATATTAAACATTAATTAGAACGTATATTTTGCAAAGATTATGCCCCCTTTCCTGCTGCATCACTGAGGATTTTGTAATTGACGAATTTGTCATACATCTCTTCTAAATCACTATCACGTTCGTCATCACTACAATCATCCAATCTGAAGAATGTGATCAACTCCACGTCTAACTTACTCTGGTTGGTATCGTCGTTTAAGATATTCGTTACTGTAATGTTGTTTGCGAAGCTCCGCGAACTGTCTGCTCTTCTCGGAAATCTTCTCAATCTCACAGAGACGATCTACTACTTTCTGTGCGAGGTTGTCACAGTCCATCCTTTGGTAATCATTGCTGGATTCATCAAGCGAGTCAGCATCGGACATGTAACAGAACGGAGTGGCAACCTCTAAAATCTTTGTACGAGTTCCTCTTGCTTTATCATGTTCACTGATAGTCTTCTCATCCCAAGTGATTGTCTTCTTGAAGCCATACCTGATATTTCATTAAACTATGTCCAGCAAGTTCGGCATTTACGTGAAGATTTTGGTGGTAGTTGCCACAAAATGTCTCCACTTACTTGGAATGTTGCCGGGATGGAGCGTCATTATTAACCGTTTCCATCCTACGATGAAGCTTTATTCATTTGCGGATTTATTAAATTCAGTATGCCAATAGCATGCTGTTAATGTAGCAGCAGATATCATGAACAACTGAGTCAAGCTTTGACTGCAGTTACGCGTGGCAATCGCTCCTCTTGGTCACAGAAGTGATAATGTACAAGTTATGCAGCCGTAAATCATTAATTTGCGGTGACTAATGCGCCAAAACCAAAAATTAAAACAAAAACAAATCAGTTGCGACTCAGAGCCGCAACCAATGGAAGTAAAAATTAAAACTCAAATTATTGCATTTTCTTTTGATGCTATCTAATGTACGATGCTTCGGTGACCGCGGATATCACCGACTCGCGTGGCAAAGTGCCTTATATACCCCGCACCCGAAACATACGATGTGTATACATGTTACGTTGTACACATTCACCAAGGTACATATGATCTAGCTATGACATCATTTAGCGAGTTCGCGCATAGATCAACGTATCCTTAAAAATGTTGTACAAATGGCGGGGAGACAACGTGGAATATGCCGACACAACAGCAGCCTATCCTTTTTTCTTCACCACTCTAGCGGATCATTAAGAGTCTTTACATTCGGAAGGATAACACCTACGAAATAAAAAATTCTGGCTACCGATATAAACATTCTGTAAATATCACTTTTGTCAGTGGCCCGTAGACAAAATGAATGTCGTAGATGGTGGGTGCTTCATGGCACTAAGCGACTCCCTTGTCGCTGTAGACTTGCGTTTGGTTGAGGATTTTACCCGTGTCGATTTACTGCATAGGTGTAATATGCTAGACGGGGTTACACCTGTTAACGCCTGTCTCATCGAACGCAGCAGGGCAGGCCTATGGTACGTGTACGCCATAACGGAATCTTCCGGTTGTGAGATTGACGAAGACCGTGTAGCAGCACTTGTTTGTATCGCATCCAGTGACATCGACCCAACTGTGGCAACCGCGGAATACCTTCTAGGCCTGTCATGGAAGGATGTTCCTCGAAACGTTTCAAACTGGTTCACCAATGATGTGCAAGTCAAATGTGGTACCGTAGGATTATTGTGTATGGAAAGTGTACGACGTTGTGCCAAATCACATGGTCTTGTACCCGAGAACTGCGAGGAATTTTCAAACTACATTCGAGAATGGGCGAACACCATGTGTCAGATAACCACGACATCAAGCAAGGTATCACTCTCTAATTTCCCTGGTGGACCTATTGGAGCCGTATCATCCGTTGGAATTTGTGATAACGGAAATTACAACTGTCAGGTCCTGAAGGACGAGGTCACAGAGGAAGTATCGGGCGTCAAGATAGTGTTCCCATCAATGGAGCCGGTGACGACATCTTGACAACACTTTATTCAGGGTGTCCAACCATAAGAACGTATGCTACAAGCAACAAGATGGCTGGAATTGTGTCTAATATGTTTATCGTCTGGACGCTCAACGCTGCATCGAGCGATGCGAATAACGTCTGCATTGTAAAGGTCATACGTTGCCTTTTGGGGCGACTCATACGGTTTTAAAACATGTTAGAAACAGTCCTTTGTTTCTGATTGATGGCTATTCCACGTTTTAGCCATGAAACCAGCGCTTCAGTCGCCGGAAACAACGGCAATGCAACGAAGGTATACAATTCAATTTACTATTTATCGCACACTAGCTTTGTATGTTCGGTGTCTTGATTGACAACTTGGGAAGCAGTTGGGCTACCCACTCCTGGGATACCTCGGAGACGTTTTGTATATACACCTTGCGGGTGCTGGTACACTCGTCAAATATAACCAAAGGCGGCAGAGGCCGCCGTGTGAAAATAACGGAATGTGGATGTACCATCACAGTTTTGCTCTGAAGTTCAAGTTTATATAACTTACCAGAGCTGTCAAGGGAAGCCAAATTCATCCAGCCGCCTTTACAAAGACACTTCAGCACATTGTCCCACTCCGAAACGTCCTTGCAACTGGTAATATTAGCAATACCGATACGTCTTGTAAGCACTTCCACTAGCTGGTTACGTATCTCCGAGGCTCGCTTGAAAGCACCTGGGTTGAAGCCGAACTGTTTGCAGCACTCTTTTCTGTTTGGTGCCTCATTCCATATATTGTACATGTTTAGCAGTGTTAAATGATCTCCACTTTTGTTTATTATATTTCTGCGCATTTTAGAAGCTTCTTTATCGTGTTTATCCGATGAGAACAGGGACAAATCTGTAGATAACATGGATACTATGGTAAGCATTTCAGATGTACAGCTGAATTCCACGGAACACAAAAGCAGTTTCGCATGACGTGGCAAGAGCGGTATGCGCCCCAATTTCCTCCCAATATCTGTCAGATTACCTTTAGAGTCCAGTGCATCCAGACGATATAGTTCCATTGCTGCTGTTAGCAGGGCGTTCTTGCTTGGTGGATCGATAAGGGGAAAGTACAGCGGGTTTTTGACGCCGAGCATCTGTATGATGAATTTCTTTATTATAAAGCAAATCTTACCTTTAGCTCCAAGTATATATGCGAGACATTGGTGCACTGAATTTCTGGTATGCGAAAACTGCGCATGGAATTGAAAACATCGCTGGTGTATAAACGAAACACCTTCCCCGGGCCCATACGTCCTGCACGCCCTGCCCTTTGATTTGCCGAATCTTTCGATATTTTTTGCAGGATCAGAGACTCGAAACCATTTTTAACAGAAAAGAACTTCTGCTTCACCAATCCACTGTCCACTACAAACCGTATTCCAGGAATAGTGACGCTAGTTTCTGCGATATTGGTGGCAAGAACTACTTTGCGATGTCCCGGAGCTGTAGGCTGGAACACCCTCGACTGATGTTCTAACGGCAATGCGGCATAAAGCGATACTACTTCGAGATTCCTCCAGTAGTTAAATTCGTACGGCGTGTCCCCCAAAAGAACCTGAGTTCTATCTCTCAAATCCTCCAATGTACCATCACACTCCAATCCTGCTGTTTTGATGAACTCCCTGATAACCTTCTGTTTGGACGATAAGATTTGCTCCAATGCCTCAATATCGTCTTGGCCGGGAAGGAAGACAAGAATATCACCATGCTTATACGTAAGGTTGATCTGAATTACGCTCACCATAGCCGCTTCCAAATAATCTTCTTGTGGATGGGGGGCATAGTATATGTCGAGTGGATAAGTCCGCCCTGGTACTCTTACGACTGCGCATCCATTGAAAAATCCCGAGAATGTTGAAGAACGCAATGTAGCAGACATGATTATTACTTTTAAATCACTTCTTTCTGTTACACAAGATTGCAATATACCCAAAAGAACATCCGTACGAATAGACCTTTCATGGGCCTCGTCGATGATAACCACAGAGTACCTGGAGAAAATATGGTCATCGAGAACCTCCTGCAGTAACACTCCATCTGTTACATACTTAATCCTTGTTTTGTCGCTATGGCAATTTAGGAAACGCACAGCAAATCCTACAAGCTTGCCTAGGTCACTGTTGAACATAGATGCAACATGCCGCGCCAAGGATATGGCAGCCACGCGTCTGGGCTGCGTGATAACGATTGTACCGTCACCATATCCATTTTCATAGAGAATCTTGGGGACCACTGTGGATTTCCCACTTCCCGTTTCGCCACTAAGTATCAGTACTTGTGAAGACTTCAGTTTCGAAAGTATCTCATCCTTATGAAACCAAATCGGCAACTCGGCGCCCGCGTCCATTGATATAAGCTACCAGGCCCTAACGTCGCCGATGTGTGATACTATAATACCTTTTTCACTTGGAGGCCGTACAGCATAACACCGACAAAGTTTCAGAGATAGGTGCAGCCGGAAGATGACCAGAATAGCATATATCCTGTTTCCAAACCCGCTGGAATTGGTATTTCAGAGCAGATGCATCAGTCCAGCCGTGCCCATTAGTCGCACATCCGGGTGGCATAAGCCTGTGGCAAGCACTGGTAGTGTCCACCAGTTGAATCGTCAAAGGCGAATCTCAATGTAGCGTATCTCCTTTTTGACACTATTTTTGGCATTTTTGAACGCACGAGTTCTTGCGTTAGGAGCACTACAACCGAGCTTAGCTGTTCCACCGAATAGCCAGGTCATGTGTCATAAAATTATAGAACTTTGTATATAATTAACCCACATAATTACATGCGATTTTATTTGGCACTGTGAATATAACAAAACGGTATATTCCTGGGTATTTTAACACTCAAACCAGTAGTAGTATTCGCGAGCGGCACAAATTGCAAATCGTATTGTGAAGAGGCGTATATTATACCCTCGTTCAAGTATAACACATATGCTACCAACAGTATTTATCGCGGCTGTGTTTGACGCGTTCATTCAATCGATCCTCGGCGCTCATCTCCGCCTTCACCACTTTGGTAGTAGTTTTGTAGCTCCACATGCCAGTTTTCTCCCGTAGTGTTATAGTCGATGTTTTCTTGGTTTCTACCTTTGGTAAACCTTCATCTTGCGCGGAGTCACCCTCCGGCTCTTTTTTACGTATAACATAAACACTGGTGGTGATGAGGTCGCTACTGAAAGCATCGTTTAGGCATAATGCGCGATTACTCAGTATAATATCTACCTTACGTTCCTCATTTGCATTCGAGAGAGGATGTTTTACAGTAATCGTATCACCTATAGCAACCTCCTCGGTAAATTTTGTTCCAAAACCTTGGATCGTGTTCCCAGAAGAGACTATCCGACCTGATCCTTCAACTTCCCGTACAGCAGCTGAGCCTGTATCCTTACGATGAGAAGCGGTATCTTCAGTAGACGTGCGTTTCTGTCGTAGCCCTTTACCTTTTAGGCCTTTCAGCTTCAGCTTGCCGCCGAAATTGCGATTATAAAGATCATTCGAAGATGTAACCATTGTTATAGCTGTGGCATCGATACCTTAGTGAATAAGTAGATTGTTTGCCGGAGAGTCTATACTCGATGCTAGGCAAGATTCCGTCAACTAACTTGCTCATTAGCATACAGTATATCCCCGAAACAATAGCATCGATTAGTTATTAATGGATAAAGCTATTTTCATCGTTGTGTGTTGGATTTCATAAGAATTTGTTGAAATGGGACGCTCCTATCGCAGAGCGTTGTGCTTGACATTTGTAGGCCCCAGTCTTTAGTTTGAGGTTTATATTACCATGTAAAACATGATAAACAAACGTTAGTCAGTTTAAAATGATGAGAATTAGGCAATGTGTAGCCGTAACAGCTTTTGCCGAGCGCTCCCAACGAACATAAGCAACGACACAGTTTTGCCAATAGAGTGTCAACGGGGACCGATTAAAGATGGCAGCCATCGCGCAACAAGGATACAAAGTTAAAGGCATAAACAATGTCGTTATCAAGTTGTACCCGCAGGTGCTCGGGATACACAAAGTACACGAACACAACCTTTGCAACGCTCTCAGAGATTTCGGACTCATGCTTAAAGCAGACTGGTAAGATATCAGCTCATATACCTGCACAAGCCATATTGTACTAGTGGTGACGTTATTAACCCTTATGTTTCCTGGGAAATTACATACCAAATGGATGCCTTATGATATTGCCACCTGTTGCTCATAGGTGTTACATTCTATACTTGTCGTAAATACCCACCGATATCTTATTAATACAATTAATAGCTGTCGTAGTAGAACCGAGTTGCTACAGTACAATTACGATTTTCTCAAGTTCGCACATACAATGAGATCCAGTGAACTCTGCATGATCGCCCATGGATATTCAATGCTGAACCTTGAAGATCGTAACTGGTGGGATCAGTTCACGGCAGTTGCATCGAAAAACTCATTTGATATGGATGGAAAAGAAATGGCAGGGTTGCTGTATTCACTAAGTAAAGTGTACACCGGTAAACATCCTCTCATAGCAAGACTTATAGAGGAATCCACACATTGGATTCAACACGCAACAGCGAGTACGCTATCGCTACTTGTCAAAGTTATTTCAAACCTCAAGATAGGAGATAGCTATTTACATCGCATCAATGCCCGAGCGATAGAGATTGTCGACCAGCTCAATATGGTGGACGTCATATTCTTCGTCACATCTAACACAGAGGCTAAGACGCATAACCCAGAATTGTATCGAATGTTGTGTTTACGTGCTATCAAATTGTATGACGATATGGAGCTACACCACCTAAGAGCATTGGCAGCGTGCCTCAGCATTGCAGGCTACAAGTCTACGCTATTCTACAATATACTTGCCATCAGATTGGTTGAAATATGCCGCAACAAATCTTTACGTGATGGTGACGTAATATCGCTTTTCCTGGCATATACATCGCAAAAGTTCCTGACACAAAATGACCTATGCATTGACGTAAATGTATATAAGCAGTTTCTGAAACAACGCTTTGGAAGCGTTACTAAGGATAAATTCGAGTTCCCAGTTGCAGAACTGGCTCCTGTGCTGGCAAAAGCGCTAGAAGAAAATATTGACAGAATTACCTACAATGGGATGCCCATTGTATTGAGGGCAATATCGATTTTAAGGTTGCCGGTTGATAAAAATCTGTATGAACGTGTGATTTGCGAGACTGCATTATATATTTCTGAAAATAAATACGACGATCTAAAGTTGTCAAATCTAGTAGTAGTAAGTTGGTACCGTACAACGTTAGACATACTTGCAGACACTCGCCAAACGCCAGGGGAGACATGATGTATTCTGGAACGCCGTTCACGAACTTTTATCAAAGTGAGTACACAGTCTATTCATGCACATTGCCTAAGGCCCGGTATGAAGATTAATGCGGACCTACTTGCCAAGATGACAGTAACCCTAAGCAATCATACAAACGACGAATGTCGTCGGAGGGTATACGAGGATCTACTCCAGGTTGGTTGGCTATGGTAATGTGCATTATATTTCAGCTATCGTCGGAACATTGTAAATACATGAGTGTCAAGTCTATTTTTGCGTTGACCAGGGTTCTGGTGGCCAATATGGAGGTTGACGTTTTATGTAGCACCCCGTATGTGGATGCCATAATAGCTTTAGTAGGTCAGCTAAGGCTGTCTGATGTATTTAACCTATTCAAACTATACCCATTCCGGCTGCTTCCTACTGACGACGGGAACCTCGCACGCATGATAACCGCTGCCAGGGCGGCCCTGGAGAAAGCTGGTGATGACAACTCCTGCTACGCACCTATGAAGAGGCTTATAGATGGCGTTCCTGGTTATAAACAAGAGTAATATTTGTTACTAAGGATTTATAACAGAGTGTAATTTTACACCATGGTGTCAATTGAATGCATTAAATACGTTGCGATTTGGAAAACGGTATCTATCTATCGTTTTCTCCAGTATCTACATTCCTTTTGTACTGTTTTCGTGTAAGCTCGTGGTCGATAAACGGCCTAGTGAATATATCCTTCAAATATTGCTGATCAAAACCGCGTGGGAAGATAGTTTCGTCGCCCCAACGGCCATTTCCTTTTACAGCGTCACAATTCAGAATCAGCGATTTCGCGGAGTACTTTGGAAGTGACCTGTGTGGAATTTGATGCATCAATCAGTGTAAAATGTTACTTTTTAGGGCTACAATCGGACTATTGTCCCAAACAGACATTTACATAACTATAACACAAGCATAAACCATCGTCTGTAACGACTATGAAACCCACCTTGGTGTGAGTTTCCTTCCCGTGCAAAGTGAGTCTTTGGATTTGAACCATGAAAGTGCCACATTTTGAGAATCTTGTGTAGGTTTCCAAACTCCCTATACAAAATTAAAAATCAACTATTATGAGAGTTGTCGTGTAGCCATACCTGAATGGATCGGTTTGTAGTCCACACTCGCGATTGTCCGTGCTTCAAATATTCCATTCCACCTGCTGAGTTGCAATGTAGTTGTATGATCTCTTCAATATGTCGTGCTTCTAGATCCTTGAGGCTTATGTCATACTTCGATCCGTCAAGATAACTGGGCCGTAATGAAATGGTTTGCCGTAATAAATTGTCAAATCAACAAGAGAATCCGTGTTCATAACGATAGGCAACCGTAGTGGTAACGTAGGTTCTTACCTGAACAACGCAGAGGGCATCTCATATTGCTCATGTTGTGTCCTGACGTCCACGTGCGGGTATCTGCGCTGGAAAGTTTCCAGTAAATGCCGCATGTAAAACCGCAAACCACGGCTGCTGTGAGCAGTTTCGCTGTATCGGAGTACTATAGACTGTAGTTGCCATACGCCATTACTAGACATCTCCTAATAATGGTAAGTGACCAGATGCGAGGTTGAATAACACCAAGTCACGACTGTTGAAGGTTACAAACAGCTACAACATGGTAAAATAACAATTGCGATATTTATAAATAGGTCCCCCGAGGTACGGAACTGGAAGGTCAAATCACCCTACGGTCACAAATTAGCTGAATAACAAAATATAAATTAGATCAGATAAACATGCCGTTGAAGTGGGTGAAATGTGCATTGAATGTGTGAACCCTAGGGCTGGACGCGTCAGGGCAACAATGAATGCCAGAGTTGGATACTAATACCGCTATATTAGCGATAATTGACCACATATAGACATATTATCGTAAGTATAGGCCATAATAGGCTGACGTGTGGAAGAATCACGTGTACTAGCTAGTGGAGTAGCTTACATGAATGGCAGCGTCAAAGCTTCCGGGCCAACAAAGAAATAACATAGTTTTGTTTAAACGTATGTTGATGTATAAGTGATAAAACAGGCGCTTGTAGACCAGTCAGTCACGAAATAGCACTACTCAACACGACCACATTCCGATATAGCTCGAGGCACCAACACACCTATTCAGCAATCGCCTACAAGGGTCCATGCGGCCATTATCGACCATAATATAATAAAATTTTGTATCGTATTGCTGTGGATATTCGACTATCGAAGGTCTACTTCCCCATCCGTACGTCGCTATCCTGCCCCATTCGGCGTAATCCCATTGGCTTGAACGAACGTGGTTGCGAAACCGTTGTTTGTGGACACTGTAGTTTTTTTAAACGTCTAATACGGACATAATTATTGACTCCAGAGAGTAACAGGGTTCAGGATTGCCCGAGGCCAACGTTGTTCAACACCTGACTGTGCAACTACCAATACTTCAAAATGGATCGCGGCGATGCTCAGGTAATTTATTGTATAATATTGTGTAACGACATACCTATATGAATATGTGTCAGTCTGAACTTTGTGTCGACAGAACAAGGCCCAACCAGTGTATTGGAGTGTTGTTTTGACGGATATACAAATATTTTGCAGAACCAAAAGGCTTACCAAAAGCAGCCTACTGTTAGTTTGATGAAACTACAGAAATTGGGACGTAAATCGCGATACTGGAAGGATGTGGGCATGGGATTTGTCACACCCAAGGAGGCTAAGGAAGGTACCTACATAGACAAGAAGTGCCCATTTACAGGCAATGTATCCATCCGTGGAAGGATCATAAAGTAAGTGCTTATGCGTAATGGTTGAATCATATTCGTGTTAACCGCCACGAAATAAGGCCGGCTATACGTACGTGAAACGACCGCCATGCCGTCTACTCTGTTACATTGTCTCCAAGACATCGTACTAATGTGGTTACAGGGGGATGGTCATTTCAACCAAGATGAAACGCACTATCATTATGCGCGTCAACTACCTTCACTACATCAAGAAGTACAACCGTTTCGAAAAACGACACAGGAACATCGCCTGCCACTGCTCGCCGTGCTTCGAACCCACTGCCGGTGACATTGTCACCGTGGGACAATGCAGGCCCCTCTCTAAAACGGTCAGGTTCAACGTCTTGAAGGTGGAAAAGAACCAGATTTTCGGAAACCCAAGGAAACAGTTCCGCCTGTTCTAGACTCACTAAAAATCTGGTAACAACTGGAACACTAATCGTAATCAGTAATGATTCTACATACGTGGATGTATCGTTTTTTATTTCGAATTAATGCCCTATATACATTTTTTAGGCGATTGGGGGCGGCATTTTCAATGCCCCCAAGCGCCGTGCGTGACAGAGACGTAGGAGGTGTGATTGTTCGTACGTAACAGCACGGCGTCCCACAGAGGTCCACGAACACAGTTGTGGACCATACAAGGTGACGGTGCGGCCCTGAGACCACGAATGGTGCATGAGTCTACCGTGGGAGATCACAGTAACCCAGGACCCGATATTAGTTCATGGGTCTAGGAGCGTACTTCGCGACGACTCCTGGCCGTTGGAACCCCCTTATTACGATCGTTTGGTCTTTTAAATGGTACTCTCTGGTAATAAGGGGCCACATTTTGTTGAGGATTATGACGTCGCTTCTGGAGCCAGGACTTAGGTCGCTCGGTTACACCGTAGTATTCTAGCTTGCCATTGATTTCTTGGTATTCGTGACGTTTAAATCCCAAATGATTAGAAACTGGCTTGCCACGGGTTTGGGCATATTCCACAAACCTTTCACAAACACTGGTCAAGAGATCTTCTAGAAGATCCAGAGCCTTAAGGTAGGCAGGGATCTCACGTGATGAAAGACACACATGTAGGCGTTCTGCCACTGGAGCTGAGTTTAATGGCTTGCCTCTTATCGCAATATCCACTACGCCTCCTGAGTTGCGCATTATATACTCGATATTGCTATTATTTGGGCCCAGAATTGCCTCTGTGATGCCAAAACCAGGCTCGTATGTGAAAAGATCGATAAGCTCCAAACGAGCTACCCTTGCATAAACTGTGTTTTGTGTAGGTACAGCACGCTTGTGTCTTGTGTCGTTATACGAATTGCCGGTGTTGTACGATCCAGAGTTTCTGTTCTGATCAAACAAGTGGACATTAGATATTGCATGATCTAGTTTTTCTCCGTTTCGAAGCTCGACGCAGCGCAATGTTCCTACACCAGGTATTGCTATACCATTAAGTTCATCGATTGCTGCCAAGCCTCCAGCATTGTCTATAAAGGTAAGTTCTGCTGCAGGGAAGGTGGGTTTTATGTCTATTTTAGAAATCCCCCCGAAATTGACAAACAACTCCACGAGATCTCTTTCCACGAAATTGTACTCACCTGTCGCGTGTTCTATGAATAATGCAGCTCTGGTGTTGTTGGTATTGCTGTATGACCTGGCTGTTCTACCCCGACGCATGCGCATATCCGACACATTTTGTCGATACCACACATCATTACTTCTCACATGAGAGTTGTTTGCTCTCCAGCTTGGCGGTTCTTTTCCATAGCCATTGTAATTGATTTGATAGGGCGGCATCATTGGGTGTGTTGTAACCGGTAAAAAAGGTGCATGAATTGTCGGCATCGAGGTTGCATGATGGCCAACGGGTCCAGCGAACATCATGGGATATACGTTGTTGTCACGGACAGCGCCTACGTTATCCGGTACATAGCCGTGGTTCGTCATCTTGGCGATTGCGGCATTCGACAATCGTCTACGTCAGGTTAAACTAGAAACAGGTGTCGGGGTGTTGCAAATGATCCTTGACACCTGTATTTTCTGCAAAGAACAAAAGGATCTGTTTGCCTTAGCCTTGCGCTTTCGCGAAGGCTTATATTTTATGGGCGAATATTTTTCCACCTGGAACTATCTTCGTTCCAAGTAGTTGCAGGAACTATAGAGAGGCTCTAATAGGAAGAGGATATCGACCAAAACGAAGTTCGGATCATCATTGAATAAGCCGTGTTCGTATACATCGGTGTTTTTTGGCGTCTTTAAGGCGATCGATGCGCTGTTGAGGATACAAACGCCATATCTCGTTTAACAGGACTTCAGATAGCCATATGCAGGCCTAATCCAACGGATAATGCCCTCAATGACAACGGGGCAACATTATGCGGGTTGCGCAGCTTATTATGGCACGTTTAGTTCAAAAGCCACGCTGTCTCTTTGTAGCATATGTTGAACTTGCTGGTTATACTTTTTGACGCAGCTAATAGGCACTGTAGCACGTAACTTGTGGTCTAGTGGCTCATCGTATCCGCGATATGGGGATATGGGTTACATTAAAACGTCACCCTAGACACACAACGACGGCGACTGTACTCAAAAAAATTATTATCGGTATGAGCATTAAGAGATGCATCTGAATGTTGGTTGTTATAATTTTTTTTCTAACAATTTCACTTATTTCGCGATACTGCGATACTGCGACACTGCGACGTTGTAAATAGGCTCTAATGTGACGCAGCAGCGCACATTAAAATTTTAAGTTGAAGCATTCTAACTAGGCATGTATATCTGTAGTTTTAGATCCTTTCGTGGCATGTTGTGTATAGGGAGTCCGTGAACAATTTTTTAACACAGACTCTGTTACTATCCCATCACGCAGATAAATGCCATTTATTTATTGTTGGCACTATGCAGTTCGTGCAGAGCCTGTTCCAGTTTAGCTTCTACCTCCTTGTAGTCGTTATGTAAACAGTGGACCCGATGTCTCGCATTCCTAACTGCATAAACATCTATATCGCCGCGGGGGAACTGTTCAGCATCGACTAGAGGGCCTTTCATACCGACATTCTTGCACTCGTCACTATTCAGGAAGCTAATGTGAGCTTCCATCTCAACCTCAATGTCCTTCCTACGCTTGCTTAACTCATTTATGCGATCCATCTGGTAAATCGAGGTCACAATGATTCAAAATATAATAGCAGACGCTATGGAGCATTTCAATACGGTAGCTGCCACTTACAGACTAACCGACCTCACGACCCTTTAAAACGAAAAAGTGCAAGACAAATACCGATATTATATACACACATTAGACAAATACAATTTTCTGTTGTTACTTGTGTAGATATTAAGTAGTGATATTATGAAATTTACCCAAACAATCATCTCGTAGTGATGGTGTATGGTCACAAGTGCCCAGATCGCGTGATTGTACTGGAAAAAATATCACTAAACGCATGGGCACACTTACACCCATGATAAGAGCCAAATGGCTACATCCCAAGGGGGCACAATCTGCCTTACCTGTTGGATGCGATTTCAGCCGAACTTATAAGGTATCTTAGGATATCAGACACCCTAATACTTTGCAGAGGAACTTCGCGTACTACAGATTCCACAAAAGAGTGGGAAAAGGGAATTGGAATAGATATGTAGAACGATACATCAAACCACGGTCTATCGAAAACACGCAACGCATTACATTCAATTATCAAGCATCCTTCCAAGCAGCGAAGAATGCGGCATCCTACCTATGGGAACTACCAAAACGAATCGCAGGGGCAACCAGTGCCAATGATGTCCTAGATGCATGGATACATTTCAGGTGGGTAATGTGCTCCTAAGAACATTCAGCCCATCTCAGACATAAACGCAAAAAAGCATATCATTACGTGCTGGCGCTGAGGAGACTTACAGATATTAAAGATGTCGATATAACAGATTGGAGGTTCCAGTTACTTGTAAAAAAACTCCTGAAAAGGAGTAAATATCTTATAGGTAACACAAATTGGTCTATAATTAAATATAACGCAGATCTGCCAAACATTTGCCGTTATCTAGGGACATTAAAAGCGGTTCCAACACTGGATAAACTATCCGTTCTTATCGGGGAAAATATAGACAGATACACTTGCACACAATTGGCACATATCGCATATGCTTACGGAAACTGCAGACTACACTCAAAGTACCTATTCGCACTGCTGGCGAAACAATTACAGGAAAAGATACAATACGCATCAAACCATGATCTGACCACGATTGCAAATGTAAGTTCTTGGGATAAATTTTCATATCCTTTCGAAAAAAGCTGAACATATCTTGTGGTCTTATAATGTGGTTGTTTCTATGATTGTATCCACTTATATTGGATAGTAATGGGTTTATCAGGCATTCGGAAAATGTATGGTCTACAACTACGGTATACTCGCCGCCATATCGCTGGAAATGCAAAAAAGGCTTTCTACTGGCTTTAAAAATAACGATAGCTATACAGGATTTACAGGGGCGGCTACCAAGCATTGTATAGCGAATCTGCTACCACAAGTAACAGTGCACGTCCAGAGACCGTCACTGAAGGATATCCTTCGATTAGGTTGGTTTCAATGTCAAACGGATATATAACCGCAGCCGAGGCATTCGCTCTAGCTAAACATCGCGATATGGAACTGTTCAACATTCTATCGCATATGGCAAAGGTCTATCTGAACAGTCAAGATCTCAACAATGTAGCCGACCCAGAGATCTCAACAAGGGTGGTTAGGGCATTCTGCACTCTCAAGATAAACGACATAACACTTTTCAACACGATTCTGGAAAATGTGGCAGAAAGACCATACAATTACCCACCAGCATGGTAAGTCCCATTATATCACATTTTTCAAGTAATACGAAGCATATCGGAAATCGGAAAGCACCTGTCTTGCATTCTGCCAAGAAATGTGGAAGTGGTATCGAACGTTAGTTACAACACGTGTAGATAACACGCATTACAGAATTTCATGGCTTGCCTAGAAGAACTAAAACGACACTTATCTCGAATGGATACACCACAACTAACAGATGCTGCAATCTTCGCATACAAGGCTTACATCTCAGGCGATATGAAGGTTAATTTCTTGCAACAAATCAACCAGGCGGTTGTTAAACAAAGCCCCGAAAGGCGGACTTATGACGCACCGAAATTACTAGAAGTTCTTGCAATGCATCACACAATCACAGAAGAATGCTTCAATGCAATTTGTAGGGACATATACCGTGCGGTCGACCTTTTCGAACCTGTGGACTACCAAAGGACATCACGGGTATTGGTACGTTTTACTGTACCATTGATTCACGTTATTCAGCGACAGTTGAAGCGAGAAAATATGGAAAACCTGAAAATGGTTAACATGCTTTCGAAACGCACCATTGATCATTGGGAGGAATTCTCTGAATATCAATATCATTGCGTGGCTAGGGATTTAACACTCGCAGGCCCGCCATTTATGTCACTACTAACGGATTTGTGGAGCCGTAACAGGTGCGTGCCCATTACAATCGTATAAAGATTGTTGTAGATACCAGAAGGGGTTCAAGCCTCATTTAACAGAACCTGATGCGGCAGCAGCAACTTAAACGTTAATCATTAGCAATAAGTCTAACAATGGTTTAAGTGGACGTGTTTGGTTTTACTAAAAAATAACAATTATTTATACAATCAGTCTAAGCGTCAGGGTCCTTGTAGTAATCGCCAAGGAATAAAAAGTATGGGTGACTTGGCATGTAGTTGCGTAGCATCCAGTTGGTTCCACGCTCCTGTAACTCGATATAAAATCATATTACAAAACTTACACTTCGTCTACGGTCTAGGTACCTTGAAATAGGGTTAGTGTTTTCCGCCAACTCCCTCTCCTTTTGTGCCTCAATCCATTCGATGGTGTACCTTTTCGGCTTAACACCAATAAGCATCATGTTCTGGAATAAGAACGCGAGGGTGAATATGGTCAGTACCGATGGTATAGCAACAATGTAGATCGGGTATTGCAGTACCCAGGCAGTCCATGGTTTGTGCTGTCTGCCGAATTCGCCTACAAGAACGGTGTGGAAAACACCGGCTGGGCGAAGGGTCCAATATTCCCAGTTGAACTTATGGTTGTAGACGGGTTTGGAGTTGCGATATTTTTTAGGGCTGCCGTCAGCATTGAACTCTTTTGGAGGTGGTGGAGGCAAATGATGGATCGGTGGCGTTGTAGCAAAAGCACGCTTAATCAACACGCCTAAACACACATTATATCAGTACATGGTTATATGCAAGCTGCTATACGAACTATATAACATGAAATGTGCCGGAAACATACCACTGTAAGGTCCCTGTGGCCGAAGACGTAAAACTACAGTCACGGGGATCATCCTGTCTTGATTATAAATATCTCCTATTAACTCGTATGACTGATCTACACCTTAAAGGCGCGTCAAGCTTAGGGGCCGTTATTTATGGTCAAGGGCGGTCCCACACGGCTTGAGAAAAGATGGCCGGTTTATTTATCAGTAACCGGGCCTCTATGAAAGCATCATTTATATAATCGTGCGCAGGAGCACGCACATGGGTAAAATAGTTGAATAAATAGTGTTACTGCACTACGCGCGTCCCCTCACAAGGCGCTAGACGCAGCTACACAAACCGCCATCATAGCACAGTACAAATATTATACAGGAAAGTAAACATATACCTTAAATATAGGGTCGATAAAATAACTGATGCTTTTCATCGATAGTTTGAGATGTGAACCATCATTTACTAAGCTTGTGCCCCTGCTTTAATCGAACAACGAAAAGCAGTTATTGAGCTGCTGGTACAAGATAGAAGGCCAAATACAAAATTGAGGCTTAATATTATTGGCTAAATCGATTGATACAGGCCGTAACGCCATGAGATAGTCCTTTTTTAGCAACTAGGTAACATGCTATAGCCCACGTTCGACCTTACACGTTTACAAGTGTATTTTAAACATATGGGAATTATCAGAAGCCGATTCGTTATCTAGGCAAACACCCATTCTAGCCTTCCAACAATCTACTGTAGTGTCAAGCGTTGTCTATAGCGAACTCCCAGGCCTGTGGAACACAATCTACATCTCTACTCGCTCTCTTTAATTAAGATTTGTTATTTTAAAGATATTGTGTATCGATGCTGATACGGCGACACTGAGGACTATCGCAAAGCCGGGATGAGCTGCCATTATATGGATAATAACTCTTGGCTTCATGGTATTGCTATCTGACACTGTGGACCGCATTTAGTAACCTGGCTGTGACCGGAGCGACTAAATTGTTCGTTCGTCAGATTTCATCATATCAAAGGTTTAAATCGCACTAATCAAAATCGAAATTACGCACTAAGTCGATAGTAGAACAACCGGATGAACGCTCGACGCCGAACCATTAGCATTGCTCATTGACCCTCAAGGTGAAATATAGAGGGTTGACCTTACCGTGGCATTGCCCTAGGCAAGGGAACCAGCTTATTACCTCCGGATATGTTGGGGAAATCTGCCCTGCCCGTTTTATGCCAACTAAGCTGCTTATTACTGGGATTAAGTGCGAACCTGATATCCGCATTCATTAATCTAGATGAATACCTATACTTGAGGTACCTTGGAATTGGAGATCTAGAAGCTCAGACAATATGGTACTTCGTAAGGCGGCTCAACCTATTCATCGCTGTTGTTGTAATACTAGGCATACTCCTATTCGGGTATGCAAACAAAAAAACAGTATCCGAATGGAGCTGGATGCTATTTAGACTATACGCAGTACTATTAGGGTACATATACTACCACCGTGATACAGGACCACAATTCAACGCAATACTGAGATGGATAACATTAGGAATATCACTAGTATCCCATGTGCTACAATCAATTTCAATATTCTATGTTTTCGACCCCAACGCACCAGGGGGGACAGCAGAAACACACCTCAGGTTGATGTTCTATCTTCTAGGCTCAGCTGCATCAGGATTCTTTATGAGGTTAATCGTATGCCTCAGCCACAATAGCAAGACGATCAACACGCCGGAGCTTATGCCGATGTTGTTACACAAAATTGTAGTTGCATTTTTCCTCATCAGTCTAATCGCCTCGTTAGTAACGACAGGGCTTACAGAGTACCTCTGGAAAGGAACTGATAATCAATATCTATCGCTGACAGTAGGATGTACCAAGACACTACTCGCAGAACACGATGACTGGGGGATCATGATATTAACATCTTTAGGATGGGCACTTACACCATTATCCGGGATATTTGCATCATTCATGGCAATACGCACATCACTGGATGAAAATAACAGAATCACTACAATACACTATGCCATATTCGGATTTATAGCTCTCATAGCGGTGATAATTGCGAAAGCGATATCGCAAGGTCACACTCAACAATTGGACTGCGATAGCGAAAAACTGAAAGATGCACTGTTCAATTATTTAAATGCACGCGCACCTTGCGAAGATAACATGACGAATAATGAAGTTGATAAATCAATGAACACACATGCGGCGGATAGACATGTATATCGCAGGGTGTTCCGTGATACACAACCATGGGCCCTGCTACCATATGGCTACTGGGATGAATGGCATGACGCAGATTATGATAATAACAAGTGGATGACGCAGTACTTGAAAATGTATATCATGCTAGGTCAAGCAAAAGGTGAATTAGCGAACACAGATATGGACGATTGCGTTGAAAATTATCAACAAACAACTGCAAACCGCTATACACTACTACTAGAGGTTAAAGATATATGTCGATGGTCATTGTCATCCTTCGCTCACAAACATGCGGAACTAGACAAAGAATTGGACCGTAAAATGGAATGTTTGGACATCCCCGCCAATCGATATTGCGTTGCCAAGGAACTGATATGCCTCTGGAGGAAAGCCAGTACCTGTAAAAGGGAACTGGAAAAGTTCGATTGCAATAATTGCGTGTATGCGGACGTAGGACTATTGCGTAGCTCGCTGCAATTCATGAGAGGTACTTTACAGTGTTGCGTCGAGGACGCCAAGAAAATTTGCACCGATCTTGGAAAATCTAAAATCCTGAATTACAAACCAGACGACGCTAATGAGACACTTATACAAGAAGCTATTGCAGAACTTGAAAGGGTATTGTTGACAGCGTTTAACCTAATGTTGATGAGGACCCTGGCAGAAGAATGGCTAATGTTGTGTAGATCCATGGAAGCAAGCCACAGAACACTCACTACACTACTTAACAAGCATTCTAAACAAAGTGTTTCAACTAATACTGCTCCGACTGCCTCAACTTCAACTCCAGCTCAACGTGCGGCCACCAACGGAGAGCAAGCTAGTACTTCACAAACAACCACAACCGAATCTTCAGCTGCAACTACCGCGCCAAAACCAAAAGAAAAGCTATGCTGTGGTTGTGGTTTGTTCGACAAATTAGTGAAATGCGTTGCTCAGCTGCACAAGCTACAATGTGAGATGGTAACTTTGATGTGCAATGCGGGTTTGACAGAGCTAAAGTACAAGATGCCTACAATCTGTCATACCCGTGGGATTATGTTGTTGATGACACACTATGAGGAAGTGGCGAAACCCCAAAATGCAACTCAGTCTGCCAATAACCAGGCTAAAACTGACACCAGTTGGTACTGTACCAGATACAATGCACATTTGGATTCTTTGTTGTCAGAATTTTTGTCTGATTTGGAAAAATTGATCCATGGAGATAGATTGTTGTATTGTGCAGTATCTTGGGTTGCCGATTATAAGAAAAACGAGCTAATGATCCCGAAGATCAATATAAAACCTCTAAGTCTTACCAGATCGTTTCTATCGGGACTAATTCACCGTGCCACGGTCATGGGTTGGAAATTGCTGGGAGTTGTGATGACTGATAGTAAATTTGAATACGAGAAACAATGTTGCGATTGTAAGGATGATAAGTGCGAATGCGCCGATTGTAAAAATCCACTTTGCACGTGTAACAAAAACAAACCGGTGACGACAGATAAATGTGAGAAGACAATTACCGACTGCGCAACTGCTCAATCGTCATGCAAGAGTACTTGCGCTGCCACCACTGCTGGAACAACTGGAACTTCGTCAAATTGTGGATGTCAAAAGGTACCATTGTCATCTACCTGCTCGTCATGTGATGATATCAGTAAGTTATCAGCCTTAACGGATTGTAAAGTGCCGATTGGAGACGTACTGGGCTGCGTGTCTACACTGTTACATGAGTCTTGTGCTTATTATTGTGAGTTTATTAAGGCCACGTGGTGTAATACAAACAGTTGCACCGCTCAATCGAATACCTCAACGAATGGGCATAGTGTCATGTCCAACATTTACAATTTCTCGGGCTTCTTGAGTTCATTGAAGGCACATTGTCAAAAGGTTCCGGATTGCAAGTCCGAGGGAAAGTCTTGTGTAAATGCAGTTATGTGTAGTTTATTACGATGTTTATTTACGAAGTCAACATCATCCCTAACGTCTAGTAGTACGTCGCAATGTAATTGTAACGAGCCAAAATGCATAGGATGCTCATTAGCAATGTGCTCTAAGGTTGCGAATGAACAATGTTGCTATCTTTCCTGTTGTTTCACACAACAGGTATGTGATGGAGTGAAATGCCTTTCGGAGTTTAGCTCGAATACCAAGGAGTGTATGTCTAGTATCTGTGGAAATGTGAGATGTATTAAAGAAACAGCTGCCTGCATATCAACACTGGCATCATGCGTCCAACAATTATATCAATGTATCACTTGCAAATTATGTAAGATGATTGAGTGTGCAAAGCAGAATGTATGTAAGCTAACAACATGCTTGCAAAGCATCGTGGAGAAGCAGAAGGAAAACATAAAAAAGTTAGTTTCTAGCTGCAACAGAATCAGGGGCCAACTTTTTAGCCTTGAGCAGCGTTACGAGGCGTATTCATATGCTTTGGAGCATCAAGATAGATCTCTTGGGAAGAATTCAGTGTTAATGACCAATATAGGGACGTTTATCAGTGACCTACGTTCCCGGACATCGGCGACTAAAAAACATCTACACACCACTAGACGCTCTGCGTACATGAAATCAGTGAAGTATTTGATCTGTAACTTGTACAATAGACAATCGAGAGGTGCTACGGTTCCAAAGGAAAACTTGATAGGCATATCCTCATGGTTTAACGCTGCGGTGTTGCTGATCTTCTTTTGTTATTGCCTAGGTGTCGATATAAGGTTTTATTTCGGTGTCGTACGTGGATTGATCTCCTACAATTTATTTGGAATGATTGCGGCGATAATGTCACCCATATTGGTGGTCGTAGGGCTCACATTGATGTCGAAAATGACATATAACGGAGGATACTTCGTCAACGTAGCCCTTATGTTAGGTTTCGTATTTGCCATCATTGCGTCATGGTTCTCGCAAAGCTATGCACACAGATCATACATAGCTGAACAATTTGTCAAGTATTACAAGAACTATCGAACAATGTACCCAGATTATGTTGACCAACCACTGATAAGAACACGTTGGTGGGCTGACGGGTTTCGTAATTTAGTAAAAGCAGATTTTATAGCGCTATGGAATTTATTCGCCTTTGGAAATATGGTAGATAAGAAGGATATCTATAACTTATATTTGTCACCTCGCATACAAGTTTACCCAACGACTAAGCTGGACGTAAGGCGATTATGGCCAGTAGTAAGAGCAACTCACCACATCAAATCCGTAGTATTGAAGGATATGAAGGAAAACCTAGACAAATTTTTCGACTTTGCAGCACTTTCCATGTTAAACACTATATACTGGAATTTTATGACAGACATTGGAGTTAATAACGATGTCACATATCCCTTGGACTTGCTATGGGAAGGTTGGACGAGTGGTACCGTTGTTACAAAGGGACACAGCGCAGTGTACGATTCCAGAATGGAAGCACTTGATGCTTTTAGTCGCTCGGTTGCCAGCGCCGTTGATAAGAAGGAAATAAAGAGAGGGGCCACAGAAGAACTATTGTTAGCTTTCCAAAAGAAACAACTTGGTGGAATGGCCAAAAAATCTGTGGCACTCCCCTTCATCCCAGATGTACCAAGATTCCCACAACAACGAGATGCTCTAATGGAACTTTTCGTACAAGAGTATCGTGGGTTGTGGTCTGATATGAATGTAACACGAGCTTCATCAAGTGATGGTGCCGCTGCCATTGACGAGACAACGAAAATGGAGTTGGATGACACAAAAGCCTCAGGATACAACCTACAGGATTTAAAACAATCCTGTGACGGCTGGGAAACCCGTAAACTTCAAATCTGCAAGGAAGCTTATAACAATGACAAACGATGCTTGGCGTTAGTAAAGTCAACTGCTCATAGATTTGCGAACTTTATAGCTTCGTTGGATGATAAAACCGCATATGCCGATGAACGTAGACTCTTCGAGGCGTACGAGCAGTATTGCGAGAAAGTGGAATACGAAAATAAATATGAGGAATCTAATATCCCAACTGCGAAACCCATTCTGCATTCACGCATGGTGTCCGAGATACGACAGATGACGCATATCAACGCAAAATCACCGTGGAACGATGTGTTAACCGCTTTGGAACGATTGGTAACACTAGAGGATGAACTGGTGGAAGCGCAGAAGAAACAACAAAAGTATGTTTTCGGTGAATGGGTTCGGTTAAACGGAGTCAGTGTAACTGCCGGCAATGTAGCTATTATGTCCAACGTAGCCGACCGATGAAAAGTTGTATTTAGATTTAAGACTTCTAATAGCCTTGTATATAACAGTTTTAATGTAGATTAACTTAATTGTACCATGACTTACATCCAAGTGGCATGTTATAGCTGCATTGGACGTGAAGTGAAGCGTCACTGCCCCGAGTTATGATGCAGCATACAGTTTGTAAACACAATTTATATATGTATGATGTGAAAACAGCTTTAGAAGACCGCAGGTGCAACGAAATTAATGTAACAAACCCCGTGTCTGTTGTGATGGTGTTCACCATGAATCCCCGATGAATGTCAATATGCAGCCTTGAACGGTGTTTGATTGTTTCATTTTATTGAAAGGTTAGAAAAATATACCTCAGACTTTTGGCATACTGATTTGATGTGGAAAACTATAATTCTCGGTGTGTAAAGTAACTCGGAGGACCGAAGAAAGGATGGCAGAGCCCATTTTTAAGTTTGAATCTTCCTTAAAAGGAAGAGCGCTGCAATGTGTAGTTGTTATGGCCCTGGACTTGCCTTGAGCACGCGGATTACCTAACTGATAAGATGACGGAGGAAAAGAGAAAGACACAGTCAGCAGACTACCTGTTCTGGTATCTCAATTGTCTACTGATTGGGGCTAGTGTCGCACTATTTAGTGCTATTATGAGCTTCGAATCCTACGTACTCATGCGCTTCCTTGGAGAGGAACATCTCACCGCTCAAGGACTGTGGTACTTCCTAAAAAGGGTACATTACGTAATCGCTATTGGCGTATTCGTGCTTATGATATTCACGCCCCTAAAGAGAATATCGCTCGAACATCTTGGATGGGCGCTATGCGCAACATACGCCCTACCTGCTGTATATTTTTACTTCTGTGATGAGCCTCTAGTGTCGTCCTGGAGGTCAACGTGTCTCTTCATAGCTGCCTCGGTCTGTTCAAGCGCCCTGATCTCTGCTTTCTTCTTTTTTGCTTTCAAGTTGGAAACACACAAAAATATGATGATGCCAGTGAGATCTGTATTTATGTTTATATTAGGAACATGCCTCGCAACATACGTTCCTACTATCATGGTAAAAAAAAGTACGTCAGGCGCTAAAATAAATCTTTATAATGAACAAGAAGTTTGTGGTATGTTAAGAACAATATTTGCAATCTACACGACGATAACATTTCTCTCCGCTGCACTCACGTCCCTAGACCCTTGCAGCTATTTGGGAATATCAGATACAGAATGTCTTAAACAATACAGCCTTGGAACCAACATAATACCGGAGGATATGGCCACCACAGGTATTATTTTTCTTTGCTCTATAGGATGGGCACTCTCACATATTTGTGGATCTGTGACACCGTTCATGTTCAATTTACATTTGAACGAATCAATATGGATTACAAATCTACAATGGTATATATTCACTGCTGTCACGTTATTTTTTCTGATTTGGTCTTTTTGCCGATCGTTTGCGAGAGATGGTTGCCAGCAAAAAAACCTAGGAAAGTCAACTATGGAGGCTGCAGATGCGGTTGATACCGTGGAGCCCATGACGCAAGTCCCTGATAAAGAAAAACTGAATTCGTGTATTAAAACGAGGATATTACGGGCGCCACAACCGTGGTATTTATTACCAGCTGGTTTCTGGGCAGATTGGGAGTATGAAGATAACGACTTTCACGGTTGTGTAGCGCAATGCTTAAAAATAGCCAATCTCTTAACCTCCATTCGTGATGGTGTTAACATGGATGATGGATGTAACGAATTGGAAATCGAACAAGTCATGACAAGAAATGACATGTATAATGCTAAGTATCATCTCTTGTGCTTAGTAGCGAACTTTGTAACCAAGTGCGAGAAAACCATAGAATATCTAAACGAAGAACTAACAAAGAGATCGTGTTTCAAATGTCCATGTAAAGAATTCGAAAACAAAATCCGAGATTTCATATCGAAATGCGGATGTGTAGATAATATTGAGAGAGACCTAAACTTCACAACTTGTTCTTGTGAAAGAGATCATGAAGACAATACACAGGGTAGTTCCAGTACAACAACTGGCAACCAGAACTGCAGTAAAAATTCTAGTGCCGCGTCAACGTGTGGTTCAAACACCATAAGCAGCAATATTTGCCAGATGGGGTGTCGTTTGAGGGATTGCATTGAATTGGCGAACAAACTGGCAACAAAAGTAAGGGGGTCATCTTCCCTGTGCGATGATCTTGACGACAGCTCACTCTATTACGCTGCTGATCTTTTAGATGATTTTTTGAAGGAGTTCATTGCTAATTGGTTTTTGTTTTGTTTGGTGGAAGAATGCATTGCCGTGTTTAAATATATAGACGTGGTTCAAAAAGGTGTCGTCAAAATCATAGATCACTACACAAAGCAATATAAATGCCGCAAAGGTATAATACGTGAACGAAGCAAGAAAGATGGGTCCGTATGTGCATGTGTTTGTCTCGTGAAATTGGTACAGTGTTGCCAAACTTTACACGCCAAGCAGTGTGGGACGATTCCGAGAAGTAATGAAGAGGCGATCCGTGGGTGCCAAGAGGCAGCCAGTCTGTCACATATTCGTTGCCTCGTGTTGATGGTTTATAGCTACATAGATTTGATGGATTCGAAACTGGCATCTGAATCAGGTGATTGTGGGTCGTGCCATTCGCAAGAGGATGCTAGTGCTTGTAAATGTGGCAACTACAACTACCGATTGTATGACATTTTGTCGCGATGGCTCACTGATGTCTCTACATCGATGAGCGCGGGAGACAAACTGCTTTCCGACACTATTGAAATGCTATCATTAGTAGCCAACAACGATGATTATGTTGATGTACCCGCGCCCGAATATGTCAAGATATTGCGATCATTCGTAGGTATTGCACGTAAAATAACACTGCAAGCTAACAGACTTCGTGGCTATCAAACCATGAGAAGTTGTAGTGATGCCGATGCCAAAGTGGACGAGGAAATAATGAAGACATTCTCGAATACCTGCCCTTGGTGTTCCAGTGACTGCAAACAAGAGTCATGCGAATGTCTTGAGAAAAAACTAGACGAATTTAAAGAGTTAGAAGAGTGTTCCATGGCTATATTATGTGCACTGTCGAATCTAAAAGATGTAGGAGTCGTCGAAAAACTACCTGACTGTTGCAATAAAATCTCAACGTCTTTAGAGCAGTTAAGTATAAAGCTGGAGACTGTCTGCGGAAAAACGGCCAGCCAAATCAAATGTCTTAGTAGCATTGGCTGTGAAGTAAGTGACTTTTTTACCAGTTGCATTAAGCAACCAACATGCTCATCGAATGCATCTGACAACGCATTTTGTAATGTGGACGACGTCAACAAGGAATTGGTAAAGCTCCTGTTCTACAGTTGTAGTATGCCATCTGGTGATAGTAAGGAATGTGTATCGACGTCTCAGCCCCAAGAGTGTAGCCAAAAGGACTGCAAGTCCATGTCGTGTATCTTGAGAGATTTGATGTGTACGATTTATGGCAGCGGTAAAGAAGTAACCGGGCAATGTCAGTGCAAAGAACAGGAGAAAACTGAATGTTGTACTCATGGAAAAGGATTATGCGCCATTTTGCAAGAGTGCTCCTGCCAATTAACTGAACTCCAAAGTATATTGGGATGCCCTGGTGGACTCGCCGAAAAGTTGAATCAACTCTGTAGCACGGTTGCTGCTGTGAGTGAGGAGATGACCAGCATCAATTGTTGTTTGGACTCTTTAAAATGTGATTATCAAAACTTCGATTGCTATCTAACTGAAGTCCAAGATTGTTTGCAGCAGAAATTCGAGGCGGAAAAAAACTCAATCTGTGAGCTGCAGAAGTTTTTGGACGATAATGGTGAGGCTTGCCGCTCCGCAATAGAGTCTATGACCGACATTTTAAAAGCCACCTCAGAGTTATCCGAACATCACCAGAAATCCGTATTCTTCTTGGACACGGAAGTAAGGAAACTTACAGATAACGTCAACAAAACCTGTGAAAGAGCCCAGGGGTTGAATGATGCGTTGGTAAAGTGTCTGGAGGGGTTCGATGCCGAAAAAAGAAGCATGCTAGTTCCACCAAGGAGGGAACGATCAGGTTACCGTAAGGCTAGAAAATATTCAATGATGGCCACTATAAGCGACTACATGTGGCACTTTGATCTTTTATGGTCATTTGGTTTCCTATTTTGTGCGATACACAGTTGGTACAATTCCCAATCTAACAATTGGCTATATGTAACCAGCCGAAACTTCGCAGTCTTGGTCGCTGCCAAAGGTGTAATGATGGTGAACATATATGTGTTAGGGTTATGTTCACGCAAAGGTAATCCGGATTACTTTATAAACTACTCATTGTTGCTGGGATTCTTCATTGCGCTTTGTATGTCATGGGCCAGCCAGTGGTGGGCACAAGCCGTGTTCATCAGGGAACACTCTAGGCCTGTCAGTCAATGGTTCCGCGTGTTATATCCAGATTATGTGCATGGAGCAATTGGAGGGGCGTACCAGTGGTATGCCGGGATATGCGGTATCATCGGTGGAGATCTAATGTACCTAGGACGCTTCATATTTAGAAATGATCTTTCATGGTATCGTTACAACCCATTTGGTTCCATGTTCGATAGCTATTTTAGAATGGACAGTAGACCGCTCTATTTCCATGGAGTGTGCCATTGGAACTCCTTCGAGAACAAACTGCGCAGTGATATTTTAACTTCAACAATGGTAGGTGATTATTCGGGACTCGTGAATTATCTGGCATTCAAAAGTTCGTATCTAAAGGATTTGGGATTTCTATTTAATACCTCGGTATCCAACGTTGGAAACGTGCCAATCGATCTCCTGTGGTCAGCATGGCATAAGATGCAGGTACTAACGCTGGAGCGTTGCGTGAGCTACTCTATTTTGGAAGCCGCATATATCAACGTATATAACATGATAAAAAGGTTAAATGTGGGTATCAAAGCGGCAGAAGAAGCAGGGGAGTCACTCTTGGAGATGTTCGACAGAGAACAGAGGAACGACATAGTACACAAAGCAATGATGGTACCTGAATTTACCGAAATCAACGTTAAAGGGAGACAAATGAGCTCTCTTTACAAAGTGTTTACAGATTATTATATGATGAAATGGGATGACCACTGTGCCAAAAGGGCATACCGAAGTAAGGACAGTGCTGAGAAGTCGTTACACCGCCCGAGTGGTGTGGAGCCTAACGTAAAATTGCGAATCTGCGAACTTAGGAATTATTTAAGAGCTTGGTCACAGGCGCGTTTGGAGGCGTGTGAAATTATTTATGGAGGCGACGAAGCCTGCGTGAAATTGGTATCCTCTGCGGTGACAATGGTCCGCAAATACATCTCTACTATTGAGATGGATGCAGTACCACGTCCCGCTGCGGAGTTGCTAAGGTTCTGTGAAAACTACAGAGCAACCAACTCTGGAGGTACTCCTGGTGCCGACAGTAAAGCTAAGGGCACCAATAACATCGCAAAGAAGGGCTCAGACGTGTCACAGCAATTGGTGGAAACCGGCAAGGGATCACAAAACCGGCATATGCAGGAAATGCCAGATATGGATCGTTTCTTTTTGGGATTCTGGCTAAAATATGCTGCCATCGGTCTTAGAGCATCAGACGTCGAGCGAGCGCTGAGTGCGAAGTTGTACAATACTCCCTCGTACTAAATGGAAGGTGTAGCACATGTGCAAAATAGCGGTTATCCCTCATTGTCGCAAACAAGTCTCATGATTTAGATAATCGAGGTCATGCGAAAATGGAACTTTAACCATTAACGTACTATATCACTATAATCTCTTACAGCCGTCACTGTTAGCACTTATTCAACGCATAGTCGTTGAGCACCAGTGTAATACGGCATGGCTACGAAACCCGTTAACACGTGTATTCAGTCCCCGAGCGAGCAGTACCGCATGATGGCGTCCAGCGATTGCCCTTTCAATCCGTTGCTCAGTTCAGCTGCGTTGACGCTCAAGGTCTCGTAGAATATCCGAATTAGACGCCGCTGTTCAGAGGTCAACGAACTTTCCTCCAGCTGGTGGGCCCACATCCCAGTGAGCTGTGCCAGCAGTGTGGGTGCGAGATCCAACTCAAACATACGCAGAGGGAACATACAATACAACGTGATAAGCAGGTCGTCAGTATTGTAACAAGCCAACTTTCTGTACACCTCCCGGATTATCGCACGTGAAAGCGGTCGTGAATAGTGTTTTGTTTTCATCGGTGGCAACAAGTCCGGTTCCATGATACAATCTTCACGAAGCTCAAAGTGTATGCGGACCAATCCCTGCAACAAGATCCGTATACCACGCGGTGCCAAAGCAGGAGTCCGAAAGAACATGGAGTGCAAGTATTGCTTCAAAAGGTCAGGTAGCGGAGCGAGGGCTTGATCCTTGGAGGAACGCGAGAGCTTTGTCGAAAGCGGTGCAGTAGTGTGGTCCAACGGTCCAGGGGTGGATCCTTCGTGCCTAGTAGATAGGGGTGGATCTCCCAAAATCTCATCCAAAGTGTGCCCGTCCCCAAAGTAACCAGAAGCCTGGAGGTGAGTGTGGTTTGTAAATAGATATTCTATGCTTCCCACCACCGGCTCCTCCGATGAAAATTGCAACATTGGGTAGACAGCATCAAACTTCCTCAACGGTAATATTTCCCTGAAATCACGCGGATTGGGATAGATTACCAAAAGTCGAGTCAGAAGTTCAAACTGAGTAGCACGATAAGGTGGAGTTGAGTTATAAATCTTGTTTGACATATTAGACATGATGGCGCGCATGAGCTTGTGATAGTATGTGTACAATGTGTTTGTAGTCTCGTCAATTCCATCCACCGCATTAGCGGCATCGTCATGCTGGCCAGTCAACTGCCACTCAGAACCTGGTACTACATAACGCCGAAACTCCTGAGATAATATGTGCGACTGTATCGACCAGCAGCCTGAAATGAAATCAGTGAATTCCAAGTGGCTCAGCAGGTGCTGCTTGTCGAGTAGCTCTTCCAGCACAGCTGGAGCATGATCAGCATAACGCATCCTCAGGAAAGACTCAGCAAGCCATGATATGTACTTGAACTCTGCCGTTTTGATACTTTCCTTCAGGTGCACCCAAGCATCGTCCAAAAAGGCTCGTCCAGGGTGGAAATGAAATGTTGCGTAACCTTTAAGTAACAGTCCAATATGATGACAACGATAAAAGTCAGGATGTCCTTTTTTCTGCATGTAGACATCATGGATGACTTTTGCAACTTCTATAGTGTTGTAGCCAGAACGACCTGCACGCTGTTGTAAACATTTTGTACGCCGCAATCGCGGGGAGACGGCACTTACCAAGCGCATGAATCACCAGAGGTAGCCTACCAATTTCGAGCTCGTGTGCACGCTTGATGATGACGTCCTCGAACTTGGTCAGTGCGCCCTGGGCTGCCGCGTCGTAGAAGAGGGACAGATCGTCTATAATAAGCTGCACGTCCCTCATAAGCAAGTGTCGATGTTTCATCCCAACGATTTGGGCTATCTCGTATACCCATACGCGATATGTTACATCCTGGTAGATGAACATCGTGCGCAGCAGCCTAAGACGATTAAAACGAATTGAAACTAAACGTACCTATGTATATATACGCCATTCAAACATGAATGGCGCTCAGGCAATGAAAAAAAACGGTGGAGAATTGGCTCTACCACCGTGGAACATTCTGGACTATTGACACGGGTCAAATAATAGCCTATATCGATCAGCTCGTACTCATTGAACTCGTCAATGTGACGTGATATTTCCATCAGCAGCTTATGCAGTTCATCTTTATGTGTGTTATCCGTTACATTCTGATGGTAATTGCAAGTTGTAAGCCGTTGTCCTACCTGTAGCCTTGCTATGAAGGTTGTTCCAATTTTGGACTTGTGCGTGTGAGGTCTGCCAAAACCCTTCTGGTTCCGCATCATTCCTCGCCATGCTTCGGCATCTATAGAATCCTCAACACAAGACGACTCCTCCTCTTGACGCCGTTGGCGTTCCCAGTCGGAACGAGATACCGAGGTGGGTTTGACCAACGGTAATCTGTTTGCCAAAGTGCCATTTTCCCGATGGGTTACGGTATTATACAACACCTTACGTATACATCGTATTAGACAAATGCTGCGACATATTTCCATGTCGTTTGCGATTATAATTATGACCTCCTGGCTCTATCAGCACAGCTCCCTCGGAGGCGCGATAACGGCACGCTGTAGTTTTAAAAAACAAGAAAATCTTTATATTTTGCTTAGTATGTTAATAATTTATTCTATCAGCAACGGTATAGCTATGTGTGGGTTCGGTAGTGCCAAATGGGAGGTCCTACTGGCTTCCGATGCCACAATAATAGCATCTAAAGACGATATGCGACAAACGAATGCTGCAGTAGTCAGTGGGCTGACTCAAAATCCACCCATACACTAGTTTTCTAGATTTAATTCAACTTTTTACAAGGGTGTAGGCAGCAGACCACCTAGAGGTCGCGATTAATGTGTAGACGACTATGAATGCCGTGGCCTCGCCTTCCATCAGATTTAGCACGTGTATCCAACATACCTCGTTCTAAGTTACATTACACATAGTAGTTGGTGTTCAAGAATAACAATGGAGGCGCCAAAACGGTGATTGCTGGTGGATTAAACGGCCGTGGTGCGTGAACATGTTGGGGCCAAATGTCAAGACTATCTACGTGCTCCCGGGGAGAAAAGCTACTCTGATTGACGCGCTATAAGTGGCGCCAAAGGAAAACGCAATGTCGAACCTTAACCTCAAGCAAGGAAGCCGATTACTGGGCATCACTTGCATCGGAATTATCGCATCGCCGTACATATACAACGCCGTTAAGGTAGGCACAGGGCAGGTTATTCAAGCGACGGCTTGTCATTAAATATATAACCGTGTATTGCCTTGTTTCACTGCTCCAATTATTGATGACATCTCGTGCAGCAAGCATACTGGACGCGCCGATACAAAAAACTGAACATGGACGAAATTATATCCGACAGATTCACATGGTTACATCATTGTATGTTGGTAAGTCAACATAATAGTGTAATTACATTTGCCTTCATGTGTATCGTGGCCAAAGACCCTAACATATCATTTCGCAGCACGATGAAATCGAAAGAACGATAATGAAACAAATACAGACGACAGAAAAGAAGAATTAGACTTGATACCACTTTGTGACTGTGATAAGATGATCGTAACCAGGCTATCCGCTGTGCTGAGTAGCGTTGAAACGCGTGGATTCTAAAGGGCTATGTGGACGTGTCCACAGGTGGCCCGTGAATAGAAATGAACAATATAATATCTTAACTTGTAATAGTAGATTTTTGTAGAGTAGCGAGCGGTCGCGTGAATGTGAAGGAACAGCTGTATGAACATCTATGCGGAACTGCCTAGCTTGCTTTATCAATGTGTAGTCAGAAACAGGGAATAACGCGGTTGCGTTGGCACATAGGCCACATATATGTAAAATCCAGCCTAGAAACCATTCCCAAAGATGGAATGCCAAAAACGGCATAACGACAGGAGCCGTATAAACATAGATTGCTCACATGTGGAAACCGGATACTACAAAGATACGGTCTATTGCCCTGATGAAGACACCTACTTGTTTACAGAGGCGCTGCAAATGGACGTCAAACATCTCATCAACCAACAAATCAATGTGGTACTAGAAATCGGGTTAGAAAGGATTAGTCTTACATAAAGAAAACCACGCAGATGCGGAAGTGGTTATATTTCAACGTACCTACTCAAGCTTCTGGAAGAATTGAAGCACGGCAATGCAAAGGAATTTTATAATCAAACAGATACAAATGACATAAACAGTCGCAAGGGAACAAATGAACTAAACCCATTTGTCATCGCAATAGACGTCAACCCCTTTGCAAACAGGGCCACATGGACTACCATGCAAAGAAATGGAGTTACAGCTATGGCTGATACAATCACCATGGATATGTTCACAGCCCTGAACAAACAACGTAGTAGGACCATGGTAGACGTTATCATGTTCAACCCGGTAGGTCGACATTCCTACGTTGTAAAAAATTCAACGAAACTGTAACACTAAATCGACCCTATGTACAACTGGATAAACAACTGCACAGCCATATGTACCATCAGAAGGTGGAGATAACAGCAATAAACATATAGACGCAGCATGGGATGGAGGAGTGATGGGAAGGGAAGTCATAGACAGATTCATTGCAGACGTTGGAGTAGGTCTGAATGCATGTTGCAGCACTAAATCGGATGTACAGGAATATTTATCGCAAGAAGGAACGGTGTACCTGGTAAGGCAAGGGTCAATATGCATTGACCTAGTTCAGTTAGTTGAGAAACGCAATGATATCAACACGGTCTTGAAAATAGTTCATCAAAGAGGATTTGATGCAAAGGTAAACTACATGGTAATCACATGGCGCACAAAATTAACAGGTGATCTGCTCGAAACAAATACTAGGAGAATGTCTCTATATCATACGATTTTGCCGGTCATAGTGTCCCAAATCAATCATTGTGCAATCACAACCAAAAGAACCGTAATTTTATGCTCTGAGTTGCGCGCATTAACACGTTGAGGGTCATGTGGATGAGTCGCAACATACCAAAGCGCCCCCGCTTCACACATTCAAGGGTCAAGAACATCGGTAATTGGAAAGGAAAATGGAGTTACGTTTATGCGAATTTTTGAGAATACAGGCACCGCATATATTCAATAGGCAGCAGACTACAGGAAGCGCTCCGTACTCATATCAACGACCTTACGGAAATCGGAAACGCACGCGTTACACCAATGATAACAGATCACCTAGCGGCAATCCATACCATGAGTATGACTCGTATAGAACGCAGGGTATGTGTACCAATTAATGTTAATGCATCTCATCAACAGCGCGCCGACCAACTCGACGAACGGAATCTTCCAATAGGGAACCGCAACCACGCCAGCAACCTGAAAAGGTAGTTGTATATACGTCTAAAGTTAATGCTTGTAGACCAAATGGACCGGGAAACTAGCACGAAATGGCAAGAAATTGGTAGATGCAGTTGCTGAGGTCATCAAAGGGAATATGGAATCGGTCTTTACCAATGTGAGTTGCATTGCACTGCTCTCTCATTTATTTTAGGAGGTGAATATCATCAATATAACCCATAGGCTCAAGTGTGAAGATGCAGAGAAGTCACCGCCTATCGCAAGTGAGTCAAAAACTATTCGACGGTTTATCACGACGTAGTATTCTATATCAAGGCGCAACACTTAGAACAAACAGGGACATTCCAAGAGTATATCACATACTTTCAGGAGAAAAATAGGGTAAGTAGTCATTGCTAAAACGACATAATCATGTAGATCGGGGTTGCAACCATAACCGACGAAAAAAGCGTATACATATGCGCCCCGGGGTCAACGCTATACGAACAGCATGCTCCCACGGACCAGGACGAACTTATGTTGGTCATCACACATTGCGATGCACAATGTGCAGGTTAATCGGTATCGCCGTAATGCTAGATAGCCCTTCCTCCGGAAGACCTAGCGATGGCACAGAGGCTACGGCGGCACCAGTTCCGGAAGGTATGTCTGTTATACAGTGGCAATAACGTAAACTCAGAGCGTTGTGACTGGCTGAACCAGCTCAATAGCATCACTGCCATGCTAGGAAACAACAAATAACCATACTGTAGTAACAAGGTGCCCTGACGATGTATGATTCAGACACGCCGGCCACTGTCAAGCGGGAGGCCGCCTTAGATAAGGCATATGGGCAATACCACCTTAAACTGGTTGTAATACTGTAAAATTTGTGAAAATGAAATGTTTTCATCCGCGCGTGGCGCCTGAATCTCATGGAAGGATAGAGACGGCTGCCATGTACGGTGTTGTCTAGTTTATATGCTATAAAAGTGGGAGCTGCCCGTACAACACGCAGAGCGTGACGATACCTAGATGTGTGCAGCTATTGCTAGATTTTTCTCACCCTTTCCCCTTTATTCAGTGATCTGACGCCTGGGGTCGCGAATGGAATCCACCCCATCTGCGACGTACCAGACTAATTACTCAACGTTTTGCAAGCAGCAAAACAATTTCAGCTATATATGTTGGAGGAACTTAGATTGCGCGGCCAATTGAATTTGTCATCTGGAAGTTCATGATATTACTCTTAGTCGCGCTCTTGTGCGAAACTGTGATGCATTGAGTGCCAGGCCTTTCATAGGAATCGCCCGAGTAATGTCATTTAGGACTTTGATAACACACATATCATAGGCACATATCCTCAGGTATCGTGTCGTCTCACCGACGTTCAGATCGCGCATTCGAATATTGCTCTTCAGCATATATCAGCTCTAGCCCACACTTAGCCGATCGCTGTTTGCGCAACCCGCGAACTCTACCTTCAAAAACTTACGACGTAAGTATAACAACTGCGGCGAGAAATCGCCGGCAGATACGTCGGAACTAGATTATTACAGAAATACGTTCAAATTCTTTCACAATGTCAAGTGCTCCGTACTATTCCAGTGAGCAACGGTTCTCCTACGGAGGTGGCGGCTCACGCAGCTATGGTTCCAACCGGGGATATGGTAGCAGCAGTGGTAACTATCGTAGTTACGGTGGCTCTTCCCATGGTTATGACAATGGGAGCCTAGGAAGCAAACTTGGAGCAATAGACTGGTCCAAAGAAACTTTAGTGCCATTCGAAAAAAACTTCTATAAGGAACATGACGATGTAAAGGCATTGAGCAGAGCAGAAGTTGACCGGATCAGAAGGGAAAGAGAGATTACAATCATAGCTGGACGTGACGTACCCAAACCAGTCATTTCTTTTGAACATACGTCGTTCCCAGATTACATCCTCAAAGCTATCGCTGCAGCTGGATTCACATCGCCAACGCCCATACAAGTGCAGGGATGGCCCATCGCGTTATCAGGAAGAGATGTGATAGGAATTGCCGAAACCGGTTCTGGCAAGACTTTGGCGTTCCTACTACCAGCAGTAGTGCATATAAATGCACAACATCTTCTAAGACCTGGAGATGGGCCTATTGTGCTAGTACTTGCGCCCACAAGGGAACTAGTTGAACAGATCCGACAGCAGTGCACACAATTCGGATCAAGTTCAAGAATTAAGAGCTCAGTAGCTTATGGAGGGGTACCCAAGAGGCAACAAATGTATGAACTGAAACGGGGTGTCGAGATTTTACTAGCCTGCCCTGGGCGCCTCATAGACTTCCTAGAGTCGAACGTCACCAACTTGAGACGAGTTACCTATCTTGTGCTCGATGAAGCAGACCGCATGTTGGACATGGGTTTCGAACCACAAATTAGGAAAATCGTCAGTCAAATCAGGCCAGACAGACAAACATTAATGTGGTCCGCCACATGGCCTAAAGAGGTCCAGTCGTTAGCTCATGATCTTTGCAGAGAAGAACCCGTACATATCAATGTCGGATCACTCGATCTCAAGACTTGTCATAATGTATCGCAAGAAGTTTTCGTGATAGAGGAACACGAAAAACGGTCACAATTGAAAAAAATATTGACAAAAATTGGAGATGGGATTAAAATACTCATCTTTGCCGATACAAAGAAAACTGCGGACTCTCTTACCAAGGAACTCAGATTAGACGGGTGGCCAGCACTCAGCATTCATGGAGACAAGAAACAAGAAGAACGCAACTGGGTACTCAACGAGTTCAAAAGTGGAAAACATCCCATCATGGTTGCTACGGATGTTGCATCCAGAGGACTGGATGTGCGTGACGTCAAGGTCGTCATCAACTTCGACTTTCCCAACCAAATAGAGGATTATGTACATCGCATTGGTCGTACAGGACGTGGTGGAAACAAGGGTAAGTTAATAAATAAAGGTGATACATGAACTGCAGGTGCTTCCTATACGTTCCTAACGCCAGACAAAAGTCGCGTAGCTAGGGAACTTGTCAAGCTCATGCGCGAAGCTAACCAGACTGTCAGCCCCGAACTGTCCAAACTGGCAAACGAACGATCAGGTGGCAGCGGGAACGATCATAGAAGGTGGGGAGGATACGGTGGTGGTTATGGATATGGTCATCGTTCGGGTGGGCATTACCAGACCTCAGCAAATGCACTTCCTCTGGGGAGGAGGTACTGAGCTCGGGATCGAGTAAGTGGTGCCGTGAAGGTATCCTTTTTTCATTCGAACCTAGCACAAAAAAGTAAGGTTTTTGTCTGTATTAGTGTACACATATTTGCATATCCATTACCACAATGTGTTATCGGTATAGTCATGCAAAGGCAACGCGAAAAGAGACTATCATTAGAGAAACTGGTTTGTGTATTTTATACACCTCAGGAGATCATTTTCCGGATGTTGACGGGCATTTTAGCTAACTGTGCCTCCAAAATGTCCAGTGGAGTGCTGGCGCAGCCAGACTCACGTGAAACTGGTTTGCGAGAGTCGTGATACTTGTCCCCCGGTGCTCTGCGGCTAAACAATGGTAAACCCATATTGTGTGGAAGCACGTAATCGCATTGCTTCAGTGATCCCACATATTTGCCGTGAGAAGGCGAGACAGTACGTTCAGGCTCTGCGAAGAACTTCATTCCTGTGTTAATGAAACCGCCCCTTAGTTGATCTTGCCATGATTTGATAGGGTACCCACTCACTTCATCCGGGGCAGGACCAACAGTGGTGCATAAGTGGTTACGCAATGGACTTACGAAACGTAGCCCTGGTTCGTTATAGGCGGTGCGCATAGTTGGCGGAACGGGCCGCTTCATAGATGGCAGACTCGCCATTATTGCTTCAATTTCAGCATCGACATCGTGTGGACCCTTTTCTACAGTTCGGTTTTTGTACCCCCGTGAAAAAACGTTGGGGAGCAAGTTGTAGGCAGCTCCACCCTCGGATAACTCAGTGGCACGATAAGAAGCACGGACAGATGCTTGGTTAACGCCCATATCGTGCGAAGGACGTTCCAAACCGAACGATATGTCTTTGAGATCTTCGGCACCAAAAGTAGAACCTAGAGGGCAAGTGTTATTGAAAGGAGAGCCGTAGTCTGTTTGGAAGTCGAGTTGTTCCGGTTCAGGCACGTCGATCTCATCTGTGTCTGACGAATGGCGTGGAGGCATATCCAGCAGCTTCTTCAGTTGGCCCGAAAGACTTTTAGGTGGATACGCCAGGCGTGGTGCAGATGATAGGTATTTAGGGTACTTGTTTAGCTTAGGCTTGAAGGTGCATTCCGCTTCGTCATCCTCATCAGTGGGTACAGCAGAACTCTCACCTTCTACCTCAGACGTCCATGGCTCACCAGACACCTGTTTACGCATGCTAACAATGCGGTAATCGTCCGAGTTTCCATTGAGAAGCTTTAAGAGTGTATTCTTGAAAGCATGTGGTGAAATTAGCAACTCGGTGACATCACTTGAAGGCGATGTAACGCTGGCGTTGCCACAGCCAGCCCACCTGAACAGCAGTGCAGAACCATGGTCTAATGTAAACTGGTTATTGTATGGTCTCGCTGCGCAGATCAACACCGGTACGGCGGCTTTGAGGAAGTCGGCCTCTACAGAAGACAGCCTCTTTAGTCCAGGTAGTAGCAGCAGGTTTAACTTCAAAGTTCGAGGTTCAGATATCCGTTTCGCCAACGCTGCTACTATATCGGCATACTTCAACCTCTTAGAGTCGGGTACTGCATCACGGGGAGATGTGTAAGGAGCCCGAAGAGTGCTTGCAAAAATTTCGTGAGCGATCTTGTCAAACTTGCATACACCAGTCGTCATCCTGACTTGTCTGATATTGGCAATACGATATTTTTACAGAGCTCTGGTTTTTAACTACATTAAAGAATACGCCTAAAATTGCCTAGCGCAATACACATTACACATTCGCCACGAGGATGGCGGCGGAAGTTTGCGTAGTTTGCGCTGCTAATATAGGCAAATTCTACTACACATTAGAAATTGAGACAACAAGACATGGAAGTGCATAACGTAAAGGCAGCTTGCTGCACCTCTCCGCCAGATGTGCCATAAGGGACCCGCACCAGCCAGAGTTCCATGAAACAAGAAGAATAAAACCTTAAAAAACAAATATAAGTTATCAGATCAAGGGGGTTCTCCGTCCTGGACTCTTAAGTAATGCAGGGGAAATTATTGCTCCGCCAAGTCAAGTACCAAGTTTACCATAGTACGCACACCGTAAGCGGTTCCCCGGCCCGTTCCTTTCTCAAAAGCCGTTCCAGCAATGTCCCAATGGATCCATTTAGCCGATTCCACAAACTCTTTCAAAAACAAAGCTGCCATGACCGTCTGACCCTTTGAGGTGTAATTGCAGTTAGATAAATCGGCGACCTTAGACTTCAGACCTTCAGTATATTCCTTGGCCAAAGGCAAGCGCCATGCTAATTCACCGGAATGTTGGAGTCTGAAAGACAGTCAATAACAGTGATTGATGTGGCAGTGCTCCATTCACTGAAGCCGTGACCCAGCGGTATAGATAGACAATCACACTTAACACGCAACTTACGCCTTAACGAAACGTGCGTTGAAGCCCTCGTCGTTGGCAAAGTAGCCACCGTACTGGAATCCTACACATAGATGTCAAGGGAATCAGCATCACTCACCCAAAGCAATTACGCAAGCACCCGTCAAGGTAGCAACGTCCACGATGTAGTCTACACCCAAACGCTCCGCGTACACAAGAGCATCAGCAAGGGTAAGCCTACCCTCAGCGTCGGTGTTTATCACCTGCAACAAATTACAAAAAACAAAACTAGCAACCACCTCGATAGTCTTCCCGTTAGACGCCGTAACAACATCGCCAGGCCTGTAGGCCTTGGAACCTGCCATGTTCTCGCAAGTTGCACTGATGAAGTGAACCTCTACACCTCGTGGCTTTAAAGCGGCGATAGCTTCAGCAGCACCAAAAACGGCAGACATACCACCCATGTCAGTCTTCATCAGCTCAATCTCACTAGAAGCACTCTTGATGTTCAAACCGCCAGAGTCAAACATGATACCCTTGCCTACAAGCGCTACCTTGGCTTTTACAGGGCCTTCGCCGCGGTAGGTAGCATGCAAAAAGATCGGAGGGTATTGGCTACCTTGAGCAACGGCACAGTAAGAACCCATTCCCATCGCACGGCAGTCAGATTCGGACAACATCTTCACATCCAGGTTCAAAGCACCGAATTTCTTGCTTATGTAGTTTGCAACTGACACTGTGTTCGCATAGTTGGCAGGTGCAGTAACCAGCTCACGAGTGGTGTGCATGGCTATTGCAAACGTTTTACAACGTTCAGAGAATGCAGCGGCATCGGAAATCGAAGTAGATATCACTTGGACGGCGGTAAGCTTGTAGTCAGTTTCGCTGTCCTTTTTGAAACGACGGTCCAAAGTGATGTAGTTCAAAAAACCGATGACCAACAACTCAACGAAACCAGCATCAAGGTCGCCCACAGAAAATACTACGCTCTTGCAATTGTGATGAGATGCCGTCTTAGCTAGTGTCTTCGAAAGGGTGTATGCATCGGATGTCTGAAAGTCGCAGCGTTTGCCGCAGCCAACGACTGCCTCCGCTAGGAGACAACCGTCTTCCAAAGTTGCAAAGTACTCAACCACATCACTAACAAAGTATTGATAATTGGAGCGAATACTTACCCGAGATTACCTGAAAACTCCGAAAAACCTGTCACTGCCAATACGCCGCTATCGCTAGTTACGAATTTGGAAGGAAATTGCTCGAATTTAGCAGCGTCGAAACCAGATGATTTGCTTTTTGGAGCTGTATTAGCTGCAAAGGCGAAATGGAAGACCTCCACGGGACCCTCAAGACCTTTGATCGATACCGCGCTAGGAGCATCAGCCGTTTCTGAGACAGAAAGCTCCACAGCAACTGCTGGAGAATCTGTTGTTGGAAATACATCTATTTTCTCCATCGTAGCAGCGTTGTAGTTTGACTTAATAATTATGATAAGTGATGTGCAAGAAGGACACACGGCGGGTAGAAAGCGAGCGCCATAAGGACGCCACAAAACATAAATGAACATATATCAAGCTATATAAGGTGCTACGTCTTAATCAAAACAGTTACAAGTTAATAGGAATGCCCCTAAAGTGAAGAGCTAGCTTAATAGACATCACCTGGAGACGCTGCTCAGGCGGCCAAGACTGCATCTCGAACAAAGAAGCGCGTTGTATGCTGCATGGAATTTGATACTTCACACTCATAAAAACCTACTTTGTCAATATTTCGGTGTGCTTGAGCACCTCGTCCACTAACGCCTGCGGTGCAGGCTGTACCTCTTTCAGCATCTCCTCAATGGCCTTCTCGACCCTTGCGGCATTTGAAGGGTCTTGTGCTACGTCAGTTGATTGCAACTGGGTAGTGTATCCCGGCGCTGGAGGCGCAGGAACCGGCTGAGCTGGAGATGTATGCATTGGCGGTGAAGGTACAGGCGGCATTGGAACTGCAGGCAATGGTGGTTGCGGTGGCTGCGGAGGCGGCTGATAGGGTGGTGGTACAATATAGTTTTTGTATGGATCACCATGGGGCACAGATTGCACAGATCCTTTAATGTGTGGAGAATGAGTCTGGAGCATACCGTCACTTGCCGGTACACGAGACTCTCCGTGCATCGTGCCCCTCATGTCGCCATCCTTGAAGCCCCTTCCCCCTTTTCGCGACGATGATACACTTACATCCTTCACTTTTGTGTCACGGCGACGGCTGGACACACTACTTTTGCCAGAGTCAACACGAGGAGGTTCCGGTCTAGCGTGTTCAATACGGTGAACATTCATTGAATCATCTGTGGCCTCCATCCCAATGCCACGCCGACCTCTAGCACTTTGTGCGCGACTATCCGAGTCCGATGCGAACTCAGCTGTGTCCTTAGCCGTATTGAACATCGACTTACGATCCCTGCGATTCAGACGAGCCAGGTGTTTATCTGAAGCAGTGAGCGGCAGCAGTGACTCTTCTGTGTTCCCTAGCACATATTGCGCATGTATAAGCGCATATACCATCTGAGGATTGTTAACTAACAACCTTTTGGCGTTAACTGGCGACTTATCCAAAAAAATCTTGAAAGCTGAAAGTGCATACGTTAGCTGAGATGACGTCAGCGTATGCACAACAGATGCAATCTCAGCTGCCAAATAAGAGTCGCAGATCTCTGGAGGTTCCACGTCATCGACCTCTTCTAAGTTAGGTGATGGAAGTGGAGGAGGCAGTGGTGGATTTGGTGGTGCGTACGGCGCAACAACTGGAGGCTGTACAAACATGCCTTGCTGCATCATCTCGTTCGCCATAGCCGCCATCTCAATTTGATATTCGTCTGCCTCCTGCATCATGTGCGGTGGCGCAGGAGGTGGTGGAATAGGAATCCCCGGCATTCCCATATGAGGAAGCTGAAAGTGGAACATGGGAGGAGGTACCATGTTTGGGCAGTCAAACCGGCCCATGTCGTAGGGCATCATAGGCTTCATATTCGGTAAAGTTGCCGATTTGCAACGCCTTCCAACTGTTCTCTGTTCAGTCATACCCCGTTGCAGTGCTAATAATCTCCAGCGAGGGGTAGAATTCAGATGATGCTCAGCTTAGGAGTTGGCATCCGTCCCACAGGTTGACACGAAGTCTTTAGAGCATCCTTCACATAACAGAGACACTTGCACATGTATATATATCCGTTTGCAACGTGGAGGCTGCAGCCCAAGCGTGCTTCGGCCTAAACCCTCTAGTCCAAAGCTCCAGCCGCCGTACGCCGAGCGCGTCTAGCGTGATGGCACTGCGACAAGACGATATATGAGCCTGATGAGGCAACAATATGTTTTCTACAAATTTATGTTGAAGATAGACCGAATCATAGAGGGCTCTGGCTTGGAAGGCGCTTTGCAGCGGAGGTTTCTATCAAGTGGTGCAATGGACCAGGGGTAGATGGTTTACAGCAAGCTACAATATGGTAGTATATATTAGTATAACAATTGCTACCCTAATCCTGTGCCCACAACGTAATTGTAATAAGATAATAGTTTTCACGGTCTTAGAGTTACGCCACACTCGAGTGGAGACAGGTATGCACATCAATAACGCGTAACATACATACCGTGAAAAGTAGATTGATTCCAGTATAACTATAGAGTGCCTATCGTGCTTTAAGTTGCCAATGTGCAGCCGGAGGATTCGACCGCTGTACGTCACGCTTTTAGCAAGGTCAAAAGCGGTAGGCGTACTGCAGCTCAGGTAACCGGTCGATGAGATGAAATTGGAAAATCAATTGGTTTAAGACAACAAAGTGGATACTGTTGTAGCTATTGCGTGCTATTTATGCCAATGGGCATGACGACGTCAAATGCGGAATGATGAAGTCGTTTGCAATTGACCTTAGTTTGCCAAAACCAAACCACACAGTGTGAATCCGATAGCACTACAATAAATGAAAACAATAATCATGCGAAAGGCAGTACCTATGAGTGAACGAGAAAACAATAATCACGCCGTTCACACACACTCCTATTACGCAAAAACGACTCCGCTATACATGTAACTTATTATACCTGTGTGTAATTATGATTCGAAACTGTTCATAGAAGTAAATACTAAATCCGTTGAAGCCGGAACGATTCAGCAGCAAATGTGTGGTATGAAGCAGACGTTATATATCTTCACTACATCGCGGCAATTGCAATAACTGTAATGCAATGAACTTTAATCTATATTCTCTGAGGTAGAACTCATAATTGTAATTGTAGACAGAACACATGTCGACCATATGCACTGCCGTCGCGGTTGATGTCGTTTACACATCCTCCGACGCGCGATGATAATAGCTTTGGTATGGACTCTTTTGGCTGCATCCACCGTATCCGGGCTTCTGGAGATCGACAGACAGGTATGTACGCAGGTGTGCATCTTTCGTGAAGCTGTAGCGTACCCTATTGAGTGTGCAATACATATCATTATATACAAGTGTCCGGCTCACACCCTTACAGGAAACGGAGACCAAACGCCTAGCCGATGACCCAAATCTCGAAGTAGCGCAATCTTCAGCCAATATTGCAGCCAAGGGTACATTGAGCCTTGATGCTGACAATACGGACATCCTTCCAAATGCTCACAACCTACAACGTGAACTCCTCCCTTACATAGAAGAACGTGCTGTTGATATCAAAAAACAACTTCATAGAGGTACAGTGAGGTTCTAACATATACATTTCATATAGGTACACAATCAGAGGAACGAAAAAGGGAAGCAGATGCCAAACACGAACATACAATTCATCTCTGCCAACGAGACTACAAGCAGCCGTGTCCATTGGTAGGTCTCCATATGTTTTAGATGTATCGATTATTTACATACTTTTCTGTTTATGAGTTTAATGTAATCCGTTGTTTGGAAGCACTGTGGCCTTGCTAAGGCAAATATCCCAGCGTTTGCTTGGGGTATGAGAAAATCAGTCAGCTGTATATATATCTGAGCTAGTTTATGATGTGAGAACTCTATGGAGGCAATACTATTGTGGGCTCATGGTGGCAATAGGGATTCAAGCACATTGCAACGAGTGACGGTCAGCATACCTGCCTGCCTCCGCAGTCGTATACAGGTACGTTTATACTACAGGATCACAACGCTTGTTTCTAATAGTTACGCCTGTAATAAGTTCACACATGGCTTTGATACAACCGTATTTTTCCGACAACGCTCACGATGATGCAGGGCCATGTATTGGGCAAGAGCTCGTCTATAGGTTCATGCCAGAAGAGGATAAAATCAGTTGGTCAATAAACTGTTTGGCCAACTGGCCCTGTATGCGCTGCAGAAGACGCTACTCAGATATATGCCCCGAAAAGTGGGAACTTGACAAACACAACACGGCAGGAAAATTGGTATGCAAGGCATCAGACGAGTATCAGGGACCCTGTAAGGATGATAAGATATCCTTCATCGGTTACAACATAGAAATGCAGAAACAATGGTCACAAAGGTGTCAAGCATGGTGGCCATGCGATAGCGGCACCAAACACACAGTTATGCCAGATGCGGACCTGCCCATAACACTGGCAGCTACGTTATATCGTATCACCCATTAGACATTCGTTTAGCCCAAGAGACACTAAACATAAATTATAATATTTATAAAACAATGGTTAACATTATACGTTGTGTTTTCGTGGCAACATGACTATTGCATTTTAACAGTGTCCTTCAGATCGTCGAGTATCTTGGGGGTAGCTGTTATATTCGTAGGTACGAGCGATGTTCGCATCTTGCTCTTACGAGCAGCAGCTTGCTCCTGTTTTCTACGCTCCGCTTGTTTCAGACGATTTTCTTTCTCGATAGCTTCAATACGTGTCTTGCGAGCAACCTCCACAGATTTCGCGAAACCCCAAATGTGACGGAACAACTCATCCACACGAACTTTCTCGACCTCCTTGGTAGGATAACCCATGTACTTCACAGTGTCGCGGAACAACATCATCACGTCTTTGTACTGTTCCTGTACAAAGGAAACCTTGGGCTCAGCATCCTTCATGAAATCGCGCATTATAGGCACGAATTCATCACCGGAATCACGTACACGATCAGCAGCTGCAATAGCGTTGTTTACACGCTGCATGTCGGCCTTGAACTTAGAAATGTTACCTTCAAGTGCTGCCATGTCGATCTTCGAGCAATCCTCGCAGGCACGTAGCTCACCGTAAATCTCCAAAATACTCTCATCCTCTCTTGCAACGAGGTCGCAGATGTATTGCATCAGAGTCTTCACAGGTTTGGTAGTAGTACGGAATTCATTTAGCTTCGCAAATGTAGTGGGTTTGAAACCTTCAGCATTACCCTTCTTTGAGTCTCCCTCGTTCAACGTATTACCTATCTTCAAAATGACGTTAGACAGAACGTTCAAACGACTGCTAGTCATAACCGCCTCACAACCGTCCATTATACGTTCTAGAGGGGTGATAATCTCCTGGAAGTGCTCCTTGAACGTAAGCGCCACTTGGTGCGACTCTAGACGTTGCTTCAATATGGGAATGGTCGAAATCACCGCAACGAACTGTTCCGGACGATCCACCACAGTCATGTCACCACCAGATTTAACGTACTCCTGTACTATCGTAACCTCTTCCGCAGTAGGTAGCAGAGACAAAAGGCTTTCTGTAGCGTCAACATTCAGGATAGTAGGGTTAAGACCCATCACCGCGTCCTTTAGTTCTTGGAATGTGTATTTCGAGAATTTCGATAGCGCAATGTTCATGTTGTAAGCACGTTTGGAATCGGGCAGCAAATTGATGACCTTCGGTTTAGCAGTAACAGCAACACGTGCTTTAGGTGCAGCCTTAGCGAATGTTTCCTCGATCTCGGGCTTCTCCACATTTGGAAGACCCTTAGGAGCGGCGAATAATGTGCCTTTAACATCGTCTCCAAAGATAGGATCCCAGAAGAACCGACGGACACGCGAATTATCGACCGTTGCACCCTGACCCCTACCTTTTGTTTTGGTAGGGAGACCTTTCTTCAATGCGGGTGGTGCGAGACCCTTTGGAGCGCCCTTCTTCATTGGAGGGGCACCTTTCTTAGCTTCCGGTGCAGCCTTCTTCAGAATTGGTACAACCTTAGGCATGCCAGGGCCACTACCAGGGCCGCCTTCGCCCTCTCCCTTACCTGCTCCCAAGCCTTGTTCTTCCTTCGCCTTACGTTCCAAATCCTCAGCCTGCTTTCGGAGAGCTGCCAGAACAGATGGCGGTAAGTCCATACCCAAACCAGAGGCCAATGACCCGGAGGAGCTACCTAAAGATTGTGATGCCTTACCAGCGATAAAGTCCATGAAACCTAATTCATTTAGACCTTCTCCTGCTAATAACTTGCGATATGCAGCTATTTTAGCCTCCTTCTCTGCGTCAGTGTCATCAGCTTTGGTGGCATACTTTTCGGCCAAATCAAGTGATAGACACGATTTGGCCAAGGTCAAAGATACCAAGTCAATCTGCCATGGTACAACCGCTAACGATGCTCCATCCTTGTCAAGCAACATGCATCGCATTGCCTTGTCCTCCTTGTGAGACCTGATACCCCGAACACGGGACAATATATCCATAGGTAGTGGGTCGCTAATGGATTTCAAATCCAAAGGAAGATTGGGGGCACGCGGTGACGTGGCAATTAACGTAGCCATGGCTATTGGGTCGTCCCTTGTAGCATACGTGAGAGATGGCAGCTCATCATCGTCCATATCAGAGATACTGGTGAATGCGTCACTGAAAGAGTCGCTTTCGTTGTCCGAAGAAGGTGGTGAAGCGTGTGTTACCGGTGCTGCTGCCTTAACCTTTTGAAGGCTTTTAGGAGTCGGCACCTTGATCTGGTTCGGCTTCACTACGATCTTAGCCAAGTTACCAATTTTGGCCAAAAACTTTGCGTTGCGGGAATTCACGCCGTTGGCCGCCTTCTTCATCAGCAGCTCTCCCAAAGGTATTGGAGGTGGATCGGGTTTAGCCTCCTTGACAGGATCGGGAACGTTCTTTGGCGCCTTTGTGTCAGGTGGTGTTTCATTCTTGGGTTCCTCAGGTGGAGGCGTTACAGAAGGTACTTTCTTGGGTGGTGGCACGTTAAGTGTCTTCTTACCTACACTGAGGCTCTTCGGGCCAGGCCCAGCAGGAGCCGCCTTAACCACAGCAGCATCCGTAGGTGGCTCCTGATCGGGGCTTTCGATCTTCTTATCAGGGGTGTCAGATGCCTGAGATGTGGTCGCGACTACAGAGGCAGTGCCTGCTTTCTTCAGTGGCGGTTGTAACTTCTTGACTACAGTAACAGTAGGCTTACTTGCAGGCAATGTGGCGCTGCCAGCCCTCGATGATCCGAGGCTCGCATTGAAATCTTGAACTATCCTGGATCGCTTGTATGCGTGGAATATACCAGGATTTGGTACAAAAAGTGGCTTGTTGTGAAAACCCATAACAAGTTCAGTCCCATCAACTAAGGGAATGAACAACTTTACGTCGCCAGGCAACCGAGGGTCGGAACCCACGACATCACCCTCTGCCGTAACCTCCGGGGGACGAAAGTCCCACTCCAAAAGTAAATCAATGGCATCGCGATTACATTCCATAACAGGCTGTCCGTCGCTAACAAACACACGTCCGCGTGCCATACGGGGAATGTTTATGATGGGTAGGCGGTGACATGAGTACTGCGAAGAAATCTGTTGAGACAGATCCAGCACTTGTTTACGAGTAATCAAACATTCCTGTACCTGCATTATGCTTGAAGTAGGCATGAGAAAATGCTTAGTCTTGTTTGCGTAGAGCGATTGGATTCGGCTCACCTCAATCCCAGGGGTGCAACGACCGCGCTCAGCCTGTGAATGGCTCATCTCCGCATCTAGCGCTTTCAAACGTGTGAGTATGTCGCCTGATACGGAAGATGTTGGTTTTTCCGCCTCCGAAGGTTCCTCAGACCTCGGTGCCAATTTGATATCGCGGTCGAGGTCCTCCATTAGGTGCTTCACCGCTATAGTCAGCGGGTGCGTGCTCCCCAACGAATCACAACGTGTAATATAAACCTCCCGATAAATAGATGCCGCAGCGTGGAAGTTACCAAGCATATGCTGGCAACATCCAATAGAAAGGAAGACGTCTTGAACCTGTGGATGCGTACGGTCCTGCAAAATACGCATCTTCATGTCGATTGCGATCAACAAATTATGTAGAGCATCGATAGGATTACCAGCCATACGGTATATGACACCGACATTGCAGTAACCCTCAGCGACACGTGAATCCGGTGTCTCACTAGTGTAGTCACCGAAGTGCTTTTTAATGATCTCTAGCGCCTTCATGGAAAGTGGCAGAGCCTTAAGATATTGTTTGCCACGTAGTAGATAAATGCATACGCTATTTATAGCGTCGCTAAGCTGCAAGCTAGTCTCACCAAATTCACGCTCACACAGCACCAGGTACTTGGAGAAAAACATCTCTGCGTCCTCTCGAAGGTCATACATCGTTAATATCTCACCCAATGTGAACACTATACCAGGGAATACCTTAGAATCGCAATTTATTACTGCATTACGTGCCGGAAACGGAGATGCAGTGCGTTCATTTGCGCCCTTAGCATCCACTAAGTGTAACATGGTCTGCTCTACCAAGAAGCGGAACTCCAGCAAGTAGGATCGACCAACATCAAGACGACCCACCTGAGCGTAACATTTACTCAAGATCAGAAGCTCCATTGCCATCTCGCCGCTCAAAGGTGTTTTCGAAATCTCCATGTGGAACTTCTTTGCCAACATAAGCGAATAGTGCGCCTGCAACAACGCGTCACCATAATTCTGCGCCGAGAAGTTTTTCAATGCCATAGTACGCATCTGCATACGCGTAGCCAACGCCTCACGATATACTACTGCGCCACAGTTAGATTCCATTTTGCGCAAGATGGTCGCTGCTTCTAGTACCTTGTCGCTTACAGCAAGCTTGCCATGTGAATCCATGAATGAGCTCCCTAGCATCATGTTACGCTCCTTATCCGTCTGTGTCGCACGTCGACGTTTCTCGAGGTCGATGCGCACCGACATACCAAGCGCATATGGTGAGATGTTGCTGGAACCGCTCATAGGAAGCTCCGAGATCTTAGAACGCACAGTCAGCCCCTCCATTGCGCCGATCTCAGCTTCTGTCAAGCTATCGTGGTCAACGTACTCCATTGTGCCAGTAATTTAACAGAAGTAGCGCTCTGGTCGACACACATCCGAAATGGAAATTGTTGCCATGAAGTAACGGAATGCCTAAGTAAACACTGTCGCACACATCGACAACACAGTTAAGGCAAACAACTCAATCACCTAATTCTCTCGGCCGAAACAGGCCTAGAGAGAGGCTAAGGTGCCCAGCGTACTACTAGCCGAGTCCCCTTGCGGTACGCTGAAATCTTCACTTTAAAAAATAATCAGCGTACTGAAGAACACCAATACGATAAATTTCTCAAGTTTTGTAATTTATTTTGATGTGTGTCATCCGCGCAGGTCAAGGAAATTCACAATTAAGTGGGCGTCGTCCACACCACGTGGACCTGCGGGGCAATATTTGTATCTTCCGGCTTACCTCCGCGCAAACTACCTCTTATACGACCTTTAGGAGGTAAAAAACAACATGTGTGCTATCGTGGCTCTAATGTGTCATCCAAAAAGCGACAGCATTCTGGTGTTACACACCAGGTGTGTAAAAACCATGTGTTCAAATATGTGTTATAGAAACCTAATATCACGTGAATCAACTGTGTACAACACATCCTGTACCCATCCAGGTGTATTTGATTCTAGGTGTGAACCACAATTTAACTTCCTCTTGTCTACGTACTCGTGTACGAAAAGCAGCTCAATGGATTAGAGGCGAATATGCCTCACCGTTACAAATGTCTAACTTTCACATATTAGGTATAATTGGCGCAGCTTGCCTTATATGAAGCTATAATATGAATTAGTGTACATTAGAGTCCTATACCCTTGCCATACGTCGCAGCCGCAACATGCCTGCTTAGTATGGCACTCCCTGTGCTTTCAAGAGCGATTCGCAGCGCTTGGTCATAGACATCACCGTAGAGTTGTCAGACCAACTTTGGCAGCACTCGTGTAGGAACGGGTTCAAGTAGTTGTTGATGACGCTGGCTTCCTTAGAGTGCAGCATACCGGATTCGCCAGTTGTACCTGTGCCAGTTATGGATTAAGAGTGCCACAACTCACCTAAGTTCAGATAGTTCTCCACCAGCTTCAGCACGTGGCAAACGAACTGTTCCCCGTAAGGGGCACCGCAGTAACGCAACAACATTGAAATAAAATGACGGCTGATGCTGCGGTCCATTTGGTGCATGATCGAATTGAAAATAGAAACGATCGGCACGCATTGCCGTTCGAACCTTGCGATATACACCAAAAGCTCCACGATGCATTCCAGGCGGTCCAACTTCACCGCGCTACTGCTCGCTGCAAGCTTACCTTCAGCACAGGCAATGCAAACGTCACGTAAAAATAGAGCAATGGGCGTCCTCTTCACTGTATGCTTGTCAGCTATCTCTTTCAGAAGAAGCAGCTTCACATTGCATAGAGCGCTAATAAGGCGTTTCTTCACTACGCATTGCCGTATGTAAGCAAGCACCACGGACGACGCTATGACCGTAGATATCACGTCACGCATCTCCAAATCACGATCCCGTGGCTTCATTGAAGCTGTACGGATTAGTTTGTACAGGTGATATAACTCTTTTCTTGCTATTGCCTGTACCTTGTCACTCTGCTTCTTGAAAGTTGCATACACTTCTTTCATCTCTGCCAGACGCTCAGCTGAAATGTTCTTTGGTGCGCCCAAACGGCTATCCTCATTGATATTTTTGTAAATGGCACTTGCTAACGTGCTCTTGATCTCAAGAAGCTCGTCATCTCCCATATCAGATAACGGTGATGAACCAGTAGCTGATCGAGACCGCTTAGCTGGTGGAAGAACAACCTTGCCACCAACACCCGTAAAATTACGCTTCGCAACAGGATGTACGACGCTTTCGCTGCGGACTTCCGAAGGCTCCACACGCACCTTGCCCCCGTGGTACTCCGAAGAGCTGGGCGATTCCATTTCCATATTGTTGCAAAACTCGCTATCGAACGCGCTAGAAGACAATACAGATGACGCTGCAGGCTCCTCCCAATGCGAAGATGAGGAAGATGTGCTCGTTAGCCTCCATGCCTTTTGAACTTTAGGGGGGTTACCCTCATCCATTTCTCCAGACATAGATGAACTCACATCAGTATCCGAGCTATTGCTCTCCTCTCCACCGTGGCTAGAAGAATGCAGATGTAACGAGTAAAGCTCGCTAGAACATGCATCATCACCTAAATCATCTCTACCATAGTCCCGCAAATTTTCAATCTCGTCCAAACTGCTGTCGTCATCAGAGTCCTTTTAACATGTTAATCATCATACAGTGTGAAACTCACAGGTAGGTAGAACTGCTTCCACACCTCACGCTGAGGCAACCGTTTCATGTGTTCACATACAAGCTCGTCATAGTGGAAATACAGCATCTCGTAAGGTGACGATACCGAAAGCAGAACCAACAGATTCGCGTAACGAATCCAAGTATTGGAGTCCCGAAGAGGTAAATCTTCATTTGCAAAATCTTCTACCAACTGGTTTAAAATGTCGCTCTCACGAATCGCCTCCAGAGGAGGCATCTCTGGTGCGTTACGAAGACGCATATATTCGTCATTTCGACGCACTTCACCGTACTGTGACACTGACTCATCTATCTCGTCGGAATCAGTGGTAACTTGAGACCTAGGGCGTACATTGCATTCTGCAGAACTATGTCATCTATAATACCGTTAACCCATACCTCTAGATTCGTCGAAAAGTAAAACACCATAGCTATCAAAAGCGTTTAGGGTTTTATTCAGCTCGTCGTAAAAGTCGCAGACGTCAAGATCGTTCAACTTATAAGATGACAGTCGCTGATTTGAACACAGGCGCTTGAACGCAGTATGCAAATTAGGAAACCGAGCGAAATTTGTCATCAATAGGTGTATTTGTGAAGCGCTCCACTCGTATAGCTTTCCGTCGATCTTGCCAACGTCAGGAAACAAACCCTGCACTGGATTCATAGTCGTTCGGGCTACCAGCTGGGATAGACGACGACATCCACGCAAGTCAATGCGCCACTGATAGATGAAGTGGAGCAGAGCCTGGGAATATATATAAGCATTCTCTGCGTGCCAAAATAGAGGGCTCAGCGGAGTTGTGTTGTCCACCTCAATGGAATCCAATATATCGTCCTTCAAAAGAAACTTGCGAATTTCCTCAGACATACGTAAAGTAAACACACTAAAGTTACTAGTGATGCGCGACAATCCTTCTTTGTCGAGTCCTGCTTGTTCAAGCTTCATGTTAGTGCTAGCGTTGTTAATATAGTCCTGATACCACGAGCTCAAGAACTCATCTTTCGGTCGTTCGCGGTATATCTTTATCATGTTTGAAACTACCAGTGGAGACTTCATTAAATTCCAATAGAGCTCAGGCGGGTTCCACTTGTCGTGGCCCGCCTTATCCTCCATGTATACGCGCATTTTCTCCGAGTCATATTTTTGTGTGAGGAAATGCATCAGAGCCTCACGCACAATGTTCGCAGTGCCAGAAGCGTTGTTGTTGCTGTTGCTGTTACTGCTTTCTATTTTATCTCCCAAACTGCTTGTAGTGAGATAGTGGTCGCTCTGTACATTCAGCTCCTCGATCCAACGGGCACAGACCTCACATAGCCACGCATAACCCACGTAACTGTCAACCAGAGTGTTCAATACGTTCGTATTAAGCTCTGCGAGGTACTCAGACTGCAGTTCCGGAGTGCTAATACAATCTGATGAGTCCCCCTCACCCGCAGTGTCAGTCGCCTTGCGATATAAATAAGATATGACCCTGCGAATGTGTAGAAAAACTGAATCGTCCATAATCGCATCCTCACTCTGCAGGAATCGTTGGGAATCTGAGAACGCATTTTCAAAGATATTACACGACGGAGCACGTATGACATAGACGACAAAAACGAAAGATGTATGAGCTAAATGGACATATATGTAGTATGAGTAACACATTACTTAGATAAAGCTCTTGCTGTAACGTATAACCCGGTTATAATGACGTAAACATGACTAACAGAGCATATAACCACCTACCTTCAAACTCCTCCTGCGACACCTCGATGACCTCACGCCGGTCCGGTGGTGGAGGCAACGCGCTACCTGTTGCCTCCTCCATATTGGTGCTTTAGTGACTGAGTAGACACGTGTTCCACTATAGGTCGCGCGACATGGCTGCCGCCGTTCACCCACTACCCATACATCGAACAGCCCCGCAATCCTTAGGTAAATAAATGCACATTCTACTTATTATTGTCAATCTTTGTAGTGGTGAGCCGTACGTGCTACACAACAGATCAATGCATGATCAAACATAATATCAACGCTGCACATTTGCAGATGGTCGGCTTCGACGTGCCGTGTTGCAGCGTATGCTACGAGTATCTAAACTCTAAACTCTGTGCACTGACCAGGTGTGGACACGTCTACCACCGCCAGTGGTGAGTCGCGCCGAGAAAGAGGCATGTAACATCTTACGCAGCATAACACAGTGGACGGCGAGGACTGAGAAACACAAGGTAGGATGTCCATTATGCAGATGTAGCATACCAGCAAAAGGTATCATAGAACTGCAGCTCGAGTTCGGAGAAATCAGTGGTAAGTTGAGCCACCTTTCTCTGCATCCTGGTACGCAGCTTCCGAACGCAAAAACGATGGTGAGGGGAACCCCGAGGTTAGTACCACAATTGACGTAATTTCATGGCATATTAAGGTGGTGTCAGAACAAGTGCTGGATCTCAGGCACAGGCTGGCTCAAGCTGTATCGGATAAACTAGACATGCAGGAGCGTTGTGCAGAGATTGAGGTGGGTAGCCTTCCTAAAATACAACTAATCAGACCTCTACGAAACCGTATCGTTAATCGTGCTATGATTCTCAATGTCGTCTGTATAATCCACAGGCGAACACTGAACACAAGTGCGTTGTCATAACCGCACAAGTATTAATCCACAACACCCTCTACTTTTCAAACCCTAATTGATTCTACAGAATGAAAATGCCGCTATACAAGAGGCTCTACTTCACGCGCGTGATTACAATGCAGTTCTTGATGATGAAAACAAGGACTTAAAGCTCATCGCAGAAGCCAACAAAACCAGCATCGCAAAACTTAACGAAACAGTTACAAGGCAAAAACGCAGACTGGCAAAACTTGAAGATGTTCATAATTATCTCAAGGCTGAAAGTAACAATGAGGAGGGGTTCAACTCATATCTCAAAACACTCTCTACTGACGAAAAGCTCACACTGCTAACGAACAGGGTAGCGGAGCTGGAGGGCATCAATAAAACGCTCACAGAGCTTAGAGATGTTTGGAAGAGGAAGTGCGAAAAAATTAGCCGCGAATATCTCATACTTGAAAGGTAATGATTGTATGCGATGATGCCAATCCTAACCCTTATGGCAGGGAGTACAAAACCGCACTCACTAGACAGCCTATCGCTCAACAATTCGAACCAGACCCACTCAACGATCCGTTGTCAAATTCCACAGGACACAAGGATGCGGAGCCAGATAATGATGTATTAAAGAAAACACGCAGGGCCATCGACTTCGGAGTTATGGGAAACGGGCGAAACACCATTTGGGGAAACAAGAACCTGCCTCCCAAACCCGAACCGTTCGTATTTGCGCCACCAACTGATCTGCTTCACTCAACAAAACCTAAGAAGCAGAAGATATCGGATTTCTTCAAGCCGCAGTGAAGCCACGTGACGCTGCGACGACAAACCACTCTAATGTCAGTTAGCATAATGTGAAACATACTGACTCGCTTGGGGGGTCACGATATCGACTTACAGTCCGGTTTCTCTGCGGTACGCCGATTTTACCACGCAAATTGCGCTACACGTCGGCGAAAATGACAATCTGACAGCGTCGAGTTGTCACTGGCCAGTAGCACAGCACAAGTCAAACAACAATGTAGTATATAGCTCATTTAGCTTAAACACGAGTTACTGTAACGTCACAACGCTCATTGGGGTTAGGTCCAATGACGTATAGGGAGCACTTTCACATACTTTGGTGTTCTGATCACGTTCACGGGGTTCACATGGCACGAATGTACAAGTTACAACGTCCTAACGCGGTACGAACCCATTTTGCTGCGATACCTCAGACTCCTACAAGGCACCAGAGACGAACCCATCCATCAGCACTCGGGGCCGGCAGTGGAGTTCCGATCGCGGTCAAACAAACTCAAAAGTCTACTGACGTAGAAAACTCTATCTTTCCCAACCCGGCAACTGGGGTAGTCTGTACGAAAACTCCAGATTCCTCAATGTTGTCGCTCTCTTCCATCTGTAAGTAACTCTTTTGGGAGCTAACGCCCTCGTCGTCGTAACTTCGCTGCGAAAAAAACAAACTGTTGGCGTCATCATAATTATGAAGATGACCACGTGAACTATCCAAGTTACATGGGCTCTGAGTACCGTGACCATCGCAACGGGAACTCATCTGTTTGCTTTTATCTGTCGGAATGGAGTACATCCGGTCCAACATCATCCGGTCGGGACTAACAGTTGTAATTTTTCTCGACGGAGTCATTACATGTGTTTGCGCGTGTGTATTTTCGGGTGCTAACATATATGCAATCGTATTCTCCAACTCAGGGAGGCGAAAGTAACGCGCATCTTGTAGTAATTGGCGACGCAGAGTGACATCCTCCGGCAACGCAACATCACCATCGCGCAAGTAATCTAGAATATACTCAAACCTACGTCCATCCCTATCAATGAAAACAGTAGGATGTGGCCCTGAACGCTCGTCTGCTACGTACAAAAAGTCGTCTCCCAAATTACTTGTTGGCGCACCGTGCTTCAGGTGGTTAAAAAGCTCGCGAAAGTAGACATCAAATCGCGAACCAGTGTGACGCGTAAGTGTGCGGTACGTTGTCGTGTATGTTACACCGCCGACATTGAGATTTACCATCGCAGTAAAACCCGGAACGCCATCCGAGATGACATCGACCGACTGCCCGGCGACGTTAGCAGATGGCCACTGCTCACCATCCAGGCGCGGCTTCTTAGCGCTATGCGCCATCCCAGTAGATGTGTAAGGGATACAATACAACAGAGTTTACGAAAACAAAAGAAAACCGAACTGATGCACCCGGAAGCTCCCCACAGCTACTCGTGCAAAATGAAGGATACACATCCAGAGACGCGTGAACGTCTTCTGGTGGATCAATCGGAAGCCTCATAATGACCTGAAATAGCTTTAGGTAGTCAATGTGTAGGGTATACGGATCCACGAGTCGTAGAATCGAGCCACATCACAATAGGCACGTCAGAGGAAAAGGTGTAGCCATGTAAAAAGGAGATAGATACCTATATATATCTATTACACCCGAATACGACGGGTTATTCCAGGAAATTCCACGCGCGATGCATCTCAGGAACCCCTGAGAGGTGTAGGCTATCAGTTAAAGTAACGATAGCAACCAGATATAATAGCGCATCCAGGCACGATCTTGATCAAACGAGGAGTGAGACCAATCGAAAATCCCTTCATCCCGTATTGGCCGAAAAATCGAATCAGCTCACGTCGCACCGTCATTTTCACAGTGCGATCCGTGCTAGCCTGTATGGTCGTCTTCACAATATCGAATGGCTGAGATATCACAGCAGCAGCTGTAGACGATATAGATCCCGTAACCAACGAGAGTGCAAGCCTCTGTGGTTTGGAGAGATCGCATTCCGATAGACCGTTGAATGCAATGAAACGGCGGTACAACCAGTCGTTCAACGGCCAGTGAACTGCAGAAAAAGGGACGTCACGTATCACTGTAGGGGTCAAACCCTTATAAAGCGACAGAAAACTTTGCAGACCTCGAGTGCCGCTAAAAAAATCCACTGTGCGGTGGGCGAGGTTTGCCTGCTTGAACGTCCGTAGGCACTCCAGCGGCTGCATCGACAGCAGAGTTACCATGCGCCCCAAAACGCTAGCCAATGGCGAACTAACCTCGCCTTTCAGTTTGTCGTAAGACAAAAAGAACAGAGTCTGGCCCCCTACAACGTTCATCGCTGTTAGGTGGAAACCCGTAAAAAAACATCGCACGCCATGGGTCGCATATATGCGACGTGCAACGCCAATAGTAGACACATTACCACGTATACCCTTAAGTTCCGGATTAAAGTACCAATAATTACGCACTACATCAGTTGGGACACACATAGACGATACTAGTAACCCTGATGACTATGACGCCGCACAGTAACAGCCTACCGCCAATAGTCGTCCCTTTAAGAATGTTGCGTGTGTAGGAACCACTGTCACTGCCGACTTGGGAATCCATAATAGCGCGTTAGTGACGGTTGCAGCATTCCTTTAGCTCGAATCCACGGAAGGCTTGCTGCCTTCCTGCAACGGCGCCAAAGATGAAGGACGAAAAAATCGAGTATCCATATCCCAGCGGCGGTGGATATACCGTGACACAAGGTTTTGCATGTTGTGAAACGAACAAACGACATCGCTCGCGCTTTCTATGGTAGGGAGAATATCAATCTATGGGGAATGATTAGACCAATTTTCAAGCTCATCTGCATAGCCAAAAGGGAATACATAGCCGTTAGTAATAAATAACCGGAGGAGGTGGTGTTAAATGGAACAGCAAATGAACAAAACCGACGACACTGATGTGTGCCGCACGGTCAGAGCTAACCAGTAAAGCTACACACCGCACGGTACGCAATGGCCACGGATTCCAGCGATGAAGGAGATCTTCTGACACCAGATGACCAAAATACGTACAAATCGGTCAGCGAAGATGTCGAAGGCGATGCCTTGGAGGTGGAAGATGTCCGTGTACAGCGCAAGAATGATATGGAAGATGGTACGTATTCTAAAACAAGAAACAGACATCTGCATGAAACATCACCACCTAAACTGTTTCCATGTCGCGACGTAGAGATCTACAGATGCCTGAATAAGATATCTGAGGGGACATATGGGTCGGTATACCGGGCACTAGACAAGCAAACCGGGGAAATTGTGGCACTCAAACACATCAAATTTCACGAATCGCACTGGAGGGAGGGATTCCCAGTTAGCTATTTAAGGGAAATATCTATTCTCCTTGAACTGAACCACCCGAACATACTAAGCGTGAAAGAGGTAGTCACCAACGAAGCCAGAGACCAGTACTATATGGTAATGGAGTACGTAGAACACGAACTCAAGACGTTACTGCAAGATAGAAGACCCGATTTCACGCTATCCGAACGAAAGTGTCTAATCTACCAGCTTTTACTGGGGGTAGAATACTTACACGCTCATTGGGTGCTCCATCGTGACCTTAAGACAACGAACATACTTTACAACAACAGAGGAGTGCTAAAAATATGCGACTTTGGTATGGCACGAAAATTCGGACACCCTATCAAAACATACACGCAAAATGTAGTTACCCATTGGTACCGGGCTCCAGAGCTCTTCCTGGGACAAGAAAAATACACGGAAGCTGTAGACATATGGTCTGTGGGATGCATTTTTGCAGAAATCATAAGTGGAAAACCCCTATTCATGGGTACTACTGACGCCGGTACGCTCGACAAAATATTCAGGTGTTGCGGGTCACCTACGAAGGAAACATGGCCAGGATACAATGAATTGCCTCTCGTAAAGGATAGGAGGTTTCCATTGTCACACCATAAACCCAATTTTCACGCTTACTTTAAGAAGGAAATGACCACAAACGATGGTTGTTACATGACTGAGTCAGGAATAGACCTTCTGATGAAGATGCTCACGCTGGACCCAACTAAACGCATATCGGCCAAAGATGCACTGAATCATCCATATCTAACGACGGTAAGAAATGATAACGTTTCCAGATGTTATATATCGTCACAGGAAAAACCGAGACCACGAGCACTGGAACTCATGCCAACAATTCCTGACACGAACGCAAAGGCACGCGTAAAGCGTGCACAGGAGGAAGAAGACAGTAAATTGTCAAGATTCATGGGACGCGTTAACCCGGTCAAGTTTCTCGCTCTAATGGAAAAAGGAAGAGCGAAACGATACAGGCACTGACGCTATCCTGTCTGCACATGTGAAAGTCTGGTACGGAAATATGGCATCATGCAGGCTTTATGGGTCAATTTGGGCCTTTATTTGGACTACTCTTACGATTTGTAATCGAGAGGGTGCATTATTCTTCGAGGGAATGTGTAGCAATAATCCGGACATACACTCGGAATTTCACGATAGAAGATGCGAAGAGACGCGAACTAGACAAACAGATATAGTTTTAAACGACGTTTTAATGTCGAAACTAGGTTTGATCCCCCGTCTACAAGTTTAGCCACTAGGAGACTAACGCACCGAGGTGAGACGCAAGTGTATTGGTATATTTGCTATTAAATAATTTTTTGTTGGTCTCATAGTCGTATATGGATCGATATTTGTTGGTTTGTGACTGTGGAAGTCAATCGCAACTTCGATCCAACTCACGATATCACGGAAGCACAGTGGCAGTAGACGGCGTCTCGGATCGACAAACAACCCAGCGAGTTATGCGACATGTGCCTCCGACGTAATCGGAACAGTCTTAACCAAATTAATGTAGTAATAATTTATACGAACCGTATGCAAATAGCATCCCCTAAGAAACAGGTGGGGTCTAGGACACTATTATTTTAGTTAAGGGGTCGCCGTAGACGTAGATATGCTCACAAATAGCGTATTCTATAATCGTTAGTCGTTTATTTGGGTTTAGAGAAGTCCTATTGTCGGTTTTATGCCTGAATATTTATTTATGATTGTTGCCTGCCACTATGGATGTGAAGACATACGAGGAAATAAGATCTGATGCCAAGTGTCTAGGTGCACTGTCTAAAGGTGTTACATCTGGCGCTCTGGCTATATTGAATCATATTTGCAAATTTATGATTGAAGCAGAGGTACGTATATGACAATATGAAACTAACACTACCTTAGGATTCTCGTGATATCGATAATGAAGTCAAGCTCAAGCTCACAAAATACATGAAAGATATATCTCGATCACTTTTGCGTGCAATAGAGGCTAAACATAATATTTCGAGTGCATTTGGGAGCGATCTCACGAGGTACGGTTTCTATCAGGAATTATCATTTGTGCGTAGTGCTGAACTACAGGAAGCAAAAAAGTTGTTTTATGGCGCTATCATCAAGCACCTAAGAGATGAGGTTGAATTACGTGGCCTGATCAAGAATGAACCGGAGCATGATCTCCTTAGGAAAATCAAGCTGCAACTCATCAATTTGGATCGGGATATGTTTGCGATGAAACAGCAACTGGCCTTATACAACATGGTAAAGAAGCGCTCCGAGGGTGACCGGACTGCAGCACATCAACTAGATGAGGAATCCACCGACTACCAAAAGGCAGTAGTACGCAGGAATCACGCAAAGATGGTACTTGCTATCCAGGCGATGTTGAGACACCACAACATTGCTACAACACGCATAGTAAAGAAACTGCGCAATAAGAAGGACACCATAGAAAAGGCAATTGAAAACACGAGAACCGATATCGAAAGGTAAGAGATGCCCTGATACCTGTAACACGCTTGACGTGTATATTGAGCACAGTTGTTAATGTTGCTCCTTTTTTATACAACCGATCTAATACACAATACATGTTTTTTCAGGTACGCTGAGCTGCTTCTTAATATGATAAAGAAGTTAACGAATTATGCTGATGTAACGAGGCCCGTTGGTGAAAACGCATTTATAGCGAAGACAGTTACTGAACCAACCGTACAAGTTACAGAAACGGTACTTCTTATTAAGGAAGATGCCGAAAAGGACACTGAAGAAGAGGCCGAAGAAAAGGTTGGCCTCCCTGAATCAGCTGTTGAGGAAGCTAAAGAAGAAGTTGAAGAGTCTGTGGAACAAGTTGTTGAAGAAGTAGCTAAAGAAGTTGAAGGGTCTGTTGAAAAGGTGCTTGAGCAAGCAGCTAAAGACGAAGTCGAGGAGGTACCTGAAGAGGCTATGGAAAAGACTGTCCCTGTACAAGATCAATCTGAACCTATAACCATGGAAGAACAGCCCATCGTGGAGCAATCAGCTGAGGTGTTAGAAGCCGATGGTAAAGTAGTCTTCACAGACATGCGAAGCGATGATTACCTGAGCACAGAGGGAGAGTCAATGGATGAGACAGAACTGGGGTCCGACATCTCTGACACACTTGTATCCCCAGAGAGAGACGTTGAAAATCTGGCACCTTCACCTACCATCTGCAGTATATCTCAACCCATTGAATCACACATTAGCGAGGATACTACTGTCCCCATGAAAAATGAAAGTGGTACAGGAGCAACAGATGAAACCCATGTAACAACGCATCCATTCACTGATGAAGATGTCGTGAATCAAACCGATATGGAGGCTATTACCACCCATCAATCTACTGAAGAAACGGAAGCGAGCATAACTAATGCGCAGATGATACAAAGTACCAATGATGATGAATCTTCCGCTGAACGTCAAGATGGCGCCTCTGAATTGGAGACAGTTCAGTTGTCCATGGAAGCTTCTAGTAAAGTTGAAGAATCACAAGTAGAAGTCACTTCAGAGCCCAAAGGAAAAATGGTTCACAAGAGATTGATATCCATATCATCACAGCCCACTGTGGACTCCACCAGTAATATGGATTTGTCGGATGGGGACATGGATGTTTTAGACATTGTAAACCATGTCGATGAAGTTAACGAAGACGTTAAGGTGGAAGATGAGGCAGGGGCTGATGATCTTCCCGAAAGGGGAGATGAAGAGGTTGCTGATGCTGTGGAGATGGAGTTAACCAGAGACGTTGCAGAAGAGTTGGTAGCTGATGCTCCCCAAAGTATGACCGAGGCAAGAGATATAGATGCCAATGAAGAAGCTGCCATTGAAGTCCGCGATTACACTCAGGAGATAGGTGAGGAGGAAGAATCCATTGGTGATATTGTCACTGTACCTGAAGTAGCAGAAGACAGTGTTAACCGAGTTATGAAGGAGGATACTGATATACCCAAGGATGATGGCGATACTGCTGCAACTGAAGATATTGTGGAATCAGTGGAGCCTCAACCCATAATGCTCAGTGCCCCAGGAAAAAGTGGTGCCACCCAACACATCTCAGAAACTAGTTTCACAACAGAGACACCATCAAATGAAGCAGAAGAACCATCATATAGAGCTGTTGTCAGTAGTACTGGTGAAGAATACGTTCCAGAAAGTGGAATACCACAGAAACAGGAACCACAGATAGGTGTTGATCAGGACATAGACTCTGTGCCAACTTTTGTTAAGGAAAGTGAACATATAGTGAAGGAAGACGTAATAAGTTCTGAAAACCCAGGCGAAAGTCTAGCGAGAGACAAAATCCGCGGCGACATCGAAGTATCTAGTATATGGGCAGACATTCGTACTCTCAAGGCTGATGTCGCTCTCCTCGCACGACGCCTCGAAAATATTGACCGCCACCTTATGTCATACGTACCATACATCCCTCTAGATACAAGTTCAGTTGCGGATGGCGTCCAAACGGATGTAATGCACCCTGCGCCTAGTTTGGAGAAAGAGGAGATGAATGTACAAGATCAAGAGACGCTGATAAATACTCGTTCAGCTGTCGATTCCGAACAACTAGAAACAAGTAATGATGAAGAGAAACCAGTTGATTCGCAAGTTGAATCTCCCCAAGCTGAAAAAACCGAGTTGGAAGATGAGCAACAACTCTTCATGGGTGAAGGTGAGATGCCACTTGTTGACAAGGTAGAAGTTGAGGTAATAATAGGCACAATACGCCTGGATGAGCTTAATCTTGACAAAGATGACGGAGAAGAAAATGAAATACCCGAAGATGAAAATGCCCAAATACTCCGAGCAACTGACCAAACATTGGGGAGTGGGGCGGATGCCGAGAGAGAGGCGTCGCAAAACTTGGGAGATGATCACGAGTCTCCAAATGTAAATTTCGATGTAGAAAGCCAAGAAAGAACTTCCAAGCCAACAGTGGACTCACCAGCTGATATCCAGACCGGTGATGCTGCTGTTGAAGAATCTCGGGAATCAGAGGAAATAGGTGATCTCGGCAAAGTAAGTGTAGAGAATGAGGACGTCACAACACAGCCATCACCTTACAACGACGAAAACATCACCACACAACCTGATGGCGAATCATACCCGGAAGATAAATGTTTACCAACCGAGACCCAGATCGATTCATCCCCCCTAACTCAAGCGGAAGAATCATCCAACCCCTCGCAAGCATTTGTAGAATCTCCAGAGCGCATACACCGTGATCTTGACGTGACAATTGAGATAACTGTTGAGCCTGTGACTATTGAAATTGACCTCCTGGCAGATGAAGGTTTTGCATCGGATGAAAACGAAGCCATTGCAGTGACAAAAGAGAATGTAACAGACGAAGTACGTGAATCGGAGCCATGCATTGGGGAGAATCAAACGAATCTACTGTCAGAAAACTCAAAAGAAGCTGAAAATCATGAAACTATCGAGGAAGCCATTTCCGAAGATGCTGGCTTAACCGACCGGGATTCTTCGAAAAAAATGTCTGAAAATCTGGATTCTGCAACCGTAGAGAACTCTGATTCTTCTCCTTTAACAGAAATGCCTGATGTCATACCACTTCCCCAAATTAAGATCGAGTTAACAGTGGTAGATGATGCTGGGGTCAATGAAGCCAGCACAGATGACAGTGCACGGGAACAGAATATTGACGCCACTGAGGAAGGCCTTGATGCTGCGCTAGATAAAGAAGTATCTGACGACTTGTTGTTCTTGGAAGCCTATGAAGCACTATTGGAAAAGGCCAAATTGGATGAAGCAACATTGGAAGAGACTATTAATGACGAGAAATTTTTGAGGGACCTGGAAGAGCTTTACACCCTTCTAAATCAGGATGGAGATTATCTGTATGGTGAATCCAACGACGAGGTAGGGGCTTCTGCAGTGAACCCAGAGGTTCGTGAGGAAATTGATTACGACATCAGGGCTTCAAAACACCACGCAAAGCCCGATGCATTCACGTATTCCCGCACAATTATAGGCGAGTATGTGCCTCCCAAAATGGAATCCGCTGAGAACGAAGATTCAAAATTGATGTCACATTTGGACGTGAAAACACCAACAGAGGCGGCAGTAAGAGGTGCAGAGGCACTTAACGTGGGCGGTCTTCGTTTATTCTTTGGAATGTTCGCCCCCCTGCCAGAGGTTTCATCATCAACAGACTACGAGACAATGCAAAAGCAGCACGAATTGTTCAAACAGTTCCAGCTTTTCCTGAGCCAGCCCACAGGGAACAGAAGGTAGAAACGTAAGGAGATGGCATTCTGGATTTTTTCACCATACAGGGATACTTATTTCGTCAAAATCTCGAATATACAGGATATGCCATTGTATTCTGCTACATATTTGAAAGAAACTGAAGAGTTTTGTGGTCATGAAAATTACGTCAACCCTAAAAACAGCACGTGAACTCATTTCAAACACTGAATTATTCAGTTGATTTAGCCTTTTATGTTATATGAACGTGTTAGTGGCCTATTAGGCCGGTAAAAGTGTACAATCAACGCAAATGTGAGTGCAATCGTTGCGCAATACCGTGGCACCTTGCGGACCACATGTTCATATTGCGATTGATAGACACGACTAATGCAAGATATTATTACAAACTGGGAACCTACATCAACCTAATGACAACGTTGAAAATGGCTGTGAAGTGATGTATGTTGTTTCTTACATGGTTGCTATCACCGCATGATTACTCAATGCGCTGTTGTCCAAGGTACCTATAAAGTTCCACAAACAAAACAACATGAACCAAATGTAGAAGGGATGGGTGTCTAAGTGTTACAGGGTTAATTCAAGTGCTATTCTGTGCGGTAAAGTGACTTGCTGCACAATGCATGGCTCAGAGTGCAGTTGCCTCTGAATTGTGATCCAACTACTACAAGCCAGAATGAGAATAGGAATTCACGCCGGTAGCTGGTACGACAATGACGGTAAGGGCACAACTAGAGAAAATACACCTACACACCTGTGCTACACACTCGTCCCAAACCACCGAGAGTTCCACATTTCGCAGCTTTTTCATCACTATTTGCAGTCGAATTACTCAGAAACAAAATTGAAAAAGCTTTGTCACAAAGCGAGGAAACACCTACACTCTATTTGAAGTATATAGTAGTGCCGTAAGTGGAAGACATACAGCTTTCCATGTATACGTAGTCATGCTGGCTACACATATTCTTTGAAGACAGCAAGCGCCGCTTTTCGTATGGTAGATGTTACAAAAATGTAGGTTTCTTGATCCTTTGAGCAACCTTGATTCGCAGTAACACCGTTTTCATCTTGGGACCCTCGCATCATCTAACCATACGAGGCTGCGGTTTAGACAGATTCAAATACCTTAAAACACCACTGGGTGAATTACAGGTGGACACAGATATCACACAGAAGCTGCTGAAGCAAGATGGCTTTGTGGAGATCAGCAGGAGGGACTCAGAGCAGGAACACTCCATCGAAATGCAGTTGCCAATACTGAAACACCTATTAAACACGTTGGTTAGGTCTTAAAAATCTTGAAAATGCCGTACAGTGGCGGTGTAAATCACGTAAAGATAGTCCCCATCTTAGTCGGATTCATGGATCACCACCACCTGGACATAGCGGGTATGTTTTACACTCAAGCATTAAAGGAGTCGTTCAGCGGAAGCGTTGGCACCTTTTTTTCGAAGAGAGGTACCCTCAATATAATGTTACATAGTTGAAGGTTATGCAGGAGACCCTATTCGTGCTCTCATCCGACTTCTGCCATTTTGGAAGGAGGTAAGCGACAACATCATAATTGCTTAATATTAACACCTTCAGATTCGGTTTTACACGTACAGGGTATGAGAGCTATCGTATACCATTGTGTGAAGCGATTAAAAAACTTGACTTCGACGGGATACGACACATTCTGAGACATGACCTGGACGGTGAGATCTCTTCCTACTTGAGAAAACACACTCTCCAGGGTTTATACGCTATTTAAAACACACCCAAAACACTATATGTGGTCGTTATCCAATAGAACTGCTACTAAAGCTGATATCCATCTCGGACATGGAGCTTGACTCCAGAGTCTTGTCATACACTCAAGTAAGCGTCACTACCAAGTTAAATAGACAATGGCACAGTCTAACGAGTGCACCGGAATCAACGACTTCTCTGTATCGTACTGCGCCATCGCGGGGGTTCAAGATCGAGACGAAGGATCCGGGTGATGCAAGCCGCCATTCAGACATTACTATGCACATATGAGGTCATGTATACCACACTAACAGCAATGACACACAACACTTCAATTTAACATTTAAATAATTTTCAGAACCCAAAGCCGAAGGCGGCGCGATATCCACAGCTCACCGCAGACAACAGAGGGGACATCAAACATGACACACGTCACACGCAGCCGTTACGCTTGATTAAATATTCGACACAGGTATTTGTGATGCATACGTCAAGTTGTGTCTGTTGAACTGGGACGTAAGCTCTTCAATCTTTTCCATATCCAGCCGGGCAGCAGCAACTACATCATTTACGTTTTTCTTGAATTCAGCATCACTCAGGGAGTTCAAATCCTCAGATACCTTCAATAAAAAGGTGAACATCTCAGCCAGCTGGTGATGTTGTAAATCGCTAATCTGACTCTGAAGATGCAGCGCAGAAAGTAGCTCTTCGTGTCTCATGAGAATCTCCCTTTTACCGAGTGCACTGAGCTGGCTTATTTCCTTTGTGTGCCTTACAACATGGTCATCATGTTCAAAATGAATAAATGCATCTTCTGCTGCATCGCGATTTACCAAATCGCCACAAACAGGATCACCCAACGAGGCAGAACCATCGATAAGAGCTTCATCTAAAGGAGGCTGTACATTCCCCTCTATAATATCTTTCAGCTCTTTAGCCTTCAGTGAAAGCTCTTCTAACCGCTCTTCACTATCTAAAAGCTTCTGAGCGTCCACTTCAGCAGCTGCAGTTACCGCCTTCATAATACGGGTGGAAGACGCCTTTTGTGCCGTTGTCACTTCCTCAGCGAACTTCTCCCCTACCTTTGTCGGCTTATCAATTTCAAAGGCTACAACAGCAGGCGTTTCATTAATACCATCGGCTGATACAGGTACGTTTTCCTTTTCGTCAGCGACCACGTCGTCGGCATGTATAGCCATGGGCTCGTGAGTCATGGTGATACAGCGACTCCATAGAAGAAGTATGGGTGATATCTGAGGCATGCTTGAAAGGTCGAGCCATTGTTTAAGCTGCTGTTGCATTTGTTCCTTGCTGATATTGTAGAACTTCATAGCACGATCCCTGCATGCCTCTTGCAGCTCTTCTGTAGTTAAGCTTTCCACGCCCTCCCACATTATTAGACGGTCCTCTCTCTGAATTTTAAGCAGGTGATGTCGCAGCTGCAACACGACGTGCGAACGCATACTGAATGGCGTAATGCCCAGTAATTTGCACATCACCTTTAGAGTCTCTAAATTCATTTTTTCTAGTTTAAACTCCTTCTTGAAAATTTTAGCAAACACCAACAACTCATTAGAGCTCAAAAATGGGTTGATGTCGCGATCCTTCTTGTTCAGGATGCGTTCTTGGAAATCTTTAAGTGCCTCCATCTTGGTCTTTAGCGAAGAGTCCAACTCCTCCTGCAACAACTGGTTAGTACGTTCCTGGACCAGTTCCTGGAAAAACTGCGCAAGTTCCTTTTTCGCCAATAGTTTCTTCTGTAAGTAGTCGTCGCTCTTAGAGTTGTCCGTTCTAAAAGTAGACGGGAGCATCTGTGGGAAAAGCCTAATAGCCACTGGCAATAGCAATTCAGCAAACGGCACTATAAGAAAAAATGAGAAAGGCACCAACTTCAACGCATCATTCAGGGTGTTCATCAACAACTTGCGTTCATTGTAGCGCATAGGATGACCTTTCAGCCTCTTGAGGAGGATGTAATAGGAAACCTTGACATTTGCAAAGTAAAGGCGAAAGCCGGTTTTGCACCAGTGTATTGTGTGCTTTATACCATCAACAATGCTCTTCAACATACCAGATACACCTCCAACACGCGCAACAACAACTGCGCGACCACAAATACGCATCAATTGTCCCACACATTTGAATATCAGCGATATTATTTGGAGTGTCCATTTACCCAACCGAAACGGCATCACAATAGCCCAGCGAATCAGACGGAACGACAACCCTAATACTCTACGTGTCAACGAAAAACCTTTGTTTACACTCGTAAGATTACCACCTTTGGAGGATGATTGACTATCCTTGGAGCGTGAGCTACTTCCATTATTTCTGGAACCCCCAAAACATCGACGGGTGACATTCATAGCACCGAAATTCTGAGTGCCAGTAGCCAAAAATGAACTTTTGGCTTCATGCCAATAGGGCAGAATACTCAGCATACAACCGCCATTCGTACTTCCTCGCGGCGTGAAGGGTGTGAACCGCCCTAACGCAACAGACGAGAGGCTTCCAAATCCATAACCATTACAAAATGCTATATTAGCCGTTGCATTGAACCTACAGTTAGATGTGGTTCCAGTGGAACCGTTTAGACCAGCCTTGATGCTCTTTTCGGTTTCAACAGCGCGGTAATCACCGGAACATCTGTAAGCGTCACGACCGAAGTAGGCCTTATAACCCCTTGATTGACACACACGATCACATATAGACGTTACAGCGGCGGGAAAAAAAGCTTTACGGGCTAAGTGGTTCGAAAATAGGCGCCCATTACCCTGGAGCGATGCTCCGGAGCTATCTAAGCGCACAACTCCCTTCCACATACTTTAAGCCCTGAATTCTTTTGTATTATTCATTCGAATCTTTATTCTCCATTTGGTGAGAACAAAATACAATGACTTAGGCGTCTTCAAACACCACGCCGCGATCCACACATAACCACGCTCATTCCTCCAGGTATTCACATACCATAGTAGAATAGTCCAAACAATCTGACAATAGAACCTAAATAACTTCTTATGGGTTTTAATTCTGATATAATATCTGCATTACCTATCTTCTCTATTAAAACACCTTCCATACTACTCTGGTTGGAAACGGATGACAAGGACAGATTAATAACATACCTAAACCTGCATTTCAAACAGTTCAATACCTATTCTGTGGTTTTAAACTATCCTAGCAATATTCAATCGAACTCACCACGCACCTTAAGCGATAGCCAACCTTTGCAACCTGGGCATTAACGCAGTTTTCCTCAAGTGAAGAGCTGTAGTTAAACATATGGTCATCTTCCATCTAGGTTTTGTCATATATTCACGCATGACGAATAACGGAGTACAACCACGTCACCGCTAACCATAACTACGCAGTACCGCAAAGCATTACGTGACACATTAGTCAGATGAAACATCAAAATGCATGCCTATATGCTCATTAAACGACATTGACCTAAATATTGTTTGAACTAGGAATGTGCGTAGACATGTGAATTGTGTGCTAGACGTTTGTGAGAGAAGCACTAGGTTTGGCTCAACGTAGCGCGATTGTTGCTAAAAAATCCGAGTTTAGTGTATACTACAGTGCTTCAGTATCACTGGATGTTACATTACGATGTATCCTACGCAACCTTACTCTCTTCCACTTTCGACTCCTTGCTGCCTTGCTCCTTATGACGTTCCAACCACTTAGCTTCATGTTCTTTCACCCAGTTTTCAGCACGCTGTTGACATTGGAGGGCTTCCTTGGACTCATTAGTCCAATATACTTCGTGGTTATACCGCGACTTGTTGGCACCACCCATGGATTCTTCGATCTGGGAATTATCAATCTTATTTTTAAGATATTCCACCAACTTTGGCCCCCTCTGCTTCATGACTATTTTTTTGGCGGTAGACGAATCCAACACCGCTTTGATCATTTGCATGAGCGGGTCCATAAGCATTGGAGGATCGAGAATGATGACCTCGTGCATCAGATCCGTGTAATGTTCTGAGCACGCCCGAACTGTATCTATTACCAGTTCTAATGTAGGAATCTTGCTCATAGACCATCCTATAAGGTCTACGATAACGACGATTTTGTCATTGCCGCGTGAAAGGAGCAGTGTCTGTGTCGCCTGTTCCAAAGTGAAAAAAATCAGCAGCGCCTGGTTGTCACGATCAAAGTCAACCTCGTCACGTGGACGGTAGTACAATATGGGCCTTCCCGATTTGTCGTAGCCCTTTCTGTAGACCATACCATTGGCATTAGAAACGCCCACGTTCTTTAGGTTTATTGAGTCAAGTTTCTTAAAACGACGCCAAGCCAGCGTCTTTCTAAGCATGACAAATGCTTGGGCCACCTTGTATCGGTAGCTCCGTAAATAACGGAATAGAAGAAGATCTGTGCACCATTCGAGTTCGGTGATTTTAATGTCCTCCACAGGGTCCACATTCCACAGTTTGTACCACTTACGCCCTTGGCTGGCGTCGCTGTTTTCGCTTTTATACATGGGCATACTCCACAGAAGATGCTTCAGCTCCTCCACCTTCTTTATCACCGAGTCCACATTCTCCTCAAGGGGATAGAAGGTCTTCCACTTACTCAAAAATTCGGGAAGGGAGATTTTTAGGGACCTATAGTCTGGTTTAAGAGGCGGCCCAATTCCTTCAACCAGTCCTAACGATCCAATATCAATTGGATCCACGCTATCGACCGCGCACTGCTCTTCGCTAGAGTCAGGTTTGCGTTTGAACAATTTAATGAAATCCATCTTGGTATGGTCCGAAAATCACTATAAAACCTATATCCGCATGAACGATGGCTTCGCCGGCCTATATTGCCCTGTGGACTGCTGAGAAGTAATCGGCACGGTCTTCCCGCCACTAGGGTTGGTACTCGGGAGTAGACCGATATACCGATTTGGATGAGCGTATATTTAAAAATACGCCAAATGGGTGCATTAGGCCGGGACGCTTTGTTAGACACTATGTGTGGATGTGAAACCGTTTGGACGTTCCGTCCCCCACCGACACGGAATAGAGCGGCGTGTTCATGGATGGCACGACGCTATCAAAACCGTCTGCTGTGAGCTAGTGATATGAGGAGATTCGAGGCCATGATACATTCATCGCAGAGCTATGCGCCTTGCACAACGATGTGACACATCTTCTGCAAGAATAACCGCGCGGTTGCGGACTAACTAGTTATTTTTGTGTCGGAGCAGTCAACAGAGGCGCTGCACCTCTTTAAAAAGTGCACACATCTTAAAAATTCCCATATTATGCTCGCCCATGCAAATACACAATCAGTTCAGCCTCTTAGAGGCACGCTACAACGTTTTAAAAGTAACAGAGCGTACAAAACTCAATACCGATAACTCGTGTTACATTCAGAAGACGGATAAAATCATCAACGCCCGCAGATTGTTGCGTTCTTGACGGTGTACTAATTATGCGATCTATGCTCTGCTATTCACCATACTTGTCAACTATTACCACCGACAAACTTTCAGAAATCCCATACAGACCACTATAATGACGGTAACCAACAAATCATTATGATGTGGAATCACGCTAAATGTTCCGGGTGACCCTACCCCCTCATGCTCTAGTTGAAGCCGCTAGGGGCACACACTAAAGGTTACAAAGCATTTTTTATGTTACTGTAATTGTTTTATATGACAATGCTACACCGTTTGATTAATCAGTGAATTAAACTCTATGGTGTGTATAGCCTAAACTCCCGTTTGACCCAGTCAGACATATCTCGTCGCATTGTAACCATTCAGACACACTTGGAAAGGACCCAGTTACACCCAAGGAACCATTAGAATATCGTAACATCCCACAGGAATCGTTTTTCAAGCAACACAAGTTAACAGTACTGTCATATCTCAGATTACATCCCCAGGATGCGATGGGTCAAGCTGTATCGATAGCGCATTCCACCCGAGTACCACGCAAGTTAGGGGACAAGCTCAATGTGTTCAGTGAGTTTTGCCTTACTGTGCTACATCATGAATAGATCACCCTATGGAACATGTGAAAGTACTGACTCCACCATCGGAGCCAAGTACACGTATCTCCGTGTGCCGATGTTGGAGGTCAGGTAAGTGACGCTCTAGTAGCAGTAAATGCCATGCAGCCAAGTTCCCAATATGCGATAACTCACATCAGATACTCCAGGAACAAGGAATCAAAGTTGGTAGGTTGCGAGTATATGATTGCAGAAAACGGCCATATGATGCTCATATTAAACCACACCACATACTATACTCGATATATTTAGTGACATGTTTAACATTGTGCTAGGTCCCGTAATGCTTGAGGTACGCAAACCCAAGTAAATCACACATCAGGCAGCAAGCTGGGGTCGCGGAAACTTACGTTCTGCAATTTATGCAACCACGAAAATAGATAACGTACCACATTGCTGACCGTAATCTTGTGGAATGCTCCCGCGTCCTGGAAGCGTTCTATGATCTCCTCCGTCGCCTTGTGGGTCTTGAGGGTTGCGATGTGCTGGCCCGCCCCCGAGAATAGACGTTCGATTTCGTCTGACTGGACCAAGAGGTCAGCTTTGTCAAATCTCTTTACCACTTGCTCTACGTCAAACATAAGTTCTTTCTCGACGAACGATTTTGAAAAGTTGGTACCAAATACAGAGTAAATATGACTCGCGTATGCCAGCTTTGCTTGCACGTCAAAAAATACAACTGCCTGCAAACGCATTTGAAAAAACATAAATATAAAACACGTACCTCTACTTGGTGACCGTCCTTCGTCGTAAACTTTTCTACGATTTTCTTGCGGATTGGGGTAGTGCGGAATGCCACCGGTACCTCTAAAAAAGGAACGTAGAACAAGGCTATACGACCCTCGTTGTTGAATTGATCAATTTGACCGTCCCTACGCACTATAAGACCTACGTAACCCGGAGGTACTATCTTAATCATAGCAAATATGACAGTCAGAGAGACTATCGATAAGAAGTACAGCCTAAAGGTGATGATGTGCCTTCGGCGGTGTTCTTTAAAAAGGATGCCTGGTTCCAGAAACATACCCACACGCTGAGTGTAAATAGGGCTCAGAGGGGTGACGACAGATGTCTCGTTTGGCACGTCTGAAATGTTAGAGGTGACGCCAGTACGCACCTCAGATGGTTCGGTTCGGCCGCTGAACCGCCGCCTTGACAAAGGAAGACTGCGTCTCCACAATATACCACGCAACATAGCCACTCCACAGTTACAGGAATAGGAGAGGATGGCTGTCTGTTTCACTTTGTCACGACAGCACTGTGGCAAACATTCTGATGTGTGCGAACCACTTTCGTCTCACACTAATAGTATACACTGCCGTGACACACAAAATGTATCCTCGAACTATACATACATAGGGCAGATTAAAGCTTCAGAGAAGCTTAGGAATCCCAAAGTCTATGGGTGGCCAAAGCCGCGCGCGTCGCGTGTGGATGGATATTATGACCGCTCTGTCTCATTAACGGAAACGTCTATTCATTAAAACATTCACGATGACCATAACAAATATGTTTTTAAACGTGAAAAACGTTTTGATATCAAATTGTTAAAGCAGTTGTTAATAAATACATATACCCCTCGCGCCGTCTGGGCACCTTCGGTCAAAAGCGCCACGCCCCTGTTCCCATGCCTGCAACCATGAATCTAGTTGAGAACAGCGAGCTAAGCAGAATTAATGCTTTGTTGGACCGTTTCGACGCATCGGATCGCATATTTGAGGTGAAGCTGGAATTGCTCGCATTTTCCGCCAAGTAAGTTAGCACATCCAAAGACGAATAGATGCAGACGGTCGGAAGGATCATCGCGACAGCAGACTTATGCTGAGTATTTCACTTACCTCATGAACCACTGCTTCCCAGACTACACCTTCAGGTACGGTCGCCGTGGATATATCTATAAAATTTTTATAGTCAACTTGACATGAAGCACTTTAATCAAGTGAAGAACCTTGGAGCGGTTATTAACGATATTGACTACAACATGTCTTTCATTGTGGAGCGGTTTATGCCAGGATTCGCAAAGGAATTTTGGTTACTCATCAAGGTACGCATTATAGCTTCTATGACTAACGCACTTAATAACACGCAGGATATTGTACCGATTAACGAGGTAGACATTTATACTTACGACAGCTCCGGAGAAGATACACCGTTTAACGACGGCGACTGCTTACACAGCTTCAACTATTTCTTCCTAGACAAACGACAACAACTCGTGTTGTTCCTATGCTGTGTTACAACAGGGAAGTGTAACTCTAATCAGGAGCTCTCCGATGAACAGTCGTTCAATGCTCCCTGCTACCAGGAAAACGCCTCCTCGTGCAACGAGGAGGACTGCCTCTCCGAATTGGAGATACCAGAGACCATGACATGATTGGGACAACGGATGTGTAGATATTATGTGGCAACAATCGTTGCGAAGGTCATAGAATGACATTACTGCCGCTTATTTGTCACGTAATATCGCGCACGCTGTGTCTGGAGCTGTGGGCATTCATAATACCCACATTTTTTGTAGAATACAATGTCTATAAATAATCAAATAATGAAATGATAAGATAGTTATAACGCCGGTGAGGGATCCAACCCCGGCGACGGCTGTGTAAGATGCCGACTTGGGCACTGTCGTCGACAGCCAGCTTCTATAGACGCGTGCTGCTCGATGATATATCTTACACAGGGGGAAGTACAGACAGCACCCGCGTACGGGAATGGTTTCTTCGCTATGTGTTGGAAACGGACCCAATTACTACCTGCGTGTCCTGTCTTCCCACTGAAAGTGAGCTAGGCAGCTCGTCTTTATTGCGAGACCTAGCTGCACTCGTACATGTTGGAAACTCTAGTGTAACGGCGCGTGTAGCAGCTTTCCATGGCTCCACAGGCATCTGTTATAGCGGGCTTTACTGCCTGCCGTACGAACGCACCCTTTACTTTAACAGCGTTAGGGCCTATAGGAATCGCCAAGGATACCCCAAGACAACATTCTACGACCTACTGCAATCGGAAATTGTCAATGGAATGGCTACGATGTATAGTTGGGATCGCAGTAGCGCGATACTGTTAAAGCCAACGGGCGAAAACAACGGTGGGATTGAAGCGGTAGAGGTCAGCATACTGGACTCAAAAAATGTAATACCAGTAGAGACAAAAGTTTGCTTCAAGGTATATCCCTCATGTATGTTCCATCCCATTCGCGCTGAACTAGACGACGACTCTTCTATTCTCACAGACAGTGAATATGAGGACTATAATAACGATGACGATGCGTGCGACTCAAATGTACCACTGCACGATCAGAAGTCTCAGGACAGTCCAACATCAGAGCAATATGAAAAACGCCCATCCGAATACTCGTTTAATAACGCTAAAAACACATACACGTCGAGCTACGATTTCTCCAATGGCTATTTTGACCCACCTGACGAAGATATAGGCGTCCTGGAGGGCAGAAAGTTGTCTATTCATGGCTCGATGTACAGAAGATGGAACTATATAACACGTAAAGATAGCCATATGTTGGAACTAAAAGTTGGTGCAAATCTTATATACGCACGTAGTGCTAACGGTTTGTACGTAGGGAAATACCTAGAGGATGGCGATGACCGTTACCTGAAAAACGTCACAAACCAGCACTATGAAAATCGAGACAAGGTCTACTACATGTCTCCAAGCCCCTTCATTCCATCAGAATGCGCAATGCTTGCCGGAAATACGCTCCTACTTTACGACGCTGCGATGGGAGTTGACCGAGAGCACTTCCCACTGAAAATGACCAACAAAACAGACCGATCTACGCCAGATATAGCACAGACAGTGGCGTATGGTATGGATATGAATACGCTAATACTAGGGGGAAATCGCCTCTACACGTTGGACCTCCGTACCGGTAGACATGATGAACTCTTGCCTAAAGACACAAAAGAGGTCAGGGTTACATCTACACCGTGGACAGAACGATTATACGAACGGGCACCGACAATGAACCGCAACCTGGCTGGGCCGAGCTGCGCTCGTTCAAACTACTGGAAAGAGGCCAAACCAAATTACTGGGTTGCATTCACCGCTATAGCAACACATCCTACATACAGTTGTATCATGGCGTGCGCATATGGCACGAGCAACTGTATATATATTTGGGACATGAGAGCACCTATTAGACCGATACTGGAGATCCCACTCCCGTCCACCGAGTTTCTGGGGGCACGGTTCAGAGACCTTATTTGGTCGGTAACGGAAGAGGGTAACGGGGAATCTATTTTGGTTGCATTCTGTTGGCGCCAACGCTTCCCCATCTCGTGCTCCTTCCGTATCAATCGTACCATTACACGTTTTGTCCAAAGTATGGTACCTGATACAGAGCGAAGATTCTGGAACAACTGGGTGGAGGAATGTGCCCTTGCAAGACACATTAAATCAGAACAAGGGGGCGCTTTCAAATTCCAAAATCTGCATACAAATGTCGGTACCAACCGCTCCCGTATAACTAGAGTTGGCCCAGTGCCTACGTCGAGAGATACTTCAAATGCCATTAATCTACATACGGAATACTCGGTAATGACACCTGATTTACACACGTATTACGATTATTCAACTGAAACATTCACAGACATGCTGCCAGATTCGACGAGGGATTGGGTGGATGCTCCGGAAGAAGGAAATAGACAGCTGCTACATGATTTCGCCAGTGGGAAGGTATTTGAAGATGATTTAGAGTTGACCGTAAAGAAATCAGTACCACTGCAAATCACTAGGGTTACTGGTGAAGATATGGACTCTGGCATGCAGTCGGTAGGCCCTCTCATAGAGGACGCGGCGGAATACCCGAAAATGCCAATTAAGGCAGCGCAGAAGGAAGTCGTAACACCAATTTTTCATGGATTCTGCGGAGTGACGGTAGTAGACAACGGCTCTGCTAGAGTACTTTTTGCGTGTACATCCAGCGGATCCATATTCGGGATGGATCTTGACGGGAAAAGAAAGGTGGAATGTAGCACACCTAGCCGTTCTAGTGACATAGCTGAACGCACCTCACATGGAGGAGAGATTTTCCGCTATGTGAAAACTCTGACGGGTGGCATACGGCTACCCGGCGCATTCCTCACCGACGATGTAAGGTGCATAGCTTTGCATTGGAATGTATCGTTCCGCTCCAAACCCAGCGTCCCCATTATCTTGCTAGGCGTAAGCAAGACTTTTGCAGAGCTACAGGAGACTGAGCATCTACCATTTCATAGGGACAAAGGCTCTTTCAACTCAAGGTCACTGTTGCAGTGGCTTCTGACACAAACCAGCGAGAGCCATAGCACAACGGACAAACACGACATTATGTCACTGTAGGTGTTTATTCATACACTTTAATTGCGCGTTAGACAGGATTTCGAGAACCATATAGGGTCTCGCGACCACTTGGAGAATTTGGCAGTCAATCTTTGGGACTGCAATGACCTGAAAATAGACTACGAGTACGAATCGCAAAATGTTAACAACCGTTTCTTGAATCCAACGCCTCCATGTCATTGCTTTGCGCCACAGGGGATCGATTATGAAGCCAAAGTGCTTTCTTCTTTCCTCAGGGCTCTGGAGCAACGTGAGGATGGCACGGTACAGCTTGGAACTCTCCCCGATGCTGAGGAGTTGTCACGTTCCTTGCAACTTAGGGGCACCACTTTGTCAGATTATTTGTCACGAGCAAAATATTCTGGATTAGACCGCAGCCAAGATGTACCTATATCGGCACAAGGGAAGGTACACGCCAAGGAAATTGGTGATACTCTGCTATTTCATTCACCAGTGTTACCTCGTATAAGGGGATCCGTGGATGATAGCGAGTCGAAGATAGAATCTAATGAAGTTCACCATCATTTTTGCGGCGTGGGCCACCTGATAGGGATAAAGCTTCGTGACGATCACGTGAATCACCTCAGCGAACGTATGCAAGGTCTTTTGGATACCTGGAGAATTTCGACCGACGATAGCGGCGACTCAGTCGGTACCGGGATAACGCGTTTCCACACTCCACCCAACCAAATCGACCTGTTACGCCAGACAAAGCTCGAGCGTGACAGGCTGGTACATCATTTGCTTTCGCAGGGTGGTGATTAAACTCATGGGTTAGATTACGAAGCCCTTGTAATGTATATAAACATCACAAACATAAGTTTATTAAAATGCCAAATCTAGCAAAGCAATTACTTTCGTTACATTAGGGGAGTCATTGTGTCCGCTACAAATGTGCCATTTATATCCTTAAAATGGCCCGCGGCAGACCCGTGGTGTAGCCTGGGTCAGCTGTGTAGCTGTCCACGTATTACAAAGGAGTTGAATTATCTTGCAAGCTATTGCGTCAAGCAGCATACTCCCCCTAACAACTGCCGCGTTGAGCCACCTTGGAAACCCTGCCAGAGGTTTCAATTGTTAGAATCCTGCAAGAAGGGGGCTAGCCACTTAAAGGCTTCACCGTAGCCTTGCTTACGCAAAACACTGCACATGAAGACCTCGATGGGACGAACACAACGACCAGGCCCACAGTCTTTACCGTATGTTTCTCCGGCTAGGAGACCCAAGTGTGACCTAAGCTCCTCCTCAGAGGCAGCCGATGGTTTGTCGATCTTGTTGCCCAGTATTACGAATGGTTTGTGGTAGAGTTCCTCTTGGTTGATTAGTGCACGAAGTTCTTCGGCGGACTCTTGGAAACGAGTACGGTCGGACGCATCTATCAGGAAGCAGACAGCGTCAACGTTACCACAGTACTGTTTCCATACACGACGAGCAGTCTCGTGGCCACCGAGATCGAAGGCCGTGACGTTGACCTTGCCTAATGTCAGTTGTTCGCTGTGCGGGTGCACAGTCGGGGTGTGGCAGGCAAGCCTGTTGTCCTTGAGCATGCGTAGTAAGGTCGTTTTGCCGGCATTGTCCAGCCCAAGGAAAACGATTTTACCTTCCTTGTTCAGCCACCCGAACGCGATAAGGGTTTTTTTGATCCTGCAGAACTGTTAGCAAGGACAACACAGTGAGAAAATATGACACATAACCCCCCTACACACACATAGAGACCACATAAAACAGGTAGCTAGGTCTGAAGAGCGTTGCTACACACGCGTAGACACACCCCTGGCATAATAACAAATACAGAAAAGAGACATCCATAACATGGCCACGTATACTCACCAGTTGATAATGAACATCATTTTGTCGTCAGCAATATTACGATAGCTGCCTCCTGAGCAAAAGTGCGTGTGAACTGGGAGTGGCGTGGTCGACCAATGTTCGCACGGTTTCAGTCGACTTTCATCCACGTGCCACGAAGGCGGTAGGTCCAATAGGGACAGTAAAATCAGTAAGCTTTCGTTACGGATTTTTATAGCACTTCCCTATTGAGGCCGGATGTGAGCAGATGCCCCACTGGCTCAGCACGGCAGGCAGTTGTTGCGGCATAGATACGAGGGACATGAGGTCGTTGTTATCGGCATTTCCAATCTGTTAAGCACCGGGTGTTCGTATTCCACCAACACCAAGGTAGGTGTGTTCCTTTCTGCCGATGGTATGTCATTGGGACCACCGCATACGGTGTAACGGATAATGTTCCCCTAGGTTAACGTAACTAATCGTCACACACTTTAAATTATGCCACGGTAGCATCAATAAGGGTTCCATTATGCGGGAGAAAACGCGCCGCCGTGATCTCGGCCCAATGCGTCACGTTCTCAGGTTGCGGGGTTTGTCAAGCTTTCGATACGTTTCGCCGCGCCTATACGTGATCTGACCATCAGACAACCGTACGTAACGCCGAAGCGTTTGTTGCAGTGCCATCGTAAAATCATGGCGGCAGCTGTCACTGCCAACCCGCGGCCTGACTGCTCTGAAACGATAGACGCAAGGGCCTCCTGATGCATGTGATTACGCTTACGCCAGTCACCACAATAGGATTGTGATAACAGATGACGAGTTGCATACAATGTGCACACCATTATAGCAACCACCTTTAGTTCAAAAGGTTCAGCAGTACCTGTGAGCTCCTCCCGGGTGGCAACTGCCGCAGTGTGGCTGCAGCCGGAAGCAGAGCTCCACGTACTACCTGTTCCACGTTCCAAGTAGGGTCCAACAGTTTAGCAGAACCTGTACCCTTCGAGTCGTCTGCGCTGCGCAAACGCACGTATGATACGTCAAAATCAAGGTCCTCCATAATATCGTCGGGCTCAACAGACGTATGGACGACTCGTAATGTCTGCCCTTGAATTAGTTCACCCAAGAAATCAGCCAACATGGCAAACGTCTCGGATAATCGTTGTACCACTGGAGAACCGAGTATGATAGATGTGCCCACTACTAGTACCCGCTTAGACTCTAACGCCAGCACCTTACGCGCGTTAGGCAGGTAGACCACCTGTAGAAAACTCTGCGTTATGCCGGATTGTATACCCTCCAATATATCAACAAATCCAGGGGTGTAATTCTGCATGTGGAGGGAAGTTGCCAACAGTGCTATAGACGTGATCACCCGTGGTACACAGTTCGAAATCTTCATGTTGTGCAAAAAAGTCAAGAGAACCGTCACGATGGTTCCGATAAACTTGCTATAAAATGCTACGGGCAAGTAACGAAAGACGCCATTCAATATATCAAGCGAAACCATAGACAGCTTCCGATGCGTTAAGCAGAAGTGGAAGATGCTCAAAATGCGCTCCATGTTGCCCATAATCTCCTGCTCAAATAGAGTATAGCGCTCGAAGTAGCATACCAACAGCTTAACAGCCCCTTGTGCGTTCGCTGTTGATGATTTCCAATTGTCGATGCAAACCAGGTGCGAGAACAGCTGCACGTATGTAGGCCCAGGCTGCTGCGACGCACGGAGCAAAATATAGAGGATCTGAAGCCCATAAGGCACGAATGGATGCATATCTTGCTGTATAATAATTGCGATCATAGGGATGAGAACCTGTTCTATTCTTGACACTGCGTCCAATGAACCCGCCTCTAAGTGGGTGCGTAGCAGAATGGCCAGACACTCAAAGAGGTAGTGATTGTATATCGGATTCACTGGATTGTTAGAAGCCACCTTTATGCGCTCTACTATGACACTCAGCATCAAAAATCCACTCTCACATACATCCTGACGCAAAAATTGGAATATACGCATCAAACAGCGTACATAGAACTCGTTTGGTGCCTCAGATTGCATAAGTTTCAGTAGACACTCCAACGCCTGAAGCATAGGCTGTTTCAACTGATCCTTATTCTCTCGCACAAGAGGAGCTATGCGGTTCAGTGTTTCAGCGGCAAGGAAACGCACAGCATCATTTGGGTGCCGCAAAAAACTTGTTATCGGCGAAATCAGAGAAGTCAACTCGGTGACAGGGAAGTGCTTCTTAAAGGTGAAAACAAACTTCAAAATGGCCATCACTATCAAAATGTTGTCCTGAGTGTTCTGCAGACTCTGTGATTCGCGGAGAAGATCAACACGTAGATGCTCGGAAAAGTACGTGTGAAGATTAAATCCCTCATTCGTCTACAGAAAAGTCAGTACATCATAAAAATCAAATAAACAACCTACCGTAAAGTTGGAACAAATGATAATCTGTAGGTATAACTCCTTGAGCTTGTAATCGTTAGCACTTGATACATTCTGGGCGAACTGATTGAGGAGGTGTTGCACCATCTGCCCATATGTGCTTACAAGCTTTTTCAAAAAGTTTATTGCAGAAAACCTTCGGCTATGACCGGTTCCTGTATCGAGCTCCCGCTGAACAAATTCCGAAGCGCAGTCTTCGATCAGGAACAAGTCACACTCCCGAAAACCGATATGAGGTAGCACAATGCCCCTAATAATATCCGCAAGATATTCAGAATTAGTAAAGGGGTTTGTGCGGTTACCACGGGGGCCCCAATGAGTCGAAGCGGCGGCAGTCAGGAACTCCAGTATTGCAGAGCACAAACGATCATCGTCGCTATTTTGACTTAGGCCGCGGCATAATTCAACCATGCCATCAATGCACTGAAATACAAAGGGATGGAACACTTCCTGATAGCGTTCAGCATAGTAGCGCATCAATTTACAAATGGCTACCTTTAGCTTTGGCACCACACCTAAATGGCCAACTTGCAATATAACGGGGTCCGAAAAACGTAGCAACTCAACCATGCTACCCAAGTATAGATCTATATTGTCCTCGCAGCATTCTGGCAAATCGATAGCGTGAATGTATGTGAAGATTTTGGTGATTGAAGTCAAAGCCTCAAGTAAATCCAGGACAATACGGGATAAGCAGCATGAGGTACCTGTCAGTGACAACATGGAGACGAATTCGTTCAATTTTGATAAAATGGCCCTGTAGACGTATAATAGCATATTTTCGCTAAGACTCAGGACAATTTTCAGTTCCCTAAGCGTTTCATCACCATATACGCTGGTCTTATACTTTTTCATAAGACGCTTGAATATGCGTAGGGTATGAGCCTTACGGCGGAAGTATGTGACATCTAACGCTGCATCGTTTACAGACGTTCCACCTGAGAACGCCAGCGTCACCCATTGCCCATGACTACCTAATTTCGGAAGCGTAGATACTGCACTTCCCCAAAGAGACTCATCCTTATATAGCTGACGGTCGTCGAAGTAAATTAGCGGATCACCCTTTTCTCTCTTGGTCTCACGAGTATTAGTGGAATGGTTGACTACATGGATGCAGAGCGGTTCCTGTGGAAATAGGAACGCCGCAGCTTGCAGAAACTTGCCGAGGTCGAGGTCGCTTAGAGTGACTCCATTCAGACCCTCACACATTGCCTCTAGCCCCAAAAGCAGATTGCGGTAGAATCCGGAGTACGATCGACTAATTGTTGGCAATTCTCCAGTGGCTAATACCTTGCTATACTCCACCAAAGACTGTTGTACAGCTGCATAAGCCGAAAGGAGTTTCGCACAGCTTTCGCCATAAGCGAGGTGAACCGTTGATTTCGCCTCCTCCAAGGATCGCGCCAGCGATTCGGAGTTTGACACGGGCATCGATTCCCCAACGTTCACTTGTCCCCTCATAGCTGCCGCCTTTTGTACGCGTTGAGAATATGTTATGGCGATTGCCTCTGGTGCTACGTCACTGAGGTGGCAGTATTGGATGAACAAAATGGCGAAATCCATGTGATACGGGAAGTCATCTTCGGCCAACATGTGCAATGTCTCTTCGAGCTGTTTGAAAACATTTTTATCCAAATCCAGCTTGTCTGTATTGAGCACCGCAACAATGAGGAAACATCTCACCAGGCGTCTGAGGTCGTCGCTAACACCTCCATGTGATTCCGATGTGTCGAAGTGGCTCCACACATAATTCTTCAGACATATTGCCACCCATAACTGAAGCTCTGACGACACACCATTGAGATCATCGTCCGCAATAACTGTCGGCTGTGATACCAAAGCCGAAGGCACCAGTATAATGCGAAAGAGCGTCGCCAATCTCAGACGTATGTCGCTGCCACTCGGCTGAAGGAGGACCTTCAAGGTTTCCTCTGCTGATCTAATAGCCGAGTGATCCCCGCTGAGTGTTTGCCGACACAGCGTGACTAATGTCGCCGTGAATTCTACGTCAGCCATGGTTCGCAGCACGGGGGCTAAGTATGGATGTTGAAAGCCAGTTCCATCCCCTAATAAATCAGAGCCTACTGTGCAATGTAGCTACACCTTCAACCCCAGGTCCTTGTGCTGTCTAATGGGCGGAACAGCTTTTTAAACTACCCAGCGACATACCTACACCATACGCACGATACACCACAGCAAAAAACTGTATTTTCCAGGCTCGAGATAAAAAGCACAGCGATGAAAAATTGCAACTATTAGATAATTGGGGTATTCGATACCATTCGTGTAGGTTATAGCGATGAGCGCTATAACGGAACGCGCCACCGGCGTTGTACACAGATGACGGGAGGTGATCTGACTTCCACCGTTTTATCGACGCTGTAACGTCTTATTTATATGTCTAATATTTGTGAGACTTAAATTAATATATGTTTCACTATCAATTAGCATGACCGATCACTTTACCCAACGAGACTTGCAGAAGCCTTATTTGGTTACACATCTGCCATTATCTCGCGGCAACATATACTGAAGCCCACGTTCATAAGGCATTATTCAAAATTTAATAGACCATTGAAACAGGTTGCCTCACCTTTATTTCGTAAAAATACACCTATCATAACCATCAACTCAAGCAAGCCGATATTACAAAGGATGGAACACGGTTACATATTTAGTAAAACACGAAAAATTACCAGATGCGATAAATTTCCTCGTCCTCCGCATTCCATGGGGGGATCCGGGATGCCTCAAGCCGTGTAAGTGCTCTAGTATGACGCGCAATATCACCAGGTTACGAGCTGCGATGGCGGGGAAACGCTCTAAGGCGTGTCTGTTGCTATTGGCAATATATATGGGCTTCTGGATACATGTATACCGCCAACCGTGGACTGGACCGGCTATCATTTTTCTGTTGGTAAGATACAATTGATTAGACATCATTTTTTATCAGATGCCGTTTGTTCTACTAGTAGCTCTTATGTTATATGCCGCGTTCTGCCTAATACATGCTGTTGTTACTTTCAATCGCTCCGATACTGCCTTAGACGACTTGAAGGAGGTTGGTTATACAGTGACCGTGAGACATCTTCTCAGGACATCAAAGTAGCAGCAGGTGCGTTACAGCGGGCAGGATTTGATTTTGACAAGTTCGGAGTAGTCAAGCCCTAAATCAGGAAATACAATTGATACGTTAAGGCACTGCATATAGCAAACATAGCTTTTGCGACCCTTATTTTATGCGCGGTGAATGTAAAACACAAAACGCAGCACTTGCACGGCAGGAGGGTCTGGCGTAACGTCCCACAGTGTGGTTGCCGCTGAGTAATTTGGCATAGGACCAATGTGTCACTGCCGTAGCTCCAACCAAACCAAAAGAAACGCAACAGAAAAGCAAACTAATACTACTTTTACATAAACTTTAAACATTATACTGAACAATTACACGCGGAGAGCCTAGGTCTGATGACACGGCCAATGTACCCCGCACAGGAACTCCACCTCCTCTTTGTGGCTGTCGTTCCATGGTCTGAGTATATGTTGAATGGAACAACGAATACGTTACTTACTTCCTAATTTCGATGCTTTTGCCGCAGCGCCCTCCGTCACCAGGAGTAGCTAATGTACAAAGATCTTCGTTGCGATCCCATCCATCGGGACAATCCCGACTGTAGTCCTTCTCACAGTTACCTAAGCATGGCCAAGCAGCAAGACAACGTTTTGAAAAGCTGGCTTTGGAGCTCTCTGTGCCAATTTCCGACAAACGGACAGACGGAGGACATGGACCAACGTAGTGCTCAGGAGCAAGACAAGAGTCCTCATTACGCTGCCATTCGGAAGGGCAATGCCTACTAAGTTTTAGATTGGAGAAAACAAAACATACCAAAAAAAGTTTTCCACGCATTTAGGTTGATGCGCATCCTCAAAATCCGGAAAACGCTGCCCACAGGAAAAGGACCATCGTCGCTTAAATCCTGGGGAACGTGCAGAAAAATCTACAGTCCCTCCACCACATTCGATCCTTTGTGACTCTTTGTAGTACGACGGTGCGATGCATATGTGACGCACGAGATTGGCGAAGTAAACTTGGCGTATCCTCCATCCCAAAGGACAATGTGCACGAACAAAGTCATCGCGGTGGTCGTCAATACGCCTGAATCCCTTTTTATATCCACGGTAATGCTACTTACATCGATACTCGGCATTGTTCGTTGAACTCATCCGATATTCGGTGGACTGTCTTGCAACCCGGAACCACACGGTGGTAAGCTTCACTGGCAATGCATACACTGTCAAATTGGCGCCATCCGTCTGTGTTAGCGATGAAAATTCGACATGAAATATAGGGCTCACATGGGCAGCTCCTTTTATTGGGTGTAAGGGCCATAGTAGCCACTTGTAGAAACGAAGCGCCGGACGCCAGGGACTTGATATGGGACCTAAGCGTTGCGATACTCTTCTGCGTCAGTATTAACAGCTAGAGATCAGGCGAATACTCACATTTACGGTTCTTATAAAAAGTGGGTCGCTACTTTTCTTGCGCAATCGGTTCAATTCTGAGAAACACGTTAACACATTGCCTCTGTTCCTACCATCGAGTTGTCTTTCCATCACCCTCACATCTTTGACTGGCTTCCCAAACCCAACTACAGCCAGCGAGTGGTCCACTGGCCCGTTGCGATAGAATACGTCATTGGCGGATTTTGGTGGTTTGGAGACCTCACCTTCATCCAAAAAAGAAACGCCACATGCATGGGCCCACATCGCCTTATCATACGCAGTATATTGGCTAAAGTCCATACGCAGCTGGCATGGACCCATGTAACTCGCAGGCGCCAGACACAATTCGTTATCTGCATCGAGCTGCCAACCTAGTGGACAAAATGATTCAACTTTCTCTGTCTTGATAGGCCACACCAAACTGCAACGCTTGGCCTTCTCTCGTTTCTCACGAATACTAGTGAACTTCAGTTTCCTCCCACATTGACTGACACTCTGGTCCAGATTCTGTGCGCATGTACCATCCTGAATGGATATGACAATTTCCTTCCTCTTACACTTACATCCTGTAGAGACCATCCCAGAGGACAGTCGGCTGACCAGTCGCTGTTTTCATCCAGTAAATCGGTTGTTTTCGAAAAATTAAGTCTACAAATGCGAGCTTCATTCTGTCGTTCTTGATGACTCTTCCCCGTAAATTTTAAAGCCATATTGCATGGCCCAACGTAAGTTGCGTCAGCAAGGCACTGATCCCCTTCAGAATATTGATACGATCGATATGGTAGCACTCACCATTACGGCGCCAGAACTTTGGGCAGACATCATCACTCTTCGGGACGATTGGCTCCTTTGTCAAGCATGGCCACTTTAGGTCGCACGTTTCTGCCAGGTTAAGCTTATCTAAAGCCGATTTGTCGTGCATGTCCAGCTGGCGTCCACAGAGCCCGGAGTTGGAATGGCTTTCATAAGGCAACACACAGTGTATACCATCACCAGTGGATACCTGAACCCAATTGACAGAACCTAAGATCCAAAAACACCTACCCATCCCTCAGGGCAGAAGGCAGAGTAATCTGATTCACAGTTGTCATCGGCTGTAGGAAGTGATAGTCCCAAAAGATCAGATGCCCTTTTCAAAGACTGATTAACCCGATTACTAAGCTCTGAGTACGTTTAACTATCGTTCACGTATCCAACATACCTTCTGGAAGTAAGGGAGTTCCTGCAGCATCGTAACGTCTAGCAGCCTCCTTCAGCATGGCGTCGTACAAGACAGTCCCATCGACTGCCGCCGCCGCCGCAGCGACGGTGACGTATAGCCACGAGAACCATATTGCACACATGTTTCACGCACTTGCAACTTGCAAGTAGTCCACTTATCTACATCGCCACGTACATGACACTTGAGCCTCGACGGAGGTGTAGCAACCTCTACACATCGCGCTGGGCAAAGACATACAGGCTAGAACTATGTCACATATTAATATCACATCCAAAATAAGGATACGCGACCAAATGTGCCAAGAGATCTCCGGAATCCTTTGTATGCTCGCGCGACATCACCCCATTGATAGCCATACCTTGCTGCAGTACTGGAAGGCATCTAATCCTGGCTACTCGCGCGTCCGATATCTAACTCTGCACAGGGATTCACAACATCGCAGGGACATTTCGGACACGCAGCGCGCTTCACAACAGCCGCTATGCCGGTATTCTTCCACCTTACTCTCCAAAAGCCTACGGGCATAACACAAGCTGTCCAAGGCAACTTCTCGGCACCCAAGGCACAGGAAATCGTAGTAGTACGCGCTCATACCCTCGAACTGCTTTCTCCTGATGACAATGGCAAGCTGCGTAGCCTCTGTGTCTGTGAGGTCTTTGGTATTGTCCGTGTAGTCTCGACTTTCCGACTCACAGGCACACAACGTGACTATCTCGTTGTTGGTTCCGACAGTGGTCGTTTGACAATTTTGGAGTACTGCAACAATGCCTGTACGTTTAAACGCGTCCAATGCGAAACTTATGGCAAAACTGGGATACGACGTATCGTACCCGGGCAGTATCTGGCAGTGGATCCCAAGGGTAGAGCTCTTATTATCGGCGCGGTGGAACGAGAAAAATTCGTATACATTCTAAACCGCGATAGCAAGGCAAACCTTACTATAAGCTCTCCACTTGAGGCACACAAAAGTCGGTCAATATGCCACGACATAGTGGGCCTAGATGTGGGATTCGAAAACCCAATTTTCGTCTCAATTGAGCAGAGCTACGAAGCAGTAGACGCTCTTCAAGTAGATGAGGATGAGGAACTTACAGATGACGCACTTAAGAAAGGTCTCAGCTTCTGGGAGATGGACCTCGGACTTAACCATGTAACCCGTAAAATGACACTACCGATAGATCTTAGCGCCCATCATCTTGTGGCCATACCTGGTGGTGATGGCCCAGGAGGGGTGATCGTATGTTGTGAAAACTTTCTCGTTTATAAAAACATGGAACACCCAGAGGTTTGCTGCGCGTATCCGCGCAGGCTGGAAATGGCGCAGGACAAACCTCTACTGATCGTATCTAGCGCTATACACAAAATTCGCGACTTCTTTTTCGTACTCATCCAGTCCGAGTACGGAGATATATACAAAATTGAGTTGTTCCACGAGGACGGTAGAGTTAAGGAGATCGTATGCCGGTATTTTGATACGGTGCCCCTTGCTAACTCTATATGCATCCTGAGAGCAGGTTATCTTTTCGTTGCTGCAGAGTTCGGAGACCATCTGCTTTATCAATTCACGGGTATCGGTACTAACACAAATGATCCTATGTGCAGCTCGAATCACCCTCAGGGGGCGGATGCAATAATAGCATTCAAACCGAGAGTAAACCAGAATTTACAGATAGTGGACGAGCTCAGCTCGCTTAGTGCGATTACAGACCTCAAGGTGGTTGACGTTCAGGGATTAGGACAGCCACAGATATTCTTGGGTTGCGGTAGGGCTGAACGTAGCACTTTACGTGTGTTGAGACATGGCCTTTCTGTTGATGAGCTGGCAGACAACGAGCTTCCAGGTAGACCCAAACAGGTATGGACGGTGCCTTCGAGCATTGACAGCACTCACGACGGGTTCATACTCGTAGGATTTGAGGGTAACACCCTCGTTCTATCAGTGGGTGAAGCCGTAGAGGAGGTCACAGATTCGTGTTTCCTTACTTCAATTACCACCCTACACGTTAGTATGATGGGTGACGGATCGTTCATTCAGGTTCACGATGGCGGTGTACGCCACGTGTATGACATGAAGGTACGCGAGTGGAAGACGCCGACCGCGAAACGTGTCAAGGTCGCTGCGTCTAATCAGCACCAATTGGTGCTTGCACTTTCTGGAGGAGAGATCATTTACTTCGAGCTAGATGAATCGCATACACTTGTCGAGGTGGCCAAGCGCAGCCTTAACGTGGAGATTACTTGCCTAGGTTTACAACCCACGTCAAAAGGCAGGGTAATGGCAAGTTTCATGGCTGTTGGCGCACTGGACAATCTAGTCCGTGTTATTTCGTTGGACAAGCATCTGAAACAGCACAGTACCCAGCTCCTGCCAAACAATAGTACTCCGGAATCAGTTTGTATTACCGAATTCGAGATTGGCGCACATGCGACATTGATGCTAGTTGTTGGTCTCAATACTGGTGTAATGATCCGCGCCACTGTGGACTCTATTTCAGGTGCGTTAAGTGACCAGTACACGCGATTTCTTGGATCTCGAGCGGTTAAATTTAGACAAATCAAGAACCAGGTCATGGGCACTTCCGACAGACCATGGCTTTTATACGAATACCAGGGTGTTGTGCAATGTTTACCGTTAAGTTACGACATGTTGGAAAGCGTTGCTTCATTTTCCAGTGCGCTCTGTAGTGACGGTTACGTTGCAATTTCTGGTTCAAATTTGCGTATTTTCCGGTGCAACAGGCTTGGTGAGGCCTTTAGTGAGCATCATATTCCGCTGGACTATACACCTAGGCGTCTAGTTCTAATGCCCAATGAGGCACCCACGCAAGGAGGTTTGAACTATATGGTGGCAGTGGTTGAGTCCGACCATAATGCCTATGGTCCCGAGAATGTGGCAGAGATTTCCCGTACGCTGGACGCTATAAAGCTGGACAATGAAGTTGGAGATCCTCTACCTCTTACAAACTTTAAAGCAGGTAACGGCAAATGGGGATCCTGTCTACGCGTAGTGAATCCTTTGACTCTTGAAACTACCGTCAAATTGCTGTTTGAGACTAATGAAGCCGCTACCACCGCTGCCATGATGATCCTAGATGGTATGCAATGCCTGTGCGTTGGTACTGCGGTTGGTTACGACCTTACAAATAGTGATGATGTGGAGTCTTACATCCGTGTCTACTGCTACAATGCAAGCTTTGAAATCAAGTTGTTGCACACAACTCGTGTTGGCGGTGTCGTGCGAGCTTTAACGGGTTACGAGGGCAGGCTGCTTGCAGCCGTTGGTAAACGAATCAGGCTGTATTCGCTTGGAAAGAAGCAGTTATTGCTCAAGGCTGAACACCGTACTTGTAGCGACCACGGTTTCATTTGGTTGAATACCGTGGGATCGCGTATATTTGCTGGTGATATCCGTGAGGGTTTACAGATATTGCGTGTCAGGTTTTACAGCGAGGAGGCTGCTGACTTCGAATGGATAGGCGGTGCTACTGGTCCCCGTTGGTTGACGTGTTGCGCCCAGCTCGACTATTCGACGGTGATAGCTGGTGACAAGTTTGACTCTTTGTTTGTATCTCGTGTCCCTCAGGAAGAGTCCACTCGGCATATTCAGATGGATAACGTTTGTCAGTTCCACCTGGGTGACCTTCCTACAGCTATGGACAAGGCGTCTCTATCTCCGTCTACTGCAGTAGTCCTTTATGGCACAGTTATGGGTTCCATCGGCGCCCTTGTACCATTCCAGTCTAAGGATGAGTTGGACTTTTTACAGCACCTTGAGATGTTAATGGCAGCGGAGTCTCCTCCTCTTTGCGGTCGAGAACACAGCTTTTATCGTAGCTATTATGTACCCGTGCAGCAGGTTGTTGACGGTGACATGTGCGAGCAGTTCCGTCATCTCACCGAAGCGCAGCAGCGCAAGATAGCACAGCAGTTGGATACAAACGTGAACAACGTGTTGCGCAAGCTTGAAGATATCAAGAATCGTATCATGTAGTGGAACTTTCCGTATAATATACGGGATGCTATATTGGCGTATAGCTTTTTGTTTTTTTGTTAACCGTGCCTTATTATTGTCCTATAGACCACGTGGTAGTGCACATGTGTAACCCTAGCTGGTAGATTGTGTGGCATAGCGATTGCTACCCTTTCCGGGGCAAGCTTTTGGCGCGTGCCGTTAGGTCGCACATGTGGGCTCGCGTTGTGAGATCGCCATAATATGGGATTCGAAGGCCAGTATGGCCTGTTCGTATGGTCTATATTGCGTAAGGGGTATTCCTAGTACCAAGGCATGACGCTTTATAATCCTTGTGTCTCTCACACAGAGCCGTAGCATGTCGTATACTTAAAGCCGTGTGTCGTCTCTATATTGCAGTTCTGACAACTGTCGAACTGGCCGACGTATGGTTTAGTGTTGGACCACAAGCTACACATTCGACCGCTATTCATCACCTAAGTCTCTATTGTATCAACTATTGCTTAGAATCTATTACACCGAATGTGTAAATGTCAGTTTTAGCTCACAATAGTCGATGCGTATAAAGCTTTACAATAACAGCTGTGCTTAGACAGCAGTTTCTGGCTACCGGTGTGAACTCTGAGCTATCCCAACATGATGTAATGCTACATTCATGTGAATAGAGCCCATGGAGGCCATTGTGAGGTCTAGCGCGTTGGATGGCAGATACCAAGTGGGGAAGTGAGCGTTTGAAAGACAGCCACAGTTATTATATTCCCAGACACAACATCGTTCCCAGACTACAATCCTTTTAAAAATGTCGGACACAACGAAGGACGCTGAAACTATTCCCAAGACCGAGGAAGCTCCCGAGCAGACACAGCCCGAGAAAGCCGAAGAGAAGGAAACTAAGCAGGAGACACCGCAAGAAACCCAGCCGGAAGAAGAAGAAGAGGTCGTCGAAGGTAACTGGAACACTCGAAAGGTAGGTGTAGTTCGTATTTCAAGAGGGTGTGTGACAGTAACGGTGGTGCAACTGTCATCCCTAGTATAGCCCAAATTCTAACGGCAAATTTCTCCAGCTGCATGTTATAACGGTTCATTTGATTTGTATTTATCATGGCGTGGTTAAGTAGAGACTGTTGTTATACACCTATGTCTATTGGCGGTCATCTGTAGTTGCCGCACTGATACAGTTGACTAATATCTCTCTAGGTCGAAGTAAAGGAGATCAAGGTGGTAACTGGCGAAGAGGATGAGGAGATATTCTGGCAACAAAGGTCCAAGTTGTATCGCTTTGCTCCCGACACCGATGGAGAACTAGTATGGAAGGAGCGCGGTCTCGGAGAGTCCAAGCTTCTTCGACACAAGACCACTGGAAAGATAAGGTTCCTCCTCAGACAAGATAAAACATTGAAGGTCGTCGCCAATCACTATGTACTGGAAACGGACTCCCTTTGCAAGCTGAGACCCAATATTGGCAGTGACAAGATTTGGGTGTGGACTGCAAACAACACTTACGACGACGAGACTAAGGTGGAACAAATGGCCTTGAAGTTCGGACAGATTGACCAGGCTAAGTTATTTAAGGAGAAATTTGAGGAGGCCGCCAAGATTAACAAGGATTTGTTCGAGGTGTAATGGAAACGTATTTGAGATCACTTTTCGCATAGACCGAATGCCGCGTTATCGTGGTTAAATTTGTGTTACGTTTCTATCTATAAGGTGAGATGCGAATTATTATTTTATCTTTTCGTTGTTTTCGTGGGTGGTTAGATCGGTTGCCATAGTTGGCTCTTGTGTATTAGAGCTATGTGGAGGCCGCAGTTCGCCTCGGCTAACGCCGAGTTGCCGCTTTCAATGATACCAATTAGTGTGTACTCTAGATGTGTGAAGCCAAAATAAATGTATCGTGATGCTCCACACTTAATGAAGTCCGGTGTGTTCGATTTGTGCGTTCACCCCTCAATGGCTATTCGGCCATTCCCATGTCGCCTCTAGATGTCGCTGTTAAGCTATTTTGGCGCATTGCGACATTTTTATTTGCTGGTTTGATGAGATGAGTCTCTTACAGGTCGTCTTACACGATCTTATGTTTACCGCCAAATGCTTGCCGATTTCCACCAGGTTCGTGACCTGTAGTACCCACCTCAATTACACGTACAATTATAAAACATTCGAGCTACGTGCTTTAATGTGACCGGTAAACTATCCACATATTTTTTTTATGTGGGAAACACCCTTTTGCCGTCACCACTGAGTGTACCGTTGGTACCGATCTTTGTAATAATGAAGCTAGCGGTCTTTCAGCCTGCCCTGTGCATCTACAACCAAACACTTTTAAAAAATAACACCAACTAAGTGAACTATGAACGACAGCCCGCATTGTCCATGGTTTCCATGTCTCTAACAAAGGGGCGCAAAAAAAAGCACATGTATGGTAGATTGTTACGATAACTTTCAAAACAACCAGTTAGTTAAGTGTGAGCACCAGCGGACACATTATTCAAAGAAAAGGGTGTAACTGCCTTATGGCCCCGTCCACCTTTTCATAGAGTTCAGAGTAGTTCATTCTGTCTGGTCTCTCTGTTGTAAGATTCCTGACACGTTGTTCAAGATCCCTGGGAGGTCTGACGATAAGTACCACACAAGTTGGTCTTTTAGTTTGGCATACTTGCGAAATGACCCGTTTGGGTGAGACGTAAGCATATGTTATACCTGCCTCTTCGCACATAACCGGTAGGTGTGCCACAACATCGATGGGATGTACATCGCAAGCGAGGAGCACGACTCCTTGTGTACCCTTGCGTATGGCCTTAGTCACATCTTGTACGCCTCGTTTAACGAGCCTTGTGAGAACTGTGTCCGTCTCACGTCCACCTTCCATGCGTTGTTGCTTTGCAAGTTTCTCGACAGTGAGCGCTCTTTTGAGAAGTTTGAGTGATCTCTTGAGTGTTTTCCCGCTCAATTGAGGATTTGCGACGGGGGATACATGGACTGGTCCCTCTCCTCCGGAGTCCATCTCAACATCGCCTGCGTCGCTCATTTTTGAAGTTTTTGTTTGGTGAATTTTAACTGTAGATTGCGATTTCACAATGTAAACGGCACATCTATAATACTGGTCACACCGTATCAAGTTCTATGTGGCGGAAACAGGCTTAACCCGCGCCGGCTATAAGGCTAGGCATCCGGTGCTACGCTAGCCTTTGTTATAGCTCCAGGGACCCTATATTTTGTTTGTACGTCTATGTTATAACTATTTTCACCAAGATTACATAACTTCTTCCGCGTTTACTTGAAACCTATTTTGCCGGTTTTAGTGTGTAGTACTACCTCTTGCGCGACACCTACATCCAGAAAATGGCCATTTCGGAGACAGCTATGCCCAATATTTTAGAATTGCTGATAACGATAATAATTCCACTGGTACCGATACGGGTTATAGCGCTGTTAATATTTGTGATGTCGCGTAATGCTTGGGCCCAGGCGGTGAAGCCGGGTGGTACGGAGTTGCCGGTATACGTGCTGTTTTAATTCTTTGGGTATCACCACGATAAGATTTGGGTCCGCTATGATTACCTCGTGATGACTTTTTCGTTGTCAATTCTCTCATCGCGTTCCCTTAGGGGAAGGGTGTTCGCGAGGCTGGCACGCGTGAGGGTCGGCGACAATGCGTTCAACATTCCAGTTATTCATGACCGTATGTTCAGTCGTCATTACTTCGGTACAGGAACGACATCAATCATTTGGACCCTAGGGTGTACTCCGCGAATTAACGCCAAAATTTTTTCGTTTCCTTCAGGGCGACGGCATTTCACATCTAACTCAACATTAGAAGAGGTAATTGATTATTGTTGAATTTGAATGTTTCGATTAGGAAGTCGAAGCAAAATTACGGACACTCATTAGCAGCGAACGTGTTCTGCTTTTGTTGAAAGGCACACCGGATTCTCCACAATGTGGTTTTAGTGCAGCAGTTAGTATAACTAAAATTTATATATGCATTAATGTGTAGGTGGTGAGCATCCTGGACAAGTACAGGGTGTCAGACTATGCGTACGTTGATGTGTTATCGCATGACCTGTTGCGCCCATGCGCCAAAAAGGTGGCAAATTGGCCTACATTTCCACAACTGTTTGTTAACGGACGCTTAATAGGCGGATGTGACGTCATTCAGGACCTGCACGAGTCAGGATCACTTGGCAATATCCTGCATGGCGACGGGCATGACGTATAAATGCACATCATGCGATGTTGCTAAAAATCATAACACATTAATTTCCACTGCGCACAAAGGGCATCCTTATGCCATCAGATGCCCTGATTATGCAGAAACTCTCGCGTACCGCATGCACCTGCCCCGTTCAAGGAGTTCCCATCATGGGCAGTTAAACCCACGCAACAGTGAACGCAGGGGGTTGCTCGGCGCACCCTGGGCGCTTGCGCTGAATCTCGCTAAAAAAAACATATGTGCTTGAATGGTCGCCAATAGTGCGGATTATGCTGGTTACAACCAAGACGCCTCGCCAAAAGGGTGACATATGTGGCGGCTCTAGGGGTACACCGCGCGGAGGTGTGTAAGCACTCGATACTTCCGATACTGCGTTTAATCAAGCGGAATTGTTAACACATTGGAGCACCTTGTTTGTTGAATGATAAGTTGCGCATTGTGTAAAATCTGTGGAGAAATATCTGGGGATGACAATTGCATCTTGCTTCGCTGCTTACTTTTTGATTTGTTTGTTTTGCATACAAATTTCTATATAATACATAAGTAAATACATATGATTTGGAGGTGTTAATGTTAACTCGAGTTTTGACAAGCTGGATGTGTAGGGTGAGACAAAGGTGTAGATTCCAAGCTTTATCCCGCGAAAAGCGACAGGACAAGATTCAAAAAATATTGTAAAATCAAATGCAGTTATCGTCAATGGCGCCGTCTAAATCTTTTTTGTTATCTCGGGCCGAGGTTCTCGGTGTGTATGGTGACACATTCTTCAACCGCGTCACTTTGGTTAACAATGCCACACCTTTGACTAAAAGTCGGTGTTGGGTACACCAAACAGCGAGCGATATTTGTGAGTTTTTGCCAGAAGATCGTGTAGACTGCTCCTGTGGATTCAACCGTCAGGGACATGCCACCTGTGCACAAAAGAAGTATGTGGATGAGATTTTAGGTTCCATATGGGATAACTGCCCCGCACAAGATCGTGCAGGTCTTGTTTCCTTTGGAACCACTAGATGTGTAGGATTACTGTTGAATGATGGCCTGTATTTATTCAGTGCTATCCAGGCTTGTGGTATGCGCACATCATTTGATGATCGAACCGCCTTAAAGAGATCGTTGACACACACAACAGTCCTTACAGAAAGCGATATTGTCTGTTCTAACTGCCGAGAAGCCGCAATGTCAACATTGCCAAACTTTAACAATGTTGTACTTGCTCTCAAAGGGTTGCTTCACAACGGCGACACTTCGCGAGACGGTTTGACCTTAATGAAGAAGTTTGCTATCAACAATGACGATAACAGTCTGGAACAGAGTGTATACCACGCGTTAGAACAAGCTCAGGATTTGGCAAAAGCAGTTGGTATCTTGGAAGGCCTTGTCAAAAACGACAATCAACATTCTTCCTTCGAGATGGGTGCGGACACAGTCCTCATCCAGAGCTGCAATGATCTAGCCGAATCACTAATCTCGTCCTGCCGAACAGAACTGGTTGCAGTCTGCTCGACGCTTGTGGGTCATGTTAATGAATACTGCCAACCGCCTCTTAAGGTACGGTTGAGGTGGATGCGCCACTTTATGGCGCTTGAGTATCGAATCGAGTTCAGTGCCGACTACTCCAATTGTTTTTTCGACGAGATTTCGGGTAGATACGCCACCGATATCGACCGTCAGAAGGTAGTGTTACACGAGATTGTTCAATGTAGTCAAATATCTTTGGGGAATGTCGAAGGTTGCTTTAGGTTAGCGCTACACCGTATGAGAGATTATCTCGCTGTGAGAGATTCGTTCAATGCTAAAAATGAGCCTGACGTAGACTTACAATTCGGAAACGACACGGCCGCTTACACCTCGACGGACGTGGCCCCATTTTGGTGGAATTATTACTGTTTCTCCAATACCCTAGGGGAAGGTGACTCGGGCTCAGAACATTATACTGTTAAGAGACTAACAAGGTCTCAAATTGTGAGGTCACACGAAGACGGCGCGTCTACACCCATCGCGCGTAAATCACGCCACACCCTCGACGAACACCTCGTCGCCACACACTGCGTTTCGTCTGACAATCTTGGCCATTCACAGGCTACAACATTTGAAGCCCCTTCAAATTCACGCAAGGATTTAGGTGATTTTCACAGGAGCGAAGGTTCGAATAATTCTTTGCACTCCAAGACGACACCATGTATGTCTCAGCGGTCGCTCAAATCGCCTTCTAATGATAAGTTAGGAGACCTCAGCACATGTTGTGATTCTGTTTGTTTCTGTTTCAAAAACCTAGAATCTGTTTCGACTTTTGGGCGTCATTTTGTAGCACAAGAGTTCAGGCAACATAACAGCCTTTGCTGTGCCATTTTCGGGGACTCCCCGTATTCCGAGGGTCTTGAGGACATCTATAATGGATGCCAACTGGAAGACTGGGACGAGTACAAAACAGCTACTGCTCTCAGACGATCCATCAAAGCGGCACTTGAGGCAAGTACCTCTTTGGGGCGAGCTTTCTTAAACGACAAGAGTAATGCGAACAATTTGCTTGGCAACTCGATCAAAGTTCTGAATACGGCGTTACTCTCTACACTGAGGCTTGGAGATAGCTTATACTTGTCACGTAACGCGATGGAGACTCATCTCGGGGACCAGGAGCATCCTGTAAAGGAGTACTATGACACTGGTGACGCTATGGAAGACGCAGGGTCGGGTGATTCATGTTCATCTGAGTCAACCTTGCGTGATATCATTAGCAATTCCTTTGTTTTGAGCAACAGCGGATTCCAGGGCCTATACAGCACTTTCGAGAACGACCAATACATTCAACATGATCTGGACGAGTCTGAAGACGCCGCATTACACAGTCCTAAGACAACTGTTACTCACAGCCCACGGCGTAAAGAGTCAAGCCCAGCTCGTTCTCATTCACACAATCACAACCGTCACTCAAGCATAGACTCCCAGGCCGAAGTGTCAAGCCGTCAGAGCCGAAAGGCCGCTCGCGATGCTTCAAGTAGTGAGGTTTACATTTATGATCTCAGCGAGCGTAATGACGCACTGTCGGAGTCTGCTGTTGAAGATTGGTACGAAAGTGACGGAAGTGCCCGCGGATCACGTCGCCAAAGGCAAAAGCCCAACACAGCGTCGCTAACCGAAATATATGGCAATCACGACGCCCTCATCCCTATGGGACCACTGCCGATAGGTGTGTACTTTGACGCCAGTCGTAAGTTGTGGCGTTGCCAATGGCGGGAAAATGGCAAATTCCGCACAAAGGGTTTCAGCTTGGGCCATTATTCTTCACTTTGTGAGGCTAGACGAGCATGTATCCTCTTCAGATGTCAAGTTGGAAACATGCCTGTCCAGCCCGAGTGGCTCAACCCGAACTATGTCCAAGTTTCGCAGTTACTCTCCAAACGCTCCACTGCTACAAGCACCAGCACATCAACGCCTAAAAAATCTAAGCGTAAACGCAAGTCACACGGTAGCTCGATGGAGGTCGACCCCGTCAAATGACAGTTACATCTTTAACGAAATAGTTTATTGAAAATTCGTTAGTGTGTTATATGGATGATGTACTAGCATCTATGCCAATTTAGAGTTGGCTTGTTTATATACATCTGTCTGAGTTGCAGTGTTCGGTGCGGTGGCCAATTGTTGTGCAATTTGCGGCCCTATTTTGTTTCGCCTCATTACAACGCCTCGGGGTTGGGGTGACCCTGCCCAGCAAGGTACCTCAAGCACTCAAACGTCGCTTGTGATGGCATTAAATCCTTACGATAGGGAATGTTATGCCAAGAAGCACAAACACAGTCACTCATTAGATACCTCGATCTTCAAGTCCCCGTCGTATTTCACGCGTAGCACATCGTTCTCCTTGTATCTGTCCTCAAGTATACCTTTTGCGATTTTAGCCTCAACCTCACGTTGGATTGTACGTTTGAGGGGTCGAGCGCCGTAAGAAGGGTCGTAACCCACTTCGGCAATGTGAAGCAGCGCTTCGTTGTCAACCATAAGCTTAATGTTCTTCTCAGATAACCTGTCAGCCAGCTTACCAAGCTCGATGCTGACAATGCTCTTCAGTTCGTCCTTGGATAAGGCATTGAAAACAACAAATTCATCTAGGCGGTTCAGGAATTCCGGAGAAAAGGTTTGCCGTACCGCTTGCATCACCTTGTTTTTCATCTCAGCCTTCTTATCAGGTGACTTGGCCAGTTCCAAAATGCTCTGACTACCTAAATTTGAAGTAAAAACGACCATACAATTGGCAAAGTTCACTTTACGACCGTTGGAGTCAGTAAGTCTACCATCGTCGAGCAGCTGCAACATAATATTGAATACATCAGGATGAGCCTTCTCAATTTCATCAAAAAGAACGATCGAGTAGGGCCTACGGCGCACGGCTTCAGTCAACAGACCTCCCTGTTCATATCCTATGTAACCAGGTGGTGCACCAACCAGTCTCGATACAGAATGTTTTTCCATATATTCAGACATGTCAAAACGTACTATCGACTCGTCAGTGTCAAACAGTTGTTCCGCTATGGCCTTGCATAGCTCTGTCTTGCCCACACCAGTAGGACCCAGGAACATCAGGCCGGCTATCGGTCGCTTAGGGTCGTTCATACCAACACGTGATCGCTGAACTGCCCGTGTTACGATGTCAACCGCTTCTTCCTGACCTACAACACGTTTGCGCAGTTCACTTGCCAAATGAAGTATCTTTTCACGTTGAGATCGTACCAACCGGCTCACAGGTATACCTGTCCACCGAGAAACCACACTAGCTATATCCTCACGGGATACCTCATCACGTAAAAGCAACTGCCCTCCAGTCGATATCATCTCCTTGGCATGAGCTTCGTATGCACCAACTGCCTGCTCAAGCTGCTTGTCTAGGTCGGGCAATGTTTCGAAGCGCAGCTCAGCAGCACGGTTGAGATCGAATTCACGTTCTGCCTTTTCAATCTCTACTTTAACAACATCTTGACGCTCCTTTATGTTCCTTATAGCGTCAACAAGACCCTTTTCCTTCAACCAGGCGTTAGTCAATGCTTCCTTTTCCACTTTCAACTGCTCGGCAGATTTTTCAATTTGGGCAAGTCGACGCTGTTCCTGGGATGACGCCGGGCGTGATGATTCGGGCAATATACCAACTGTGTTGCTCTGTGATTGGCCGCCACTTGAATCATTGGAAATTGAGATGCGCTCCATTTCAAGTTGCAGTAACTTGCGCTCTATAGCATCAAGCTGGATAGGTTTGCTGGACAGTTGGATCTTAAGACGTGCAGCGGCTTCATCAACAAGATCGATGGCTTTGTCCGGTAAAAATCGGTCAGTTATGTACCTGTCACTCAACTGTGCAGCTTCTACCAATGCAGAGTCCAAGATACGCACACCATGGTGTACTTCATAGCGTTCACGGAGCCCACGTAGGATACTAATGGTCTCCTCAACGCTAGGTTGGTCTACATAGACAGGTTGGAATCGACGTTCCAAAGCTTTATCCTTCTCGATTTTCTGTCTATATTCCTGTAAGGTTGTAGCACCTACGCAACGCAATTCTCCACGAGCCAGCATGGGTTTAAGGATGTTGCCAGCATCTAAAGCACCCTGGGCATCACCAGCTCCAACAACTGTGTGGATCTCATCGATAAACATTATGATTTCCCCTTGTGAATCTTGAACCTCCTTCAATATGTTTTTTAGACGTTCCTCAAATTCACCACGGTACTGAGACCCGGCAAGCATTGAGGCAAGGTCTAGTGATATGACCCGTGTATTTTTCAGCGAGTCTGGTACGTCTCCCGATACTATACGATTCGCCAATCCTTCTGCGATAGCTGTCTTTCCAACACCAGGATCTCCGAGCAATATTGGATTGTTCTTTGTCCTCCTGCTCAGTATTTCGATAGTCCTGCGAATCTCATTGTCTCTACCAATCACCGGGTCAAGCTTCCCGCTCCTTGCCATCAGTGTAAGATCTTTGCTATATTTTTCCAGAGCTCCAAACATCTGAGGTTCATTGTCAAAAAGCAATTAAAAAACGTTATGCACACCCAACTCTTGATGCAGTTTATTGTGTTCTCTTGCCCATTAACAAGGGCCATCATTGACACAAGATCAGATAATTAGTCAAATCACATCTATGCAGGGGATCAGATTCGCCTTTTGTAATCAATATTGTTTCAAGGGCTGCAGCCGCCCTTAGGGTCTCATAAAATACAAACTCGATCATCAGTTCCCCAAATTGTATGAACTGTAAGCTTACCATTTCAGGATTCTTGGATGTGACCTTGCGTTTTCCACGCACCGATTCTACAGCCTTCTTCAGCTTTTCATATGTGACCTTCTGCCGTGCTAACCATGGTTTGGTAAACTTCGTGTCTTCACAGGCTAGTGCAAGTAAAAGATGTTCTACACTGATGAAGTGGTCCTGTGCAATAATATGTGATCTATAATGTTATACCTACATTGTATTCTGATTTGATCCTGCGTGTGACCGATAACACGTTTTGTAGTGTTCTACCTAGCACTTTCTGGTCTCCGAAACCACCAGACATCCTGGGCTGTTTCGATAGGTGTACCTCGACGTCTTCGCGCATCTTGTCAATATCGACCCCGGCATGTGCTAATATTTTATGGCATGTCGAGTCTTCACCAAGATTCAACAAATTAAGAAGTAACATATCAGCTTCAACGAATGATGATTTATATCTGTTGGCAACTTCTCCCAGTGAGCTAACTGCTTCCCATGCTTTGTCTGTGAAGTCTTCTGAATCCAGAGTATGCCCATGACCTTGACCAATCATCCGCAGCACCATGTCACGTTTCGGCTCAAATGAGCTACTGTCGTAATCATGTGACCCGTCAAATGAGCTATGACCTGCAGCTAACATTCCAAGAGCAGTAGGGGGGCGTTTGTTTGAGAATCCAAACAAACGTGACATGTTGCTCAACATAGCAGATGGTATACGCCATACCGAACCCATAGAGTTGTCGTACCATATCCCTGATCTCCAACTTGGTACCATTTCTAAGGAGAAGTCGCTGTCTAATGCGCGTGACACATTGCACATATCATCGTGTGATGATTTCTTATCACCTTGTGAGCCGAAATGACCTAAAAATGAGTTACGATCGCCATTATACCCGTGACGAAATGATGAAGCGCCTTGGATGCCGAGAAGGGCACAAACGGTCAGGGTAACGATACCGCGACATCCCAGGCAACGGGCATACGCAGTACCTTTTAGTGAAAGCCGCTTAAACTTCATTTTATCACACACACATGAAAAATCAATCCACCATTATAATGGAAGGTTGAATAATACGACGGGAGCCTTCCAACCTCAAGCGTCTGTGTGGTAGGGTCAAGATGATAGGCGTGGTGTCGACCAAGGCAGCAGTGTATTCCACTTTAGTCACTATTTTATTTAAGTAACTGAGTTAGTACTAAATCTGGAAAGAAGCCTTTTAATTTGTACTCAGATTATACTCACTAACGACCCTCAGTTATATATACCATTGTCTATTTGTCAGGAACCACGACCTCTCCAGGGGATATTCACAGGCGGAGACACTTGCATTATTTGTTAACTCAAAATAAGTTGGTTCAGGTTTATGTCTAAAGCGAGCTAGAACACCAACCTCTTCTGCTGGCGATATTGAGGGATAGGGCTGCAGAGAATATTATTCTTCACTGCCCTGTCTTCCACGTTCCGATTCATCCAGCCGCATAGTAGTGTCTCAAATTGTACATCTTGACGTTATTGGCTCTAGTGTGTATCGTGCAACTCTTTACGTGCAGTCGTTAGACGAACTTTGCGATACGCATATGCGCTTTAATACGCCTCGCTACTACATATGACGGCACCTAGTGTATGGACATTGCTGTTTGGCTGTTGTGGTCGCCGTAAGAAGACGAAAAATGATGAGCGATTGTGCTTCGGGAACCGAATAGAAGTACTAGAACGTATTGAGAAGTCGGTTTTGAGCCGAATAGACGTACCGCCACCGTACGGTGCTGATTGCGGAGGAGGTTGCTGTGATCAACGTGGCCAAAAGGAACAGAACACGAATGCCGAATCTAAAACGACAAAGGAAACTCAGGAAAAGGCCTAAGTGATATTGGTCTGAAAATATGAAATCTAACGACCAAATGTAACTCACGATATCATATCACAAGCAAAATTTTTTACTTTTCAGTTTTTTTCCAAAGTGAACAGAATTTAGTCAGAGACACTCAAATGGGTGAACCATCGTGTTGTAAGGATGCAATTCCGAAGACGGGATTAGAACAAGGTAACATTCTACCACACCGTAATGCCGAAATGCATCAGGAAGATGTCATAGCAGCAACGGACAAAGTTCCGATGTCTGAAAATGATGGGCCTGTGGTGGACAGTGGTACATGCGAATTGGGTGCCGTTCGCGCATCAACTATTGCAAAAGTAGAAAAGGTTGAAAATTCAACAACGGGCTCTAAAGATTGTTCTTCGGATAGTATTCAGGACTATAATAAGTGCTATGATTCGCTAATACATGAGATGTCCAAACTTTCTGTGGCATCTAGTAGTGTCACCCAGGATGTGCTGGAAATCGCTGTGGTACACAGAGCCAAGAGTAAACGTTTAGAACTAAGGTTGTGTTCCCTGGAAGATGTCAAGCACGATGCTCTGATAGATCCACTCCACACGTCCGGAGAACCCGGATACGATATCTGGGATCTTAAAGCTCGTGAAGCGACGGTGCAGAGCCAGGCACTACACCTTGCAGCACTCTTCCAAAATGATTCGTCTAATCGTTGGCTCAACGTTGATAGCCTTGGAAGTGAAGCCAAGGCATTGGCTGTAGTACGTAGAGGTCTACCGTCTCAGGTATTAGCGGACAAATTTGGCATTGAGATGACCCGGAAACACTTAGCATGCCTTGACGGACCTCATTGGTTAAATGATGAAGTCATTAATTTCTTCATTGGCATGATACAGGAACGTAATGATCGACTCGTTCGTGATGGTGTGAGCGGCGTGCCCCGGTGCTTCTGCTTCAACACATTCTTCTTCAGCATGCTATGTGGAGCTGATGATCCATGGACCAACTATAACTACAAGTCGGTGGAACGTTGGACAACACGTCGCAAGGTGGATGTCTTTTCATTAGATATTCTGCTGATACCTGTACACAAAAAGAAAACGCATTGGTGTCTGGGAGTTGTTGACATGCGCCCCGGATCTCGGTGCATCATGCTATTCGACTCTTTAGGTGGATCCCACCGAACGTTTTTTACAAACGTCAGAAAGTGGTTGCAAGATGAGCATTTCCACAAAAAACACACTCCTCTAAAGGACCTCGACACTTGGAAGTATAGTCGCACGTTCCAGTCGGAAAGTGCTGCACCACGGCAACACAACGGATATGATTGTGGAGTGTTCCTCTGTCAATATGCTGAGTGCCTTTCTATTGGCAAGCTTTTCGACTTCAGCCAACGAGATGTTCGCTCTAGAAGGATCAGGATGATACAACAAATTCTACGAGGGTCAATCTTCGAATGACCCTAGTATACACCCCCGATCCTACCTGCCACAAGCGCAGGAGAAACTTTGAAACACTAAAAGGTAGTTTTTATGTTGCATTCATTGGTCTAAACCATAAATGCTTCATGACCATAGCCCTTACGTAGACAGCTATTCACATTGCAGATGGCAGTGAATCCGCCGGCGCTCTTGTGAAGTATCCGGTGTCTAGAACAGTCTTGAAATCAGTGAATATAGAAATGAAATATTATAATTGAGTGCCATGTGTGACGAGAGTCATGATGTTTGGGGCGGTGACTTAGTCATTGCAAGAAGTTTCTTGCACTGCAGTTCCATTTGCGTGAGACTTTGTCCCTCTAAGAATTGCAGTTTCCCGTCAATGGTAAGATCGAACATGCAACGTTTGACACTTGCAAGTTTTTCATCCAACTGCGTTATCGTTTCGTCCTCTTTGGCGAATTTTATATTGGCGTGGTCCAGGATCTTGGAAAGTTGTGAGACAAATGACTTTACCGACACTGGCGGTAATAGAGGCATAACATATGACTCGCCCTCAGAAGGGATGACTAAATGCATCAACATCCCAGGTGAACGCCTGATCTCTTCCCTGAGTAACGGATTGAGTTTGTGAAGCTCTTCCGTGACGTTCACGCGAAAGACATTCAAAGGGGACCTGAATACCGGATATGATGACTAAACAGTACAAGTGTGTTACAAATAATAACTACATAATTTGCCGGGGTTTTTGAATGTAACGAATTGACACGTCCCGTGTAGAATTAAGACTCACCCCTTCAATGTAGATATTTCCTTAAGTAATATAGAATGCAGTTTTACCCTGTTGGCCACATCATCAGTCCCGCCAGGGGTGAAATATAATATAATGGTTGGCGTTTTAGCGTATACCAATCTTGCAAGATCTCGTGCCGAGACAAGCTGCGGCAATGTTGGAAGGTCAATGCCGCATTCCACCTTCTCAATACGTTTTGGAGGTGTATTACTCCTACTAAAACTCTCAATCATGTTTGTTGATGCCCACCTTATCTTGCCATTCAACATAAATGTGGTAACCAGTCCCACAGGGATGGCTAAGGCGAGAGTGAATGCGATAGCAGGGAACACTGCGGATTGTTGTGTAACTCTGGAATCCTTTTACCTATAGATATCCATTGATATATGCGTTCTCCCTGTCTTAGACGAGAGCCTTCCACGAGAAGGGCGTCAGGGTTCCGCGGAAACTCGTATCTAGACAAACTTGTTTTCCTTTCTACTACTTCAAGCTGGGGGCTATCAGCACGCCTCTTTACTACTTCGGTCAGCTTCCACCTGCGTTGGAAGGCTGCCGAACTTTTAGGAATACCTAGTCGACGGATGAACATCAACGCGTCCAAGCACGGGCGAGTATTCATCCTGGCATCATTTCACGCGACGCCGCTACACATCGCCTCAGAATTGAACCCATACATTTAATATATCTATGGAATGAGTAAATACTGAGGCTTGGTGCAGAACCCATACGCCACAAGGCTGTCGAGACTGCCAAGCTGATGTGGTAGTGGGTATCATTTGATATAGCATTATGGCTAAAAAAGGGAGTAACGTCGTCTTTGTAGCTATAATTGGTGAACAGGTATGTTTTGCTATGCGAGCAGAGAACAAATGATGGATATAGCGTGAGCTTATTGTGTCAAGGGCTTTCGGACGCGACGATGAGGCCGCACTTCAACTTTCAGCGTACGCCGCCATGGATATCGTCCAAGAGAAGAGTGAGTTGGAGCCTGTGGGCCTATAATTTCAACCAGTGGTAATACAACACTATTCGACAAAGCAAGGGGAAACTTCTGATCCATATCTCGGCTTCATCACACCCACATTGCTGGGTGAAGAATTCCTCAAGGTACACGCATACACTGCTGCTACTGGTTTCACCATTATCGCTATTTTCGATGAGCAGGAGGCCCCGCGAAACGCAATCAAGCAGGTAAGCAATAGCTGTTAAGCTGCAATGTCGTCTTCAGTTTTTTGAGAAGATACACATGCTATTCTCGACGACTGTATGTAACCCGTTGATGTCAATGCGTTTCCATTACCCGCAATTTATATCTGAAATAGGTTAGTATGACTAGAAAGTATCCTAATTTGGGGACAGATAGAATTGCAGCAGCGTTCTAACAAGCTGCACGAATAGGTAATCAATCTGTTTCAACACCGAAATAACGTCGTCTGGTGTGTTAACAACGTTTTAAGCAACTGTTCAAGGTCTTCTGATATTACATTTGACGATGTGCAACGCATACACGAAACGGGACACTTCGGGTTGCACAAATTAGCACAGAATAACCACAGCGTTTTCAAAAAGTACGTCATACACACCGGTCAACTAGCGACAATGACGCTGATTCTGGCTGTGGCATGTAAAGGTTTTCCAGCACGTCGCAAGAATAGTAGGTGTCATATCTCAAACGAACAGTGCCTATACGGTGTGTGAATAAAAATAGGTCTACAAGCATGTTAAATGCGGAAAACGGATGGATTGCGGGTGTTGTGGAATCCGCGTAATTCACCTGTAGACCGAAAGTAAGCAACAGCAGAGGAGGCATGCGTTAAGGACACCAAAATGTGTTCGGTAATCGCACCCGTACCATTCTGTGCTGATTGCAGGGTCACTATACCGTCGATTAGCGCAACATGCCACAGTGCGCGCCCTGTGTGGCATGTGCACCTCTTATGACTTCTAATGTCATTATTTATTAATTTTTCTATAGTGAAATATTTTTTTGTTTCACAAGCTATACTACAACGTAGTATTCTTAACCCTCCTGACCTTATTTTTTGCAATCAACATCATTCGCAATGTCGTGTATCATGAGGTGCAACAACTCCGACCAGGAGGTTGTTATCGACGAACAAACTGGCTTGCCCGTTAAGACCCATGACTACGTAAGTCTTGTATTATTTTTTTCATTATCAACGACCGTGTGCGTCTGTTGTATTCACTCATAACATTGTTTCTCGGTGCATATGGCTCAGAACAAGGTGTGCAACAAAGAATGCTCGCGTATTAACGTTAGATTTGTTTCTTTTCAATCGACATGCATACTTGCAGAGTGAAAAACCATCGGTCATTTACAAGCCATCGACCAATGTTCCTCAAAACACCATCCTCGAGATTCCACCACCAAAGGAACTGGAGACTCCCATCACCTTCAACCCTACCGTCGACACATTCTTCGATGCCGACAAAAACCAATTGGTTGTATTGATGGAACTACCAGGCTTCAGCCACAACGACATTACTGTTGAATGTGGTTTCGGTGAACTTATCATTAGCGGACCTCGTGCGAAGGATGAGCTCTACGAAAAATTCGGTAACAACTTGGACATTCACATCCGTGAACGTAAGGTTGGTTACTTCTACAGGAGATTCAAGCTACCACACAACGCTCTTGACAAGTCAATCTGTGTGACCTACTCTAACGGTATCTTGGACATCAGAGTTGAATGCTCTCAATTCTCGGAGATGCGCCGCATCCAAATCGACTCAAAGGCTTGAGCGACAAAAAATCTTTAAGGCAGAAAAAACCATTTAACTATGATAAATTGAGTTTAATATTCTACTTTTCTTGCAAAAAAATTATATAGTAACACTGCAATAGAAAATACACAATCACAAAAAAATGGTAATTACTCACCCGTAATCTAGATCAGGTGAGTCGGTACCGGGAACAATACGCGTAGGCCATATATTATTCAACAGTACACGCTGGACCCACAACGATGTGAGATGTACGAGTGGTGCAAATACGGTCAATCAGCCCGTACTCCAACGCCTCCGCTGGCCTCATATAATTGTCACGATCACAGTCACGCTCAATCTGTTCTATAGGTTTCCCGGTGATGTGGGAGAGATGTGCATTCAGTATCTGCCTTATTTGGAGTATCTCGTTAGCTTGAATCTTTATATCACTAACTTCACCGTGAGCACCGCCCAAAGGTTGGTGGATCATGATACGTGAATTAGGCATTGCACAACGCATACCTTTGGTACCTGAAGCAAGCAAAAAAGCACCCATAGACGCAGCTTGACCAAGACAAACAGTTTCTACAGGCATATTGAGACTCTGGAGCATGTCATAAACAGCAAACCCTAATATTACTTTTTGAGACATCAAGGTTCGTACCTACCTGCCGACACTGACCCACCTGGGGAGTTTATATAAAAGGTAATCTTGTCATTGGGATTCTGCTCATTCATACGCAAAATAGCACTTATTAAACGGTATGATACTTTGTCGTCAATCTCGCCGTTCAGAAAAAGAGTTCGAGTACGAACATAAAAGTCATCCAATTTAGAAGCGTAGTCGCGCTAAATACGTTGTATAGCAGAAAACAAAGAACTAACACTGGACTCCACACTCAAAGCGCTACTCCGTGCTTTCAAGGGAGATATTCGATTAAAAGAAGAAGACACATTTGGGAGCGCGAAGTTAGAACCATGATTCCATTCTTTTCGTACATGCCAGCCGGCAGAATATGGCAACGAGCAGCCAAAGAAGACCAAACAAAACAGAAAGACACCCAAAACCATGCCGAGACCAACCGCAAAAAGGCGACGACCCAACGTGTACCTACTCACAGCACCGTGAGGACAAGACACATCAAAACTGTTTTAATACCTATCGATTATTTTGCCATGAGTGAGTTTTATTTTGTTGTTACATTATGTTACAGAGCCGGAAATTAAGAGGGCAGCGGCAAAGTGCCAGGTTCAAATCGAACCCGATCTAGGTGTAGATCTTAAGCTTATACCTCTGAACGGAGCCTTGGTGGATAACATACGCGATAGTAACAAAACACAAATTTTGGAGAGTGCCCTTGACACACTAGAGGTAAGAGTACATTCACACCGCAATGTTAGTGTGCGCTGCGGTCATTAACTTCCTCAACGCATCGATAATTTGTTCTATATAACCCATATGGTGCTCATTTAAGGCGATATAACCCGATGTGCAGCGTGTCAAGACCATGAAAAACAAATTCAACCTTGGAGATTAGCACAGCATAAGGCAACTCCTGAAGAAGGCTCAGCGCTGGCAGCAGCCATCACCGTATTCGAAGGAATAGAAAGCCTTAACGCTAGTCCATATCCACCTGGACAGGAGATAAACTAAATATCGTTATTGTGCATACCCGTGTATAGCTCAAATTTATTGCATAGATGGTAGCCTTGGGGACAAGATCGCATAGCCTCCTGTTTCCTGAAACAAATGATTTCATATGCAAATCGGCATATTACCCGCAATTAGTACAACCGATCGTAATATACGAAGGCTCAATGCCACCTAACGCCGCTGAAGCTTCGGCCTGTATCTCGTCACGGCCGACGGCCTAGAGGTAATATCAGCAAAAGAAAAGGACCCATGACCCACCTTGGCATAGAATGAAAACTCATCAAGGAGGATAGGCATGTCACACATGCCTATATATGGTGACGCACCAATGAAAAGCGGTAGTGGGTTGAATCTTACATATGCTGCATTCGTCTTTGATATATAATAAGACCAACAAACCTTTACTTGGGTAGACACAGTCTAATATGCCTACACAAGCGTTAACATTCAATGTAGATGAATTACCGTTTATGTAGAGTGTCACAGCTGCCTTGTCTTTTACCACCGCCAGATGGTACCACTGATGTGGTTGCAGACGGCAGTTTGAGTCTATCTCCACTGTATGGTTCGACTCCACTGAAATCAACACCCGGACTCGACCGTCCTTGGGATTTATTGCAATCTCAGGAGCACATTCACTTAAAGCGGGGTTGCGGATGCCCTTGTGGACGATAGGACAAAACTCATTTACTTTCTGAGCATTAGCCAAAGATTCGTCGTCACTTAACAGATATACAAAGAAAAGTAGACTGAATTCTTGGGCTCGTAAATCTTGCACATCACGTAGATAAATAAAGTTCTTGCGGAAATATGCTGAACTACCAACGCCACCGAAGCCGGAGTGACCAACCACCTTGCCTACTCCATGGTTACCAAAGCCACTAGAGTCCAACGCAACGTTCTCATCAAAGCGATAATGTAGAACACGACCATGCCTACGAGCACTTGGTAATAGGACACTCTCACCGTTCTTTATACAAACCGACGAATCGACAACGACATCACACCCTTCAAATTTAGCACTGAAACATAAAGATATGCAATTTATAAACAATAGCAAATAATGATAATCCATGGCGATAGATAATCGACGCAACTTCTATCAATGAATTGCGCTCTTCGAGGATTAATACCTCAGCGACGGCTTACACAAGCCGCCGACAAAATAATTACACAGACTGTGTGATTATATCTACTTATAATATTACTGAATTGAAGGTAAACCATGGACGCGCGGCAAAACGCGCCCATGAGTTAGACATACTACACCATAGGAATCGGTATGTATTTTCATACACCGCAGCAGTATATATACAGATGTAACTAGTGGTGAAGGTAAAAACGAGGATTCTGTGCTCGAATTGTACTACCGTCGTACATCGCGACAGCTATATAGATTGGTATGTGTGGGCCATTGACGGAGACTATTGCTATGAACGACTTTAGTGACACTCATTCAGATCAACTACGCGAAGTGGTAGTCATTTATGAGATATTGTGGATAATAACTAGCCGATCTCGGTAATCAAGCCTTAGCCTGTGGGGAAAAGGCTCGATGAATATAGACATAATTAGACCATTCGTGGACTACTCACTCCGGCAATATGGATGAAAACCTCTACGACGAGTTTGGGAACTATATCGGCCCGCTGCTCGACGAAGATGCCGAGGGAGGCATCGACTCAGACGCGAGCGCCGATGAACCAGTCACGACGGAGACAGTAACACGTATAGGTCCCGAAGATGTAGTGGAATATGATGAAGGCATCAAGGAGGAGCAACCTTTCAAGGATGTAGAGATATTCGTACAACACGAAGATACGCAAACTATAGATCAACCTATCGTAAAATCGCATGAAACACGCATAGAACGTGTTAGCAATATTAGAAGACTAGATGATGACATCAGTGCCAAATGTTTCGATATACTTGAGGAAAAGCTACCACGTAACAGATTCACTTTCCATTTCATGACTGCACTGATGACACAGCCACAATTTATACGAAATATTTGTATATGTGGAGACCTACATCATGGAAAAACGACACTAGTAGATAGACTCATCAACTATAGCAGATTCCCCGAACCAAATGCAGCAGAAGGATTTGATACCAGCTTTGTACGCTATACAGATACACGACTAGATGAACAGGCAAGAGAAATGTCCATCAAAGCAACACCAATATCGTTGGTTTTCCAAAGTGAAACTGGAAGTTCACACGGTGGTGCTATCAAACACAAGTCATATCTTTTCAATATTTTCGACACACCTGGGCATATCAACTTTATCGACGAGTTCACTCATGCACAAAGTGTATCTGACGGCTGTCTCATTGTGGTTGACGTGCTCATGGGAAGAACGTGTACAGTGGAACTGATGATCAAGAGCTGCCTGAAGAGTTGCACAAGCTTCGCTCTTGTTCTCAATTGCATCGACAGACTGATACTGGAAATGAAGATACCACCGGCGGATGCATATTTAAAAATAAAACACACAATCGCAGACATAAACGACTACATATCGCAGACGTGCGACCTATTAAGGCAAAAAAAGGTCCTACTAGATCCTATATATGGCAACGTACTGTTCGCGTCGGCAAAGTACGGCATTTTTTTCACACTGGAATCGTTCGCCACACTATACGCAGATGATGAGGATGTCAACACAATCGCTAAGGAACTATGGGGAAACAATTTCTACGATCCTAATACGCAGCAGTTTACAACGGAAGAAATATCCGCAGCGCAAGATGAAGACGGCAATGTGGGCGAAGTCCAACTACAGAGGTCTTTTGTGGCATTCGTGCTAGAACCGTTGTACAAAATATTTGCACATGTGGCCTCGGATGAACGTGAAGAACTCACACCTATATTGGATCAGCTTGGGGTATCACTGAGAGCGACCGACTATCGCATGAGCACTGTCAAGATATTGCAGAAAGTTTTCAGTAAGCTGTTCAGTGATCCCAGCGGATTCGTGGACTTCGTAGTTGCAAACATCCCACCACCCACCGAAACTGGCACTAAAAAACTAGATGCTATTTTCACTGGTGACCGTGGCACGGCTATTTGTTCAGGAATTGAAAAATGTGATCCAGAAGCACAACTCATGATACATATAGTCAAAAACTACTATCGTCTGGATACCAACTCATTTGATATATTTGGACGTGTCATGTCAGGGACAATAAAAAAGGGCCAGCGTATAAAAATACTCGGAGATGGGTATACACTTGACGATGATGAGGATATGCAAATTAGAAATGTCGGAGCTTTGTGGATTGCTGAAGGGCGATACCGTGTAGAAGTGAACTCCGTTCCCGCCGGGAACTGGGTGCTCATCTCAGGGATCGATCTATGCTCACACAAAACAACGACAATCACATCTGCAGAAGATCCACATGGGGCTGAAATATTCCGTATACAGTCAACACTGCTTGCGTCGGAACCAGTTTTCAAGGTGGCCATAGAACCGCTCAATCCATCCGAACTACCGAGAATGGTTGAGGGACTTAGGCGAATCGATCGAAGTTATCCTGCCATAAAAACACGGGTAGAAGAAAGCGGGGAACATGTTGTACTTGGTACCGGGGAGTTATATCTGGATTGCGCTTTACACGACCTAAGGAGGCTATATGGTGACCTAGAGGTCAAGGTCTCAGATCCCGTAGTTAGGTTCACTGAAACCATTATGGAACAATCGGCCACTAAATGTTACTCCGAGACTCAAAACCGAATGAATAGACTTTGCTTTATTGCAGAACCTCTGGAACAAGGGATAGCGTCGGCCATCGACGAAGGGATCCTTAATCCTGACCTTCCAGCTGGAGAGTTGGCCACCGTATTCATGGAACAATATAATTGGGATGTTCTGGCCGCCAGGTCTATATGGTGTTTCGGTCCAGACAACTGCGGACCGAACATACTTCTTGACGATGTGTTGCCCAGTAACCCCGTCAAAGCTGCGGTCGGTAACATCCGGTCGACGGTAATACAGGGGTTCAACTGGGCTTGCAAAGAAGGACCACTCGTAGAGGAACCTTTCAGGAACACAAAATTCAAGCTTATAGATGCCGAACTTGCGGATGATCCCATGAACCGCAGCGCAGGTCAAATCATACCAGCGGCACGCCGTGCCGTGTATGGCGCGTTCCTACTGTCAACCCCCCGGCTTATGGAGCCTGTGGTATTTGCAGAAATAACGTGCCCGGCTGACTGTGTTGCATCGTCATACTCTATACTGTCGCGACGACGTGGACATGTGTTGAAGGATCAGCCCAAGCCAGGTACGCCATTCTACGAGGTACATGCGTACCTACCGGCAATAGAGTCATTCGGATTCGAGACCGACTTGCGTGTTCATACACACGGTCAGGCGTTTTGCATTACGTTCTTTGACCATTGGAACATTGTTCCAGGTGATCCCCTTGACAAGGTTAGTGTGCCCATATATTTTGATGTGATACGGCTTACATCAAAACGTGATTGTGTATTTCAGGTGTATGTGTGAAAGTGTGGCGAGGTAGTCTGTTAGATGCATGTGAACATTGCGGCTGCCCATGCCTTTCCTGTACATACTAGAGTACGGTGTTTCTTTGTTATGTTTCACTACCGTTTGTGATATCACTGAACGTCGTGCAGTCAATTATTCTCAAGACTCTGGAACCTGCGCCTATTCCGCATCTCGCACGTGAATTCATGGTAAAGACCCGTCGTCGCAAGGGACTTGCTGAGGACATCTCAATTAACAAGTACTTCGATGCAACGATGCTGCAGGCCCTAGGAGAAGAATTAGAACAGTTCTATTAACTGTAAATTATTACTTATAACAGCATACGCTTACCCATAAGGTTACTTCAGCCACATACATACGACGCTCCTAGTAAAACGACGGTGTGCCGTCATCTGTGCAACCAAACGCGCTAGAAAAATGATGGTGCATGACACATAGTACTAATGGCCCGTAGAAGTGCCCCGCAACACCCCGAGAAGCATAGAGTAGCAGCTCGGGAGGGCGCGGGGAGCGGACGCGCGACGATATATGGCTAAATGCCGCGTCTTACAACACAATACACAATAATCTAAGTGTAATAGAAACTAGTCATCGCTACCAAGTTGTAACTAAGCCAATATATATCTTATGTGCGATATACTTAACGGCAGCGGTAACATCCACACCACATTTTGGGGGTCGCCAATAAAATTATATACAGCTAGCTATCACAATCCTTCCCACGACGCCCGCGCCGCTTTTTTATTCTCAAAAACATGTGAGACGGGAGGCATCCAGGGTGCCACTGAGATACCCCTCTTTTACGGCGAACAGCGTCACGCATACGAAAGCCGCGCAAAATACAACTAAACTCAAGATGCGGGTCAGAAATTTCAGCATATATCTGCGCGATCAGGGCTTCCTGCGCCATGGGCACCTCAACGTGCTCCGTGGAATGCGCCTAGGGATTGACGCGGTATACTTCTTCCGCTCGTTGAAAGGCATATGCGATCCGCTGAGTGAAGTGGGAGGTAGCCTGGCACCGACGTTCGTCGGCGTAGTAGAGGAAAATGTGGCACAACTTGAAAGGTTCGGTATACAGCCACTATTCGTATTCGAAGGAATGCAGTCCAAGTCACATATCTTGCTATCGGCACAACTTATGACGCTCAGTGTAGCCGAAGGATGGCTCGCCTATGCACGAGGTGACATGCAAAATGCAGTTGGAAAGTTTCTGCAAACAAGCCTAATTTTCAGCGAAGATCTTATACAACTACTGATACGCCTACTACGCGATATGGGAAAAGATGCCGTACGCTGCCCATATTTCGCAGCAGCACAACTCAGCTATTTCTGCGCTGAGGGAACGGTTGATGCTATTCTGGGACCGCCATCACTCATGTTATTCGGTGTACCCCGGTGTGTCGTATCTGTAGAATTCCCAAGAAACGCCTTTGAATGGATAGAGCTAAAGGAGGTACTCACAAGACTGGAAATCACTCACCCACAGCTAGTTGATATATGTATACTTGCAGGAACCGAACATTGTCTGAGCTTCCCTTCGCAAAATGCATTCTCATTCGCGCACTGTGTAGACATGATCAAACAGGCACCTATTACAAAACACCTATGCCAACTACCACAACGTGACTCACTCAACGACTATATAGATGGCTACTGTGTTACAAAGGCACTAATAACGTACCCTCTGATACTAGACAAGAAGGGGGTGGTGCGCCCACTACAAAAGGGTGCAAAGATACCCATCGACTACCACAAAATAGTCGGCTCCAAAATACCCCATGGAATATACCATCTACTAGGACAAGGTGTAATCAGCCCAAAAATACCGGTTGCCTTGTCCACAGGAGAATGGGTTGACGACTTCAGCCTTGCCGATACTATCGAACTACGTGAACTGCTACAAGACAGCCGTGAATACAAGTGCAGGGCACTAGGACTCGCTGTATTCAGACTTGACCATACATACCAGTCTCGTCAAATCAGGTTCCAGGGACATATCTCCTTCATCAAGGGTCATCCGCCAATTAAACAGAACTCAGTAGCCGTTATTCCAAACACTTGTAGCACGCGCATGCTCTCGCAACAAGGAATGGCGGAACTGGCTGCAGAATTGTCAAGGCAAAAGAAAGGAAAGGTAGATGTTGAGTTCATACTAACGTGGCACTTGAAACTCTCTGCGAAAATGCTAAAGGAAGTTACACCCCTCATGGCTTCTGAAGCCATGGTCAACATGCTCGTCGTCCCAAACGGGGTAAGGAAACCATCACAACAAGATATATACAGAGCAAACATGTGGTGCGTTTTACTAGACAACTTGGGATACTTCGCACGCATGGGTGGTGCCACGGCTTTTGGCAAGGTGCTAGCAAACTCGGGACTGGGGATCAGCGGACTATTTTTCATGGAAATATTGAAATTCGGATTGTTCACTGGAGAAGAATTCGAACTACCGGCAGACTCACACATCTCACATGAAGTAATGAACAGGTACAGAGGAACACTGCCTCAAGATGTATATGAGGTGATCAACCTAGTGTCGCGTATTGCGTGCCTTCACCCCGCTACCCTAGATGGCTCACACTGGCGGGGAGACATTGACTACTCCATTTCAAACTACATGGCCCACGTCAAAGTACTGCGAAGGAGCGTAAACTACCTCATAGAAGGAACTCTAATACTTATGGGTGGGTTAGTCGATGGAGTCGACCCGCCCTATCTATACGAAACTAATTGCTTCATGGGCATCGTCATTAAGTGGCTGTTAACACAAGAAAACGAAAGGCGGGACGGACCTGGTCACACCAACCTCCTAGAGGCTACGCAACAAAGGTTCCCGAACATAACTGAGATGAAGCAAAATCTACGGTCGTTCGCCAACTTCTGGGCCAAAATATCTGCGCTGCTGCATTCACTTAAAATGTATGTGCACATAGAATCTCTGGCGACCTTTGACCGTGGAACCAAACTGCTCCAGGCGTCACTTGGGAAGTTAGGCATCAACATGCATAACGTACACCAGTGAACGGTTGTAGTGATCACTGTCACCAACTGGGTGGTGTCGTCGCTGTCCTCTTAACGTAACTTAACACGTGAAACTTTAAAAAAAACATAAAAATTAACCATTCTTGTGTTGGTGGCAGCTGGGGGAGTGGTTTCCATGGCCGGAAGCTACGACCCTTGCACGCCACCGGCCTGGGAAGTTTTTAGTTGTTGCGTGTCTTATAAGGAATCACGGTTCAGAAACCGTTTACATGCGATTAACTCTAAGTATCTGCGGTATAATTTACGATATTTGGTGAGCTAGTGGCTTCCACAGTCGGTATACTGATCCGCCTGCGAAAAAACACCTTAAAGTAACTAAAGAAAATATACAATTATACATTCAACAGTGCCACAGAGCATTCTTACCCTGTCACAGTGACTAACACATCAATGCTTCTGAACGTAAGCATTCTTGAGAATTCGAATCTACTGTGAACCAATAACATTATAAAAGTCGAGTGTATAATGCGCTGTATACAGCACCATTGGTGTTGCGCCGCCAAGCTTAGTGGTTAGAGATGTATACACATCATTCTGTATAATCCTATCCTAACACATAATGACGGGAGTTATGGAATTTCGACGGAGCAAATTCCAGACTACCCAAGAGATCGAATGGGAGCTAATCATTAATGATAATTGATTACCTACACAACTACCATTTTTTTCAAACGGTAACAATATATAAGATGCATAATCGAATCCGCAACTAGTGCGTCGCACCTGATGACGGTGTAGAGCTAATCACACGAAAGTGCGGAAAAAGGTAGATTTTGTGCTGATTACAAGTGCCAAAATAATGGTAAATAGTTATTAGGTATTATGCGTGTCAAAAGTCGTATTTTAAGTGGCTAATAGTGATGTAAAGCAAACTCATCAGCTCCCACATATATACGCCGGCACCGGAGCAGTAAAACGCTGACCATAGGTCCAACTCAGTCGTACCAATATGGGAGATACTTATATCGAAGTTTCACTGTATTTTACACATCCTTACTGGACGACCACGGTAGACACCGCCAGGACTGTGAAATCACTTATTCCTCAAATAAGTAGCACATCATCGATACTACAATTAGCCCTAGTGACGCAAAAGACCGTCACGATGCTGGCGCGTTGTGTATCCGGACAGTAACGCGCAACGTGCATGCAACTGCATGGGGTGTGGAGCTCCAGTGCGCAGGGGATCTTGGGTGCCGCGAATAGTTGCGCTCATAGTCATTATTAATAAAGCATTGAAATTTCTTGCGTCGCTATTCAACATGTTGTAGGTAATTAACCATTAAAATATTGGTTATATTACCCTCTACTACGGTTACGGAAGAAGATTCATAAGATTCTTCACGTTTTTGTGTCAAACATATCACTTTCATTGACACAATTAGTTCAACTACAATCTTCGAATTTAATCAATAAGTTCAAAAAACACCATTGTTACTGTTTGTAAAAATGGCCGGATTCAAGTTCTCCAGATTGATGGTTGCCTTCGTGGCTGTTGCCAGCATTGTAGCTGGTAACGTTTTTTGCGATGATGACGCTGAAGAGTCGAGCCTTGGTCGTAGCAAAGTACTTAAATTGTGGCAAAAGGGAATGAACGACAAAGAGATCATGGAGGACATCGAACTTGGAAAGGAACGCGCCCTCCAAATTATCCAACGCATAACTGACTACACTCCCACTGACAAAATTCTTACACCATACACCCTCATGTTCCACCACCTCGATGACTCATACGCTGACCTACCCGTCGACATGCTTGAGGAGCTCGGTAGGTTGAACCCAGGAAGTATCACATTGGGCCTGGCCCTGAGACTCGGTATGCACCTTTCCAGTAAATTGCTCTCTGAGTTCCACGACGAAAAGCATGACTCACCATCAGACAGATACTTCAGGAACCGTCTCAGGGACACAATGACGCTTTACGTTGTCGACGCTTTGAAGACCCCAACTTGGATTGAGTTCTAATTGGCAAATCAACGAACAATAGCAACAGGATTGTTTCTCCCTTAATGTGATTGGTTTTCGATATCTGGATTAAGCAGCATCGCCGGTTACGACTTCTACGCATTCTGATCAAGAATCTTAAATAGTAACTCGTGTTGCCTGCTCTCTTGGCAGAATGCGGCAGGAAGACCTTCGGCACTAACCACTGCTATAACGAAAACACACACTGGGCTCCAGGGTACATTCGAATGCAAGTTATCAGTGCTCGGTGATGTAATAATGTGAACGTGGATATAAACATCACCTGCTTCCACTTCGTTAATGAACCCAAGATGCACGAGCTCTGACCGAATTACAAACATAAATAGAATGTAACTAAATTTTTAATTTTGCGCCATTTATAGAAACAAACGAATTGGCATTTTATCTAACGCTATACCTGTTAAACCAGATACAGGGAAGGTACATTACTTAATGCAGCGGTAGTATGTGCTTTGTTCGACTTTACATAACACACGCGTCAACTCCAGCCGATCAACCCAATAGATTTTTTTAGCAACCACGCGGCCGAGGCGCACTATGTCGCTGCTATAAATAGAACGAGAGTGTTACAAGTTATAGGGAGTTAGCAAATAATTATGGTTGAAGTTGTATAATGAAACATTTCGCCATAGTCTCAGCTGCAACCGTATAAGAATGAGGAGGTTTTATTATTCAATCCTCCGTAAAGTGACGACGCATTATGTCGTTCATTCCGTTTTAGAAACTGATTTGCTTTCATTGCCTTCGTTAGGGATAATGATGTGAGCCTTTTCGCACTCCTTGTCCCAGTCAATGTTACCGTGACCCTTGGGGTAGTAGCGGATGATCTCCTCTGTCTCATCGATTTCCTTGTAACGCACAACTTCCTTGATCTGAGGAACCTCAACCTTGCGTTCGGTCCATTGCTCGATGATCTGAGGCTTCTCTACAATCCTCTCAACAACCTCGACCTTCGGTACCAACTTGTTACGGTACTGAACTTGAGGGACCTCGATGATCTTCTCGACGAATTTCACATCAGGAATCTCAACAACCTTCTCGACAACCTGGGTAACCTCGCGGGGAACTTGAATAACACGTTCCTGAATAACAGGCTTGGGGACAACGCGCTCCACAGTCTTGACTACGGGCACCTCAATAGTCTTGGTTAGTGTCAACGGGCTGGTAAGTGGTAACAGCCACCTGAAACGATAATTAGTCCTATGGGCAAAACATGCACATCGTAAGCAAAACCGAGTTGCAATATTGCTCTCGTCTACGTAAAACCACAGTTGAAAATATATGTAACAATAGAGGTACAATTCATAAGAACACCATTCGAGAAAAACCCACAAATTCCGTGCACATTAAGGCATAGTTCCCGTGAGTGTACCACCAGCGGTAACTGTGCATCGGGAAGAAATTAACAGTGAATAAATATGTTTCCCCATGTGTAAACTTACCCATTGCCTCTCAACATTTTGACCGATCTCTTGTGCGCGGGACCTGTCGGTAACGGTGTTAATAGTCCTAACCTGAGTTTCCTGAGTGTCAATTTCTTCGTCCGTAAGACGAGTATCCCTGGAGCAGCACTGCATTTTTGCGGAAATTTTTGTAACTCTAATTAATGGAATGTGTTAACTATTAGGAATGAACTGTGCCACCACATATACGCGACACGTGTCACTTGCAACATACAACATCTGCACGCCACCTGCACACCCGATGCGCACAAACAAAAAGAGCAAAAAAGTGCTAGTCACTTATGACACTAACGCAACACATTTTTATTCTTAGTGAATAACAAAGTGGAACGATGATACCCATTAGGAACACCGCGGGTCATCGTCACAAGGACCAGTATATACCGGCAACATGCCCACAATAAGTGACACGGTACTAATTGAGCTATTAATAGTTTTGTGTGTTATAGGGAATTGGTTTCTACAACCGTGTTAATGACCACCCTTGAGCCGGCTTAGATCCGTCAAGAGTATTCACTAACTTAGGTGATTGCTTAAAGATCATAAGGCAACGGTCTTAATATGTATTCCTCGTTATAAGATACGACAATAGGCAAAGTTGTGAGACGAGGCTCTATATGTGCCCGCTGGGTTCGGGACACTAACACATGAAGCTACAACACGCATAACTTCAAAAGTAGACCTAAAATACGTAAAACAAAGCTCGTGTCAGCATGAACACTTAACATAGACCACACGGTTCTAGGTTGACGCTTCTCGGGCTTGTGTACAGTACTACCCCATCACTAGCGAGCGGCTACCGGTATCGTTAAAGACTACGCTATCACCGTTTACCAAACCAAGTAAAAATGGCGGACGTCGCGGTTAAGGACGTAAAAGCTGGCGGAGACCACGATAATGTCAATCGCATCCACAAAATTCACGTCACCCTGACTTCCATGAACCTCAAGGCCATCGAGAAAGGTAGGTATATGACCAATTCGCGACGAACACCTTCGATAAGTGTATATTAATGTCGTATGCAGCCTGCAGGGACATGATTAACGGGGCCAAAGAAAAGGACCTCAGGGTCGTAGGACCTGTGAGGATGCCAGTAAAGACCCTCAGGATTACCACCAGGAAGTCACCTGTGGGAGAAGGTAAGGTATTAACACCTTGAAATATACAATTTACAGGTACCAACACATGGGATAAGTTCGAGGCTCGTATCTACAAACGTGTTATCCGCCTTCATTCCTCGAGCGAAGTTGTCTCGCAGATTACCTCCTTCTCTCTCGACCCAGGAGTGGAGGTTGAGGTTACCATTTAAATGGTTAAATAACTGATACTAATAATCGTGAAAGGTCCATATGTCTTAAACACTTACAGGGCGTCGCTCGGGGGTTGGGTACCAAGACCGCGGGTCGCCCGTTTTTTACTTTACACATCAATTCGTATTGCCGTCGATTTTCAATCAAGGTTTATGAATATATCTATATCCTGTTATAGCATATGCGCTAAGAAGGACGTTTTTATGACCGAGCTCTGCCATCTAGGGGTCTTCCATCGCTGTAGAACACCTCAGCACATTTAAACATCGAGCGTTTTCAACGGTTAACTAACACAGGAAACTGTATATGTGTCGGTAAGTAACATATAGGTGCCCCTAACAACATACAGCGATAACTCATCTCGACAAGATGCTTACTCTGCGACGAGCTACGATGTACGACCTAGTCGGGATATCGGATTGCAACCTAGTTAACGTAATAGAGAACTATCAAATGAAGTATTACTTCTACCACCTACTATCATGGCCCCAACTCACAAATATCGCAACATCTACAGAAGGATTCATATGCGGATATTCAATGGCAAAACTGTAAGCGATGTAGACCCAGCAAATAACCAGCGCAGTGAAGAGGACGTTGATCATGCCGGGCATCTAACCGCTGTAGGAGTCCTCAGATCGTACAGATCCATGGGAATCGCACAAAAAGTCATCAAGCAAACACGTATGTTGCACATAGTAAAAATCTGACACCATGCAGACTATGGAATGCAAGCATTATACAACTGTAACTCAGTGTATCTATTCGTGCGTGTCTCAAACTGGGCGGCTTTTGCAATGTACAAAGAAAAACTCGGCTACGGGTAAGCTTGCATTTCATTAGTGGATATAATGAACCAAAACACAATGCATGTGCTGGTCTATACGGCTGGATATCCGTCCCTCCACATACGATGCGCATTAAGATGCGACCGTGGATGCCGGATGTATGCGCAAAAGTCGGAACAGCTAAAGTATACAATGTTACAACTGCTATACACAGCAGTTGCAGCCGGGCCTACGTGTGATTAGTGGATTCGGCGGTTCACAGTGATGATTTGTGCCCACGAGATGCACAAAAGTTGTGAAATGATATCTACCTAAAGCAACAGCGCTCAACTTTGTACAGCATAGACGAAGTGGTCAGGGAATACTTCCACGACCAAGAAGACGCATATTCAATGAAACACGTGTTCCCAGGAGGTACGTCACAATAGCAAACAACACACCTTTCGCAGCCGCGGGGCGTGGCAAAAACGCCAACAAAACTAAGACGTAACAAGGGCAGCAATAACTAGAACTATTGTAGCTGAATCTTTTCTTTAACACAAAATATATCAATACGATAGTGATATGGACAAATATATTATCTCCTCACCGAGAGATCGCGCCTGCGAGCCACAGCGCCGCACGCCAACACACTAGTTACACCAATATAAACTGGTGACACTCAGTACAGCAGAGATGCAAACCTTTAGGAAATTTTCAAGCCATTCGCAGCCCAAGATAGTCGCGGTTTGTCACATATATAGACCTTTTAATGACTTGTAGCCAAAAGACGCCGGCGTAGTATTCGACAGCCGCGCGACACAGATACGCTTTGCGCTACCGTTCAAGCCTTGGTTGTTCATCTGCTTAGCCGGATTTTCAGGAGCCATGTGCGGAAACCTATTCTTTACGAAATTCGTGCTGCGCAAGAATCCACCAAATGTATGTTATTTCTACATTACGTTCATAGTAAGATAAACGCACCCAGTGATCGGCAAGTTCGTTATGACAACTGCTAAATGACGCTGGGAGGCTCCTCCCTTTTAGCGGTGCCTATTATTGATGATACACACTCTCTCAACTATTGTTGTAACGTGAGGGACTCGACGATCCGTATTGCTATATGTTGTGATTTGATATGGAACAGTGATCATCTCTTTATCTTACCATCCATGAATCCATTGAGTTTGTACTAATCATTTGCGCAGCCTCCGAGAGACCCCAACGAACAACCACCGGCGCAGCACCCGCACACCCCGGATGAGTAAGAGACGTTGCTTGCTGCTTCTTGTAACGCTACTTGTGGGAGCTGTAGAATGTATCTGCAGATATCCCAAACGGAACTTTACATTCGTTCCAATACTGGACAATATAAACCACATAAAATATGGCAGACACCTTCATACAACGGGAAATACGACACAATCGCGTTACAACACTAAGATATGGGTAATTGGGCGTGGAACCGATGATAGTTGTCTCGTACTAAACGACAAGATTATCGGTAAAGGCGACGATAACAACAATGATTTAAGATGCGAAGGAAACAGCGCAAATACATTAGAGGATGCTCTGGCCAACGATGGCGAAGCAAGCGTTGAATGTGACGACATCAACACCGAAAGGGAAAACGGCGATGAAGAAGGACAAATGCGTATAATGATACCCTATACTGTCAATTATCCTGTTCATCATGAAGAGTTGATAGAAATTGATGCAGAGGAACGGCCTGTAAAAGCCAAAGAAAAATTGGAACAATTAGGATTTTTCGAACCTATGGAACCAACCGCAGAGATTAAAAATACGCAAATTCGAAGGGAACCAGAACCTTCTGATAGCTACTCGTTGACAATGTCGACACTAGAACCAGACAGCAAAGTATGGGAGTGTATGAAGTCATCGTCAATGACACAACAAATCGGTACTAAACAGGCATCTCGGGAAGAAATTACGCTGCAATCTCCAAGCAGAATGGATTACGAGAGTATAAGGAACCAATTTATCATCGGGAGAGCGCGTATACACTGGTTTCCAAGATATTTTGGTAAGAGCCTAGGCGAACTCTCGGAACATATCAGAATGTGCGATGTGATACTGGATGTAAGAGATGCCAGGATACCATATGTAGCGGATTCGGACTTTCTACTCAATGTATATAACAACATGTTCACACATAAACCAAAGGTTATAGTGTTCACACATGCCGACCTGGCCGCAGTCAAGGGTACTGAAGAATGGGGAACCTACTACCGTATCAAAAACTTCTGGGAGGCCAAACAGTTTAACAAAAACATACCAGAGCCTAACAAAAAGCCTGTTACACCTGTCATATTCGTAGACGCAAAGAATGGGATATCGTGTATAGTTAAACTCAAGAAACTTATATACAAACTATGCCAAAGGGTAAACCAAAAACGTATACGTAGGGGACTTGCACCTCGACCGTTGCGTGCGATAGCATTAGGTATGCCGAATGTGGGAAAGAGTGCCCTTATCAACCGGCTGCTGGGCAGACACAAAGCCAGGAGCTTCAATGCAGCAGGAGTTACCAGGGACATCAGACTAGTCAGGCTGCACCCAGAAGAATACAGAGAAGCGACACACAAAATCATAGATGTCATAGACACTCCAGGTGTATTACCTGCAAACCTGTACAATATGGCCTTCAGATCCGTTGGGGGCAAGAGTAACAAGAGACGTAACCGGTTGCTAGGTAACATATATTTTAAACTGCCACAGACGTTTGTTCCGGGTGGGCATAGCAAAACAGGAATTGATGCACAACATGGTATTATGGAACGTAACGTTTGGCTAATTGCAGCGGCAAACCAAATTGTAGAAGGGGCATACGATAATGACCAGGCCGCGGAAAACCTACTGGAACAGGCACTCTACGTATACAAACGTAAACGTTCATACGTAGAACTACCTAGGATATTGAAGCGTATAGGTCTAGAATACACGCCAAGTATACTTGAAATGCATCCAGAGGACTTCAGCCATGAATGCTTACAAACAGCCAGCCACAAACACCATGGTGGAGACATCAACGCGGCGGCAAGTCGTATATTGGCCGATTTCAGACGCGGATACTATGGCAGAATTACACTGCAGGTACCGCCAGAGGAGGTGCCAAACCGTTACTGCGTCCCTTTCGTACAGTCAGACGAAAAGGAAGCAGAATGTGACAATGCCAATGTTACTGCGAGTGGGTACGCACAAGGGTTATACGAGGGATGGTAACACATTCACAAACCATACTGTAAATATTCTATATGATTTTTAGACATGGGTCCTGCTTGTAAGGATGTCGATGAAATTTATCGACGCCAGGCTACTAGACCAGTAACAGGCCTTGCGGTACGCCACTTCCAGCATCGCCCTTACCATCGGATCCTTTTTCGTCATCCCCGTCAATATGCATACGTGGGTTACGACGCATAATGTGTTCGTTCATCTTCATTAGCACCTCTGCAAAAATTCTGTGACCATGACCTATAGCACCTACCGGCCTGCTGTATCAGGTTATGGCTCTCGAACGCTATCGTTGGTACATTCTTCCTATGTCGCAGCAGCTGAGCTAACCGGTAGCGCAGCAGTTTGTTGTTCTTTGCCAACCATGAAAACCCCTAGTCTATGTAAAACTTAGTGATGTACTGCCAACCTGTCGCTGTTGGAAGGAGTCCCCTGCGATGCAGACCTTCAGTCGTGCATGAGAGCAGTCAGAATTTAGTGAAACTTCCATAACACTCATACTATCGATGATCTCTGGATCTAGATGCCTACCAATTGGAAGCTTGTCCTCTAGCAGGTACATCAATCATGGTTAGACAATGGTTAGGTCCAGCGCAAGGGCCGAAAACCAACATAACTTACGTCGTGACAAAATGAAATTTATCGCGTCAAGTATCTCCTTCTGGCGACGTAACCGATAGATGTCATGTCTGGAAATCCCTAATTTAAACCCTGTGCAACGCGTTGAACGTGGCACTGTGGGCGCCCTAAACGCGAGGCAGGCTATTGAAAAAAATGCTAGACATAGTGTCAGCATTACAGTTGCTAGATTCCCAATTGTCAAAAGGTTGAGAGAGAGGCATTAAATCGGTGGAATGAGGCATTCAAACCGCACCTTCGCCCGAGTTTAGAAGCGCTACAATGGCGACAGACGTCGGTAGAATCCACTATACTAACGATATGCACGGCAAAACATTGTTTTTATGGTCGTATATTACACAACAAATGTCACAAAGGCGCTTTGCTTTGCCCGAGAGCGGCGAAACCTTACACACATTAACACCGCCTCCGTGGCGGAGAAAAAATACAGTAATGTAACGTCGCGCTCTTCTGCAGCGACGTACGATGATTGTGTGTATGCAGCACCGTGAAGGTAGTTTTTAATACTCCATCTATCCGTATACGCAAATCAATAGTTGAAGGTAGACAGCCGTTCAGCGGTAGACATTGCAGTGTACGATGTAAAAAATAGAATTTATCTTGTACCTTAAGAATGCATTGCCTGCAGGTAGAAGAGGTATGGAAGCGTGTATAGGCTGAAAAGCTTCCGGCGGTTCATATCCATCGGTCGAACGCAAAATACCATACAACCAGTAGATACCACCATCTGAGTTACAATCTCCAACGTGCTGTATCCCAGCGTAAAACCAGCAAAATACAACAATATGGAGTAACCAAAGACACATAGCCCATATAGCACTAACAGCGCAGGCTCACGTGCAAACAATGTCAGACTCATAGTAGTTAACAAGTTCGACACGTGCAGTGAATTGTGGAGCGCATAACCGTCTTTGAACAATCCGACACACGACCAAAGGTCAACTAATGTCAGGCAAATGTTAAATACGAACAGTATCAACAAAGAACGGAAGTAGAAAAAATGGTCCTTTCCAGAGTAAACCGTCATGTACCAAAGCGAAGTAAAGACGCTAACAGGGTACACAAAATAGCGTAGCGTCATAATCAAGACGCGAGACCACGAAAAGAAGTTACCCAGCTCCTCGTCAGTCGTCAATGTGCTGTACAGACGCAAAGCCACGAGAGTATCCGAAAATACACATAAAATGAAGATCATGAGCGTCTCCTTAAACGTCACCGTGTAAAATTTCACGTTAAAATCGTGCATCCATTCCACATACCATGACTCGAAACTCGTGTGGACAAACAGACCTAGATCACCAATACTCGGCATACGTGGTATGTTTGTCCAGGCATAGTTGTTCATCATATCACGTGCACTACTCAACCGATTTGCCACAGTTATACCTGATAACACCAAACGGTGGCCCCAAGAGGGCATCACACTCATAATAGCGTTCATCGTGGGACTAGATACTATAGGTTGCGTTGCGGTAGGGTCTGGCGTTGTGAAACTTGACTGACTCAAACAACCCGCTGTGCCGAAATTACCCGGACTAAATACAGAGTGAGAACCGTCTGTAGTTCGTGACGGTTCCCTTGATGTGCGGTCAGTACGATAATGTTCCGAACCCTCAAAAGACCAAATCCGTTTCCGCTGGGAGTCATCTTCTGAAATTTTGCTCGAACCCGAAGACTCGTGTGTGGACCTCATACCCCTGGTCATGCTACGCAATTCATCGTAAGACTCGCGCCATGATTTGTTGGTGGGTAAAGGTAAGGAAGACCCAACACGCTCCGATGTCAGAGTTCCGAAGGACGTAAATGATACCTGACGCAATGTATCCAATGCCGAATAAATATGAGACCGTCCAGCAGTTTCTTCAAATAGCGTGGATCCCGCGAGCTTGCTGTTTTGGGGGGCATACAAGTGTTTAAATGCCGTTTCCACATGGCGCTCGGCACGGTGATCGCGTGCGGGTGGATCGTGCGTGCGGGTTCTGCTTCGAGTCCTTACAGGTGACGATGAACCAGATAAGGTAGTCGATGGTTGGTGAAGCCAAGTGACATTACGTGTCGTATGATGTGGCGCATCCCCCGTATCAACGGTCGCTCCAGCCAAACGGTCGTTTTCATTCCATTGTGGCTCTTTGGAATGGTCGCTCATGCTGCCAGACTGCAGCAACGATTCAACATAACCACCAGGCCTAGGTTTGTAATGTTTCCTGATCTCATCCAAGGGGGGACCTCCGGCATTAGGGTCTTGATTCTCTTGACCCCCCTCTACCACAGGTAGGCGACTCGAAGGCCGACGGACCTTTTTGAAACGACATGGCTCAATCCGCTCCTTAGATGGGCGCTTGGATGATATCTTAAGGTTTTCTCTCTCAAAATTTTCCCAAACGACGTCAACATCAGAATCTGATGCCAACGACGTAGAATCACGAGGCACCGATTCAGGCGACTTTCTATGAGTGCTAGTTGTACCAGCATCGGATGAATTAGTCGGGGGTAGAAAATCTTTCTCCAGTTCATTAAGAGAATCAAAAGAACCCAAAAAATGAGCGGGATGCGTGCGGTACGCAGCTATCACGTGACCCAACTTTTCGAAACGACGATAACATAAAATACCGATAAATACTTGAACCATCACTATGTATGCATCCAACAGCACAATGGTAAAGCCTCTGGCGGAATCAGGTCTCAACCACGAAAAGGTCTCATTCACATATGACAGTGGTGCATGCCCATGATATTCTGCGTATAACGAAGAAATCAACACCATATGGAACGCAGCACCCAATACCAACGAACCAACGCAAACAGCTATCAATATACTGCATGGCACTCCAGTCAATGTGAACGATATCACTGGCAAGTGTACCAAGTAGACCATCAGAATGCCATGGTAAGCAGAGAGAGTGAAAAAAGAAGTTAAACTGATGAGCAGCGTCAATGGTACGTACCATCGAAAACAAATAACATTGGTTTTCGTAAAGCAGAGGTTAAACAGAAAAGTAAGCCCCAAAAGGCACATAGCCCACACGTTATTCTGTATTTCTACCAAGTCTCTTGAGTGATAAAACACACCGAAACCTGCAAATACCATGCAACAGAGGTGAAGTAACGTAATAAACGCGACGTATACCTCTGTGTGTAGATAAAATACGTGTCTGTCAAAAAACCAGGCCATGGTGAACAAGGTGAATAAGATGCCCAGAAGAAAAGTGAAACAGAAAAACTCACCAGAAATCAACCCTATTCACCAAACAACCTCGATATAGCCTAAATGTGGAGTCCAATGCTTCCAAAAAAATATCCTACAGAGTCTTCCCAAAAGAATCATCGACCTCCCGAACATCTCCGATTAAGTCTTTTAAAACGAAGACACCCATTAATAACTTCATCAGAGGGCCTAGAACCCTCCGGCGTTAATGAAGTAGCATCAATTGCAGGATGTAACGGCGAGTTGAAAGACGCCCTGAGACAGCATTAAGATATCCTACTAGGGAGTATGCGATCGACAAACACAGGCCAATATATTGAAAACAAAGGATTCGGTAAAATTCCTGTGGTGAATATCCTTTTACTTTTAGTGCCTATGGCGTATTATCCATTGCAACCTCAGGTGTGCGGAAAGGCTGTGACCGTAACAATTACACATCATACACACTGAGACGAATCTAATACGCAATAACAATGGTTGCTGCAGCTATAGGCTGCATTTTTCAGGGAAGCAGCCAACTTTGTCTGTTAATCCAGTCAATGTGAGACGCGCGATGACGTATGGTGGTGGTGGCGTTGAGTCTATCATGGGATACACCAAAAGACAACATATTATACAGCATTCCATAGTCATGAGCACACATTAAGAGAAAGCAAATTGAAACCTTTTGGTTCAGTTATCGGGATACCGGCTTTATACAAAACCTAGCCACCGATGAGTTTACAACCGTATGCGGTGTAAATTAAGCTTGAGGCGCTTCTTGGCGATTAGCTTCGAAGTAATTTCGATAGAAAACAAGTCTTTGCTCTTTTACACGCCGTGTTTGGGGCGTAAATGCAATGCAACCTGCCGCGTCACCGCAGCCAGACTCCAGGGAGCGTGGCGCAACAGGTTCCGGCAACCGGCTGATCGATGAAGTGGAATCTCCATTACCACTGTCTTCTGTAGTTCCTGGTACCGCCACGGTATCTGATGAGCCTTCCACGCATGGCGTTGCTTTAAGCTCGTTGCACAATCTCTCGTGATCTCGTAGGCTCTCTTCATATACAGAAGGACTCAGTAATTGACCCATGGACGCGCGGGGGCCGCGATAATCCCTCCACGCAGCGTTACGTGCGTCGTTCCAGTTGAATGCGATATGAGGGTCCGGTGTAACGCAGTAGCACCTCTGCAGTGTGCAAACCTGTCGACTCTTGTCAACATACTTGCCAGTAGCCTCGAGGTACCATAAAACCTCATCTAACATGAGAGGGTCACCTGACCAATTGATTCCAGGAGTCACATCCACACGGTTGCTGCGTAGCGCATAACCGCCCTGCTGACCGCTTTGGGCATATGGTACAGGTGTATTTGTGTTGTCTGTTAGTACAGATGATGTGATGTCGTTTGCCGTAGACTCGCTTGTCCCGAACACCTCCGAAACGTCAACGTATGGCAGTGAAGATCCGAATATAGAAAAGGGGTTCCACCGTTCCTGATCAGCGACTTTCTGCATAAGTTTATGGCGGTTGAACCACCTATTGGGAGGCAGCATCTTAGCCAACTTACGATGCAGCTGTACCGGTGATAGAGTATTTACTGGCATTCGCTGACTTAATGCGGTCATGAGTGACGCACGTTGACGCAAGTAAAATGAACGCAAGTCTTCGTCATTGGGGAATTGACTTAGTAAGGAGCACTCGAGAAGTGCGCTGTCTTCAATAATAGAACGACCTGCACTGGTGTCCGGTCCGCCAAATTTAATCAACAAAAACAATGCTAGATCATAGTTGTTTTGTACCCGTTTCTTACGTAGCTTCAAAAGAACCTTGTGACGATAAGTCTTCCATCGCGGCACATTGTTAATTGCATTGCTCGGTGCAACAGCACCAGAAGTCAACGATGGCACTTCACCAACAGGTGGCAACACATTGGTAGTGTAACAGGCCTGCGGGTCTGTAGAGACAATACCAGCTTCGTGAGAGGAACAAACGTCAGACCCAGCCATGAATTCACTTTGCATGCGAAGGGTAACCTTCGGCCTCTTCGCAGGAGTAGTCCTTATAGGTGAAGAAGTATGATCAATCCGAGTTGTGCTGCGTTCATCCGAGCCCTTCGTAACGAACGTTGTTTCACACGGTCCAAGTGGTGCCGATATGGGTGTTATCTGCCCGTCGTTTGCATCTACAATCTCATCTTCATCCGTTGATATAGTACCCCAGTCCACACAACCCGAATTCTCAGAAGGCTTTCCATCAGGTGTGTAAGCAGGGGGCTCTTTACGTACGACGGGTATCGAGGATTTCGATTCAACGCAAGTCGCCAATACAGATGTGCAAGGCGACCCTGCCAAGGCATCAGACGCACCGAATGACCCTAACAGGTAGCACTGGTACCGTTCTATTGTAGAACGCACGTCTATAGGGTCGTCGGCCGTCCCACAAACCAGCAGCCCAAAACGGGACTCGCAACGAGCCCGGCGTATGGGCGTGTTGAGATCGAGAGCCATATCGCACATTACGCACACTACAATATCTCCGCCATTTTTTCGAGTGTCGTACTTGTGTGCACATAGACACTGGAGATTGTAGTGGTATAGGTTGTTCCAATGCGCCCGTCGCCTGCCTCACGTGCGCGCCTCAACACACATGAAGTAAACAAAGAGCAGATGTAATCTATTTATAGCGATGGAGGCATTAAACTAAGAGTGTGTCTTTCTAGTGACATACGAGGTTCATGTAATACCAGATGTGTAAGGGTAAAACGCTTAGACCGACAGCTCCAACTCACCAAATAACATGACACATGTCAAAGAGAAGACAAATGCTACTGAAATATCACTCGTGAATAACTAAAACAGGGCAGTAAAGCTATATTTAGTACCGGAAAATTTTGCAAGTCAAAAATGCCGGTAGTAGCGATAGTGAACTGAGGGGAACCAATGTATGCTTGCCCCAAAATACATAGAGGGTATGTACGGGCGAATTAGATACTATTATAGCATGTGTCAACAAATTCGAGCAGATGCGAAGGTGTACCGAGTGTACATAGCCGCCAAATCAACCAATAAAAAATGACTACATAGCAACAAGTAAAGCAACTGGGTACCTGATCCAGCCTTAAAGTATATGATATTTGCTTTATGCATCGCAAGAGGAACAGTCTGCAATTTGGCGTATGGTGACGGTAAACACCTTGTTTTAAATATTACTTTTCTCGTATATATGAAACTTACCGAAATGATTAAGCGGTGAGATTTCAAAATCTACTCCTTCCTATTAGTATAGTAGCCCTTGTGATCATACCTCACTTACACGGGCATGTGTAACGTTTTGCGCCCAGTAAAAGACAAACGCGTGTCATACGCTTTGGAATCCGGAGCAACATAAATGGAAGGTAAGTATATAGGACTTGATTCGTGTAAAAGTTGGGCAATAAAACTGAATTATTAGTATATTCATATATTTGTGTGCTCATATTTCACGATTGACGTATTATTACCCCAAGAGAGATGTAAGGATACAAGCTGACATCAAGCCTGTCTACGACGGCGCAGGCCATAACGCGAACAGTTTTGTACAACACCATGATATATAAGCTCTTATTCACTATATTATGTAGTATGAATGTAATCCGGGGATTACTAAACGATAGAAACGAATAGGACTACTCAAGCCTGCCCATCGAACAGAACCATCACACACAGCCAGTGGAGAGCACACACTACGGATTTTTAAACAGATACAGTCATCATTAGATTAGTTAGGTCTCCCAAACGTATTGCAAGCCCATATAATACGGCTGAAAACCATAGGTTCAGTTCGTCTTAACCTTATGGAAACGATCTTTCAGCGATACAAAGGCTGATTGTGCTTTCATCTTGAGAGTTCCCATCTTCGTACAGATAGTCGAGGTTGCATTCTGTAATGAAGGTGTACCCGAAGAAGTATGAGAAATCATAGGCGAATCAGAACTACGTGGTGGGTCCTCGTCGTCGAGACATCGATGTCCATTAGCCTCGATGTAACGCGCCATCTTCGTAGGGTGTGTGTGTGTGTACACGCAGTGATTGATGGGCCTGCAAACTGAAGCGTTGGGCCACTGTGGTGACACCGAACGAGTGATGATATAGAGGCCCAGAAGACCTCGTAAATTGACGTAGGGAAAGAAAGAAAATATGTACAATATCACACCAGGGTTTCCGGGGTGATATTTAAAGGACAGTAAAATCACTACGCGATCATGTGGGCAAGGCGCGAGACTCGAAACCAATTAGACGTACACGGGGCGTTTCCGCGCCGCAAGAGCAACTCCTGCCGACTAAAATTGTAGACAACAAAAATAGGACAGCATACAGGTTATAACCTATGGAAGAAACCCTGCAGGGTTGTACATACACAGTAGACACACACGCGATGTCGTCAGGTGCCCGCCGTGCATGAAAACTCGCGACAGAATAATTTAACTAATGACACACATACACAATGAAACGAGTATATCTGCTGTCTGGTGTATCCGCGCTTCTCGCTGCGAGAGGAGCTGCCGCGCTACACGCAGTCAACGATGGATTCTCGTTACCACATAACACAGACCTACAATTCTCACATATGGGCAAAATATTTGGGCCATACTCGGAACCACAAGCTAACGATGCTGGGAAATCGCCAGAAAACTTAGAGTCGACAACTACACCAGGAGCTATCGAATCCAAGTGAGCCATACACACAAACTAACTATTCCAAAACAGAGGGACAAAGGACGATATCCAGGGTGGATCGGAACGATCTATGGACAATGTTCCAGTAGCAGATTTGAAGGTACGTCGAAATCTACATAAAATCCGTGTCTATCGAGAGTAATCAACCTAACGTGCCTCAGAAGGCAGACAGCAACGGGGGAAGTACGACAAACAATGCAAATACAAATAATACCGCAAATACAACAAATACGAACTCGACGCATTCCGATAATAATAGCAAACTGGATCAATCGCAATCTTATCACAGCGAAGTGAAGCATGGTATGTCATACTGTTTCTCTAGCATGGAACCCTCTTAAAATCAAGAGCTCATCGCCGTACAGGTAACTCTAGCTATACGGGGGACACATCGACAAACGTGACTAACAACTTCTTTAACCGTAAGCGCTACACAACCATAATAATAATGCCAAACAGCGCCAATACGTGACGCAGCATGGGATGGTTACCCAAGAGAAGCAAGACTGGAACTCCAGTATCTATGGAAGAGAATAAACCTTATCGATGACAAGCTAGGGAATCTCGTGCCTTTAGCCGGAGGTGACCCACGGCTAAACCCAAACAATCGCAAAGGACTCATTATCACATTTGACGCACAGTCGGACCCAGAAAGTCCCACCGTAAGCCTCGACGATAGAAAGGGCGACGATTATTTTTGAAGTGTGACAGGAAGATTGAAGATCTTCGTACACGTATTCATGCCGAAGTTAGCGCGTATGTGAATAACATACATCTGTAGCTGTTCTACGGGAGTATGCTGGTGACAAGATATCAGCTTCGACATCACCAATGCAATTATCGCATCTAAAAGTATAGTCTATGCCCCTCAAAATGGGTGGCACAACGCAATTGGTCAGATGTGTGTTTTTTTCTATCGCTGATCGCCAACATTGAGGAGGCTCGAATATTCAGACAGATTAAAAGACACACACATGTAGGATGTACGAACGAGCCGGTCATTAATAATAACAAAAATATTCTGTGTAACTGAAATTTAACAGTGAGAGAACTGTGGAATTGACACTCTGGGGACCACGAAACCTAACGTGACGCTTAGAGGCGCGGCCGCACTCCAGGCGCTTGGTCCACCGGGGAATCCCGAAAATGTTATAATATAAGGGGTGTAGATATGGTAGCCAATTATTTAGGCCATTAGAGCACAGAAGTAGTATCGATGGAGCGCAATCTGCGCCTGGGATTTGCATTGCTCTGTTTGGGCTTCATCACCGGATGCCTCAGCATAGTAATGCTCTTTGATGTCCTATTTCTCAACGTCTCAAATGCTTTCATTGTTTCAGGGCTCTATTGTATACTAGGAACCCAGAAATTTGTCGCTTTCTTCACAAATCCGTACAGGGTCAAGGGAAGTGCCCTATACTTCGCTGGAATATTCGCTGTTGCGTTCGGATGGGCGAAGATTGGCTTTTTGATTGAGACAATAGGCGTCTACATTCTATTTGGAGCCTTCATCCCAAACGTAATCTCCTATATCAGAGTCACGCCATTCAGCTTCGTCCTGGATCTGCCGCTCATAAAAAACGTTGTAGCGTATCTTCAGGACCCCTCTTCGTTGCCTCTGTGATCGGAATACGGTAATGGTCTGACTTAATCTTGGCTATACAGGTGGATAGGTGCAGTAAGGGTCCGTAACAGACCGTTAACCTTGAACCGGATGGTCACAAAAAATTAGATTACAGATCAACCGATCTTAACACAACCGCCAAATTTTTTATTTGCAGCGACACCGTGACTCTATGCGCTCTCAAACAAAAGTTGAGGGTTCCAAGCGCTGACCATTCAATTTCAGGAACTACACGAACACACCTGCGTAATAAGAGAAAACGGACATCGCACCTGTCCGATTCTCTGATTAGGCATCAGACGCACTATCCACGTATACGAACTAAGCTTAATAAAAACTACAGTTATTAACGCTGTACAACTCGGTCGTATGAAGAAATAGACCTAGATGTTGCCGTACAAAACTGTATGCGGGTAGGCAAACAACTCTGGTGCCATTGATACGTACCAGACGTTACGTAATACGGAGGTATTGTATCATGTCACCAGACTTTGCTCCCACAAATACATGCTCACATTTCGACGTCGCTCAACTGGTCGACCTTGTTCCCCCTAATCAATACCCGTGTCGCGTATTCCGACAACAACTTAATAACCTTATCAGATGTGGACTGGCGGTTTACAAAGGCTGATAGGTTTGCCAGGTCCCTTGATGGACCAAGAAGCACCAATAACACTTTCTCGGCCTCTAATTTTACCAAAGGGGGGCCGTAAATAGCCTCGCTCAAGTATAACAGTTGAGAACCGAAGTTCGGTATCTGTTTTTCGAAACGCAGAAACCGTTTATAGATCTTAAGTAGTTGAGATTGACCACTGGGTGGGAGCTTGGCGCCAGAAGGAAGCAGATTAATGTAGGACTTGACAAAGTCGCGTGCCAACTGAAAAGTTCGAGTGAGTTTCGAAATGCGGCTAAAAACGTCCAACGCAGAAAGACACAAACTAGGTATTTCCGATTTTAAGCTTTGTCGCAAAACATCAATAAACTCCTTGGTAGCTTTCTCATAGAGGGTAGTAAAGCCACGTATACCTGACACTATGAAACTAAATGCCGATATTATTGTAGGATCCTCGCCAATGATGACACACAAATCGTGTACCCAATGGGTATCAAAATCGTTGTCCAGTTGCGCTGCCAAACCAATAGCCTGGCAAATCAGCTGCCTGTCTGCGCCGCTACACTCTGGAATCAGCTCCAACAATTTGTCGAAAGGTGAGACACCCAGTGGCGGTTGTGTTTTCAAAACCTCAATCATCGCCTGCAGAGCTGCGGTCTTCAATGTGGGCCTCACCACTTTGTCCAGGGCCAGCTTGAACAGTTCACACATTACCGAATCAGACTTGTTGGGTGCCAGTTTCACGTAGAGACGCAAATTGGGGCCTACAAGCATATTCACATCGCTATTAGCGTCGGTTAGACACTTGAAGAGTATAGATTGGAGTTGGTACAAAATGACACGCACGTGTACCGCTTCACAATGTAACAACGGATGCATAGCCTCCAATAATGCGACCTTGAGGATAGAGGGGCATTTGTCATTCAGACAACGGATGATAGCGCCAATAGTCTTCAAAACAAATGGGCCCATATTCTCCGAGCCAACCAATTTGTGAATAGATACTATACACTTAGCAGCTTCGATCTTAGAATTCGACCTAACAAAAGCTTTCTGCACTAAAGACATCATCAGAGGGAGTGACTTTATTAACGAGGAATCCGTGGTGCGGTCGGCAACGGTAATTGCGCTGAAGTAACGTGACAACGCCCCAATGAGGTTGTCCAACTCAGTGCGCCTCTCCGCGCTCTTGATGATTTGATCGAAAACAACGAGCGAAGCGTCTAAAGTACCCTTATCGAAAAAGATGTAACGAGCCAGGGAATCACCCAGGGTACCATAGTTGCCGTCCAATTCAGATTCACGTAGGTCTATGACACGTGAAATAAATAATATCAAACACGACTTGTTTTCGTCTTTGCCAATCTTAGCCATATCGTTCAACATCTCAATGAGCACGTGAACTAGACGCATCACAGATTCTGGCTTAATCAAAGAAACGAAACTCGAAAATGCATCCATCGCCTCAATAGGATAACTGCGGTGATAAATTACCAGTTGATTAATGCATCGCCTAAGCACATGTGGCTCAGAAAGTGCAACCTTCGCCTTTTTCGCGCATAAGAGCCTTTCCAAAAGTGCCAAACGAATGATGTCCAAATCGGACTTCAGGGCCTCCCGTAATATCACGTCAAAACATTCTGAATGGTGCTCGATAAGCAAGGTGATACCCACCAAGTAGGTATCTTTATCTCCGCTGGCAAAAAGATCGTTCACGAGTGACGGTAACACATCGGAAACCACAGTGGGAAAATAGCCTGCCAATGTAGCCAGAGCCGTAGAAGCTTCGTGACATGATGTTGGCTTGCATAAGCAACTTTTCAAGAAGTCCAAAATACCCGTTAAATGAGCCTCAATGCCCGCCTTTCCATTAGAAGCAAGCGATGCAATACCTATACAGCGACCTCGGAAGGCGCCTTCGCAGTTCAGAATGGCTTTGATGAAATCATTGACAGCACCCGAACCCAATCTGACAACTGCATCACTTATGCACTCTCCAGCTTGCGTCCTGATATCGTCGTCGTCATCCTCCAACATCTCAATCACACGTGGAAGCACCAGTGGGAATATCTGACGCAGCGAACGAGTAACGTTAACACCCTTCCAAATGGTCATAGCCGTCGTCTTTACAGTCGAATTTTGATCGTGACGTGCAAGGTACAACTCAACGGTGACTCGAGGGTCCTCCCTAAACCCATTCAAACTCTGAAGCAAGGGAAGCACAAGGTCACGACTTTGCCAGTCTTTTGAAGCAGTAGCAAGCCTCAGTCCATCCAGTACAACATCGCCAGCGCTATCATGATACTTCTCTATGACCGTTCTCACAACTTGTGATGACATCTCGCGTACACGCTCGTCGTCATCGCATAGGACTGACATCACCCTCGACAAAATGACACCTAGATGCGAAAGTACATAGTCGTAGCGAGTTAGTGGCAAATTGGTGAAAAGGGCCAAACAACCCTCGCGCATCTGAGGGGTGCTATCCGGATAATCCAACACCTTCAACAGCTTAACGACTATAGCGTGAACGAAATCGTCGTCAACTGCGCAAAGAGCTTGGGCGAGGCCCGCTGCAGCCGAACGCCTCTCAAGGCTAGTGGCGGATTCCATTAGACACTTGGTCAAGCAGTTGATGAGATCCACCATAAGCGCTCTCGACTTGTCGCAGCCGAATTTCTTGAAAGAATTAGCGCAGCTACCTATCGCATTTGCCGCTTCTCTACGTATGTCAGGCAAGCTGTCCTTTAACAAATCTGTCAAAATAGGCATCAGACTTGTGAAAAAAATCTCCACTTCACGGGAACCGCCGCAGCGGGACACGAGCCAAGAAGAAAAAATTATTGCAGATTGACGGCATTCACCGCTTCTAGACCTCAAGGCACGAGATAATATAGGTTCCAACAAACCAAGTTCCACCACTCCAATTGGACTATTTGACGAGTCATCATCATTCAAGGTTTTTTGAGAATAGTCCGAAAGCAGATGCATAGTTGACGTAATGTTGGTGTCAGAAGGATGCGACAAAACCTTCAGTATGCTGCCCATTGTTGGATAGAGTATAGATGTTTTTCCAGAAAGACCAACGATAGAATCTAGAAGCCCATCAGCCGCTTCTTTGACGGGTTTTCGGGTGTCTGTAGTGCACGGAGACACCGCCTTTACAACGTCACATACATTCTTTATTATCACAACGTGCAACTTTGTGTTATTCATCACGTGTGACAAAGTTAAAAGACAGCCTAACTTAATAGAAGAAACATATCCACCTAGTGATTCCATAATAACAGGGAGGATGGTTTTGAAGCCCACTGGAGTAAGCACGTCAACCAAGGAAAGGCAAGCATCAAGACAGGCATCGAACGTGTCGTTGAAACAGCTGACCAAATTCGGAAATATGTCTTTCACAAACGGGTCTAATAAACGTTCGAACTGTAGTGCTAGTTCCTTTACAAACAACATATCCCGAGGGTTGGATTTCGCTGCCAAGGAACCCTTGAGCTTCGTGATCACGTCATGCTTCTTAAGATAAGAAAGCCCTCCACCCTTGAGCAGAGATATGCATGGGACTATCGCAACCTCCGTACGAGAACACATAGAGAGGAGATTCGATATCATTGTGTTTAGCATATGCTCCTCACCTTCAAGGGCACATTTTCTGGCAAGAGTTGCAACTATAACCGTACTATGAGATCGGACTTCGGCCTTGGAAAATTCATTTACAGAGGACAAGATAGCCACCAACAATTCCAGGTTCCATTTAACGGAGTCATCATACTGTACTTTTTCCTGAAGATAACCGATAAATATAGCACTCGCACACAGAATCACAATTTTCGAAGAATCAAGACTCCCTAATGCTGTGTGACCCATTCCTTTAAGGAAATGCTTCTCTATCCACGTACGCACATGAGTGGTAAGGGCACTCAGCTGTTCTGATGGGACTTTTTTTGACAGTGACTTACAACATGCCAGGAGTGCGTTCAAATGGAATTCAATGCCTTTTGTTAACATCAATCTTTCAAAAATGTAGCCGTGGCGTATGGCACCATCAGATATGTCGAAGTAACACGTAAGAACCCGCAGAAGGGATTCGCGGCTGTCCTTGTCTGCCATCTCAAGAGACGCCAAAAAAGCGTCGATTACATCATCCGGGACATATTTCAGAAGCACTCTTGGTGCCATGTGCAATAGTTCCGGGTTTTCGTGGATGTATATTGGTACAAGGTCGATAATCTTGCGTGGTTCACAACTCAACCTAGCATCGTCAATACCCAACAGCAATACATACTCTGTAATGCTAAACAACGCGTCCAAATCGTGATGGGAAACGTAATATTGAACGGCATCCTTTACAAGTTCCACATTGCTCAACAATCCCATCTTGCATATTTTCGTGATACCATCCAGATCAACCAAATAATGCACTGCCTCGTTGAGTGCATCTCTCATTGCTGGATATAAAGTCTCGTTCTTTAAGTTCGCATATAATGCATCGATCAGGGCATGTTTATCAAGAGCCATCCTCGATTTGAGCAAAGTTTTTGTGACTTGTAACGACGCTTCCTTAGCGCGAGTAGATGCATTGGTATTGAGCAAGATGTAAGTCGTTATTTCCGCAATAACAAGACTGGTTTCTTGACTTATATCGGTAGAACTATTCACTTCACCAAGAACTTCACAAACTGCATCATCATCTAAGCTGTAGGTTTGCTTGGAATATATGTCTTTTAGCATCTCCTCTACTCGCATCAGAACCCTACGAAGACTGCCCATGAAGCAAAATGGACAGAAAACGTCAATAAGGAGCGAGAACGGTGAATACAGTATATTGACGCGTAGCGATTCTCTGCAAAGCGTAAGAACTTCAGATAGGAATGACGTTACATATTCGCGTTTATGTGCGAACGCTCTGGATATTGCATACAACCCTGCAACAACTTTCTTAACCAAAGACGCAATGTGTTTCCTTATCGAACACTGATCTTTATATCTCATATCATCAAGTTGTTGCTTCGTCAGATTTGAATGCTTCTTCTTATCACTTTGGTTGAGATTAGGCTGGTATGGTCTTGAGTCAGGAAACAACTTATCTGGTGGAGCTAAGTATATTTCAATATCCTCCTTTTCGAAAGAATTCAATTCAGCCACGGCCACCCTGATGTCTTGCAAGACTGTTTTCAACAAGCTTGATACGTCTCCATCCTGCGCCGCTAAATAGTGTTCCAGAATCTTGGGGACGCTTCCCTCCGAGATACAGTGAGATACTATACCAAACACTACACGTTTGTCTAACGCCAAATATTTCAACAAGGGTGTTACTTTGCAGGAGCGTGAATTAATCATCTGCGCGAGTTCGGAGTAGTTCTCGAAACCGTTCAGAGGATACCTAAACAATATGCAATGCATCAACACGGTAAAAAGGCGACCGACACTGTTATAGCTAAGCCATATATCGCGTAGCATTCGAATACTATTCGCAAAACTGCCCTTATTTGGGGAGTGTAAGATAATCAGAAGCATCCTGTAAACGTGACGTTCCTCTATGGCATCCGTAAAACTCTCTAACTGCTTTTCAACATATCGCTTAGTGTAACGACACTTCAAAACAGGACGTATCAAACGGTCCTTTGTTTTAGAAATTTCTTCATATAAATCAACCATGGTACCATACAGCTGGCTCCCCTTCCATTCAGTCGCGGCTTCCACAAGACTTGGTATATCATCTAGCTCCATGAGACGTTTGATTTCCTCGTCCTTAGAATTAAGTGGTCCATTGCGTAAAGCTTGTGCGCATAAAAAGAGATGGGCAAGGGGATCCTGTTGGTGCAGTGGTATAGTCTCCAAAACATCCTGCATGGACAAATGTTCCACTTTGCCTGCAGCGGTAGGGCTTGATGAAACTACTGAAGCAGTGTTGTCCCACGGTCCCAAGAGCAATCTTACGCAGAAGGCTTCAATGAGACAGTTCTTGTACACCGGCTTACCATGACAAAACTGAATTACAGTGTTGAGAGGACCGATCAGCTCGGATGCCCTCGCAATTGGTATGCGTTTATCACGTTCGATATCTACCCATATGGCTGACTTCAAACTGTGGAGGGCACTGGTCAAAAGTTTCTCATTTAACTTCTCGTCCCTACATTTCGGGGTCACTTTTTCCATTGCTTTGACCTGATTCACAACAAGATCCACAAGGCATGTTTCTAAATCGTTATCGGGTATAAGATGTAGAAGACGTCCTATTATGTGTACGCATTTCACTTGCACAGACTCAGATGGGTGGGACTTTGCCGTTTTCATTAGTGTGGCCCTAGAAGCTTCAACGAACTTAGAAACCAATGATACGTCCATAAACTCATTTACTTTGTCCGGTATGAGCAATAACATAACATAGGCATTGATTTCTTGCTCGGACACAGTAATACGCGCAGTGCCGTTAAAACTATCCACAGTTGCCGCAAGGCTTTTGGCTATACGGCAATCCGCTGTACGAAATGCGACATTGGAAAACCAATGAATGACCTCGTTCACTATGAAGCTAAATGATTTGTTGCGTTTCAGATCGTCAGGCGACAGCTTATCTGCACCGAAGAATGAAACGTCCTCCTGGGCCAGTAAATTTTTAATATTGTCCGTTATATCGATGCAAGCAGTGTTCATAGCATCATTCCTCATGTGCTTTTGAAGTGTGAAGAGGGTGAAAACGATTCCTTTATGCCCCCTTTTAATGAGCCTTAGTATGTCTTGGGATATGTGAGCGTCGAACTCTTCCGCGGTGATTTCGCCAAGGAGTGGCGAGATCATCCGAGCGAATACAGGTGATAATACAAACTTAGTGTCGCAGATTGATGTCTTCAGAACACGTAATTGCTCGGGCCGGTTATCGAGGTGGTTTAATAAGATTAGGTGAAATACGCCGGCACCCTCGCAGCGCAGTAATTTGTCAACAGACCATATCCCCTTATGTAGTTGCATTAGTCCTTTAAGATTCCCCACGAGAATCTTTATAAAGCGTTCCAGCGCAGGTACCAGGGTAAGGAGAATCCTCTGGTACATAAATTTGTTGAAGCTGTTCGCAACCGCCTGAAGCGTATCGTAAGCCAACGCACTCGATTGGTCGTCTTCATCTTTAGTGGTTCTTAAGCGTTTCACGCCCCTATTGACAGCTGAAAGGACAGCTCGGGAAAGGAGACCGCTAGCTATGCGACGCAGAGCACAATCGAACGTAGGCTCCGGCCCACAAGATTCATCCATCGTATATAGGCTCTGAGCCGCAATAAAAATTAACACATTGGATGCTTGCGGTTGTTGAAAATGTGTCACTGCTAGCCAACACCATACACATACGCAGCCGACGGTGAGGTGTATGATGGGGGACAAAATAGTAGCCTTCCTTTTTAATGAAATAGACTGCGGAGTTACATAATTTCTGTAGATGGTACAGGTTATACGTATGTAATATCAGCCGCTTTTTTCGATGCTCCCTCCTCCTATGAATCTACACACGCCACTCTTTTCTCTCAACGAAACCACTGGATCACGATTATTCGTAACTAGATAAAAGATAAATTTGTAAACTGACACACCACCTAACTGTGATTGCGCCAAGAGAGAGTGGCGTGTGCGGTTCATTTGCGGAGGACAGTGTCGAGTCCGGGCCACTGTGGCGATAATAATCAATATGGAACTTTGGTAATAGTACACATCGCGACTTTAGGCCTGTTATCTTTCGATTGACATTAAATTATTATGTCTCAAACTCTTTATACGCCGAGAATCCAGCGGGCAACAATATGCGTCATCCGGAGTTTCGGAAATATAGGAACAATCATCACCTAATATCCTACCTATAATAGATCTAAGTGTATGGATACCTCAATACTATGTTTGGTTAACTGCCATATCCCCGAAAATCTACCGTAATGTAATCCAGGTTGAGTTCAACGCATTGGACGCATAATCTGGTATCTCGCACTTCTAAGTAACGCCACTAAGTGATAGTTAGAGCACTTTGAGTTCAATATATAAAATTAACAGATCTGTAATGTATTACGGTAACGGGATGTTCAACATACAAAATGTTGGAAGTAAGATTCAAATAAATATATATCGTAAGGGAGCAAATAGGCTCCTTAAAGCATGAAATATTTTCAATTCACCTGCTACTGTGCCATAGGGGAATTCCTAAGAAGGAGCCCTGAAAATCCTTTTTCATCGAACCACGAATTACGACACGGATAATGGTTTCCTAGAAGTTACTAGTATGCCCCAATGACTACCTTCGCATGGCTGGTTTTATGTTTATTGGCTCGATGGTCACTTAGCATAGATGTTAGAAATGATATAGATGTTGGTGTGACATGGAATACGGATGACGCATCAAAAAAAGTTAAAAAAACATATGTATGGGTATCAAGACATTTTGGGGGACCCCAAAGGGTGATGCTGAGCTTCTACGCCAATGCCAGTTGTGATATATATCCATTGGAATATCAAAATGCAGACAATATCACATTCGTATGCAACAGCAAAAAAATTAAAGATGGAGCACCTTTGACGCTGACATTTGAGACTAAAATCATATCGCAATGGAGAACATCAGAAACATTATACTGTTCTGTCTATCGCATTTCTACGTCTACGGAAACGCCCGTGGTTTCCTTGGATTTAATCGCAGGTACATCGGAAGATCTTGCGATATGTCTGCATCGATATGAAGCTGGAGTGGAGGAAACTATTACTTGCAGGACCCTCGGCATCGCAGCTCTCATTAAGTACTTCAGGATACGGAGTGAATTTTACTATTACCTGAGAAGTGCATGGAAACATCTCACGGAGTCCTCAAATTCCAACGTAGCAGATATACCTATTCCGGCAAATATACCCAAACAGAACATTATACTCACGCCGATTAGCAGGGATTCAGCCGTAATACAAGAGGAAGAAGATTGCGTCTTGAGTCGTCGAAGTGCACGATTATGCGGAGTCAAGGTGCTAGGTAATGCAAAATTGAAGCTGCCGTTCGACCCATATAATGCTCTACTATTCCTCGAAGTGGAAAAACTCAATTATGACACTCAAGAAAAGCAAAGCGACTTGTTGCTGAAAATCAATAACAGAGATGTGAATGGAGGGGTGAAGAGGCGCCTTACAATCTTTGTCAACGGCGTTAGACACGGAACCTTACCTCAGACCATCGATATTGGACGTATCGTGAACAGCAAGACGAACAAATCGACTGAATATGACCCCATACTTCTAACAATTCAAAATGAGGAATCCAGCAACAAAAGTTTTACGCTAATCCGTTTCGTCCGTGGTGACTTACGGAGTGCTGCTATCATGACCATATCCAGTTTACCAGAGGATATGGAATTTGTGAAGATGCAAGAGGCCGATTCCTCTGGTATAATCCATGAAACCGATTTCACAAAGAGGAGACCATATATTACAATCAGTAGAGGTATGATTGTGGAAACAGAGATATTGCTGAAGATGAAATCTTCACCGGTTCTATCTATATCTGTCATCGATAAAGACGTTGACGTTATGGTTAATGGAATAAGAATGAAAGCTGAGAACTACAAAATGTTGATGTTGGAGAATAAAACACTGATACAACTGAAACATAGATATTTCATAAAAACTATCCGCCTTTCATATGACAATCACTCCGACTACACTTCTCTTAGCCACCTTCTGTGGCCGTTGTACATTTGCAGCCATCTCATATTGTCTGGTGTTCCAATGTTCTCGGATTCCTTGGCGTCATACTTACTCACAGCATTTCTCACGGATATGAAATTGTACGATGGCGGTGGTAATATGTTGATTCGCCAACTAGCACTCTTTTTCAAGGACTTGCGTACAACTAGAACTTTTTCGATATTATTATGGGTGCAGGTGGTCACCCTATTTTCGATCACAATTTGGGGATCTCTCTTACTCTTACCAAAATCATGGTTTATGCTCATACGACTGCAAATAGAAAGGCAGAATGCTGTACTGGCAATCTTCTGCAATTGTATCTGTGTAGTACTGGTGACCCTGTATATCGATGCTTTCGATGTGGAAGGAGGGTCAGTTTACGTGCTTGGAATGGTTGTACCTGGGTTATTCTTCAAAATTATATCATTGGGTGTAATGGCGATCTGTTTTATTATTGGAATCTCTAGCTCTGTTAGGACTTTGGGTGGGATTCTACAGCATGGGTTGCATATGTCTACGCCATCTTTCTCGCAAAAACTTGGGGAAATGGCCCCAGGGACCAGTGGATATCATTGTTTTATTGAAGATAAAAAAATATACAAGATTTATTTTACAAAAGTAAAGTCAGAAGCTCACCTAAATCAATGGGGTAAGAACGACATTGAAATTCAGGTAGACAAGGTGGCATCTCTACCCTTGAATGAATATTATGGCGACACAAACATCACTTTTCGGTTGATTAAATCCGATTTCAAGGGATTCGAAGGCATGGTACTGACAAATTTCACAAAATTAAAAAATTTGGAACTCATGTCCTTAATGAGGGAGAGGCTCAGAGTATGGTGTAATATTAGCAACCCTAAAACGAACCCAAACAATTGCGATTCTTCTAGTTTGACATTATACATAGGTTCAACATTAGTGGATTTGTTGTTCGCTTGGTTTTTCATGATGACCCGTAAGTGGTGGTACCCTGGATTCGCATTGGCCACATTCCACCTAATATTGAAACTGGCAATTTTTACAGGGGGCGGCATTATCCGGTACACCACAATCACTACAAAGTATTTTGAAAGGGAAGATCGTTTGGATGTCGCACGATTGAAGGTTTGTTGGAGTGATAAACTATTCCGGGGATTACTTGACAAATGCATCCGCACATTTTCACTGTTTCTATACATAGTCCTTCTTCAAGTTTCTATCCAACCTGTAGATTCACTGCCGATTAGAATTGCTACCTTCTGGTTGCTTAGTTGTGCATTTCACACGGGGTTTCCCGGGTTGCATCTTAGTAAAATTTTCGAAGCCATCTGGATGATAAGGAAGTATATTATGGGTATCTATCACTATGGCATAGCGGTCTATAGATTTTTTAGATTTGGGTTATTGTGCAATGTAATTGTATTTATAAAATCTTCCATGCCCCGCTGGTGCTGGGAGAACGGTGCAGAAGGAAGGTGGCATAGTGGATCGTTCCCTAATCCCCTTCACATAAAAGTGGAGTTGCTCGATTTGTACATTCAGGATCGCTTCAGAACCTCTTTTAGCTTTGAAGCAGCTGCAAAGTTTTGGAAAACCGTGTATATCCACCCATCGGTAAACTTGTTGTTTTCCGATGTATCCCCGTGCTACTACGTCGCTGGCGAGACTAATGATTTATTATGGAACCATGGACTGTCTAGTAGTCCAACTGACGTTGAATATACTGAAAACGATATAAATGGACCTCATTTTGAGTATTACCGTGGCACAGAAAAAAAAATACCTCATGAAAAGTATGATTGGGATTTTCAAGCCCGAAAAAACATTAACACAGAATATTCAAATGACGATTCTAATGTCAAAAGTGTACTTCTCACTGATGTCCTCGATGATAAGCTTTTAGACAAAAAAGGAAATCACATCTGTGAACGTTCGACCCGAAGAGAGGATGTAGCCACCTCCAAGAAATTTTTTGGGATCATCGAATGGCGATCACCAATTCGATGGAAGGAAAACGTTTATTCACAGGATCATTCACACAATGAGTGCGGTGATACAGCTAGAAAATTGCACCTATATGTAGACGTCGGTTCATTAGAAGTGGTTCCCAGTGATTCCACCCTGAAAACCTTAACCAAGGTGACGTACGATGGACATCGGGCTACCTTGAAGATCGCCGCACCATTCATTATACCTAAGGAAAGGTATACTGTGCGGGGGGTACTATGCGGTGACGTCGTTGATTCCACTACCATTGTATGTCAAACTACCTGCAATGAAAGTGGGGTAATTATTTTCGACTTTATTGAAGAGTTTGAAGGCGAAGGAATGATACTTGTAAGAGATGTTGAATCGAGTAAAACCCATAGCTTCAATCAAAATGATCTAAAACTCACACACAATGACAAGCTGAGCCGGGCAACCCTGCGGAATCCTCTATTCACGGAAAAACAAGAATACCTTATAACGTGCAAATCAACTCCTCCCAAGCAGAATCTCTGTTTCATCTACGTTGGGGATTCGCATCCGGCATTCAAAGAGATTGTCATACCTGTTACAATACCCAGTAAAGGAACGTACGACATCTTCATAGACAAGGCAGGGTCAACTGAGCAACTATCATGTGTGTCTATTCAATCGACACTGGATGACAAACATTGTTATGGTATGAAATCTACTGTGATTAATGCCCTGCATGAGATATACATTGACTACCCTGATATAGGTAAAGCACATTTCATAAACAACACATTTCATTTCGGGCGTGTAGATGGCGGCATCGACCCCAAGGATCTAGAGGAGAATAATTCACATAGTTTGAAGGTGAAAGATTGCCAATACCTTTTGGGCGACAACATGAGCTTTTTGGTACCAATAACTGTGATAAGCCGAATTCGATCCTTGGATGGTCAAGATATATTCCGTGTGGCACCTCATTATATCCTGTTGGCTTATGAACTGCAAAAGCGTATTAATGAGTTGCAGAAGGCTTTAGAGTTCGTCAAAACAAAATTGACAACACAAACAAAGATCAAAATCATCTCAACCATCACGTCACAAGATACCAAATTGGATGCCTACGAAATCACCAAACGAAGCCCAACATCCAAGGAATTGGATTACGACGTCTATTACCACAACGATAGGAGTCCAGAAATGGTCTTCGAGTATGTGATGTCTGCATTGTTCACAGAGAAGACACTGTTGGACTTTGATAGGCTTTTGAAACGCTATGGGAAAACGGACAAGGTATTTTTCACCTCCCTCCAGATATTACTGACCTTTTGTATTAACCAATTGAAGGAAGCCAGAGAGATACTTCTGCGACAGGATGAGATTACTAACGACTTGTCACTGAGATTGGAGATGCAAAAGTTTGATACATTGATCGATCAGGGGATGATGGTTGAAGACGCCATCGCATTGTTGAACAACACCGAACGTTTCAACTATTTTCTACTTTTCCCATTCATTTTGAAGTCAGAAGATATTTATGTGCGTGTCAACGTAGATTTCGAGGTGCGGCGTATAATGACCGAGATCCGTCATTACTGTGGCCCGTTGTTGTTTGAGCAGTACAAATTTGTCAAGGGGTCCTTAACTGAGCAATTGTTGTCTAACGTCGACCTACGTACTACATGCCAAGGATTCTGTCATATCATCATACCCAGTACGTTGCAGCGTACTCCATTGGTGATGAATGAGTACGGCTTCGTTTTGACACGTTGGGAGTCAAACGTGCACGGATCGAGTCCACTTTGGGCTCCATGTTTCATATGTTTTTGCAATACTAGGATAAGTCTTACTCTTTCAGATAGAGTTGTGCGTGATGGATATATGGGCCGCTCGCTGGAATTCATAATAAGCTCTTTGGAATGCGCAATGACACATGAAAAAATTTACGTTATTGAAGGGGTTCAGGTGAAGGACGAACAGGTTCAGGTCGTGGCACAAGTTATAGAAGGTATGAATAATGACGAAATCCAGATGTTGAAGTGCACCTTAGCTGACGACGGGAAGTTGACCATCAGATGCCACAGGCGTCTCTTAGGATTATGGAAAGCTATTTCTAAAGCTCTACCTCTAGGTCACCCGGAGCTGGCTGACCAAAAACTATTTGACGACAACTTTGACATACAGCGTGACACAATCGTGACGCCTAAGTGGATACACAGTTTATAGTAATAGCAGTCAAATTTTTGCGGTATCACCCACAACTCATCAGGGTGTGGAACCTGGACATATCGGACTACTGAATATGGTTACTCGACTTAGTTGCTCTGAAGAACCTTTTAGCAACGGTTGGAAAGTTAGAGCTGTGTAAATCGTTAATGATCGCTGGCCAAGCTAGGGGAGTCAAGTGCAATGCAGGGTACTACAGCATTAAATACCTCCTCTGTAACTTCACTTAAAAATAAGATAGAATCATCATACCATTGTACATTCATCTGTACCATACAGTTGCTGTTTATGAACTACATATGGGCATAATATCATTGTGAACAATTGCTACAGGTGAACCGCGCGAAGAAAGCATTGACATGGAAAGCTTGGCTTGCTATAATATGCTGAATGTTAAGGATTGCAACAAACAGAGACTCATATGTTTGTTATAGACAAATTGCCGGCAATACATTGCATAAAGCAGATGAAAACTCGCAAACACACTCACGATTGGCAAACTTTCCCTGTGCTATATTTATGACCTCTTGAATATTCCAGACCAAAGAAATAGACATTACTAAATAAATTGGGTACATATATTACATTATCATCTTTGGCTCATCCCCCGTTACCCGTGCGTACCTGCGATGTGTAGTGTCCGCTGCCGCATCTTTCATCTGACCACGACACGTGTTAATTGCTGCCATATCACACATAATTGTTTCATAATGGCCACTGATACTGTGAACACGGAGACAGAAGGCTCTGAGCGTGAGGTTATACGCCAGTACATCAAAAAGGTCAGAGAGCATCGCGAGGTAGACGCTCGGCTGAAAAAGTGTAGGTTTTTGCAACGTATTGATAGCAAATACATGTGGAATAATACTGCTTTGCCGTTCATTGGGAACACAATATTAGTATCCTGTGTTAGACGCACATTTTATAATATGGTCATTACAACTTCGTCTCTATCGTTGCTCACTCCCTCATACCATTTCAGTGCGTGCGGATATCAAGGCATTAACCGTGAAGGATGATCAAACGGAAGATGATCTTAAAGCGTTGCAGAGCATCGGTCAGATTGTGGGCCACGTATTGCGACCCATCGGCCACGGCAAGCGTAGGTGTTGCGTCCCTCGGCATTTCATTACATACAGTTATCGTAAAGGCTTCTAGTGGGCCGCGGTATGTGGTCTACTCTAAAACCAAGATTGACCCCTCGACATTGGTCCCTGGTAGTCGTGTGGCGCTGGATATGACCACCTTAACTATCATGCGCAAGCTGCCTAGGGAGGTGAACCCTGTGGTTTTCAACATGCTTAACGACACTCAAAATCCAAGCGATGAAAACAAACCTCTTGGATACACTAGCATAGGTGGCCTTGACAAGCAGATCCGTGAGATGCGCGAATCGATCGAGTTACCGTTACGCAATCCATACCTTTTCAAGCGTGTTGGAGTCAAACCACCCAAAGGTGTTTTACTCTATGGACCGCCTGGAACTGGCAAAACACTGATGGCCAAGGCTTTGGCATCATCAATGGACTGCCACTTCCTGAAGGTTGTAGCATCTGCCGTGGTAGACAAGTATATCGGCGAATCGGCGAGGATAATCAGAGAGATGTTCAGTACGTTTTGATTCACCCATTTCACATAACTGAGTTCTCTGTGTTTAATAATCGTCTTTGTTGTGGGTTTCGTAGGGACATTGACATTCGGATCCGTCATTGTTCGTCGACTTGTTATTGATTAAAGGTTATTATCATTGCGCCTCTACCATCTATTTTTATGTATAGAAGTGTATCATATACATGACAAGGCATGTGTTATTGTATTTTCGTAAAATTTTGTCGGAACGCCTTTTGCACATTTTATAACACATTTTAGGCTACGCCAAGGACCATCAACCTTGTATTATTTTCATGGACGAAATCGATGCAATAGGTGGAAAGCGATTTTCTCAGGGAACATCAGCGGATCGTGAGATTCAACGTACCCTGATGGAGTTGCTCACTCATCTGGATGGTTTTGACGACCTGGGCCAAGTCAAGATTATTATGGCCACCAATCGCCCCGACGTCTTGGATCCGGCACTTATGCGACCTGGTCGCATTGATCGTAAAATAGAAATTCCTCTTCCCAACGAATCGTCTCGTGTGGAAATTTTGAAGATACACAGCAGCAAGCTTAACAAAAAGGGAGACGTAGACTACGTCGCAGTTTGCCGTCTGTGTGATGGATTTAACGGAGCAGACATGCGCAACGTTTGTACCGAGGCGGGAATTTTTGCTATACGTGCGATGCGCGACTATGTGGTTGAGGAAGATTTCTTCAAGGCTGCCCGAAAGCTCACTGAGACAAAGAAGCTTGAGGGAACCCTAAGTTACGAGAAGGTGTGATAAGTCTTCATTAAGAACTATGCAACTACTTGTGGGCTTATATTATAATCGTTCATACTGCTTAGTGCAAATAGTGCCTTCGTGATTGGCTAGGTAACACACCCGGAATAGGGACGTCCACACTTGCGCAACTTTGTAGATTCTATTCATATCCTTGCACATTATTACGTACTGCAAACGGTTTATGACTTGCTTATAACGGTAGAGCGGTAGGTGGAGTCGTAGAAGGTCAGCCGTAGTGTAACACACTGCCAAATGGCTATGGACACAGCTACGGTAGTATAACCGCCGAAATCGCCACATGCAACAGTAAAAATAATATCACAAACATACTTACTTCGGTTCTCTCCAATTGCGGACATTTGTATCGCTTTAGTGAGTCACAGCCGTTGGTTGATCCATCTTTTCACGTAGGACACCGATTTACTGAAACTAAACGCTAAAATGATTCTACAATTGCAATAGTTATAAAATTTTGACGTGTACTGAGCATCGCCAACCCTATTCGAGTGTTTTTGCCGTCACTACCTTTATTACCTCGCCTCCGTTACCAACGTTGTTCTCCTACTATGGGCGAAGTCGTTGAGAAACGCACCTCAGGTCTCAAGGCACCTGTTCTTCTACTTACTGGCCATGAAGGAGACGTATATTGCCTTGAATTTTCTTGCGATGGGCAACTCTTGGCCTCTGGAGGAAAGGACAGAAACATTTTGCTTTTCGAGGTGTATGGTGATTGTCGCAACATAGGTGTTTTAAGTGGACACAAGAATGCCATTCTCGAGCTACATTGGGGCGCTAATCGCGACCGCTTGTACTGCTGCTCTGCTGATTATACTGCCTCTCGTTGGGACGTTGAGTACCAAACGCGCCTACAAAAGTATGGTAGGTGGTATACGCAACCTATTCTATGAGCTGTAGTTGGTCATACGGGTATCGTAAACAGTTGCTATCCCGGTAGAGGGGTGGTAGGAGGCATGCTGGTAACCGGTGCCGATGATGGTACCGTCAAGCTCTGGGATCACCGAAGCAAGTACCCGGTCAAGTCCATAGAAAACGATTTTCAAATTCTCTCTGTTTGTTGCGAGCCTTCTGGTCAGCGTTTATTTTACGGCAGCCTCGACAACATAATTAGGGTACCTTTTTTAGATGTTCATATGCACCGCGGTTTAGGCGTACGACATCCGTAACGACAAAGAACTCTTCAGGCTAGAAGGATGCACCGATTCCGTTACTAGCTTAGATTTGAACGAAGACGGGTATGTTTCAGCGTTTCTACGTGCATATTTACTAGGACACTCCTCTTATCAAATTCTATGGATTCGCGTTTAGTCGTATGGGACGTACAGCCATACTGCAGCGAGAATACTCGTGTAAAAACGGCACTTTTTGGACCCACGGTGAGTGAATCGGATTTGTGTTCTTCACAACTAGCGCAGCACTCTGCCGAGAAGAATTTGCTTCGCGCTCGATGGGGAAAGGGTACGATAATCGCAAGTGGTTCTGCCGACAACATGGTTTACATTTTAGACGCCAAAGACAACAAGGTTCTTTATCAGCTGCCGGGCCACCTGGGATCGGTCAACGAGGTCGTCCTTCATCCCAAAGAACCTATTGTGGCTTCTGCGTCATCTGACAAATGTATTTACATGGGCGAGTTGCTTTAACAACCAACATGATTGCGCGTTAATATAAGTCTAATCGCAGCTCTCATACGTAGTTTACTGTTTAACACAAATAAGAAAATATTCAATTGTTAGGTCGGAAGGTCTGCATGGTATACGCTCACTTGGTGGGAGTCCGTCATATTTGACTGTTTAGCGACATATTACAGCCATTATTGCAAACCTGGTTCGTAATATACGGCCCCGTCGAGCAATCCGGTCTCACAGGTTGTCGCATACATCTCAATTTCTTCTTGATGGCATCCACAATATCATCCTGTTTTGTTCTCATGGTCCGCTTAGCGGGGCTGGTACTCATCTCAGTTGGGTCCTCCACAGGTGTTTCAATGTCCCTGCGTTGCATACTTGCCTCCATGTACCTTTGCAATTCGTTCGTATACAGCGTATACTCCGTGTTCACATTAGTTTCGTGTGTGCTGGACAACATGCCCCCAATAGCCAGAATTGTGCGATCAGCCAAGCGGTGATGTCCTACAATTGACCTTAACTGTTTTGTGAAGGCCAATAATATCCGTAGCGCCTTGGTGTGTCTAGAGCATCCAGTGGACAGGTGTCTATGTATTAGTCGTATCGTTGCGTCCGCGACGTTGACATCAGTCCAATGCGGTTTATATATGAGGGCCAATTTGAGTACTGAAACTTCAACAAGATGACCCACAGAAGCCCCATCCAATTGTGTGATGATTCCGATTAATTTGTGGGCATGGCGAAACCGTGCACCATCGATCTCTTTGTCTAGTTCCTCAATCATTCTGCCGAGTTGCTCAGTCATCACCAAATAGAAATCACTGCATAGTTCGTCAAATTCTCGTAAAAGCTTTTCTATGTTAGTGGCGTGCTGCATCAACGTATCGATTTGGTGATCGAATAGCCTTGTTACGATTTTTTGGATGTGTTGGATGTTTACTAGAACTAAATCCGGTCCTAACCACTTGGCAACAAGCGATAGTAACAAAATTGCCTCAGTCACAGTTCCGCTTGACAGATCTCCTAGATGTTGAAAGAGTGCGTCGAACATATTCCACAGCGGCTCCAAGTCGACGAAGATATCGGAGTCACATTTTTTGCAGGCGTTTAAAACAGCGCCTATCATTTGAAGCACTCTGTATAGCTTGTCGGTGGCGCCTAGTACAAGTTCTGCGTTTAGTTACTTATGCTCACGACTTGGCAGCCTACCATTTGTCACAAGTTTCACATTTTCATTTATAAATGCCGGCAGCACCTTAGGATCCCTCTTATTCACCTTTTGGAGATTGCACAGGATTAGCGATGTTGCATCCTGATTTAATATTTTCCACTGCGATTGTTACCCACCGTGCTAGTGCTGTCGTTTGATGATCTTTGGAGCATTTGCATTTGGTTGATGTAAACAACATCTTCTGCTCTTTCCCCGTCGAATGAACGCACCGAACACATCCACGTGAGTAACAACAATAGCAGTTGTTCCGTGCGCTCAGTGCTGGCAGTTTGCAGGACAAACTTGAAGGTGCGATTCGCCATTCTCTTGTGGCATTTCACAGAGGCGGCTACATTTGGCTTCAGGATTATGGAAACGGCTTTACATAATGTAATCCACATGTCATTTGCGAGAAGTGACGGTTTACCCTAAATATCACTTAGTAAATACACGTTTGTTCTACCTCTAGTGTCTCTAGCGTATCCAGCAGCGTTGAGATGAGTCCCTCAAAAAATGCCGATGCCTGGTCTGGCATAGTTCCCCCGTTTTCTAGCCGTATCATTTCCGATTTTATTACAAACGCGACGGCGAGTAGCCACTTCTGAGCAATTGTTACGTCTGTGGCAGTAATTGCCTGTAACATTTCTTCGTAAATGGGCCCCAAGAAAATGTAAGACGGCGTTTCAAAACCTTTATTTGCTTCCTAAAGCATATAACAGTGTTTTACGCTTATGACTACCTCTCTCATTTCGTCTATTTTGTTGTCCAGTGTGTTCATAAGTTTTGCGATATTTGGGGCGTCATTGACTGCCCTCGAAAGAAATTGCGCCATTTCTACATCGGTGTATATATAATTCTTTCTTTTACGGCGTTAAAAATAGAATGTTAACGCTTACAGAGTTTATATTGCCAGTTTTGAGTGGGGAGACCGCGCTTCTATAGTGATACAGTCTACACAACACTTTATTCATGATGACAGGCCAATATACTGGAAACATACACCATAGCGGTGTGGGAGCGCCGCTCGGGAGCTGCAGTCGTAATCCAGCCGTAGCGTTCCAGAGCTCCTGCACGCCGTTCCCTTATTACCAGTGTCATGGGAACACGGCGATGCCTGTCCAACCGATACAGCTTCCTTCTACGTCTTATTACCAGCCTAGACGTCGAGGCACCTCCGGCGGACAGCGTCACCCACCTCAGCCGTATGCCTCTTCCGACAACAGGCAGGGGTCTATGCGCAACAATGATCGCACACATGGTTCGGCTTTCAAATTAGGATGTGAGGTATGCAGCATGTACTTCAGATCGGCTACAGAGCTCTCGGACCATATCGAGGAGACGCACGTCCATTGCGATGTGGAAGGTTGCGACTACTCGGCCCCCGTGGACTTGATGTCGGTTCACGCTCTTAAGCATGTGACGAACCAAAATGGAGAGTCCGTGCTGGAATCTGCTGACGAGATTCGCAAATGGGTCACGAATCGCCGTAACCGCCATCCGTTGAATCGTTCCCGTGATGTTGGTACAACAGAGGATTCCACGCTTGAGCGTTTATTACGGGACGCTCATCGGAAGGCCAGGCAAGACCACCCGACCAAGAGCTTTCTATGCCCAGTAATTTCGAAGGTTCGCCCTCGTCCAAGTGCCCTGCTTCACCTTAGCGACCCTGTGAAATATCGCAACTTGCTACGCCAATCATCGGGTCCTTACTCCTACAGACCATCACTTTCAATGAATCGTACGGTCTGTCAGAACTTCAAACGCACGCGTACGTGCAAGTTCGGGGATAGGTGCCAGTATTCTCACGACCTGCAGCTCGGGGGTCTCCGTGACATGAGTGTCACCAAGCGCCCACCGACGTTGCTTCACGTGATAAAAAACGACATTTATAAGACGGAAAAACTGTTGGTGAACGCTATCAAGACGTTAGTAAGCCAGAATTTTTTCGACGACAGTCCAGGTGTTATTCCTTCTGGCGGTCTGTCAGCCCCCGGCATCTCAACTAAACCATCGGAATGACTTATTACCGCCAAAGCAGCGCGTTTCATCGCAAGGCGTCGTCAGTTGCACCGATACATGACGCTATGTGACACGGACCAAGCTAAACGTTAACTGCTTCTAGTTATATTTCTGTGCTTTTTTTGTTGAACAGCGTCGCCGTCGCTTGTCTATGCCAATTGACAGACAAGTCGAGTACACATACCATATGGGCAGCGTACAGTGCGGAAGGTCATTATAAAAACAGATTCTTTGTTTTGTTTTACGTAGCGTCATGTGCACGCCGCGCGTGGAATCGTTTATACGTGGACACGACCAAATTTTAGTCACCAGTAGGCGCAAACTGAGTATTCGACATCCAGATAATCTTGATTGCATGGTTATAAACCTTACATATTCGCGCCGTTATTCACTCGTACGGTCGGGTTTATGTGGTGACCACACACCACGGCTTTTATTGCGGAATTGGCACTTGAATGATAGTTCCACAATGTAAACATCTTTTATACAGCAGTGCTTGGCAGTGTTACGCGTTTAAGGTTCTTATGGTTTTTTGTATGGCTAGTTGGTGCCAGTCGTCATTCGTCGTAAATATCGTCGACAGTTCGGGGATTTAGTTGCATTTGTCGCACATATCGACCACAAAGAGCTGTATCACTTCCTATACTTTTGTATTTTCTACAGTTGCTGTATTTAATGCCCCGTAATCTTTTGTAAGAGGTTGTCTGTGTATGCCCATATAGCTGTTAGTTCTAGCAAGATGGGTATTACCAACCTTTTGGTACGTTTTATCGACTAATATTAAGGCATTTTCAGCAATTCTTGCGTCCTATGCAAAAATGTGTAAGCATCAAGAACTATGCGGGATCAGTGGTTGCTGTGGATGCCATGTGCTGGATCCATAGGGGCATGATTTCTTCTGCCGTTGCCAACGTAACCGGAGATTCGTGTGACAAATACATCAAATTTATCATTTCGATTCTCTCTGTCCTTCTGTCGCATAAGATCACTCCCATCATGGGTAAGTTTTACTTAGGAGTGATCTCTACAGCGGTAGTGACCGCATTGACAATATATTTCTTCTCATTTGATGTAACCTACATCTGTATATCGTATTAAGTGCCATTCACATATTTTACACAATTCTGTTTTCCTAATTTCTGCTGACTACCATGACGCTCCAACAGCATAATGGATTTTCATTTGGCGTCGCGTCTTATCACAGATCAATTTTTTATGAGTGCTGCTATGTTTCGTGACGCTGACGCCTTGTTTTAACAATAACCATGTCATTTCAGTATTCGACGGATACGAGATGCCCTCCAAGGAACTTGAGAATCAGATGCGTCGCGAACGCCGGGACAAGGCTCGTGAAGAGGCCTTATCAATGATTAAGAAGAACGGAGGAAAAATCAACACAGAGATAATGCGTAAGTGCATGCAAGCCATAAGTATCACTCCTGAGGTGATTGCACGTGTGATGCAACTTTGCCGTGAGATGAATGTGCGGGTGGTAGTGGCTCCCTACGAGGCTGATGCCCAAGTCGCTTACTTATGTCGCTCGGGTATTGCGCATAGCGCGCTTTCTGAGGATTCTGATCTCCTGGCCTACGGCTGTCCTCGTGTATGGTACAAGCTTGAGCGAGACGGTAAGGCCGACGAGCTGACTCTTGGTTTCGGCAGCGATCCTGATGTGAAGTGTAAGAGCGGTATGTTGAAGGGACTTAGTCACCGAATGTTCGCTGCGATGTGCGTGCTCAGCGGCTCCGATTACGATAACGGTTGCCACATTCACGGTATGGGCATAAAACTTGCACATAGGTTCATTCTACAATACGAAACTATTCCCGCTGTGATGGACGCGCTCGTAGGGAATGCTTCTTGGTCCAAGAAATTGCCTACCCAAGTAACCGTGAAACAGCTGGTGACTCATTATATGAACGTCTCGCAGATCTTTTTACACAACGTTGTGTACGACGTTCGCAGTGACAAACTAATACACATCATTCCGATTGCTGCGGAAGAGTCTAATATGGACGTCGTCGTGGATCTTTGTCAGCGGTTGCGTCAGAAGGAGGTGAACTTCCGCGAAGTATCCGAGGGTCACATCAACCCTCGCAACGGGGAGCCCATGTCGTACGAAATGTCTGATAAAGATCGCGAATTGATTGATGGTATACAATTCGTCGACGTTAAGACCCTGCGTATTTCAACGTCGGGTGTTTTGCAAAAAACAATCGACGCATTACTGGACTACTCCGCTACTGCGACCTCCGATGACTATGGCGTTATAACTCACACGCCTAGTGACAGTCAGGAATACGTGACAACTGCCGACAATGATAATACCGCTCGTTGCGACACAGCAAGCGAGGCTACGTTTGACATTGTGAAACAGACGCCCACAGACGAGTCCACCGCTTCCATCTCTACATGCGACGACTTCGAAGGAGTTAGCAGCTTGCAAAAGAGGAAGCTGCGTGCTCTTATAGACTCCTCAGAGAGAGTTGTATCGGTACGTCCGAGGCGCCGTTGTGCTACCAAGACGAAGGCTTAGTTTTGTGTCGTGACGCTGTGCGTCATATTTAATGCACCTAAATAGGGCATGTGTCTTTCCACAGTGTACAGTACAATTTGCCTGAACACCTTGTTTTTTATAGTTTTGTTCCATTGTTACCAGCGTCACATTACTAGAAGAGATGCGCATTTACTGTTGAAAACGACGCTAACCTAGCCCGTGCACGTTTATCGCAGGCAGACAGTGCTTAAAAATGACTCATTATAGTATAAAAAGTCGGCTGTCGTGTTGTTTTGGTCAGACAGTGGCCGACCAGCGTATGGCGTTGCGTAGACCGTGCGCGATCTCCTATGAAATATTGACTCTTGCGATTTAGTTCGTTAGATTCATCACCATTCCCCTCAATCAATGCGTTTCAGATGGCACTGCCTCGATGGCGCAATCACTTCTTAAGCTGGATTTCAATCGAAGCGCGTTGGAGTGCGTTGTGATAGTAGACTGCGCTTTTGTTGCTTGATCCTCTGTTGTATGGCATCAACATCCAGTGTCCTGGTCTTCCGTCTAAGCTTAGGCGATTCCACTACTTCCTTTTCCACCTCTACAAAGTTACGCTTTTCTGTGGCATCGTTTGTGAAGAGCGTACGGCTTCGTATACGTTTTATATTTTCCAAAATTCGCGATAATGTACCTTTTGGCCTTTCTGACTCCAATATATCCCGCTTCCTAATATCGTTATTCGTTTGCTCTACACTTGACCTGCTGACATGTAAACTGTTGCGGTAGTTTGGCGCCACACTGCCCTTACTGGCGAACAAATTATCCGCGAGTGACCTTGGGAATACACGTTCGCTATAGTCAGTAAGGGATTGTTGCGATCGTCGTGATCCGTATTGCCGGTCTAATCGCCGTGTAATGTTTTCGCACTCTGAAAGACTTCTTTTAATGCGATTGAGAATATCATCTGTAGCGTGTATGTTGATTCTAGACTTATTTGGCGGCGTCGTATGAAATTCCATCTGGTCATTGTAGCTCTCGTATCTGCGCGTTGGATTTATACTACGTGCGCCTTGTGAGTATGGTGCATACGCTCCTATTCGAAGTTCGGGTAGCGAGGCCCTACTGCTTCTTCTTATCCTACTGCGTTTTGTAAGCAGTGGTGACTTGAAGTTGAAGCTTGTATCATTGTTCATAATATTCCCGTTACGCCTAGGGGAAACCGACCTCGCAAAAGCATCAAAGCGCTTCGGGGTGTACGAGAATTTCTTGGTATCGACACTTCTCAGGTATGCCGGCACGTCTAACCCACTAGCGTGTCCAGGCGAATCAATAATGCGTGATCTCAGCGCCCTTAATTCCGGCGTTGAACCATAGCCGGCATCGAACGGTTTGGCTACATTGTCCAAATTGCTGTTCCAAGGCGGTAGAGGATCCACCTGCAGAAAGGAACTGTCGTTAAACCGCCTCATGGGAGGCTTCCAAGATGATCCGCTGATATCGATTCCCTCAGCAAAAAACCGACGCCGTCCGTTTCGTGGCCAATTTGTTGGACTCAATACAGGGCTGTTACGGGCGTCGAGTTGTGCGCCAGTGCCATGTGCAAACAGGGACATCGAGCGTTGTTTTAAAGCGCGACGCAAAAGTCCGCCCTGGTTTGCGGGCTTTTACCTATGACCTTACAATCCTTGGTATGCCTTGCACACCACAGGAGTCGCTATTCGCCATAGCGACTCAAGCGCCACACATTAAACAATTTATTTACTAGTTTATTAAAGTTGTTTTGTTGGTGTGTGCAGGGGCCGCGTTATTACCGCTGCTAGAACCGCGCACACTTTCGGGCTACCTCTAGCAGTGTGGAAATTACCCATCAGTTCGGCATATCCACCCGCTGCGTTAAAATGGTATCAACAAAAGCTCAGCACATCGAAAATATAACTTCTTTAAAATGTCTACTGAGTCAGCGCGGCCGTGGTGACCGCTGCAAGTTTATGCAGTGATAACTCCCGAACGCTATTAACAAATGATCATGGCATACCACAAATCACGACTACAACCTAGCGTTAAGGCTTCTCTATAGGTCTGCTGGTGTCACATTCGGTCTAGTTGTCACGGAAGATGGTTCGGTACTCTTCACATACCGAGAAAACTCCACACTGAGATCCTTGTGCACCTGCATGGATTCGTTCATGTCTTGCCTATCGTACATATTGAAAGCTTCAAGTGGCGTCAGTTTCTTATTCTTGCGTTTTTGCGAGCCAGTATAGCGGTCACATAGTCTGTTGGCGATATAATCATCGCCGAATCCGAGTTGCCTCAGAAGTTTACGTTTCTCCGCATATCCCAAAGTCTTGAGATCTAGTTCTTCAGGTATGTTATGCCTGTTTTCCTCCAGTAACTCCTCTACGATTCTTAACCTGCTTTGTTGCGAGTCTGCTGACGCCTTTTCTGGTGTCGATGCCGGAGGCGCGTTACTTCGCTGGGCCGGTGATCTAAGCACCCTTTTGAAATTAAAATCGTCTGCATGATCATAGTCACTGTCTCTCATCTGCCCTATGGTGAATCCATGGTCCGATTCCCGCTCTTCGCTTAGCATTGATCTGGCATTTTCGCTCCATTGAGCTTGTGTCGCAAATGGGCTAGTAACATTGATGGCATCTCCCCTATTGGCTTTTGCCGGAGATGAGAAGAGGTTATCCATGCATTCAAAGTCTGCCATATGGTCGTTTTTACCGAAGCTGCTGAGCAACACATCGTCTGGCGTCCTATGCCGTCCATTCTGCGTTGTACGGTTGGTGAAGAAAGGCGCCTCAGAAGTGTCAAATCCCCCTTCTGGGGAGGAATTTTTGACACGCTTCGATAGTATATGGTAACATCGTTCTCTGAACTCCTTTGCGTCCTTTTGTGCAAGGATATAAGAGGTCAGTCCTACAGTGGAGTAATCTCTACCAACCTTTTGTATGTACTCTTGCCTAGCGTTCTCGACATCTACGTCTGGTACTTTCAAAGACTTCAGTGTGTTTTTCGCATTGCAAACGCTTTCATCGATGCGCGAATAAACGAGCTCACTAGATGGGATAGATCTTAGTTCGCTTGTTTTTAACGGTGGCCACCCCGCACGGTTGTTATTATCGGTGCAGCGATTTTCGCGGTTAGAGTTTTTACGATTACCGTCAAGTCTTTTTGCGATAGACCGTTGCCGGAGGTCGTTGGCAATATTGCTCCTCAGGTCGATGACTGATCTGCCTGTAGGTTTGTATAGGAGTTCGATCCCTGCCATATCCACCAATGGCTAGCGCTGGCGGTGACGTTTCAGAACAAAATTTGAAGTTTTATTACACACCATTATTTCCTCTAGAGCTCACTCGAGCGCCTCCTCATCGCAGTCTTCATCATAGAGTGCCTCATTGTTCCAGAACACATTTTCGTTTTCTGAGCATATTTTAAAATATTTTAATGCACATTATACCGTCTAAATCGATGCCAACTGGTTGCGACTCGAATATTTCCCTACCGGTCATTTGCCCTTTGTTCGACGCCGCATCAATGTCCCGCCACACACCCTTCTTTATCATCTCTAGTCTAAACTTCTTACTCCAATCCTCAAACATCTCCCTTGTAACTCTCTCCTAAGAATGTTGTGTATGCACTAACAACAGCCATTCACATACCGTTTCCGGGCAGAGCTGTTTGATGTGCAGTCCCGTGTCTAGGCTAGCGGTTGCATCCGCACTATCTTCCTCACCATCTGATTCATCGCTCTCTGCTCCCCCTTGTTCACCACCATGAACACAGTGAGCCAATTTTTCCTGCAAGCTATTACTAGGCTTTCAATTTGACTGACGTTTACTGCTTCTACAATGGCATAGAGTACCGGGGCACCAATGTTTTGCTCTATGACCTCCCCTATGATTGTTACGATACACTTCATATCCTCATCGCCAATCCCGTCGGCTGTGTATTATTAAATCATGTGGCCTATGTCTTACCGTCGACAATCTCGTATCTTGGAGATTCTTCGGCAGGGTAACCGTCTGGCAGTTCGAATTTGATCCGCATAGAACAGGTTTGCGAGTCATCGTCTCGTCTAGGGTCACAAGTAATCACGAGTTCGTTTTCGTTTATGAGTTGCAGCTCTTCGCCTTCTATAAAGATGGCGGAGAGTGCTTCTATCTCCATAGACCTCTCATCGTCATCCATTTTGCGACTTGTATAGCACTATTTGTTGTCTTTAAGCAGTTTTATACTCGACTGGTCGTTTGGACATCCTTATAGACGTGCACTCATCCGGTCTCTGGCAGGCGCCTCGGGTGGGCCCGTTACACACCTCTTCTCCGATGTCAAAGATTTTATTGCAACATTAGTGAAAAACTTGTTTAGATTTATTGTCTTAGTTACCTCTAATTTTTTGTTGCCAGTTATGCCTAATGTCTGAGGATGTCTGATAGCGAGTTGCTGATATCGCAGGGCAGTCAGTGCTCGATCCCTGACTCTGCCTATTCGGGTTTAGGAGGGTTTGGAGAACCTACGAGAGCTACAGTTGTGCGTAACACACAGCTGTATGGATCGTCGAGCGTACACTTCTCAGGCGAACCCGAGTCTATATATCGTTCTCCAGGATTTCGTCAGTCCTCTCACCCCGGTTGGTTTTGACGCTTAAATGTCGTTAACGTGCCTGTTCAGTGACCCTAGAAGGGTTTTCTGCTCAAGACCAGTGCGTGGTCCGCGATGTGTCCTCTGATAAGGAGACCAAGGACTCTCGATTTCAGGGAGGGACGAAATCGAAGCTCATGATATTAAGTGAGAAGTTACAGGGTTTCGAGCGTCAGATGGAGTTCCACGCCAAGCAGCGTCGTATGCATGAGGAGCAACGTTTCCTTAACATAAGCGAATCTTTGAGTCGTTTGGACGAGGCCATTTCTCAGGAGTCGAAACGTCGCATGGAAACCATAAAAGCACTGCACGGTGTAAGTTATCATACATATATTATTTCGATAGTAATCTTATTTTTTTCGTCAATTTAACACCTACACTCCTAGCTCGTTATACCTGCTGGTAGTGCGATAGATGTTTCTTAATAATTCACTTGTTCACAATCGTTTCACCTCCTACAGATATTTGAGAGCCAGATAGGCGCTGTTCAAAGCAAAGTTGAAGCATTGTTTAACGACAAGCTGGATCAGTTAGACAGCGTGGTGCAATCACTGTCTGAGCGTATTGCTGCCCTCAGCACCCAGTGCGAGGAGAACGAGAAGGTGCTTCACGACAACCTTGAAAACAACTGCGTAACACTGGAAAAGAACCTTGCTACGGTACAGGTAGGTTTTTTGTTTGCGTTCTACTTCGTGCGGTTATGCTGTGTGATCATTATGACGATGCCAATTCTCGACTGACGTTTTTTCAGAAGCTGTTTGAATGCGAGAAGTTATCACGCCAGGAACGTGAAGAGCACATAATGAAGCGTATTTCCGAGGTTGAGCTTCAAACCGAGAATGCCTTTGGCAAGGAAATGCAAAACACAGAAAATCAATACCAGACACTGAAGATTGAGTTCGATAAAATAAAGCAGCAGAATGAAGAACGTGAGAAGGTGATCAAAGCTTCAGTCCTGGATCAGATAGCGGCTTTAAGTAATGGTCTGGCTGTTGAGTCCTGCGCACGTGAAAGCGCCGACAGCGACCTGACTCAGGCCCTACATAGCTTCATGAAAGTTATCGCAGACGTTTCTAAGTTGCCCATCAGCGGTTAATTCGTCACATATCACGTACACAATGCTATAATATTGCAGTATCATTGCCATGCCTCGTTTGGAATTGATTGGCGAGTCCAAGGAGCACGCAGGTAAGGGTTATTTGCGCTTTCATTGCACGGTTACGGCGGATTTATTTATGTGTTGAGTGTGGTGCCAAGTGTGTTGTCTGTAAACGGTGTTTGGGTCCTTTTTTAGCCGCGTTACCTCTCACGTATTGCCTACTTCTCTATTTTGATAACACGGCGGCATTGTCTACCTATTTTGGGACATTTTGCGTATAAATGAAGCTACAAATTTTCTACTAACTGCTACTGCCGTGTTACTTGGTTTATCGCTGCATTAGACAAGCTGCATCACACATTTCATCGTGACTCTTGAACATCAATTGCGATATGTTGATGACTTTAGCTGGTCTAACATCAAATTTTAGGTTGCATTAACAGCATAAAGTTTGATTTTTCTGGGATATACTGCCTAACCGCGGGTAACGATCGAAGCGTGCGTCTCTGGAATCCTTTACGGCAATTGCACATCAAGCGTTTCTTCGGTATTTGTTTATCCAAAAAGAGTTACCGTTCTTTTAGGACCTCACAACTACCATATCAACGATGTTTGCCTAAGTGGCGACAGCACGCACTTTGTTTCTGTAGGTGCTGAGCATTCAGGATTCTATTGGGACACCATCGAGGGGAAAGTTGTGCGAAAGTTCGGCCATGGCGGTTAGTTGTTACTGTTCTGGTTTTACAATGGACTAGGTGCTGTTTCGTGCTGCAACTATGTGGCTGATAGTAGCCTGATCTGCACTGGCAGCGAGGATCGCAGTGTACGTTTTTGGGACCCTCGCAACCGCGGAGCTATATCGGTTTTGAGCGATGCCAAGGATAACGTCTCTAGCGTATGTGAGAATGATCGTGTGATAGTGGCATCCTCTATTGACGGCGCTGTACGATCGTACGACTTACGCAAGGGGCTACTGAAGACCGATTACTTTCCCAAGCCAGTTGTGAAGTGGGTTGCGCATTTACAAACTGCTATACATCTTATCGCAGCGCATACGTCTCTACTGCCATCGACGATTGTTACATAGCTTCAGTGTTGGACGATTCTGTTGCGCTGGTTGAACGCGGTGACGTGCTGGCCACATACCGTGGCCACACATGTGAGAGTTATCGTATTCACTGTACATTAGACCCATGTGAGGAGTTTGTACTATGTGGAAGCAGTGTGGGTACGCTGTTCTGCTGGTCTTTGTCGGACCCTCGTTCTTTTATTACCGTGCCGAATGCCCACTCCGGCCCGTTAACCGCTCTTGCCTTCTCGAATCCATCACTTCTTAAAGATGGTCGACTTGTACGCGACTTAGAGAAGGATGTACGTGATTCGTTGCGTCAGCAGGGTAGTTTGCTGGTTTCAGGGGGAAAGGACGGTTACATGCGTGTGTGGCGGTTGTACGCTTAGTAGATTTCAGCAAAACATATAAAGTTGAATGTTTCACACCCCAATGTCGGTAATCAGAACAACCATGAAAACGGGTACCTGGCGCCCACGTCACCATGGTTGGGTGCCTCTTCTTCCTCGGTATCGGTGTACTCAACTTCTTCCCCTTTCCTGGCACTTTCGTATCGCATTGCGTACTTGAGAGGGTCTCGGGCTATCCGTTCTCTGATTGTAATAGCTATTTTGATGTCGTTAGGCTCATCCTGCACAACATTTGTCACGTTATATCGATTTACATGTGCGATACTTACCTTGAACGGCTGAAAGAAGTCCAAGAAGCTCCCGCACGAAGCAGTGCCTCCCCCGCAATTGTCCCCGTCGAAATCCGAAATAAAAGAAGAAACCTCGTCCGCGAGATTCTCCTGCGTAGAATCTATACACCAGAATTATTTTTATTTACCGCAGTGTCCTTCCATTCTATCGGAGTTGCGGAAGGTTCCTCTTCATACTCGTTAAGCCGGAACCGACGTTTAAGTGACTTGTTCAGGAAGAAGGGGTTGTCGGCGAAATGGAACTCAATTTCGAAGGAATCTAGAATGTCATCTCCCTCGATTGGGTTACACCTGATGTCACGCAAGAATCCAAACATATGCCTGTCCAAGCTCGATAGTCGTTTTCTTGTAACGACGCAGCCAAGCAAGGCATATAACCAAAAATTAGGCCAAACAGGAGTACCATGCTGCTGATATCGTTCATCTACGGGTCGTATAATTCCTGGTAGTTCGTACAAGGACATTTCAGCGAGTCGGCGTTCCACGTTGGTCAATTTTGTTTTCACGGTTGCCTTTAGGAGATTGGTATCTGTGAGCACTTCTCTTCGTTTGTCGGCAAGCTCGGATAACGTGCCATTTAGCTGTACCATCAATTTGTTAAGCTGTTCGTTGAATTGTTCGACCGCATCGTACTCTTCACGCTGTATATCCAAAAGCAGCTCGCGTATAGATTCCTTCACTCGCAACATTGTGTGTGCGTTATTTACAAAGCATTTAATACGCCCATTGCTGTGGCGTGCCCCTAGTGTCACAGAGCCTCGGCGCGGTTTGGCTCTCCATACACATGTACCGTGACGAGCTTTCGGTTCTGTTTGGTAGCTACAATATATCTGATGATTGTTTCACATTAAACATTTTTCCAGTGACTATCTATCTGCGGTGGTGTATCAGGTTTATGTAAATAGTGTGTCGATCGTTCACGACCTCGTGTTAACTCTCAACTAGCAGTTCGTATTGCCGCCTATAACGAATGCAGTATCACACATCACCTTCTTGAATATCAATATTACAATGTGTGTGTCATAAAACCGCTTTCATCATTGTCCGTCGTTGCAGATTCGCATTTTGCCCAAACACATTTACCGAGTGGAAGAAGCTCTAATCAATGCCGCACCCTATCACAAAGTTACAGCTAAAAGATTTGAAGTTTGTTTGATATTACGAGCCTCTCGATCGCCAAGCGTTGCGTTCTACATCGGATATAATTAGCCCTCGATCCTACCAAAGTATATATTACGCACATATCTTCTCTCGGGCTGGGTGTGTCAACCGCCTTTTATGTGTCCATTTTAATTGCAAAGGGGTATGTCATCTAGCTGTCCGACCTCAGTTCAGTAATGTAGTGCCTAAGTTTCTCTTCTGGCTCCAGTTTACTCGTTTTCAGAGCCCTTCGGCGTTTTAGTTTTGTTTCACAGGGTTACACTCACTCTAACAACATATCGACATATTTTTGTTCCACTCTGTTTCGTTTTCTCGATTTGAGCACATCGAGCGATTTTGATACAATTCCGTGGTCGTTGCGCCCTAGACTACAAGAACACCTGCACGGCGTTAACACCTTTGGTTGAGCGTCAGTGCTTGTTTTGCGGCTTACCATGCCATTTGCGTGACAATTTGTGTGGAGCACTGCGGCATGACAGTTAGGTACCGCTGCAGCAGTTCCTTGATGGCTTCTGTGGGTACATTGCTAATCATGGGCATAAAATTAAACTCACCAGATTTATGCACTGCATGATAACACCTGATAGCCTCGAATATCTGTGCGAACGACATGTTATCTATTTGGTTGTACTGGAGACATCTATCTGTACAGCGTGACGACGTCTAGTCTACCTTATCTCACCTATTATGTCATCCGCAAATACACTGTCATCGTATTTTAGTTTAGCAAACCCCCAGAATATGTTACCTGTACAATAGTTGGCACTAATGAGAAGACTGTACCTACTTAGCTCACGTACGTCGATAGAGGGCATCAACTGCTTCGTACGTTTTGCCATTCCTCTCAACAACAACGAGTGTTTAAATCTTAGTTTTGCCAAAGCACACACCAACCCCGATATATTTTCTGGTCCCATGTCGTGGGTGACTTTGAGAGCGTGATTTGCGATTGTTTCTAGGACCTGCTTGTCCTTTGTACCCAGACGGGCAAGCGCGTGAAGTGCCAGGGGTATCAGATGCGGTTCCACGTCATCATGTTCCATTTCTGCTATGATTTGCGTCAATATTTGGCTAAGTTGTTCGTTTCTGATGCCAGTGTGGGCGAAAGCATAAAGAATAAGGACTGCATTGGTCGGCGATATTTCCCCAAGTGTTTGCTGAGTCATTGTTGCATTAGCTACTTTGCTCATGAGGTCAGCTATCCCCAATCTCTTTTTTAGCAGTACTGCTGTTTGTGCGATTGTTGCTAGATCGATCGAATTCGCTTCTCCGACACGGTCGGAGCATGCCTGCAGCAGTTGGTCGAATGGCAATCCACTTTGGGTTCCTGCCATTTTGCTAATGCCTGATAATGGTTCTGCTGAATCGATATTGTTACTTACTGTTAACTAGAGGATATAGCAGGTATACTGGCATGATATAAGCACGTTTGAGAACGAAAGCGGCTATCTCTTGTAGCCACTTTCCGTCGACATCCTTTCCGAATATCAGCGACAAGCCATGCGCTACCGCTCTGACTTCCATGGCGGTATACTGTGTTATATTTGTGCACATGCTATTAACCAGCTCAGCACATCGCTCGCGTTCCTTTTTTCTTTCATTATCTCCGTATTCCTTTGCCACCTTTTCTGCACGTATGTTTCGTTGGGAGTAGGATTCCGCTTACCTATGTATCTGGCAACATCGCACGGCTTTTCGATGCTTTTACCATTGCCAACGGACCCATGCCTCACGATGTATCCTATACACCTCCGCTGTAGCATTACCGCCACGGCGGAGCGGTATGAACCCATTTTCAGCACCTCATCCTGTCTTCACCGACTTACAGGTGAAAGGCACAAATTTAAATATTTTATTTAATGCATTGCAACGAGAATCAGAGTTGTATAGGGTTCTGATTGCCTCCAGCTCCAGTGCAACCAATGCGTGGTTGACTGGCTTCTTCCTTATATTTTGCATTCTATCTTACGTTATACATGCTATATATGCGATACATAAGGCATTTAATCGTGAGGTTTCAAAGAATATGTGTAAGCGATTAGCAACTATTAAGCGGCTTACACCCTATCGGGATGGAGTCATGGTGTTATTACACGATTACATGGCATATCCTGCGACACACCGAGCTTAAAACCTGCTATTAAATGACATATTAACTCATAATGTCCTGAGCATGAACTCAAAGCGTGTTACGTGACTCTTTTCATCATCATAACTTCTGCTTTACTCCGCACAGTGCTCAATCAGTCAATTTTGTCTATTTTTGTCGGTCTCATTGTCTTACCGCCGTAACCATATCATCGTCACGCGTTTTTTCTGTTACCAGTGCCACCCCTCTTTCTAAGAGCCTTCAATTAGTTTTCACCCTGCTAGGTTGCAAAAATTTTCGTCGGTCACCCAATACCGGCTCCGCGTATCACCGTTTGCGCAAGACATCCACGCATGGAGACAACGCCGTATTCCGGTATTTCATCGATAGATTACATGCTTATTAGCGAGACAATCTAGTTTCGTACGCTGCACGCCAGGCTGGCAGGTATACGACTATAGACGTCTTACGAACACCTATTACTATGTCTCAGTCACTTAGATCGATATTAGTTTGCCACTTTAATAGTGGAACATGAAATTTTATAATTTTCCGAGACGCAGCCCCTCCCTACAAGGGCAGGCCTTTGAGTGGAAAATTTTGCGCACCACAGGACTTGTGCAGCTCTTATTTTACACAGTCAACATTAAGCTGCTTCGTAACTATCCTCTCAGTTTATACGTTCAACATGGAACCGGTACCGTCTCTCTGTGTTACTTTACAGATGTCTGCAGTACACTACCGTAGAATACTGGAACCAACGCTACGCCATGTTCGTTTTTTGCCATACACACCCAAATGTTGCAGTAACCAAGAGACTACCGAGTGGTACAGCGACTGGGCGACGATCAAGGAGCACCTCCCGTTCCGATTGGATTCACGTTCGCGTGTCTTGCATATTGGTTGCGGGACCTCCAGTGAGTTTCCATATTGAACTACATCTTGGCCATTCATTTCAGGGCTGGGACAGGACCTATACGAAGAGGGTATACGCAATGTGAAAAACATTGACATATCCCCGGTTTGCGTAGCCGCCATGAGGCAGATGTTTCCTCACCTTGATTGTACGTTTCCGTCGTTGCCTTATCTGTTAAAGACCAATATACATCGATTTCTTATGTCTTTCAGATGAGGTGATGGACGTATGTAGGCTGTATTCGTATTTCAGCGCGCAATCGTTTGACGTTGCTATAGACAAGGGTTGCCTAGACACGCTTTTTGTAGGTCGGCTCTTAGTTTCCTTAACCACTCTTCAGTGCACTGGTAGCTACCAACGAACGGTACCTGCTATGTTGGCATCTGTATACAGCGTCTTGAGGTAGAGTTATTACTGCTTATTTGATGATTGTAGACGTGTTCTATGCCCCTCATTGATATTCGCGTTCGTGCTAAGCGCCTGTATTTTCACCCCAATTATTCTTACGATTAATGTTTGATATTCTTTCAGACCCTACGGCTACCTAGTAATCGTGTCAGTCGGCCACCCCGGTAACCGCGCGACGTACCTCGAGGTGGTTTTATGAGTTGTTATGGTTCACCGTCATTCAGCCTTCTGATATGTGGAGCGTGACTGTGGAGGCCATTCCGAAGAATCAAAACACGTACATTGATGCGCCACAGTTGACGCTGGCCGATCCTCCATCTGATAACGGTATCTTTGTTTACGCGACCTTTAAAGCCATTGCAGAACAATATACCGAGGTGGATTCTGAGTGTTCAACCGAATCATCTACTGTATGCGATTCCGATGAAGAGAGACCTCACAACGTCCTTTACATATGTCGAAAGCGCCATTGATGTGCACTGGCATGCGTGATTCACTAGAATCTTTTGCCACGCCAGTGAGTCAGCCGCGATTTGGCACGTAGTCGTTCATTGTCACAGAATTGTAAAAAATGTCACCGTCATACATTTCATTGCCTATGAGCGCTATGCATCACTGTGGTGATGATGAGAATGAGGAGGTAGAGTTTGAGGGTTGGTTGCAGGTTGGTTCTCATAATCCCGGAATGGTGGTGGAGAGTGTCACGAAGTGCCCCGTTGGTGCAGGTTCCGGTAAAATGTGTGCAAATTGCGGAGATACTCCTCACTGTCGTAAGCACTGTGGCGACAATGGTCAAGGTCTTGGTCGCGGTGATAGGTCGTGCGGCTCTCGTAGCTGTTTGAACGTTGTGAAGAGGCGTGGTAATGGAGCTTGCCGCTGCAAAGGTGTCGAGGTTTCGCAGGGAGACACTGACGATGTGTTTTACGTGAACAACAAGCAACATGCCCCCAAGATTTTGGTCCAGAAACCTCAAACTGTGATTGTACGAAATCACTCTCGGCCACCAATTGTCGTACAGCAGCCCCCGCCTAATGTGATAGTAAAGAATGACCCACCACAACCGGTATTCGTACAGAGCTGCCCACCCAATGTCGTAGTGAAGAATGAGAGACCACTACCGGTGTTCAAGGCCCCCGCCATGCCAGTGAAGTACCCTCAGGTGATTCAAAGCGGTTACCCTCCGAACTACACGAAGTCCTGTGCCTGTTTGAGGCATCATTATCAATAGTTCAAAACGGTCTTCTTTATTCCTGTCCTCTTCGTTTCCATCAACTTTGTCCTGTCCTATTTTTTTCTTTTTCCTAATTTCCTTATTACCTCCTCCCAGATCCTAACTACATGTATCCAGCGCAAATTCAAGCTTTAACAAGATTTTTTAACGTGAACTAAGTGAAACTTTTTTACAACTTAATTATGTATGTCTGCTTAATCGTGTATATGTCTAAGTGCCGTCCAGCGTGCCACATAGCAAGACCAGACGTCTTCGAAGTCTTTGCTCGCCGATGATGTCACCGTTAGGACCTTTTTGTCACAGATACTATCTTTGCTGGGTTTTGCCCATCTCATGGGTTAAATTGCATATTTTAGAATTCTGTATCAGCACCTATAGCGAGCTAAGCGTCACAACGAACGACTAGTTAGTGATACATCCGTATTCGTGATGAGGTAGTGCTATAAGAGCTTGTAATGAAGGTTGATCGTTGAGACAGCCGTTACGTGGTTCCAGCGTCAGGCCAGAGTAGAGTAGCAAGTCCCACAAAAGGTGCTTCCATCAATAGAATTAAACCATGATTAGCCTATACAGCGCAAATACCCGTCAACATGGCTAACTTTTCCAGGTTTACCGAGTGAAGGAAAGCTTTGGGGCGACTTTCTTTAGCCAAACTTCTCACACTTAGGACATTACCATATTTATACCTTTAACTAAACACTGCGTCCCGTGCGCGCATCAGAAAACTGCAATTACTCTGCGTTTGTACTGTGAAGACGTCTTATCTATGTGTAGGGGTGCTGGCGGTTTTAGGGTTTCAGAGATGCCAATATCGTGCTAACTACAGTAATCTGACATTCTTCGTTGCTTAATCTAGAACATGAAACATGTATATACCCCGTTCTGTCTATGCATCGTATGCAGTGTCTCTTGTAAACCCATAATACCTAGCGTTCTTCCCAATTTCAAGCACTCTTGCATTTCAAGCGGTTTAGCCACTCTCATAGTACTTTATATGTGACTAATAGTACAAGAGGTGACGAATACTCAAAAAGGCCAGGACATTCTTGGTCGTCCGCATGACCTTAAATCGAATTCACTTGTTCTATCGCCAACAGGCGCTCTAATGGTTTTAACGGCTCAACTATGTCAAAGCAACAGATCAAAAGCCGTAAATGATGTGATTTAGGGGCATATAGTGCCTGAGTAGCGACATAGATATGGCGACGCTACTGTTCTGTAAATTAACATGGGTCCGGTGTCCCACCAGCCTGTCAAATATGTTTTTGGACAACTTGTGGTCGGTAAAAGCATTACGATACATGGGATAGAAGTCATGCCTCACTGTTGCATTCCTAATCCTTACCCCCACGGATGGCGGGCATTGGCATAGTACTTCCAGCTTCCTCGGCAACCATTGGCACACTTGCCACGTACACGTAACTGCCGCATCTTAATGAATAAATAAGCCATTTGTAGCGACATCGGAGGGATTTAAGGCTGCTGTCACAGCAGTAGCGCGGCACTGTTATAATCGCACTACAGCTGCATAATTGCACTACCTTCCCAGATTTGTTTGCCGACGGCTCATGCTTGTGTTTCTCCGCCACGCTCCCCGTACTAGCCGTTTCCGGACACAGCGTCGTGAAAAGAGGACACGGTTTCTCTGCGATATTCTGTTTTGTGACGTTGCATTATACGCGAAATGTGTAACGCTTTCGTTACATTTTTGTTGCGAGTTTGTTGCTGCATAACCCTCGTGTCTTGCTAATTAGTCATTAAAATCAAGGCTCTTAGAAGTGGCAGGTTCTTTCTGGGTTTATTTACGCAGGAGAGTTGTATATGTATAACTTACTCCTTCATATTCTCCTTTCAAGGATATATTACTGTCGCGTTATGAAATTTCACTAGTGCGTCGACCATGTGTAAACGCGCAAGATGTTACATTGGTTTTTGATTTAATTGCACAAAGAAATAAAATTAGAACAAGATGGCGGTCTTGGAAACAGTTAACGAATTTTTTACCAAGAAACTCAGGACCCCTCCACCTTTCGAGCCATCTACATTTGAGACCTGTACGATCTTTTTGATGGGTGTTAGCATTCTGCAGCCTGTTTTCATCACGCTGGCGGGTACTGGTTTCGCTATGAGGAGATTCGGTCTGCCGCCAGAAACTATTGGTCTCTTCTTGGGCTTCACATTCTGCTTACAAGATCTATTTTGCTTACTTGGCAACGCTGCTACGACTGCACTGACACAGGTGTTCTCGAAACCCCCCCATGAGAAATACTGGGAATACATTCGAGGTACGTATGCTATGACTCTATGCTGTTTCACAAGTATTTGGAATATTAGACTTCTGTTGGTATTCGGAACCGGTATTGGTGATGCTCATATTACCCAATACTACTGGACTCTTGCGAGCACAGGTTTCCTTTACGGCGCGCTTGATGGCTGTATTAGACAAATCAGTCCCAAGAAGATTGCGTTTATGAATCTTGGAATGGCGTTTAGTGGTATGAGTGCCAACGTTGTCCATTTCCTTGTCGCCAAATGTCTACCTGCAGGGGCTGAGCTGAGTTACTGGTCCGTATACTGGCAACTTCTCTATGCTATCATTTTGTCTATGGTTGCTGGTATCATGTTCACCATAGTAGTTATATTCGACAGGTTTGGACCCCCGAAACCGGACTACAGCTCCGGCGGCAGTTTCCCAGATGTAGTTGAGGCATTGCAAACTGGTTTGCCATTTATTACTATGATTTGTCTTGGTTGGGGTCTTACGTTCGGTGTATATCCTAATGTGGCACCGTTTAGTTTGGTTGGATTTATGGATGCACAACTCGCTTTGCGTCTGATTATGTGCATGCAAGCTGTTATTGGTATTGCTGTCGTTTTGTTGAACGAAAAGTGTAATTTGTGGAAAAGCTGGAACCAACAACCGCACTATTATGCTTCCATGCTCCTCTTCATACCATACTTTGGTTGTGCCATTTGCTTCTTTATTGCCATGCATTACCCAGAATCCGCGATCGGATCAAAGATTTACATGAACAAAAAGCTTGTCTGTTTTATGACGTGTCTATTTGTTGGTTGTGCTTATGTTTTAATGAGCATGGGTTGGTCTGGGTTTTTCATGACCATGGAAGGAACGAAAGATACGACCCCAGGTGGTCGTTTAGTTGTCATGGCTGCCACTGGGCTTGGTTTCATGGTGATATTGGTTCTCACGAAGTATTTGGGTCAAGGTTATCTTAGAGCTTTCCGTGAGGCGAAGAGTGGTTTGGAATCCGGTCTCCCATGGCCAACACACGGCAAGAATGGCGCGGCCGCGTTCTTCTACTGGGTCGGCAAAGGTTTCAGTGGCGGTTTTAGAACCTTACTAAGCAACTTCACGACAGATATCCGTACCAAGATTTTGGTATGATTTTCCGTGTGACATCTGATATTCAAGATATAAGGGTTAAGATATCTTGGATTGCAAATGACAACTGTGCCATTGTTTCAAAATGGTTACCGCATACGTGTGTGCTGTAAGATTTGTCGTCGTTATATTGCAAGGCTGGTGTCTTCACCGGACTTAACATCGTTGATGTGCTTCTACGCATAGAAAAAACATGCTTCACGTGTTCTAGTGTTATCAGGAATCGAGACAGTCAACGCTAACGGTTCAACTCGTATGGAGACACTTTCTCCGTTCTGCTTCTCTTAACGATCACATGTCAACGAAATTAGTGATTTTGTGATTTCCGATGAACGTGGTAACCAGCGCCAGTGCACAGCACAGGTGGAAGACTTCGTGGAAACCGAGGTACTTTGGAATAGGGTTTGGTGCCCTTTTAGCGTATACGACGCCACCCAACATATACACGGCAAGTGTCATACAGGAGAATAGCAGGCCCACGAAGCACTTCATATTGTAGAGGTTGCAGCACAGGCGTACATACGGCGACCCTACCGCGAAGTACACTATTACCCTGAGTGCTGGTGACGCGGTGACGAAGCGGAAGGCCAGCGCCCCAACGGTGCCTGTACACTATGTATACCACTGCTTATCAATTGGTAGTTTAACATGTTATTGCCTACCCTGGCAACCTAATTGTCATGAAATATGTATTTAACTTACCCATAGATATTCCTATCCACTGTATCAAAGCAGTTAGTACGCTAAAGTCGTCCTTGGCGACGGCGACTGTAGCCGGTACGGCCGATCCGCCTATCATGAGGAATATGACTGCGTGTTATAGTCCAACATCAGTTTAAACTTACAAGCATAGTCTGCCTTTAGACATATGTCTAACGAATTAAGTTCCCAGACGGTGTAATGAAGCGTGGCACTGGCGACGAAGTTCAGAATACAACAAACAAATGCGACGACATATTCCACGAAGTAGTCCTTGTTGACAACGGAAAGGAAGAGCCACGCAATCAGTGCTGGTGAAAACAGTGCTAGTAATAGATGCACATAACCCCTTAGGAACGGTGCGCGCGGCAGTGTTGCCCAAATTGTCGCTGTAGTAATTAGTTCTTCTACTTTCGTATCCCTTTTGGTTTCTACAGCTGTTTGTCCCCCTTGATGACACAGTGTCTGCCTTTGTCTTGACTTCATGACGTTGGTAGTGTTTGCGTTCAGTTGTTACTGCTTGCGGCTCTTTAATCTATGATGCCGTATTATACAGATGTTTGTAGGTTCACTTTATGTTAGATGACGCCGTGTTCTGTGAGCACGATGGACATTCTCAGGTATGTGTGGTCGCCATCTTTCTGCACATCACTTCTGACTGGTGGGCAGACCTCCGATATATTCTCTACTTTATTACCAAGCATACTGGTTAGCTTATTAATTTGTGACCGCCTGGTGATCGAGTTAATATTTGGCTCCTGTCGCATCCATCCATGTTCCTTGCTCCAATTACTTGCGCGATTCTGTTAAAGCGTGTCACGTTACACTCACTTTTGTTTTCAAAGCCGGAAATGCCCCCTAAACATCAATAACCTAAGTAATAGGTCACTTTTATGGACGTATCGGCGTGATATGCGCAGCGCCCAGTCACTCTCCAGTGACCATCAAGGGCTCACCGCCGCGGTCAAATCACGGTACACCGATACAATCCTGGGGTACAGCAACACAACTGTGTCAAAATTGATTTTTAATTCAGTGACAGTCTTCGCGACATTAAGTGTGTGTTTTTACTTTAGGGTCCTATTTTATCTGCAATCGCAGTTGGTGTGAGCCCAGACAGTTGGAAAGTTGAAAAACATCTGGCTAATGAATACAGCTCTTTTCGCTATTTCGAAGTCTGGGAAGGTCGCCATTTTTGCAAGTTTTGTAGCTCCTCCGTGTTCGAGGAACAGCCTTCCGTATGGATTTTCCAAGAGCCTGTGGTCCTTTGCTTCCGCAATACCAATTACCAGGATATTCTCGAGTGCGTTTAATACTACTCGGCATAGCCTGACGTTTCCTTCAGTACAAGGATCGCTCTTGCATATCAAATCCATCATGTCGCATACTAGCGCCATACAATTATTGCTCCCTGTATCAGTAATGACAGCATGAAGTGTTCGTGTACTTACCATACGAGTTATATCTGGAAGTGCATGAAACTATATATCCGACTTGTCTTCTATTGGCTTTCGCAGCGCAGGCACATATTGCATATGCCGCTTCGATTTTCTCATTTTCCTCTAGTGCTTTCTGGAAAGTGCGGACCAATGCTGGCATCGCGTCCGAGTTGACTATTATTTGCACCTCGGCTTCAGTTTCGCAACCTATGTTCCCAAGTACATTTGATGCTCTGGTTTTGACCAAAGAAGACGATGCTGGGCAATTGAGCATCTTCACCATTACACCTGCCGTTCCGATTTCCAGCAGCGCCATAATTTGTCTCCTATGGGCCGTGAACGCGATTTTGCTGATAACAGTTAATGCTTCGAAGCTGATATGGTGCATTTGCGGTGTGATTGCTTCCCTAAGTCGTGCTCCAGCTGCGTAGTCGTATATGTCATTCATTGCGGCAAGAGCACGTTCGTAACTGAACGCTACTAAGAGCGCTAACCTCATGATATGTGGCAGACAGTTTGCTTCCAGGATCAGGTCTACGCCGAAGCTGTATTCGCAGACAGCTACGAATGTGTCGCATACTTTGGAGAGCACTTCGTAGTCTTGGGCATTGGCAAGCAACTCTACCAAGTATTTAATGATGACTCTAGTTGTGTAGGCCATGCTTCCCGGTGCATACGTGTACATGTTGATAAGTCCGTTTTCCTCAAGTTTCGGGAACAAGTGACACAATAGTACAGCTTGGCAGAAGTCTACCGATGCCGCATCGTGTTTGCGGCATACACACGTAAGAGCTTGTCCTATAGCTTCGCTGGAAATATCAACGAATGTAACCAGATTTCTGATCGTGTAAACCGAAGCATTCCACATTTCCCTCTCAAGTTTGCTTTTATTGCGGTTGCCGCATACATACTCCATTAGTAGGAGAACTCCTCGAAAAGTTTCTGCAGTGAGAATCGATTTATACTCTTTCATTGGAAGGCAAGCTGTCACTGCGTGTATTACCTTAGCACATTCGCATCTGATAGCATTGTTTGCGTTAAATGCTCCAGTAATAAGCGGTTTAATTATGTATCGCTCAATGTCTTGTGGAGCAATCAAGCGATCGGTGTCTTCCTTGGTTAGAATCTTTCCAACGTCATCTTGATACTCACCTTCTGCGTAATGCGCGTATATTGACCGACGCAGCACTTCGAGTGCCATTAGTTTTGGTCTGAGTTGCGCGTCATTTTGCAGTCCCCGTAACACCTCATCGAATAGCGTATCGCGCACTTGACAAGATTTCTCTAGTCGTGGCAACAGTTCCGAGATATCCGAATCATTAGTGTCGAGGTTTCTTTCATCTCCTGGTCTCATAGGTGCCGTGGCTGAATCCCGTCCGTCACTCGCCATCCGTGCGACGAGCGTCTTCGGTGTGCAAAAACAGGATGTCAAAGTTCGATGTGTGCATATTGTTACCTCACCGGTATCTTTTCGTGCTTATTTGGGCGTCTCCTGCGGGGCCCCTTATGCACAACGCGTTAGAAGAAAATTTATGGTGGCAAGTTACTCTTACAACGACATTTTTCCACCCACATATCCATCGATTGTAATACGTAGTTAGTACGACAACGACTATAAGCTATAACTGTTTCGTAGTATGCGAGGGCCAGGGCACAGCGGGCAACGTTCACTGTTGAGCCACAATTGCGCCACTGACGCGCCGATGTGCTAGAAATGCATGTGTATTTGACCGCAACCGAACACAATTACTTTATAACTCGAATGATACTTTTACCGTTTCTAATGGTCTCGTCTGTCTTGTACTGACCTTCTGTCTTGGGGGGTGTGATTCCTTTTGTCATCAACAATCCTCCAAGTACCGTCTAATTTTTTTGCCCTGGAATTTCATGTCGCATGACTCTGTGCCACCTTGGACCGCCACGGTCACTACGAGCTGAGTGGCTCGCGAAGCCTCAAATGGTGTACAGCGATGTCACGTGCAGAAGCATCGTTGGCATCCGGTAGTGGCTTCGATGAGGAGCTTGGACGCTTTTTAACTGCAGTTTATGGTGGAAGCTTCGTTGAGTTGCTGCGCCAAAAATGTGCGATTGGTACGGCGAAAAGCGAACCGTTTACTTGCTCGGAGGCGTTCACATTAACTCAATCTTTATCATATCGCAGACCATGGCACACCAATGGGGATGATCTCGACATAAAATTACGTCCTAGTCGCGATTGCATCAGCGCTGATTTGTACTGTGTCTTCCACCAACAGCTATGTGAGGACTGGCAGTCCCGAGAATCTGCGCTGGACCGCACTTTGCGTATTTATGAGATCATTCCACATAGGAATGCGCTGGTTCACTTGTCCGACCCTAAAACTAACTGTCTAGTCTTGCTATCGTTTTGTTTCGGTCTCAACAATGTGATTTTTGTGGGTTTACACAATGTGCCACAAAAAGGGTCTCTACCCGGCCCGTACCTTGGACTGATGTATCCAGGTTCACGTGAATCGTTTTTGGAGGCATTGCAAAAGTTTGAAGCTTTGTATAAAATGAAGGTTGCCCAAGGTTCATCTGTACAGTTTTGCCACGGCGACCGCTTGGATTGCAACGCTCGTCTAGCGGACATATCTTATTTGGCATCTGAGTTCGACGACCTTTTTAACTACATATTGTATGATACAGAGTGCTTCAACAACTTTACAGGGCCGCTGTTGCATCGCATGTATTCCAATCGCCTCTATGGTAGGCTGATGGTCGCACTGTCCATGCCAAGTCATATGGCACGTTACCGTAAGCAGACCCTAGTTTCTTTTTTGAAGCGTTTCAACGACTTGTTGCGTATTGTTTGTCGTATATTGAACGATCTTCATGATCCCCCTGGTGTCCGTGGTAGTTCCGAAGGCCGTAACTTTGGTACGATGGCAGTTGTTTCCCTGATTTACTCTTACCTTTACGCTATATTAAGTATACCTATATCGCTAACTCCTTGGAACAAGGTGGCAAAGGGCGAAAGTTGTAAGTGTAAGAGTCCAGGCCGTCGATCGGACGTGAATGAGGGTGAACCATTGACTGAGGTCAATAAGACCGTTTTGGATGATTCATTCACCCTAAGAAGCTCTGCACATCGCCTTTTAAGCGACGATGCGGTGATTCCACCACAACAGTATCTCGGTCTGCTTGGCGCCGATTTTGCATCGGCGGCCGCTGACGCTGCTTGCGTGGAGAGTACCCGTCGTCGCGATGTGATGATGTCGCACGCCATAGGTGTATTAGGCGATGACGGTAACTGGTTACGTCGTTGTGAGCGTTACGTGGATGTTATTGATAACTACAAGTTAAGTCTGTGTTGGTACCGCCGCCCTCTTTTCAGTAGCTGTTTGCTGACAAATTTCAAGGTGGTATTCCCATGGGTGATGCTATACCATCAGACTAATATCGGACCTTGTGGTCACACGTGGTTAGAATGGCAAGGTAAGACTATCGAGTCATGGTCTTCGCTTCCACTTTGGAAGACATCAGGCCCTGGGGAGGGATCGACCATTCGTGGTCGCGGTGAGTGCGTGCGATGCCTGAAACGTTTGGTATCGTTACGTATGAGAGACTGCGCGTCATTTATATTTGACCTGGAATCGGAGATTAAGCGCTCCGCCAGAAGGCATCCTTGCCTATGAGAATTTGATCTATAGCATCACTACAGACCCACTGTAATGTTTAGTTTTCCAGCTCTATAACTTTTCACTGTTGCGATTTAATATCACATTGCCATACCACGAGTTTCCTTCGGGAAGGGCAGCCCACACGCTTAAAGATCACATCTGAGTCATGACGGCAACAGTTGAGCCGTGGCTCGTCTAGCCACGTGTCACGACGTGTACGCATTGTTTTTGGAAACGACACAATAAAAAATTGTTTCGAATTCAACAAACATTGATAGAATTAGACTGCATAGCATTTATTTCGTATCGGTCTTCACCTATAACGTGTTAGGGCACAAAGTCCCACCAAATGTAGCTAGGTCCGTATTTGTAACCGGACTAACTTAATGAGAGCACGTCTCTCAGAAACTGTTCCTTTTCGGTCCTATTCATAGAGAGCCAATGCTGAAAGTTTACGGAATGGACCTTGGCTCCAGTGCTCCTCAAGAGGTTTTGTATGACTAGGTCTACCCCTATAGGTTTTTGCGTATCATTTCTGCAGCTATTTTCATTTATGACGATTTTGTGCTTAATATCTTCGATGCTGATGTCTATAGATGATATTGCAGTAACGGCGTCCGATGCTTCTCTGCCCTCAATAACTTCGTTACCCTTTGCCGTAGTGTCTGTTTCTGTGATATTTTTCAGCTACGAATACATGTAATTTTTTGATCATTTACTTACTCCAAGATCTTTCTGTAGTATATCTGCGATATCTTTGAGCTCCGCCGTGAACTGTGTGCCATTTCCATGCCTGAGCATCCACTCGCGCATTCCGGAAGTGATACATCTCTTGGGCATGTTTGCCGATATTTCGGGGAAATTGATGACATGAAAAAGCCATATAGCAAATACTCGATACTTGCATTGCTCCCATTCAGTCCCTTTTCCAATAATGCGAAGCAGGAACGATAGTAGGTATGGGTTGGCCACTGCAGCAATTTAGTTACACTTGCCTTTTCATCTTACCATGTGTATTCGTAGCACATACTGCGAATGCCAGGTTGATCGCACACTTTTCGTCGACTAGGTCGATATATTCCTCTAGGTAGGCCATGAAATTGTGTATTAAGCTCTGTGTAGTATGTTCGTCCGGTGCGAAGTTTGCGAGATGGTGTACAATGACTGACATTTGCGGTATTGTGAGCTGCATTTTGACGTATGAGTTCCCAGCCATTTCAAGATCGTCGATAAGCCGCTGCACAAGTGTGTTGTATACCGGTGGGAAGAAGAGTCTCATTCCTGCGAAGGCATTTACGCATCGTGCTAGTTCCAGGGTGGTGAATTCATTTGTCCTTTTCTGTATCTGATTAGCGGCCCAAATCATCACCTCATCATGTGTTTTTGTATAATTATTGTGCGCTGCATAAGCGGCTGCGACATGGCTAAGGTCATTGGCGGTGAGTGGTGTATGCATCAATCGTGCAGCCGCCGCTGAGAAGACAACTGGATCGTAAACGTCTACTTTTGCGAACAATTTGAGAGTTTCGACGAGCGACTCCGGATCGATTTCGTTTGTTGCACCCTCTATAGGTTGTCTGTATATTTCTCTACAGACTTTTGAGTAGAGTGGGCTGTCATAAAATCCAGCCCTGACGTAACATTGGCACGCCTTGAGTAACAATTTGCCCTTTTCCTTTGCCGTTGAAGGGTAACTATCATGTAAAGGTATACGCATAAGATGCCTAAGTATACCGTTGTATAGCCTGAAGTATTTGTATTGCAAAGCATCAAGGGCAATGATAATTTGGCAAGCCGACTCTACATCCAATTTGTTCCGATTCTCGTATATATCGTGCAGTAACAAGTCAAATCTTTCATCCCGTACAATCACATCTGCAACAGGCATGCTGTGCTGCCTACACTTCAGGTAATGGCGATTGGCCGGGTTTTCAAAATGTACCAATACTTCCTCTTTGGCTTTCTTTAAAATATTTTGCTGTGTTTCCGTTAGACCATCTATGTCCCCTGTTAATGTGAGCTCTTGGGGCCTCCCAAGTTGCTCTGTTGCTTCTTTTGCTGCCTTTGCTTGGTGTATGCCATTCATACGATTCTCAACTTCACCATTCCCAGCGGCATATTCTGCCTTCGGTGGTGCCACATCGTCTCCAAATACCTCTTGATAACCCGCAAACAGGTCATCAGCATCCGGCTGTCTTGTTCTAGCTCTGTCGCGTTCTGCGAACGCCTGTAGCATGTTCATAGCAGTGACGAGATTGTGTAGGTACATCACGCCTGTATTACAACGTTTGTTTCTGGTAATTAGTCATCTTACCTCTGTGCGTGACTAGTAAAACGAGCAGATCTTCATGGTCCTCGCATTTTGACATGAGCTGATCCATTTGCATACACACTTCGTTGACATATATCACATTGTCTTCTTGTGTATCTTCTCTAGGTCCTTGCAGCGTCCTATTTACTTCTGTATACCGCCTAGAAGGCTCCGCGGCGGCGCTTTGGAATCCATCGCTCGCGAAGTGAGCATACTGGGCACGGTTGGACGGCCGCCGTCTCACATAGCCGTTTATCGATTGTTTAGTGTGCGCACGTATAAGACATTTAAATAGATATGTGACATATGCCATTTTATGAGCGCCATTGTATAATGTGTAGCCTTGCTGTGTATGCTCGTGGTTGTTTCTTGGCGTGTTTTTCGTGCGTCTTACAGCGGCGATGGTGACCAATTTTATCACATGTCGCCATTTAAATCATTTTCGTGACCGTTTTGCTCTCCTAGGAGTTAGTTCGGCATCTGCCTCCGGTGCTTGTTCTCCTACTTTGTCGATTTCTTTATCATATTCATTATCCTGCAAGGTATTGTAGACATTGCGCGATTTGAGTAGTTATCAGAATCTTACCTCGCCAGTAGGTACCAGGAAGTCCCATACGTAGTCGGAGAAGAACCCCTTTTTAAGGTGCGTGCCAAACCCTGAGGAGCTGTACTCAAGTTTACTTCCTTGTCCCTCATCGGATTCACGACTTTGTAACCTTCTCGATCGAGTACGTGTACCATATACATGTCCTCCTTCTGGAGCGACATCCACAGTGACTTCTGCAGCTGGTCTCCTTTGCGCTGCCTGTTTCTTAACTGGTGGTTTAGGTCTGATGGCGTTGGTATCCTTGCTAAGTATTTCTTCTAATTTGTGGTTTTGGAAGGATGTATCTCGTTCCTTTCTACGACTATCAAGTTTTTTAACAAGTTCCAGTGCGTCTTGTGCCTCTATCCCTTCGTCCTTGGTTTGGATGAGTGGCTTGAAGACATCCGTATAAAATTTCACTGTATCCTGTTCAATTGGGTTTCCTTTGGTTGTTGCGATGAATATTTCACGCCAGTGATAGTGGAAGTTGCCTTGCGTGTCGCTCCAGGTCGGAAATATGCTCTTGAGGTCTAGGAGCGCCTCGTAGCAATCGTTCGCTACGTGCTCTGGCCTATCTTCAGCCATGATCGGCTTATTTAAATTAATTTTTTATTACGATGTGTGTTCATTACAGGGTGTACTTTTATTCGTACTCCTTTTCGCCGCATAGGCGAGATTCCTCTGCGACATAAAATGGTTTTAACTGCTGAGACGGTTACAAATGCATTTTTTGTGTTTAGTGCGTTTTTATGCATCTTAAGTTGTAATAATGATATTCTACATCGTTGGTCCGTCCATGGTAAACAAGCTGGGTTACTTTCGGCGCCGGAATCCACCAAATTCAATCGCTTCCGCGTATCAAAACAGCTCTTCATCCACTTCTATGTCTTGGCATTGGTCTTCAACGCTTTACTTCTCCTATTGGTGCGTTAGGATTCCCAGATAACAGACGTCTCAGGAGCTGAGCTTGCGGCATGAGTTCAATCCTTTTCGCCTGCTCTTTGGATTCCACATTGTGCGGAGATATGTAGAACAAAGGCATATGTTTAATGGCCTTCCGAGTTCAGGCATGCATTACACGGCCTATCTTTTTGGCGTTGGGTATGTTTCATCGACATACTTGTGCCTTGCGCATTCTTCGCTAAATTACATAGTGTTACTCTTACCTTTTATTAACACGTCATATCTTTGTGCGGAGAGCACTGAGAAACTGCACGTTTCTCACAGCGCTATATCTCCACACATTTACTTTCTTTTGTCTATTATCTAGCGCTGGCCCATCCGTGGTGGGTATCCATATACTTGCAGCTACTACTTGGTGGTTCCCTTCGCTCTATCAAATCCCTGTTATGAGATATCCACGTTGCACGTGTCAACATTTTTTGCATCGCAATATCTACAGGTGAGTTTTCTTCCTGGTTTCTGTTGTTTCGTTCGTTGTACTTTAATCTTTCACATGATGCGTCTACTAGCAAGTAAAGTTGCTCCAACTCATGATGCGACAGGTAGCGTCCCACTATATTCTGTACAAGACCAAGGTAAGAAGTCTACAATACGGGGATTTGACGTACGGGGTACCCACTGGCGGTCCTTTTAACTACGTCCTGTGCCCACACTACTGTTCGGAGATCCTTACATACGGATCATTAGCATGCAACGTAGAGATGTAGGCGTTTGGAATATAGCAATAGATACTCACAGGTTCTCTTGTTTCTTCTTTGTGTTTGTCGCAATGACAATTCAGGGTACGTGTTATGTTCCTATGTGATACACTTCGCAGCCCTATCACACCGGCAGTGGTATGCTGCAGCATTTTTGCCTAGCGAGTTACATACCGGATACACTCTCGTGCCGTACTTGCTTTGATTTAGGCACTGCACAATAGGCGGCAACGGGCCTGCGCAGCGCGGTTCACGCTTGTTGGTACTCCCTCTAGGAATCGGCTAGAATCACAGCACAATTCACAATCGCTCACTTTATCTCCGTCTTTTGTATCGGTGTGTTTGGTTCCTACAATGATATGTATTTTGCGTTTATTCACGTAATTTCGGCAAACTAACCTGTCTGTTCATTTTCACTTTGCTCAAGGTGTGGCGCACAACCTCTCCAGAAATGGTCCGAAGTCGTCTGTAACAATACTGCTGCATGGTCTAGACCGCGGCACCGCTCATAACAAGTGTCTTGCGCTACAGGTGCGTCGGCGTGCTGGCGCTCACAACACATGGCACAATAGTTTGTTTCGCAATTTCCGACATTATTTGGTGCGATAGTTTTACAGTGTTCTAGTCGGTCTATCGCCAGGCATTGATCATCGCGAGCTGTTCGTTGCTTCTTCCGGTAACCTTCCTGATGAGTAGCTCCGTACGTCGCCGCAGCATAGTTCGGTGTTAGTGTCACTTCGGCGAACGCACACCCTGCACAACCCATACTATACAACCCTACAGTACCTCCTAGTTGTACGTCTTCAGTCACTGCGGTGTTGATGAACACTGCCTCTAGTATTTGTGTCCCTACGGATGCCGTTACAGAGTCTGATCTGAATAGCAATTCGACATAGTTCCACACTCCTGTTTCCAAACCCTTCATTTCCGTTTCAGCAAGTATATTTCGCATGCCTCTATGCATTTGAATGGCCTGGCATCGGCGCGTACTACACTCAAACGACACGTAGTTTCCGGCGTCCCCAAAGTGTACCAGTAATCCCATGACACCGGTAGGCTCACACTGAGGGAACATTGCTGCACGGAAAACACCAGCTTTACAGCTACGTCCACCTTTTAACAACGCCATTGAAGGTTCAGTCGAGCCATCAATAGCCGGGTATCCACGATGAGCTATAACTTTAGGTTCGCCTCCGACGTTATCTTCGAAGCTCCACCTTCCAGCGTTGTCGAGAGCTCGCCAGTTGGCAGTGAATCCCACTGCAAAGCTCTCCTTGTATACACTGCAAATAGGCGGTTTTGGTGGTGGTGGCGGCCTGTCGTAACGCAAGCAGGGAAGGGTTTCAACGTGTACCCTGGCAAAGTGGGCAAGATTAATTTGACCACTGAACAATCCAACGCTTCCACTTGCATGTGAACAGTCGATAACATCGATTGAATTCGAAGGCAGGTCGAAAACGGGTTCAAGACCCTGCACTATTGCGATAGCGATGCGGCATTGTCTCGCCTCTATCCTAACCGTGTACCACAACCCATCTACAAAACCTCCATCCTCGATCTTCGCGATTTCGTAGGGGATCCCGTTCACCATCCTCACTAACCTCTTGTACCCTCCATTAAGTTGTACCATTTGGAAAAGGTAATAGTTGTCATCATCCACGACCCTGAAAACCAGTCCTAGAGTCCCGCTTCCACCGGGGAAAACAGCTGCTGAGAACACGAAATCGTAGTACTGCGCATTGCTCACGTTGAGCAGTGCACCGCTTACAGGTCCACGTGCTCCGAACTCACTTGTTTGCGAGATAACATTTTCCAATACTCCCTTGAGAGACAGGCTGGATACTGTCCATTTGGGCACTCCCTGTACATCCCCTACCGTAAAGGCATGAAAAATGTCAAATATGTTGTTCTGCGTGACCGCATCTGATGACCACGGTTCGAAGGAGTCATTAATGGCTGATTCTCGTTTCAACGACTTGATACCTTCAACAAGCGGTTTCTTTTTGTAAGTAACTCTTGCTGCTAACCATTGTAACTTCTTCTGCATCATTTTGACCCCGTCGTCAAGGCGGTCCATGAGTTCCTCAATAGGTTGTCTCTGTATATCAGCTAGTTTTATGAGTTGTATTGCGCTTGCAATGGTTTCCGAAGCATGGTGATGGAATAAATCGAGGAATACGGGTGCAGCTTTCCCACTCTGTTGGTTGACCTGTGTTACCAGTGATCCTATAGCTTCTCCGGTTGCAGCATCAATTGCCAGACTGTGGTTGAAAAGTTTAGGCGTTTGGGATTTATTCGGTTGAGGTTTTTTGACAGTAATTTTAGGTTCCATCTTTGCAACCTTTGCAGCATCCCTGTCTACTAGTGGCGTCACCTTCTGCATGTTACACTCATCTTGGACACGTGACACTTTAAATGCAAGATCGCCCACAAGAGCCGGCACGCTTGTACTTTCGATACCGTTTTGAAAAAATCCTTCGAATTCAGCGGGTGCTACCGCCTTTTTTACCTCAAGTGTTGCGTTTCTACTATATTCTCCAGCATGAATAGCTGCGACACAAATGGGCGTTCTTAGAGAATACAATCCATCATTACCACCTTCTACATCTACGCCTTCGTCATAATTTTGAAGGCAATTTTGCGGACACGCTACCTTTACTGCGGCCCCCACCGCTGCTTCCTTAAGTTTTTGGTTTTCATTAATCAGAGTATGACACCCAAGCTTGATTATTTCGGTTGGTAGCCTGATACTTGAGTAGTTACTTGAGCACACAATACCGGTCATATCCGTTTTCCTCCCATCTACATACTGCGGCCCGTCTGTCGCAACTGCAACAATATTATTTTCGCTATTTGGTTTAAAGTTTACGGCAAACGTGACGTCATCCTTTAAATCCAGCGATTTGAACTTTTGCCCTACTTTGACTGCCACCGGGTATAGACAGTCTGGCGCGACATCCATAGTTTTAAGCATAACTTGTATGGCATCTATTTGCGACGGATGGTGTATCTGCAATGGATCCAATCCATATTTTCTACATGTTGTGTATACTTCCTGTAACCCTATTCTTCCGCTTTCTACGGTTGCCACGTAGTAAGATGCCCCAGTATACATATCGCAATAGACCCTGATGCTATGGCTTGCACATGGCGGGTATACATAATAGAATCCACTAGGACTGCTTTCTCCACGATTTTTGATTTCTATACAGTCGGCTGGAAGGTGTTCTTCCGGTATATATTCTCCTCCGAGCTCAAGTTTGGTCTCGAACCTGTAGACAGCGTTAGACACGCGTTCAAATGACCTTTCTAGTTCTTGAGCTCGTTTAAGTGAATTAATTTGTTTTCTTTTACATTGTTGCATCTTTCCATGGAGATTTTCAATGTGTGCGACTTTATTTCCAATGTTATCAACTAAGGTGTCTATTGCGCGTTCAGCTGCGATTAGAGGTTCCCCACTGTGTAAGTCCACCTCATACACAGAGTTCAAGAAATACTTATCTCTTGCATCCTTCGATAGTTTGGCACGTTCGCAGGGTTCTACGATGGTTTTGAGCCTGTTACTGTAAGCGGCGAAGCTGCGTATGCCATAGTGCATTTGCCCAGCACTGTTGGCGTATTCTGGGTTTGGCCTCAGGAGCTCTAGTTTGATCATCCGTATTACTTTGTTGTGCATATTATCTACAGTAGCCTTGAGTGTGTTAGCGTGTATTTTTTCTATCAATTGCCAATCTTTGTCATCCTTTTTTACCAGGATATTGTACGCCAGTGCTGGTGCCTCCCAGTCGATTTCGATTTTCCGCACCTTATAATATTCTTGTAGGTTAACCACGAATTCCACCTTTTCAGGAATCGAATCTACAGTGAACACCTCGCTTGCCCAGTATGATTGTAGGTTTCCGTCCAGAGCGCTTTCCGCATTACATTTGGTATCGTTTTTTCGTGTCATGCTACTTGACGCTATTTTATTCAGAGCAACATTTGCCAACCCTGCGCTACTACCTGTCTGTGAGAGGCATAGATTTCCAGGCCTTCTGAGTTTGATTTGGTTATTTGGCAGTAGGTCCCATGAATTTACACCTGTACCCGACTGTTGGTTACATGGTAGCATCACAACTCTTCCTCCATCCGTATCAACATTGTTTTCCAGTGTCATACACAGCTTTGTTGCTGGATTATACAATTGTCTTTTTTCATTATATCCCCATATATCGTTAAATTTGAAGCTTGCTATAGCAGCCACGCACGACTCTAGTACTACTTCGTCAGTTTCATCCACCTGTAGACACAGATCCTCTGTAGATGTTATTCCTGCTTGTATAGAGAAAATAGGGTTGGGCTCTCCATGGAATTGCACGAATTCTATTCCGAAGTACCCATTGATTTGTCCCTTCATTGCAATTTTAACAAACTGGGCATCAATTTTACGTTTAAACTCTATACTTTGCGTAGTTTCGCCAGAATCAACTGCCTGGAACGGCGCCACTTCTTCAAATTGTCCATCTCGTTGTCTCTTGGCTAATATAGCCACAAACTGCGGTGCGTATACCCATGTGATGGTGACGCCCGTTAACACCCTTGGTCCTCTAAGTTCAGCTGTCCATGCAACAGTTTTATCTGGCAACAAGTTAGCTTCACTGCACCAGTAGCCTCCTCCTTTTGTGGTAGCATTTTTTGCGTCATATTTTCGCAACCCGGCTGCCCCTAGCGCCTTGAATGTAGAATCTGCTTTGGCCGTCGTCGCTCCGAATAGCGTTTTCTTGGTACTAGTTTCGCTTACAGTGGCATCCGATGCTGGTCCATCCACATTTGTATTCTTGTCACCTGTAGTAGTTGCGTCGTTTGCAGCCGCAGGTGTTCCATTCACTTTATGTTGCGTTTTCAGATCCTTTATATTCTTCAACCCATCTTTTGATGTCTCTTTTGCTCCTTCATGGGTCTCTTCTGGCGGTTTTGGAGGTCCATTGTCTGCATCTATGTATTATCTAATAGTTGGCTATCATCATACCTTTTGGTGCTTCGAGATACCTTATTGCGTGTGCTGTTCGAATGCAAATCACCGCAAATGTCAGAGCAGCTTTAACTGCTACCATCCTAAGTGTTATTCTAAGGAATCCTGTTGTTGCGCCGTGCGGTTAGTCATCGCTACACACTGACCGTAGCGCGCCGCCGCCGGCGTGCGATATTTATTTGGTACTGTATTAAGGTTTGTGCGGGTCACTTAGCAGGCTTGGGAACGTACAACTTCCCTAATTCCCTATATCACGGCGTAGGTAGATGGGGAGGTTGCAGAGTATTAGTATGAATGCTAGAATGCATCGTATCGGGTCGTGTTATCGTTACAGCTATTTACGATTTCATCTATTTATTATTGTCTCATCTGGTGTACTCTATGCTGTGTCTGCAGTAAATGGACAAGTTATCATACACACTAGTCATTAGTGTGCCATGCCGTCTACTCCCGGCCACTTTGCCGCACTACTAGCGCTTAATTGAGGTCCAATAAAAAGTGTATTACACTAACCATCCACACCTGATGGTTGTGGAAGCGTCACACGTTCTTCGTTACCTCTTGGGGAACGTGGGCGTCTGAAACGTTGTTACCGCCAGCTTCGATTAACCACATAGTCACCACTAACTTATTTTATATAAAATCATCGCATTAATTGTGTATACAACGTACTGTGGCCCACTACACATCACACATCATTGGCTCTAGGGTGGGGGAGATAATGGTCATATTTAGCTTTCCATCGTCTTAATATTTGATATAACTGTACAGTATCGTGTATTATATCCATTGCACTGTGTTGTGTGAAAACTACGCAACACATTGCGGTTTTTAATGTTTTTTAAGCGCCTGGACCCGAACGGTTTGGTTAATTACTGCTATTCGTCTACAGAGTCTTCAATCGTCTGAATATACCACTAAAGATAGTATATATATATATATATATATATCGATGTGTGCCGGTTAAATGGAGGTATTCATGTCTACACTCATCATCACCTCGTAATCCATCTGCTTGAGTCTCGCCGCCAGTTGCGCCGTGATGGGCCGCTACAATGCCGCGATACAGCGTGAGCTGCACGGTACACGAAGCTGTGTTACCGCAGCAGTCGGGCGGCAACCCTGTCGACCCTCTGGTTGTAATGCGTTGTTTTGGTTCAGAACGCATGACATCCGTGAAGAACAGCAAGACAACGGTAGCATGCTGGGATGAAAGTTTTCATTGGTTCAATGTAGAACTTCCGGAATCTGCATGGAGTGTAGGTGTCATTGAGTTTGAGCTACAATCTGCCAATGCCTTTTGGCGCAACACTACCCTAGGTATTTGCGCTTTGCAGTTGCGCCTAGTATGCGCAACAAGTGATGGGTGCTACGTGGGTAGATTGCCTTTGACATCGCCTAATTCCGTTCGTGTAATCGGTCAACTTTTCGTCACGGTAAATGTAAGTGACTCGTTACATTTTGGCGGTGGTTCAGCAACGTCCTTGGCGTCACCAACCCAGCAGCCAGATTCGGCAACCGAAGAACGTGGGTCAATGCAAGTACCACATCTGTTGAGCCCTTTAGTCTACAAAAGCTCACTGATGGACTCAACGGGTGAAGAGTACAAATATTACCATTTGTATATTAATGTATATACCTTGGAACATGTGGAGGTTGGGTTGTTTGGTAGTACCCCGTCAGTCACGGTAGAATACGGAGGTTGTCGTCTTCAATCAACCAAGCCTGTTCGTCTACGTTGTGAGGGTTCTCGTCGCCCAGGCTCAGAGTCTGCTGGTGGGCTGTCGGACCTCATATCAGGGTTCTTCGTCGGTGCTAGCAGCAATGACGTAGCACACCGTTCCAACTTTGAGTTCAACCAATGCTTTCTGGTCCCGATTCGAACAACGGTTGGGAAACCCATATTGGAGGATAACATTGTCGTTCGTATTTGGATGGGTCTCGAGCTTTTGGCGAGTAACCCACTGTCTGACCGCCCAGCTATAGCCCCAAAGCTATTAGCTGAGGGCGTATTTTCTTTGGCTAAGTTGCGTGCGAGGCGTCAACTACCACGTTGGTTCAACTTTTATGAGAGTACTGACAGGACTGCGTGTAGTACCAATCAACTCAAGAACGACCAAGGAATAAATGCTGGTAACAATAAAACGGGACAGGTCGTCCGGAACGGAGCGTTAAACAACGCCACATCAAAGTATGGCGGTCCCGGTGGACGTGGTTACGGCAGCCGCAACAAGAGAATGGAGAGTAGCAGTATTGTAGATAGTAGGTCTGACGGAGAACCCGCAGACACTGGTAGATCTAAAGCCACATGCTATGGCCACTACATAGGTAGGATACTGATGAGTGCGAGTGTGAAACGTTTGAATAAAGCAAGTGATGTCTTGGTTGCACATGTCCAATCATCGCACCCTCTGGAGTCTGCTGTTTCTAATCCCACACGTTTATTCGGCGATATTTACTGCATCGAATCGCGTGGTAGCTTTGGTTTTGAGGGTGAATTCGAGGTTATGGTTGAAATAAGTTGTGGACCCTATGAAACACGTTCTGGGTGGATTACTGCGCAGCGTCGTGTAGGTACCGGCGATATATTTGCGGAGGAGTTAGGTGTATGGGGAACTAATGCATCGTCTTCAAAATCTAAAGACTTTGTACGTTCAAGACGAGGTTGGAAGGTGACTCTTAATACCATCAACGGCCGTCTGGCACCTATTGAGCTCTTGGCTTCACATTCCCCGGAAGAGCAATGGCTTGTTTTCGTACGTGTACATGGTCGTGGTACTATCTCTGGGAGACACCACAGCTGTGTGATCGCTTCTACCAGTTTCCCTTTTGATCGCATTGCTGAGCATTCTTCAAAATCGCAATCGACGCCTTTTTGGGTCCCTCTGTCTTGTCTTGGGTCTACATCTACTATTTCGTACAATGATGGTGAAAGTTTCATGGACCCGCTAGCACTAATGGATTCTGTGGCATCAATGGACCCATCGGCAATGCTGGATCATGTTGTGGCTCTTGATCCTACGGGGTGGCTTGGCACGGCTGCTAATGAAGTCCTTGGCCGGCCAGTTTCCGCCGATAGCAAGGGCAAACCTGTAGATCCAATAGATGATTATGCAAAGGAACTAGCTCATTGGTTACCTACAGGAACAAAATCGCAAGGTAACCTGGCTGCAGACCAGTCTATCCCAAAACGTCCGGGTAAAGACAAGAATGGTCTGATTTCCATCAATAAGGGCAAAGATATTAACTCCAGGGAAGATATGCCAAAGACCTACTCATCTGGTACAGATAAATCGGGCAAACGTGCTAGATCAGTTCGAGGCTCCAAAAGCCAAACCTCTGATCCTGAGGAATCCGATCTTATAACTGATATCCCTACTCCTGGTGATATGTGCGACCCTGGAGCGACAGTTAACATCCTCCTCACGTTGCATACTCACAGTTTTTATTCGGATCTCTCTCGTACTAATGGGCTGGGTAACGACATCCGTGCCACTTCTCGTCCTCAGATGGCATCGATGTTGAAACAAGACTATGAGTTACGGTGTTACATTTATTGTGCCCGTTTGGGTTGCGCGCCACATCGTAATATGTCAGTGCTTGTGTCTTGCGATGGTGCTTATGGACGAACACAAATGCAGCCTAACTTCACACGTTTCCCTGTTTTTGCCGAATGTTGTACATTCCGGGTTACAGTGCCAACGCTTACATCTAGCCGTTTAGCTCCTCCTCCACCCATTACGGTATCTTTGTTATTTTTCGACAAAAAGAAACGTTTGTTGCGCATGGAGTCTGCGGTTACAATGTACGATCGTTTGGTTAAATCTGCTTCAGGCCACAATAACTCAGGCACTGCACCGTCTCCTGCTTGGCTAAAACTATCCGGAGGTAGCTCTCTGCTAATGTTCACTGAGCTTGTGGTGTCCTCAGAAGCTTCCAAAGTAAGCAGGTATCAGTTATCTCCGCTATCTACTAAATGCACAATGACACTCGGTTTGATGGGTCTGCGACATTTGCGTGTCCCCGCTGAATATCCGTTGGATGGTCTCCTTCTCAAACTGTCTACACAATCGTACGGTCCAAGTGTACACTTTGAGCAGTCTCTGGAACGTTATCATCCAGTTGGTCGTTCTAGGTGGGAGCGTGGCGGTCGTCTGAACATAGACCTATTTACGGTACAGGAAGCATCATTCCACATCCCGGTGGATCCATTGTTCGACCCACATATCGAGTTTGTCTGCTACGCCATGTCTAAGGGAACTATAGGCCCTTTATTGGGTTACCAGAGCTTCAGGTGTTACCAGGATTTCGAATTGAACTCTAAGGACATATCTTCAGCGATACATCTAGACCTACGTCACTCGGTCAACCCAAGACGTATGGTACAGTTGCTTTCTTCTCTGGCTATACGTTCGTCTCATGATGTATTATCGCTGCAAGACAACGCAGAGAATCACGCTGGCTCCCGTCTAACCGATGGTGTAGCATCAGTACTGACCGAATTCCAGTCTTCATGTGAATACAAGCGTTTGTTACGTTCTATGGACTTGGAACATGTGGGTATGCATGTCCCACCCAGGTTTGTGATCGCTTGTGATGGGCGTCAAGCTGAGGACGGACCTGCTCTAGGTTCTGTTGCTGTTTCTGCAGATGCCTTGGATATAGTCTTGCGAGACATCCCATTCTCAACAGACAATATTTCACCGATGGCGCCCGTCGGTACCGGAGCTATTCCAGGATCTGTAGATGCATCTGATGTTGTTGTTTTGAAATACTTCTTGACAATCCGCCATTTGAAGGACGGTGTTGTACATCGGTCATATCCTGATGATATGGAGCCTGTGGCTACCAAAGCGTCTAAGATGTTGCGAGTATTACGTGGCGGATTGCGTAACAGTTTGCAGAAGTTGCGGTTTTGTGTGATATCAGCTAATAATTTGGCCCCGAATGGCGATACACTAGGATCTTTGTTTTTATCGGTGGAGATTGGTGGTTCCGAGTCCCGTGAAGCATTGATATGTGACCGCGGGTCGATCACCAAGCAAGTGCAGCGAACATGGGAACAAGATCTTTTCCTGCCGGAGGACAGTGTAATTCATCTTCGAGTTGTGAATTCTTTTGAGCGGATAGATGGCAGTTTGGTGGATGAAGTTGTAGCATCAGCGCAGCTTGATTTGGAGAATCGTTGGTATAGTCGGAGCTGGCAACGCATGTTACGCAAGGATGTGATCCCTGTGGAACGTGTGCTGTTAAGAGACAGCAATAACAATGTACATGGTTCACTGGATGTTATCGTACAGATTGGTCCTGTGGAGCTCTTTTCAACATTGCGACCATTTTCATTCTCTAAGACCATGCACTCCATCACCGAAGTAAGGGTAGTAGTATGGTCCACATCGGGTGTACACCTTCCCGCTACGCCTTCAGATTCAAGAACCAAAGACCAACTTGACTTATATGTGGTTTCTACTTTGGATTGCCAGGGTTATCGCGGCGATCTCCCATTGAGCCAGCGTACAGATACCCATTACAATTGTGACTCTGGTTCGGCACAATTCAACTGGCGTATTGTGTACCCACAGATCCATGCACCTGTAGGTGCTTGTCAGCTACAGCTGTCTGTATTTGACTTTTGGAAAGTGGGTCCGCCTACCTTTGTTGGAGAGGCAACTCTGGAGCTACGACAATATATAGCTGTGGTGTCAACAACTGCTACACGCATAGACCTTTCAGGAGATCTACCTCTAGTGAACTCTTCGAATCCGCAGCCTGTAGGCTCTCTACGTGTGACGGTCCAGGTGATGACACAGTCTGAGTCTACGTGCAGTCCGGTATGTTTGTTTTGCATCACTTCAAAGCCTTATTCTCTTATAGGCTGGTACGGGTCGTGGCCACCCCAATTGCAAACCATTCTTACCTACACCGCGTGTTGGACGGCAATGGCAAGATTGGTTCGCCCATACCTCTTTGGGGTTCGATTTTGGCCCCCTGTCGGTTTACGTAAGTGTATGCACATTTCTATTACATCATATGTACAGGTTAACTACGCTGCATGTCTACTGTTATTACTGTGGCTGTTTTTCATCAGTTTCGTCTACCCGGCACTGCTTATGTAGCACTCGCACCTAAAACGGGTCGAACTCGCCAAACTCATCGTTATTCTTCTTAGTCGTATTATCCTTAGCACTATAGTCGAACGTCATGAAATCCAGCGTGTCAAGTTTCTCTGCCGGTGCCGGTTTTGGCACAACGACCTCCCCTAGACCTAGCAGATCGTCACCTAGCAACGGACCCTGTGTTGGCTTGGGAGGTTCTGCCTTCCTTTCGGTTAATGGGCTTGAAAAGTCCAACGTAGGCGAACGTGTTGTTGAAACTTTGTGGTCACCTTCGGTGGATAGTAGCACGTGCAGTGCTCGCTGTTCGAATAGGACATCCATTTCACTAGCGCGTTGCTGCAACTCCGTGTTCGTATGTTTCTTGAATTGCCTTACAACACGCATGATCCTATCGATTTCCTTAGGGACCCTGCACGCCAGTTTCCCCAAACATGTAAGCAGATACTCTCCGTTGGTACAATCGTGCCCCGCGGCTCCCGAGCACGCTAGTATGTGCCTAGCCACAGATTCCACAACTGCTATCACTTTCATAGCAGTGTTTTCATTACCAATAGCAACTGGTGTGGTCTCCAATTGTGTGATAGTTTCAACTCCCGTTACAAGGTCATCTGTAACACCAATTAGATCTTCAAATTCCAATTTAGATGTGGCAGGAGGCTCTTGTTTAGCCGTGATAGCACTCGACGGTGTTACATCAATTTGGTTCAGTTCTGGTAGCACATGGGTATACTCTCCCAGGCACCAAAGCGCCGCCCGTACAAGTGCATCTTGCCCAAGGTTATTTGGTAGTACATAGTAGAGTTTTGTCGTTATGCGTATCTGTGTGTCCGTCGTGGAGGCACCAACCGCTGCAATAAACGAGTGCAGTATAGCTTCCGAGACAGAGTTTCCAGCGATGGCAAATATCTTCACCATAATTTCAAGCCTGTAGTATTTGGATGGGTCTCGAGCTTTTGTAGAACTCCGAATCTGCATGACGTTCTAGTGCTGCAGCAATTTTGGTGACACTTTCTCGCTTGAGTTCGTCACTTGCTGCCAATAAAAAGTCATAAAGATGTTGCATAAGAGGCCTGACGGTCTCTTTAGACATAAGTTTCAGAGTAACATCCAGTGAACGTCTCCGAATGGAAATATCAGGTTGCCTGAGCGACTGTACGATAATGGTCCAATTGTTGTCTCCCACTGTGAGAGTGACACCCGAAAGGTTGTTAAGTATCCCTAGGGCGATGTATTTGATGTTGTTATCGTTTGTTGATATGAATTTGTGTACTACCTCTCTTCCTAGTTGGTTGAACTTTGGGTCATGCATCTCGTTGTATATTGTGCGTACACATTCATATAACAAGGAATGTGTCGCATTGTTTGATACAGTTACACTTTTGAGAACATGACATACAGTATCGTATAGTTGCTGGTTTTCAGCTGTCTGATCTTGGCGCCTTCCATATACCTTTCTAATTAGCCCTAATAACTTGACCTTGAGGAAGGGGTCATTGACACCATTGATTTCATAATCCTTGCCGCCACCAAACATCACACCAATTCCGCCTGCAGATTCGGTGGACAGGGCATTTAGCGTCTTGATAAGTAGTTCGTATATGGCTTGGAAGTTACAGCACTTGGGATAAAAGTCGATAATGACATCCAGCAAGGTTAGTGCCGCTGCCACTACTCCGTGGTTATGATCACACAGTAGCGCCGGTATGTTATGATAGTGTGTCGATGCAATCTCCATAACTTCCGGTCCTGGTACTAGGCTTGCCTGTCCAAGTTTTCTAAGCATCCTAGCGGAGCAAACAATGGTTTTTTTCCTAATATTGACCGCAGGCGCTTTAATCAACCTTTCAAGATCTTGATAGAGCTCTCTAAACATTTCTGAGTTACCTATGTTTGCCAAAGCGTTGAGCGCCGCTTCGGCGGCATGCGCGTTGTTACCGTTAAGATCCCTTTTGATAGAGTTGATTGCTAGTGTCAAGACCTCCGCATCCTCGTTGAGCAATATGCTGAGAGACAGATACCCTACTCTCTTATCGGCAAACTTCGGTGACGCAATAAGTTTTATGCATTCTACCTGGCCGAAGTTCGTATTATGGCCCATAAGGTGTATAAGCAGCAGTTTGGCGATATTCTTGCGTCGTTCCGAGGATGAATTGCTGTTGAGCGCACTTCTTATATCAGCACATTCTCTTGCTATTACAGCGCGTTCTTCTGCGGGAGTTTTGCAGCTACGGATAGCGCGTATCATGTCTTTGACCTGCCCCGTCATTTTGACGCAACGATTCAGCGCCGTTGGAGGTCGCTGTTACGTCTTTCGAACGATTATAGAATGCGAACGAACAATTTTTGTTCCTTTATATATTACTTGGTTTGGATATCTCATTTGAGCTTTTCCACGGCTCGCAGCGTCGCACACACCAAGACACCATGGGGTGGATCTTCCAAGCTGGAAACTATTCTTTCCTCTCTGCTGCATATTTTTCACTCCTCTACATGATACACACAAGTTACACTGTACGCGGGGTGGCTACAAAGATTCTTTAGCGATTGTGTAAGAATCCTTTTTGGCTTTCCTTCCCCTTATAGGCCATCATTCTCGGGGAATCGCACTGCGGTTCCAGCTAGTTGCACTCTTATAATGCAACTTTCCGTGCGCTCTACCGAGATTGACAACGATATTTTTTCAAGCTCCGGATCCGAGGATGACTCCGGGGATGAAGATTACTGCGATGCTTCCGTACCGAGGAGACGGAATGGTCGTCCGGTACAGGAGCGTCGGGTGCGTGAGGACACGTCTGAAGTTCATGTAACTTCACGACTATTCGAGATAGTTATTATGCGCAGACACGCTAAGCTTTCAACATGTATCCAAAGGGTGTTGCTAAATATCAGCTCCGATGAACGATACATGGCAATAGCGGATATATTAAGCTTCATCTGTGAATGCTCTGGTTTCCATCATTCCTCAATATCACCGGAAGTTGTTGATAGCTGTGATTCTATCGGGAAACTTACTATTGTGGACCTAGGAAAGGAGCCGAAATCTGGCGACCACTCAGCCACTAGAGAAAGTCCGTTTGGACATTTTGAATCAAATGTACCAAATGGATCGGAGGGTAAAGCCTCGATACTCACGCCAACCACTAAAGACAAGTCAAAATCATCTGGTGTTCACTCTGGGATTCCGTCTTCCGAGCAGGAATTCAATTATGACAATTTTGGTTGGTGGAGTTTACGGGATATGTTCACTTCTCTGCCCAATACAGTCAGTTATACGGAAATCGTAAAACAGTGCTCTAATGCATCGGAGGCTAAGGCCAACGATGACGAGGACTCTTTATTCTTTCCAGATGCTGGCCGTGCAATTAGTGATCGACAAACTCGATGTTTGGCTAATAAGTTTTTAAACCTCTGTCAGGACCGTGTGAAACGTCTGACCTCTGCACTTGATGCTCAGGATGGTTGGACAATAGGTTTGGGCAAGAGGAATACTGCATTTTTGCGTTACAAAGAATTTTTTCAGCAATTGGCATTTGAAACTGAGGAACCCTTCTTGGGCGATCTACTTCATTCACTACAGTGGATTTTCGCTCTTAGTATGATCGGATTCCGGGTTGTACGCCAATTTGCACTAATTGCCTGTAATGAGGTTATTAGCAGTTTATTGGTGAAAATGAACACGCTGTCAAAGAACGAGCGTGTATTTACTCGACAGCTGCAAGTTGAGGTCGAAATGGATCAACGCACTCACGAACGCGTACATGCCAGGGACCCCGGTGCTACCGTGAGCTGCAGTAAATCCACTGTGGAACTCTACAAGAAGTTGATTCTGTCGCAGCTCGGCCAAAGTGCTATTTTGCGTTTTATAAAGTGCGTCTATTGCGTAAATTTTACGTCGAAACTACAGGATGTATTGACGGATATTCGTGTTTGTTGCGCATTCGCGATTGGTACGAATGTTATGTTATGCCCCGTTATTTTTTCTAAACCCTCTTATGTGGATTTCGTTTACAGGATACTGCCATCCACTGATGATTGCACGCGACTCTTGCTGCTTCGTTATTTGTCAATGGTAGAACGCCGGTTGTCTGAAGAGGAGTTGGGTATCTTGCTCTCGCTACATGCATCATGTTTGCGAGATGGAATGGCTACTTGTAGTGAGACTATTGAAGCTATTCTTTTAAGGGATGTACACCTGAACTATGATCACAGTGTGGTATTCAACCACAGGAATGAGAAATCATTTTTACCCGTGATCAATTCACTATCCCGTGGGAATAACTCTACTTTAGCCGTGCTAATAGCGTCTATATTCTTACCGTCGATGGCTATACGCAATTTTTCACTGGTATTACAGGTAAGGACTGATGACCTACGATCGAAGTACCGCAATATTCTATCGCCACACCCCGATGTGCTCGGACGGCAGAATACCCTCACTATTTCGGAAAATTCTCCTGTAAATGCTGAGAACTTTAACAGGTGTTTCAAGGAGCTTTCAAAGCTAATATCTACGGTGGATCCCAAGGATAACTTTGTGATGAACCTAATAAGTAGTCTATGGGATCACAGCGATATATTTAGCGACGTTGGTCGAACCGTGCGTTTCCTGTGCCAGGGTGGTGATGTGTCGACTGTTAAGGGCCGCTTGCATGAAAGTTGCCAGGAGCTGCTGCTCAATATTGCTCTAGCGAGTTTCGAACATTTGCTGTCTAATGCCGATGGCCCTAAGGATGCACAGTTCGAAGCAGTCAGTACGGTAGCCTCCCATGCACCCATGTTGTTGCGTATGTACCGAGCAAGCATGCCACATATGAAGACAGCATTGCAGCTGATAGAACAGGTCACTTCCCAATTGCAGCTTCGGGATATCCCAGCCACACCCGGTCTGATACCTTCGCTACGGGAGGCGTTGACCCACTTGGTTGAGAGTGGTGAAAGCGGTGAGGAGGCGTTGGACGCCTTGAGATTGGCAGTGCGTTGCCTTTACAATTTGTACAGAGGTAACGAGAGTGCGAAATCACACGTATCGGAGCTCTACAAAATGGTGTCGGAACGTATGTCTTCCAGTGATGACCCTGGTTTGGCAACGTTGCATTGTGCTATGATGCTACTACACTACTTGCCAATGGAGATGGACGTTGCAATAACCCTTATAGGTGTCATTCGACGTAATTTGGAGTCACCAACAGTGGACGATCGGATGTTATGGTGTGCCATAGGCTATGTATTATTTGAAGCCGAGCTCTACAAGTGCGTAAGAACTTCGCAATCGTCTGTTAATGCAATTTTCAGTACACTGCGCGACTCGTTGCTACGTTCCATTGCGTTGCTTGTCCGCGAGGCACGTTCAGATTTTCGGATGTTTGTATGTTTCTGCTCGATGGTATCATTGGTACAGATATCTGCATTGGTTAATGGTCTCGATGAGTTGCCAGATTGTGTCGAGTTGGAGATTTTCAACGTGCTTGACCACTTTTATCAACGTGTACGTCCAATTCGTATGCGTACTTTGGCTGCATGCCCCTTGACTCCAGGGGTTTTGGAAACCCACAATAAGGGCATAACAGTTGCAGATGTGTTCATCAGTGGCTATGACGAAGATAATTTCATTCTAAACCCGCTAAGCTCCGTCATGTGTCTGGTGGGATTGTTCACTAAGGCGTTGTCTGCACGTTTGTACTGTAGCGGAGCCTCTATACTCCTGGTTCTACAACTGCTATCATCAACTCCTGCGATATCTGAGACTTCTGGCGTCTATCTACGTTTCGTTGCGAATTTCGATGACCAGATTCTGTTGGCACTGCTACTCGCTACGATGATCGGTTTGTATGAATCCAGTGCCAGGGGTCTAGCCGGTCAAGTGTGTCGTCGTTTCGTGGAGCGGGTCTTAAATAAACAGGATGGCATCGTTGTCGACCATAAGAAGCTGAGGCTTGATCGTCTAATAGTGTCTGCTGTGCGTTATGCACTTCAGGCGCCTAGCAATTGGGATTTTTTGACGGTGGTTATAGATTTTGGGACATTACTTAAGCATCACGGGTCTACGTTTAACAAAGCGGCTTTACAAGGGCATATAGCGACGCTATTGGCATCGATGAACCCGCCGAGTGCACTACGTGACAAGGTCGTTAAGTTGTTGAACGCATTTGGTATTACTCCTGTGAAACGTAAAGGCAACTTGGTGTCAATGACTGAGATTGATGATATGGATCGTTGTGTCAACATCATCCGTGGCAAGTCGAGTTATATCGATTTTGTACGTGTATCTGGCGGTTCAGGGCGCCGCAAGAATCGCCACCGGGTAACCTCCACTGGCGTTGTGAAGCGTCACAAAACTGATAAGTTGGGTGAGCGTTCCGTTACGTCTGATACTCGTGCTAGTTCTGCAGATTCTCGTGAGACCTGTGCTGAGGTGTCACCAGTTGTAACACGCACGTTTACGAAATCGCAACTATTGTACCCGCCCAGTGTTGGTATGGTGCGTTCTCGTAACCCTTCAAATGTTCCTCTGGAGCGTGATTCTTTAGAGGTTGGTTATTTGGAACTAGACCACATACCGATTCCCGTGACCACTCAAGACCCCGCCACCCCTCAAGGCTCGACAGGAACGTCGTTGACTGAACATAGTTTCGGTTTGCGTTCATCCAATAGCGAAGATCTAGCATCTTTGAGTTCTTCGGTATTGTCACCATTAGTGTTACATCTATGAATCATTTTAGTATTGTTCTACCCAGTGGGTGAAATGTTTTGCTGCGCCTACGAACGGCCTTTCCATGTGGCCCGCCTCCACCTCGGGCACCTCCCTTGCGATACGCACTGAGCATATCCACATCAACATGTGCGGCATCGAATCCAGTAGCGTTAGCTGAGATCATTGTTTCCATGTGTGAGATTACGTACCCAGTTTTTTACGGAATTCAAGCTCACTTTTATCCTTCTTCCACCAAAGGTCTAGCTTCTTTGCAGCTGGGTTTTGTCCCACGTCTGTGACTTCCACGTTATCTGAAGGTTCAGCGTCGTCAGATAAATGTGAATCCGTAGAGCCACCATGCTTGAATGGCTGGCGTTCAGGCATGAGTCCTGGTATGCGATCGATTATTTTTAATGTGAATTTACCATGTGCCGGTGGTAAGTAGAATGGTGAAAAACGTCTCTGTTCACGTTCCGCCCGTTGTTCTGCCTTTGCTTTTGCCATAGTATGTTTATATATGGCAAAAGTAGGATCCTTCCTACTTCTTTCGGAATAGAATACCTTCCATGGTAGTTGCATTGCCCTGATATCCGGATACTGTTTGTAGAAATATGCTACTGATCGCATGCGTTCTCCCAGTTGTGAACGCAGCTGTTCAGGTGTTGTATTCAGTATATAGTTATCAAAACCACCGGACTGTGTGATAGCATGGATGGCTGCAATATCTGTTGGTCAAGATATCTCATCTTACCACTAGTGGTGACCCTGACGTTGGGTACTGTGGTATTAAGTAACCTTGACTCTAGGTCCTTTTTCACGACATTCGGTTTCAGTTTGATGCGTGTACGTTTAAGTGAGAATGCGACCTTGGAGTAGTAGTTGAAATCTTCATCATGATAGAGTCCTGTGACACTCTTAGGCACAAAATAGAATAGATATACCAGTTTGCGATGCTGCTGATGGGACACGTCCGTATGCCTTGACCGGTATCGGGTGTATGATTTGATTTTTCTTGAAACCCTTGCGTTGTACAAACCCTGTGTACAATGTGTGCCCATGAAAACACGATTCAACGTTACCATTCAGCCTGAGATATTTGCCAAATAGGCATGCGTGTCTCGGCATTGCGCCTACGCGCTTATAGCGGTAACAAATCAATAGAGTCCAGTGCTGGCAGGGTCAAAGCTTAGTTGTTGATCTCCGGACGTTCCAGCACTAAGAGCCTTCACCGCTATAGTTACCTCAGTCACCTATTTATCCAACGTTATACATTAATGTGTATAACATGTTTACAGCATTCCTAGTGTCATTTACGCCGCAAAGCATATCTATAGTGTATTCTCAAGGTTAGAGGCGATCTCGTACAGATGAATACTATAAAATTAACACATATAAGATAACATATGTCATTATACTGCTATATGACGATGTGTTACCTCAGTCTCGTCCGTCGTGTTGTTGAAGGCGGGCATTGTTTTACGGTGATACGCAACGTTACTCATTTAAATATCGTCTTCTAAATCACAAGTACACTCGTTGTGTTTATTGATTCTAATCTGTACCGTATTGTTGCGGTGTGTGACTTATGGTGATGTTTTAACGGCAGCTGCTTATCAGAGTTATCTTGGAGGTTGGACAAGGGAAGTGCTGCAACATTATCACGTTTGCCCATTTGTACAATGGCCATGTCAAACATTATCTTAGACTTACATCTTAGAGCTATCAGTTATTTGAGATCCGTCTAAATTATATGGTTTTGATTACTCAGTCGTGATTCGTTCTGGGCTCTTGTTTAGATGATAGGTTCACGCATAACTGCTTGGATCACATTGCATACTATCACTGTGTCCGGTTTTCTGCGCAATGCGTCTTTGATGGCTTCCCGAAAGGTATCGGCGAATCCGCCACCATCTGAAGAGGTGGGTTATCATTTGGGGAAGCCCGAGTACCCCTGAGTGTGTATAATATTATTTCAGCGGACGTCTCCTATATCCCAAACTCCCAAAGGTGGCTTGGTACTAAAGGTTAGGGTGAAGCCTGGAGCGAAGATGACTCAGCTCGTTGGTGGTAAGAGATCGTAATACGTTCTATAGAAGTGATGTGTTTGTTGAACATAACCGTTAAATAGTTGTCAATGTTGAGATTACACCCTGCATAAAGGGAACTCAAACGGTTACGTCGTGTCTAATTGTGTATCCAGAGTTTGAGGATCCTCTGGGAGTGCAAGTTTCAGCACCTCCTCGTGAGGGAGCATGCAACGAGGCTCTTGTTGAATTCGTCTGTGATATTTGTAAGTTGAGCACCAATGTTTTTGTCAATGCGTTGCTCAGTGAAACTGAAGAAACGTGACGTTTCACTGATATCAGGTCACAAATCTCGTGAAAAAGTGCTCTCTCTGAGCGGTATCGCGATGGCGTCTGCAGAGGAACTAGTTCTCAAGCAACTGCAGATCGACACTCAGTCCACCAATTAACGTGGATTTTGGCAGTTTGACTTGAATAGCCGATTAACTTTGTCATAGTTAATGTCCCTACATCATATCACAGTACGTAAACACATGAACTCACAGCTCACTTTAGATTCATTATGAACGAAACGCAATCAAGACAGGATAAATAATCATGCCATATGGTTTCCTTTAACCATGATACAACTACTATTGTTGATCCTGGTGCTTTGGTGTCACTATATAGCGCCAGGAGCAGGTGTTTAATGTATTATTGCCGTAGCAGAGATTAAATGAAGTGTTATTCGAGGTTCCCCTCATGAACATCTCTTGGCGGATTTCGCCATTATTTTGTGAGGTCCGTTCACAGGTTCTTCTCAATAGCGTTCCTGCAAGGTTTGTCTGGTATATAAGTACAAACATACTTCAAGTTGATTACGCTGGCACCTACAACTTCGGCAACAACTTCACCATTTTTGAACAGTTTGAAGGCTGGTATGCTTGTGATGGCATATTTGGTCTGCAGTTCGGGGATTTCAGAGATGTCTACCTTGACGAAGACGGCTGATGGGTAGTCCTTTGACATGGTTTCGAATTTTGGTGCGAAGTTCATACAAGGTCCTAATATTGTTAAAAAAATTTCTCAGTCCTTACTAACCACACCATGTAGCGAAGAAATCGACGACTACCAATCCAGGTGCGCTAAGGGTGGAGTGAAACTCTGCAAACAATATATTATTTCAATGTATTAATTCACCATCCAAGGAACCGATTTGCTTCACCATTTTGATATGTAGAGCGTAAATAATAAATTGTTAGATTAATATTAAGTGTCGTTGTACTCCACGCACCAAAAATATAATGTGTTCGACGCGCACTGCTGTTTGTGGTGTTGCCGTGTCGAGTTTCAATTGTGTTATAAAATTGCCTCAACTTTTGTAGTCATATTTTACAACATTTTTCATGAGCAATATGTAATTAGACGGCGTCGGTGTTGCTGTCCTGATTGCCTTATTGCTCACCTATAAGTCCGATCGTCTAGGCCCATTACAATGTCTATCCCTCGAAATCTTGAGGAGGTGTAGTTATGGAAAGACCTTTGCCATGACGATCAACACAATTATGATGATGAACGCTACGCTAATATACAATAGAAATGCGAATCTTTGCCGTTGTGGTGGGGGAATGTTGATCATTTTAACTCTACAGGACGGTTTTGGGGGTTCCGGTTCGACATATTTTAAAACAACATTTTTCTTTTTATCACACAATACCGGTTGGCCGTCTTCCTTTGATACCTCCATTTCGTACTCTCCTTCAACAGGTCCTTGAAATGTAGGAGCACTTGCATCTTGGTAGTATTCTTTAGAACTAACTGCTTTTGCAAATCTTAGCTTCTTCGGCGTTTCTTTAGTTTTTCGCGTCATCTTATGCCCAGGGTAAGTCCCTTTCCCATAACCACGAATCTTCGCTGTTATAACTCGCAAGACACGTCTGTATCTCGACGTCATGATAATCGATATTATTAGTGCGTTTTTAAGATAATTTATGAACCATTACTGTCCATAATCAGACAGTGCAGAGGTTCACGTTGCTGCTGCAGAGCTGCGAGAAAATTTCGCACACCCTTTATCGGTGATTGCTTATATTTTTGCGGGTTATTCCGTTATACTGCGGTAAGCTACACACATAAAGTTATATTGTGATTGTGTGCAACTGAGCCGTGGTAATGACTCTTTATCGAGTTGCAAGTTGCCCATTGTACCAGACATTGTGATCATATGTCACGTTGTCATTTGAGTCTCTCAGTACATCTATGCGCTTTTGGAATACTGGCTTGCAGGTGTTCTAAAATCAGAGACACATGTGGCATATCATCCCTGAATGGCGTTTATGCCGACCAGCCTATGTCGGTTAGCGGTAGCGACGTTAAAAGATTACAGTAATTCATGTAACCTCACGCGCGTCTTACACCACCTTTTAAGGATCCACTAGTATCATTTTATTGTCATTTGGATCCCGAGATTAGCTAATTACGGCAATGTTGATTTCCAACTGGGCGGTTACCACAAACTTATATGAATAACAGCCGCCAAGCTGGATTCTACAAGATATTCCAGCTCAAATAAATGTGTTCAATCTGCATATTTTTTATGAAAATATTACAGTGGCCCCATGTGATGAGGAACTTGGCACAGGGATGTGACCCCGCCTAAGATTCTATCGTGTAGGGGAAAAAGGGTTCAAATGACGATTGTGGCACGCAGAAATAGTTCAAGATTACATTCTAGCTAGTTTAAGGCGGAGCGAATGCTAACTGTTTCGCATCGCTTCCGCCACTGAACTTCCATAGATACGGTACTGTGTTAGCTATCGCGCGCACACATCATGTCGGTGGCCGGTCATCCTGCGTATAATCAGCTTCTAGCCGTACTTGAGAAGTCTGATCAGCCAGATACGCAAACTCAGAAGGATGTTGCTGACTTCATTTCCCAGTTTGAAGCCAAGGAACGATATGGCGTCTTATATTTCCTGGAAGCAGCGCTTACGGCACCTGCCCTTCACATGCGACAAATGGCTGCATTGTGCTTGAAACGAGCCATCAATGTGCGATGGGTATCACTCGAACCTGATATAAAGACGCAGCTTAAAGCTGGTCTAGTCCGTGGAATTCAAATCGACGATTCAGAAGTTCGTACGATGTTTGGTTCTGCATTCGTCGCCTTATTCGCAGTAGAAGGATACGAACATTGGCCAGAAGCACCAGGTCTGTTGTTGAAATTGTTGAAGGAGTGCCCCAATGAAATTGTAAGGGAAACTGCCGGTTCCACCTTACTGATGTTAGTCGAAGATATGACCTCTTGCGATGCTCGTATGGATGACCAGACACACAGCAACGTTGCATGGGAACACTTCCTGAACTTTGTTGCCAAAGAGCTACTACCATCTATTCTTGAACTAGCTGCAAAAGTACCAAGCTCGCTATCCTTTTCATGCAAAATGTTATCTTCGTTGATGGATGTCAATGCATGTACCAAACCATTATTCGAACAACATTTCGTAGCGTTCTGGACTCTACTAGGTTCAATAGCACATAACCGAGACCCGTGGGTTCGGAAATGTGTCCTTAAGGGTATGGTGGAAACGTGGACACGTCATCCTATGACTATCCTTGACGCCAGTACAGCAGTGTTTAGGTTCGTAATAGACTGTACAGGCGACTCTAGTGATTATACAGCTCAAATTGAAGCACTTCATTTTTGGGCTCAATTGTTAAAAAATCGTCTAGATGAGCCTATTAGAGTACGTATGGTGGAGTCGCTGAGAGTCCACCTGCCACAACTGATACCCGTGTTAATGGAACACACCAAGTACTCATCATGGGACTATATGTCCATGGATGAGTCACATTTTGAAGAAGATAATGCAGCTGTCCCTGACAGGGTGGAGGATGTGCCCCCTCGTCCAGAGTGCGAAATGAGCGCTGATGAGGACGAGGAGTCCGCGACTTGGGGGACCAATTGGACCGCGCGCAAAGGCTCTGCCTTAGCACTGGACTACATTAGCCAGGTATATGGCCATGATAAGGAGATTCTACAATATATGCTTGAGCTAATTGAACGGCGTCTTGGCAATGAAACAGACTGGGAAATTCGTGAGTCCGCGGTACTGGTGCTTGGAGCCATTGCTCGCGGATGCGCACTAGCAATGGCGCCATTTCTACCAAAGGTAGTCCAGTATCTTATCGACCTTACACATCATAGCAAACCATTGATGCGTAGCATAGCCTGTTGGTGTCTGTCGCGTTACGCCGGCTGGGCATGCCAGGCACAACGGGAGCCACATGAGGAACCCTGGTTAGAACCGGTACTGAACGCAGTGTTGAGACGTGTTTTGGATCGTAATAAACGTGTTCAAGAGGCGGCTTGCTCAGCCCTTGCGGCCTTTATTGAAGATGGTGGTAGTAAACTAGTCCCATATCTCCAGCGCATAGTTGAGACAGTTGTTCAAGCATTAGGTTTCTATCAAGCCCGCAATTTGATGTTTTTGTACGATACCATAGGGACCATGGGCCAGATCTTCGGTGAGGCACTGCCCCAATCTCCGTGCGGTCAGTTCCTAATGCATCCTGTTATACAACGTTTGGGTACTACCGAGACCCATACACCAGAATTCCTCGCTTTGATGGATTGCGTAGCCTCCCTAGCACAATGTTGGCAATTGATGTTTGCTTGTTATGCTGAAGTAACGTTGCGCCGTGCTATGAACGCAGTCTTCGAGGTACTCTATGACGCCAAGGTTTTTGAGATGACAGATGGCGCATCTGATCTACCCCGTTGGGATATCATAGGCTGTGCTCTGGATGTCATCTCTACTGTCGTGAGTTCACTGCAGGAGCAGTCCTGGCGCCTGGTAGAAACCCTCTCAGTTACTGTGGACCCGTCCGTCGCTAAGCAACTCGGGATGAAGCAGCAACAGGTATACCTCTCCGACATGATAATGATATGTTGCCAATGCCCTACTCCTGAAGTGCTGCAGAGCATATCTGCGTTAGTGGGTGACTTCGCATGGCACAGTACCGCATTGGTTGCAACAGATCCGGTTATCATGTCCCTAAACCTACACCTATCAAACCCATCGCGTGTTGTCTGCAATAACGTCTGTTGGTCTTTGGGTGTGTTATCGCAAACCTCGTTAGGCAAACAACGGCTTGAACCGTATTTCCACGAGCTTTTCCCGAAGTTAGTGCAGTTGCTCAAGTGTGAAACCGAGTTATTATTGATGCAAAACATTTGTGTTACTATAGGTTTCTTTGTCGCGGCATACCCAGAACTAACTGCCCCGCATCTACCACATTTCCTGCAACCATGGCTAGAGTACATTTCAAGGTCTCGTAACGACCCTGATAAGGCACAATCTCTTGCTGCGGTGGTGCAGGTAGCAGCCCGCAGTGCCGAACTTACAGGAGCAGCGTTGTTAGCACTTACTCGTGTCGCTTTGGACTATCCACCATGGTGTAACGAACTTGAAGCATCGATACGTGTACTTGCGCAACGTTTAGCCCAAAGTCCGGCAGAGTGGAACTCTTTAACTGATGCCGAGCGAGCTCAGCTCCGCGAGCGTGCATCTGGCGACAAGCGTTAATGTTTAACCTATGTTCTGCGTGTACTTGTTTAAGGCATCACGACACGATATATTCAACCCCTCTATTACCGACGAATCGGCAAGTGTTGATATATCCCCGAGGTCCTCGCATTGGTTACTAACAAGTTTGCGTAATATGCGCCTCATTATCTTGCCACTTCGTGTCTTTGGCAAGTGTGGTGTCGCTGTAATTATATCCGGTGTGGCAAATGGCCCTACGTGTTTTCGTACAGAAAGCCGTAATTCCCGTTCAAGTGTCTCAGGTGAGATGTTATAACCGTCCTTTAGTGTAACGAAGCAGAAAATAGCTTGCCCCTTGATCGGGTGTGGGAAAGATACTGCAGCAGCTTCGGCTACAAAGTTAACCTGTACAAGTGCATGTTCTATATCCGCGGAACCGATACGATGTCCAGATATGTTGAGTGTATCATCTACCCGTCCGTTGATCCATATGTAACCATCCTTGTCTCTATATGCCGCATCTCCAGTAAGGTAGCATCCAGGTACCTTAGCAAAATAGTTCTCTACCCCTCGACGGTGGTTACCGAACAGTGTACGGAATAGTCCTGGCCACGGTTGTCGTATAACCAGTAGCCCACTTTTGCTATTTTCTACGATCTCTTTACCTGTGATGGGATCTACAAGTCCTACATCAATACCAAAGAACGGCACGGTTGCAGAGCCCGGTTTTGTCGGTATAACTCCGGGTATAGGAGCTATAACTATCCCTCCAGTTTCAGTCTGCCAGTATGTGTCAACTACTGTTGTGCATCCCCGACCAACTATTTCATAATACCATCTCCAGGCTTCTGGGTTTATAGGCTCACCTACACTCCCAAGTATACGTATGGAGCTTGTATCATATTTTCTCGGTATATCATCCCCTGCTCGCATGAGTCCTCTTATAGCTGTTGGTGCCGTGTAGAATTGTGTGATACGGTATTGCTCCACCATACGCCAGTATCTTCCTGGGTCTGGATAGTTGGGTAGTGATGCGAACATGAATGTTGTGAGTCCGTTTAGGAGTGGTCCATATACTACGTATGTGTGCCCAGTGATCCATCCGAGATCTGCCATACATCCAAATACATCTCCTTTTCTTGCGTCGAATATATATTTGGTTGTGGTATGTGCATATAACATATATCCTGCTGTGGTATGAGCAACTCCTTTTGGTCGTCCTGTTGATCCCGAAGTGTAGAGTATAAATAGTACATCTTCACTGTCCATAACTTCTTGTGGACAATATGGTCTTGCCTGTTCGAGTGCTTCGTTAAGCCACATATCACGTCCTTCAACGAATTCGACATTGGATCCCAAATTACGTAGGATTAGACACCTCTGTACATCTGGGCATTCCTTCAATGCATCGTCTACAATACGTTTCATATGTATAAACTTCCCGCCACGAGTCGCTTCATCTACCGTGATGACGATGCGTGAGTTAGCATCACGGATGCGTTCTGCTACACTTGCAGCTGAGAATCCTCCAAATACAACGCTATGTACAGCTCCTATTCTCGCACAGGCGAGCATTGCGAAAGCCAGTTCCGGTATGCTGGGCATATACAGCGTGACTGTATCTCCTTTTTTTACACCTTGCGAGCGCAATACATTAGCGAACCTGCATACATGGCGTTTTAGTTCTCTATATGTGATGATTCTATTCTTTGTCACATCATCTCCTTCAAATATAATGGCGACGGTATCAGGTTGTTCTTCCGCCCAACGGTCTACACAGTTATCGCATGCGTTGAGTTTCCCACCGTCGAACCATGTGTAGTCAGCGTGTTTAAACCCTCCATCAGATACTCTCAAGAATGGTTGTATCCATCGCAACTGTTTCTGTGCCATGTCGCCCCAAAATGTTTCGGGGTCTGATATACTGCGTCTGTGCATCGTTTGGTATTCCTCCTGTATCAGATATGTTACTATATATGCCACGACTTACAAGGCTACCTATGTGATAGCGATGCCCCTCCATACCAACAGTAGCGTATGAGGCATCGATACATCTTGGATCGTATGAGAATCTTCCATCATACTCTGGGTACAGGTCATCTGGTGTATTACCGTTAGTGGTTCCGCCGTTATAAACGGCACTATCCGAATGTTCCTGTACCATTTTTGAATCCGTTCAAATCTTCTTGGGTTAATTAGATTCTTGTATATACGGCAATTTTACATGGGCCCGGTATGGATGTCTCCGCCGTTGCACACATAAAATCTGTGTTCAATAGTCTTTCGCATACCTATATGCTAGCGATAAATATCCATCAAGCCGTAAAAATGGTTTGAAAAAATATTCGCATAAATTAATTATGGAATTGGCTCGTTTGAAGATAATTTCGACACTCCCAGATATTATGGATCTCTTTAGGAGGCCTCCTAATCGCGATTTGCTAGCGAAAAGGTGGAGAGACAGCTGTTTGAGATTCGATCGATGGGGGGTCGTGAATAAAAAAATTTTCGCCAAGGCTCCTGTCACGACGTGTTGTACATAAATAATGGCCTGTTAATATAAGGGCAATAACCGCGCTAGAGTACCGCTACCGTCAGTGGGTGATTTCCACATGTCGTGTTACTGTAGCTACGTCTACACACACCACCTTAATATGTTCCACTTCCTGTCGCACAGAGAGACATTTGGTATGTACTTCAGGTAGTATTCTAATGTGTAGATGCTGCGAAACGTCCCGCCTCTACGGAGGCTAGAGATATGGAGACGCATGTGTTATTATCGGGGGCAGACTATGATGTGCCACTTTGTGGACTCGGTTGCGTGGAGCAATCGATGGAATCCACTATATAGACCCTGAAACCATTACTAGGAATCGATTTATATCATGTGTGCAAGCATGACTCGCTGTGTGTGTATGTGTGGTATGGCAGTGTTGCATACACAATGACCAAGTTATACATTTACATACAATCGGGCTCGTTAGTATAAACTACCTTTTAGCTAATCTGCTAGAAGGTTACATTTTAAAACGGGTCAGAGTTGCGCCAGACGGCTCTGATATACGATGCTCTTGAACTGTGGGTTGTTGTGAGTCACCTCATGGATACTGGTGCGGGATATTAGTTTGCCTCACACATAACGTTGAACTTTGCCTAACACGCTACTGTAACCCAGCTAGCTCCACTACTGCAGCAATGGCCCTTGACGGTCATATGCTGCAGTGCCTACCTGCAGATTGGCAGCAAAAAATACACGCCGAATTTCAAACTAAATTACGGCTGTGTATTGATGACGACATTGCTGTACAGCAGGCAGCAGATCATACGTGGCAAACGTTGATTAAAGGTGTTGAAAGCAGGGACACACTGGCACATCATCTTCAGGCACATCTAGGCGGATATGTAAGTTTGAAGAACACCAAGATTACATAAAGCAGGCAAGCGACTTCGCAGAATGGGTACTTGGATTTGTTAATCAAGCTTTGATACATTTCCAAAAAATTGGGGCTGATGGAAACGGATTATCAAACACACCCGTCTCTACACAAGACACTGTAACCCCAGCTACACATACAGCAGTACAAAGGACTTATGAACATGGTGCTAAAATTGCATCTCTCAATGACGGTTCAGATACTGGTGAGCGACCATAAGTCAACCATACATTGATTATCAGCAACATCTGACACAAATTTTGAAATTTCAAGAACATTGCAAAACAATACATTAAAACAAGGATACAAGAGTTCTGGCGTTACATTTGGTAACGGCCATGTGAATGGCAATTTTTGGCATTCACATGGCGCAACCACTGGTGGGAAATCCCACCGTGGTCTCCAGGTTCAAAATCAACCACATGTGGTCATGTCTGAGGTTGATCCGCTGGACGACACTCTGGATAACTTAATACTCAAGCAAAAGCTTAACAGGTTGCAAGGCAAGAGCCATGCGCCGTTGGGCGTGCTAACAAGAAGCACTAAGTTCTCGCCAGTTGACACTGTCAATATCGCACAATCGCCATCTATAGCAGCGATGAACTGTCCAGATCCTCGATATACGAGCCCGGTAGTCAACACTGCATCGCCCATAGCAAGTCCCATTAGGGCACAGAAGCTATGTATCAACTTCCCCAACTGTGCATTTGGCGACAAGTGCCACTTTCTACACCCGACGAACGCACTATGCAAACATTGGCCCAAATGTGCATTCGGGGCAAAGTGCGCGTATAGACACCCTCCGGTACCCTGTAAATTTAACAAGGCATGTACCAACCCTACCTGCAACTACCAACATACAGACTAATATTTTTTCCTCATAACCATTTAGCCAATTCCATAATATTCCAAGAACCTTCTGAATCGTTGGCGCTATTATTCCGTGATAACGTTCTGTTGCTCCCTGTACTGCCCATGCTTGCCCTAGACGAGTTGGTTCGGATCACTGGTCCGTAGTTGACGCCTCCATAAATGAATGGTCTATTGTCAATGGAGATATCCCGTATGAAGTTAGATGATGAATTTAAGATGTTGTATGTTGCGTCGCGTATTGGCTCAACTATTGAGAACCCGTTACCATCTTCCTCGTCACTACCAGAAGTAGAATTAGACAAAGATCGTACCTCGTCACTGTTGCCAAATGATGTTATATCAACAAGCGTTTTGAAAGTATCAATGAAGTTGCCGCTACAATCTTCACGCTTGTCACTCGATCTAGGTGACGCCATACCACTTGCATTACGGGGGCTCCTCCCATTATCGATCACTATACTTTCAAACCTAAATACGTCATCTTGACCATTTTTCCGTGGAGAACCTCGCTTGCTTTCATCAGATGCCTCAGATATCATGGTTGGTTCCACCTCTTGACCGCCTTCGTATTCACCCTCGTGTATGACAGCCATTGGCGTCACCTTGTTTCTCATACCCATAGAACTTGATGACACTGACTTATCCATAGTCTGAGGTGTCTCCATACTGACCACAGGATTGGCAGGTGTAGGCGTTGGTGCCACCTGTGATTTTGGAAACCTCAACCATTTGCTAGTCCGCGTGGCAGGTGCCGGATTATCAACCTTCTTTTTCGAATACATGTTGAGTTTGAGGGTGATTGGCGGCAGCGTGAAAACCATGAATGAACTCGTATCACAAAAATTTAGAATTTTTTGGAATTGTTTTTTTGGGAAATCTCAACGTAGTTGATGTCCCGTGTTGTAAACAACGTACTACTCTAAAAATTGCAGACACAACAATATAGCATTGAGATACTTGCTACAACAGATGGTGATGAATAATTAGTGACTGATGTTATATGACTGAGACCGACGGCGTTGTAATGCAGGGCGATTAGGCGGTCCGACTCAAGGCGGTACTTATTTTAATGCATACGTGCAATCGTTTAAGGATCTACAAATCGCTAACTATAGATGCACGCATAAAATAATTGCAAATTTTTAGCAGAGAAAACTCGCATCAATAACGATAGCGGGGCAGCCTATAGCATTGGCACCTGATGGCTAGAGGTCGGCACTGGTGCGGTTACAGTTGCGCCAGGGCCCAAATAAATGCCATTATTACAAGTTATAGTATGCAACGTAGCCAAGGCTGGGTTTTTTTAGTCGACCTAATATTACCGTGTTTTGTACCGTCGAGCTCTCAGTTATTTAATAAGTTATTCATGCCCCGTCCGTTGGCATTGGCATATCATTTGTTTCTTCTTTTGAAGTTATGTTGTCCGATTCCGCGGTTTCGGTATCGGGGAGTGGTACGCAATATAGCCCACGACAGTAGTCTGTTGATTTATCGCTACCGTATTTTTTACATGCGATAATCATCTTTTCTAAGATGCGTGGCACCAAATTTTCGATGATGCTATTAAGGTACATATTTGGTAGTATAACCCTTGGATTTTCATAATATGTCGCCAGCATCTCACATGCCTCTTGCCCCTCCTTGGTGTTACGTACCATAAGTATAGACTCGAATTCATCTACCTTTGTACTCCATTTATATTTCGAGTTGTAGTTGTAAGGTATTACCTTAGATAGTAGAACAATGATGTCATCAACTGATCCATATATTGTCCGTTTAACAACATAGGTTCTCTTCGCCAATGGGAACGGATACTTTGATACGCTGAATAATACATCCGTCCCATTGACAGCTGGTTTTACAATCTGATGTTCCACATAAGTATCATCCCACTTAGATCGTTGTGACATTTCTACGATGAGTTCGACTAGTTTTTCCTTGCAAGCATCAATCTCACCGTATACCAGGAATTCCTTGAGCGTTGAAGTGCCACGTAACCTACTGAATAGTTTCAACGTGGATGGTTTTACATGGTAATCTCGTACCCATTGCCAGTCTGTAAAATTTCCACCATTTTTAAACTGTTCCAGTAGCTTGCACATCTCAGGTGTCAGTGGTTCAGTTGCACAAGGGTCACCATCTGCGCACTGGTTTGTTGTTGTTAGCGATGCCATTTTGTTCGTTCCAGACTTCGATATGATTTTTCTTTTCTTTCTATAACAGAGCTATTCCGATGGTTAAGGTACCATATAAATTCCACGTTGATACCACCAGGAATTACGCTACGTTAGCGGTAGCACGTGGCTAAAAATATTCAGTGAGCATTAGAGTTGACCACGGAACCCCCTTGGGTTGTGCAGCCACTGAGTCGTTTTCCCCCGAATACAGGTCGCATTACTGGGAATATTACCGGCGAATTGATTTATATGCATTAAAAAAGCACCAATTTTAATTTATAGATATAATTCGAACCGTATTACCGTGGCTTTACACCTATGCAGTCGTTAGAGATTGCTAGCCATCTTCATGGTTCTACACATTTTGCCTCTTTACGTTGATTCGAAAAGTACCTTTCAACATGATACCATTACCGAATCGCGTTTGCAATAATATAACTACGCGGTCTAGATACTGAAGGATAGTGATCCTCTAGGTGTTTTGGGATCTGTAATCTCCATGGCAGGGTTTACGATTAAAGTGACAGCCTCAATGTGATCAAAAAACAGGGTTACACAGTGTACATATTAAAAATACATCTAGTTCCACAAACGTCTGTCCTAATTAACGATTATAGAGTAGTAAGTATGCTGACTTGTGAATGCTTTTCGGAGCACCGTTTACACATTGGATATAGTAATAATAATCTTACTCTGTAGAGACATATCGCAATGGTAATAATAAATAGCAATTTAGATTTATAAAAGAAATGTGAATCACTTTTTTCGTGAAAAAGTAAACTTGAGGTGAATAGCAGCCTTCTACAGTACCACGTCGCAGCTGGCAAATAGTACATGACTACAGTACCATATATCGCATAAAATGAAATACTTATTAGGCGGCTCTACAGGGCTTGTGAAGCTCGTGGAGACCGCGGACCGCTCTATACAGAGGTTCTTTTCCCTGGATAGCCAGTCACTGGACCGCCGAGTGACCTGTATGTGTTGGTCTGGAGGTAGCAGGTGGGTTATATTACCTCAAATGATAGACACAACATCTCAGTGGCAATGAGGAAAACGAATTTGCAGCAGGATTAGATGATGGATCGGTAGAGATATATGCCTATCCTTCTATGGAGAAGGTCTCTAGCTTTGCATTGCCTTCGCGTTGTGTTCACATACATATGTTAGGTGACCATTTTGACGTATTAGGGAAATCGATATATGCGTCTCGCGCTGAACAGTACCCTAGCTTGTACCCAGATGTCACTAACGCAAAGTTGCGCAATAATCGAGGTAGATACATCTGTTGCATATCACAATGCGGTACCTGTGTAGTCGTCGATTGTGACAAATTGCAATATAATGGGACTTACATCAAATTGGATCCTGAAAACATGATGGAAAGTGAGGAAAACCAACAACCTACCACCAGCATGATAGTGGCTTTCTATAATCTAAAGAGACCTGTTTCGGCAGTTGCCTATCATTCTTTGATGACAAATAGGATTGTTGTTGGCAGTGTTGATTTACCTCCACTTCTTTTTGATATCTTCATAGGACAGGTGCTCTGGATTGGGAAACTACCTCACCCATCACTGTTAGGTCTCAAATCGCATTTGGATGTAAGAAGTATATGCTTCCTGGAAGAATTAGGGCCAGATATTTTTGCACTTTCAACGTCAGACTCTTTTATATACATATATGATATGACATGTCAGCGCAAACCTGTGTACGATATTAATATCTGTGACCATCGCAGTCGATGTATTTCTGCTCGTATGCTGGCTCTGCATGAAATAAAGGAATATAACACTGATCGGCGCAAGGAGGTTAGGCAGTCGGTGAACGAATTGTATACAGCGGATTTGCGTAATATCGTGAAACTGACCACCCCGCCACATCGTATGCTAGATAACCAAAGTCACGAAACTAAAGATGTATGTGACCTGTTTGCTAGTGACAATTATGGATCAATATATCATTTTAGGGTAATCACCGGAGATACTCTAGTTAACTTCCTTAGAAAGAAATTGCAAAAATACAAGGTTGACGGTAGTTTGGAACTAACACGAGACAAAATAATTCAACACCTTATCGCTGCTAGAAAACGGTTCGGTTCTGCAAGTGCAAACGACAGACCGCTGCATTGCGCACCGCCCAGTGCAAATCAGTACATCTGTCAAATGCGTGGGTGCTATACCATACACAACGGCGCGGTAACAGACATCAAATGCATAGGCCATTATCTGATTTCTGTTGGACTCGATCGATTTACAAGTGTTTACAATGTCCGTACAAGAAAACGGCTCTTCAATTGCTACTGTAATCAGAAACAGACTTGTATTCTACCACTACACAGCCAATTTTATCAGGAATACGAAACTGATGAATTCAAACAGCTTGAGGTACCCGTAGTGAAACGTGGTCCTGGACCTTCTGAAAACAGTAAAGAGCCTGCAGGGGAGCCTGACGATGATATGGATGATAATGGAGTTGACGAAGATGACCTCGAAAGTCATAGCGGCAGTGATTCTGCTATAGAGGGTATTGGAAGCCCATACTATAGCCATGAATCAGAATATTCTTCTGGTAGCGATGTCGATATCTACGAGGAGCACAGCTCAGATGCCTCTGACAGTGAATAGGCCAGGGGCGATCGACACTAATACCATCAATGAAGTGAATATAGGTTATCTAATGATTAGGACATAGTGTTTGTCAGTTACAAATGTTAACATTTGGGTCATATTTAGCCTCAAATGGGCCTTATCTGCTCAACAGTCATCTGGGTAATGTAGCAACATACCTTAAAACCGAGTGTTATAAGTGATAAAACAAAACACTTTAGATCTTGCACGAGATAATAGAATACCCTCAATCCATTAGGATCCTTGCTGTTCTGTACGTCAGCAAGTGAACCTATTTTTGATGTTGAGTATGTGAAATGTTTTCCATCTAACTTGAGTTCTAGTTCCTGACGGCCAACACGATCCGGTATAGGCCAATCACTGTGATCTTCACTAGTTATTTCAGAGTCATCGATGATGCGTTTTAGCTCCCCTATGACGGCACTTGTCACATATGCTGAACGTTCTACGACATAGAATAATTTAGCCTACCTTCCCTCTTTATTACATTATCCTTACGATAGTTGGAGCTATTTGTATATTTCAAGTGACCGTCATCAAGTATTTCAAATTCTAGGAACTCATGGCCGAATTTACCTTCGTGTCCAACGCTGGAAAATATTAACGTTGATACCGTTAAACTCACTAATATCGAAGATAGAATCCGTCTTCACCCATTGTGCGTTAAATTTATGGCACTTGCACGTGGCGCGATCAGATATCTATCTGTTCCTAAGGTCGTCTCCCTTCCTGATGTGCAAGAGTACCCCCGGTACATAGCCATGAAATCACAGCAAATACGTATAATAGTTAACAACAATACAAACTACATTAAAATACGAGCTGTATTTGCACATAATTTAGCAACTGGAGTTTCATCTCCGGTGCCTACAGGGAGCCTATTTATAAGGGCTTCCGGAGATTCTGCAACGAAGTCGAATTTAACAAGCTTCTGTAACCATTCTGGCCATACTTTCATAGGCGGCACTACACCATCCAACGGCTGTCTTGGTTTCTGCGGCGGTATCGTTGTAGAACTTATTAGACATATCGCCATGTTATACAATCCCGTGACCGCTAAATGCTCACAAACAGGCTGCAAACAACGACGCGTTATAATTTTATGAGCATCTTCAACATAATGAATGTTGTTGCTTTGGCTTGTGACTAGCATCTCAATGGTCCTGTAAAGGCATTGAGAGAAGAGTTTTTCCATTAAATCGAGAAGATCACTATCTATCCTCTTCTCTAATATAGGACAAACCGTTTTTATGTTTGATATTAGCAGTTTCATGGGCTCTAGATGCTCATCGATACCTATGTCACTTGACAATGGAGCAGAGTCGCCACTGGCGAACATGTGATGTATCAGCACCCCTATCAAATTTACAGCACCTGGATATGAGCATATAGTACTGTCACATAAACGTTCTTTGATCAGTTCTAGCAACTTCTTAGTAACTTCAGCTGAATTCGAGCAGTTAAGCGCCGCTCGTGCCACCAGATGGATCTCTTCATCGTCCAGGGTAGCCAACCGTTCCTTTTGTAAAAAGCAGTTAATAAAATCACTCTCCGGGAACTTCTCAGCAGACTTTGATGTGTATACTAAGGTATAGAGTAGTTGTTGCGTCGTTGGACGGCCTTCCATAGTACCTATCAATTGTTGTAGCACGCCTTTGCAGTCCAGAGAGAAATCATCTTGTACTTCAAAGTCGATAGGAAGTTTGGCGAGGAACTCGAACCCCTTTGAACCATCCTTCGTATTGTCAAAGGCGTCTGATAACACGGCGGGAGAAACACCACTGGCGATTGCTATTATAGGAAGAATTTCTACTCGGCCCATTATAGCTTCAGCTAACCTTCGACAAATAGTAACAAACGTATCTCGAAGATACATTAAGGCTCCAGATACTGCAGTTGATTCGGTATTCGACCCGAATATCTTTTTACGTTTTCCTAGGTTGGTTACTCTCCGTTGTAAAGTGGAGCGTAGTTCTTGAAATAACGGTTCTTCTCCCACCAGGGTCTGGATTATCTCTTCGCACCATTGTGATTTGAGGTTAGAAACATCTTGTGTGTTAAATTGATCTTTGTCAATAGCCATGGCGGTGAGTATTATATATGCGATCCTTGGCGCATAACCGTACGACAGGGACTCTCGCATCAGGTACAAATGTATTATTGGCACCAGCATGATGAGCTGATATTTTGTAAAGAGGTTGGCGCATTTTAGACCAAGTTCTGCACGGTAAAGGACAAACTCCTTAAAAAGAGACTCAAAAGTCTCTGTACCACGTTCGGTTAAAGATTCGTACTCATGAAGGTTACAACATAGCAACGCTCGAATTAACCTTGTGTCATCGGGTGTTACCCACTCGACATTCATCGATATTAACTTAAGGCTTTTCACTGTCATCGATGCGATAGTTAGGCACTCCAATTCTGACATTACATCAGATCCGGCGATCATACAATAATCTAGTACCTTACAAAGGTAGTCTACTAATGCCGTGGTCGACCCTGTACCAGGATCGCTTTGGAACTTGGATAGTGAAAGTAAACAGTCCATGTGTGTCACTGTTGGAGTTTCTGGAGCATGCCGGACTAGCTTATCTAGAAGTGTTTCAACATGTTCCGCCAATATCGATGGCAACCGCTCCATAATAGCTGTTATGGTACGATGGACATCTGCCCTGACACCGTTATCCGATAGTACTACCCCTCTTAGAATGTAATATACCAGATTCTCTGTACACTTGTTACTCGACCATTTTGACCCACTAGCCCCCTTTATCTGGTCAAATAAAGCAACAAGTAACGTCCGGGCTTGTTGGCGCACGCCGTCGTTTGAGCTTGTAAGCCCCGCACCGGCTACTTGTACTATAGAGAATAGGTTCAAGGTGACATCATCTTCAAAACGTCGCACAAACTCGATAATACCCAGAAATGCACGTATCTGTACAGCTCCTGAAGTATGTCGTGATTTTCCAATCAATTCCGCTAATGTTAACCTTTTCGATGTAACATTGAGTCGTTCCTTGTTTACACTAATAGATTGCGTTCCGAGTTTCACCGTCTTCTTTAGTTTAGATACATCTGCGAGTAGTTTTGCATCACTACTTGAGTGTTTGCGAAACTGTTCGCGTCCCACTCTTGCCTTTTTCTTGGTGAAGTCACGCTGTTTCTTGTTTTTCATTTTTACAGGCTAGACTCCTTACTTGTAACATATAACTCATTGATACAGTGACCTTATATACAAATGGCTCCGGTATGCTAGACATTATGGCCACTTGTGTTTTTTAATGGCTGCTGCAACTTCGCAGTGCCAGGTTATTCACGGTGTACCTTTATATACAGTAATCCATATTTAATATGAAAGATTGAAGATTATTTAATATTAACTAAGGTTTGAGTCGTTAGGTTGTGTATCAGTGGTGTTATTGCAAGTACTTGGAAGGCGCGAGCACAGATACACGCAAACAACACACATCGCTCTTATCGCAATATGAGCGATTACGTGTTGGTCTCTCAAGATGTATCCGCAACGGTTGAGTTCGAGCGCTATGCCCTCTGTGGTTGGACTCGACTCGCTTTCGTGCATCGCGGCGAATGGAAACCTGATGAATCGACTGATGAAACCGTTTCATTCATGCTACCATTCGTGATACCTACTGTAGAACATGCTACTTACAAGAGAGTCATCGTAAATGGCACCGATGCGACCTTCCATCTTGCCAAAACACTGGATCCTGCAACCAATGCTGAAGCCGTAAATAATGCTTGCCAAAATGTCGACATTATGACCTTTGACGGCATACATGTTGTGGCACAACAGATTTATGATGCGTTGTTATATGTAGAACTAGAGGAGGTATATCCAGAGCTCACAGTGGAACTGCAATTCGAGTACCTACATCTGAAAAATGTAACAGAGGATATATTTTTCAGACAATATTGGTTACTACCACGATGCTCTACAAGTTATCGTGAATATACCATTTTCACATCAAACCCAAGTTGTGAAAGATGGTTCCCAACTGCATTGATCACAAAGGGAATTGGGATAGATCAAGACTGTGTATACCGTATAGAGGTTTCTGTACCCCAGGGTTACACAGCTATATCTGGGCTGCCGGTAAACGACGATATATCGATGTCGGAAGGCATGGGTGGGACTGCAGAAAATAGCACTTTCAGATTCAAGTGGGTCTCTAATGAAGGTCTCGGGGTTATGCCGCAACACAGTTTCTCACTGTTTGCGGGAGAATTTGAATTATGGGATGGAACATTTCTACAAAAGATAAAAGCAGGTGATAAAGAAAAGGGAAGACGGATATTAGATGATGAGGATTGCATGGAAGACTTTGCAAGGAAAACACCTTACGTTCTCAACAATAAAGCCCCTGTTACCTACGCGACACTTAAAGGGTTTGGATTCCTACTCGAACCAACTAATATAACCACTTCACAGTGCCTAGAGTCATTTCGTAAGCTACTCGATATAGACACACCGAAAAGAGTCTTCCTTATCTTCCTGCCGCTACAGCCCTTTCAAACGTCAACTAACATGGCAGCACAGATACGAACGCAGAACTATCTGGATGTGAAACGATGCACAGCATTTACAGGATCTGAAACATATCTGCATACATCACTTGTGGAACCATTGACGTATACCTACCACGGTATGTACTTTCGCAGTGCTAGCAACATAACCGTATATTCAATGGATATATTACACAGTTACAGCGATATCGATAATGACTCCAGGACTATGGATTGTAGATTAGTGGTGATATACGGATTGGCAGCACTGTTCACATTGAGAAAATGGGTGAACCCCTCCAGGGATATGCATCTAGATATCATGCTACAATCATACCTTGTTGATCAGTTTATAAAGCGATATATGGGTATAAATGAGCACAGGGTTCGATTATGGGCACGACGTGATGTTTTTGCCACAATCACCGAAATATTTGGTGACCCCTTTCCTTTATGTCAAAACAAAGGCACTTCAACGTCATCGCACGTGCTACTTGCAGATAAAGCCTTCGTTCTCAAGTGTCACATACTACCTACTATTCTAGATGCTTTGTTTACGACGTCAAACTTTCTACCAGACAGTTTCTTCATACAGTCGATGCGTCGCCGCCTAGTCGCTGTGACCAATGCTAATTCTGCAACTTTCAGGATGGATCTTAACTGTGTCTCCAAAACAAAAAACAGCGATAGCTTTGCTGTGGCCACTGATGGTAACAATTTTTGGAACATGGTTAGTGAAGAGATTGTCCGACGCTATATCCATGTCTGGAATGCCAGACCACCAAATAGATTGGTGCTACAAAACCAGCTTGATGCAAATTGCAAACTAGAGGATATATTGAAACGCGGTGTAGAACATGACCACCTAAGCTCTATTATGAAACAGTACACAAGCCTCGTGAGCTCGTTCGTACACGGCACTGGTTGCCCGCAGATGAATATGAGTTTCTCCGTACAGTTACAGAGAAAGGGTACATCTATGGATCATCTCAATTTCAGAGTAGATGTCAAGTCGCTACAACCGCCATTAGATGTACAAAAGAATGGAAGGAGCTCATATAGTATCTGTAGCGTAGCAAGTTTGGCAATGCGAAATCTCCGAGCGACCTATTCCAGACTTGCAGCTATGTTACAGCTGGAAGAGCATTCTGGCGGTCCTACTGACATAGTATTTGAGCGCTTATCGCAGCTATTTGGGTTATGTGGGTCAGACCATTGTCCTAACGTACCGCAGCCATTGGATTTTGCTGATACCACAATAAGTATCGTCGGGTCAACGGAAATCGCTACTTTGCGTCGCAACATGGGTTTAATACAAATGTGGCATGATCCCGTTGATTTAATTGGCCGTGATGGTAACTTTTTGATGGGATTTGGTTATATTGGACCCTTCCCGCATTCCTTCTGTCTAGGTAATGGACCCATATATGATTGTCTCGAGGTACTAAGGCAGCATTGCGATATAAGCAGCATGTTAGATGCGTATATCGATAATGGCAGTACCTACTGTGGTTCTTACACATTTAAAAATGGCTTTGAACGTATCATGGGCAAGGGCAGCCTACCTATTGCTTCTAATGGCGGTACACCATTTTGGCAATCCGTTCATCAACAAGCCGTGATGATAGCCCCGGAAAAGGCTTCGGTACCACTATCTGCAGGAGTTTCGAAGCAATGGATCACCACATTTAAAGTAGATATTGTAGAAGATGACGGTGTAAGGGAAAATGTTAAGGTGATTGGTGACCTGGTTCCTACCAGTTATAAGGTGAACCCGCGTGCCGAACGTGGTCGTAAGAAGGTGGCTATAAAGGGCATACCTGAAAAGGATCTTGAAGATGCTATTGATGACACACAACGTAGAAGTGCCTATATAGGACACCATAGTGAAAGTGATCGTTTGGTTATAGAATGGATGAAAATGCTATTCATTGGTATGCACCCAGAACTCGCTCAACTTGATAACCGTTCGGTAGTTGCTAAGATATGTAGTAAAGTACGCCTACCTGTGCTGTGGATGAGTGTTGACAGTGGTTTTAGCCTTATTGCACGTATCCGACGCTGCCAAAGCAGCAGTATGTGGGAACAGCAGCTTTTAAGTGACAACAACATTTATGGCCAGTTAGATTCTGCTGCTGCTATGGGTTCTTTTGGACGCAGCGTCAACTACACCACTTGCGACAATCCTATCGTACGTGTAGCAGTTTCCAAGCTGGAGCTGATGATTCGGCGTCATAAAATCCACCCTGTGGTACGTGCGCGGTGCCTATATAGTCTTGTTTTCATCCATAACCGCGATTATCGTGAACAAGAATCTGTCCAAGAGGTTTTCACAAACTACCTAACTTCATTTTCGCTAAACAATACAGGCGCTAATGGTTGGCATCCTAGTGAGGCTCGGTTTATGATCGATTTCTTCAAAGCATTATCTTTACTACGGAACCGGCTGGGCCATTCACCACAAATGGTGATTGACATGTTGACCAGAGTACTTGAAGGTATGAACGGTGTCAACTATCTCGTACACGCTACTAACATTGTGGAATGCTGCTCTTACCTTGTGATCCCACCATGTGCACTCAGACACCGTAGTGCAAACGTAACACAGTGTCTTGATGTAAAGCGTTTATGGAGATTGTTATGGCATCTATTTAGGCTGGACGGCATCCCTGGTAGTGGTAGTTGTCATCGTGTCCTAACAGCGTCGTTCCTACGATGTTTGAGTAGACAACCGGTGTTTTTAGAACTCTGTCATGCCAAGTTTATGAATGAGAAGGATCTAGGGTTTCAGTTTGATTTCCTTTACTTTATACCTAGGAGGTCGAACATTTTCAGACTTGCTCAAGGGCCCTTTGAGCTTGGCCAAACGTACTATTCTAAACAGGTACACATTTCTTCCATCGAGGCTCTTCTACGGGTTCTAATGACATGTGCATTTATGTTAGAGGAAGAGAGTGATATGAATGCCGATGTTAAAGGTACTCATGTTCGCATGATAAAAGTGACGTATGCTACCCAGCTAAAACGCGTTCAGAAGTTTGCAGGTATCCATGACGCTACACGTTGTTGTGTTGATTTATGTGAGGAGTTGATCGAACCTGATTTGAAGGTAGATGTGTGGGATGCATATGCAAGACTAATAGAGGATCTTTCACAAGCTGTTCCCATTCTGTTTGTCAACCTGGAATGCCCGTTGGCCCGTAAGACACGTGACCTATTGTATGCGCAATTGCGACCATATGCAATATCTAATCGTCATTGTCATGTCCAGATCTTTTTGAAAATCAGATCTGCAATCACGCTACTGTTTGGATATGGATACTACTTTGATGATGATATCGTGCCGGATGCTAAACTGGTGGATCAACGTATTGACATGGCCACTAGCGGTATGAGTATGCCGCGTATCGCGGCTTTTAGACGTGTCCATGGAGAAGGTGCGCGTAGCTCAACATCAGACTGGATGGAGGTTGCTGTGGAGGCTATAAATGCACTTAAAGAGCTTCCTCAGGCACGGTGGTTCATTTATGACCCCGAATTATCGTATGCAGGATACCGTTCTATAGTCCGTAATCCTATGTGGCTCACAAAGATTGAGCAGAAAGCTCTGGAGAAGCAATACGCAATGCCTATGCAGTTCAAAGCTGACATGGCGCTGATCTTCAAGAACGCAAAATCGGTAAATAAGGCTGATTCGATGCCTTTTGCCGATGCTGTAGTTCTCGAGGAACAGTTTGACACATTATGGCCTGCAATCGTTCGTACCTTCCAGCAACACGCCAAGGCTAGGCGAATGTAGAGGTTTGATTAGAGCGTAGGATAGAAGAGTAGCCTGACGAGATTGCTGCAGCACATGTGAGAGGAGTATAGGTCCTCTACATGTGTATGGCTCCAATCTATGTTGGCAATAATCGTGTGTTCAGCGCACTTTGGCTTATAATGCCAAAATTTAATATACAAGTGCTCTGAAGTAACCATATGAAACTTTAATAAGATGATTCACACATTATTCCGTAAGGCCTTGTGGGTAGTCGGTGGTGAACCTAGGGTGGATACTTGGTTATCCTTCTGTGTGTAATATATTGTGTATATATCAAATTATTTGTAAAGATTTTAATCATGTTTCTGGACCCGTAAATTAGCGGCGGTCCAGAGCATATGCTGGCAAAGTGCCGCGCAATACACTAAACGTATATTAACACACTAGTCAAAATGGATCCTAAAGTCAACAATACAGAGCTCTCTGATGCAGATGAAGAGAAGACTCAACAAGGTCCTACTCGTGAGAAGGTTGTAGCCTATTCAGTGGGATTAACTGATGATGAAGATGATGATATGCCATATGTTGTCCGTTCATACGGGTTCTTCAGAGGGCTTGTAACAACCATTTTCCCGGACAGCCAAGTGCCGGTATGGTTCGCTATCAATGCAGGGGTTATACTCCTGTACGCATTGTTCAATTTCAACGCTTACACTATCGCTTTCGAGAGCCAGGTATGTGCCAATTTCACAAACATGACAATTATCAGATTAAAGCGTCAGAATCAGAACCTATCAACTACAGCATCAATGTAATATGGTGTCTCCTGTTTATATTAATGGGAAATCTGCTCATGTATTTTTGCGCCATGATTGTCAGGTATGTTAACCATAACAAAAATGTTTTCATCAATCTCAGGTTCATACTACTCAAAGCTATTGTTAACTTACGACTGTCGAGAAATGCATATGTATTCGCTGTGATCAGCATGCTTGACCCGTCATTATTCTATTTGCTGTGGTCGGCTACACAATCGTTTGTTTGGCAGATTTTCGTCTCAAGACTCAAAGGTAGCTCTAACCTATTCTGTATAGAGGCAGAATTATTTTCTGGATACGTCAAGAACCACCTAATATTTAGAGAAGATGCACTTGTGTGGATATCATGCGCCGTACAGTTGAACCTTATACTGGCCATGAGAAGCGTCGCTTTGTCGATAATATCGTTTACATTCGAACTCAACCTGCTGGTGACATCTAACGAGGCGCTCAAAAGGTACTTAAGACTATACGCCAATATTAGGAAGTTCAATATTGATTGGCTGGAGCTTGTTATTACACGACCTGAGCTCGTACGCAGAATTAAAAAGGCATTCTCTAGCAAAAATGTTAGGGGACCACTGTCACCAGTGCTGGAGAGTTGTGTGACCCAAACGTCAGATTTCCACACTACATACGCACTAAGAATACTGAATGAAGCGCACGACACGGAATATATGCAATATTTCAAAACAAAGGAAGATCTTAGTGTACCTTCAGATTCGGCAGATGCATTGGTAGAACAATCATCAGCTTCAGCATTCTCAAACTGGCTGCTCATATACTATGTTGTGCGTGTACCACCAGTAATATCGCTGCTACGTCAAGATATTGCACTCAGGGTACGTGATGTGATACCACGCTGTGCGTCAATGCTATTCGAACAAATGTATTTCACACTTATCAAAGCTAATCAAGAGATACAAATACAACAAGTATTGCGGCAAATCGAACCTAAAAAGGCTACACCAGAACCGGAACAATCTGAAACAGAGCAACCTGATACCGAGCAACTTGAAAAGGATGAAACTGAGACAGAGCAAGAGACTAATTTTGATGACAAATCATGGGGACGTGCTGATACTCGCCATAACTCCAATGACGATAGCAATGCTAATGGTACCAATGAGCCACCAGTAGCAGACAGTGTAACTGTGGAGTTCCCTTCAGACGTTGAAGGTAACGGTGGTGATGTTGATGGCCAAACTACAGGGCCAGAACAGGATGTTGAAAACGCATACGCAGCTGGTGAGCCTGTAGCTGCGCAGAAAATGGATGATGACACGGCGATTGATGTGACTACCGAAGATAACACCGCAACTGATAGCAGTGGGAATCACCCACCCACAGTTCGTGTCTCAGAAGCTCAATCGCAGCCATCAGGAGGACGAAACTCATCGAGTTATGCCGCTGGAACCAAGCAGAACACTAGGGTGAGGAACCATCGTGTTATATCAATGTTGAATCTGCATCAATTTAGGAACACTTTGGTAGAGTGCCAGAAAGAAGGGGAAACCCAACCTGCTGAAGATATCGAACCTATAGTTACACCAGATTATCATTTTGATACTTGCAAAGGTGATGATAAACGATACCTATCTGCGGAACAGATGAAAGCGTTCCTGATGCCGGAAGAGTTTGATACTATCATGAGTCTCCTCGATCTTTCTGGCCATGGTAAAATCAACATCTCCATGTTACAGCAGACCCTATTCAACCTGTATTCTGCTCGTAAGAAGTTTAAGAATATTATAAGGGGACAAGATAGCATTTTCAAAGTACTGCTACGACTATTATCGTTTGGAACATGGCTATGCGCAATAGTGGCCATGGCATTCCTGTCCGGTATCACCGCCGAGGCCATCGTAGTATCAGGTGCTGCATTATTATCGGCTTGTACAGTTGCTTTGAGTTATCTGTATACTAACTTTATGACCTCTGTCATTTTCGTGGCTATTTCTAACCCTTATAACGTTGGTGACCGTGTACGACTAAACGATGGCGAGCCTCTTACAGTTAAGAAGATCAGGACCTACACCACCGAGTTTGTCACTATTCTAGGCAAGTCATTGGTATTCCAGAATGCCGTGTTGTCTACCATGAAGATCACTAATGAGAGTCGTGCTGTGCGCGCTACCTTCGATTACGCCTTCAAGCTCGATGTCAAGACCACCGAAGAACAGTTAGTGGCTCTAGAGGATCACCTCGCGGATATGTTGAACTCGCGGCCCAACGATTTCGTCAAGGATAGCCTTCAGATTTTCTACGTCGAGGTCAACCCTGGATATAGTCTTAAACTCAGCGTATGGATCACCTGTGTTGAGAGTTGGGGAAATTGGCAGCGTATATTCCGCCTTAAGGGCGAGGTTATGGAGGCTACTATGCGATACTGCAAGGAGAACGGTATTGGATACACGTTACCTACCCAGCCGGTTACATTCCCGAAACAGCTTTCATTACGTCAAACTGGAAAGCGGGAGCTTGTTCCACCTGGGAAGCATTTTTAAACTTATACAAATAATGTGTGTATACTATTGTTATTTTCATTGGGGTGTGGCCGCTTGCCGGGTATTAGTGCCTGCCTGTTGTAACCTAGCATTACCCATTTTATCGCCATGACGCTAAAAAAGAAACCTAATACAGAAGGCGCTACGCGTAATTACATAACGCGTACCCAAGCTATAAGGAGGCTTCAGGTATCTCTAAAGGATTTCCAGAGGCTCTGTATTCTCAAAGGGGTATACCCGCGCGACGTCGCCCGTGGAAATACCCTTACAAGCAAAGGTATTAATCGCAAGAAGCTTAAAAAGGATAAAATATACTATCATATCAATGATGTGCGTTACCTGGGCTCCGGTGACCTACTTGCTAAATTTCGTGATATACGTGCCCATCTGAAACGATATCGTAAACTTGTAGCTCGTGGCGAGCTTTATGATGCAAAAATAAGGGAAAAGAAGTGCCCTACATACTCTCTTGCATCCATTGTGAAGGAACGATGTCCAGCGTTGGTCAATGCTGTTGCTGAACTTGATGATGCGGTATCAACCATTGCCGCAGTAGCAGGTAAGCCAATTTATATCCCCTAATTAGCCCATTAAACGGTATATACACACGTAATTGTATTCTCATCCATATAGTTAGACATCAGTTCTCATTAATGTTGCAGCACTGCCATCAGATACCAAGAATGGTGTCGCACCTAAGCTTAGCCGGGCTTGTCATTTGCATCTGCAACATTTTTTGAAATATGTTAGCGAGATGCGATGTTTAAAGAAAACTTTTATATCTATCAAGGGATTTTACTTCCAAGCGGAGATACTAGGGGAAACAGTAACGTGGATATTACCACATTGCTTTTCACAGGTAATTTATTACATTTATAATCAGCGTATTAGACTATTGCAAGGTTTGATTTGGTCTAGTAGATTTGAAATTCTTTGTTATATTCTGCATCACGTTTTAGTGCTTAAATTGTCAGATCTAACTATTGCGGTTAATATGTATTTTAGGCTATACCCGATGAAGTGGATTTCAAGGTAATATCCACGTTCGTGGAATACTACATAGAGCTCGTGAAGCTTGTAAATTTCAAGCTCTACTCCATGGCAGGATTGTCGTACCCACCTTCGGTAAGGCCGGAGTTCGAGAATGTTGGAGATGAATTTATCCACCTAGAAACCACTGGAGGCGTAAGTGTATCTGATGGTCTCTTTAGTGGCATGCGATTCTTCATGTTCCCCGAAGTCCCAATGGTACCAACGAGCCTGGTTATCATCTCTAGTGGTGGCATGTTATCTGACTTGGAAAATGCAACTCATGTCATCGTTGACCGTCCTGTAAAAGGTACGTAACACTGCAACATTTACCAGAGCATTGTTGCAGAAATAGACCCAAAGAAGGACTATGTACAGCCGCAATATGTATACGATTGCCTTAATTGTGGAATACTGCTACCAGTGCAGCAGTATGCCCCGGGAGCTACACTACCGCATCACCTATCACCATTTGTTGTAAGTGAAAAATCTCTGTGATATGAAGGATCTACAGGATGACTTGGCTGTTCCGGATAGACAGGTAGAGCTGGACAAGCTCATTAAGGAAGCGTTACATCAAAACCTGCCTGATGGTATGTATTATAGAATGTAGAATGGCGTTGTTAATATTGTTGTAGATGATCCTGAAGATGTGAAGGTGCAACGTGCGAAATACCAGGAAGACCTTAAGGAGGAAACTGAGATGGTAGGTCAAGCGTTATAGCGACACATTTTGAAATAGACATCTGAGATGAAAGAGATGTCTAAGGCGCTGATGACTAAGAAGACGAAGAGATTGCTTTCTAAAATTGAGGTGAGTGAAACACACTGCCCGCACATATCATTACGCAGTTTGGCAAGCAGCGGAAGGCTGAGGCTGCCGAAAAGCTCCGGCAGAAGAAACAAGCTATTAAGAATAAAACTAAATAAATTTCTAATATTTATTAGCCATATTTTCCAACATGTTCGATGAATACGATACGCTGGCAGATTCGGACGTCATTGGCGTCTTACGCCAGCAATTACCGCCGCAACTTCAAGAAGTAGACTCCATTGAGGGGCTTCTAGAATATGGTATAACCGCTGTAAAGGCAGAGCGTGATAAAACGGTGGCTAAAATCATCGCTACGTACGTACCCATTATGCGAAATTGTTAATTAACGTTACACAGCAAGCAACTTTTGGCAAATATCAAGCTATTAAGTAAACTTGAAGATGGAGTACGCGCATATGTGGATGCTGGGAACGATATTTTCCTCCCAGCACGACTGTTAGTCACGTTTATCGGAATCTAATCATGTTATAGGCAAGATCGACGTATACTAGTGGATATAGGATATCAATTTTATGTAGCCATGGACTCTCAAGAAGCTGAAACGTTTCTAAATGAAAGGTTAAAGTTGCTAGAACGGTTAGTTTGGTTATATCTACAAACAACATTACTCAGTAATGTCGACACACTTAATGCCAAAGTAGCAGAACAACGAGCACAAGCATTTATCATAGCCGAAACGCTATGCACTATGTCAACAGCAGGATTTAATTCATAGCGGTAGCTACGATAGCCAGCCATCGCTGTAATAGTATGTTATATGGTGTGTGACGCGACGTTGGGAATACGTCATATACAAAACACCGAGTACTTCGGTAAAAGGTACTCAAAATGGTGTGCGAAGAGCTACAAATACCACAAGAAAATGCCATACTCGAGGTTACCGACAACTATGCAGCTAACCCGCAGAGACTTGAATGTCTGCTCACTAAAGGACTATTACAGCGTGATATCGATCTACTGAAAGACGGTACGGTATTTATTAGATATATATAAGATTTATCAGCCGGGTATGCAACATTGGAATGCGTCGCATACGCTCCGCTCAAGAACCTATTGGATGTAAAGGGCCTCAGCGAACAAAAGGTTGAAAAAATCAAATCTGCCTGCAAGGAACTTTGCCATCTTGGGTTTTGCTCCGCTACGGATTATCTAGAAGCCAGAGAAAACCTCATCAAATTCACAACAGGGGCCACTGCACTTGATGCTCTGTTACAAGGTGGAGTTGAAACAGGGAACATTACCGAAATATTTGGTGAATTCAAAACAGGAAAAACACAATTATGTCATACTCTAGCGGTAAGTCTCGTGGCCCATTATCACCTTGTTCATATAACCTCTTTTTAACGCGAATAATTCATACGCAGGTGACATGTCAACTGCCAGTTGAACAGAATGGAGGTGAAGGAAAATGCCTATGGATCGATACGGAAGGTACTTTCAGGCCGGAAAGGATTGTTGCAATCGCCAAACGTTTTGGATTATCACCAGTACACTGCCTAGAAAATATTGCATATGCCAAGGCATACAACACTGACCATCAGACGGAACTCCTTGTAGAAGCATCAAATATTATGTCACAAACGAGGTTTGCACTACTCATAGTCGATAGTGCAACGGCATTATACCGTTCAGATTATTCCGGAAGAGGAGAACTTGCCAGCAGACAAATGCATCTATGCAGGTTCCTTAGGGCATTACAGAGGATCGCAGATACCTTCGGAGTAGCAGTAGTAATATCAAACCAAGTTATGTCCAAGGTGGACAATCTATCCTCATTCTACGGTGGAAGTGACAAAATGCCTGTTGGAGGAAATATTATCGCCCACGCAAGTCAAACAAGACTCTTCCTCAGAAAATCCAGAGGTGATAGCCGTGTCTGCAAAATATACGATTCCCCCAGCCTACCAGAGGGTGAAGCAGTTTTCGGTATTACAGAAGGTGGTATTGATGACTATCATGATAAGTCCGTGTGATCTGTGAATCACGGGAGCAAAATCTCTAAGAATTGCTGTATAAATTTATACCCTAACCTTAAATTAGGGTATACGTCACATCAAACATATGCTGAATAATGTTTAGACTATGAAAGTTTAATCTCTTGATACATGTAGCTCGATGACCCCCGGGGGTTACCATGTTGTAGGTCACGACAATGTATTAAACATAGATATTAAAAATTAAACACCAATAGGTTGTTATTTGTTCTTGGCATAAAATACACGCGGGGGTGAACCTCCGCAGGTAGTTTGATTAAGCATTGCAAGTCAGGGCACCGCTGAAATGTACCGGCGCAATAGGCTCACGGTACGTGATTCCCAACATATCACATTGCTTTATTATATGCATCATCAATGAGTTTTGTAACAAAAAGATGTGAGAGGGGATGATCCAGCTGTCCATGTAAGTTACAAGGACACTGATAAGGAAATAGTGTCCTACTTGCATCTCCGACACATAGACAAAACAACCATCCCGAACAAATTCACGTGGTCGACCGTTAACATAACTCCTGATGTTCTCGGCTAATTGTTTCAAAGCCGCAGGGGTAGTTGTAGAATGGACACGAAGCTTAATCTCCAAAACAGCATGACGTGCCCGAGTCTCATTGGTAATATTCATCGTGCTCAGCAACGAATTTTGATATGTAATAATCTTTTCATGTGCACAGCGGAAAACTGTATTGTATGTGGTGATTGATTTGACATACATAGCCTCGCCATTGTCGATACGTATACGGTCACCCACGTTATATGGGTTTGAGAGAACAACAAAAATAATAGCCGTAATAAAACTAGTGTACATATAACTCAATGCTACAATCATAGCAGAAAAAAAACCAATCACAGATGGCAAGACGACATTCTTGTTCACCCGGAATGTCATGAGGTACATTACAAAAATAAGGAACCATAACGCTGTGCTCAGCAGGCGGTGGACTAAACCTAGAATACTGCGCTGATTTTTAAGAGCGCTCATCAACCTTTTACGTAAAGAACACATGTATAATACATTCCTGGTGAACACTTGAGAACTCACATTGCCACAATTTCCGATATCGTACGCAGAGAAAAATCCCTCCACAACAGATTGGTTAAGTAACGGAAACATTTTACTGGTAAGAGCACGACGATCTTCTGTTTCCGTTGCCATGCGATCTAACTGTGGTTCGGGACGTATATCCTCATCCTCAGCGCAAGAATCGGTATCCAACTTGCCAGATGGCATATAGATCATAGGCAAACTGGTTTTCGCCTTTGCCAAAGCATGCAAAGTTGAAATGCGATCATATTGACGCACCTCCTGAACATCCTCTGTCTGCTCCGTTGTTGAGTTACCGTTAATGTTAGTCTTTGAGCTTTGGACTTTGTTGGACAATGCGTCAGTGATCTCCGGGTGATTCAACGCAGTCATGGTCTCATATATATGGTCGAACAAAAGCCTGGAATACTCTTGAACGGTCCTTTTGGAGACCAGTGGGACATAAAAGTCCAAAAACAGTAACTCTGGTGGATGGTGTACCATGTGATGTAAAGCGCTCCAGTTCGTAAGCATATTGCTCAAGCACCTTCGTATCCAACGTTCACGGCAAAATTGAGGCAACACGACCTTTTTCCGAATATCATCATCACGACGATGACACATTCGCCACGCATGGATAGGTTGGCGGAATATGTTGAAGTGACTTGAGTCATAGTATATCTTATGGTCATATGCGATTGGCGTTTCGGGCAAAGGTATCTTATCAATGGCGTCACTAGCGGTATTCAGCCCCTCAATTACCGCTGGGTGTTCCGAATCGCGTGCGCGATTAATGAAGTTTACCCTGATAAAAAATGCAAGAAGCTTTAAAGAAAACCTACCATGCAGCGTTGAATTTACGCAATAAAGCCTGTTCTCTGAGGTACGTTTGCAACTCCGCACTGTAGTTCGGCAAAAAGGTAACCTCAAAAAAGAACAAAAGCGAACTGAGTACCAGTTTACGCATGGATATCAAAATGAGTAATTGGAATGTAGAATTAGTCCACGTATAACATCGCAAATCTATTTCATGGAAATGCGATAAACGTTCACCTAATCCCTTAAAGCGGTAATAGACCAATAGATTGTTTTCATACACTGTGGAAAGATGAGATGTTGACGGGTAGACAGTTACCTGGTTCTGTAAGCTTGCGTAGCACGGCATAGTTTATTATAGTCCATATGCAGTATGCCGCAGCGGGATCCATAGCATATGTCACTACAACGGCCAAGTGTGAAATGTTGTACAGGGGTTGAATAACCAGCTTGATACCAATGTACCTCAAAGTCATCACTATGATCAATGTCCCAATGAACATGAGCATAGTTGTACCCAAAAAAAAGAGGCCATTGCGAATAGTCTTAAAATGCGATAGGCTGGCACCAACCGCATCCACCGCTTCGATCTATATCATCTGTTAGAAGATGGTAAAATAGAAACGTACCGGTTTTTTCATCAAGCTTTCTCCACTTGGAACGGCACCTTCGCCAGCATCTTGCAATAATGGCAATGTCACTGATAATAATAACGCTTAAGATGAGATGTTAACTTACGTGGACCAAAGCACATCCCGATGAAAAATACCAAAAAATGGACTGATAAGATCCATATTGCGGTATTATCATGAAAAAACTCATGAGAGAACCAATCTACAGGACGGCACCAGCCAGAACTGAAAGCGGAATCATCCGTTTCATCGTACTCTTCACATCATGATAATTCCATATTAGATCAAACACACCTATAGGAGGGCCCTTCCTGGGCACGTTATACCTTGCTGTAACATAGTTACTGTGTGCTTCGGCTGCTGGAGTCGTAGAGTCGATAGAGTTTGTCTATAACGGCATTTACACATCACTGCGGTGTGCAACTTACGTGCATGTGAACAAGCACATTTGACCGCTTTACTGCGGTATTCCGTTCCGAATCCATCTCCCGCCATGTATAAGCGATGTAAAGCTATGAATGAACCGTCGAAAAGTCTAATGGGTGGGGACGCAAGTGGTGTCCTAGCCATACCACAGTTACACATTGATCGTTATTTTCCTCGGCGGAAGAATCAACGACAATGTTACTTTTCTACTTTAACGATTTTTAAACATCTGGACATGTCACTGTCTAAAGGTGGATATGTCGCGGGTATAACGACAGATGTACCAAGTCACCGGTAAAACTGGTATTTTATGGAGAACTGTGGCAAGATGGTCGGCAAACGGCTCGGTAACTGGAAGGGTGGTAGGAGTCAGCTCGGAAATGGCGGCTGCCAATTACGAGCCTCCACCCTTCGACTTCGAGGCCCTCGATGCCATGGTTAACAAGGATGATGAAGGACCAAATCCAACAATTATAAATGCGAAAACCGGAATTTCGTTAGACAAAAATGAAAGACCGTTAATATACTCGCTACTCAGAGAAGCAAATGCTACAGTGTATGCCGCTAAGAACCTGGGCAAGAAAAAACTTTTAATAGACAGTAGTACAGATTCACAAAGGGCATTGAATGCTCCAGGAGAATGGATCTGTGAGCGTATTTCGCATAAATTACTGTCTTACAGTTTGGACATGCGCATCATTGTGTTACAACGAGCTCTAGCAGCATGGCATCATTCCGGGGTAAAACAATGGAACCGACTGGCAAAGACGGCGCTTCGAAGCTGTTTTGTCAATGACGAAGTATTGACTTCGGAACAACTAGTCAAAATATGTGCGTCACTTAGTAAGTGGCGATTTAAAGGAATAGGTGAAGTACAACATAAACTTGATCTAGCAATATTGGCTGAAGACAAATGGGATATAAATAAAATATCACATCTTTTGTGGAGCCTTGCTCACCTAAAGGCATTTGACCTACGCGCGTTCGATTATATGAACAATATACTTACTACTATCTTGAACGAACCAGAATTTGACTTGACCGAGGTAACGGATGACACAATACATCGTATACTGAACGCTAATATCGTCAAAATGTCACATACCGGACGACATCATATAGTGTTGATAAGACTATTAAAAGCGTTAGAGACACAACCGATAGCTGTGAGCCAACTTAGCCCAAAGACCATACTGGCTGTTACCGCGATCCTGCCGCTCTGCCCAGAATCCGGAACCATCCCACATATCGTAAGGAGAATATCACAGTCGATGCACAGGTTTACACACGCTCAATCGGCACACATGTTTTACAATCTAGCACTTTTAACTAATATAGCAACAAAGGTGTTGGACCAACTCGTTGGGTCACTTTTCGAATTCAAAGAGATGCTGTACAATACAGATGCGGCATATGTACCAAGCCTTACTGCGAAGTTGTTGTATACATTTAGGACATTTTTAGGTGGATTTGATCATCGTTTCGTAAGCAAATGTCTAGCTGACCTCAACGCTAATATGCACTTATTGGGACCTTTCTCTCTTGTAGGCAACCTCCAAGTGATCGAGCTCTACATGGCGGAGACTGGACAAGAGCTCAACGAACAGCAGGTTACCAGCCTGAAAAATACGAGGCTAAAACTTGTAAGGACAGATAACCATGGCGATTTCGTGAAACCGCTTTTTGAAGAACAGGGAGAGGAACCCATTGGGAAAATGAAACTATGGCATTATGGAGCTATATATAGACTCACGAATTGTGGAAAAGTGCCAATGATGACGAAACTTATCCAGTTTATGGATCAGGTTACGGAGGACAGCCTTCTGGCTGCATTAAAAGACTTCCTTCTATTTATTGTGAATATAAGTGGACAACGTGAACTTTGTAAAGACAGAATGTTCCTGAACTCTGTACTTATTGTATCAACACAGTTATGGAGTATGTCGACGAACAATCGCGCAGTGACGGAATACTGGGTATATATTAAATTTCACCTGGCGGTACTCGGCTTGCTAAAAGTGTTTGAACGTGAGTGTCACACAAAAGAGGATAAGAGCGGACGTCGGATATCAACGGCTAACCCGATTGCCGGACTGTCTTTAACGTTGGATATGGAATCCTGTGGCAATGTTGAGATCGAATCGTGGCTCAAAGCAGCAGCGAAAGGAGAGCTTACTGCAACATCTGCAAGTGACATCATATTGCTACGTTACATGTTATTTATATGTGTAGCCCATAGGCATCCCATCGCTGAAGAACTTGATATAAACGCTAATCATCGAATCCGACGGTTACTTACGGACTGCTTCTATGGAGCCGTGTCTGGACCACTTTTCAATACTAATCAAAGCTCCGATAAAATAACAAGTGATGTTTTAGAGTTTTTGAATCGGGCGATGGAGCCGCGAGTACAGCCATTAAACCGGAACATGGCGTATACAAAACTCTTCTTTATGCAGGATATGCCACAGTTAATGATGGCGCTCCTACCGGAAGTTACTTTATCAGAATTGTTACCACAAGAGCGCTACGATGTACCACTCTGTGATGTGGCACTTTGGCTTGTGGAGGTTAAACATGTGGACACATTGACAAGGTATTTAGAAAAGGCCGGGGAAGTTAAAAGTGAAACTCACACACATCTCCGCGAAGTGTCGAGTAATCTCGATATAGCTGTTTTCAACATTAAAAGCGTTAGGTACAACTTCCATTTTGGTCCTTATATGTGCCATATCGGTATATTTGGAGAAGACGCAAGCCAGGTGATATTGGTGTTCTTCAACGGGGCATATAGCGACTGTCACCGCCACACCTTCGATAATCAACGTCGTTTGACGTTGAAAAAGATGGGTGTGCAATTTGTAGAACTTGCTAATGTAGACATTTAAGAATAATGTAGCACAACTTGTACTGCGGGCACTATACCACACCGATGCCTCATAGGTCACTATATCACCATATAGACCACAATTTTTTGTTATCATAATATAATAAAATGTCGGAAGAAGTGGCTGAGACTGCTCAATTGCATAACGCTTCGGTAACTCTCCCGGAGCACACGCCGGAGCCTGTTGCCGACGACTCCTTCGGAAACGAGAGCGAAGTGTCGGATAAAAACGATACCCAACCTTCGAGAAGTACTGACACAACTCAAAATGAGGGAACTGCAGAAACGACTGAATCTGATATGCCACCTGCGGAAGAGGCGTCGACCAATGAATCTACACAACACGCTGAAGAAATACCACCGCCGAAGTCTCGTAGACTTAAAAAACAAACCAATAGTAACTCCCAAGACACTAAAGATTCACAGGATGATAGTAGTCAGCAGATAGATGGTAGCATAAAAATACCTAAAAAGAAGACGCAACGCAAAAAGAACAACGCAAAGAAGAATGCAGACCCAGATGGAGATTTTGTACCGCCATCTGGTCCATTCGAAAAGAATTACCTTGATGCTGATGACTATTCCGACGATGATTACCGTGAGCGTAAAACTAGCAAGAAGAAACAAGTGAGCGCGGGCAAAATCTATTTCGATGAAGTCATTAAACGTGTCAAGGAACGAAGGAAAAAGAATGTACAACTAACAACAGAAGAATGTCAGATTTATTGCAGACAACTAGTTGAAAGGATGATCGCAGCAGCAGCTGATGATGTCACTGCTATGAAACAAGGGAGACCGGGTCTGGCCAAATTAAAAATGATCAACGATATATCTGAATTCTCCAAGCCAGCTTGGAGAAATTGGTGTATCGCAGAAGGTGGTGCTGTCGCTTTGGCCAGCTGGATAACACCGTTACCCGATGGTTCTCTACCAAACCTTAGCGTCAGGACTAAAGTGCTACAAATGGCGTTACTGCTGCCGTTTCAAGCAAATGATCTTCGAGATAATGACCTAGGAAGACAGATTGTTGCCTTGTGGAAGCATCCTGATGAATGCGAATCCAACAGGATACTCATTAGGTCTATCGTACAGAAATGGGTACGCCCAATGCTGGGATTGGCATCGACGTATAGCGATGTACACCAAGATTTCCCAATGCCAATCAAACCTACTGCCAGTACAGTCGGTGGCGGCGACAAGGATCGTAAAACGGGACAGAAGTTCCCACCACGGAAAACACAAATGGGCAGTATTATCGTTAACCAAGAGCGGATCAATTCCAAACTCACGCAGATGTTTAGGGTCATCGAATCTAGAAGAAGGGCACCAGCTAAAGCTACAAAAGTTAGCGTGGACGGCGCTATCATATAGCACTACAGTTAATATCTATATTAACCCGCGGGTACGACGCGGCCTATGGCTAGCACACACTATTTTAGTTATAAATGACAATGTTCGGTGCCCAGCCGGGCGCTAATCAATCTGGTGGAATATTTGGGAATAATGGGCAATCTCCAAGCTTTTCAGGCGGCTTCTTTGGCGGATCTTCGCCGGGAGTCTCAGCAACAACGACATTCGGTGAGTGTTTCGTACTCTTGGAGAGTAACTACATATATTAGGTGGAGGAAATCTATCAGGTGGAATAAATGCCGTAGGATTCGGCGCAACGGCATCACCGATGCCTCCTTCGGGATTTGGCCAAACCACAGGATTCGGTTCTCCAAACGCTAGTACCGGGTTTGGTGGATTTGGCACAGGAACCACTGGAACATTCAGTTCTAGCGGTTTTGGAACTCAAGGCCCACGTACAGGATTTGGAACTTTTCAAAGCAATGCGACTAGCGGGTTCACTACAACGGGGTTCGGTGGATCAACTACCGGTGTCTTTGGAAGTACTACGGCGTTCAACACTGCCCCTTTTACGTCAAATAACTTTGGACAAAACCGAACAACGACTTTCACCTCTACAGGTTTTGGTCAGAAACAGAACGCGTCACCTGGTGGTTTGGTGAGTACGCCGAAAGCTGGCAACACATCGTACGCAACTTCTGGATTTGGAACAACACCATTCGGTCAGTCATCGCAACCATTTAATACAGGGGCTTTTACTTCCAATGGTTTTGGAAAAGGTCAAACCAGGTCAACATTTGGTAGTACTGGATTCGGACAGAGTCCCTCCCAAACTACCTTCTCTACCAGTGGGTTTGGTCAAACTCAAGGTACCTCTGGGTTCGGTAATACCGGATTTGGACAAACACAAGGTGCTACAAGTTTTGGTAGCACGGGTTTTGGTCAATCGCATCCACAGTCTACGGGTTTTGGTCAATCGCATCCACAGTCTACGGGTTTTGGTCAATCGCATCCACAGTCTACGGGATTTGGGCAATCGCATCCACAGCCTACGGGATTTGGGACATCCGGCTTTAGCACTGGTGGGTTCGGGCAACCAATGTCACAAACAACTGGATTTGGATCTGGAGCATTCGGTCAGGGATCGATGCCATTTAACACTGGTGGATTTACATCGAACGGGTTTGGTCAGAGCAACAACGCGTTTACTACCTTTGGTCAAAATTCTGGCGGTTTCGGACGGCCGGCAGCCGGTTCAAACGCCAGTGGCGGAACAATGCAGGTATCTGGCTTTGGTAGTGGTAGCATGGGATTTGGTACGATGGGTCAACCAGGTGTAGCAAATCGCGGATTTGTGCCTGTCAAAGCGACACTTTTCGGCGGTCGTAATAATGTTAACGGAGGTGAATTGGCTAGACCAAATTCAGAGCCGCTTACGGCGCGTTGGAACGCAAATAAGGAACCCTGGATGCAAAAGGCATATGCGGGTAAAACGTTTGAGGTAAGAAAAATGAAAAGTCAAATTTAGACGGTTCGCAGAAGGGGATGATACCCGAGGTACCCCCTACGGTTTAGTTACTTTTTCAGTTTCTGGCAACAATGTTAATTAATGTAATGAACTAAACCACCTTTTTTCCATATTTTCTTTCTATGTTGCTGATAACAGAGTTAAAGTCGACCTCGCGTTTTTTGCGATTAGCCTAATACACATAAAGTTTGTAGTGATAAAAGTTACCATTATCTGCGCCGCCAGATCCTCTAGGTTACCACTATAAAAATTTTGAGCTAACTTAATGGATTACTCACCCTGACGTTGACCTTTTCGATTCGCGTTTCATCTTTTTTTTGTACTTTTGACTTATTTCCTTCAGAGAACCAGCACTGCTAGTCTTTTTGAATTGCGAGGTTGACTTAATCTCCTGTAAAAGTATTGCACGTGTTGACACACAACTAACGTCATCTTCAATTTTCTTAGCGTAGAACTCTACAAATCGCTCTAGATCATCAGCTTCACTCAATGGGATATATAGAAGTATATCGGTAAGGTTGCCATTGTGCCTTCGTAGGATTTGAGATGTTGTTGTGGTCGACACCCACTTGTTGTAATAGTCGAGTAGATCTTCGTCTTCAGCGGCGCTACCTTTATAAGTCTTAGCAAAATCGTCTATATCCTCCGTAGTTACAGGGTTCTTGTAGTATTCGTATGCAGCTGCAAAGGCAGGGTCCTCCTCTCCTTCCCAGCCTGGTACGCATCAACAACGGATCGTATAAACATACCAAATTTATCATATTTCTCACGTTTTTCCTCATCCTTGAGAATCTCGTATGCGTGTTGTAGTTGTAAGAAGCTGGTAGTTGCCTTTTCCTGAAAAAATTTAGAAACTTTTAGGGAATCTTACACGTTCGGATTCAGACACCCCCGTAAGTTTGTCTGGATGTGTCTTCAGTACAGCAATACGGTATGCCTTGACAATATCACGAACTGATGCATCTGGCTTAACGCCTAATATCTCATATAGCTTTCCTCCGCTCATTTTAGTACTGACGCGTGTCGTGGGCGCTGGGAGCCTGTGGCCTACCAAGATCGTCACACCTCATTAAAATTATAAAAAATGGATCAGGATAAGAAGATTCCATTCCTAATATCACATAAAAAGGTGGTGTTACATCCGATTGTAATGCTCTCGGTTGTAGACCATTACAACAGGTGTGCCGACGGTACTGCACGCCGAGTGGTAGGGACTATACTAGGCGAGCACATAGATGGAGACATACACATCACAAATTCATTCGCCGTGCCCTTCGAAGAGGATCCTAACAACCCTCTAGTATGGTTCTTTGACCACAACTATCATGAAAGGATGTTCACGATGTTCAAAAAGGTAATTATATCATTATAACCGTGCAATGCGACATATTTCTGCAGATCAATACGAAGGAAAAGGTACTAGGGTGGTATAGTACCGGCCCTAAGTGCAAACCTGCGGATTTGGAAATACACGAACTCTATCGCAAATATTGTCCGAATCCGATATACATTATTGTGGATATCACCCAGGTACGACCAGAAATACCGTAAACTATCTCGTTATGACATTGCTACAGAAAGAAGAACTTCCCATGGAGGCATACATATCGGTAGAAGAGCCAACAAGCGACAGGAGGTTCAGAAGAACCTTCGCTCATGTCCCTTCAGAAATGGGTTGGTAACCTCTGTACCTGTCTAATATGTGTGTAAATAGGCGCTTTTGAAGCTGAGGAGGTTGGACTTGAACACCTATTGCGTGACCTCACCAACGTTACCACGTCAACACTCTCAAGAAAGGTCAGTGGGAGTGTCAATATTTTATACCGTGTCCAGGTGGAGAACAAGATACTGGCACTTAAATCATTAGTTGTGAAATTGGCAGAGATTACTGAATATCTAAGGGGGGTTATCAATGGCGTGTATAGCGTTAACCCGGCTATCATCTATATGCTACAGGTAACTTTAAGGTGACGCAACCTCAAAAAATGCAGGATATACTTAATTTGTTCCCTTCTGTGGAAGGCGAGGATATCACCGAGGCGTTCACTATCAACATGAATGACACCTCACTTGCAATCTACCTCGGCAGTATAATCAGGGCTATGCTTGCCCTGCATAACCTCATCGACAACATGACCGAAAACAAGCGTATAGCCGGCGAAAAGGCGGAAGCTACATCATAGCAGTGTGCTGTACTGTGGCTTTGCAATAAGAATAAAATATATTTTGAGTTAATTGTCCAAAATAAAGTTTAACGTTTTCGTTTCTTTATAGCGTTCAGTTTCTTGGCAGCATGCGCGTGAGCTTTGCCACGTTTATAGTTACCTTCGCGTGCAGTACTACGTACGGCGACTGCTACTTGATCTGTATCCATTGCGATTTCACCCTTTGGTGGTAAAAGGTGGCCTTGCACCACCGATAGGAAGCGGCTTTCTCTGATCTCCTCAGGGCTAAATTTGCGTCTGTTGTACATACCAGCGAGACCTGAACAGTATTAGGCCATCATATCGTAACTTACCAGAATATGGTACGGCTTCTGAACGTAAATCAATAGCTGGCTTCACTGCGCGCTGAGGGATCACAGCTTCTGGATTATCTATCGATGAGGATATGGATACTAGACAGTATAACCAACCTGGCTCTAAGAATTTGTTAGGCTTCACCTCTGGTGTGACATCTATGCCACGCTGTAATAGGCGGACCTTGCGATTAGCCTCCTCCAATCGAGGTACTTCCACGATATCTGGCCATAAATCAAATAATATTTGGATAAACTGTACCATTAATTATATGGCGTTTAGCGGTGCGATATCTGCGCAATGATTTTGCGCGCAGCCCTTTCGCCATTGTAATATCTACTAGAAGCCTATGCTAGGCGCCACCAAGGTGTATACACCACCGCTATCCGTTAGAGCAAAAATACTAAACTAATAAACCGGGTTAATGTGCACATACTTAAATGTACGAGTTTGTGGCAAAGAGTTTATGCTTTGCGCTTGCGCTGGAGCTCGACCACGCGTATCATCTCTTCGTTCTTAGCCTTCGCACGACGAAGGGTACCCAAACGCTTCTTAGCAAACTTAAGAGCACGCTTCTGGGCAGATGATGAACCGGTTTTGATAAGCTCGATCATGTGCCTTTCATAAGGGGCAAAACCGCAGACCTCACGAATGACCTCGGACACAAGGGTGTTGCTGTTGGTCTTCAATCCCTTCCTGCGACTTGGGCGTACAGACTTCACCAAAGGTATTGGTGTAGTGATGTGGCCTTTGTTCAAACCGACTTCATAACGTTAAATCAACGTAAAAGACGGAACCCACCTGCTAAGCCGGATTTAGGGGCATCGATCTTCATTTCTCTTTTTCCTGCCATCTTCCTAACGAAAATATTAGATTAATATAAAACGTCAATACACAAACGTAATGTGGTCAGCAATTGAGCTGGGCCAACGCGGCCTCCGGACATAGTATTCCGTATAGCTGTAACTATCGGATAGAAAAACACATATATACCGGGAAAGAGACCTACCTATATGAAGTGAGATTTAGTAATAACTGATTCAGGGTGACAGTGGCGGAAAACAACTGGAAACGGTAACGGTACCAGCTTATGGGGAGGGCTGCCTACCAGGGTCCGTCGACCAGGGATGGTAATATGAACAGATAGTAGCTTAATATTGATAAAATTGCGGGCATAATGGAACATTATCGTGTTTTCATAAGGTGTGTAAGCCTCTAGTAACGGTTAGGTCCATCTACCTCAATTGTGTTATATATAAAACAACAGTAACATTCCGTATACCAGATTACCAAAAATAGTCTACCATAGAAGTGGTTCAGACATGATAATTCCCCATTACATTCGGAGAGATTCCCATTTTTGCGTCATCATGTACCACTAATAATCTACATTTCAACTTCGTTTATAGTACACGATAGAAGGTGGACAATCACAGGCGTTATTTGCGCGTGATGGTGTACTCGGGTGAGTCTCTGTATGCTCGCATAATCAGCGGGGCTGAAGTAATCTGCAAAACCATATAAACTCGCCGCTATAAGCAGCTTTAGAGAACCATCAGACAGGGATAACCTTTGGTCCGCACCGACATATTCTCGGATATTACCACAGTTGTTGTCATCATCGAGTCACATAAAACACACAAAAAACCCACGCTTATAACTAGTCACTAAAGTCAGTAGCGACTGATGCCAAATCACCGGCAGCTGATCCTCGAAATTCTCAAACTTGCAAAAGTAGGACACACACTCTTGTACCACCTGAACACTCATTTAGATTGGCCTGGGGAATACGTAGCAGTAGCACTAAAGACAATGCGTGTACTCCAGCACGATGCGATTACACTTAGCGTAACCAGAAGCACGTGCGTGGAAATATTGCTATCGCAAAGTGAAAATGGAACCACACATCACGTGAAGCTCAGAGTGGCTTTGCTTGGATATCAGATTTTTCGACCGTTCACATCACTTTCTCAGAAGCAGAACTGGCTTTAGGTCGTTGTCTCATCATTAACCAGTGACAAAGGAAACTTACATTCTTCGGCAAATTATAGTTCTTTTGCAGTAAGATCGACATGATGAAACTGCTACTGCCAAACCACTTCTGGCATTGGCAAAGCCTCAGAATGAACGCAGAAGCGTGTAATACGGGGATAGAGATGCGGCGAAGTACATTACCTATTATAGCAGCCTCCCTGTACATACAACCCTGTAACATTATAACACATACAATGTTGTGCGCGATCAATATATCAGACTGGGGCGATACTTTTTTATGACAATGGTCAAGTGGTATCATTCATCATGTATGTGCGCAGTGATAGGTGGCAAACGTACCTCCTCAACCAGAGGTACCAAAATGCCTTGGAACCATGCAGTAGGCTTGAATATTGCTTTCTTAAGAGCCATGTACAAGTGATAGTTCAATTTACGGCCACGGCGGATATCCTTCCGTACCGTAGGCAATAACACTTTATTGTAGAAAATTTCCACCTAATGCAATATGAAATGTATACTAAAGCACACACATACCATAGATTCCGTCATGTTGGAAGCAAATATGTGTGTCGCTTCATACATTGCGTTGGGAGTCCAATTTTCTGGGTGTGTAAGCCCTAAGAACTCTTCCCAACTTTTCATTCTAGGAAGGACTTTAAATGCTTTGGGTAAACCTCCACTAGTGTACTTTGACATATACACACCAATTTCGGTGTATACTTCTTTCAGTTTACGCAAAGATTCATCTTCAGCATCAGGCGATTTGAACAAAAGTTGGCTCAATTTACCAATCTCAACGGCAGTACTCGGCAATGAGCTTTCTGGCATGAAACCATCGATCTCCTTCAATGTTGCAGAAACTAAAGTATCCTGCTCAAGGAAATCGGCATCATTGGCCAATTTTACCCTGTAAATAATGTTGGATATTAATATCGTTAGGGGCTCAGGTATCCATATCTCCGCATTAACACATCGGATATATGCTTGTCAATTTTCAATCATCACTGCCCAAAACTGATGTAAACTTACTTTTGATATTCACGATCATTCTCATTTGAGAGTTTGTGAATTTTTTTTGCGATATTTTCCGGGATATCATCGAGGAATTCGGCCTCAATGTCGGACAAATCGTCATCATCATCCGATGATTTTTGCTTTAAATTCTTTCCTTTCTTTTTGCGATAATCTTCCTTCTTCACAGACCCCGAGGCCCGTGATTTAGGTCCCTTCCTAGCCAATTTTTGTTTCATTGTGGAAACTGGCTTCTACACGAATCACTCGGGATCCTGGCATCGTGTTCGCCAACTTGCGAATGTACAGATAAACTACCCATAAATTATCAGACTAACGTCATTCAAACAACACGTTTATGTGCCACCTTAAATGGGGAAAGCCATGGCCCGCGCTGCCGTAGGCACTGCAGCGAGGAATGCTGCGGTGGAAATATATCAATGTCACGGCACAAAATAGCACACATCACTCTCCAAGTCAAATTTACGTCAGATAATGGAGCTTATGCCCATACAATTTTGCGACTGTGCGTTACTAGACATATTGAAGGCGAAAATAGGTTCATCTTCGCGATTATTAGATAAAATCGCACCAAAGTACGGTGCAGGACCTGTTGAGGAGAAATGTGTGAATTTTCTCTCGCAGAATGTGAAAAATTGGAATATAACTATCACACATAAATCACTTCGCATAACTATCATCACTATGGCAACTTCATTGCGTAGGCATGATCCGAAACTATCGGCATCTTTGTTGAGAAACTATAGTTACATAAATTCTGATGGAATCCAGGAATCACTTTCTGGAACGCCTCTTTTATTGGATGGCAAGGTCTACGACATATCTTCCCAGTCCTTTCTAACAAAGGAAAACTTCAAACCACTGCTGTGTTGCGTTCTCAATGCTTGTTGTCAACACAAGTTTCTACTGGCCGATCGCATACTCACAGCAATGGTTTCCTGCTTTACAGTATCACCGGAATTATACAACCAACTGGTCGACGAGGAGTATGTCAAGAATATGGAGGTAACGAGAAATACATTTTGATGACATTCATGTGTAGCTGATTTTAGAGAATATATGCAATGTTAAAGACTGGGATAGGAGCATTCCCTGCGTTAGATTGCTGAATTCATGCTCACATACAATGATGATCCACCGAAGACGCGGGCCGCTTAGCAAAATATACCGCAGGGTCATACGCAAAATATGCAATGCCATTGCTAAGTATCATATGGCAAGTAAGTCGTGTTCATTACAGTGATCAACAAGTTGTAGTCGATGAAAAAGGAGCGAACAGCTCTTACGAACTCCGCAACTTGTATGAATCTGTGGCTCTGCTTCGAACATTTCTCTTATTACTCCTTAGTGGTAAGTCGATACTCCAGTCATTCCAAATAACACAACAGTTGGAATCAACTTTTATGTCGATATTGAGCCTTTTCGAAGGTCTATCAGAGACACGAAGACACTCGTCATCATATCAATGGCTAAACGTTGGGCCATAGATAGGTCCAGCATGTGGGCGGCTATTAACTTCGATAATCAGAACATCCTCAAGAATATAATTTGGAGAAAGGCTAGAATCTCTGTCACCTTCACTGATCCAAAAGTGAGTTTGTAATGTTGAATCGCCTGACTCAAGGCAGATGATGGATCGTGAGGTGCCACTTTGGGAAGAAGGTGATGCATTTGCTTATTTCACCCATACTACTGCGACGTTAATACCGAAAGAGGTTAGTTATAGAGTTCATTTGACGTCGGCTCCGATGGTGACGATGGCGTAGTACAATTTTGATGAAAGTCACTTTGAGTTGTAGGCACTTGAGCTTGTAATAGAGCTACCGTTGATCAGTTGCATTGACATCCATGAAGATGAGGAAACTTTGAAGTTTTATTTCGACCTTAATTTGACTTATCTGAAGCGTTTGTTTCAACTTTGTCAATTTAATGACGTTCAGGTACTCTACCAAAGCTGCTTGCTCTTGGATTCAGAGACGAGATCTCTCAACAATATCGATTTACCGTCTCTTGCTTAAAAAAATACTCTAGTGAAAACGCCGAATATGACAAAGCGGTGTTAAAGTACCACACAATTGATGCAACAATGGAGGTCTTCCTACCACCGAAGAATAAGAAGCTATACTCTTCGTCGGAGCAATCTGTTGTTAATTCTGTGAGACGGCCGCAAAAACGGAGCTATGCGATAATTGAGGTATATGGAACTTATTAGGTCGCCAAACTATCGTTTCAGCTTCCTCCAGCAGGGATTATCCAGAGTACCAGTTGCGGGTACTATGTAAATAGTGGAGCCGGAACTCCCCACAGCATTCCTAAACATCTAAGAACCACCTCATCTGGATATAACGAAGGAACGCCACATAGAAGGGGTAACGACTCATCTGTCGTGCCTCCGTCGATCAATAGGGTATGCAACCGAATACTTTACTCACTATACGCAGGTTACTACCACACGTACTACCGGCAGTTTTGTTCCAGGTAACGACTAATTAGACATCGAAATATCGTCATCGCAGATGCAAAAGAGACGAAGACAACAGCTAGAAGCAAATCATTTGAAGCAACCACCTCTATCTCTCAAAAGGCTAGCATCGCCCTTTTGGCACTGCCACAGGAGGACCAAGGGACTGTCCCAGATAGTTTGATGGAAATATTTACTTGTGAGAAAACAACGCCTCTCTCAACGCATCCAGCAACAAATCTGGCTGTCGCTTCATACATCGAGCCCGTTGCCGAACAAGAAGTGGTGAACGAGGAATTGACGACCATTGCCCCGACTGTAGAACCTACCATTGTCCAACCAGAGCAGCAAGACACGAGGGTTTTGTTTATCCATAGACCAAAGCGGCTACACAGAATCAAGCGCAGGAGAACAAAATCTAAGCGGAAGTCGTCTAAAAGTTCCTCACCCCGGAGCAGCAGTTCACCCGTTCCTAACCGACAGTACGGCACTTGTTCATCTCTGAAGCGTGGTAGGCGTGCATTATACGATTCTAACTAATTTCAGCTAAAGAGACGGAACCTGCATATCCGCAGAGTATCGTGCGACATCTAAAGCGCGCCACAAAACTGCTGCTGAAACGCAAGAACCATAGATGCGAGTACATCCGCCGAGAATTCGACGAACTAAGGAACACCATAGAGACCAGGTTCCACCTAGTCCTGTGCCGAAGACAGGAACGGTGGAACCGCGTGAATGCTACATATATGAAGGTTAGTTAAATCGACACACGTGGTGGTGAATCATTAAACAGCGGTTGGACGACATAGCAAGCGGCGTTGAAGAAGATTTCAAACTTCCACAACTCCATGAGATTTCTAAGAGGCTCCCTGAGCCAATAAGGCTACAGTCTACGCCTGAAGAGGACACTTGTATGTCCACACTACAAGAAATTGGAAGTGATCCCAATGATTTCGAGGCCACTGTACAATAATATGACCTTGATGGCCACCAGCTACATGATTGAAAAGATGTAGTGGCACAGTTAACAAACTATGCGATCAATCCTGCGGCGGGATATATTTCGCTTTCTATAATTTTGACAACGTCTGCAAAACCTCGAACGTTGGCATACTTCTCCTTCATACAGTCTATGAGCTCCTTTAACATAAGTGGCGTCACTGGGTAATCTTCGACCATCATGGAGTACCCATGTTCAGCGGGCTCATCCTTGACAAATCCACTCAACCACTTTACTAATGCTTCCTGCGACGATCTACCAACAGCCAGATCTGTAAGCCATTTAGCTACAACTCGCCTTTCTTGATCAGCTGTGAGTTTTGCGCATGCCTCAAGCGCAGCGCCGAAAATATGGAAATATAGTTCAAAGTCCTGGGTTGGCTGGACGTTTAGTTCGCTTACACAAAGGGACGCCTCGACGGGGTCGTGGGACATCACTAGTTCCCTTACAATACCCCTTGTACGCCTCTTGATCTCCTCGGTTGTAATCGGAGGTGGAACAATAGGGTTGGCCAGAACGTTAGGCGCAGCTGAGGTTGACCTCGGTGAGGATGGTTTAATTTCAGAATTTCTTCCACGCCTTCGGGTTCTCCATGCATTTTCTTCTTGCTGTTTTTCTTGCTCCATGACTTTCGTTCTGAGCTCTTGCAGTCTGCATGGACCCTCAACCTTATATGGCGTAGACGTTGCCCAGTTTCCATGCCGGCTGTCCAATACGTTTTGGATTAGACACCTGATACGGAAACAAATATTGGGATTTCTTCCAAGGTCGGTAAGCATCTGTATATGTTTTTCAAATTCTCCCGAATATTTCCATTTGTCAGTGTCGAAACATTTGCCTACTGTTTGCAATAGCGTACACATACCTTCCAGGTGGTGGTCACCGGCATCAATACGGCCTGCGGCCGCAATGCATTCGTTGCGCTTGGCAAATACTTGGTCCAAACATGTGATGAGAAGTTTAGCGGCCAGAAGCTTTTGCTTGAAAAGTTCTCCGACAAATATCATGTTACCCCTCATCCTCTGTTTGTACTTAAGTTCGTATTCAAATCTATCGTCGCCTTCTAGTTCCGGTGGGAATTCTAGTGGCTTCAAATTACTTTCAAATGAATCTTGACAACAATTTAGTAATATTCTCATAAAATCACTTTTTCTTGAAGCCTTTTGATCCTGTTTGTTCGCAACAGGAGGGTTGGGTGGTGATCCCGTTTGCGAATCCGTGGGTGTGAAATTGTCGAGATCGTAGGACAATTTAGCACACAACTCTACATACATTGGTATGAAATGGTGTTGTGTGATTGCTTTCTCAAATATAATTTTGACAAGCACAAATGCCTGCTCGTATGTCTCCACGCCGCTAAGCAAGACTTGCTTGTAAATAGTGTCGAACTTTTCTACAGTGAGCCTGTTGAGCAGTCCCATAAGCTTTCGTATAAGCTGTTGTTTTTTGTCCGACTTCAGTTTAGCCTGTTTCATGATCCATGAAGATTCCGATGCCTGTGGCAAAGAAACAGCTTCTAGCTGATCCCTCGAGAATTCTAAATTTTTGTACGACGCATTGAAACCCTTTGTTTCTGCCCTTGCAGTGCGTCTTTGCAAATTCCAGTTGTCTCCTTTAGATCGTGAGTGACTATTCCTATCATCGTAAGTATGGTTTCGCCGATAATCGCTAGTGGTCTTTGTGTCTCGAGTCGCATCGGCGTATCTCCAACTAAGCTTTTCCTCAATGTGCTGTTTTCTCATCTCAAATCCACATGAGAGCAGTTGGTCAATGGTATATATGCCATTGAATCCAACAGATTGGCCCGAAGATGGTTGCTTCTTTTCCTCCTGTACTTCATTCATAGGCTCTTCCTTGGCACCCATTTCGGGTGTTTCCTCCAAGATTTCTCGCTGTAATTCAGATGATTCTGATTTGAGCACTTGATTTTCCGATATGATTTCTTTATCCTTTTCCGATATAACATCTTCTTGTGTTTCCGTTGCAACACTAGAAGCGTCCCTTAGGTCATCCTGTGCATCGTCCCGTGCTACCTCCACTGGTGTCTCTAGCTGTGGTGTCACAGGGGATTTTGTATCAGGTGTCACTTGGGTTTCATGACTAGATGACTGCTGTTGAGTAACAATGCAGCTTTTTGCTACCTGTGTAATAGGAACTGATTGTACAACACTTGGTACGGATAATTCGGCCTGCAGGATTTCTTCTTTTTGTGTAGATGGCATTTCCGTTTCTTGCGGCAGTGCCTCGCGTTCTACAGGAGTGGCAGATTCTATTTTGGTGTCCACAGCCTCCTTAGTATCGTGTACCTCCTTGACAAGTTGCTTCTTATCACCTACCGTTTCTGCTTCAACATGTTTAGGAGCTACATCATCGAGCTGCGTTGAAAGTTCCTTTTCCGCTTTAACCTGTACCTCCTCCTTTTTCTCTTTTACATGTGGAGCATATTCAGCGATCGGTTCCGTTTTCATAGGATGCTCATTGTGCGTGTGAGCTTCGTCGATGCTTTCGCCCTTCTCCACGGCAGGGTCATTATCGGCGGTCATCGTGGTTTCGCCATCTTGATCAGGCACCGTTTTTTCAGCTTCTTTGCTCGGACTCACTGCTGTCATTTTCATCATATCGGCAAACGTGGGTCTGCCATTCCACGTAGCTTTAGGTGCATTTACGGGTTCTTTGGGAAATTCTGGTTCTCGTGGCTGAGGTTGGTTTTGTCGGAATCTATCTGCCCATGTCATTGTTCTATCGTTCATATCATGATATGGCGGTAAATGTCCTGTTGATCCACCATCTTGCCGATATCCGGGATGAGCTGGAGGCATGCCTGGTCTCTTGTATGGCACATATCCTGCTTCTCTCATAGCCCTGCGTCTTTCCGCTTCATCTGCATACCTCGGGTATGCATTTTGTGGCATTTGAGCCCCGACTCCGTGAGGCAGTCTTGCCTCGCGTTTCTGTGGTTCTACATCTGGAGCTCCATGTCTTGGCACCCTGCCTTGTCTACCCTGTCCATCGTAACCACGCCTTCCTCCATATCCATATGGGACATAGTCGTACATAGCATTGTTTCTCTCCATTTCGGGTTGGTATGGTACCCACATTGGTACATATTGCTGTTGCCATCTGGACTGATATTGCATTCCTGAGTGATGCATATTTGCTGGTTGTCTTGGGTAGCCTCCCTTGTACCTCCTGTTATGTTTGACATCTTGCACCGAAACGTATCCGATCCCTCCATCAAATGTCCCTAGCTGTCCGGGTATGAACTCGGGTGCGTCCGCATTAAGTTGTCCAGAGGTGCGTGTCTGGGAGGGATTAAATTCTGGCGCATCAGGATTGAGGGTTGTTGTACGTTTCTTTGGTTTTTCTTCAGTATTATCTTCCTGTTCTGAGGTCATTTTGGAGGTGTGTCGTGGTAAGCTGGTTTGGCTTTTCGTTTAGTCGTATCAGATCTAGCCTTCTTTTGTAAAAAACGGCGTGTCCACAAATCCCAGCCTTTTGTATAGCCAGCTATTCCTCTTTCCCGTAACTCCCTTACGGCCAACGGTACGAGCGACGAGCTTTACCGCTATGCGGTCTTCAGTAGCTCAACTCGCGGTGGCCGTTGTTTTACACAATGATAATGCCAGTGTTGGATGTGACACACCCTATGGCAGCCATGACCATTTTGCAAGTATTTTTTTGCTGGTATTTGGTTGCGACTTTTGGTGGTCGTCTCCTACACTACCGATAGAGTGGGGCGCGACTGTCGTCGCATCCGTACCTCTACTCGACTTCGTTGCGAATATAAACAGATATCCTAAAATTCCAAGTCTTTCTACGGACAAATGTTCAATATTGATAACTTAATAGAATGACATATTGAATGCGGGTTGTGCAATGCCACGTTGTGGATCGGTGCTACGGCACGGTACGCTACTTTTTACGACCATGTGACTCACTAGTGCCACTTGAGCATGTGCGGCGCCGGTCATATTAAATTTTTTATTTCCAGGGACAACCGCGTCCATTTCGATACAAAGGGATTGTTTTAACTGTGAGATTGTACTAAATTAACCTTGTAAAAAGTCGTTTTATATTTTTTTCTTATACTTTTAACCCAGTACCGATTTATACATAGTAACTCCGGTTCTCCAATTTTTAGTTATGTTCTTCACTAGTCACCAGTACCTTTGAATTCACTTAGCTTAGTTGAAGTTTTCTGTCTTGAAAAGCGCAAGTCGTTGTTACACACAGATTAAAACTTAATTTTTAATTTTAATTTTGTCATGTTCAGGAAGTTTAAGAGGGTAGTTGCCAAATTTTTGCTTATATATCACGATACCTAGGTGTAGACATGGTCATAACTATCGTAATTTGTACTCAACCGACCTAAAAAATTATAAATTAATAATATTATGACATCTTGGTGGTAGGAAGGCTGACTTATCTGTCTGTCTTTCCGGTTTTGCCATCCGATGTTGATATTGCTGTTTCTTTTTTCAATCAATGAGCTGTTATTGATGGGTTCCGCAGCGTTCGCCTTATTCGTTAATCGAGGATCGTGGCTCGGGGCGGCATTTAAGAGCCCCAAACTATTGGCATCTAGGTTATCATTCGTGACACGGTATGTTGTCTGTTACATCCATTATGGTTAATGGTATTCAGCACACCTTTTAGCAGCAGGAGTGGTCCTTTATCTGCTAAGACCGCTGCTAATAGCGATTTCTCACTTAATTTTTATGAATATGATAAGAACAATTGCAAGGTTACAATCACTGCTGGTATGTACAGAATGATAAGAATAATAATACTTGTCCAGGTGTCGGTGGAACAGAAGCGTTTGATTTTTGTAAGATCCTCGGAAGGATGTACAGACGTTTTATACAACACTATGTGCCACCGAGCAGCTTGGATCGTGAACGATATGGCGACCTTCCAAAATCGTTAACCTACGTTGAAGGTACATCAATTCCTGGTGACAAAGTGGGTTACCGTGTCCTGGAGTTTGAAGTGCATGGTGATTATGCTTACAAGTTATTCAAGGGAGAGAAAGGCACACATCGCCTTGTACGCAACTCCCCGTACAATGCAATGAAAAAGAGACAGACCACCTTCACCAGCGTACAGGTGGTGCCTATCCTTTCTGACGATGACCAGGACGTTCAACACTACCACAATGCACGTCAGGTGACTTCTCGCGATGTTACCGTTGAGACCATGCGTAGTGGCGGCAAAGGTGGTCAGAATGTGAACAAAGTTGAGACTGCAGGTAAGTTTTAATTAATTACCCCGAATGTATTTTAGTTCGTATAACTCACAAGAAAACGGGATTATCTGTACGTGTACAGACAGAGCGATCTCAAACTCAGAACCGTGAAATCGCAATGCGGCGTATCAGCGAGATGGTGGATGCGCATTACAAGGTATGTTATAAGATCACCATTCCCATTGTTCTTAGGAGCAGCTACGAGAGAAATGCAATGAGCTCCGTGGTGAGGAAATTGAGGCTGATTGGGGCCGACACATGCGTAGTTACATCCTCAGCCCCGATCAACGTTTCAAAGACCACCGTACAAATTGGGAGACGGTAGAGGTCCATAGCGTCCTCGACGGCGAGATTATGCCAATTATGTTATCTTATCTAGATTATTGCAAACAATCAAATTAATGCAACTTCAGATAGGTTGAACCCCTGTTTCGTTACGTGTAGTACAGCAGCTCCAATTTTTTTGGCGTTTGTACAATTGTCTAGATCATCGTCAATGAGTATAATTTCATTCAAATTGACGTTGAAATCCGAGCATATCTGAAAAATATGTGTACTTTAGTGGTTTATTGACCTACGCTTCTGAGATGGTATTCTTTATGCATCGGCATGGGTGCCTTGAGTCCTAGAATCTTATATTGCGTTGGATTCTTCCATAAACTGCAGAAAATTGTACATTAATGTGACTTTTTTGTACCTGGGGTAGAAGTCATAGACTTTCTTGATATCAGCATCACAGTTACTGAACTCAAGGGCTTTGTTTACCATCCTTGGCCCGCTGATATACGATGGATGGTTCTTAAAATGCCAATCATCAGAGAATGTGACAATAACTAGGTCAATAGAGCTTTTCTTCAGACGCCTCGCTACCGCCTTGAAATGTTCCGTTACTGATGATAGGACATCTCTGTCGGCTTGGATTTCACAATAGCCTCCTATTACACATTGACAAAACACCGCTAGTACCATTATTACCTGAATGTTCAGCTATCATTGTGGCATCAAAGTCTGAAGCGATATACCTGATTCCATTTTCCTCTAACAGCGTGACAAATTTATCGGCAGCTTCATCGGGAGAGATACCGTCAAATTCTTTGTTGGCAATGCAGGCACGCATTGCCTCATTGAACGCCTTCACGTTACCATTCATCTGCGTCTAATGGCCTTTTCGCTCCAATGTCAGAATCTAGTAAAATTTCGTTAGGAAGAAGATAATCCTTCCTAATATTATAAATTGAACTTTTCCCCGATACTAGCGTGGATTGTTTACAACTGTATGGTGATGTGTATGTTGGAACGGCTGACTAACCCGGGGCACCATTGGGGCTTCTGTCCATTTAGTGAGTAGTAGCGATAACCGCATCCTTCTTCAAGACAAACATGATATGCCATTTTACACTTTTTAGCAGAACATCTATGCCTTTCTTCTTTGCATACGGGATTTGGTTTTTCGGTCCACGCATTGCAGTCATGGCAATAGGAGGCGACAATCTCGATTTCTGTGACTGTACGTTTGAATTCGTTTGCTTTGTCCATGCGTTCTAGAGCTTCAAGTTTCCTCTTTGTAGTTTCAATATTTTCCTGTCACAGGTGTAACAAGTATGTTATAGGTTTTTACCTTATGGACATATGCGTCTACATCCGATGTTGCTGAGATAATAGTTTCTAGATCTTTAGCAGTCTAATGCCATATATCCATATAACCAAAAGAGTACTTACTGATTTATTAGCGATTGTTTTTCTTGTCTCTTCTCTCTTTTGGCCGACAACAAATGTAGGCGTTGAGTTGTCCTTTTCAGGCGTCTGCATGAACCTCTTGATTGCCCTTCTAAGTTTGAGACTTTCTATTGCGATTACTTCGACCGGGTGGTCCAACAACGAGATGCACATCTTAAATATCCCAGTCCTTTTAATGCATTCCTTGTCTACGTGGTTGATATATTTTGCGATAAGTTGTAGTAGCCCTAGGACCCTTTTATTATTCTTGTGATCCTGTCACAATATTAGTTATGTTGATTAGCATTCTTACCGGTTGTATAATATTTTTCAAGTTTGCTACTGCATTCTCGAAATCTCTGCTCCTGTCCGTAACAGTTACCTTCACCGGTTGGTTTGTTTGTAATACTTGGATATTTTTAGTTCTACTTTCGGCCACTCTGTTCAAAAGACTACCCAATCCACCAAGTTTCGACATTATTTTTTTCGGGTCAGTTGGTTCTGATGGTTTGAGGGTGATGTTGTTTGTAACCACTTGCATTTTGTGTTCTTCTATTGTGCCATGTACATGTTTCATAATATCCTCAGTTTTAGGTTTATTGGGCATTGTAGCGGTTTTAGAAGTTGCGAAAGCACTTTTTAAGTGGTACTTACAGAAGTCCCCATGGTGGTGCTTGTAGACCACATTTTTACACCTGGTCCCGTTGGTGGTGACGCCTCTACATATCTGTACACCGTCAACCTCCCCGATTAGCAGAACGTTATCACACTGTTTGATTGATATACTTCTAAGGTTATCCTTTGAATATCCTGTCAAGTCTGGATTGAGTACTGCAACTACGCTACTCTGTGAGACACTTTCCAGTTCCTTTGGCATATCTCCGTATATTACAACCTTGAATGATGTGTCTCTAAGATCTGAGCACATCCAGATGGTCACCGTGTTACCGTTTTTTGTGAATGTGTTAACCGAGATGACCGTAGATATTACCGCCATATCAACATTGGGTGCCAGCTTAAGGTTATTTCGGCACTGTTCGGTGTCTTTTGAATTAATCAGTGCATCAATATATGCAAATGCGGTAGTGTTATCACCAAATATAGCACCCATCTCATTTCGGCTCTTGACCCACCTCCTGTAGACAATGTAATGTAACATTGACCAATTTACCTCATGATTAGCTCTACGCCGTTGGCCGATATACCATCTCTAAGTAGTCTAGCACCTATATACCGAGCGATACAGCCTACTTTTTTCTGCTTCTTACCTATTTTGGTCGCCATCGCCACAGCTGATAAAGAATCACCTACACACCTGTGTTATAATGTGTACCCGATGATAATAGCAAGCGTCTAGAAGCCGCACAGATCCAACTATCAGAACGGCGAAACGTCAGCACCTTCTTAATCGGTCATAAGATTCCATAACTGACTATGAGGATAACCCGTATACCAGCATGTCTGCCACAAAGGTGCGTTTGTCGAAGTCGTCAATAGACACCGATTATATAGGTATCTATTTAACACACCTATGAAAAAACGGGTCTATTAGGTGTTCTCAATTGCTTTGCTACTGTTTGGCTGTCAATTAGCTGTTGGCACCACTTGCCACAGTTCGTGTTTCCACCCTCTCTCCGTATGGCGGCTAATTGCACCAGGGGATTCACACATCTCCTATGTGAGCCATATTTCGATTATAATATAGTATATGGCGATTGTATGATACACATGTAGTCGATGCGGTGTGCATATACCAGGGTTGCGCGATAGTAACCCCGAGCCTACTGCGGTGCAAATAGATTGCGGATATTATTTAGGGAATGTATTATCAATAATTCTGCCGCTAATTGATATTTAAATCGTTTTAAAGTTTAATTTTTTGAATGTGTAACATCGCTGCTGCTCTAAGACTGCTCTATTTTCTCCTTGTCTATCGTCTACGCGCTCATGATATTCAAAGCAGGATCAACAGAAGGGGATGTTAATGCGTAGTAAAGGTGTGGTAATCGTCAAAGGTTAACATTAAGTGTATATATATTTAGTTCGCTTCGTAAGCGAACCATCAAGCTTTCTCTGGATGCTAAATTGCTCCTTTTTAATGGTTTTGTTTCATGGTATTTTGGAAATATACTCATATTAGGTTACAATACAGGAAAATTGCTCAATTAGGATATATATATTTCACAAGGATAATTTTGAATGCAATAGTAGCCTTTCGTTATACTATTTTCTAATACTGACATTTTCAAGATTCAAAACTTTACGTCCAAAGGTCTCTTAATGCATCGTGTATCACTTGAAAGGTGTCAGTATATAGCATTAAAATGATTCTAGGCTGAATACAAATTGTAATTTGCTTTATTATATAAACTGCGACGAAGATGTCAAGTACAGCGCGGTCATCCGTATCCATGAGGAACGGATATTCCACGCATTCTTTTCTATTTGCTTTTCATGTCAAGGACCTTGTTTTTGATCGTTTTATCACGAATAACATAAAATCTGATTACCTACGCCTAATATGGACGCTATCAAATCGTGGTAATGAGACAGACCCTTGGTCTCCAACCGAAGATGATGAGACCGACCAAGGTTCTACATACTCTTCTCCACCTTTTCAAGTATCTGGTAGCAGTGCTACTGATGTGGATACGGCCTTTTCTTTATTGCGATGCCGTCGTGTGAGCGGGCAGAAGTTGACCGTTAAAGGCGGTGCCTTAACCATACGTATAGCTTTGGATAGTGATACCAAGAGATGCCTAGCGTCATCCAGTTTGAATTTCAGAGCGTTAAATGTCGCATCAGCTATCAATACAACACGTATTAATTTCAGCGATCGACGTGGTTTAGATGTAGGCTATTTGGAACTAATGTACGTGTCACAACAGCGTTGGGTCAAGGTGAATAAAAGGAAATTATCTTTTCTGAATGCAGAACGGTCCACTGGTGTGAATTCTGTTGTTGCTACTTCGTTGCAATATGCAACGTCCGCTCTTGATGGTAAAGAAGAAACCACTCCTCAAGACCAAGGTAGTGGGATGGGACACCAGTTCACACCTCGACTTGATGATTTTGTGATGCTATTCTGGAACTCCACGAACACATGTTTCGTCAAGCAACATCCAGATGATTATCAGCTACAATTGATGCTAAACTTTGTCAGGGCGCCTATGTGCCGCACTACTACAACGGATTCATGTATCAATACCACCAGGTCATTTGAAGTGGACTCTAATATGGGCCGTTCTCGCACATTATCACATTATACGGAGTCTTTCCATTCAGGATCTAGGCATGGCAACAGTTCTGAAGTTTTGAGTTTTCCAAACCTGCGACGTGCCCTTGCTGATAACTCAGGATTCACACCTACATCTGAGTTCACATCAGAATTTGGTGACTATAGCGAGGATTACACGCATCGGTCTGGTTTCTCGTTATCACAAGAACCTGGATCTGTAAGGCTGTATGACTACCTCTCTGAGCAAAATCGCATTATTCAGTCTCATTTGGCACGACAGTTTACTGTTGATTCCATGACTAGTTCTTCCTGGACCCAGATATCAGGGGATTTATCGGTTACTGCTGCTGCTACGCCACATTGCGACAGTACATTCATTCCTACTGTGGCTAAGAGCGTTCCTCTCGAGTTACCTCAGAGTGCGAGCAAAAAGCAGGCTATATCGGGGTACACCCCGCCAAACATTCCTATGGGACACAGTATGACTGACCGTATGGTCACTCGCAATGTTGAGGTCTCGGCTTCTACAGATATGGTTGGACTTGAAAAGGATGCTGGCTTCTATAGTGTGGGTGATTCTCGCGACAGCTGTGCAAAGATCGTACCTCAGGAGTCGCTGGACGAAAAGAGCTGTGCGGGCACAATGCGTTACGGCGACGAAGTAGTTGACGCTACTCTGGAATGCTTATTGCCAGAGTCCCAGTTGGTTAAGAAAAGTGTGCTTTGCATGAATAGCTCGTTATCAACCGTTGATGAGATGACTATTTGTCACTCTGGCAACATGCCACAATCGTTCAATTCCTTTGATTGGTACAAGCAGGAAGATGTGGATATGTTGAACCATGATAGCCTTCCGTTAGAAAACGAGAGGAGTCATGATCGTAGTCACAAATGTGAGTCCTTACATGAGACGGAATCTCATCTCGATATCGTTGAGGACATGAATTGCAGCGTGGTTATTGAAACTGATACTCCTACTGCGATCTCTGATGACACTATCGATTTGGATCGTTTCTATGTTGAAGAATATGACTTCATTGGCGCTACGGGTAGCATGGGTTCAGGATGCAGTTCTACTATAAATAATTTCTATACCGACGATGTGGATGCCGGCAAAAGATGTATTCCACCCTCACCAATAAGTTCGACTCACAAGGGCACCAAAGAGAATTTGGTATCGGCTGTGTATAACGCCATAACCGCTGATATTACCAGCTTATCGGTAACTGATCTTGGAGTGGACCATGTGGAGTGTACTCTAGATTTGATGAGTGAGGCTTTGCACGATGCTCGTGCTTTACAGGTACAACAGGAACGTTTGTCTAACGATTTATTGATGAACTTCTTCTTACAACTGCTGCGTTGCTACAGCAAGAAAGGTGTACCTCAGGTGATGTTGATGGAGGAAGTTATCCAGCGTCATTTTGCTGCTGCTGAGCTGCTACACTTTCTACCTACTGACTACAATCCCACGGTTATTCGAGTATCTCTAGACATCCTTGTTCGTCAGCTTGGAATGTCTCTGCCACCTGGTCGTCCTAGTGAAACACAACAGTTGGGTACTGACTACGTCGCACCGCAAACAGCTGTTCCACTTTGGGGTGATACAGTTCGTGACGACGTCGTGGACCGACAGACAGTTGACTTTTTCGTCCCATTATCAGAATGTGATACTTATTCTGAGGCTAGCGAGGTGGACGCCTGTTTCCCTCCAGCGCAGGATGACACCCGTCGTCAGTTGGCATTGCGTCAACTACAGGTGTTACAGGATGAGATGCGTGTCGCTTTGAATGCCGTCGACCCACGCAAACTGGTATACATTTCAAGATTAAACTCGAAACCTATGAAACAACGTGGGTGCGGTCTCACTCTGCTTGCCATAAAGTTGGCACTTTACGGGGTGTTATGTGGCCGTCGTAAAATTGCAACAGAGAACAGACAGACGGTGGTGGTGTAATCCACCATCTGGATCTAATATTTTTAAATTTATTGAGTTGACTGTTAAGTATCGAGATACTTTCTCTTTTTCGATATTTCAGTGGCATCAACACGGTCGATGGCGAAGTTTTCGTCAGTAAATATACGAGCAAACCTATCATCCTGTAACACGGCCTTTGCATGTAGAGCTTGTTCGCGTTGTTTCTTGGTAAGAGCCTGTGACGATTATACGAAAGGGTATTTGGCGTTACCTTTTTGCCTGCGGCAGAAGCTTTAGTACGAAGTTGTTCCGCCAGCTCCTCGTTAACCGCTGTAGTCTTCTTTTTACGTAACGGCAATCTCATTTGCCGTTTAGCATCTATCTTTTCTTGTATCTTTTGTTTTCTGTATGCTTCGTAATCGAAGTTCGACGCAGCGTTCTTCAATTCCCGGTGCACGTCACTATCGATGAAATAACCATGCATATAATCCTTCACCATATTGGTGCCAATAAGATCAGCTGCATTGAGCTCTTCAAGCTGTTGACGAGTAACGAATACGAAATCGTCATATGCCTGTTTCGTGCCATCCGCTCCAACGCTGGATCCAGATGGCATTTCCATTTCTTCAGTTATATTTTCTAGGAACGAGCACCACCTGTGGCCTGTTAAAGTACAGTTCATAAATCTTACTTTGGTGCAGCTCCAACTGTAGGAATAAAGTATGTACCAATACGTGTATGGTCACCAACTACGAAACATATTCCTGTATCTGGGTAGAATCGGAACGAGTTGATTTTCCCAACATTATTAGCTTTATCTACTACGAGCCCCTCTATTGAAGCAACAAACTCTCCATCATGTGCGTTTTGAACTCTAACGCTTTTGTGATCTGACCATGCGATCAATGCGTCTTGTCCCACCCCTGCATATTCGTGGTTAAATCGTTCTACGTTCCTACCTGTTGATGCGTGGTTTAACGAGCTAACCCATTCTATATTTTTGACTGGTGCCTCGTTAACATGTCTCTTTTCCCATAGCGGTTTAGTGTTCCTTACATCATATAATTGTAGGCATCCCGACTCAGTGCCAACGGCTACTTTCATTCCATTTGCAGTATAGGCACAGAAAGTCACACTAACTTCAGAATCATCTTTGGTGCACTGTAGTTGTGCTAACGACTTTTCGCAACGCAGGTCCCAGCTCTCCAAAATACCGCCCTCACTGCGGTACTATATGGATAAACAATGTATCTTGACTTACCCTCCAGCTGAGACTACAGGTAGTACTGGATTTTCTGCAATGCAGTTCAAATATGAACATACTGATTTGAGAGGTGTTTCAAATACCCCTTGTTCTAGGTTCAATCTGTATACCTCATTGCATGATGCGACGGTGAAAATGGATGCGTTATCAGATAGATATTTCATATCACGCCCCTCTTTGGGTATGCGTATAGAATGATATCTTCCACCCCTATCATGAAATTCTATGACCCTTCCTTCGCATAGAAACGCAAGTTTCGTATAGTCACTTTCAAGAAAGCATGTTTTCAGCACCTCACTATCGATACCTCTTCTATGTTTCAAGGAGAGTTCTGATGTATCGTATATTCCGATCTGTAATACATGATGATTTTGAAAAGTGTATAGATACCTGTGGTGGGTATACCCCTGTTGCTACGATATATTGTAAGTCTGGCGAGATATCCACCGTGTTACATGCTTGGGGGAACTCCAGGTCGTGTATAAGGTCAATTCTATTTTCATATTCCGCATCACCCCTAATACACTATATATAAGATCATCTTATTAATACCTACTTGGATTTCTTTTTATTTTTTTTACTAACATGGAACTGCGGTGTCGGCTTTCCAGCTGACAAGGCATATACCTTGTATCCGTTTGAGTTAAAGGAACGCAACATCTTCTACTGATAATGTAGGTCAGATGTAGATCGTTATTGCGATTGAAGATATCATGTTAATTTTCTTTGCGATGTTAAATTAATGGATAATAGGTCGGTAAAGGTTCAGTAGGACTTCAAGGTGTTATTAACGGGTGTTACCGGCACACACCTTATCTATTCAATTTAAAAGATGACTATATTGTGAAAAGTTCGTTTTTCTTGTGACCTATGGGCTAACGTAGTTCACCACGTTTCCTTCATATGCGGCGACATACTTCAGTGGACACATTTACCTGTGTGTAGTCTGTGACCACTCTTTACGGTTATAACCACGCAAAAACGAAAAAGGATTGCGTATCGTCCGTCATTCCTCTATATACAGAGGACATTCGACTAGTCACGTGTCCATATAACATTGCCCCGAATCGTTAAGAAAAAGGTTTGACATTAATGTCTATTGCACATTCCGGCCATATAAGTGGTTAATTTAAACCATGGAAGACTATGGAGATGTAACCTACGACGTCAGTTATGACGAGGATGGTTATTGTGGCGTTGATTCATCTAACTTTGACGAATTATTTCGTCCATCAGATCTTGGCTGTAGTGTTGCAACTACTAGAGCTGAGTCCGATGAGCTGTCGTCAGAACCTTCGGTTCAGGTGAAAGGTCTTATGTCGGTGATGCATAAATTGGCCTTGAATGTGGAATCAAGCAATTTAGGGCTTGTGAGTATGCGTCGTGTAATTTGGGGCTACTTCCTCGGTGTATACACTGCGTCAGAGCTGGATGAACTTGTTACTGTCGTTGTTCGTAACCGTGAACATTACAGAGAGTTGGCAGCTAAACATTGCTATGATGGCTTGAAAAAGATGCAATCATTAAATCCACAGCTGTTCCACCCTCTAGCTCCTGTGGAACGTAACCCATGGGAGTTGAACCAACGTTTACGTGATCTATTGGACGAGATATGGCAGGATGTTGAGCGTACCTACCAGGAGCGTAGCCTGTTCAAGAACGACTCCGTGCGTAAGACTCTGCAGAATATATTATATGTATGGAGTCGAGAACATGATTACATATCATATAAGCAGGGTATGAACGAACTTTTAGCGGTTGTCTATATTGTATGTTATAGAGACCAGGTACATGTTAGTGACGTTGTCGAAGGTTCTGCTATGAAGATCCTTTTTTCTGGTGATTTTCATGACCTTGAGGCAGATGCATATGCTCTATTCGATGCATTGTTATCTCTGGAAGCACAATTGATGTTCGACAACTCGGCGATTAAAACACCAGCAATACGATCACGCCATGGTGACTCTGGCAACTTGAACCATATCGCTTCTTTACCGAGTCGGGCCAAATTGGAGTCTCATAATTCATTTATAGCAAGAACAAAGTTCATCCATTCTCATATTTTAAAGAGCTACGATCTGCCGCTCTACAACCACTTCCAAAAGATCGATTTGGAACCTCACATATTTCTCATGAGGTGGATTAGGTTAATATTTAGTCGTGAATTTAATGTAAATGAGACCTTGAATTTATGGGATGCTGTTTTTGCAGATCATTTTCTGACAACTGTGGAACATCGTGGTCTCCCAGAATTTCAATTTGAACTTATCGATTTTTTTGCTGTTGCAATGATATCATATGTCAGGTTAAACTGTAAGTGGTTATATGTTACATTTTCATTTTAATTCAGTGCTTGAAAATGACATCAACTACTGTCTCCAACGTCTATTCAAGTTCCCTCCTACTGAGGACATATCGCATTTAATATCAAAGGCCAAAAAGATAAGGACGCAATATTGCAAGAGGAAATTGGAAGGTGTAGCTGGATCGCAGGGTACATCCGTTAGTAACCCAGCATCTACCCCCGTTAAAACGGGGCACCATGAACCGACTCTGTTTGATGCAAGTACAATGCTCACATCTCCATTGTGCATCAAGTCTACAGCAGCAGTTACTACAAATACACCATATATGTCAGCAGACTGTTCGGAAGCAGGTCTAACATCGTTCACTTCCCCATCCGATTCCAGTGTATCATCGTTATGTATAAGTGGAACACGCGACGCGCTTGAGGGAGTTGCATCTCGTCTATACCGTCTACATGAGAAAGCATTTGTACTAGGGCTGTAAGTGTCTTTTGACTAAATACATAGCTTTGTAGTGACGAGATTCTACCAGACATCCAAGGGTTACACAGCGAGGTTACACGGATAATATCCACGTTAGAATGACCCCTGGCGGACTGAAGCAACGCGAATATCACTTATAGCCATTGCCATTTATGTGGCATAACCTTCGTATCATTAATAGAATCTACTAGCGGCCAATTTACGCGTACTGTGGTGTTCCCCATGTATACACACAATTTAATTTTCGTGGATATAGTGAAAGTTCTAGACAGTTCACGTTAACGAAGTTATTGAGCATAGTTTTATAACCTGCTTTGGACGGAATTGAGTTCGTTAAACGCATTATGTTATACGTATTACGGGTTCTGTTAATAACGTCGTTAGTGATTCTTAGTCGCTTCGGCACAACAGCTTACGAGCCCGAGTACCCACTAGACGCTAGTGAAATAGCTAGTGGTAATTCTGTACGCATTTTAAAGACAGGAATCGCTGGAAGCCGCACTGCCGCTCCAGGTGATAGAGTAACTGCTATTGTTCGTTCGTTTTCTCCATCAGTTGAGCAAGATATCTCGGGATTAGCACGTCAAACATTTGAGGTAAATATATACCTAATGTGTAAATCTCTTGTTTTATTATTGGGATATATGCGATATTGCCCGTCGATGGTTATACATTATAATTCAGGTGGGAAAACACAATGTGATACCGTTAAATGCGGTAGTTCATAATATGTCTATCGACGAAATAAGGTACGAATTTTTTTATGGGTTTCTAAAAGTTTGCAGGAGACTAGGTGTTTCCTTTGGCCAGTATGGCAAAATATATTACGAGGTCCATTTGATATCTATCGCTAGTTAGATAAAATGTATACCGAATTACAACGCCTTAAAATTAAGGCAGTAGCCGACATGCTGCAAAGCACATGTGACGAGGATTCTGATGGACGCCAGGTGAAGACCTGGAAGGTACTGATATACGATGATGAAGCGCGAGCATTACTATCGCCGATGCTTAAGGTGGGAGAATTGAGGAATCTTGGTGTTACTTTAAATATGCCAATCACCGATCGTCGTGAAGCTCTACCCGGTGTGGATGCTGTCTACCTTGTGGGACCTACAAAAGCTAATATGGAAATCATACTCGCTGATGCCCAAAGACAAATGTACAAGCAAGTATATGTCAATTTTACCACCTACAGCCCGGATGAATACCTTGGCGAATTTGCTAGGAAACTAGTCGAAAGTAATGCACATGGCTCTGTAGCAGCAATCACTGATCGACATGTCCATTTCGCATTAGTTGCAATGTCATCATTCTCTCTCAACTTACCAGGTTGCTTTTCAGGATTGTATGGAGGAGGGGCAGGAGGAGATGACGATAAGTTAGTCGACACATTGGTAGACCGACTACTTTCCGTGCTAGTAACCTTGGGCTCCCTACCAGTACTTGTAGCACCACGTGTTATATCACCCGCTGCCGTCGTTGCCGAGAAGCTTAATCGGAAATTGTATGAATTTGTTTGTGCAAGACACCAGTTAGGTATATCATTGTCGAGCTCATTTAATCGACCCATGCTACTTATTTTGGATAGGACTGTAGACCTGGCACCGATGATCCAACACAGTTGGAACTATCAACCACTTATCCATGATATATTCGGCATCAGTTTCGACAAAGTGGTTATAGAGACTCCCGGGGATAAGACCAAAAGGGTGACACATGACTTGGAGTTTGGTGATAAGCTTTATCAGGCAATACATCGGCTACCACTATCGGACGTGGCAACACACATATCAACATCACTGGAATCTTACAATGCCCAGGTTTCTAATATCAATAGAGAGGACGGGGATGCTGCTGGTAGCTTAGTCACTGCAATGAACGCCATACCACAACTCACTGAACAAAAGAGACTTTTGGATATGCATACTAACCTTGCTACAGCACTTGTTGATGCTGTTAAGGCACGTGATCTAGATCGCTTTTATGAATTCGAGTATGACCTTGACCTTTTGAGTGAAAAAAACTGTTTCCAGCAATTTGAGGATCTCCTGGCCAACGAGAATTCCACAGCAGCAGATCTCTACAGGGCACTGTTGTTAATTGCATTGGCACGCCCTGGGGTCAGTGATGCAAAGTTAAATGAACTGGAGAACCGTATTCGTTTACGTGGTGAGGTGAAGGGTGAGAGTCTCAAGGGCCTGCGCAATGTGATGAAGATGAAAGCGTTCAGTGAGGGTATGCTGAAACAAATACAAAACGCGAAGACGGCTGACATGTCCACTCCGCAGCAGATTAACGACCACTCCTCGCCTTCAGAAACGCCGAAACGTGATTTTGCACAAGGTCATAAAAAATTGGCAGAATATAGCAGCAAGATTATAGATACTGGTGTTAACATTTTCAAAGGGGTACGTCGTATGTTACCACGTAAGAAGCAATCCTGCATTGTCAACATTGTTGACAATTTTCTGAGTAACACGGATGTTGTTTCTGACGAGTTTGCATACTACGACCCTAAAACTTCAGAGAGTGTTATTGCACCGTCCGTTAGACGCGCCAATTCACGGAGGTGTGTAGTTTTTGTCGTCGGAGGCGGGTCTTACAACGAATCTGTTGCCTTGCAGGATTATGCAACGCGCTCGAAATACTCTATTGTTTACGGGTCCACGGCATTCGACCGTGCTGAAGATTTTGTGGAACAACTAGGCAGGTCTACCTTTTCATTGTAACTAGAATGACATATTAATTTGGTAGAAGTTGGTCCCACTGGGTGGTTTAAATACGAGCATGTCGTCCGCGATTGAAAATTGCATCATTTGCTCAATGTGTAGTTGCGTGCGTTGTTTCCTGCAGAAGTCCTCGATGGCAGTAGAAACTGACGGTTTACCGCCGTCAAATGGCCAACGCTGTATGTATATGTAACGTTTTATATATGTGAACTAACCTGTTCCATGAGTACGAACTCCCCAAATTGCTTGCGTAAACGTCCTGTAACTATCTTTTCGATAGTTTCTTTCGGCTTCCCCGAGGCTAAAGCCTCCTTCTCAATCTCTTCCCGTGCGGCACTGAGTTTACCCTGGTCGTAGTCTTGCATTGTTAGAGCAACCGGTCTTGCACCTACGATATGTTGTGCGATGTGTTTTACAAAATCTTTTATGTTCCGCGTTAACGGCTGGTCTGTTTCTGACACAGCTGCAGGCTCCACAAAAGTATCTTCCGAATATATACATGCCGACCCGTTAAGGCAGCAGGTGCCCTCCGTAGTGATATTTTCCTTCACATCGATATTTGTTTGGAACTCCTCTGCACTTGGAAGGTCGACATTGGCGTTGAGGCCGTTCGGTTGTTGTAATGTGAATTTCAGCAGGGCAGCAGCTGACCCAACTTTGTTTAATGGGTGGTCACCAGAAAGTGCGCCATGAAGGTATGATGTGAGGTATTCATCGTTATGCGCTTTAATGACGCCTAATCTTGTTAAGACGAATCTTTCATTTAGTGCCATTTTAGCAAATGCAGCCGCCTCCTTTGGAGTTTTCGAACATCGTGAACAGCGCATGTTCATAATTTCATCGCCAATGGTCGTTTCCGTTCCAGCCGTATTGACATCCTTTTCCCTCCTTAAAACTTCATGAGCTGCATTGGCAAATACCTTTGTAAGTGACACGAAAACATTGTTTCTCGCTACGAAATCAGTCTCACATCTCAACTCCAAAAGAATAGCAAGTTTGGGTGACATAACAGTGGCCACCCTGCCGTGCAGTAGGTCAATAACCTCTCTCTTTTCTCCTCCAGATGATGTCGACATATAGTCATCCATATCCTGCCGTATAATATCCAGGGCCACTTTAACGTCGCCGTTTGCCTTGCTGAGCGCTTCATAACATTCCTGCGTTCCCTTGCCTGTGGACGTTCGTAAAAACGTAATCTTCCTCTTTCGCTCTTCAATACTTTCTTTAGCAGCATCACTGCTTGTTTCGGCCAATATACGTGACTTTTCGTGTGAGTGTGTTATATCGCGATTGGCGGATGGTTGCTTCGAAGTTGCACATGGCCACGGCAAAGAGGTGGTACGCCAGTGGCTTCTATACTGATAACAATAAACATTTGCGATACTCCAGAGCCACAGTGAATACGCCCATAGGCGCAAAGCGACCCAACTCACATCCATCCAGCATTAGACATGATCAACTGTCCATATATATAGGAGTGGTATGCGATGTATGTAAATTTTTAGAACATTTGACGATCAATAGCGCTGAAATAACCTTCCACCGTGATTTTGTGTTGATCCTTTATGGAATAAATGGCGGAATCCTAATATATTCAAGGATTCTTCACACTAATTTGTCCAAATCCTAGTAGCGGACGTCAGATCATCGCCAACGGCATTATGATAGAAATATGCATATGAATCATAGGTGATTCTCATTGAAAAGTTGTACAAAGGGAGCTTGAGCGTGGAAGGAGGGAGTAGCCTTGATGATACATGGTGGTGAATTTCTGTGAGCAGTTTGTCACACACCATGGATTTATTAGCATAATTATATCAACATTACAATAGGATAATTTATCGCAATGTTATTTTCATGGCTTCCATTCTTCATACTGGGTAGGTGGACTTATTTGCTGATATTGTTATTATTACGTCAAAATAAAACTATTCATGAACTTTTTTCATTCTAAACAATCATTTTCCAGGTATCTCTAGTTCACTGTTGGTAGCTGGAGTCGATCGATCATTGAAAGACAAGGGTGGTAAGGAGGTAGAAGGAGCGCTGAAATCGCAGTTGACAACAAAGTACAATGTTCCAGATATGTCATGGAGTAACGCAGAAAAGCTGCTAAAGGAACCTCCAACGACAGATCACATAGTCCTTTTTTATGTTCCGCTACATGTAGGATGTAGGTAGGTAACAGATGCTATATATTGGAGGTCATGATACGTTGGTTGTATCATGTTGTACCGTTGTGATTATATTTGTGTTGAGATGTATATGGAGTTACAAATATTAGACATTAAAAATAAAGTTACACAGACAATTTCTGAACATTTTCACCACCCTCGCGCAACAGTTCCAACAAGAAGAACGTCACGTAACGTTTGTAAAGGTTGATTGCAGTCGAGCGAGCTTCCGTGAAAATATATGCCATCGATACAACATATCAGCTGTACCTACTGTGGCTTATGTCTCCACATTGGAGTTCCAACGCGAGTTGTTACCATCTCGCAATATGTTACAGTGCAGCCTACGCTGGTCGATCGCCAATATGATGGAAGATATAGGCGCCGTGCATGCCACTTGGTAGGTTGATGACACTTAAAAATCATACTCCGTGATCAGTTACAAAGGCGATCTTTTCTTTTACCAAGAGCTGTTGGACTGGGCGACCTTGTTGTACAATATATCGCAGTTAAACCGACGCATGGACGCCATATGGCAGTCCAGTTTCTTCAAGGGAATACGTTCCCTTTTATCGCCATAACACGTATAGCACAAATACATCGCAAAGGTAGAGACACCCTTGTACTAATGTAACTGCGAGTAATAACGTAGCCAAAGACTTCGCTCTACACATCCATGTAAACACTGCATTAGTTTCGAAATTTAGTGTTCCATTCCCGGGTAAATATAACGGTGCATCGCAGAAGAAGTCTGTGGCCTGTCTAGGGTAGAATGTCATGATAATATTGCATAATTGCCATAATAGAGCCGCAACGTCAACTACAAAGTTGACATATAGCAACAGTTTATGACGTTTCACCACCAATACGAACCCGTACATCCCAAATATAAATGATACAAATGCGATGTACCCAGAGAGATACAAGAAAACATCCAGTGCCGTCTTCAATTGTGCATAACCATTTTGTACAAATGTATACATTGCCAACTGCTTTTCGAATTCAATATCCTGTTCTTGTGATGATGGTGCATTAGTAATCTTGGAGGTATCGTGCTTGGCCAATTTCAGTTCTTCAATTGTAACCGCCAAACGCGAGTCAATAACTTTTCCCATATGGAACACTGGTAGATAGGTGAGATCGCGTGTGATAAATGATGAATTTTGTACGTCTTTTCCCATGTTCCACTGAGTTTGCGGATAGTAATCTTGTACATTGAGAAGCTGGTTATTTTTCATAATGTCTAATGTAGTTTTATCTCCCAAGAGTTTCGGGTCCAGTGAAGCGTTGACATAATACCTTATAATGCAGACCATTAGGAATGTCCCTACACATATGAGGCTGCTTGCCACCTTCATAGCATTGACAATAACGTATAACCTAAGCGGTTGTAGCAGGCGTACGAGCATGAGGTATGTATCGGGTACTAGTGATGCCAGGTTAAAGATAATGCAGGCAACTAGTCGATACTTCAATGACCTAACACCCGTCTTGAGTAGCATGGGATTTCCACTTCCTGTGTTCTTCCCATATACAAATAAGAACGAGTATACAATTTCCATATGTGATATCTCACTACTTTCGTATAGCAGGGTGACGAGCTGTATAGTGGTTAGCATGAACGTCATACCATATATGACTGTTTGTGCCCATACTCCAATACTTCTGATTTTTGATCTAGATAATGCCGATTGGAATATTTCGAATAGATCGAATAGGCTCAACATTGTCATGAAAATGAGTGACAGCATGGCCGGGTACAACACCAATAGTCCGACTTGTCTCCTGAAGAAGTGTACTAGGGTAACTATGAACAGATTAAAGAGTTTATTATTTCCATAATTTGATGGTGGATTGTCGGAAGGTAATACCGGTACCCAATCGTAATTGTTTGCAGTGTCGGCGATATTTGTTAGCGACACATCGAAGGCATCATCATCCATCCTATTGAGGTCGTTCAGCATGACATAGGTATCGATAGCCACAGAGAACTGTGTTAACGATAGCACAAATCTTATAGCACACAAGAATAGTGGATATACATTATCCTCAACACGCTCCCTGAAGGATTGCTGTGCCCAGGGTCCTGTTTTATCCGCCATTTTTAAACAGCTATCAGTTATACACTAAACCGTTTCTATACCCTGGGTTATATCAGTTTTATCCTTTTACGATTTGAAACTTTTGTTATGGATCCCGCCGTTTGACAAAGCTACACAGCCTCCGAATCTAGACATACCTTATATCGTGGCTATAAAGCTCACGGTAAAAAGACATATATCCCTTTTCCAAAACTTGTTCATTAGTAATCCATGTCGATCTTTGGATAATACATTCACATTAAAATAGATCGTAGCGAAGTAAGGGTATCACTCCTAGATAGCCTCTGATTGATAAACAATCTCAAATGTATGAGTTATACACAAACTAATTAATATATATTTAGTGCTATATAGTTTAAAGCTTAAATGTCATTCAAGATTTCATTATGGTACGACGAATGAGGTTTGATACAGTCGCGCATAACGGGTATATATATAGGTGCCCGTGCGTATCACTAATGCTCAAGATCTATGCTATATGCATACCCTAACCATGTTCGTATTAATTATACACACCTTTTGAAAACGGCAGCATACATGTTATCGCCGTTATACATATCTCCACCTCCAAGGATCATCTCACAGTATCTATCGTGTGTTTCTTATTAAATAAATTTATCAAACCCATTTAAATTTTATATTATATTATATGCATGTTTAATGCATTTTTCATACTATTTTTGCTAAGGTAGGCAGTCTAATCGGCCCTTTGGGTCCATCTGTAGAGGCCCGGTAGAGACTTGAAAGCGTCACTAATTTGTATAACTCTAGTTCACGTAAAAACATATTTATAATAATTTTATACACGATTTATGGCTATATAGGTGATCCGATGTGGTACAGGTATACCACAGGCATGCCTGAGATCGACACATTGTGACCCTTAGCGGCTACACACTCTCAAATATCAATGACCGATAGTGTTTTCAACTTTGAGAAGTGACCCCAGTTTTGCCCAATTTTTGAGCTGGAGATTCCATTGGACGCGACGGGCCATACAATTCAGTCAACACTTTCTATCAATATAGCAAGTCAAGGAAAAAAAATCTCAAATATTATCTTACGCGTTCACATACATTCTAACAACGTTATTAACCATGGATGCCGCAATAAATGAAGTAGACAGGGCACTTTGCGCAACTTGTTATGATTCACTCCGTAATTTCTTCGAAGTATGTCAATGTATATTATATATATTAATTATTTATAGAATTACGAGATACCAATTAGGGAACCATTAAAGCAACTCATGGAAAAAAACGTTTCATGCCCGATGTTTGTTACATGGTTTAAGGTAAATCCCAATGGGTAAGTGACCTTCCATAAACATTTATGTCTAAATAGAACTGAGCAATTACGAGGATGTCTTGGAACATTGGAACCAGTTTCGATAGTGCGAATTGGTAAGGCGCCACATCGCGTTAATGACTATAAACAGCCTATTACGCAAGGGCAAGTGCTTTAGATGACGAAAGGTTCGACCCCTTGGAGGAGGCAGAAATACCTAAGCTAAATTGTGCCCTATCACTACTACATTCGTTCGAGGTAAACCATTGCCTTGATACATAACATCTTCCACAGAAAGCCGCAGACCCATATGACTGGGTTGTAGGGAAACACGGGATCATGATTACTTTTGAACACGAAGGAAAGGAGTATGTTTAGAACAATAAAATGGTCATTACTTGTAGATACAACGCCACCTACCTCCCTGAAGTAGCTCAAGAAAACGGGTTGACAAAAGAAGCCACTCTCAACCAACTGATACGCAAGGCTGGCTACAAGGGCAAAATTACTGACGAAATAATGGACAATATGAAGGTAGGTGCTATGTAGCCATGCAGTCAGTTCATTACGACAGTTTTTGCGTAGTATTCGAAAGGTTAGAACGTTAATAACATTGACACAGGTCAAACGATACCAGAGCAGGAAGCTGAAGCTCACCTACCAAGAGTACGAAGCAATCAAAGACGAAGAAAACTAAACTCTAGGAATTAATATGTGCCCTGATATTGCTTGTTACTCCTTTTAGTCACTTCTGAGTTCACTATAGCAGATTTGTAAGCAGCTGTTGACGTCAACAGGTCGAATATACGACCGGATCCACGGCGGGGTGCGTTAACCAGGATGGAACTTGAAAGTGAAAGTTCAAAGTCATCTAATTGGTCGATACCGATAACTATGAGCTGATGGTTATCACTGCTTTCCTCACGGGTTGACGCGCCGCGTGCCACAGGCTCAAATTCAACCTGCCGAGTGCGCTCGCTTTTAAGTTTCTTGTAGGTACCAGATCTCATCACCATATCAAGGTCAGATATGTGTGAAGATCCATCAACATAGTCATTCTCCCAGAAATCGTAAAAGGAATCCACGCCATAGCTCTTCAAACTCTCAGGACGACGATGCTTGTGCAGTAACCGCTCCTTTATAACTTGAGATATGGAACTCGAACCACCAATAGAGTTCTGAGATCCTCGATCGTCACAGCTACTTGCGTAGCCGCAACTTTCCGCCTTTAACGCTCCCCAGTCACTAGTATCCATACCTTGCATCGAGTACACTGATCCTACTGCGCGCAAAGAGGGACTTGAACCAGAGGCGCATGAGTCAACATGATCCACGGTGACTTCATCTTCTTCAACTTTTGAAGGTAAACGACCAATCGAATATCCACAAGGCATATACACATTTGACGCGACGGTTCTTTGCATCGCTTCAGTAACATCAGTTTCGAAGTTTTCTGGTTTAATATTAGACTTCTCACATTGCTGTTCATAGAACGTTTGAGTGCGATATTTCTCGCGGATGAAATAACGGGAGTGGTACAGAACGAAATTGTCAAACGGAAAAGATCCCTTTATATACCTATAAGAATACCCTTTGATACATGCCGAATCATTGCTGAACACCGCCTCTTTAGCACGCACTAGTGATATGTGTAGCTTCCGCAGACTAGGGACTATAGACGTCGCCGATATAGCATCATCAACCACCTTCTCACGTATACGACCCACAGGGTGGAGATGACTGTCGATGAAAGCTGACAAAGAGTTGCCACCTTCCTGTAGATAACGGACACAGCGAGGTGACGCTCCCAGTGTATCGGCATGGTAACCTACGATGTGGAGTATATCTTGGATAAGCGAAAACAAACGGCTTGTTTGTGCCGTAGACCGCATGTCGGAAGATTCGCCGTATCTGTTCCTCGATCGAGGTGTGAGATCAGAAGTTACACTAGAGGTGGCAGAATCTTGCCAATGTACTAACAGGTGTTCGAATTTAGCAAGGACAGAAAACAGATAGTAAACTATGCTACATACAACTTGCCCCTTGATAAAGGTTGCACGACATACCATAGAGGCAATATAGCTTGCCGCATATTTGCGACGCACAGAATGTGCCTCCTCGTCATAGAGTATCAGAAGGAGCCTCTGTAGGAACAGATGTGCCCATGACATCTGAAAAGAAACTAAGTGTATGTACAGAAACTGTACATATTTACATTTCTGCGTAGGGACAATGACATCCTCTAGGACATCAAACATTTCTGAGACTATTACGTCCGCTACTGTGGTAAGTTGTCTGTTTTGTTGGCATTCAGATTTCACAGAGCCAGAAGATGATACACAAGTGGTTTCTTGCAGAGCAACATTGCCGCTAGAACCAACCTCTTGTTTAACATCGACTATTTCACTAGAACGGGATCCCCAATCATATTGAGTGTAGTCCCCATCAGAATCAGTTTCTGCATCTGATGATTCTGTAAGTTCACTACTTCTACGTGAACTACGTTTGCATTCAGTTGACGGAGTGACCATGTTCATTGTTATTACCTGCTCTATCTCATCGAACATAATCGCCATGAGTGCATCTAATTTTTGTGTCATACCATCAATATCTTCATCTGTACGTGTACTCGCATACAGTTCTTGGAACCATTCAGGGTTACCGATACGTTCCTTTGCCTCATCAATATTGATGTCACCATCTTTAAGCTTAGCAGCAAGCTCCTTCATGGTTTCGACACGTAATGCTTTTATCTTCTCTTCACTGAAGTATGAGGTATCATCCACCTTAATTTCAGCATCAATGATTGTCATTTTTTTCAGCAGGATTCGATACACTGCTGACAGCAGCGGCTTAACTCGCCGTGCAATGTTACATAGCGCCCTGGCAACCGATACATGGTGTTCTACGGGCAGATTGTAGTGTGGATAAATCAACTCCACAGTATCGGCCACTACGCCGATGACCCTGGGGAAGAGCCTACAAAGCTCAACGATCACATCACAGATGCTTTCATGGAAGCGCGAATATCGCGTCTTCACATAATCAGCGCATCGCGCATAACTGAAATCCACGCAACTACCATCATTTCGACGATAGAAAAAACAGCGCATACCGTGGTATTTCGGATTGAAGTGTACTGATGGAAACACATGGTTAATATTCTCCATGTCGTTTCTACATCTTGGATGATATTTCAATATTGCTAATAATAGCTTCAAATCATCACCTTCGAGACAAACATCTGACGGACTGTCTACCAATATATGTCTCAATCTCTTTTTCAAGTCTAGTACCCCGTCAAACACTTGACCGCAAAGGTCTATTTTGGCATTCTCGCCACTAACTGGTCGCAACTTCTGCATCAATTCCTGAATAACCGCTGTTGCCAAACTGTTATCGACGATGACGAAATTGACGACAGCATTCGTGCAGCGTTGTATCTCGTCATCAGTCGCTGATGACCAGCAGAATTCCTCAGCAAAGATGCGTATGAACTGTCTCAGTGCATTGTCATCTATGTTTCGTCCTGACACTATATCGTTAAGTTTCCTACACAATGATGAATATACAATATTGTTTAACCTACCTCACAACATCGTCATTGCCCTTACGGGCAGCCGTCGGTGTGCCATTTTCATGGCCTAACGACGTGTGGTTCAGCTTAAGCTTTCTCAGCTGCGATAAGTACCCTGCCATATCGGCTAGGTGTTACATAAGGCCACGTTTATTATATGATAGTTTCAAGCGGCCTTGGGATTTCCGCTTGTATCCTTGGTCCGAAGAAATGAATAATATTGTGTAGTGCATTTTTTCACGCAATGAAATGTGGGTGGTTAGCTAATGGCTCTATATAGCCGAAAGAATGTAGTAACAACAATGGTTACTCGGCGGGCAGCTGATGTGCAGATGCCCCAAGAGTCAAGCCACTTGTAGAAAGGTCGAAAAATTAAAAAAATCACGAAATTTATAAATACTATAATTTTTCATAGTGCCATGTGATCTTGGACAATACACTCTCGCTTCTTGGTCTGATTTTGTTCGACAGTGGTTAATGGACTATCCCCCTGCCTCTGGCGAATCCAACATGACCGTTACACCGTTATGCTAATCGGTCATATATCAATAGCCATTAAATTTGGCTTCTGGTAATATATCACACTAGGATCACATTAACACTACTATTAACATATATAAACAGCTTACACCGGAAACACGGCCTTAATAGATTAGATTTTTCGTTAAATTAAGCATCGCTGATACTAATACTTTAAAGCAACTTTACATTCCTGCTTGCAGTGGCATTCTATTAGGGAGACAGTCGATACCGGAAGCTATTGTAGCCTTGACTATGACGCCATGGATGTACAACTTCACTGCCAGGAGTATGTAGGTACTTACTACGCTTAACCCTTTTCAGGTGAAGCTGCTATACGATTTATAGAAGGCTACAGCGCGGAGGCACTGGCTACTCTCAAAGATAAAAGATGTATTCCCACTCAGTGTGACGGGTAAACCAGCAGTGGATAAATACTTATCATTGTCCAGATTAAATGAGCTACTAGACGGCGGAATCAGTACCCAGGAGGTTCTGGAACTCATAGAATATCATCATGGTCATACTGGAGAGGTTAGGTGAGACAAAACAGAATATAATGATTCAGGTTATCATGCATATGATCGTCCATCATCTCCATAATGACCGCAATGCGCAGGCAGTTATAGTCACATCTAGTAAGTTCATATGATACAATATTTATTAAATATACAGATGGAGTGCAAAATTCAAACAGTATATATCGAGTCGCACATAGTTATCTAGAATCATACGGCACAGAGGGCGGTCAGATCAGCGACCTTGATGAAGCGGCTTTCCATATCATGGCTCGGGTTTTTATTGTACAGTGTACAGATATAAAACAACTGAATATAACATTGGATAACATCTCAAAAGGGTTGTTTACCGGCACAGATGCACAGCAGAAAAGAACGCCGAGGGAAAGTGTACCACAAGATGTGACTACGTCTATCGCAGAAAAACAAGGACCTAACACCAGGGTACAACTACCGGGAAAACACCTGGATATAGTGGCAATACACACCTTATCATCTATCATAGAAGATTCGAAGCATAGCGATGCTTGGCGTAGGTAGCAGCATAATACCAATAGACCTGTGCAGAGGGGATGCCCACCGTATGCCGTCAGCTACGTACGGTAGCGCGTAGATTGAACGCGGCAGTGATAGTTTCTAATGTACACGATACTATCTCTAGGTTGAGAAGTCTTACCGCGGTTGGTATTACACCTATGACGATACAACTCCATGTAGAATTACGAACCAGAACGACGTAAAACTGGCATCGTCGAAGTGTTCATAGCTTCGCCAAGGTGGCACGCTACCGTTGATAAAAGGGTATGGTTACTAACCATGGTTGGAACTAATATGCAGATATACCTAATTGTGAAATACGGAAATAAAAAAGCAAATCGAGCTACATTAATGGCACAACTTACCAAGAGTAGCCAGAGACCTAATGAAGTGGCATGTCATATCGAGTTAACTGACAAAGGTATTTGACAAGAATTATCTGATAAATAAATACAGGTATAAGTGATGTAGTTAATGAGATCTGCTAGATACTGACAAAGGTCAGTGCTAAGTTGGCGTCCATGTTTCTGCAACATATTTATCGCATTTAATATGATCACCTACGTGCTATCGTTATAAATTGCCCATTCTTCAAATATCGGGAGGAAAAACGTCTGTTTAGACTTTAGCGGCCATGTGGCACCTAAACCACGCACTGATACTTCCTCACCGCAATAGAGGTAGCCGCACTGCACAAAATGTTCAAAAACGTAATATATAAACTTACAATGAAGTTACCCTTCACGTTACCCATGTTGACATGACGGCCTACTGGAATGATCACATTTGAACTACGGCAACGTGAGTTCATGATCAAAGGTTGGAACAGTGACCCGTTATACATTTGTGTTTCCACCGAATCCACCCTGAAGAATGACTGGTATGATATATGACGTCCGTTTTGTACAGCAACAGAATCTGACAATGTGGAATCCATGTTCAAACGTTTCGCCGGCTCAAATGCTAATTCTTGATAAAATTCAGACTGTCTTCGACCTTTAGGGCTATTATCCAATTCGATCTCATCGGTATTCTCGTTTTGTAGAATCTCCAAAGCCTCAACGACTGTCATCTCTTTCTGCTTCTTGCCCGCCTTTGCGGCTGCAGATTTAGCTTTAACCTTACCCGTGCCCTTTGGGCGCCCTCTTCCACGTTTGACAGTACCATCAATTTGCAGTGGTACCGCTACACTTTTAGCAACAGTAATTCGTTCCTTTCTCGGTTTCTTGGCAGTTGTGCTATCCACTGGTACCAACTCTCCACTACCCTCCCTTGGGGGCTCCTGTGGTCTATTTGAAATAGCTAGGGGCTGATCCGCGTTAGCTTCGATAACTTGCATCTCCATCATGCCTGTAGAATCAGTTAAAACCAATGATGCTTCCGGCAAGTCCTTCGGTTGGATCCTAGCTGCTGTAGGTGAAGAAGTTCCTGGATGAACATCTTCATGGAACAAGACAACATCGCCGGAAGCATGTTGTGCTTGCACTCCCATATTCTCGTCATCAGATGTAACGCCAATAAGAAAGAGTACTGATGAACCATTTAATGTCATATTCGAATTCCAATGTTGTATTGGCGGTAGTCTGGTACGGGTAGGATACCTTTTGTTCCGTCCTAAGTATGGCTCAACATGTTCGTAGTTCTTTTTCCTTTTGCTTTTATTCTCATCACCGTAAGAAATATACCAACTATTAAGTAGCATAGCACTATTTACCGTCTTACGAGGCCTCCCTCTACGTTTAGTTCCTGGTTTCTTGGTAGTATCCTGGCCATTGCGTAAATGGTCTGCTAGACTTCCATATTCATCCATTTGAAAGTCGTCACTACCAACACCCAATGACGTACGTAGCGGTTCTTCTGAATACGTTTGAACACCCTGGTCACTGTGTCGCCCATCGTCACTGTCAACGTAGGGGCGTTCTGGTAATGCCACTACTGCAGTCGATACCCGTGCTCGTCTACGTTTTTGCTTCCCCGAATGTGCTATATCATTAACAGCTGATATATCGGCAATTTCTGACGTTAGCATGGGAACTTCAGCCGTGTCTTCCACGTAATTGAGCAGTGAAGCGTCTGCTATCCTAAGACTCCCCTCACCAGTATCCACCGATAACGCATTCGGTGCATTTTCGATGGCTGGTACCTTTGGCTTACGACCTCTATAACCTCTTCCACGTTTCTTTACCTCCTTTTCAAGAACTACAGCTCCTACTGGTGTAGATTTCGCTACCCTTTTCAGCTCATTGAGCTTTGCTATAGTGTTAGATGCTGCAGATGAGACATCATATACAGTTTGGTTGTCCAGCCCACCGCTATACACTGCACCGAAAGAAGCGAATGGTGAATATCCCGTAGGTGAAAGATGCTCTATATCATATCTACCGGATAGTGTCCTTTTGTTACGTTGTTTCGGTGATGCGGTGACTACTGCATGTGCGAATGATACATTTCTCGAAACAGGTGACCTTGACATCACAGTTTGTGGTGTGATATCTGGTTGTTCAACGTCAGAATAGCTATAAGCAGGCCCTTCGTCCATAGGTCGATCATCTATTACTATGTCCGTATCATGAGCTGGTGATCGTGTAACCGATTGAGTCCTATATGTTTTTTCTTGGAATCGTTCTGATGATGGTGACCTTCGTGCCGATTGTCGTTCGACTCTTGACATTACGGACCCTGGACTTGCGATAAATGGAGACTTATCTCCGATGTATATACTACCCTCATCCTCAGAAGAAGATATACTACGATCGAAAATATCCTCGCCAGTTACAGAATAGGTATCGTTTACATCTGCCCATTCATTGAGTTGCGTAAATACGTCAAAGGGCATATACGATTGGAAATTCTGTATACTATTTCTACGAGCCACGACGTATAGCTTGAGATTATTTGGGCCATCCTGTGAGAAACTGATGACGGCATTAAGTGTAACCAACCTGTATCAAGGCTTCAGGATTCGTATACACAGGGCAGAAATCTACATTATAACGGCGAACAGAGCCATATTCAAAGCGATGTTCCTGTAGAGGAACAAAGCGTTGAGCGCTGTTCATCGCGTCAAATCGTAGCCTCAAAAAACTGTTAAAACAGTTACCAGGTGCGATTTTTATCGACATTCACGGTAGAGTTGATACCGACCCCTGTCGTCTCATCTTGTTGAGGATCGATAATTTGACGGCCATTATAATTGTATAGCAATCCGCGTGCTACACACCAGATAAATGAAATATGTACTATTTAAAATCAGGTCAACCAGCCGTGAAACCTGTAGGTATACCCCAATGGGTGATTGGTGGTGTACGATAGTCCAGCCATATAACCATTGGCAAAAGGGTAGCATATGATACTACGAGCAGGTTTATAAAAGTGTGTACCCTTTTTTATCAATGAACTGAACGTATAGAAGGTTACGCACTTATTTTTTTCAAGTAACACCTAGGTCGCGCACCAACCCCTCGTCATGATTTATTGCCGTTCTACATACCTACGTATATTCTAGCCTTATATACAGTTTCTAAATGCCATACTCCGCTAACAAGGCGCACAATTAACCTTATAGGTCAATGGTATAACATCATGGGATGACAGATAGTTCTGACATTTCTCAAATGTTATTGGAACTTATGTTTCTACTTCTACACGATCGAAGTCCAGAAACTCCGTCCCCAATTGGTCATGGATGTTTACCCGGTTGATAACTTGTTTAAAGTTATTGGTTATAAAGGTCCTGCAACTTTGTATATATACACCTGTTTGAAACTTACGCATATTCTTTGGAATCCTTTGGCATCTGCTGCTTTGATATGTTTTCCACCTTTTGAAGTAGTATCATTTCGGCAGTAAACACCTGAATGAATTTTGTAAAAATTGGAAATTGCTGTTACCATAGCAGTTACAGTGGCATCGAATCCAGCTTCATGTAACCTATTAAGGTCAATTTTTGTAAAACTCTCTTCTTCTCCATCGGTTGCTCCTGATGCGGCCGCTTTATACTCAAGTTTACATGCTGTTTCAATTATCCGTGTTGAACGATAGAACTTGAATCTCTTATCATAGCTTTGATATAGCCAATTAAGAGAGAATAATCTACGTTATATATGTAGTTTGAAAAAAGTGTGTGGCTTACCCTTTCATATCATGTAACCCACTTTCTTGAAGATAGCGTGCAACAACTTTTGTATCATAAATTGCCGGTCCCAATTTTTCATAGATCATTCTAATAATCTCCTGTGGTTCTTCTGGCAATGCGGCAATAAATTTGTCACACACATGGAAAAGATCTAATAGCCCGTTATGGACTACTACAGGTTTCCTTGATTCGACAACAGCCTTCACTAAACGTTGTAGACCCCAACGGCTTACTGATTTTTGCCGTTTTGTTCTTCTTAACCTGCGATTAGCTTCATCTAGTCTTTGGTATGGCAACCTATAAGAGGCATATTAACAGAATAGCTAGAAACAACCCACCCCTCTTCGATCCATTTCATGAAGTCAAACCCATGATCTTTTAGCCATTTAATAGTGGTACTTCGCAAGTGCATAATACAGTCCTGTGGACGATAGCGTTATTTTGGTCATAACCATACCTCGTTAGGGTAGACATAGAAATTGTAGGGGTAAAGTGCCCATTTATCCTTCTGTTCATGCTTCTCGTAGACCGCTATGCAGAATCCCACTTGTACTGATAAAATATTAATAGAATCTAAAAAATTTGCATGGATATTCGATGGAAAATATTTTTGGTGGACCACCTCTTGATCATAGAGACTTACAGAGGGAATACGTTGTAACACCATCACGCAAAAGGAGCAGATAATCGGGTATAGTAGTAATACCGGCTTTATCTTCCGTTAAACCGCTCAGTTCTGCAAATATGTGAAACAACATGAAGCAAGCCAACCGCAATCCACTGTAACAAAGGCTGCATTGTCCAGCAATCCCATAAATTCGTCATAAACCGGTGCTAATTTAGACATGATTAATCAACCGCATTCTAGTTCAATATTGAATATGATATGTTATACACAAACAACATCCACAGCAGCCTTAGAGGGCTACTATCGCCACAGAATATGACGGTTATACATATGAATCGGAAAATGGCATGGAATATCGTGTTCAAATGGTCACATTTAACATTAAAATGATGATTCTTTTATGGGTATGTCACCAACAATTGATATGCTATTTCTGATATCTTACACACTTGGACATTGTGAACCAAATACAATCTTATTTCCAAATTTAAAACGTCTAAAAATGATCTCTATAATTATTAATAAATTAATTTAGTCGGTGTGTAAGTATTGTAGCATCATAAGATGCAAAAACTGCCGTTGTTTCGGCGAGGGGCCGTGCCGTGGAACAACATGTGAGTTTGCATGGTCAATATCCGTAAAGATTCTTAGACATGTAGTATCGCGCAACAGGAATTAATAATGAATCTATATGAGAAGGATTTATTAGAGGGGCAGCGCTGCTTGTATCTCAGCGCAGGGCCAAATTTTTGGGAGATATTTCGATGTGTATGCATATGTGGTCACAAGTTGCGCTAAATTTTTATAGAACTAGCCTCTGAGTGACGAATCATGCAGTGTGATAAAATTACAGATTAAATAAGCAACCCAGTGATCCTAAAAGCATAACGAGGAAAATACTCGCACTAGCAGTTGAGTGAATTATTGAGGTTTAGTGGTACTGTGCGTCGAAAACACGCATTGTAACCTAGTTGGACGTTGTAAAAAAATATAATTTTAGAAGTAGACTCAATTTTCATGCACTAATAATGGCTAAAATAGTACCTATGGCGTCACTGGGGGGCCTCACAACATTGTTGAGCGGCCTATAATGCCTCCATTTTGCTGCCGCTAGTCTCAAGATGACCCGAAGAAAATTGATGCAGCTGCTGACTCCCCATAAGCTAAATGTGGATACGCTGGTACAAAAGTCTCCAGATGACATTAAAGTTTTCAACCGCAACAAATATATCTGGCAACAACTACACATTAAACGTTGCGAATACATACGCGAACGAGACCAGTGTCAAAGCGATAGAATAAAAGGTTGTTAAAGCAAATTACGCGGTACAGCCGAAGTGTTACAACGGTCAAAAAGATTGATGTTGTTGAAAGTCATACATGAAAGATGCGCTTGTCATGGAAATACAGTGATAAGCCATTTTGGACTGTAGAAGGATAGTTTTTTCGATACTCTCGGGTGAAGAAGGTGCGAGGGCAACTCACGACAAGAAGTGATTTGATGCCATCATCGCAGCTGAGCCGCAGGATTATTTTTACCATGTCAAACGGTGTCAATTCAGGTACTACTGATTTTACGTATCTGAATTCAACAACCCCGATAATGGGAGATCAATATTACAACACCGGTGACTACAATTTTTGCAAAATGCAGCGTGAAAACCAACAAAGGTTGTCACACAATAGTGGGACTGATATGGCGTACTATGGGCAAATGAAAAATATGGAATACAATGCATTGATTGATGATTTTTACCCACGCCCCTCAGAACCCCTCAATCATTATGATAATAATAATGACCTGTTTGCACAAACGGCCATGCGTTTATTTGACGAGTATGATAATTATGATGGTTTTGTCCCTAGGTATGGCTATGGAGATTTATGTAAAGAACCAAATGCCAATAAACTCATGCCGTTTAAGTTTGATAGGCTAAGAGAGCCAATGACAAAACAGTTGGATGTGCCACATATTGATAATACTAAGGAAATTCCAGGAGATTACAACTTCTGCAGTCTAAGTGATATGGACCCAGAAACATTTGACAGACTCTGTCTAACTGGATTAACTAATGCATATGCAGCACCAAAGTGCCAACCAACATATGATATGGACCATATGCAAGCTTATACGGGGTACTATTGGCTGAAGAATACCAAAAATCATGTTTGGAATCCTAATGGTAATTATCAGGATATGACACAAAATAGTTACGTGGGTATGACTAACGACCCCAATATGACAGAGTATGTTCGGGATTTTGGTGACATTTACCGCGGCGTCAGGCCGGATAGAAGAAGGGTTAAGAACTTTGAAGAATCCAAGACGCCCATATACACACGAAGGCAGGGTATGTACCAATCCAAAGTATACAACAATGACGGAACTGAAAATAATTATCGAAGCATGGTCAAAGCTCACCATGCTTCAACTTCACCTAATTGGTTGAAGGATGCTGTTTTAGGTAAAACGATTTCGGGAAATATCACAACTATTTGCAAAGATCAAACTGGCTGTAGAACTTTACAGAAACTACTAGAAACAAATGATGAGTCGTTAATATCAGCTGTACTTGAAGGGGTATTGGAAAATCTGGTCGAACTTATGACAGACCCTTTCGGCAACTATTTATGTCAAAAGCTAATGACGGTGTGTGGTGAAGAACAACTCACACAAATAATTGATACTGCAGGCGATACACTCATAACTATCGCCCTTAATATGCACGGAACCAGGGCACTTCAGAAATTGATTGAAGTTTTAAGGACACCTGAACAAGTTGTTAAGGTCACGCATGTACTCAATAGTGGTGTTGAAGAGTTAGTGACAGACCTTAATGGAAACCATGTCATTCAAAAATGTTTGGCATCACTGACCGCAGAAGAATGCGAATTTATTCATCAAGCGATGATTAACAAATGTGTCACCTTTGCCATACAAAGGCACGGATGTTGTGTAATGCAGAGATGTATTGATGCAGCGAATGAACGCCAGAAAAAAGAACTGGTGGAAGCTTTAACAAGCAACGCTCTGTTACTCGTTGAGGATGCTTACGGAAACTACGTCATCCAATATATCCTAAAACTTAAGGATAACGATGTTAATCTAAGGATTGTGAGGGCATTGGCGCCAAATGTTACCACCTTCGCAAAACAAAAGTTCAGCTCAAATGTGGTTGAAAAATGCCTGATGATTGGACCTGCAAGGATCAGAAATATCATCATCGAGCGGTTTGTCAAGGCGCCATATGAAGTGTTAAAAGACCTCATATTACATCCATTTGGCAATTATGTTATACAGCGTGTGCTGAGTGTCGCGCAACCCACTGATCTTGCGGAGATATTGAAAAAAATAAGGCCGCATATGGACGAATTGAAAACAATATCAACGGGAAAACGTATTGCCGCCAAGATCTCAAGAAAACATTATAATGAAGTATACAATTCAACAAATGTCGGTAACCGTAACGATCAGCTAAGCTTAGACTTTCTAAAGAGGACCACTATGACGGCACCTATCAAGAATATCCATCGTGATGATCTAGCGGATGAGCTGTTGCGTGTAACGCATCGTGAAGAGGATGGTGCTCCGAATGAAAGAGGCGATTTATGCAAGGTTGAAAGTACTACCAGCACTCTGACTACATGTGACTCTATATGCAACTCTACACAAATGTGTGTTAACAACAGTGAACAATGTGCTGTAAAATCAGTATCATCCAATTCACCCGTCACAGTGATAGATACTGACTTCTCTCCCGCCACATCTGTTGATAGTAACAATGCGGCTGTTAACGAATACCTTAACTCTGGCTTCGATGCCGAAGACCAGAATGAAACAAATGCTAAGTGACATGTAATGATGTATTACATAAAAAAAGATAATACATTCATATTATCATTCATTTCCTATTTCCCATACACCCACGCTCCTATCATCAGAAACGCTATACATATAGGAACCTGGTTGTATGTTCCATGCCACGGAGTTTACGGTTGACGTATGTGCCTGCACCACCTTAAGTAATGTCCCGAATACCTTGCTCCAAATATATATCTGGGAATCCTCACTGCCGCTGAGAACAAAACTCTCATTATGTCCGCCAAATGCACATTTCAATACGTAACGGTCTTCGATGTGACCACGATATGTCTGTATTACACGCCTCTCAGTAAGGTCCCATAATCGCATAACAGGGTACCTTCCGGAGACGCTAACCAGCATATGGTTATGCAAAGCACTACCAACCAGGTTAGTTACATTTCCATTGTCCGGAAGTGGTTCCAACTCACAAAATGAATCTAGGTCTACTACACGGAGTACCCTATCCGGTGAGCTCATTACTGCAAGGGTTCCATCGAAGTTCACCGCAATACAACGGGCACGGCAGTCTATGGTACAACGCTGTGTCGCACGTAAATAGTGGAACGGTGATGCACGGGATTGATCCTTTGGTTCAGATTCCTCATCATCGGATGAGAGTGGTGAATCTGGAGGAGAATCCTCCTTTTCTGTTATTAGTTGTATCTCGTAGCAGACTATTTCACGTTCTAAACCACCTAAGACAAACGCATGACGACCTGGTAGCCAACTCAAACAGAATTGATTTCCGTAACATGGTTCAACACGTCCAACACATGACGGATATTCTGGCATCCATAGCAGTATAACACCATCCTTGTCAATTGACGCACAATATACCGAATCAGATGACCATGATACCGAACATACAGCGGCGCGATGTGTTCTCCAACGGAATATACGATCGAAGGGTTTCGTTGTACTCCATAATATAATATTCCCGTCTCGTGCACCGGTAACAAAGTACTGACCATCCGGTGACGCCGCTACGTCCCATACCTCATCGCAATGGCCTTCCAAAAGTGCAACACAATTAGAGGGTACGACAACATCTGGACAAGCATGGTCTTCATATAGTGTAGTAGTTCCCTCTTGTTTGCCGCCAAGGAGATGGTTGGGGCAGTAAAGTTCTTGCATATCGATTGCTTGTTGCAGTAGTGTCATCAGTCGTTTTTGCGGAACTACCCACTCCGGCGATAGTAGAGTCTTAATATGAGACCATAACTGAATATGCGCTGTCTCATGCTCCCAATGCAACTCGTTACGTAAAGCCTCTTCTATCGAAGGGTAGGCGACTATACTTGAACATGTTGCCAGTCGTTGTTTCGTATCTTCATCGAACACTAACTTGGAAAGGTCATCTGTAAAAATATATATTAATGATATAACGGCGTTGAAAGTGAATAAGGTTGTGATAATGCAATAAAAAATGGGAACATACCACGTAATATTTTAAGCGCTTCATCAAGATCGTTTCTGTAAACTGCACTGGCGTAACTATGTTGCGATAATAAAAACGTGCACGCCATGCGTATTTCAGATGATAATGTCAATTGCGATAATACACCACGGGCTGTCTTTGTATCTCCTTTCAAAACAGATTCTTCCAGGAGTGCAATGCTTGGAAACTTATAGCAGCAGTTTGATTCCCTTTCTAGAGCTTTGACAGCCTCACTGAGATATATTATAAATGGATTATTTCTGATGCTACGGTGGTGACTGGAACATCTATGATACTCCGAATTCGATATATCGTAGATATAAAGTGTAAGATAACACTTACCTGTATCCCATGTCTGAAAGTAGTTGCATAATTATACGAAGCAGTTGATATTTTGGGAATCCTTCCCACATCGGTTCATTTTCATTCTTCTCCATGTTTGCAGGGCCAAATTTGATTATAATATTACGATAATCTGATGAAAGTAATACACATCTCCGTCGGTGCAAAGTACAAACATCAAACACACTGTGAAAGTAATAAGCAATTATTTATTAAGCATAAATATATATATGTATGATATAAAGTGGTCTTAAAGGGGAAAAGTTATCTGTGAGGGGACGACCCCCGTTAATCATCTCTCGAGTGTGCTCTTGCCGCAATGTGTTGGTTGTGCAGATATGCAAAGTGATATTTTGTTACCAAAATATAGAGTAAACATTTGAATATGACTCGGTAGCTTAACTGCCGTATTTTACGGCTGAGATTTAACGTAGAAGGACTCTAGCTCCATGATTAGTTACCACGACTATATTAATAATATATATCCACACAATTCATATATATCTGGAATATTGCATCTATTTCATGATGATGAACATAGGTGGGAGTAACCGAAAGGGGACTTTTGCGTCTTTGACCAACAACCGTAACATTCCTAGGAACCCTGTAGGAACGTTACCGAATAGGACACAAGATGGCCTTGGAGTATCACAGAAGGCAAGATCTAATGACCCTGTGAAGGTATACCAGATATCACGATTTATATATATATTGTACAACAGGTTGTGTATGTCCCCAAAGCCCAGAGGGAGAAGCGCATGGAAGAAGAGGTCAAAAAGGCTGAAGAGGAAGCAAGGTTAAGAGAAGAGAAATTGAAAAAAACACGTATTGAGCATCTAAAACAACTGGTGAGTGTATAATATAATTGGGAAATATTGCCCTTACAGGAAGCTTATAAGGAATCTGAACGACGTAATAGGATGAGACAAAGGGACAATGAACGTCAACGTGATACTACTACGAAACCGGAATCAAAGGATATTCGAGAGAAGGAAGAATTGAAATATAGTTTGGAAAATAGTGATCTTGCAAGTCTGAACATGCTTAAATTACCAAAGGAAGAGGCACGTCCAAGACTAATTGCGAAGGAGCTTGAACAAATTCGTGAACATTATCTGGGTGTTAAAGAGCAGCAGAAAAAACCAAGGAAACCATCTGAAAAGTTTAAAACAATATTCAATTTCGAATGGGACAATTCAGAAGATACTTCTAGAAATGATAATAATCCTATATACCAAAATAGACCTGAACCACAGTTACTCTTTGGTCGAGGTTGTAGGGCCGGTATCGATGTACGTGAACAGAAGAAGCAATCTGATTTTTATCAACAACTTTGCAAAAGGCGATGTACTACCGGTAATGTTTCCGAATCTGTGAAATCGAAATCTGCCACGACAAAATATCATGCAGATAAAAGGAGTAATAAATATGTCGATACTAAAGTATCGGATGACGAGGAGATTGATACACATTGGTCTTCTAAGAGGAGGGAGCAGATGACAGATCGTGATTGGCGTATCTTCAGGGAAGACTTTGATATATACGTGAAAGGTAGCAGGGTACCACCGCCAATACGTACATGGTCCGAATCGGCTTTACCCTTGGAAATATTGAAGTCAATAAAGGATGCAAAGTTTTCCGCACCAACACCAATCCAAATGCAAGCTATACCTATAGGATTGGAAATGCGTGATCTTATAGGTATTGCGGAAACAGGGTCAGGCAAAACTTTAGCCTTTGTTCTGCCGATGCTGACCTATGTCAACTCGCTACCGCTCCTCAACGAAGAAACATCACAGGATGGTCCTTATTCTTTAGTATTGGCACCTACTCGTGAACTTGCGCAACAGATACATAACGAGACCGTGAAGTTTGCGACCTTCTGCCATTCTAGGGCTGTACTTGTCGTGGGTGGCCATAGTGTGGAGCAGCAAGGTTTCCAGTTACGTAACGGTGCTGAGATTGTTATCGGTACGCCGGGGCGTATTAAAGATTGCCTTGATAGGTCGTATACTGTCCTATCACAATGTAATTATGTAATACTGGATGAAGCTGATCGTATGATTGATATGGGTTTTGAAGAGATTGTGAATGATATACTCGATTGTATCCCAACTTCTAACCTTCGAGATTTTGACGAAGGTACAGCTTTCCAGCAGGTGGGTCGCATTTCATATTATTTGATATCACATATTTTCAGGAGCTTAGTTCAAAAGCGGGATACCGCAGATATCGCATTACACAAATGTTCTCTGCTACTATGCCGCCAGCCGTGGAGAAACTTACCAAAAAGTACCTGAGGTCACCCGTGTGGGTATCCATCGGTGATGTCGGTAGTGGTAAGAAATCGATTACACAGCGTTTTGAATTTTTGACGGAATCGCGCAAGAAACAGAAACTGCAAGATGTTTTGCTGGGACTAGAGGGGCCTATCATAGTGTTTGTCAATATGAAGAAGGTTGCAGATGTAGTGGCGAGGCATATTATAAATATGAATTTTAGGTAAGTTCACCTTAGCTCTTTATTTATATAATTTTTTTAGGGCAATTGCATTACATGGTGGCAAGAGCCAGGATATACGTGAGGGTGCTCTAGAGAGTTTTAAATCGGGGGATTATGATATCCTGGTTGCTACAGATGTGGTTGGCCGTGGTCTAGATGTCAAGGGTGTGAAAGCTGTGATTAATTTCGATATGCCAAAGGATATCCAGACCTATACTCACAGAATAGGTATGTAAATAATGTTTCTTATCATACGTCAACAGGTAGAACTGGCCGTGCTGGTGCCAAGGGTCTGGCGGTTTCATTTGTCACTGAGGATGACTCTGCCATATTCTATGACCTAAAACAGCAGCTTATCAGTACAGATAACAACGTGCCGCCGGAACTCGATCAACACCCCGCTGCAAACATAAAGCCTGCTAGTCACCATCCCGCTCCGCTTGATTAAGACGCTGGTAATGCATTCTCAACCATGAGTCATAGTGTCAAGTAAATTATGTTGAAATTATAACTTGAATTAAGGCTTGAAAAGCCAAAATTTGCTACTACAACTCTTTGTCAAATGCCTAATGGCACTATATGGTTTCTGTGTCGTTTTTGTAACATTTAATGAGTGTATTTGATATTAGAAAGTGTTTGTGAAAAGACGCACTCATACATAAACACATCAACTGCTGGGTCTAGATATGTAATATTAATGTCATGTGTATAGAATATAATGGGTTTAGGAATTTTTATGTTGCCAAAAAGTGGTTATATGTCAGTGATACACATAGGCAGTGTATAGATGTTGTTATAGACGTCGGTTACCACAGACATAATGATGTTCTTTGGTTCCTCTAGGTAATTTAATAGCCAGTTATGTAATATCAACAGCGGTTGTTATCGCGTTAATGGCATTTCAACCCGTAGTAGCTACCGACGTGGCACTGCACCCCATTTTTAGCAGCCTGGGAAGGCCTACTGTATTAGCCAACCGTGTTCACCTCTCACTATCGCCGTATACGTATGACTAAATGATATTACGTAAGGCGCATTTTGTGGATTTGTGAAGGTGAGTTATGAACCCAACGTTGTAACCACGCTGTGGCCAAGGGAGCTATTGGTGTTAGGCTCAAGCTACACTAGGGTACGGCCATGTCAACCGTATCTACAGCCGTTTCACAACCTCTTGGTGAAATAACCGTGGTTTTGAGAAAAAACGGTGACGTCCGTGTGGTGTAACAAGGTCATCCCATTATCTATCTGTTTGGGTACACCGCGTCAAGTCTTATTTTTCCAATCTCATAGATTTTCAGGTATCGTATAAAGGCTTATTTGCAACGTGATTATTGAAAGCCTAATATCATCACAATGGCGACCACAGACCAGTTCAGCATCCGCATGAAGAACTTCATGACCAACCCTCTGCTTTCAAGGAAGCAATTTGCCATGGAAGTACTTCATCCAGGTCGCTCTAATGTTTCGAAAAATGATTTGCGTGATCGTATCGCCAAGCAGTTCAAAGTTAAGGACCCCAAGACTATTGTGCTCTTTGGGTTCAAAACCTACTTCGGTGGTGGAATGAGTTCGGGATACTGTGTCATATACGACACACTCGCTAACCTCAAAAAATATGAACACCATTATAGACAAGTGAGATTAGGACTTGAGGAGCCTTTGAAGGCCATGGGACGCCGTGCTAAGAAGGAGCTTAAGAATAGGAGGAAGAAAGTACGCGGAAAGGAAAAGGCCAAGTGTGCTGCCGGTAAAAAGAAGTGATCATATGATCATAATTTTTTACCAAATATGTGCGTTCTGAGACATATCAGCTTAATTCTCATTCGCTATAGATACACTATGTACATAAAAATGTATATATTAAAACTTAAAAGTGGCAATGTCGGTTATGTGTTAACGTGCTAACGGTCGATATTATTCTCTTGAACGGAAGCCTTGCAGTCAGTAGCCACGTAGTAAGAGGCCAATCCAACTAGTACCAACACATGCCTATGAACACGATGGAGTGGGTTCAGGATATATTACTCACCATAACGAATGAACGAAAAACCGTGTAGCATTTTCTTTACAGGGGTCGTCCAAATAACGTAGACATTTATGGTTAATAAAGAGATTTGGCAACAGCGAGACAATTGCGAAATTGGGTGATATCCATCCAGCATAAGAGTATAGCTGCGATAAATGTAACTTTCTAAATATATATGATACCAATGGCATAGATGTTAACACCGTCATCCATTTTACTGATGTAAGCGCAGTAGTTCTACCAGAGTCGTCCTTAGTGCCATACATCTTAAGTCCGGCATTCAGGTAGTCTTTGCGATATAGCCAAGCCAAGGAGTAGAAATGCGGTAGTTGCCACATGTAGATCATACCGAACAACATCCATGGCTCTGGAGAAAGGAGCGAGCCCTGTAAAAGAAATTACGCCATGGTCCATGGAAAACTAACCCCCGCTGCAGCATAACCTATCAGAGGTGGTACCGCACCAACAATAGCGCCAACATGAGTGTTCCACTCGGTATATCCTGCGAAATGTTATGTCCGACTTTTCTACCACCTACGCTTCAAAAAAGTGTAGCCGCAAGTGTATAGGGCAACGTTCATCAATGCCAATGGCGCCGCGGTAGTACTACCAGTGAGGTACAACAGTGACGACCCCGATGCCACGAACAAGGTGCCAAAAGCAGCTGCTTTAGCAGGAGTGATAATCCCGGAAGGTAATACCCTATAGTTGAATGTGGATATTACATTATATTTTGGTTGTGGAACCACATTAGTATACAATTGTATGGTTAAAAGTCAATATCCACGTCAACATACCTATTACGTGTCCTGATCATCAGAGCATCAGTTTTACGTTCTATGATCTGGTTGAAGGCGTGTGCTGCAGAACTACACAAGAATATGCCTCCACAAGCATAAAAAAATTCAGGTGAGAGTGTAGGTGTTGCCATTAGATATCCACCAGCCCCTGTGGCACTCACCCACATAGACAGTTTCCATTTGGTTAAATCCTGAAATTACATAGATGAATATATATAATGTGAACTCACAAGACAACTAGATAACCTCCCAGACAACCGCTGTGGCTTGGCAAATATAACTCGAAATAAGGATGTCATTACATCCAATATGATAGTAATTTGACCCAAACCATGTTAAACAGCCACCATAGGATCTGTATTTGTCTTTTTAGTATACAAAACCTTTTTTTTTGTATTATTTTCTGTCGATGTTATGGGTCTATCTAGATTTCCGCCGTGGCACATGACATTATTTACCTCTGTTTACGAAAATAAACGATATACAGAGTGAAGTGACAGTCGCTCATGGGCTATTATGTACAATATATCCTATAAAATCTATAATCAATGGTAAACTCGTCCTACAATACACCTCGTCAAGTTATCAGCGTTTGTTATCCATAATAAAGCTGATATATATCTATTTGACCTATCTTTGGATTAAAATATGATATGTATATATGACCATATTCGGGCACTGGACCTTGAACGTCGATTATGGTGGCGCCTCAATACCTAGTGTGTACGTGATTCTTGAAGGTCGTAACAAAAAAGGTAGCATCGAATGTTCGATACCAATTGGTACTACTGAGTTACATTAAAAACGTGTATCACTTTACATTCACTTTGCTTGACTATGAGTCAGAATGGTTTTATCGTCACAGGAGAGTGTCTCCGGTAGCTAACTGAGAAGTGTTATGATTTCGATATGTTAAAAGTGAAACCAATGGTATAGAATGGTCACTTGTGATGTGTAACTCATGCCGTTTTGATGACGGGATGAAAAGATTGTCATTTATGGCAATGTATGGTGGTCAATTTACACTGATCCAATTAACATTGTTAAGTAAAGCGGCCAACTTGTTGAAATTTTTCATATCATTAAAACACAATAGAACACATACATTGGTATAGTTATTGCCATAGAAAGTGAGTTATAATAGTAATAGTCTGACCAAGGGGAAGACCTCCCCATCGTCCATAGAATCCCATCTGGCCCGCCATATTATATGCTAACTAAATAATTTTAATCTTTTTAATCGTAGTTGAAACGTAACGTTCATTCTTGGACGTGGCTAGTGCTATAGGCCAACGACGCGCTGTTGAGGTATCCCGTATTGTCTGAGGGGAGCGCGCGTGGTTTCTGGAACTCGCACGGATATTGTACCGAGCGAGTCAAAAATATCAAAAATGGTGGTTATCAAAGAATCAGACCTTGCACAAGAGGATCTGGATGAAGGTTTGATGGAATGGATATCAGACCATGATGAGCAGCAAGATGAAGAAGATTTTGAACGATTAGCATCTGCAGAAGCAGCCATCAATCTTAGTACCGTATTCCCAACAACGCTGATTGTTACAGGGTTGCCTTTGGTAACATCGGAAAAGTATGATAGGCTTCTAGAGATCATGCGTAAGAAACTGAATAAGGATTTTGATAAAAAAGGGTATAATATACAAAAAGATTTCAAAATTGACATGCCGTGTGATGATGATGGGAATACACGTGGAGTAGCCTTTTTCACATTTGCTAACAGAGCAGAGGCACTAAAGGCACAAAGCCATATCAATATGTCCAAATTTGATGCATCGCATACACTCAAATCGGCATTAATTGATGATTTCGACCGTTTAGTAAGTGATGAAAATAAATGTACGCCAGCATTGAATACATTCGGATTCACAAGACAGGATCTAAGAACATGGCTATTCGAAAGTGACCGTATGCTCGATCAATTTGTTATCCGATATGGTGAAGAAACGGAAATACATTGGTTCGACCCACTAGAACGGGAACCTATACTTTTATACAATGGTGAACGTGAACGAGCCCAAGGAAAGAGAGTTTGGACTGATCAAAAGGTTGAATGGAGTAGAAACGGTTCATACCTTGTATTCTATAGAAGACCTGGTATTGCATTATATGGTGGACCTGAATTCGAACTGAAAGTTAGGTTCGAACATAGAAACGTACAAAAAGTATGGTTCTCACCTGATGAAGAATATATGTTAACATGGGATGGTACTAGTGATGCTGATAAAAATGATAATTGCGTATGTGTATGGCATGTCATTACAGGTGAAAAATTATGCACTTTCCCTGCAAAAGAAATATCAACCATGGGAACAGATACCCTAAGATTCTTGTGGAACCATAATGGCAAGTATATCGCAAGACTTAACCCGTGTGAAGAAGGAAATGAAATACTTGTATATAAACTGCCAGAGATGGAATTATTACCAGATGGAGATGGAAAACCAGCATCTCTGAAGTATTCCGCCGAATGCTTCGATTGGTCACCAACTGATGACATACTCTCCGTAGTTATACCAGGGACACTGGATACACCAGGTAAGTAGACCACATTACCCAATTTTTCTAGCAGACTGTTGAGTGTGATGTACTGTAATAGTACGTTGTAATTTATGTCTGCAATATTGAGTTCTGTATTTTATGTTGGTCGATACACCTAGTAACGGTCAATGATCCGTACAGTACACTCACGATAACCCACATGTGTTTCACAACTCATATTTTTGCAGCGAGGCTATTGTTAATAGACATACCGTCACGCCGTGAACTTAGTGCAAGAAATGTATACAATGTATGCAACTCCTCTATGCACTGGCACCCGAGGGGAGAATGTTTCTGCCTAATGACAACCATATGTCGAAAGACGGGTAAAAAAGGAAGGAAACAGTTCTACCAATTGGATATCTTCCGTCTAAGAGAAAAGTATATACCAGTGGACACCATAAAGATAGAAGATGCAACCGTGAAGAATCTATATTGGGAAGAAGGCGGCAACAAGAGGTTTGCACTAGTTGTGAAAGATGAAGAAATGAGCACATGCTCAATCAGATTCTATCGTGTGTCTGACGAAGGGACTACCAGGGATACCGTTTGTGTAGCTACTTATGATTTGCAGTCACAAATCAACCATATACAATGGTCACCAAGCGGTAACTATTTCATACTCGCAGCAATGTCAGGGGACGGTACACTACTCTTCTGCCTATTGAACGATAGCGACAAGGTGGAAGTGTTGTACAAGGATGAGCATTTCATGATGAATTCTGTGAAATGGAGCCCCTGCGGTCGGTACCTCGCAACATCCGTCAACGTGCCAATGCCATCACAGCATATGGCGCCAAGCCATGATACTTTCAGGTACTCTGCCGAAGCGGGTTTCTGTATTTGGACGTTCCAAGGGCGCAGGTTATATGTATCGAGGCGTGAGAACTTCTACAGCTTTGAATTCAGGCCAACACCTCCACCGATGCTAGAGCCAGAGGTCATTGACAAGATCAAGAAGAACCTGAAGGAATACAGCCGTCGATATGACATAATGGATGAAAAGGCACGGGAAGAATTCGAACAGCAGTACCTGGCTAAGCGCAAGGTGACTGAAGATGCGTTCTTCAACCAAGCTAACAGACTTATGGACTGGTTAATTAAGCAGGTATGTTATACACTTCATATTGATAAATGTTGTATAGGATCGTTACCTTGAGTTTAAGCAAGGCTGGGATGAATTTTTCGATGATAGTAATTGGGAGCTCTCCCATGATATATACGAGGAGGTCCTCGAAGTTAAAGAAGAAATATTAGATTAGTCTTCAGTGTGCAAACCGTTGAATCACCCATTCATCCATAAATTTATGGAGTCTGTGCGCTGGTGCTGGAGGCTCGCCTAAGGTCACTTTTATGTTAATCATATAGAACCTACCCGATGTACAGAGGTACTTGGCACCGTCCACAATCTCCTCAATAGATGTCACCAGTCGTAAATTCTGATCATATATACGTCGTACTGGTCCTGCTATTAACGGCAGTTCCTTTGAGATATAGAAGAACAGCATGTCCACGTTTTTGATAAATGGTCTAACATAGAATGCTATCCCGTCGTGATACTTATCACCGTTGCGATATAGCCACATCAATTTGGGTGTTGCGATTTGTACCCCAAACTTCTGAACACCCAATGTCCCATAAGGAATGACTGTCTTATGAGGGCGTCTGATGACCGTAGAGTATACTTCGTGGATCCTGGAAGTGGATTCAGTATTACCATCAAAGATGTAAACTTCTTCACGACCAGCTAGGCCACGACCGTTGCCGTTTTCATCAAACCTATGCCGATGTGCGCCTGTAAAGAAACGATGATCTGTGAGACGTTCAAACACATCGCGTGGTTTTAAAAAAGGTGCACGTTCATGACGATGTGACCTTGGGAACGTCTGTCTCAATCTCGGTATTTCTATATGTATAGGGTAATCTTCTGCGTCGTTATCGTAAAAGTTCACACGCTGTGACCTTGAGGTTGCCGTTGGAGTCTTTGAATCTTCATAACGGGGCATGTGGAGAGGAATACGTTCGGGCGCCTTAATGGGCAACTCGGCATCCTCGTAACCCGTAGCATACTAACACATTGTCAATATGTCGTCATATTTATACTTACGCCGCATGATGACGGGATGAAATGGTCAGCCTCCAAAAAATCCAGGAACTTAGCCATGGATGGAACCGACGTGCAACAACAACGACCACTTTAAAATAATATTACCTCAATGGCGTTATTTTTGCCTTCTAGGCATTAACTACATTTTTTTAATAAACACATTTGTATATTTAAACTCGCGTGCAGCATTAAAATGTGCGATGCAGCAAAGTGCATCGGTAATCATAACGACACACCGCGGGAAACGATAAAACTTAAAAAACCATTATGATGTTCAATGTTTTATAATAAAACCTTAGCTACGTTCCTGTTTCCGCAAAGAATTTAATATGCGGTGATAAAACTTAGTAACCGGGTCCGCGAAAAATGCAGGAGGAGGAATGTTATCAGCAGGAAATGATGCTGGCTCCTCACCACCCAAGTCGTGGACTATCAAACGGTACATCTTAGACTTCTCCTTAGCCTCAATGTACCCATACTTTGATATGTTGAAGTAACGGTTACGGTTTATACCCTTTGAAGGAATCCAATGAGATACACGCCAACATGTACGCGATTTCTCATAAGTGTGACCACAATATTCCGATTCAGTATACGCCTTCACAATCTCGCGCCAGTGCTCAACGCGCTGCCTTATAGCCTCCTTCTTCACGTCCTGCATCATTGAAGGATTGCTAACAGGGAAACGCTTAATAGTCAGAGTGTTGGTAGCACGATCCAAATACTCGAAACACCAGCAATTAGCCTCATCGTCCCAAATAACCTCGGGATCGTCAGGCACCTGGTGTTTATCCAAATCAGCAGATGAATCGCCACCAGACATGGATGTATAACCTGCACGATTCTGCCGGCCAGCACGCTGAGCTTCAGCTAGGCGTTTAGGATCTGCATCAAATGATGATGTAGCACGAATAGAATTGTATAGTTGCATAGCACGCATCTTGCTCACCCAGAATCGCTCAGCTAACTCCTTGGCACCGTCAGAACCGTACATACTAACCAAAAATGACTTACGCCACATTCTACCATTGCAATCCCAAAATACTAACCAACGACCACCTTGAGAAAAAGGGCCTTTATCATATACTATACCACCATTGCATTCACGGGTACCAGCTGAAGGCTCAGAATCTTGTTTCAAACGTAACTTCTGACGATACTTCTCCAAAGTTGATGCGTAGCCGCTGGGGTAAGGGGGATGCCCTTTAAACGACTGAGTAACTGGATGCGGCTTTGGCATTGGTGTCATACCACGAGCCGCTCCAATATGGCCAACTTCCCCGTCAAGTTGTGCAAACACGTGGTTTACAGCATCCTTGTGTGGTGGGAACCGAAACATTTGTGGAACTGCAACATCAGGCATCCGATGTTGTTGCGGTGCCATACCATAGTTCACTACGTTGGGTGTAAAGGCATTGGTGTATGCCGATGCCGCAGGGTAACGCATATGTGGCATGCTCCGCATGGGCTTCACTGTAGGAGCGCTATCAAGGTCATGCTGCATAATGCGTTGAAGTTGTTGGCCCTCATCAAGTTTCATAGGCATAGTGTTCGTCAATTGATCATGCGATGGTATTTGCACCCTTAATCCCGGGTGTAATGCCAATGTGTCAAAGACACCTTCTTCACTCTTCACCAAATTTTGACCTGGATGAGGAAATCTTGGTAAAGGGATATTTAGATCACTTGGTCTTTTTGCTGCCGCACCACCCATAGGGGTCATGTACGGGGATTCGTATACGAATCCCCCCGGGCCATGGACCAAACCTTGATTTGGAATATTAGGGTTAATGGGCATCTTGCCGTCTTCCATTGAAATAATATTTCGTCGAGAAAACGTTGATAGAATTATCACTCAAAAAATTGATTTCACATTACAATTGTGAAATCTCGTGATGTCAACAAATTTACAAGGTAGATTTCACCTTGCAAGACAATTGTTGATGACAATAACGATAATGAACTGTCCTGTTCAAATTTACCTCAGACTTAGCATTTGATGTAATAGTTGCATTCCTAGTAGTGGCAAATCCAGATAGTCATGGAATCATCTAGCTCGCTTGATGACTTGTCCTTGTTGATAGTTTGTCCTAAAACTCAATAATACATCAATCTGTCCACTTAGATCAAACGTTTTCGTTGTACCAAACTGCTATATCGGTTTGGTGCAATATACGTAGTGCCTCTCAATATACTATATTGCAGGCAGATTGCACATGCCAAAAGGTCCAAGTCCAACCGTTCCCAGATGACATTGACAACCTATAGTCGACTTCAATGGTCCACGAAGATTCCAAATACACAGTGTTAAGGAATAGCTCCAGTGTGACGGTTAATCACACCAGAATAACCTATAACGAAATTTATACGGTCAACTCTATGCTATGACGCAGCGCGCACACCATGAAAACCCTTAGTAGGTGGTATACTACGAGTAGTATTGTAGGAATGATGATGATTATATATATTGATAATAAGAGCTACTATTAAAATTTCTCGACAAGTCAAAACGACTGTCTCTATATCTATAAAGCTATACTGCTAACAGTAACCCGCCATTATTTATTGGGGTCTATGTGTATAGCTAGGCCATTTTCAGTTATTCTCATACCGACATATCGCAACTGTAAGATTGTTAAAAAAACAAAAACTTAATCACAATGAATTTCGGGTACAAAGTAGACCTCAATATACTAGTGGCATAAACTCAACGTGACACACGGACGTTGTGAAGGAGCACACGCATGGCGTCCGCAATCAAGAGTGTCGTGATACGAATAGTTAAAAACCTGGGATGAGAGCTAGTAAAATCATCGTATTAACTGAGATTATCTAGATTTTCTAAGAAAATGTAACCTAAAGAATACGAATATAGATGAAATTTTGTATATATAGAACCCGACACCGCGTTAATATGACGCTTCTATAGATATTAACGAAAGAATATACGCTATTATGGTCATTCTAGACAGTTTATTTAGGAATCCACACAAGTGTGAGCGAAGGTGCACGCACACCGGCGGTGACCAAAATTAGATCATCAAATCTAACGCAAACCCAACAAAGGCTCGACATAATGATTACAACATAGATGGCCTATATTTATTAGCTAGCACACCGTTATGTGCAGCAAAACCTGTTCCACCAGGTATTAAGGCTATAAATTGACCATCCACACCAGGGTCGTACACTTGCACGTAACGACGAAGTATCAGCTTCCCAGTAGTGCGGTCAAGTAGTACATTGTGGTGCAAAATAGGCTGATGTGAAACTGAACACAGCCATGAAACACCGTTTTCAGAATCTCTATCAATATCTGGGTTTATGTCCACCAGATCCTTGACTCTCAGCGGCTTACCAGAGATAGGGCACTTCAAGCCTTTTTTGGGCCTGGAACAATGCGATGACGCTTTATCAACACTTTTGTCACCAGGGCGCCTTTCCGGGGCACCAGCTACCCAAAAGTTACTGTCTGAGAGTGCAGAAATACTACTACAACTATCAGTAGATAAATCCACTGCCCTCGACTTGCTACCCCGAACAGAACTTATCCCAAAGACACCATTTTCAATCAAATGACGTTTCTTACATTCACGTGATAACTCACGCTCTTCAGCTTTACGTAACTCACTATCAGCTAAGTGACATTTCCACTGCTCGATCTCTTTCTTCTGCTCGTCAAGTTGACGTGCACAGCACTTCAGGATGCATTCCTTGCAAAACACATAACCAGCAGGAGTGCAAACGGGCTTCACGGCAGTAGACAGACATAACCAACATTGTTCACATTTACGCATGGAATCTGCTCCAAGGCGTTGACGAAGCGGATTGAAATCACGAACATTCTGACGCTCATGATACGTGAAGATGGGATTCGAAGTATTGTTCTTGCTATGACGAGTCATCCCACAATACTACAACAGCTACATATATGAAGATCGCGCGCGATCGAATATTGTAATCCTAGATTATAGCATCCACCGCGATGGACACACCTTCTATAATTAATCAAGTCATAACTCGAAATACAAGACTAGAGCCCATTATATACACCTTTAAATCAGAAACACGATACTATTTGGTGATATAGGCGCTGGCGTCAGGGGTACGCGACACTCATAGAACAGCACTGGCACCACTCAACACACACATTACAATTTTTTTACATTAGTAAAACATGAGGAACCCTGTTGTAAGAGATAGCGACGAATGGAATACTATCGAGTTTGCCCTGAGACTCAGATGTAGGACCTCTAGAGTTAACCTTTTACAAGCATGGAATACCACACAACCGGATGCCGTTTCGGTATTCAGCAGATGGGTACAGGTATGTAAAGAACGTGAAATAAGGGATTTAGCCACAAATAGAACTCTAGACAATAAGCATCATATATGATACATAAAATCAATATACACATTATTGTACAGAGTGCCCCTATTATTGAAGTATTTATTAATGCTGAAACGTTAGATCGAAACAATACAGTACAAGATGTATGCACCAGGGGACTGTATATAGGATCCAATGGCTTCAAACTTAGTATAGGAAATATACAGTAAGTCGAATGATACTATATCATCTATTTACTTTGCAAAACAGATGCACAAGCCTACCACTGCTGAGATCGACTATACGTGATGGCGCAAATGCGGAGGCACAAAGTGGTATGTCAAGGTCATGCAGATACAATTCATACAGGTGGACTTGATGACCAGGGGAAGCTCTTGCCACCCAAGAACGCAACAACAGCCAATGTCATGTACGGAGATAAAAGGGTATACGAATACTTTGTATGTGATGTTGGTATGTCAAATATAATGCAAACAGTAACATACACTCAGCACTGGGAAAATCCATAGCAGCATCCGATGAAGTCGAAGCCCAGAGACTTAGACTCTCCATGCCAGTGGAGTATGATAGTGTATATCTGCAAAACAGCAATGATCAGAAGTTTCTAGATGTTACAGTACTACCCAGACAACCGGATCAAACAGTATCGGTAGACCACTTACAGGATGATGTCTTCTCAAAAGGGGTATTGCCAAAACTTGCATTCAAAAGGGAATACATCGTATACGGAGCATCACAGATATTGCCAAAATATCTTATACAGTTTGAATGCGATGCTGCAGCGGAGGAAACTTTCGCACTCCCACTGTGTGACAGCTGCCAAAATGATGCCGCCACACTATACTGCTCATCAGATGACGCTAAAATATGCATGAAATGTGATGAAAAACTACATTCACACAAAGTTGTATCCAGACATATAAGAGTCCCATTAAATAAGGTAGGCATATATCCAGACACATTCAATAACCCATACAGATGCCGAGACCTGTGGCACGATGCAGGCTACATCCATCAAAGGTATACACGATGTACTGTACAGTCTGCCACCTACCGGTCTGTCAGTTATGTACATCTGGACACATACATGGAAAGGGGTGTGATGATGAGGGCGCGGCACATTTTATACCTATCGCAAATGCATATGATGCGGCTATATATGAAATGCAACAACAGTCAAGTGAAACTATAGAACAACGACGACAGCATCTCAACGCACTAATACAACAGTTAAACATCATTGAAAAGGCCGTGGAAGAAAATTGCGAACGTGTGGAGGCCAATTGTTACGAGAATCTGGAAACAACACTTAAGGAGTTACATTCTACTATACAGAACTCGCTGGAGATCATTGTCGCAGAACAAACGGAAAATAAACGACAGCTGAACCAGCTGGAATGGGCAGAAAATTTTGCAGAATATATCAAAAATACATTACTACCAGCAGATTATCTACGGGCATGGCTAAGACATTGTAAATTACGCAATCAAATGGATCCCAAACTGTCAAAAGAACAAATGCAAGAGATATTCCCAGATATAGATCTACAAGGGGAACTTGCTATCATGCACGAACAATCGAGGCAACATGACCATACATAGGCCCATGACCAGAATGGCATACCAATTCAAATCGCAATATATTACCTAGGAATAATACGGCCAAACATATATCAATGTATAACACTATCAAGTCACATGAACAAATTAGTTTTGAGATGTGTTCTATATCGCCCCCAATGACGGGGATTAACGCCTGTTCGGCGGGAATCGAATATTTTTTTCTGCGAAAAAAGCATATCATGCAAAAACCGCTCGAACATAACCAGGATAAAACTCCATTAAATAAATTTAATGCAGTAATTAAGGTTATCAAGCTTCCATCTCCTGGGCCATCGCAGCGGCATCCTTCTGCAAGAAGGGTTCCGACGATTGGTGACCCAAAGAAGCAGGAGAGTCACGGGCATACTGAAGGTTCCTAATAACATCAACGGCGCCGAGGAAACGGCCAACAATGACGAAAATAGTTGCCAATATTACCTGCCATGAAGGACTCTGCCTAAAGGAACCAATGATAAACAAAAGAGCCACAGCAATAAGCTCCAACATACGCCATGGAGCTTGACCCGTTTGTCTGATCAAGCGGTTAGAAACGACGTTCTTTACAAATGGTAAAGCACCAACAGCAACGAAACAACCCCAAACTTGCCATGTCTTTGCAGAAGTTATGTCCCATGGAAGAGTGTTGATGAGCACCTTAAGCTCACCGTTAATCAACCATACAAATGGCAAAATCATAGCTCCGAGAAGATGTTGGTGGTTATGCAAAGCGTTACCACGACCTCCGACAATGTGAAGAGCACGCTCCATGAAACCAGCACGGAACACAGCTGCTAGGAATGCATAGAGGAAAGCAACTGTCATGATGTTTCCAGGGGCGATGTGTTTGTCAGTAGCACCAAGAACGAAAGCCAACAACAAGAAACCGATAGCCTTCCATCTCATAGGCATGTATTCCTCACCACAAGCAATAAAACGAGCAGCGTGGTGGGCAGCTACAGCACCTGATGCAAGGATGGGAAAGGCAGCAGTTGAAGGGGCCTTGCAGAGCATAATGTTGGTAGAGCAAAGCATAGCAACATAAGCGACAGTTGGCATAGCAAGGGTCTTCAACAAGTTCATCTCGATCTTCACAGCAGGGAAGTAAGCCAACTTAGGGTATATCAAACCAAAGTCACCCAAGAGGTATGCAGTGATAAGACCCTGAGTCAGTTGCCACCATGTGATGAATACAGGAGCTGGAAGAACAGCAACAAACAGTGTGTGTACCACGTAAACATTGCACAGGGTAAGCAACACAAACAAAGCTTCCACAGTGATGAGACTGGGATTCGTGAAGTAAGGCTTCAACTCATCCCAGCTCTTGAATAGTTTCAGGTCCTCGAAATCCATATTGACGATACAAAGTGGGACCCTGCAAAAATATATGAATGCAGGCACAGGGCGTAGGTCACAATCACGATCTCCTCAGCAGAAGGCCTGTATCACATTAGAATAATTAAATATATGGAAGTTGAAATATCATAAAATGAACAAAACACTCGACACTATAAGATGCGCACAAAAATTTTAAACGCGACACCCCTCCATGTGGTAACATAAGCAGGTCTCGTATGAAACATACCTGGAGTCGCAAAGAATATTGTGGAATAAGACCGAAGACACAATTAATGCAATTCTTTGGCCCTTCCTGCAAAAAAACTAAGATGTAGCACGATGTAACAATGCGGCGGAGGAGGCGGGTCATATCCCCGTCGTGGCACACACACGTTGCACACCACGTGCGAATTGACACAAAATCAATCAGTATCTTACCAACGAATCTAGTGCCATCATAGGACCAATTTACAACCCGTCGACCACAGAATTTATATATATGGTATACCGCAGCAGCTCAACGATGATCAACAACGAAGCAATAGCGTTAGAACCTTAAGAAGCACGCCAACCTATGCGAAAATAACATACGAAATAGATGCATGACGAACATAGACGTGGTACAGCCATCTTCACAATTCGAATCTAACATGTACCGAGATTATCAGTAGCAGCGGTAATGCCATACAAAAGACACATATATTTGTTATTATATATAAATAATGTAATATATATAACATTTTCAGCAATATTAATCTGAAATTTATATCAAGTTATCAACCTTCTGGCCGATTTTTAGCCTCCCATTCTGAAGGGGTGAGACACTGCATGGTGAACGCGTGTATTCTTGGCATCTCATCAGACATCGCACTGTTAACAAGACGGTGACGGTCTAGTAATTTTTTACCATCAAATTGATGTGATACTATATAAGCGTGAAACGCTGCGCCACAACCTCCAGAATTGTCAACAACTTTCAAAAATATAGGCGCGAACAAACTCATCAAACGCTCTTCAACAACTGCTTTTGTAATCATTTTAACAAAGTGAAATTATGTCAATTATTAAACACGCCCTCTGCAACTTCACCCAACCGTAACTGATTGGGAAGCTCGGTCTCAGAACCCACCGTGTCAAAGATTTGCTTCACACGACTTGTCAAACGAGCACCAATTGTATCCCAGTTATCAGGCTCTCTTGATATATCCGTGGGCATAACATCTCTCGGAGTTACCGCAGGGCTATCAACATAGTCCTGTAACCTGAAATTCAAAGCAGAACCATAGGCCCTTGGGTCATTACAACGCAGCTCCAAAATTTGACGCACATCATCAACATGAATCAATGCTTCCAAAAATGGCATCACATCCAGCAAGGCAGTATCAGATTGACCGCCGAACCAGTTGTCTATTGGTACCACATTGGGTAAAAACTGAAATCCCTCGTGCAAAGGGTTGTGCAGTAAGACAACCTTAGACATGTCACTACTGACCTTAGACAAATCCTTTATATAACTACCGTCACTGCCGACGGAACAATCGTTGCGATAAAGTTTACGATCAAATAAATGGTTCACGCATGCGTCGTTCAGACAAGCATCGACATAAGACTGCTTAGATGTACTGTATAACACAATCTCGTATATCTTACGCATCTCCATGAGGAATGTGTCCAAATGAGGACGCTTATATACCACAAAATTAAGGACACGCTTACCCATAGTAAGCGCCACAGATGACGTAGTATTGTTACCCTGAGAAAATAGTAAGATCAAAAGTAACACTCATATCAACAACAAAAAAAGAAGCAATCTACCAAACATATACATCCTTCATAAGGAAATTAACAAACTTATACACGTACCGGAGTCCTCACGGAATGAAGAATTGTGTCATCGAGGTCGAGAACTAGAGTATACGCTGGTTTCACACGCTTAGCAAAGAGCTCATCGTAAGATGTCTGACTTTTGAACAGTTGAAACTCAACCAATTTTACAATTATATAAGTAACGCCAGCGCCAATCACATAGTAGTTCACCTCGACAAACACCGCGAAAGCGCTAGAAACGTAATCAAAGAGTCCCATTACACCTAAATATACGAAAACACCATCAAACACACATACAAAGGTAATAATATCATTCGAAAATCATTACAGAACACAGACGACATAAAACGTGTGTGCGCAGAAAACGCGAGACGCAACAACAATACTCAAAACACAAAATACACATCAGCATCAATCCAAACACATTTACACCTATTCGAAACAAAATCAATATAAAATATATTATTAAATATTGTTTTTATATCAAAAAAGTAAATAAGAACATCAAATCGCAAGCTCACCTGACGATTTGAACCTCAGGAAAAGAGTGCTGCCACTCTCAATACTCTTACCGATGTTACTACCTAATACATCCTTAGTAGCAGGATGAGACTCGTCGAATAACAACTCAGCAGAAATGTTGTTACCAGCCTCTTTACGAAGCAAATACGCGGCCTTCACATCCATCCCTTGCACCTTGTAATGGTCGCGGTAACCCTCAATAGCCTTCTCCAGAGTTAGACGACGGTATACAGCGTCTGGTGGGTTCCAGGGGTTCTTGAACTCTTGAATCTCACAATCCTGAGGATAGTCAGCAGCCATTATAGGCATAACAACAGGATCGTGGTTCTTCAATGGAACAAAGAATCGACGACTCTCAGATACCAATTGAACAGATATAGATGCGATATCAGACATGTCTTCAGACTTTAAGAACTTAGATAACAAATCAGTTATCTTAGAACCGTTCTCCGTGTCGCCCTTCAACATAGAACCCTTCACCAAAATCTCCAATTTATGACCTCCATGAAGACCTACAACAAACTTCACATTACGATCATGCTCTTGAATAGCCTTAGATATCACACCAACATCACGTAATAACGTATCCGGTGTTATAGTACCAGCATTAAGCGATCTGCGACGTCCTTCAGAACCAGACTGTTTCGGTACTCCTTCTGAAGCAACGCCCTCAGAGTTCTTCTCGTTCATAGCCTTAGGGGGGCCTTTTTTCACAGGAGATGATGAAGCGCTCTCTTTAGGTAAAACCTCCTCAGGCAACTCATCAGGAAGACCACCAAAAGGTGCCGTGTTGAAATGAATATTCGTAATCTGATCAGCTTCTGATTGCGATAATCCCCATAAGGCAACGGTCTTAAAGCTCAAACCGCCATTCAAAGCGTGTAAAAACTCACGGTTAGGAACAACGAACTCTTTCGTGTTACCGTTGGAAAGACTAACAGAAACTGTGACATCCTGCTCAGGATGCTCCTTCAAAACAGTAGCAACATCAACAATAGATTTATGCTTGCTTATAGGATCATCCAAATTGAAACCCTCATCAGATGTGCCATTGTTCACGCTGTATTGCTGGTGACCCTGGAGCACATGGGACAGGGTCGACAGAATAATCTTCAAACAGTCCACGCCACCAAGATGTTCTTGAGGGATACCCATACGAAGAAGAAGGTCTACCACGTTAGGGTGAGATTTCAACAATTTACGGAACTTCTCAGTGTCAACCTCCACAAACTCACGGAAACCCTTACCCTCCATGTCAAAGAAAATATGACTGTTCGGCTTGGATTTCAAAAAGTCAAGAGCACCGCCACTCAAATCAACATCTGAAGAAAAGTCAACGTTCTTAGAACTATCCACATTGTTGTCCAAATCCACTTCAAACTTTATAGGCGAACGGTGGTCACCGCTCTCACCACCCAAAAGACTATCGAAGTACAATGTGAACGAATGCGAGTGGTTCAAGTCACGAATACCACAACTAGATAAAATATCCTGCATAGAAACAGATGTCAACAAACGATCAAGACTAGGAAGGTCACAAGTCTTCTCTATACCGTCAATGACAACCTTGAATCGTGCTCCAGCAAGTGAATGAAGATCCACATTATTCGCACCAATCTTTGCAAACACATCACGTAATGGCTCTTGCAAGTCACTTATGTTAGCACTGCTATTGAAACCGTCACGCGACAAGATGTTAACCGTAACAGCGCCAGAAGGATTCATATCCTTAGGAGAGTTAACCAGAGATACAACAAATCCTAATTTACGTAACTCATTCATAGGCTTGTTAAGAAGATTCAACGGAATACGGTCTTCATCAAGCATAGATTTGGGACCAACCAAGGTCAAACGCTTGTTTTCCATGTCAGGGATACGATTGCGAAGCAAAGTGAGATACGATGAAAGAGGTTTATCCGTCGCAGGTAAGTGGAAGGTACGAATAGTACCAGGCAGACTACCACTTGGATCCGGACGAACGTTAATAGAAACGTTACCATTCAAGTAACCAGATGGATAGTTGAGGTCATCCATAGGAATATCATTCATATTGTAACGATGACCATTCGTGTTGATCTGGACATTTATAGGTACGCCAGGATCAGAACGGTCTTCATCCATCACAATCTCATGCACGTAATCGTTCAAACTCTTGCGGTTGTCCATATTGATGTTCGGGCCGTTGTACTGTTGTGGCATGTTGACGAAAACGTTAGGGTGGACGTTAGAAAACTCAGATGATGGATGTAAAATATGAGTGGTAGGAGACATCAATGGAGAAAAACCAGCACCAGATGTACCTTGCACATTCACATTTACACCACCTTTAACACCCTCCTCTTTACCTTTACCCTTATCGCCATCTGCCAACAAAGCAGCATAGTCCCTGTCTACAGCAAAATCGTGAAGAGTAATGTCAAAATGACGTGAATGGATGCCATCCACACCACAGCTTTCCAATAAATCAGAGAGGAAAAATGGAGTAGTGATATCGTCCAGGTGACAATTGCCGGGCATACCGTTGATCATAATACCCCATTGAACATTAGGTAAACCTGTAGCTGTGTACTTCTTAGTAAGCTTGTCTATCACAGCTTGCGGGATGGCATCACCAGGCTTGAGATGCAACTGCTGGACGTTGTCATAGTCACCACAGATGCAGTTCAAGTTAATCTCAGGATCACCACGACCGCTCTCGTAACCAACGTTAAAGTCAATCAACGGATTGTTCTGAACGTTCTCAATGTTCACACACGAACGAGTGAACTCTTCGAAAGTCATACGCTCAAGGTCAGGAAGGCTCTTGATGTTGCATTGATGCTTCTGACCGTTGATAGACACCGTCACGTTATAACCATTCAATTTAGATAACTTGTTACCGTGCATAGCCTTCAAATTCAATATCATCTGACGTTTAATCGCATCGAAATTGTTACGGTAGTCATTAGCTGGGTAAGACATACCAGTCTTCCAACCGCCAGCGGAATTGTATGGGTCAGCAGTGTCTTCAATATTGAACACAATGTTACTCATTGGCGTATGAGGGAAGATACTAGACAACGACATATCAGATGGCAAGTGGTTAAGCTTGAACGTGCGTTCTACAGATTCACTTCCAGGATTCTCACCCTTTACACGCAACAAATAACGATCCATGTGGTTACGGTCAAGGTCAGGTTGGTTTACCAAAAAGTCATGAAGCGGAGCACGAAGGTCTTCGTCATAATGGATCGAAGAATATTCGTCATCATCCTTATACATCATCTCGACAGGTACACTACCGCCCATACCAGCACCAGAAGAGTAAGTCATATCCTCACCGAATGGGATGGTCAAGCGGAAGTGGTAGTACGTGTTAGCCTCAGGGATTCCAATAGGAATACCACACATCTGGAAGATCACCTGTAAAGGTACCTTCTGGAAATCAGACAAATTCTTCATCTTTCCATTACGGCTGCAAGGCGATATCTCTCCGTTGCGGACAACAGATAGACGAACATCAGTAATGTGAGATATAGTGTCACCAAACATAGCCAAAAGTTTCCCGTTAAAGTCCTTCAATGGAGATTTCAGAGAACCCAAGGTTATTGGCACTGTGGAAGATACACCAACATCGTGAGGTCCTTTGTGCAGTGTGAAGTGGCACAAAGGCGTACCATCATTTGACACGGGAGAACGACGAGAATCACCGCCCTTAGATTTTTCAGAACCAGGTTCCAAGTGAATCTTGAATACACTAGGTTGAGCCTTTCGAGAATCCATATTACACATCGAAAGCAACATGTCAAGAGTCAAGTTGCGGACGAAATATGCCTCACGTAATGATGAAACTGAACATTTCATAGGCTTGTCATCGATCATTATAGTCACGTGGTCCAACTCATCCTCAGGAAGATCCATCAAAAAGTTGCGAAGCTGACGATTCAAATTGCTAGTGCTATCTTTGTTCTCATCTAAAGTAATGGAAGTATGCAGCTCCATCTTCTCATCGGGGTTCACCGCAAAGACACGGCCAGGGCTCTGAGAGCGCCCTTGTTCCCTAGGATGAACTCTCAATTCTTTACACATACCCAAGGCACTCAACGGTAAATCGAGGATACCTTCTACATGGATACGCTCGCCCTTCTCATTCAAACATTCAACGCCGTAAGCATGTAACGGAGATAAACCGAAGTCACCTGGCTCATCTGATGCACGTTCGAAATATGAACGTAAAGTCTCGTTGTACTTCGGTTGAATTTTCACGTTCATCAAAGGTACGGAACCGTGCTTAGCATCGTTAGAAACACCGAATTCAACCTTCAAAGGGATGCTCTTGTCATTCATCTTATTCAAGAAATAAGAAAGTGGCTGACCAGTGTAGTTCTCGCCGTTAATAGTCATGCCGTCCATTTGTGAACCGTCGTCAACGCCGCGGAAGTACTTGTTGATAACATGCCGTAACTCGGAAGGACCCAAGTCATCAGTTGTCACTACATGAGATTCCGGCTCATCGCCACGTTTGTTCAACGATAAACGGATACGTTGCTGATTACCGTTCAATTTCTGCTGCTCTTTCTGCTGCTCTTGGTGGGTCATTAGTGAAAATACCAATGAAGCAACGTGCGATAACTTGGTACCGTACAAATGCTCGACCATCGCAACAGGATCACTCAACTTAATATCAGGAGTAGCAACACGCTGACCACCAACCAAAATAACACTGTCAAGCTTCATAGTAGATGTAAAGTTGCTGTTCTTACGCGGAAGTGACTCAATGGATTCGTGTAGCTCACGGTTATCAGAACGGATGGCACCGCGCAAAACCTCAGATAATTGTTGAATGTTCATCCTAGCCAAAATCTCAACAGGTACACCACGACACACGTCACCCGCACGACTGAAACAAAACTTGTGCTCGTTACCACTCATCGGGTCCCTCCATGACAGGGTCAAAGGGTGATCGGATACACCAATACGTACCTTGCGAATGTTGTCATAGATGTCATGAGATTTGAAGTCATCGTCACTGTAAGGAACACCGCCTTCATTAATGATCAATGTAGACACGTCATTGATGTGGTTAGGATTATCACGGAAACGGGGTTCAAGTACAGGATCACGCATCAAGTTACGACGAATTGCACGCTCAAGCTCGTCACGAGATTCATGTGGATGAATCTTAATCGAGATCTTGGTCGGAAAGTCGTCAATAACACCACCGATATCGATACGACGAGCGGGTTCCACATTGAATTCCATGTCTTTATTAAACTCGCCATCCCAAAGACCACCCAAACCATCATCGTCCCTACCTTTCATACGAATATACATCTCATGAGGACGGTCACCATACTTACGACGCTCAATCTCATCAGCAATCAAATCTTCCATTTGCTGCTCAGTGGCACCGTATGGTATGTGGACCGTGAAACGATGCACTTTACCATCATCATTCGTGAAACTTATAGGGATCTCGTAACGCGAATCTGCCTCTGCAGCCATACCACGCAGTTTAGTACCAGTTGGGAAATGTCCTTCATCATCGGGGTTCACAAACAAATTCATACGAATCTTATGCTTGCCGTCCAAAGGGTGAAACCGAAGCGACGTGTGAAGAGTCTCCTCGGGTTTCAAAAGGTTACGCAAATGTAACTCCTTCTCAAAAGCATCACGAATGTCGGCAGCAGAAGGACGAGTTGTAGGAAGGTTAATATCAAAAGTGTCGTGCTTACCACCAGATTCGGTAAAGTAACCCATCAGGTGAGGATGCGCTGACAAGTTCAAATGGGAAACGTGACCCAACATCTGCTCCTTAGGAATATCAGCAAGCTTAGATATGGGAGTATTATCAGACAAGCTACCACCGTCAGAACGGATAACGTTCACAAAAGTCAAGTCTTCAGGAGCAACCATGTAACCCTCTTTCTCAAATTCACGGACAATCGCATCCTTCAATGTTGACAGATCTGCGTCGTTCACATACTTAACAGTTAAACGGTGAGGCTTAGTGCGGGAACCATCAGGGTTGGTCAATTCAACATCGAAAACATAGTTGGCAGGCTTGTTGTTGAGATAGAAGAAGTTGATGATGTGTGTACGACGGTTGAAACATGTCTCGCTGAATGGTAGTTGTGCAATTGTCAAATTCTTCCGAAGCTTCATCATATTATACACATCACCTTCCTCAAGAGGACAACCAGGCAATGCATATGCATATAAACGGTATGCGTTCTTATCCTTTCCACCACGGTTCTTTTTCACTAGGTCACGACCCTTGTTAATCACAGTAGAAACCAATGTGTGGACGGGGAATGACATAGTACCAACGTCAGTATCAAGATAATGAAAACGGACAGTAACATCCGGCATAAACGTCAACTTCTCGTCAATCTCAACAGGCATCTTGTATGGACGCCTACCGTTGAAACCTTTAGAACCCTCATGAAGGTCATTTATACCAACAAGTGTGAAACCGTTGGCATCTTCACCAAGGTTATCATTAGCCATCTGCATGAGACGCTTAGTGTCCTTGAGCATCTTCATGTAGTCGTTGATGGAAATGTTACCAACTTCCTTGTTAAAGTTCTCGGCAGTAGACGAGTAAGGCTCCTGCACATTGGCTTTCACACGAATCATAGGCTCAACTGTAAGCTTTACAGTGTCACCACCACGCTCAACATGCTTCATTATTGCCTGGTATGTAGCGTCATCATCAGGATAACGGTGGCCGTTAACCTTGGCAATTCTTATCTTATGGTCAAGGTCTATACCGAGAGCCAACAGAATAGAATGACGTAGCTGATCCAAGTTCTCAAAATCACGGCGGAAATAGTAACCATCAGTGTTGAGGTAAATCCTCTGAACACGGTCCTTTGTCAAACCAGTAACTTCAACAGCAATAGGGATTTGCCCAGTGTAACCCACGGCAGGCAGCTTACTTTTGCACTCAAACTTTATCTCACCGCTGCTCTTATCACTGTCTTTTACGGTGGGTACCCATTTCACGTCACACTTGGCGGTGTGACGCTGGTTAAGAGTACTCAACAAAGACATCGTATACTCGTCATCTTGGTTCATGGTGAAACGACCGAGGATAATCCCATTGGCATCACGAACATCCAGGTGGTTATCAGCCAAGTATAGAGAAACGTTCCGGAATGTAAATTTCTTACGAGGTTTGAACTATAGCAAGATATATCAGCATGTTGTTAACAACCTACCATATTCTTAACCAACGCCTTCAAATCGGCTGCAATCGTCGAAATAGTAGCAGAACCCCCGGTATGGCCTCTAGGAGGAGGACCCTGGTGTCGTTCATGGACCATGCCAGCACCGCGTGGCATGCGCTCCTGCTGGGCCAGAGGATGGGCAGCCTCTACAAGTCGAGGAGTCCCACTAGCGACTTCCATGAAGCTTGTAGGAAGTTCAGAATCGTCAACATTCTCGTACAACTCGAGGAAACCTTCCATACTACCCTTTAACCCAGTGACTGAAATACATGAATCAGTGGAATGAAGAACTCACATCTAAATCCTGGCTTGACATCCTCGCCATTGTCTATAAGATCTTCGTCAGCCAAGTTCAGCTGAGCGTCAAAAGAACTTATCTCACCATTGTTACTAGAAGCTACAGCAGTAGCAACCGTCGATGCGCATGCTGCGCCATATATCAGTGCAAGAACCCAACCGAAACGACGATATCTTGACATTGGGGGAAAGCGAATGTAGAAAGACGTTTCCGAATGCTTGAAGTAGTCCACTGTAACAGGTGAAACCTGATGGTTTCCCTTCATTCGTCGCCGGCCGAGCTTGAGGGTTTTAGATTATTGCTCAAAGCGATGATCCAGTACTAATCTTAGTATCGTAGAACGATGATTCCATATCGTAACGGGATACAATAGAGGTGCTGCACAGCAACACTGCTCTTGACTCGTCCTATATATGCACAGCAAACAAGGAAGAGTCTCGCCGCCTTCGAGCACCAACTTTCGTATTTCACATACGCACGTCAAGCTGCAATACACATTAGATGGTGATGTCATATGACATATATATAAACATGAAACCAAAATAGACAAGGTAACTCAACATGGATCTGTGGCTAGACAGAAAGTAGCGGCACTAAAGCGATGAAACGCATACACATCGATACAATTTGCTTACACATCAACATATATCCACTACACAAGACATATAATGCCATTATATTGACAAATAACAATATAGCGAAGACGTGTGAGCAAGGCGGTGCAGCACATTGATGAACTCATATGTAGACAGGACTTACCTAGCAACGATAAGGCAGCCAAATCATCAACTTACACGAAGTGTGAGTCTCAATTTGTAAACACACTTCAAAAGATGATGATACAATATATCCAAATACAGCTCCTTACTACGAGCAAGGGCTCAACGATCAATTAACAAAACATTTACGGCATACACAATTATGTTACACCTTAGTAATGTCAATTATAAATATTATATAGCTGTGTAGCCGGATTCCAATGAGAACGCGCAAGCCGCGAACTACATACATTAGACAGCTAGGGTGAGTGCGCACCGGTGCATAGACGAACAATAAGAATAACATTCTATAATGTTCTTGAGCAGCGTAAAACGCATGGCGGCTGTAATAACATGACATATATGCCGTATTAATGACCTATGTAACGCTCCTAACACCGGTGTAACTTGCCGCAAATCTCACAGCGGTCACGCGTCACAATTAGACAAGCCGGAAATAGACTAAAACGGCGATATATGACGCCCATTGGCCACTATACTCGCGAACTACCAAGTATGTAATGAAAAAATGACCAAATTAGCATCAAAGTTGCCAAAAGGCCATGAGCAGTAAATCACAACCTTCTACCCCTTCTACCACATTTCCTGCGGGTGGAGTCAGTGGGAATAGGTGTAACATCCTCAATCCTTCCGATTTTCAAACCGGAACGAGCAAGAGAACGTAGGGCAGATTGTGCACCAGGGCCGGGGGTCTTCGACCTAGTACCTCCCGTAGCGCGAAGCTTAATGTGAACGGCTGTGATACCCATCTCCTTCAGCCTAGCAGCGACATCCTGAGCAGCCATCATAGCAGCGTAAGGGCTGGATTCGTCACGGTCAGCCTTAACCTTCATACCACCTGTACATGCATTAATACGTGTCCGACGAGAGATAATTGATTTTTGTAGATAGGATGCCAAAAATTAAAAATTAACATGGGAACATATAACACTCCATTTTATTTATAACACAAAAACAAAACCGTGAAACATCAATAACTATAAAACATACCAGTAACCCTGACTAAAGTCTCACGACCGGACAAATCAGTCACGTGGATGAAAGTGTCGTTGAAGGAAGCGAAGATGTGGGCAACACCGAAGACCTGGTCACCCTTGTGCTGGGGACCCAAGGGAGCAGATGCAGGGGCTGTAGCAGGAGCCGCGGCGGGGGCGGCAGCATCGCCAGTGGGCTCCGCTGCCTGTTTGGCAGATTTCTTGGAACTCATAGTGTTCTGTAAGACAATTAGTATGCCACAGAAGTGGTGAAACGCCAATAACATTGAGAAGCGCGATGTGAACCAACATGAAAACCAACGTGACACAAAAACTCAAAACCACCCTTGGTAAGCGAACTAATACAAACACAACTCACGTAGTTTACACTATTAGAACGATATAAATAGCAGTACAAACATCTAAATAAACAACTCGAGCGGAAACCCACCAATAATGTCTTCTCAACACGTGGAAATCAATCTTGTACGGTACAAATATTAAAGCGCCCAATTGCCAACTAAAATAAAGTAAATGTTGTAAGCAAATTACACCCTGGCGTTTAGTAAAATGACCCAAACCTTCACATCCGCCAGCTGGTGGACCGCGGCCCCCCACCGGATGGCCCTGAAGTGAGGCTGACGCCTTCGACCGATATTGATCTCAACACACCGACATATGGGCACACAATTTCAACCATAGACTTCAATGGTACACACTGGCCAAACTTCTGCCCGTGGGTCGACCAAATAATACACGGTGTAACTGAGTGTTGATTGGCTTGCACTTCCTCATAGAACTCCCGTATAACGTAACAAACGGCTAGCTATAAGAGTTTATTACTCACTATTATATCAACGTAGACGGCTCGTTTATGTGCTGTTGCCGCGTATATCCTAGAATAACTCAATTTATCGGGCTTCGATCGTTCATTGACACGAAACACATCGGTAACCCGTTGACGTAGCTTAAGTCAAAATTTTGTAACCTTTGTGATACGATAAGACGCCAGGTTGAAGGCCCACGGCCACCTCCTGAAGGTATACCCAGAAGTCAGGTGTATGGAATACGACGCCAATAACATGCAAAGCATACACATTCTATTCAAACGCTGTTGGCAATCGTATGGTATATAAATACAATATTTATATCGGGGACACACACCTCTCAATAACGAACGGGGAATGCTTGGTGTTAAGCTGGGCTTAGACCTCTCGTTGTATTTGATTCACTTTATATATATCATACATTCCGAGGCGTACAATCTCATACACGCTAAGAGAATTGTTAACTTTCAATTTGCACGATCTAATGGTCACTCCACTGGAGCTTACTATCGGCCGGATAGTACACAGTGCAGCAGGACCGTGCCATTACGACACATAGGCGCGTTTGCCACATCGTGTAGCACTATGTCAAAAGATATGTCAAATCTGCAACTTCAAAATTTCATGGAAGACTTAAATGAGGCTCAATTTGAAGCAAAAAACACCATGGATGAATCAAACATAGACACACCAAAAGGTCTCAACACCGACGCTGCTTCCAAAAGCAGCACACCGCTAGAGAATAAGCACAAAGACCAAATGGAGGACAATACTAATAATGCGATCTCACATACCATCGTTAGCGTATCAGAACAAGAAGAGTCAGACCGAGAGGCACTGGGGGTGCCGTCATCACAGGCATTAACGAATATAGTCATGACTGTGGAATATGACGGAGGAGAATACAGCGGATTTGTAGGACCCAATCATTTCTACAACCAAGAAAGACAAGAGTTGGCCCAAACACAGAATTGCCCAAAATCAAACACCAAAAGAGAGGTTCTCCCCAAGAGCGTAAGTAATGAACTTTTACGGGCTATTGTCTCGATACACGGCTATTTGCCACTTAGGAAAAACAAAGGAACGGAAAAGTCGAAACAAAACGATGGAGACGATGATGATGATGACATCGATTTGGATGCTCACGAAACTTATGAATTGCCACCGGAACGTAGGTTCACACTCATCGCATCAAGCCGAACTGATAAGGGAGTACATGCTACGGAAACGGTGAGCTCTATTTCTAATCGCAGTGCATTTCAATGCGTAGGCCTGTCAGTACCTTTCTTTTGACAAGGAACCACCATTCGGAGGGGATACAGATTTCATTATGGACAAAGTTAATAGGATTCTGCCGGAAGATATACGTATTACGGCGATGATAGCAGCACCAAGTCCTGACGTAAGTTGAATTCATCTTAGATAGATCCAATCGAAACGCATATCGTGATACACATCGCGGTTCATTGGTACAGTGTATTGAGCCACGGGTCTTAGTCGCATCTCAACCAACTACATAAAAGTATATATTCTGGTGATTCTTAACATGACCGTTATCCATACTGCTCTAAACGCTACTAAATGACGATTTTTCCATAGCTGTTAACTTTTGAATGATTAAATTACAATGCAGTTCAATGTCAGATATGACAATCTGGGGAAATGCTACACCTACAAAGTAGACCTTTCGGAATGGCCGAACATTTTTGAACGCAAGTATTATTGGCAAATCACGGCGGACAAGCAATTCAGAAACACTTTGCTGAAAAGTTGGTTGTTGATAATATAGTAATTCAAAATCTTCAGAGTACAGCGATATCAGAAAGGAGTTCTGCTTCGTGCGAATGCGGAAGGCAGCTGATGCCATCGAGGGAACACACAATTTCGAGGTATGGCACAAAGACAACCTTTATATTAACCTTATAGGGATTCCGCAAGAAAAGCAGGGGTAACGAAAAAGCAATTAATAAGAACCCAGTATGTACCATTGAAAGGATAGATTTCGAACGATACACCGACTCTAAATATACCAAGTTTAACGTAGTCATAACTGGGGATCGGTTCCTATATAAAATGGTTCGAGGGATCGTCAGTCACATTGTCATGGTAAGGTCACTCTTTATCTCATATAATGAGTGAAGGTCGGCTACGATATACTCAAGGTGGAAGATATCAAGAACATGCTGGAGAATGCAGAACCTATACCGGACATACCCTATGCTCCGAGTACAGGCCTTTATCTAACAAAGGTCATATTTGAACCTGAAGTGGATAGGGCACTGGCAGCGTCAAAAGAACGGGGGAAACGCCGACTAAGGGAACTACTCAAATGCCACGACACAACGCTAGATTGCATGTAGACATACCCATCTAAGGTGGATTCCTTAATAAACCATGAGTACTAGCATTAGATAAATTTAGCTTAGTCTGTGGGGAACTAGACTTGGCCTGAACCAGGCAGTCTAGTCAGGTATTGCACTGCTCTCTAAATTTAATCAATCATTGATTATATGATAGCTATACACTCATAGTGTTACTAGGTAGTCATAGACTGCCGAAAATGTGGCGTATCATTTCGGTAAATCTAAAGTACCCCTTACGGTTAATTACGCCATTCGATTAGCAGACCATTACGAAAATTTAATGACGTCTATCTCATTACTACAAAATGTGATCCAGATCGAAGGTCTATACGTTGAGAACAGATTTTGCGAACTATATTTAGATAGTGTTACTTTAATACCTAATATAGACATTGGATAGATGACGTCATCAAGTGGAATAATTTTGCTCGATAAAGGTACCTCTTTATCAGATGGACATTTACATATCTGAAAATGTTTTATCCAATTCTGTAATATTGTTCTACATACACTGTCATCTATATATTCGTTTTTATGTGGTGTCACATATGAGTGATGGCCATCACCTGCCACCAGCGATTGTATCTTAGAAGCAAGCTAATGTTATAGTTAACACATATATAAATACACGCATTAAAAGGCATTGATATCATGTTTTAGGGACAATAAAGCCCCAATCTATTTAAAAAACTGTTTCATTAGAGCTTACATATACCACTGGTTCCCAATGGGTTTTAGGGTGTGTTTTAAGCTGTCGGTTTACGAGAATTTGCCAAGACACAAGAGTAAAGTCGCCTTCATTGTATTATCTAAATGCGCGGTCAAATACCCATGATGTGTATGTTTTCCCTTTCGTTTCAGATTCGGATTCTGAATCCGAACCCCTGTCACGTCGCACCTTACCACCCGTTATCTTTGACAGGAAGTCGCGCTGAAAGGCTTTGCCAGCTGATCGTAAGCCCTGATGTTCATCTTCGTCAGAACTTGAGTCGGAATTTGAATCTGTACGTTCTGCACGCTGGAACAGGAAAGCCCCGTGACCAGAGACACTATTCAAAAGCACCTCTAAAGCGTTTGCGATACGGCATTCCACTCTTGCATCAGTTAAGTCATATGTCATGCCTTGTAACACCGCTAGTGCGGGTTTTTGCATTCTGCACTTGCCACCGAAGTAGAGCAGTATAGACGAAGGCGCCGTTGCCGTCTTAGACTCCGATCGCAGGATACGATTAACAGAACCTATTGTAAACTTTATACTTGGATGTCTACGCGCTAGTTCATGCCATGCACTCCTCAAGTAAACCGATTCACTACTTTCATCAAGGAGCAGCACCGGTATGTACTTCCCTGCGGTAGACAGGAGATCAGGTTCTGCTGCACCTGTTGATCGCATCTTTCCACTATCCATATCAGCTCCTTCCTCACCATCTGACACCAACTCACCTTTTAATGGGCTATCTATAGCCTTGGAGGCGTCCGTAACCTCTTTAACAAACGTCTCCTCAGTGATTGCCACAGGGCTGCCGAAGGTTACTTGACCCCGAGCCTGTACCTTCTTTTTCCAAGCTTGTAGACGTGCTTCACGCATAAGTTCATGCTCGGCGATCTCTACTAAACGAGCGTCGCGCACTTCGTTAGTTTCCTCCACCTCTAACTTAGGGAGATTGCCATGCTTGCGCTGCAAATCATCCCATTCAGTGGTTATATTCGTTGGGTGCGTAGTTGACATTGTTGAAACAAATAATTATTTATATTGAGGTGTGTGAGGGGTTCAGGGTGCGTACGCTTCAATGATGTCGTCGGCCTTCACGTCGTTCCATCCATCAAAAATCATACCGCACGATTGAGACTCAACTGCCTCATCTATGCTATCCGTAGTCTGTCTCAGAGACGACAGTTTGCCCTATTTAATGTCACTTTACGAAATAACGACCTACCGCGAAAACCGGCTTGTTATCCCGGAGCACACGTACAGCACTATCTTTAGGGATACGACCTCTCATAACGACGCAACCAGCAGCCTTGGTGTTCTGTTGTTGTGTTTACTATGATATGCAATCAGTGACCGACCTTGACAGCATCGAATACCTTGAGCACGCGCGCAGTACCGAAAAGAGCGGTCAAAGGGCGATCACCCAAACCTTCGCGTAACGCCTCCAGAGCTCGGTCCATTAGATCGTAGATGACGTCACTTGTAATCACCGTTACACCTAACTTCTTCGCCTCCACCTGTAGGCAAATTTATATCACTAAGCTGCATACAAACCTTGGCGTCGGCACGAATGGCACTGTCTAACCCGAGAATCACGGCCTTGGAATCATGGGCATCCAAAATATCCGACTACAATAACATCAATAATTAATATAGATACAACCTACCTTGTATATCGGACCCACAGAAGTAGATATAATGTCATAGACACCAGTGCGGGTCATGCCTTCAACTTTCAATTCGGATGTCGCTAGTTTCACAGCATCCACAGAACCCTGTGTACCGCCTTTTATCAATACAGGTATCTGTTTAACCGAATGGTCTTTCACAATCCGGTCAGACAGGACATTAATACCGTCGTTGATCTTCTTCTGCAATTCAGATGCCGCCCTCTGCGCAAGTTCTGTTTCCAACGTATGGTCTGTAATGCACCGCGCATCATTCTCATTGTCATATATGACGAATGGTGTGCCTGGACTTGGGAGAATGTCATCTTCAAAACCATCTACAAATACGGCCTGTGACGGTTTGGCGCTGGTGACACGTTTGCCATCTGGTGTCTTCATCCCATTAATTTTCGCGAAGGACTTGCCAGAAACGAAATAACCACCTTTCGTTATGACACCCTGCTTTATTATCGCTAGACAATATGGAGCAGACCGTTGGCCTTTGCCAGATTCTAGCACGAACCCGCGACCACTAATACCAGGTGTATCCGTTACCACGCTGTCATCACTGGCAGCGGACTGTAGCATAATAGCGTTGAAAATAGCTTGTTTGGAGTTATCGGTATCCTGCTTCGAGGACACCTGCAGGAATTGAATGTCTCCACCGAGACCTTCTATAAGGACGCCCACATCACTCAACTGTATAGCAAGCTCCTCCGCACGGTTCTGTGCATTAGGCAGATCACATTTCGTCGCTGCAATGATAAAGGGGATCCTAAGGCTCTTGCAAAGCTTTATTGACTCAATACTCTGCTCCTTTAGACCCTCAACAGCATCTACGGCAATCAGTGCGATATCGGCTATGCCTGCGCCGCAGCGCCGCATGGCGTAGAAAACCTCATGACCTGGAGTATCAATGAGCGTCATAGGACACTCTCCCGATGTTGTGTAAGTGCGTACCGTCTGAGTGATATTGCCGGGTTCGTTTTCGACATTAGTGCTATTAGTCAGCATGTCGAAAAGCGCTGTTTTGCCATGGTTGATGTGACCCATTAACACTACCACCGGAGGACGCTCGAGACTCACAAGCTCGCTCTTACCTTTGAGAATTTCCATTTCTCTCTCCCTCATGTGTTCGTCGATATCGTTGAATTCAGTGCGACCTGCCACAAAGTTGTATACGCTTTTGGCCAAATTTACTGAAAGAGGGGCATTCTTATCGATGGGTGCCTGGGCCTGGAGTAGCAGGAACCTTAATACATCCTTTAGTTTCCCACCAATACGGCGTGTGAACTCGCTAATACTCAATGGAGACGTCGGGGTAGGAAGGAGAGCGTATATGTCCTCCTCAAACTTGTTCTCCCGGTTTTCAAATGGCTCTCGTGATGCTCTCCCATTATAAAATGTACCGGATAATGAGTAAGGGTCTCGGCTGGTTATGAAACGTGTGTCGTATTCGCAGGGAGCAATTAGCTCCTTGATTTCTGGATATTTTTCAGCCCATTCTAGCCGTGTTGGTGAATTCCATGGTAATCGCGCGCGGTAACTGGAGTACTTGGGAAATGATGGTCCGTGAGTTAGTTGGATTTGAATCCTATCACCCTTTGACAAAAAGTGGGTGAACTTGTATTTTTCGTTATCCAAAACATCTGTGCATAACTCACAGAAGTATAATAATGCCAGTTCGTCCGTATCTTCCAAACGCATGATCGCCTGGTTACCATTGATCATCATAGGTGTACTCCACACCAACTGGCCCACATGGTGTAAGGGCGACAAATAATCCTTCTCCATGTTCATCACCACTATGGGTCTTCCTTTGTCGTCGTATTCCTGTGGCCATTTGAGCCTAACTTCAACTACGCTTTCAGCTTTGAAATGGCATCGCATAGTGGGAGTGCGAAACTCTTGAGGCACACCGTCCGCCACTAGACAACACTCTACCATTTTGTCTACAGATAGAACAACACCGTTTACCGGTGTTAACCAATTACGAATAACAGCGTAAAATGGTTCGCCCAGTTTAAGTTTGCTAGTACCAGGCCACTCCTCATTGGGGGTGTAGTCGTAGAACCAGACAACATCGTTGGTGAGCCTACGGAATGAGCAATGGTATTCTCTGCTTGAAATATAAGGGCGTTTGCCCTTATCCTGTTGACTATTATAACGTATACGGTTATCGTCGATCGACCGCAGTCGTTCGCTTCCATAAACGCCACCAGCAGCTGTCTTTTCAGCAGGCATGTCAAAGGTGCCCTGTCGTACATTCGCAGCGTATGTATTAGGATTGTAGGTACTGTATGACGATGAAGATGGCCACGTGTATCCTGCCTTTGGTGCCGCCATAGCTCCTGATTGGCCGAATCCAACGCCACCATCATAGGCACTGTCTACGGGCTTAGGGGCATATGGAGTGTACACAGGATTCTGTGTCATCATATATTGCTGATATCCATTTGCTGTCCCAGGAGTTGGTGGATATACATGGCCTTGGTAACTATGATTGACATATGGAGCAGTCCTGTATCCGTTGGGATATATCCCACGTCCACCGAAGTCATTAACGCCGTATGCAGCATCTCCATATGCAGTTCCTCGCCACCGCCCAACCCCCGGGTGTTGATTCGGCGTGCCCTGCGGTGTGCCATTATAGAAAGGCGTAAAGGGCACGGCGTGGAGTCGCACAGATGTATGCATTATATCACCCAGCGGCTCAAATTCCAGGCCATGATGGTTGTAAGTAGCTGGATGTGTTACGAAAGCTGGATTTGGAGCGATTCTCCCTCGAAACGCCACCGACGGTAATATTGCGCGGTCCCAAAGGTAGCCTCGCTGCCGTGATACAACAGCGCCATCAGTATAAACGGCTGCTAGGGTCCATGATGTTAAGATTAGCTGCAGAAGGTCGCGTACGACCCCGGCAAAACTGAAGGAGCTCGATAGAGCTCGGGTGAACATGGCCCGAAGGGCATTGGCGCCTATAGCAGCTCCAGCAGCAGTGTCTAACCATTTAAAATAGAATCATAAAAGTCATCATGTTTATTAGAACGCTTTATTAATGTATAAGGTCAGCATTCGTTGCTTCCTCGGGGTAGCCCCGTACACATTAGGTCGCCGGGAAGAGGCCGCATAACGATTGCCTCAAGTCAACACTTCAATAAATTATGTTATTGCACTGTATTTGCGTTTATCTAGAAGGTCTAGCATCTCTCGTAGCTGCGACCACATTGTATGATTCATATATAGACACACCCTCAATACCGCCAATTCCGATGGACAAATATCGATAGTAAATTCGATTGTCATAGAATCGATTGTTTTTTGTGTTACGTCCGTCGATTGCAGCATGCGTTTAATGATTTTACGTATCCTCGCTGCATCCTCTGAACAATCCACGTTGTTTATGACGCTATACAAAAGTCCTACACACAGCATGTTTCTATTAATCCAAAGTAACCCACCGCTCACAAGCTCCAATCGCCATAAATCCACACTATCAAGTGCATAGAGTGATGCAAGAGCGTCTTCGTATTTATGGACGTCACTGCGCCTGCAATTCAGTTGCTCCTCTAACAGTTGGCATCCATACCTCTCTGCCTCGTGCAATAGGCTTTCAATAAAAGTCCTTGCAGCTCGATGGTAGCGAGTATCTGTATGAGCGTGGAGTTTGCACGTGCTTTGTACGAGTCTGCCGGAGATTAACATATTGTTGTTGCACTGTACCTGTGGATATGATCGATGCTGAATATGACGGGTTTTTGGGATAAATTCAAATGAAGCTGGGCCACTAGATCACATATAGCATCGCATATCCCCTGTAAAGAAAATTAATCTTATAAAGTTACTCTCAGCTTACGTAATACTCTCCCATGGGTACTAGCCATTCGGCAAATGATGTGAGATCCTCCGGCGTGGCATCCTTCTGCATTACATTCAGGTTTTATATATCACCAATTTAAGGAATATAAAAGACTGAAGGCAATGTAACATAGTGACACAGTACCTGCTTAAGAAATTGCAATGTAATCTCCGTTGCAAGGGGAGCGTTCATAACTCTATGCTGCATGGCGGTATCGCTGTATTTCGCGAAGCCTCCAGTTTCAAAGGCCCTCAGATACTTCAAATGCGACTGAAAGAAGATGACACAGTCGGAAGGTATCATATGAGGTGTTTGAGTCGCTATAAGACCCATGCATAGAGTGTATAGTTGGATATTGAAGTATTCGTTTCTGCGACATAATGACATTATCTCATTGTCGAATATCCTACACAGCGAATGCTTTGTATAGCAGTAGTATATCGTTAGCTGTACAATTTTCGAGGAAGGATTCGTACAACCGTCCATGTCCACATTCTTCTAGTATGAACTTGGCCACCTAATACCTTCATTAACCACAGTTGGCACGTGTTTGCTTACACACCTCTTCAAGAAATACTTGTGAGTGTACATCGGCTTTCTTATAGGCAAATAATGCCCGTATTACCCCGGGTACCCTGCAAGGATTCCAGATATATATACACACTCTCAGAGATACCTGAGATCGGGTAGCAGTGCAAGAGCACGTGACACGCAGTGTGTTATGAATTCCTCTACATGTTTATCACGTTCCCTTAGGCACGCTACATCTTCCAAAGCCTCGACCACCGCAACAGCTCCGAGCTGAGGGACACGAGGTAGGTGCTGACGGACGAGTTTAGGCACCTGTTTGACAAATATACGGCTCATATGTTAGATATAAGTCGTTTGGTACCCATGTGTATCATTACACTACACCCTTGTCATTAAGTTAATGGTGTCACTCAGGGGAAGCTTACGGCTGTGGCCTGTAACCTAACCAACAATGGTATATTATCCTATAGCAGATAGGATGGATACCAACAAAATGACTTTACTAAGTGAGACAACTTTTTTTTACGGACCATAACATTACGTTAGTGTTACTGCGCCGGGATTTCAATCTCGCCGCTGTCGATCTTTTCTTGGAGAACACGTGGTTTCTCATTGTCAATAGTGCATCCAATGGCAAAGCATGTGCCAAGGATCTCCTTGACAGTGCCAGACAACGTCTTCGCCATGGAGTTCTCACGCATGGCACGCGCAACGGTCATAAGCTGGTCCCATGTTAGGTTTCCACTATGTTTAATATTTTTCACTTTTTTACGATCTCTTGGTGGTTCCTTTAGTTCTTTGATGAGAAGTGCGGTTGCAGAGGGCTTAACCTCGATCTTGGCCTGTCTGTTTTGGATGGTAAGCTTAACGGTGACCTTAATGCCCTTCCAGTTGGACGTCTCCTTGGCGATATCGTCTCCAACCTTCTTCGGTGACATACCCAGGGGACCAAGCTTTGGGGCCAGGACGGACGAGGGTGCTACCTCACCACCGAGCTGACGTAGGTATACTGCGTGACTGTTAACAACGGGAATATAGAGACCTACCGTAAACGATCTGATTTGGATCGGGTTTCTTCGCCATTTTTATATAATTATAGTTAGATTGTCAAACCTGCGTATCGATAATTAGTTGTCATGAGGAATTCAAGCCGTTGTAATATTGAAGGCAGGCCATTCATGCACACATCATGTCACAAAATCACAAAATTTTAAACCATAAAACCACCAGGTAACAGAAAAGTAAAAATGGGCGGGCGATACCGCTCATATGTTTAACATCCGTAGAGCGACGCTGTAAATGTAAACGTGCCTCACAGGCTAACGTAACTTACGATTCAAACCGATGTCACAAGGTCCGCGAGCAGTTATAATATGACGATTGCTGCTCGAATATGTGGGTGTTTAGTGAAAACGTGACGTAACCACGCTGCCCGTCCGGACTACCATTCATCCCCATTGCCCGGCGCCGGCGGTCCGAGGTTGGATTGAGCAAGGGCGAGATACACCCTCAGGTCAAAAATCCCTTTTCCATATTTTTATAACAATTTATTCCGTTGTTAGAAGCCGAAAATCTGGCTCCATGTCTAGTTGCCATCTAGCGATCACAATGCTTATACACCTTTTTTTCCAAATAAGGGGCCTTAAAAAGTATCCCGTACCTACTAAGCACTATAGAAGATAATATACAGTGCTTATCTTGTTACGGGTGTTAAGTCAGTTCCTATGGTCTAATATAAAGGGGCTCAGGCCTACGTTATACAGGGCAATGGCATGTCACAGGAAACTAGACGGTATTTGACCGAATCCACCTCCTAAGTTCTCCATTCGAATAATGGTCACAAGGTGTGTGTTTTTATACATATTAACTGCATTGTGAATATAGTTACTTTGCACAGCGCTCCTAATACTGGAGGTTGGTGTTCCACATAGACGGACCAGTAGGCGAAGCACCCGAAGGGTATTGGTAGCCTTGCTGTTGTCCCTGGCCGAAACCTATACCAGAGAATAACTGGCCAGGGTTCATTCCCTGTTGGTTTTGTTCCGCCGCTGGAGCAAAAGGTGTTTTCTGTTTCAACATATCAAGCGATGATGGGTCGCCAAACGGATCCACGTTGTTTTGCTGGTTTTGCAAATGGTCGTTTAGCATCCTCTGCATACGTCGCGTGTGCCTCCAATTATAGAAGAATCCAGCCAATACGAGCAGCGCACTACCGCCGACAAAAAGCGCTGCCGCGGCGTAGGTGTACCACACGTTATCACCAAGGGCAGGGTATGGAATCTGTATCACTTGTTACTAATGGACGATGACAGACACTTACCTGTTGCGACATGCAAATCATCTTCCATAATTCGTGAGTGTGGGTTTTCCAGTAGTACAGCCCACCAACTGCCAAGACAGCAGCTGTGACCCAGAATCCCTATTACAGTTGAAATATAAAAAGTTCATTTGACTCACACTTGAAACCATAACATCTGCGTCGAAAAGGATGTACCACCCTATACCCATACCGGCAAGGGTACATACGACGACGAGCACTAGGGTTAGCTGCGTTTCATCATCTCATTGTTTAAATACAACCCACATTGTTGTTCAACTTCATCATACGTTCGTATCCCTCCATACGTACCAAGATGGCGTTTCTGCAAGCAGCAGGGCAGTAGCTGCCATATAGACTGCGGTAGGTTCCCTTGCCGACTTGTTCATTGTACTGGATGGCCGTGTAACCTTTGCTCTGCGAAACATGTATCATGACAGTTGGATCACCCTACCTTTACACTCTCAACCTTGGCTTGCCATGTTTGGCTAAAACCTCCATTATTGAATTTAATAAGATGTAAACCGTAACTTGTCTCCCCCACCAGGTGTTGCCGTCTAGTCCCCATGTGCATATAGCTATAAGCTACAAGAGCGTTAGATTTCGTCCCTATTAACTTACCTATAGGCTTTGCTACTCGCCATTTTGGGGTGTATATGGTCATGGCTTGCATCATGAGGGCCACGAGACACATGGCATTTGCCAGAATCCAAAAAACCGTAGGAATATGCGATGAATAGGAGGCCGAATGGCCTGGTATATTTTTGGAGTTGCCAGTTACCTTCCTCATCCTGCTCTAATGCTCGGTAGGTCGGACTTCTCCGATAACAACGCTCGGCATCAGCGAGTATTCGTACCGCCAGGCATAGCCGGCTCTTTACTTAATCTATCCGATATTATTGGATTTATAGTTTCTGCATTAACATTACATATGCCTGCCTGAAGGCAGAGAAAACCTTCCCGTGATGTGCACTTCTAGGCAGTTACTCGACGGCGATGTCGTCAACAGTCGACTACGGTAGATCTCAGCGAAATTCTTGAGATCGAATGTATAGATTAATGAGTTCGTTTAATGTGTAGAAGTGCCTATAAAACTGTAAAAGGGAGACGGTTGGTCGGCAGACCGTGGTTTGCACATCCCACGCTCTTCAACCGAAGCTACCACGTAGCGTCATACACACATACCAAAGTAAATCATTGAAATAGTTTATTTAAATTATCCGCTTTCGGAAAACTGTGCATTCTTGGCCAATTCGCCTACGCTGGCTCCCGGAGCCGTTGCATTATCGCGAGGAACCTTATTACATGGAATAGGTTTGATTCCACGATATCTAACTGCTTACGTATACGGGAAACATCAACCTCCGTCTTTCCTGATGATACGAGATAACTATGACGCTGTTAGACCTGAGTGCTTGCCACCAACCTGCGGTAGATCCGTGATTTCTCGTAGTTCATGCGCTCAAGTAAATTATTTGCGAATTTATACGATCTCCGCATAAGTTGCAGGTATGTCTACAGGTAACTATGGAATCATAACACCGTGAATCATACCTTCCTGACATTAGAAGAAAATGATAATACATGACGATCATTGGGACTGGTAGTAGGCACTGCCGTTCCAATAAAGTCCTGTAGTACGTTGCAAAAACAATTTCAAGAGTGACCTACCAGTTCGTGGTGTTTTGCGAAACCATGCAGGGTCAGTTGGTATAGGATGCTCCGTGCTGTTTGCATAGATACTAGAGCTTTGTTGCTGACTTTCTGCGCATCCAAAGTCGCATGACTGTCTTCTTCTTGTTCAGTAACCAGCAGGTTCCACACCCGAGCTGATTTGGCTCCGCATAGCTGTCTGATGCACCTGAGCGTTGTTAGTGATTTAAAGGAAGAAACATACCCAAATATCGCTTTCCTTCTTAACATGGACTTTACAGCATCCCAATCGAGATAATAGCATTGTGTAGCAGGGTCTTGTTGTACAAGATTATCTGGATGCTTGCTCAGCGCAGTCAGCAGACGGAGAACCTGATCACCTGTCTGTTTGAGACCAAAGTCACGTTTTAAAACAGAGAGCACTTTAGTCTCAAGTTGAGAGTGTTCGATCTGTAGAGGCCATTTATTACTAGGGTTATCCATTAGGACCTTCATGATCGCACGTACCATTGGCATATCGCCAACCCGCCTGCATACTAGGCTTATGATCTCATCCTTCAATAATCGTTCAACTATATACTCCAAGTTCACTCTCAACAGTGGTCCGTTAGGTCCGGTGAGTTCGGCTCCTTGCATGACATGATATATCGCTGTGTTCATGGCATTAAGAGGGTTATTAGCATCTGTACCACGCCAATTAACGTCAAGTGTGGTAACTCGGTGCGCATAAGATTCACATGTCATAATAAATCCCGTTTGTCTTAATGTGGCAATAGCTGCCATGGCTTCATTTTTATCCAGAGACAGATTTTTGATGCATAGTTCACATAGATGACGCTGAGATATTGTTCCTCGCTTCACGGTAGCCACCATAACATCAAAACACGCCTGTCCCAGCTCCTTCTTAACTAATTGGCAGCCCACCGGTATCAACGGATATGCCAAGACGTGCTCGCAACTGACGGAGTATACTGGATGCAGTGATCTACGGTTACCCGTCTGGTGTGTTTGGATGGTATAATCGATTATTCCATGTTGTAAGAGAATTATTAAGCTGTTGCGTATTCCCTTGAAATCGCTATGCGGATGGCTTAACATACGCTGAAGGGTCACTTGACCACGTAGGAGTATGGCGCCTCCGACCTTAGCTACATGTCGGCCAAAGTAATGTTCCAGCAGCCGCACCACGAGCTCGTACTCCGTAGAGTACATCGCAGCGTCCACTGCTGGCGACGCCCACTGCGAGCGATATATCACCCGCCACTAACGCGTAACGGTCTCCGGACTCAGTGGCACCACAGCTTTACTATACGATCCTTACCGCCTGCACATAGAGTTATGAGAACTGGCAGTGAAATATAATACGGCCTGAGAGGCCTCAGACAAACCCAGATACACAGTGTTACTATTTGCGCGCGCTACCAACATCATGGAGGTTTAACTTGACCTTCTACACTAATGAAATGGGTATACGTACATCTCATTTATTTAACGTGAACAGTATGCACTGGTAGATGTAAAACGTTTGTTTTTTGTTATAACATCGGTATATTTTATACAACCTTGTTGGCATACAGTGGTAGCGTACACACAAAGATATAGATATATGAAGAGCAGATACGATATGTATATGCATTAATTGTGTGGATATGTGCACTTACCTGAAGCTACAGTGCGACCGCAGTTGCTCCAATCCAATGTGTAAACTTCGTCAGCGTGTCCCGGTAAGTCGAACTTTAACTTGCCAGTTTCGGCATCCCAGAGCTTTAGAGTGGTATCAGAGCTGCAACTAACAAGCAGGCTACCGCAACAGCTCCAGACAACTCGATACACTCGCCCTATATGTCCTCTAAGTGTACGCAAATAACGACCAGTTATTCCACACCAAATACGCACGGTACGGTCAAATGATGCTGATGCAAACAAACGACCATCAGCAGAAAATGCAACATGGTTGATCAACTGCTGGTGACCAGTTAACCGATGTACAGGTTTTCTTGACTGTTGATGAGGTAACCAGATGAACATGGTATTGTCATCTGATCCAGAAAGCAGGCGTTCCTGTCCTGACTAAATACATTGGTGAATAATTTAATGTACTCACGTACCTCTCTTATGAATTTCTGGTAGATACGACGTGATTCATCGACCATTTCCTGCAAACCAGGAAAATGGATATTATTGCTCTCGAAATTTGATGCAGAAAAGGGTCCTGACTTTATAACACGGTGGGTATTAGATGTCAAAGTATTGATCCAATGGGCATGCCCCTTAAGATCCTTCACTAGACCACCTTTGTCAACATCCCAAACTTTCAGTAAAGTGTCACGAGAAGCACTGAACAACATCGATGCCTTTTCACCTGACCAGATGACCTGCGAAATACCACGAGTATGACCGCTCAGAGTACGCAGGCAGTGCCCAACCTTGACATCCCAAATCTTGATGCTGCAGTCCATACTACCGCTAGCGAGTAGAGGATATGGCCGCACAGATATATCCAAATGATGAAGTGGTTGCCAGGCCAGTGTTGTCACACCCTGTGATAGTATCACGTGCCATTTTGAAATGAAGAGGATTGGCTAAAAAACATACCTTTGTATGACCAGAAAGTGTGATGTGATGAGATGATGAATTGGATGGTTCCCAAATAAGCACACGGCCATCCATGCCAGCGGATGCCAGACGCTTGCAATCTGGTGACCACATGACGCATAAAACCCAATTTGTATGCCCTTTTAGAGTTTTTATAGGTGTAGCTGTCTTAAGGTCCCAAATGCGTACGGCACAGTCCCCCGAACCAGTGGCCAGCATGCTACCATCCGGGCTGAAGTCCATACAAAGTACAGATTCACTATGACCTAATGACGATTAGACCCTTTCGTAGATTGAACCAACCCTCTAGTGAAGATGAACACCGTGTGATAGGTCTGATTTTGTATATGGATAATGGTAGATATTTGATATTCAACACCCCTTCTCCAGAACGTTCACCACCTAGTGCCTCAAGAGCCGCTTCCAATGTTTTGGTGATCTCATGTTTATTCTCGAGAATAAACGTATATCGAATGCTGTCATCATCAGCGCTGCTATCATCTTCACTAGAGAGCAGAGAACGCAATAATTCCTCCAAACGTTCACGAGAAAGACGTACAGGCACTGTTAGCGTCGATCCCAATACCTCATCATTCACATCTCGGAACTGTACAATAACCTGCAGATAGATTACTTCATGGTTCTACGGCCAAGGGACATTATATACATCACGGTAGATAAATAAAAATGAGAATTTGACGTTGGCATAGGTTTGGCCGATGTAGTAAACGGGCAAAACACATCGATTATAGTTCACACGAGGTTGCAAATACACATCTGTATAGAATTTTACCTCTGCATCTGAAGATGCCGTTACCGCGGCATCCGACGATGTTACACCGGGATCATCCATAACTATCTATGAGTTTATGCCGCGGTAAACACCCAAATCACCGACTTTAAATATTTAGCTAATTTATTTAGTATTGCTGTGTGGCTGGAACGTTCTTGTGGCGAACAGTCTTGGCCTTCAAACGGAAGGACGCCTTTCCACAGCTCTGCGTGGATGGCTTATGTGCCTTCTTAAAGTCGACACCACGGGGCAAAGGTTCCTAATAGGAATTGCATAATATTTCCTGGAAAACACACCATTTCATCGAGAATCGCATGAATGTGCGCAGATTCCAATATATGTGACGCCGATCGCTTTGCCTCTTCCTCCCTTACGTTCTGGATATCCTCGTCCGAGAGTTGTAATGGTGGCCTAGATTTTCCAGGGTTCTGAATAGCCTTAGATGGTTGTTTTCGGTGATAACAAACCTCGGGATCGTCGGCATAGACATACTTGCGATTAGGTTTGTATTGCGTGGCAATTGGCTTTGGAACCCGAAGCTGTAAGCCTCCTGGAACGTATTTATGAGCCTAAACACAACATTAACCTACCCTTCGATGTTACAAATTTCAATATGGCTTTGTCCAAATATGTCCGATCCACGTTATACTCCCTGCAATAGAACTATGCCTTGGACAAACAGACAACCTACAGTACCAAATTGAACAACTGAACTAGATCATGGCTCTCCGGGCGTTTTTGTGACCGTGTAGGTGGGTTGTGTACTGCATCTTCGCACCACTTTGTTAGTGCGAGTAGAAATTCCTGCAAGTCGTAATATTCAGGTTTAGCAAAGGTTAGAACATCGAGGTACCATATACTGCTCCATTCGGCTTATTTAGTGCCAATAGGTAATGAAATATCGGCACAACGTGCTATCAATATGTAACAATCTGTTGTAATACCCACCTTAGAAAGACTATCTAACAGGCGTAGAAAGTTCAAACAATCAAACGGGTCGGCCAACTGGTTAATTCCGGCAGTACCGTCCAGTTCCTTGGTTTGCTGTTAAGATGTGAACTCAATGGTTCTGAGACAAACCCTGATGAATTCCTTGCGCAGTGCATCTTCGTAAGGTTGCCACTTAACCTCCTGTGACCGCAACTGTTTGGTTGCGTCTAAAAGTTCCTGGATTGTTAGCATCTGCAATTCCTTCTGTTGCCATTCGTCTAGTACTAGATAAAAGGCCTCATCCGCAACATCCAGGGACCTAGCACAGCTGGCCACCTGGCACAGTTCGGGGTACCGTAATATGCTTATGTTGGTACACAACGCTCGACATAGTGCAGCAACCAGTTGCTCGTTACGGATCTGCCATCGTGATAGACACAAAAATACAGCAGCATACTCCGGACCGTTAAGTTTCTCACTAGCACGTATCAACCAGTAGAACACCTCCATGAACAACTGTTCGGGAAATCTGCCGAAACGGCCAAAGACATCTATAGCCTGTACATAGTGCCTAGGGTCCATGCGATATACTTGTGGAGTCAGATGGCGTGCTATTTCAAGTACCAGCACCCAGTCTTCTAGCCGTACTTCGGCAAAACATTCAAGTACACGCAAAGCATCAAAAAACTTGAATTGTGAAGCTAATGCCATACAGCGTGAGGCGGCCTTAGCCCAGAAAACCGTATCGCTAACTCGAGATGTCACTGCATCCTCCAGAAGTACTCGCAGCTGCCTAGGACTCAAGGATTCCATACGACCGATATCCGAAAAGACTCTGGAACTGCCGGGAGTGGCATAGAGTGGCGAATCTGAAGTGTCTTGATTCGTCGCGCGTCCATTATCCACTGCAGTCTCGCAGCCTGAGAAGTGCCTTCGGCACGTGATGCTGCTTTGAGCGATGCTACGCGCCAAATGTTGCCCATGAACGTGATAAATTGCAACGCGCGCGACTATATGCGATACATAGCGGTGCTTAAACCTTCCCAGCAGTGCTGGGAAGACGCAGAGTTGTCCGAGGGGCATCGACCAAAGGTAAGGAAACAGTCGTCGATAAATAGCGCGAACAGAGTATCAACAGAGAACTGATAATCCAGTATTGCATTAATCTGGCTATGTTAACATGATTCTTGATGTGTATTCCTTTAGTAAGACCACGCAATTGCCTACACCGGTGCCTTCACGGGGATAGCGCAGACTAGGATGAACCGATATTAATAGAAGACATAGGCAGACTGTCTGAGTTTGTAGATTATCTGGGGGTATATTTAAACTCAATGGCGTTTAATGTGTTATAAATTACCGTTGCTCGACCCCTGACGGGTAATTGCCCATGTACATATGGTAGTGTCAATCTGTGGCCTGCCGCTGGGTGAAATCTCGACTTGACGTCACACATCTAGTATTTTTATACATCCGCTACAATGAAGGCATGGGACCTTTTGCCAGAGGAGCATGGAGGTGGCAGCGACAACGACTTCGATGTCGTTGAGCATTTCTCAGATGACGACGAAACTACATCAAGTAATACAGAACATCGCACAAACCTGGATGATGTAAAACAGCCACAGGCAGGCTTCCCAAAGGCGTTACATAGAAGTCTGATAGGCTGCGATCTGGGAAGGGTTAAACTGTCGGCAGATAACCGAAACACCAGCTCTTATGGCCAACCTGTACGAGCAAATCCGAGAAAAGGTGGACTAGTTCCTCCAACTGACGAGGCGTGGAAGAGTGACATTTCATACGAAGGAGATGTTCCTGACATAGAACGCATGACTCCCGAGGAGATCAAGGAACACCAACAGTTTCTATACGAAAGGTTGGGTAAGGAGGCATGTGACTTTCTTATCCAGAGACGATTGAGAAAGATGGAGCAATCGGAGGGGGAAGTTGATGCCAAGGAGGGAGGCCTGGAATGTTCCCCTGAACCTCTGCAAACGCAAGGAGACAGTATTGCAACAGGAGACACGTCAAATATAGGCATCACATTTAAAGTGGACGATAATGAGCTTCGTAAGCTGGAGTGGACGAATCCCGTGGAACCCGAAGGTCCTGTATCGGAGGCTGTGGGTACCATGCGGCTACACCAATTGAGGTTCGACTTCGACGGTAATATGATTTCTAATACCGATGCCACGGTTGATATGAAACACCGCCACGAGAGTTCGCTATACAACCATGGAAAGGAAGCAGATAAACCCGGATACACTATCCCAGAACTTCTAGAACTTATGCAAAGCACATTCAAACCACAAGTACAAATCGCTACGCGTACAATATGTAATATCGTGAGGCGAGCGCAGCTCGATACTGTGCGTTATTTCGGATACCCGTGCCATCGGTGGTTCAATTACATCATGCATGACGTGGACCTAGTTGGTAGAATGGGATTCATACTATTGGAAAACACAGGCACAGTCCAAGTACTCACTGATGCACTTCGATGTATGGCTACAATGTTATTTGGTGACCTGTCATATGCAGTTAACGGGGTTGTGGCTGCCGGCTGTGACAAAGCAACCGACGCAATGTTGCCGATGCAAGAATTGTTATTCGGCTTCCATACACAGGACATGGGACCTTCGATATATAGCTGGAACTCTTTTGTGGCTAATTTCGCGACTTCCTATAAGAGCGGAGCGTTGTCACATGAAAAAACGGCAGATGCTAAAGCAACCACTACGGAAGGGGTCGAGGGTGAGGGTTCCATGCCGCAGAACCGAAAAGTTCGTTTTGATGAAACAACAAATATGAAGGGACTAAGCGAGGATGGGAACGGTGAATCGAGAGGACGAGACGCAAGGATGACAGAATTTTATCGTGATGCCGTAGATGGGAGGTTTAGAGGGGTTGACGCAGATGAAATCAAGCATATACTGGCAAAAGCCATGGTAATAGAGGAAATAGACCACTATAAACAGGGCCAAATGGAAAGCGTCCTTTACCTAATAACTCACGGGGACTTCATAAGCAGACTCTGCTCTATTATGGAACATCACGACGGAGCACCAACATTGCAGGCCTATTGTATCACAATTATCTGTGGGTTGTTGATGCGATTCGGACAGTGTCTTGCATCTGGTTTATTACAGTGTGCAACTTTCGTATCAAGGTTGGAACATATCACAGCTGGGCTGATCGTAGGCACTGAGCAGAACCACAATCTCTACAGTAAACTAGGGGATAATGCTGATGTCTTAGATGGTCAGGTACACCTCACATCGGCTATTTTGTGCTGCATAAAGTTGTTATCAATATTCGAGGAGCGGGCTTTCCAGATTCTCCTAGACCGCATTGGTGCCATAGCCTTGGTAAAACAGACAGTGACACAGACGTATGGCGCACATATGATGCGATTGTTGAACCCGTCGAGGAATCGTGATGGGACGTCGAAACTCATTGACAAGAAGATGCTAATCCCTACGATTATGGCCATCCAATGCCTCACCGTCTGGTCGATGCAAAGGTCGTACGACGACACTCTGGACGAAATGACTCCTATACTGGACCTCGATCTATTTACCCTCTCCGAACTCGCTAAAAACAGGTGTGATGGTCTGGCGCCATTTATAAGCGCCAACGGGATGATCATGGCCCATATATGTGTCCACCTAGCCACGCTCATTGAAAAATGTGAAACACGCCAACATATAAGGTTCACCTGGGGCATTAGACGGTTTGATGATCTGGTTATAGCGTTAAGTTCTGTTGAACAGGTTGCGGAGATGGCTGAGGCCAAGATGCTAATGGCGGCAGTATTCCAACTGCAATGCTCATACATGCGACACACTCAACCGAAAGCAGGCGATGGCGATGTTGCAGACCTCTCGGGAAGGCTAACACCTACAGTTCACGAAATGGCGAAATATGCATCGGCCGTTTCAGCGGCGTTCTGTCGTAACCTTGGGGAGAGTGAAAACATCGACCTCGTGTGCCCTTGGTGGAGCACGCAAACTATGGCAGGCAACGCACAGCCAGTGGTAGCATACGGCAGAGGTCTAATTACCGTTGGCACGCTAGTGGCGCCTCCAATGATTGCGAAATGTATGTTGGATATGTTGAGCCTAGTAAAGGACGTGGACACCAGTCTATACGCCAAACTCTTGGAAATTGTGGAACTACAATTTAAAATGATGTGGGAAACAATCAGCGTTCAAGTTAAGAGGTTACATGATACACGTCTTGGTGAGTTGTTAGCTGGTGAAAAGGGCATCGCTGCTCATAAGCCCGTGCCATTGCTGGAATCATGGGCTGGCTTCATCATGAGTGTCGTAGATGTCCTCGGTTCAGACGATGTGGAACCATGTGATGCCGATAGCATCCTTGCGGCACTTAGTGTCACGAGCTGCTACGACAGCGTCACCAAATTGGTGGAACTACTTATTGTGAAATATGATCTGAGAGCGGAGGGTCAAACGGAAGAGAATGGGCAAGGAAATTTGAGTGAATCTATTGTGGCAGATTTTCGGGAGTTCAACAATACCGTGGCGAAGGCAAATACATTGGGGAATTCTTTGCTGCCATTGATGAACTTCGTCTCTTTTGTGCCTACGTTGTGTCTAACTTATATAATCGGCATTCATGATGAAGTGGGCCGTGGTCCGGCTATTATTATCGATTCCCTGATAACTATTGAGCGATTTAGGAAGTCGTTGTTCAATTGGGTACCTCCTTTTGAAGTGGCCAATGGCCTCATTAACGCAGTTGTTAACTGCCATGAAATGAGCGTCTGGAACTTGGATAAGACCGTTCTCCAGGCGCTAGAGTCCCTTGTGTTCCGAAGACTTTCGGAGATGGTAACCATTGTGAAAAGCTCACCATGTTCGGCCCAGTCAACTTCCAACGAAAGTGTATCCCCAAGCCATGATAAGCGGGACTCTTTGGTGCAGCATTTTGTCGATAACTCCATTTCTACAGGGGAGCATGCTCTCATGGACTCCTACAGGAGACCTGCGGAACCCCCGGCTGATATCGAGCACGACGGACTCAGCAGGGCTACTTTGAGTGCTATTAACAAATTTAACAGTGAGCTAGGTGACTCGCCATATGTTATGGCGGTCATCATGTTACTCATTTCCGTATTTTCAAGACACGACTGCGCGAAGCGTATATGGGCAGACCCCGGCCTCATGATACTGCTAGGGCGAAACGTGATAGTGGATGGGACCACTTGGGAGGTACGTTGTACCCACCCCAATGGCGAATTATCACTGGGAAGCGTGTTCATGTACTTGCCAAAATTCAATGGCACGGAAGAGATCATGCGGAGTCAACGGCGGCTGCTCCAGGAGTTCGGCCCGAGCGACCTGGATGCAGGAAATGCTATAATGCTAATAACTCTGGCATCTATCGGGAAGTATGATAAAGCGTGAACCGTGTGCTGTGCGTCGTCGCAAAGGGTGTTGTAAACCTCTCTATAATAATAGATGAAGTATATGTGTTTAAGACATGAATAGATACAGCACAACTTCGGCGATACTATCGCCAGTTATTCCTGCGGTTTACCCTGGCGCCTCATTAATCTAGTTTAGCACAACTTTGTGTCCGTAGAACACCTGTGCAAGCATAAACTACTCGTTCCGAAACATGCCGAAAGAGTCCTGAGTGCTCGCTAGTCGTAGATGCCGAGGCTACCCACGAACCCCTTTGTATGCCAGCCGAGCTCAAAATCAGACACTATCTGCCTGACGAGGAGAAGGCTGCAACCCGGTAGTTGGTTTTGTTGCTACCCATCACGTTAAAAAAAAATGGCACGGTATTGCAAGTTGCCCTTTGTAACACGATGAGTAATGCCAATGATAGAGCCAACAAGGGTCTCTTGAAACCGAAGTACTAATTATTGAATGATTAAAAGGGAGGACGAGGCCACACAGGGCCTCTGTGGCAGTGGCAAGTTTCCCTGGGGCGAAGACTCCTGAGCCTAGACCCGATGGCCTAAACCTGCAATATAACACTTGAATCATATCCGCAAGGATTTATCGGGTAGGTTTTTAACTACGATGTTGATGGACGATGGTAGTTCGATGTATCAGCGCCGAAGGCCGTAGGCAGACGGTAGACTGCACGCGCTGGCTAGTGATGCTGGTGCAGTCCCCGCCTAAAAGACGCAATATATGCGCACATCGTACGTAATGACATTGCCAGCGTCATGAAATTTAACTTTATAGTCAAAAGTATAACTAACGTGCAGAGTTTCGGCAAGCTACATAGCAATTGGATCTTAACCGGGCTCCTATTGTTGAGAAGAAGATGAGCAGTACTGTTCTAGATTATAAGGGCGCCCTAACCGGTGGCCACACTGGCTGGGTGACTTCTATCTCGTGTCCAGGCAGGAGCGATATCAACACGGTCATATCTGCTTCAAGAGGTATGTTAATATTTCAAGACCACGTGATGAAACGGGACCCAGCTCACTCTAAGGCTCAGCCAATGCTGTGAAAACTCCCATGTGGTTCATGAAACCATTCTGATAGTGGTTCTCGTGGAACAGGCTAATGTAATAGCCCACCACGAGCAACGAAGCAATACCAAAGATGCCTATGTCATCTATACATTTCGAAACAATGTCATATATTTTCACAGACAAGAAGATTATGATCTGGGAAGTATACAGGGACGATGTGGATGGCGAAATCGGTATTGCGAAGAAGTCACTTACCGGACACTCGCAGCCTGTCCAGGACGTCACTATGTCCTTTGACGGACTTTTTGCACTTTCAGGTTCTTGGGGTTAGTACAATTGACATCTTCTACAAAACAAATGCAGACGGCACTTTGAGGCTGTGGGATTTGGTCAAGTCCAGGACTGTACACGTATTCAACGGCCACACCAGCGACGTATATAGCGTCGATTTCAGCCCAGACAACCGTCAAATTATTTCAGCTAGCCGTGATAACACCATCAGGCTGTGGAACACTCTGTCAGAGTGCAAAAGTACTGTTACAAATGCACACAGCGACTGGGTCTCGTGCGTCAGGTTCTCACCGAACCCTCACGAACACGTATTTGTATCTGGAGGTTGGGACAGGTTGGTCAAGGTAGGTGTATAGGCGTTTTAGGATATATTATAAATTTTCAGGTATGGGATCTTGCCACGTGCAACCTCAAGTTCAACCTCACTGGTCACGAGGGCACTGTTTCATGCACATCAATCTCACCTGACGGCTCCCTTTGCGCATCCGGTGGAAAGGATGGTATAGCTCGTCTTTGGGACATGAAGGAGGGAAATAACCTCCATCTCTTAGAGGCCGGGGCACCCATCAACGCACTGTGCTTCTCACCCTGCAACTACTGGCTATGTGTAGCTACAGACAGGGCAATTAAGGTGTGGAATTTGGAGAACAAGAATGTGCTTGCTGAAATAACCAGCGATAAACCAAAGAAGGTCGGACTCCCATGGTGCGTATCGCTCTGTTGGAACGCGGACGGCACAATGCTATTTGCTGGTTCCACAGATGGTAATATTCATGTTTACCAGGTTAACAAGAGTTACAATTACATTGCCAACTGAACTTTGAGATAATATTCTTGACTCTCACTCTAACTAGCCGCGCCGCGTATAGGGCCCCCGAACGTGGGATAGCTCACTTAATATGGAAAGTAATCCCAAAAAATGACCGACGATGCCAATGTGAAGGCACAGCGTATAGGAATCCATTTGGAGGCTCCCTTAGGGAGTACTGTGCTGGAATTCCACTGCGAGCGTATAAAGCGAATAGAGAATCTCGAGGAACTAACGGAACTCAAAGTAAGTGGTACACATCTACCTTTCAAATATATATAGAAACTTGGGATTGTTTCGAATCTTGTCGAAAAAATAGAAAATCTCGAAGCAAACACACAGCTCGAGACACTTGACCTATACCAGAACTGTATTAAGGTAATCGAGAACATTGGACACTTACGGGACCTACGGTAAGCTTATAATAGGTAAAAGTGATAGGTTTCAGCATTCTGGATGTCTCATTCAACCAAATAGAGCGTATTGAGAATATAGACAAGCTAGTGAACCTCCGAGAACTCTATCTTACAAGCAATAAAATCGCAAAGGTAAGCGACTGAGATAACACTAGTTAGCACTTTTAGGTTGAAAATGTTGCAACACTTGCAAATTTGGAACTACTGGAACTCGGTTCTAACCGAATTCGTGACTATGGCGAGATCAAGCTGCTTACCGGGCTGACGTCCCTTTGGCTGGGACGTAACAAAATCACGCACATGCAATTACCGCTATTGCCGAATCTCACCAAGTTAAGCCTACAAAATAACAGGATTAGAGAGTGGGATGCATCGATTGTGGAGAGCTGTCCGCGTATATGCGAACTATACCTCAGTTTCAACAGGCTCGACGAAATACCATCATGGATCAACGGCATGGTAAGCAAATGTTGCAACCACATAACTAATGCCTATCAGAAGTGTCTGAATATACTGGATTTGGGAAGCAATCGAATCTCACGGATAAATCTAACAGAACCGAACGACTGTATCGAGGAGTTATGGGTAAGTTCCAATATTTGTCAGAACATTACACGCAGCTCAATGACAATGCACTGGAAGGTGAAAGCGATATTGAAACGTTGCGGCTTTTTAAAAAACTCAAGGTGCTATACCTGGAGCACAACCCTATTCAAGCCAAACTTGGGCCTGGATATCGGAACCGCATACTCGATATTCTTCCCAGTAAGTTCATATACTTACACATCAAACATTTTAAACAGCTATAACGCAGTTAGATGCTCTAGAAGTTGCAAGCCGAGTTGCACAATCCTCGTAGTGAAAAGTAACACAACGTCCGCTAAAAAGCGGTCATAATATTCATGTCGTTCACACCTTCGCAAACAGCGCACAGCATTGTGCAACGTGTTATAGATAATATTAAAAAAAAAGCTGCAGAGCACGCTGGCCGGCACGCACGCGCGAAGCTCAGGGATGGTCGTCTGCCACTAGCTCGACGGCCACCGGCACAAGCCACCACGTCTAGCCCGCGACAAACGGCCTTCCATATCGCAAATCAAGCTATAGTTAGAAGAAACAGCGGAACTATCGGTGATTATTTTACAAGACTGGTCAACAGCTCACCCAAGCCAAGGGTGCTCAAGAGCATCCATCACCCGGTAGCCATACATCTATATAAACTCGCGCACAGCGCATCATACAGGTAACAATGCACATTCAATGCGCAATAGTTCGTAGGAAGTACCGAAGGCTCATATTGCTCACCAGCCCAAAGCTAATAAGAGAACATTGCGAGCGCCATGGCAGTTGCAGTAGGATTTACACCACCTCACACGAGAACCCACTCCTTATGGAACCTCGCATACGTGCTGACAGGGTATTAGTGTGCTCCGAAAAGCTATTGCAAAAGGTTGGTATCATAAGGTGGGCGCCACATGTGCTACGCAGATCGCTGACCTCCACTCCTACAAAAACGGCATCATAGCCGAAGTGCCGTATCCCCAGCCATCCCAGCATCTCGGAAATGCAGCGCTGGTGCTCTGCGTAGCTCCCGGCAGCAGTGCTTCCAGTGACAACGTACCGGCGGCGACGCTGGTGCGTACCGCCCATGCGCTACAGTGGCAGGCTGTGTGGTTGCTCCGACACGGGGAGCACGACCTCCTAGACCCACGGGCCATAAGAGCGTCGCAAGTAAGATATACATGACTAAAGAGAGATAGTGTGCAGAACTGCCTTGATACAATACCCTATATCACGGGAGATGCCCGTGCAGCACTTGTATTCGCAAACGAAAAAGGACTGCTCGTTTGCATTTGCTCCGACGGAGGATACGCCCTAGAATCCGATTATGCTCAACAGGCAATCCAACGCCACAGGGGCATGATGCTGCTCGTGGGGAAACAGCCTAAGGTACTTCCTTTTGCACCTGCACATATTACCGCAGGAACTTGTCGAAGCGGCGATGAAACTTGACGTTGCGTTACCGAACCAAAGACGGCGCAATGCCACACATACAAATTGTACAAACGACCAATACTATACATTGGATGGCTTCGTCAAAAGTTGCATTCTGATGTATCTTGTCCGCAAACAACTCTATTTCACAAAACCGAGGTCCCCCTACCTCTTCGAGAAAACGACACCACGTGCCTCCGCCAACTTATGTTGAACTTGCAGCTGTCGCTGACGTACGACGATTTCCTTACGCCGCGAGCTGTGCGCCGATCGAACATTGGCGTGCTTCATGCGGTAAATCATACTCGCGCCATCACCGCGACCGACGTATCTCTGCAAAGAAAGAAAGCCAGTGCCATAATCGATAGGACCGATCCTACCGGGTAAGTTGCGATCTTTAGATAGTTTTCGGACAAGTTCTGCAGCTTTACGGTCTGACCCCTTGGGTGCGCACATGTCCTTTGACGCAGCACTGCGACGTTTGTCCGAGTAGCGCTTCGTACGCGTCCGCCTCGACCGGATTACCACTGGTGTACCGTCGGACATCTTCAGGCCGTGCCACATGTCAGAAGGGTTGTCGCACAAATTTACACAAGTGTCGTGCTTAATGTTCACCATTACGCATGTGGAACTCACGTCGCTTCCAACGTTGCTGCTGTCACGCCTATGGCTTCGGAAACCAAGGGATGACCCTCGCAGCATCTCAGCTTGCTGCTTCACGTACCATAAGTAATTAGGGTCGTCGGAGAACATCGACTCGCTGTTCTTCAGACCTACGGGGTCAGAGAACGGCGAACACGTCGTCTCCTCCTCATCCAACAAACACTTCAGGTCCACGTTGCAAAGGCTGACCACCCGCGTTGGATATGTGTCGACGGTGTCTATGGAAGCCGTGCCATGCAGGCTCTCATGAGAAATCGCCAACATTGCGACGAGGCGTAACAACACCTAGAGCACAAAGATCGCGAGTTTAAACTCTCGCAGCTACATCATGTTTACTTTAACAAAGGCTAACACACATACCGGGTGCAATGGCAGCGCCGAAACTCGACCTGACCACGAGCTGATAATGTCGGAAAGTGTGAGGTTGCATCAGCGCGTAGCTACACGAACCATGCGATTATGATGATGTGTGCACGTAGTCCAGTTGCCACGCTTAACGTGTGACGTATGGATGCCTATCAAAACGAAAAAACGCCCACGATAGGCTCCACGAGCAAGACTCCCCCGATTTTAAGAGTGTCCAAAGGCCCCTTGACTACCTGTGACGTTTTGTCAGAACAGGTTGATTGTTAGAGCGACAGTGATCACTGACAGCCGCACTTGAGATGGGCGACCTTGCCGTGGCCTTATGGGGCTGCAAGATACGAGTTTCAGGCGAGCTGAAAAAGTATGAAGCCAAGAAAAATCCTATGTAGCCAACACAGTGACGTCACACGATAACCGTTGTAATTTACAATTTTGCCGTCCAGATCTCAGCGTAACAGCGCCGACGCATACCCGAAGTAATGGTTGGAATCGTACGTCGAGACGCCTCCGTAAGTATTTTTTGCTGCAATACAAATATAGGAAATCATAACATACCACTTCAAATTTTATATGGAGGACGCTTGTAATTACAGGGTTTCAGATGCGCTGTTGATTAGCTATATGTGCCAGTTTTTTTATCGTATGTCGTAACGTCGGCGCGACAGTGAACTTTGAATGCGGGATACACGCCTGAGTCATCGATAAAGCCGATAGCTACGAAGTTGCGGGCGCTCGCCGCGATGTTGCAGCGAGGCGGCGTCTCCCTCCCTCAACGGAAGGTTATTGTCTATATTCCACACATGATAACTCTCTGTCGTTATCTCAACAGTCAAATAAATCAAAAACGACAATGAGCGACTCACCTAGCGGTGTTTGACTAGCACTCGCGACGACAGTCTACATCAGGGACACATTTAGCAAAATACAGCTTAACAGCTTCCGGTATTATATACCAATTTAAAACGTTATACAAAACGTCAAAATTCAGGGTTCCCTGAAACCGCCACCTACTTTGTTGTGTAAGACTGGGACTCGCGTAAGCCCAGTATCCCCCGCGCACATATGGATTCACACGACAACCAAACACAACATCACACAGAGGATACCTCCGGGCCGTTCGCACGCACCTCCACAAAGATGAAGGGCGACGCGGATGCTACGCTTTCCATTGTAACTTCAAATCAACCAAATCTAGCGCCACTTGTGGAGCAGATTAGGGATCACCTCGCTACCAAACATTACCATGAACTAACAAACGCTCTCACGGAACTTTTGGGCTCATATACGCTTGTCTGCGATGTAAAGATACGCGTATTCGAGGAAATAGTACACCCTATCAAGGACACACTCAACACATTGAGATTCGCACAACTACTCGCTAAATGCTCAGAGAACCTTGGTATGTAACAGACAACAGGGCCAAAACAATATATAGATCCCAAGGTTGCACTAGAACATCTTTGCAAATATGACACGTTTCTAGAAAAGGATCTAGAAGCACATATCATGCATCAAATCGCAAAGGTAAAGAAACTATAATGTGAAAAAAACAAATCAATGCTATACAGGCACACCATATGGTAAAGGCCGGGCAACTGAAGGAATGTGACGCACTGCTAACAAAGGTGAAAGAGAAAGTCGAGGACAGTATGGACATTGACATCTCTGTACACGGTGCATATTATCGAGCATCAGCGGAACTCAACAAGGTAACTTAACAACATATATAAAATAGAAACACTTGCAGGCGATGAACAATTTCTCAAAGTCATATAACGACTGGATCATGTATCTGTCATACACCAGTATCAACGACATACCGGAACCAGAACGTCAAAATATCGCTGTTGAGACTACTATATGCGCCATAGTAGCGCATGACAGCTTCGGATTTGGAGAACTTATGCACCAGCCCATCATAGAGGCATACCTAAAGGGGAGTGAACAACAGTGGCTACACGACATGCTCATCATATTCAACGAAGGACAGTTACAGCTATTCGACGAAGCTCTAGAACGCTACAGAGGAAAAATTGTACACACTGTAAGTTTAAAAGGTCCAAGAAACATGCATACTCCTTTCGTAGGAACTCGCTGGAAAAGAAACACAACTCAGACAAAAACTTACTTTAATCGCCTTACTTAACTTGGCATTCAGTAAACCAAGTAAACAGAGATGCCTTACATTCGAAGATATCGCATACCACTGCGCAATCACAATAGATCAAGTAGAACCATTCGTCCTAAGAGCACTCGCACTCAAGCTTATCAAGGGACACATAGACCAAGTACAGCAAACTGTACAAATCACATGGCTGCAACCACGGATACTTGACATGGCAAAGTGAGTAAAACCGAAGCCAAAGAGAAACCTCAATAAATGCGCAGGTTGCAAAATGTCGCCAATAGAATTGAAAACTGGATAGAAGCCACAAACGAGATCGTTTGCAGCCTAGAACAAATGACTAATTCATCTGCATGAAACAATTAAACAAGTAATTAATATGCAGTATATTATAACGGGGTTTTGACAATAAGAGTTAGATCCATGATACATGACACTGGTCAGTGCGGTATCGTTGACAGATGGTCACCTCATCTGGCGCCAATGCAGCTTTTTCGCCACGACCATAAAGGTAGTCCAACATGCCAGTAAACGCTATCATAGCACCATTGTCGATGCAATAACGCTCGTCCATCGGGTACAAAGTCGCACCACGAGACCGGGCCATCTCAGATGCCATCTCCTGAAGACGAAGGTTACAACCAACACCACCGACAACAAGTAACTCGGTAGCATCGACGAAGGACATCGCACGCTCCGTAATCTCGATCAACATAGCAAACATATGCTCCTGGACGCTGAAACATAGGTCACGGGTAAAACACTGAAAATCACAATCGGTGCAACCACCCGTTTTTAACAACTCCTTCTGACGTTCAATAAGCTGCTCACAGTACGTCAAAAAACCGCTCAAGGAACAGTCCATACCCTTAACCACAAAAGGAAGGGTTATCAGTTGAGATTCAGGAGAACGCGCTGCGAGCTCGATGGACAACCCAGGGGACGGCTTGTTAGGCAGACAAAGCAAACGAGCAAGACGATCCAGCACATTCCCAGCAGCGATGTCTAAAGTCTCACCCAACACAGCGTACACATGCCGTTGACGGTCATATGATAATACCTGGGTATTGCCACCGGACACGTACAACACAACTGGGTACTTGAAACCACTCAAAAACCTACCCATCTCAACGTGACCTACACAATGGTTCACAGGAATTATTGGAGCACCTGTTAGAAAGTGGACTGTTTTGGCTGCAATCGAACCAACGTGCAGCCCTGAACCCATTCCAGGACCACGCGTATAGCAAACAAGCGATATCTGCGATAATTCTATGCCAGCCGTGCATAGCGACTCTTTAATAGTCGATGCCATGTTCTCCCGGTGGTGACGAGCAACATGGCGAGGAAGGAATCCCTCGCCATCGGGAGCCGAGTAGGTTTTTCTTACGTTAGACAAAAGCACACCATCTCCACGTACAACTGCGATACCTAGCTTGTTGGCGCTGCCTTCTATACCCAAAACGTAAAATTCTTTAAGGTGATCCTTCGTATCCTCAGTCATTGCGATAGGCAGCCCTGGCACAGAGTGCGAGGCGGGGACGAAATTGCCGAACCCTGGCAATACACACAATCACACTAAAGAACAGCAATCTTCAATGCTGTAATCTCAGGACTACGTTATTGGCTGTGCTGCTTACGCAGAAGCCGTACCGGCCCCAGCCAACACACACGACAATAAGAAACATCAACAACATTTAACATCAAATGAACGACGAGTGGGATTGACCTGGGCCAAATGAAGCAGAAGACTCCTTCACATTTTGTAAAAGACAATCATAACCATTACGGTCGATCCTAGAACCAGATTCCAGCTCTCCCCGGTCAAACACCTTCCACGGCTGATCTGCACCCTTATCACCGGAGGAGGGACCAGAGTCAGAAGAACGCAGCATTGCCAACTGCTGCTGCGGAGTTTTCCCCCAAAGGTCGTGAGAAGTGTGACGAGACATGAAACTCTTATGCACGTCCTCGTAACCAACAAAAAAACCCTGCTCATGCATCTCACGCAGACTCACTAGCGTATCAGCACTGTCCTCTTCTCCCAACCGATGTGACACTGTAGCACCGGCGTCTAACGACGAATCCGTGCCTTCGGCGCCACGACACGTGCGGGTATAGGGGCCCTGGGACTCAACCTTCCTCCGGATATATGGCAATTTCTCATCGAAAGCCTCTAATAGAGAAATATTGCACTCAGCAGGCTTACTTAAACGCGTGTTCTCGCGACACAGATACAAAGCACGGCCAAGGTGCCGAAACTTCTTACGTACTTGCGCATCGGCGTATTGTGACACGTCCACGGAACCCCCTGTATCCAAAGTAGATAGAAACAATCGTAACTCAGACTCGCAGTCACACTTACGAATCAAATCTGTACATATACGTATGAACTCCGCTTGCTGATATATGTAAGGGAGGCTTGTACGGGAGCCGTCGCTGCCTGGCACACTTGGCCTGCTATTTCGGTCCGTAGTGCCTATGTTATCAGAGCCAGAAGCCTCTAACGAATCACATCTAACCAGAGTGTCTGGACTCCTGCGGTGAGAATGCACTTTTAATACATCACCGTCAGAATCGCGGGAGCGTAATGGAAGCGAACGACCATCTGGAGAATCGCCACAGCGAGACCGACTGCGGTTTCTACTCGATGCATATCGATAGGAATGAGAAGGAGAGTGTTCATCGCGGTTTAATGACTCGTCCCTTTTCTCATCTTGGCGATAGACACGACGCCTTTCGCTGTCTACTGTCCCAGCCATCCTTTCTTTAGCTAAAAAATCACTCACATGCTAAAAAGCAGTCACCGCATCTCTCACTTGACAAACTAGAACGTCTCCACAGGCACCGAAAGTTGGAGGATGACACACCAATACCGAAGGATCAGCACGCCCTTAAGTCTCCCCATCGTAACAAGAACCACATGGGAAACAACAACAAGAAACGTCACACATATCACACATTTCATATAACACACACCCATATACTGACGATATTGTCAGAAAGACACCCCCCGCGCGACGCGCGATCTGTACTGGAGGTGTGTATCAACTGCACAGCGACGGTGATAGTGACGCAAAAAACATGGCTAACCACACCGGAGCAAGCCTCAGGCAAGTAGTCAACCTGATTGTAAGTGTAGACATCAAAATGATGTACAAAATATGCAGGATGAACTCAGGGATATAGGATTACACAAATATATCAACCTGCCAAGAATATGTGTAGCTGGCACACAAAGCAGTGGAAAAAGCAGTGTTCTAGAAAGTATAGTAGGTATTGATTTCTTGCCAAGGGGAGATGGAATCGTTACAAGACGTCCTATCGAATTCAGGCTTAGCAAACTCACAGAAGAGGATGCAGATGGCAATGTTAAACCATATATTGTATTTGAAGGAAATGGAGAAAAGTTTTATGACTTTGAAGTTGCAAGGCAACATATTCAAGAACTTACAAACCAAAAGGCTGGAGTAAATAAAGGAATTGTAGATGACCCTATCGTACTCTCCGTTTTCTCACCAGATTGCCCAGATCTATCACTCATAGATTTACCAGGAGTAACGCGAGTGCCACTTAAAAACAGCGATCAAACTGATGATATTGAGGCACTTACAAAAGATATGATCATGAGATACGCACGCGACCCGCGTACCATCATTCTAGCTGTAGTTGCAGCAAACGTGGACATGTCCACTAGCGATGCCCTGCAACTCGCAAGAAGAGCCGACCCTTTGGGGGTGAGGACATTGGGAGTCATCACTAAAATCGACCTTATGGATCGAGGATCAAACGCTGTGGCAATGTTACAGAATGATGAAGTACCACTCAGGCTAGGATACACAGGGGTTAAAAATCGCTCGCAAAAGGATATCGCAGAGGGAGTCACAATAAAACAAGCACTCGAATTAGAACGACAATACTTTTCTGAACACAAAATATACAAACAACTAAAGCCCAGCCTATGGGGGATACCGTCACTCGTAGAAAAACTCACAAAGGTATTGTACAGACATATCAGTACCGTACTACCAGACCTCAAAGCGGAAATAACAAACAGAATCAAAACTGTGGCAGGAAAACTTGAGGCGCTAGGCGAGTCAGCACCATCCGGAGCAACAGAAAGAATTCACCTGCTATGGCAGATGACAACAGACTACTGCGAAGTATTCGGGGGGATCATAAAAGGCAGATATGTTAGTCGCCTACATGACTTCGTAGACAAAGACGCCGTTACGGGAATGCAAATTCGTACCATTTTTAACGAACTTCTAGAACCGTTCATAATGCAAAAGGTATTTGACCAACTTACGGATGTCGAAATAGATCAAGCAATACAAATGCATGAAGGAGACAGTCTACCTGGGTTCCCCAGCCCAGACACTTTCGAGTACCTCATACTACCACAGTTGCAGAAACTGGTGCCACCAGCTGTAGAATGCTTGGAACGGGTACAACAAACATTAGACTTACTCGCTATGAAGGTTGCGCAACGCATATTCGCCAGGTTCCCATTACTATATGAGAAGGTTTTGGCATTGTCGCAAAAAATATTCACAGAAGAAACACAAAATGCAAGGGATGTACTCGAAAAATATGTTGAAAGTGAAACTCTATACATTTTTACAAACGATGCGCAGTACATGATGGACAAGGCCGAAGAAAGGGTGGATGGAGCTAGAACTGGTGGATATGTTGTAGAAAAGGCTACCCAAATCACTCAGGCGACAGGCAAAGCCATAAGCGGCGTATGGGAAGCGGCACAAGGCAAGAAAAGGAGATACAGCTCGCAGTTTATTCAGGAAATAAGACGTAGACTTAACGTGTACTTCGCCATTGTGCTCAGAAATATGAGGGACTCGGTACCAAAAATTATTGGGCATTTCCTTGTCAGGAAGGTTCAACAGAACATGCAGTACAAAATATACACCGCACTCACTCAACAGAACCAAGAGGAATTGGAAACTACCTTTGGAGAACCACCGCATATTGCCCGTGATAGGGAGTTGCTTAAGGAACAACTAGACGTTCTAAACAGGGCCATGGGACTTCTGCAGCGAGACTTCTCGGCATCACAGAGGGACTTAGAGTTGTTTGACGAATCGTTCGACAATGACTTGAAGAATTTTAACATCAAACCTCAGCGATCCGCAAGCCCGTCTACAATGCCCGAAGATATGCAAAAACGACCTGTAACGCAACACCAACAGCAGGATGTTGCGACACATACAGCCCAACAAACACCAAAGCCACAACCTCAACGCACAAGGGAACCCCCGCGAAGGATCGTCGCGTCCAATCCGCTGTTCGATTGAATAGTTGCCGCACAGCATAAGAATGCTACCACATTAAATCAAATATAAATGGGTAATAACATTTTTTAATCATAATGCCATGCGCTAAATGTGAAAAAAAACTATGCAAACTCGCGACACCGGATACCAAACGCGATGGTAGGCACTACCGAAGACGCTCTCATACGACCCAGGTAACCGGTGCGCCGTCGGAGTAAACAAGCTAGTTGAGAAACGTATACAAAAGGACAAGTGGGTGTGATAATTCAACAGACGAATACGCTACAGAATTGAGCCAAACAAGAACCAGTGTAAGAACTGTAAGGCCTTCCTACACATAAAGGGAAAATACTGCAATGTATGGTAAGATGAATACAAAACACGAATTAAACCAATGCTCAGCGCCTACAAACAAGGTAGATGTCATATATGCGGAAAGAAAATGGTAGACGTATCCAAACACCTAATGTCCGTCGTATGAAGGACATTTGAAGGTGGTCCCTGGCATAACTCCACTATAACTAACAAATAATGTTTTATATCGCACGCTCAGACGGTTGAAGCTCAGCTGGTGTAAAAACGAAGAAAAGAGGTGTGCCGGCGTAGCTAGTTGAATGTGGCCGGACCGAGATATCGAATCGCTGTAGACCAATTGCAGTGGCGTGTGTACACCACGTAACATTAAAATTCTTTAGATGCCGCACTCGTAATCCTTCATGTGGCGATAACCGGCAGGGGGGTCAGGGTGATGAGATACTCGGCCTAAGCAACACACCACTCCAAAACACGACGGTGTCAGAGGAGCGCTTAACCCTGTGCAGCGAATAGCTCAGGGTAGGAAACTCTTACGGGGTGTGCCGACGAATAAATTAGGCTCGCAAGATGGGAGTCGAGACCCACGCCAGGACAGACCAGGCGATGGCCGGTATCTCCTGCGATAAAAACGCTGTGCTACAAGAGGCCAAGGTTTTTTCAAAAGTGCCAATTAACTCGAAAAAATGCATAGCAGCAATCACCAAAATACTATGCCTCATCAACAAAGGACGCGAGACTCTTACCGAAGTAGAAAGTACCGACGTCTTCTTCGGAGCCACAAGACTCTTCGAATCAAACGATGAAAGGCTTAGAAGACTCGTTTACCTACTGATCAAGTCAATACACGCTAACGAAACAGAGATTTTTATCGTCACAAGCTCGCTTACAAAAGATGTCAACTCACCAAACCAAATTTATCGCGCAAATGCCATCAGGGCAATGTGCCTCGTTGTAAAGAGCAATGTGGCATCGCAGGTTGAACGCTACATCAAGTCCTCACTCGTAGACAGAGATGCATACGTATGCTCATCGGCACTATTATGTTGCATACGCATATTCATGCAAATGCCACAAATTGTAAGGAGATGGGTAGGTGAAGCAGCTACGTGCCTAACAAACACAAACGAAATGGTACAATTTCATGGCACACTCATGATGTTCCTTGTCAGACTCAGCGATAAGCAGTCGCTCAGGAAACTTGTCACCACGTTGAGGCAAAGAGCTATGGGAGTGCATACCGAATGCTTCGTAATACGGTTCGTAGCAGCGAACTTCAACATCATGGAGACCGAATGCGTAGAAATTGTAAATGCCGGACTCAAACACACAAAAGATGCAGTCAAATTAGAGGCCCTCAAAGCAGTTGTAGCGCTAGCTCTCGCCCATTATAAACGCGTTGGCAGCATGCAAGGATTCGTATTCGATCTAAGGGATGTTATATCGACGCTACAGACGATGCTATCCACCAGAGACCAGACAATTGTTTTTGCCGCAATGAGACAGGTCTATCGAATGGCACAGACACTACCACTACTGATCAGCGTACTAAACGCAAAAATTGAAGAAATGCTTAAACGAAAAAACAAAGACATATCGTCACTAGCCCTGCTTACATTACTGCAAACAGGAGGGGCAGAAACTATAGAGAGACTACTTACACATGCCGCCAGCCTCTCTGGTGATTTCAAACTGGCCGTTGCAAAAGCATTGAAGGGACTATGTGTATCGTTTCCAGACAAACACCCAGTAGTGCTCAAGTTCTTTGCAAACAACTTCAGGGATGCGACCGCCAAAGAATTCAAGCGGGAAATGATTGATGGAACCATGCATATAGTCGAACGCATTCCCGCAGCTCAAACTACAGGCCTTAAAAATCTTTGTGATTTCATTGAGGATTGCGAATACCCTGAATTAAATGCTAAAGTACTCAAGTTCCTAGGAGACCACGTACCCAAGACAAAGACACCGGAGGAGTATGTACGATACATATATAACAGACTGTTGTTGGAAAATGCAACCGTTAGGGCCGCAGGTATAGAAGCACTTGATAATATAGTAAGAAAGTGCCCTTCACTCAAGTCATCTGTCTCTGTACTCTTGCTTCCATCTCTCAAGGACCCTGAGGACGAACTTAGAGAAAGGGTCAACTTGACATATGAACTCATGCTTGTGGACGACGCAGTAACTTTAAACAATACGCTACTACCACCAAGTTTAAAGGTAACTGGCGATTTTAAGGACTTTGAAGCAAAGGTTAAAAACTCCGTAGCAGCCAAACAGCTCTGCGATGTTGTATGTGCAGTATCTGAAAAAGGCAGCATGGACAAACTAGCTAGACAGTTGCTAGAATGTATAAGCAACAAACGGGGCTATGATGAAATCGACGAATTGCTCGTGGATGTTGAAGCAGAAGATGAACATGACAACGTTGCACATACGGTACAAGAACACACACAACCCAATGTACAAACAGACGTTCCCGACAGTGCAGATATAGTAGGAGATGAACCAATTGTGGAGCAAGAAACGCCTGCCCTTCCACGTGAAATCATGAACATCGTTCCACAAGATGTACCAATGGCCACATCTGCCATCGTCCACCTCACTGATGAAGAGGAAGACTATAGCGTAGAAGCTATTGTACACGCCACTCAAGAATATGTAGTGCTAGAATTTGTCATTGGTAACACGCTTGCCGACCAAATTCTGGAAAATGTAGTGGTAACAGTTGATTACTCCGTTTGTCGTAACGCATACAACTGGAAACTGGAGGCAGCGTTCCCTATAGAAAGGCTCACTGTATCAGAAAAGAACAGCGCATTTGCCGTACTGTCTAACACAGTTAAGGAAAGCGGATCGACACAACCACACTTGGGACTGCTACTGGGATTAGTCAGGGTGGACCTCACCTTTGACGCCAAGTGTGGAGGCGAGGACGCCAGGAGTTATAGAGAAAGCTATAGCGCAAATGATCTGCACCTCGCAATAGGAATGTACTGTTTCGATTGGACGCTTGGCGAATCGCATTTCGACGAAAAGTGGGAGGATGCGGCAGACATGGAGACTAGTGGTACCTTTGGTCTGCAATTCAAGGACATCCCAGAGGCAGTCCAGGGAATGCGCAGATTCTTTGGAAACAGCATGGTTACGCAGTGTCCAGGACAGGTTGACAGAATAACGACACTCAATGTCGCCGGTAAGCTGCTAGATAAGCACGAATTCTTAGCGAAGGCCACCATAGCCCAGGGCGATCCGCAGACGAAGTCACAACCAGGGCTGCGGAAAGGCTGTATACTCAAATTACAAATCAGGACGAGCGTTGAAGAGCTCGCTGATATCATATTCACTTCTTTGGAATAAATATATACCTTATGAATACATACGTAAACACTATAGCTAACGCGAGTCGCCGCACACCTGCGAAGCGGCACCGCCGCCACTCTTTGTTTGCAAAATGGAGAACGGGGAAAAGGACGCCATCGAAATCGATGAGGACGTTGAAATGGGCGCCGATATGCAAATATTCGACGAACCAGATGACGAACTCGAAGAATTCGATGAGATCGGTGAGACAGACACTCCCAACCTTATACATGTTCAGAAAACGTAGTTGCTGCCGAAGATGCAGAAATTTCAAACTGGAATGATGATTGGGAAACTGCTGGTAAGAAAACGGAGCTTACAAGATATCGCTACGCAGGGTGGGATGACGAAGACGTGGAAACCGACTTCGTCAAGCGGATACTCCAAGAGCTGGACAACTACAGGAAGGCGTACCACTAAAAATACAAACATTTATTTTAAGTTATTCTGACCTATGCGGCTACAGCGCAAAAATGCCGCATTCTTGATAAGATTGCAAGGCTGCTGCAGCACCAATCCCCGGAGCTGAACCAGCGAAGGAACGGATCGATGAGGTCTGGCTGCCGACTGCACGGTAATCGTTGGTGAAACGGTATTCACCCACCGTTCACTGATCTCTACCTTGCTTAAGCAAAAGAGGCGGCCGCCGAAACACACCGTTGTGTCCTTCAACACAATCTGCGAATGACTCGACTGACTGGTTCGAAACCGTCTAGTGAATATAGATGAACTGTTTTTGAAGTTTTCATACACGCTGGATAGCTCCTCTGGCACGCAAAATGCGGTTCCGGAGAGCTCGAGATGCTTAAGCTCTAGTAGCGAGTCGTACACGTTCGCAGTAACGATCTCCTGCTTGTAATCCGCTACTACTCCCAATATTACACTGCCATTCGACAGTGTAACTGAAACACAGCAGCCCCTAAGCGCGATGATAGTCCTCCCTAGCACAGACGACTCGTGGCGATGCCTCGTACTTGCAGGGCGCAGAGAAGTGTGCATACTAGTGTTTTACAAATTTAAATAATTAATGTTGCGGTCCCATTGCGCAGAAGAACCGCGCGCAGCGCGGTAATGCTTCCACGCAGAACAGTGGTAAGCACTAACCGGAAGTAGCGAGTATACATGCCAGCAGAGCGCTACATGCCCCGTGATACCATGGGATTTTCCGGTGCTTTCTTCCACTGAAGAGTCTGAAATCGACAGGACGCAAACTTACAGCCTTAAAAATCATGTCCTTGTACTGTGAATACTTTAGATTCGGGTACTGAAGTTTGAGCTCGGCCATCTTAGTGGCTTCGTATGCGTCATAGGCCTGTAGCAAACCATGTGTATGTGGATAATACGACGTACAGCCTTAACACGCTTCTCAGCGTTGGCATCCTTCCTCGTACCAATGGAAAGAGCCTCCAAAACATCGTCCAGACCGGAAGCTGCACGAAAATTATCCTAAATACAACACAACAAACCTTTCACTAAGTCGATATCCTGCTCCTCGAGCATCTGCCGTTCAAGCATATTTATATGGTTCATGTTAGCACGAGAAACGTCGCAGTATTCATTCTCCTGTAAGGCATCACTACATACTTAACACACACTCACCTCACGACTTGCCGCTTCCTTAGCCCGTGCTTCGGCCTGCAAAGCTTGCACACGCAAAATCTGCGCTCGGGTAACTTTCGGAACCGCTGGGCCCTGAAAAAGCTCAAACTGTAAGGGGGGAAACCAACCTTTGCGCAAGTTTTATTTGACACCAACTCAGCTTCTTCTTTCTCTACCAGCTGACGCAGCTCTTGTTTACGCTGTAGCTTGTCCTGCTGCCGGCGCTGGGCTTCAAGCTGCAACATGTAGAAACAAACAGTAAAAATGCCCACCTTACGCTCCTGTTTAGCCAAAATCAATTTGTCATTGTCTTCCCAAAACTTATCCAAGGCCTCGGCCTCCCTTTTGCGCTCGAGTGCAGCTTGCTGTTCCTTTTTCCGCTGCTTCGCCTCCAGCGCTTTGGAGTTGATGCCACTCATGCGCGGCATCGTGGAAACCAACACAAGTCCCAATCCTAGTTCCGATTATCACCTAAGGTCACGTTAAATGAAGGAACTTCAGCCATCGCTTTCATGGGACCCACTGCATGACGCAAACTGGCGCGCCAACCAAACGTACGTCCGGTGGTTACAACTATATGTATCAGTCGAATTATAAATTTTTCATTAGCACATGAAGGTAACTAATAATTTTATGTAAGCATGTAGCACTGCAGTAAAAAATAACGGCAACGAGTCAAAAACGACATACCAACATATCTAAACCACACACTACTCAACTTAACTTAGCACATGCACCAAAATAATGACTATAATGCAGATTCCAAATTTTTTGACATCGCATACCTTATTTTATATACTGTAGTTAACTATGAGTCACCGTCTGGTGCACGTGAGATGCGTTAAACACGTACATGTGCAAAGTAAATGTGTAATGCCGTAATATGTCGTTAGTTACATGAAGGCTCTAAAAATAGTCATGCAGCAATCATACACGACACGCGAATAATATTAGAACGTCCCCTGCATATAGGTCAAATTCGACGATGCATTTGCGCCACGGATCTAGACAGATTACATGTACATTAATTTTTTTAAAAAAAATATATGCAAGTTAGCCATTAAAAACAATTTGGAACCGCTGGAATTAACAAAAAAAATAATAATAAAACTAATGTTACATTGGCACGGGGTACTAGACGTCATCCAGAGACAACGAAAACAACGTCGCAGACCAGTACAGCGTCTCCGCGCATCCTGCCACGCTGGCAAAATCCCTTTGATTGGATGTGAACCTACCGAAGGATATGCAAGCATAGGCAAGTAATAGAAGCAATCACCAGATATCGAGCAAAAACGGCACAACGCGCAAAAGTGCGACAGTCTCCATTTTTCCCCGCTAGAAGAGACGGACACCGAAAACACACGCAAGATGAAAAACACGAGATAGGACACCTCTAATCCGTTTTCAGGTTTTATAACACAGAAATTATTCAGAAGGTTCAACTACTCCAACGGCTAACCGGACGGCAATGGAGAACCGGTAAAGCAGGCTGTCGCTAAGGGCATGAAGAAGGGCTTGTACAACTTTACGACATGACGGAATCGATATTGTCAAAGTTTTGCGGTGACGGCGAAACCGATGACGCCGATCAGGTGCGCACAGATGGAAACGATACTACTGCTGATACGATGGACGCCTGCAAAACCACTGCACAAAAAATCGCTGAGGATCAAAGAGTCATCAAGACCATCAGTACAGTGTTGCTTTATTCTCCAGTCATACTGTTCATAACAACCGCAATGGGATGGTACATCACATTCGGAGTGCCGTCCGTCTCAACCATAACTGTTGTAATCGCAGTGATCGCCCTGGCGTCTTACCACATCGTATCATGGGCAGATCCAGGGATAATACCCAGACTAGCAGATACGTACGACGCTTTCGATGCAATTCGTATGAGACGGAAGTATTCGCACGTCCCGCCATGCATAGAGGTCGCTGTAGCAGGCAAGTTCCTCAGGGTCAAGTACTGCCACACGTGCAATATATATCGCCCACCCAGAAGTGTTCATTGCGGAGTATGCGATGTATGCGTTCATAGATTCGACCACCACTGCAAGTGGCTTGGAAACTGCATTGGAGGAAACAATCACAGGATCTTTTACGGCTTCATAGTATTTACGTGCATCGAGGCCGTGATGCTCGCAGTACTTTCCGTCATGCGCATTGTTATCATCAGTCGAACTAAGGAAAATTCCACGCAGATTGCACTAAGCGCAGTCTTGTTGACATACATGATTCTATGTGGTTGGTTCGTTGCAGGACTCATGCTCTACCACACATACCTCGTTTGCGTGAACAAGACCACAAACGAACAACTCAAGGCACTTTATGCAGACTATAACCCATGGAACAGGGGTATCATGAGAAACTTTAGGGAAACAATATTAGGACGCCCCAAAATGCGACTTCTGTGCACAGCCATAACAACAGCCAAGCCGATCTACGATCCGGGTAGAAGCTTTCCACTGCACTTTAAACCATCGTATGCCACAGCGCATGAAGCCACCACGGATAGAAGGACTGCATTCGATAGCACAACACACGAGAAGTGGGAGAAAACGAGAAATGCACTAAGCAGTCAACCAGGGCAGCTCGCCAAAGCCTAAACCAGCTGATGAGATTTTGTTATACATAGGTTGACTAGCCCTGTTTTTAAGGGTTGTATGAACGCAAAGCCACGACATGGCGGACAAGTGCTACAGTATTGGATACTACCAGCAAGGACAAACATGTCTAACAATTTTAATCGCCAATGAAGTGACTCAAAACATGCCACTTAGGCTCCAAAGAGAACCAACAACGACCCCCGCAAGTGTAACTAAGACATAATCATTCATCAATGCAGCACAAACCTAACGCAGCTGATCGAGATGAAGCCATGCGATGCAGCGAAGGCGACACACCTGGTACAACCTCAGGCTGACGCAGCTTGACAAATTGCCTTTTCCCGCCACTCAATGCACGCAAGCGTGCTACGTAAGGACCCACGTCGTCACCATTCTCCACCAGCAACTGAAGTCATTTATGGAAGAATTCTCGCAACTGACCTTGTGCGTGTCGTCACAATATGGGAACTTGTGTGACTGCCAGCAGCGGCACAGACGCACTAACGCCTCTGGCTCGTTAGGCTTGGGAAATTGCGTGATTACCTGTGAATTTTGGGCTATTATACAATCAAAGATACGTGGGAATACAGCGGCTGCCTTCGAGTGTTGAAGTCCAATTTTTCAAGATACTCCAGAGGGTCGGACATCTTCACGCCTTTTACCAAGATTGCATCGATGCCTTATGGCTTAAGGCCGAATAAAACAATATGCACAACACACAATACGCGGCTAGCAACGATAAAATAAACGCGATGCACAATGTGATTAACAAAAAACAAAACTTTGCAGGGTAATGTTGCCTGGAATATTTGTGTGTAACAGGTGTGTAGCGTTTATCAATACAAATTTATGCGACTGTGCCACGATAAAGCGCCTCATCTTCTAACGCACAATTTGAAGCTGTCTAATAAGCCTCAGGCGTTCTTACTAGTGAAATAGGTAATTCTGATTTGTATAATAAGCAAATTGGTATAACTAATTGTCTCGCGGACCTTCCTTTCAACAAAATCAATGACACTAAATACGGTTTTTTCAGTTCAACAAGTCCTGAGAACCATCCATGTTGCCTCAGTACAAGGCCTCCAATAACCGAATGGGTGTATCCGGTGTGCGTGTGATGCCACCAGAGCAGTCGGTGGACTCGATTCGAGATAGAGCACCGCACCATACCACTCATAGCTCGTGGGTAACGCACACTGGACATAATAACGTAGATATAAAGGGTAGTAGAAACAGATTAGACCTAGGTATTGCTGAGTGCGGTAGAAGGTCGGTGGCGCTCGTTGCTCGGACGCGGAGCGTTACAGAGGCGCTAATAACATATAAAACTGGTAGATTTGGGTATAAATCAGACTAGAACTAAGCGTCTCTTAACACGATAAAAGATATGGCGTCTGAAAGCGCTGTAGTCAAGGCTGCCGGCATCATTGTCTATACCCTGGATGCTCTACTAAACCAACCGAAGTACCTACTACTGAAGGCATCTAATAGACCGTTCCATTGGACACCCCCTAAAGGTTCGTATACAGAGGTTTCCATCGAAGTAGATAACTATAGTCGTCTTCACCACATATATATACAGGTCGCCTGGACCCTGGGGAATCATTCATCGATGCGGCATACAGAGAGACATGGGAAGAATCTGGTTTGAAGAAAGAACTTATAGAGATGGACAGCTCGTTCGAAGAGGTTGGATTGGATTTATTGATAAATGGATAGATATATACAGGTCCTGAGATATACAGCTAACGGGAAAGACAAAGAGTGCGTCTACTATCTCGGCAAACTCACTAACCCAGGGTCGGAAATCACACTATCGCACGAACACACCGACTATGCGTACGTGGGACGTGACATATATATTTGTGACTATTGCGCAGCTGGGTACCCGCTAACAATATAGGCGAGTACTGCGACAAAGAGTCGCTTTGCGTCATGATAACACGGGCTGACGACCATATAAGAAGTAAACTACATTAGAGAGGTTCGGGAAGAAACTAACGTCTATCATCACTTATCCATGCTAGGTTTCATGGCCTCCCGTCGGCACATCTCCTGTAGCTCCTCGGTATTGACGTCCGATGAGTTCAAAAAGACATAGCGCACTACGGAGCCTCGTACAAAGCAGTTGACAACAGATAGCTGATGCGTAATAATATAGAGCTTATGACAAACACACCAGGTGCGGGTAGCGGTCCGTGTCGTTAGCCGTAACGTTGCTCAATTTGAAGTTCAGATATTGGTCAACGGATTGGAGACGACCCGTCAGCTGTAGATCGTTCTTCAACTCAACCGTCACACTAGCACCCTTCTCCGCGAGAGTTTGAAAGAAGTTGAAGAACAACTGAACAGGAGCTGTTGTCAATGGATCCACTAAGGAAGCGACAAGGCACACCAATGTACACAATACAAGCACGCAAACTCACCATCTTGCGGGAAACACGCGATAACTGTTGCTCAGGCACTAGCCCGGGGCACTAGATAATACAGAATGGCGGCGGGTTACATCGGGCTACCAAGGCGATTGGTCACGCAAAATAATTCACAAGTATTAGGCAAAATGTAGCTACAACAATAGACATGTGCGGGCTGCCTCGTTTGAGGAGTTCGTAGTGGACACTGCGCGGGCGTCATTCGCTGACTGTCTGTAACTATAAATGTCTGGAATCACTGCGGGAACATCTGCTAGTGCGGAGTATTATATTGTAAGGACCATGTGCTATTCGGTTGTACTTCTGCTAGTCGTATTCCGTTATATGTAAGGATGCGTTTGGCGGCAGGCAAGGCAAACCAACCTTCCTGTGGAATCTGGGCCCCGGGTTGAACAGAAAACATCGTAAGGTTACGATGTCATTTAATAATTGCTAGGAATCACGGGTGTTGGCTACTTAAAATGGTATTTGCACCCATTGAGTTCTCTCGCAAGGAATGCCGTTGTGCTACACATTGCACCGAAGCAACACAGGATGCATCGAGATAGAGGTACCTGGTATTGCGCGATCTTATTCTCATTCGAGTCTCTCGAATTGGATCGATAACTAGGTGATTTTACCTTTTACACCCACTTTGCCGTGGAATCTTACACATTCTGCACTGAGCAATATGGTAGGCATCTACACATTGTCGATATCCGCCACCGTGGCGATTCTGTGCACTAGATTCGTAGCAGCAATCAGTCACGATGGATACGGTTACAGCCGCACTTCCCCTGATGGATTGATAACCCATGAGGTCCGAGGAGATAATTTCCACCCGCCCGTTGCTCCAACTAACAACAACGGGAATTCTAGCAGCGGCGTTAAGGATTATGTAGTCGCTTTGGAGTATTCTGATAAGTATCACAACGATGAAAGGGGCACAATTATGGCATTCGTCAAGGAACTTGCCACCTTGCTTACTGCCGGAACCGGTAGCAGACATCTTTCATTATTCCGGTACTCGGCGGAACGCAAAAATTTCTCTACGACGCCCTTCTACGGTGAGAATTTCAGGGAGAGGGAACACGAGATAGATAAAATGTTCGCAAGACGGTATGCGAATGGATCGAGGGACCTAGGAGATGTCTTGGAACTGATGCGTCGAGGGGTGTACCCCAACGCTGAAAAATACCTTATAAATGACACCAGTACGCCTCTTAAATATGAGGATGCTCTTGGTAAGGACACCGTAGTCATCATAATCACGAGTGGCAATGTGCATAACAAAGATAAGGTGCTGGACGAAGTTTTTGACGGACGTCGTAATGGTGTCACATTCTACGTTGTTGACCTCGGTGGCAAGTGGAAACACTTTTGGGCACAAGTTTTAGGCTGCCGTTATTATTACAGCTGCCCGAACTACATTGATGCACAATATCTTAGGGTAGAGCAAGATCTCAATAGTTTGATAAGTCGAATAGATAGCCGAAGTGGGAAGGATGCTGTGTGTTTTGAAGAATGGTCGGAATACACTCCTAACAACGTTAAATCCGACGCAACAATTATGACGTCCTTATTACAGGGTTACAAAACATTGCTTACATCCAGTGTAGGTGAAGATGGCACTAAGGGACGTACATGTGAAGAACAGCTCAAGAATATCAAGAGCAGACAAGTACTGTGTAGCACGCCCTCGTGCACGCCAAAGGAGTATCATAGGCAGAGAGACACAACAGACTTGGCCAATGTTGAAAGCACCGCCGATACCAACGTCCTAGATCATTCCTCTGTCGAACATGGTAACCATGGAGAATCCGGTGAAGGTACAGATGGTGTCGTATCTGGATCCACCTCAGGAGTTGATGGAAATGTTGCTGAAGAGGAAAATGAATTACATGAAGTAGGCATGAGGACAACGGAGGGCGGCGAAGAGCTACAGCACGAGAGATCTGTTCGTGGTGACACTTTCGAAGGTGCTCTGGAAGAAGCAGATGGCGGTGACTACATGCAGCCTGAATACGTTGATGCGAACGGCGACATAGTTGGAGGCCCGGAGCGTGTCTCCGGACCTGTTGTTGAGTACGTAACTTATCCTCATGAGAAGCCAGTTGAATTCATAAAAGATAATGAGCATGATTCGGTATCCACACAACATCACCATATATCGCACAGAAGAGACTCTCGGAATGCTGGACGAAGGAATGCAATCTTAATATGCGCTATGTGCGTCCTCGTTTTATCCGTCATTGTCGGTCTAGTATACGCCTCAAAATGTAAACAAAAGAAGAATGAATCGGAATTGGAAGATGGTGAAGGCAACTTTTTGGATGGTAGAAGTGGTGGTAAGGACGAAGTCGGTGATACTTACAAAGTTGCTGACGCCAGTGACAATGTCTGGGCGTGAAGGCGTATAATACACGCAGCATAGGAAATCTGTCGGCTTTTATTGTCTACCGGTGTGAAATCTGCGGAACCCAGGTTCTGTTTTTTGTAGAAATCCAACCGGTAACTTGCCTTGTAGAACCGATGTAAATATCCGGTTCTTACGAGCCACTTAGTTGATAAAGACTAACAAAGCTCTAAAACGTCCGCATAATGTATCAATCATAGTTGTGTACGTGACTTAATAGCAGATGTACGGTGTGTTAGGTAGGCACCGCGACCTACAATATAACGGTCCATTGGAATCTTATTTTTTTTCATTGCGTGGACTATTCTATTTAACAAATATAACAAATAATGATGCTAAAATCGCACACGAGATGTGCACAGTGGTTAGGCACACTTTGGCGTCGTGACTTGTCTAAGGCTCAACGGCGATGGATAAGTGATCGCAGCGAGGCCACTTACAGCCGACGAATATATTGCAATGCAGGGACCATGGAATTTGGCCCACCGACTTACACGTTCTTTACAGAAACTGCTTGCCTCACTATGAAGCTGCGCAATGATGAAAATCTGGGCTATAAGGTAATGCTATTGTCTGCAATGACACGTGAAGGGGGTGAGTCAAAGGTATTCGACAAAAAGTCGCGTGTTTCATCTGTGTTGCCTATGGATGAAGTAAAAAAACTATTCGACGCCATTTCAACCGACTCAACGACACAAACAACGTTGCACGGAGTCGATGGAGGAAACGTTATTGTGGCCCGCTCTTGCGGTTCTATATCGCTTAAATTGTGCCCTAGCCTCATACCGGGCCTTAATGCCACCAGTACTGCTGCCACTTCTATGGCATCCAGCAAGGTGCAAGTCAACTTTGTGGGAGGGACCAACGAAAACACACTTTTAATTCATGCATTGAAAGAACTCAAGGAGTACTAACAATAGTGTGCATTTATGAGTGGATTTCAAGTGCCAGCGTGTTCATGCGGGGCGAAAACTGTTCGAGTTCCACGTTGAGTTTTGATGGCAATCCTAAAGCCCCCAAAATTTGGCATGTACACTCAAAATTTTACCAACAGGCCATAGATCGGAAACCTTAAAACATGCGAGAGCCAGGCTCATTCTGCAACTTGAAGATGCAGCCTACAATCAATGGCACGCAATAGCACGTGGCATTGGACCATGATGAATCACATGGGAAGTGTCACCGCACGCCTCCCATAAACCATCATACAAAGTTATTTAGCATGTCAAGGACAAAACACTAATCATATTTTTATTATATATACGTGTTTTACTGACAACGGTAGACAGCAAAAAAATATTGCAACAAGTTTACTGTTTTCTAAGTCCAATTTGATATTTTCGGGAAACAAAAATTTAGGCCCAAGATGATTGGTTACACCAAGCTCTTGGCATTATTGCCATTTTTCCAACTTGCGCTTCTAGCCGCAACTGGAACCCAAGCTACAATTACTAATCAACCAGGTCGGTTCAAGTTATCCATTTGAAATAAAACATTTACCAGGCAATCGTGTAGCAAAACAATGCAAGCGACAATTAGACTTTTCCATCGTTGTCGATGAGTCCGCAAGCATTTCATTGAAGCATTGGCAGGAGCAGATGATCCCCTTTTTAAGGAATTTGATACGTACTATTGATCTTGACAAGAGCGACATCCGACTTTCCCTCACCACTTTCTCAACTCCAGTTCGCCAAATATTCGACTTCCTAGACGAGGCTGCCAGCAATACGAAACTTGCCTTGGAAAAACTTGAACGTATGAGTGAAACCAGACCCTCTCATGGTATGACTTTTACCGGAAAGGCCTTACACTACGTCCGCAAAGCTGTGTTGCCCTACGGTCGTAAAAATGTGCCTAAGGCTCTATTAGTAATCACCGACGGAGGTTCGTCGGACGCTGATCACACTGCTCAAGCAGCTGCTTTGCTTCGTGATGAAGGTGTCAATGTTATGGTCATTGGAGTGGGTGATGTTAACATCTTTGAATGCCGAGGCATGGTTGGATGTGACGGTGTCATGGATTGCCCAATGTTCAAACACACCAACTGGGCAGACATGATAAATCTGTTCTATGGCCTTATGAAAGAAGTTTGTGACACTCTTCCTCAGGATGCGGAATGCCAGCCTATATGGTCGGAATGGTCAGAATGTGATGCAGAGTGCAATGCCAGTGGCATACGTACACGTAGCTTGATCGATTTGAAAACAATCAAGGCAGCGGTGAACGGAACTAATGGCCAGCTAGGACGTACATGTGTGGATCAGAAGTCTGATTTCCCACCTCAGGCTGTGCAGTGCACTGGAGATTGCGAGAAAATAAAGGAGCACAAACACGACCTCCCACCTCCACGCATAGGTAAGCTCATACGATTTATGAATCACGATATATGTTTCCCTTTAGAGGGCGATAAAGGAGAAGTCGGAGGAGCCACCGATTTGGATAAAATTCCAACGGAGGTGCCTCAGACCCCCAATGCCCATGACGAAGAGCCACACTCAGACGACGATGAGGATTTCAACACACCTTACTCTCCTCATGAACAGTCTACGCCCCCCAGCCAACCAGATGTACATACCACGGACTTATCAAAGATCGACGAGTATGAAACTACAACTGACACTGCAGAGGCAACGCCTGAAGAGGATGGACTGCATGGAACAGGGAGTGAACGAGAGGAGCGCTTGAAGGAGGAATTAGAACGTCAACGTGAATTGGAACGAGAAAAGGAGGAGGCTATGAAACAGGCATTTGAGAAGTCTCTCGAGGAGCAACGTGAGAAGGAGAAGCAAGAGGAAGAAGAGCGACGACTTGCCTATGAACGAACTATCTACGAACAGATGGAAAGGGAAAAGAAAGAGGAAGAAGAGAGGAGGCTTGCCCATGAACGAAACATCCGTGAACAACTGGAGAAGCAAAAACTGCAAATGGAAGATGAGATGAAACAAGCATATGACCGAACTCTCTATGAACAAAGCGAAAGCGCAAAGGAACACGGTGGCGATGTCGTACACACTGGCGGAGCGACTGGCTTAGCGACTACCGGCGCATCATCCGTTGTTCACGATGCTGCACTGCAACCAAGGACGGATACTCAATCCGTGAAGGGGGCTGACGGTGTCACAGCGCAAGGTATAGTTTTATTTTAAACATGATATATGAGCTTAGACAATGTCGGTAATGCTGAAAACCAGGAAGGAGATAAGGGTGTGTTTTACAAGTTCTATGTGTAATCCTCTATAGGTCGTTCTACCAGCAACACAACTAAAATTGCGGGAGGCGCACTGTTGGGTCTTCTACTTGTCGGAGCTGGAGGTGGATATGCTATGTACAAAAAGTGAGTTCCATAGTGCGTAGAGACACATTATCTTTCTAGGAACAAGGTACCCCCAATGGACTTAGACCCTGGAGATTACGCTGGGGCCGATGAAAGCGTGCAGCCCATGAAGGACGCTGAAACCTATACCGTCACCGAGTTCGACAACAACATTTGGGGCGAAGCAGCCTGATTCACTGAACCAGAAATGTTATAGTAATATCTATGAGAACTCGTATCCTATGGCATCTATTTGTGGGCGCCGTGGCTTTTCAATCCGCCATCAGCGCAAGATTACCGAGTAGAAATATCACATCAATCATTCCTCCCATGCTGTATAACTCTCAAAGAGACCATGATCGCGATTCCATTGCACTAGCGGTAACGCGTGAATTGGCTCTGCGAGGTCCTACGGACCATGCACACAAACCTCCGAAAAAACAACGCCAACAAGGCATGTGTAACCCTGATGTTGACGAAGCAATTGTTTTCTATGCACAGCTTCACGATAAGATATTACGTGAGCTGTTATTACCCGCAATGGATGCTGCAGCTTCGTCCAGGCCCGTAGACACCGACGAATCGCAAAAGGTATGAGCCTTCCTCGAACATAAACATAGTTTTGCAGCAGGGTACAAAGGCTGAATGGGATATCAAAGTGAGTACGGAGTCAGAGCCTGTGCAGTGCGCAGTGCTCGCCACTGTTCCACCGGGTACAGTGCTGGTGAGACCGCCCGCATCGCCTAATGATGCCAACTCCGGGGAATATATTTCGGTGCTGGCTCTTAATGGTCTGATGAGGTCAAAGGCTGCCAACTTTTCGTTGCTGTTCCCAAATGCTGACCCATCCCATCTGGAGAAGCTGTATGCGTACGCATCGCTACCGGTACGTCTCAACATAAACGAACACAATAAAATTCAGACGGTGTTGATAGCATCACTTTGTGACAACAAAGCATTCACACGCTCGTTATCGGTGCTACTGATCACTACTTTAGCGGCGGCTGCCCGCCACGTGGTACTCGACATTCTGATTGCACTGTTGAGATCAAAATCGCTATGGAGTCCGCAAATATACGGACTCTGGAGCCGTATATATCACACGCCCGTACCCTTGCTTTTTCTGACGGCTAAGAGGGCAGCTGAGCTCGTCCACGATGCATTCGTCAGCGTCGAAGAGTACATCCGTCAGTGTGGCACGGAGCTTGAAGGACATATGCTTAACGCCGATTTACGCTATGTAGCATCTCACCAACAGGTGATTAAAGATCACATAGGTCGAAACAGACGATACGAATCACTTTTCAGCGACTCCACTATTCAGAGCGCTTAATGTTTACGATTCGGCCTCTTTGGCTTCCTCAGTAAAATAGTCAGCCAACTGATCGTCCAATCGGGTCTTTACAGCCTCATTGCCCATATATTGATCCAATTCCATATCCTTCAGGCAAATGTATAGGCAGCGACAAAAACAACATACCAGTTCGTCCTTGGACTTGGATTGTTTTACCGGCTTCTTGCGCACTACACGAGTCCGCTTTACAGGCACCTGAACACGAGGCGGAGCTGCGACTACAACTACACGTGTAGGACGCTGTATCGGCCTGGTGCGTCGTACCGGTTCCTCGCGCCTTGGATAGTATCGCGTTTCAGGAATGGCCATCTGTGGCCTTCTAGAATTTTGATATTCCGAACGTGGAATAGGGTGTGAGTAATAACTCCGTTCTGGCCGAGATGGCTCGAGGCGCGACGTGGACGACACACCCCGGTTATCGTATGAAGGGGGACGCGAACGCAACGGCGGCCTGTATTGACGCACGTGGCGTATAGGAGAACGCGCTCGATAGCGCGAAGGGTAGGTAGGATGCATTTTTTATCGAATGAACGGTACACAGAAGTAACATATGGGGGGCGACACAGAAGCGGATGTAGCACAGTTTAACAGAGGTTATGTCTATGATGAACTGTTTCGCAGGCTCTTACGGTGAACCCTTCCTGGGCGGCCACCACCGAATGGCGATGTGAGCGCGAAATCGATGTGCTTTTCCGAGTCCACACGCACCATGAACGACGGAATGTCTACGATTTGCTTGCCGACGCGAATGTGACGCTGGCGGATCATACAGCGAGCGTGGTGAATAGACTTAGCAAGGCCCAACTTGAAAACCTTCGTTTGCAGACGACGCTCCATCATCTTGTTAAGCGTCAAACCAAGCACGAAGTCGAGTTTCCTCTCATTTTCACCCATGAGTCCGTAGCGTACCATACGCCTCAACAAAGCATCACCTAACAGATGTTAAAGCACACACAACACATTCATACCTTGAAATTGACGCTTGGTGTCTTTCTCCTCAAGGGTTAGTAGGTAACGAGCGGCCGACCTAATCTTGGACAACACATATTGTACCCTCCACACCTCACGCTTGTTCTTGAGACCATACTCTCCGATGAGCTTGAGCTCTTGGTCCAAACGTTCCTGTAAAATATGTATACGACGACGGCGCTTGGGTCACCAACCTTCTCGAAGGGACGTTTCGGATTCCTGGACGTTTTGCTGCAGTTCCTGTTGCTCCCCGCCATTTTTATATATAATCAATGTGACAACAGTAACCAATATAATGAACCTTTGCCCTTAAATCGGCTTTTTGGCTACATGGGGCCCGTGGCCTGGCCTACCGGACCCCGGGTGGGGAATGACCATGTGTCGGCTATGTGAGCGAAAATTTAGCGAACAGGTTGACTGTGTAACGCAAAAATGAGGACAATATACAAGAAACCTTTTCTTGGTTCTCATAAATTCGGCGTTTCCAGTTTTCAAGCGCAAAGTCACGAAGCTTGGTCAATACCAGACGCCAGACAACGTCGCCCGTTTCCTCGCCTTTAGAGGTTGCGTAGCGGAGCTCGACCACCTGGTTGTAGAATATAAATGACAAACTCTCAGAGGTCATGCTTTGGACGCAGACACTGGTGCCATCTACGTCGATTGGCTCCTGAGATCGCAGCGATTCCAGCGATAATTGGCATAGTGTGATGAATATGAATCGGTCAATCAAACACATCTGTGCTACTCGCAGTCGGTATGTCACGGGGTGCTGGTCACCTCGAGTATACACTGGCACGTGGGCCCCGTTTACTGACAAAGCGAAGTCGTGCTCGATAAAAAATGCTACCGCAGGTGGAAAGGTCATCTTGGTCATAAGGGCCGTGTCAGGGCTGGTATCCTCGTAATACGATATCAGGCACTGTTGTATGGCTCCTGGGTGAGACAACTTGTGAACATCCCATGACTCCCACACCCGGTCATCCCCGACATCCTCTGTCTGCAAATCCACATCGTAGAATACGACAAATACAGAAAAACTACATGGGTAGTCCACGTCGAAAGACGATACATCCACTAGGTTACGCACACTAAGCAGAACCTTAAAATGGGATCTGATTTCCGATATCAATCCAAGGAAGTGGATTTGCAGTTTTATATATTTCGAGAGAAGCTCACCAAGCTCTCGACACTTATTGGCACACTCATCTATACGTCTGTTGCGGCTGAGTATAGCGCATTTAACACTATATCTGTCGCCCTCGAGCGTAGGAACGGCATAATTGAGACGCATACACTGCGAGGAATGCAAACATTCCAACACCTTTTTAGATTTACCGAACACCTGATTGGCTTTCTCTTGATATGTCTTTGCTTCATCCCACTCTAAGGGGATGCTTTTCTGTGCCCATAGGCCAGAAGCCATGCATATTGTAGATGCAGCGATCTGCCAGTTCTCACTGTTGTTGCGCTCCAAGGCTTCTTCCAGGCCACAATCATCGTCGGTAGGCAATTCGGAGCACGCAGTGAAGTAATCTCGCACAGGAGCTTCACGGATTATGGCGCCGTTGAAATAGCGAAGCACTCTGCCGTCATCGGCGCCGTAGCTCTCTAGACGGAAGGTGACGTTGCACACGGTGTCACCTTCCAGGGGCGAAGACGTGTCATCGGACATTTGTAATATGTAAAACTTAATTATTAATGTAGTGTGCAAGTATTCAGTCGTCTCATTCTAGCACGATAGCTATCACAGCTACCGCGTATGGGACATAAGGGCTCTACAAGACGCCACCAATGGGATGTTCGAAACACTGAAAATAAAAATGTTTTTCAAAGTTATATACGGGCTCCTATAACACGCATAGAATGCCCAGTTATGGGACAACGTAACATTAACGGCGACGCTTACGTGATCGATGGTTCTCGTCATCGTAGCGGTTCCTGTCATCCTCCTTCTTAGCAAACTCTTCCATCTCATCCCATGATAGACCCTCTTCTTCCTCTTCATCATATTCGTCATCATCCTCCTCTTCGTCCTCGTCAGCTAGAGATTCGTCATCATCACCGTATTCCTCATCACTGTCCTCCTCAATCTCCTCTTCACTGTCATGCTCGTATTCTTCATCCTCGTCGTCGATAGACTCCTCATCACCCTCTGATTCACCTAAGAAACCATCAAACGCACCGTTCTCAACAAACGCGTCCACGTCTTCCAAAATAGTCTTCAAAATGTTGGTCCACTGCAAGTTGTTCTTCCCCTCGTACCAAACCATATCCAACTCATTCAGCCAACTCTTCAATATGTCCAAGTATTCCACGGGAATCAGGTCAATGCGTCGCACCGGTTTAGAATAGTCCTTGTTAACCAAAACCATGTCAAAGTTACGCAGACCGTGCTGCACCCTCTCGAGAGACACGATCTCAATGTCTTCAAGTGTTAGCACAAATGGTGGCCACTCAACCAGATTTACCAAACAGTGGGCCGTGGGCAGAATCTCGACGTTAGATTTAGATGGCACACCCGTAAACATCAATTCACGATATGGTAAATCAACCACTAAACCAGACATCTCTTGTAATTGCGCAACGAATTGTTTGAAATCAGCGTTCAAACGCCTCTTCATCTCACGATCACGCATCTCCTCAAGGGCCTCGTCAGGGTCGTTGTACGATCGACCACGACGGTTGTCCAGATCGTCGATTTGGGTTCCCACTTCACAGTAAAACTGCACATCGGTAGACTTGCGCTTGCCAACCATTATAGGTGACTTCAGGTGAAAGTGAAGTAACACTATCAACTCGCGTTCGCATGGCTGGAATATGGCATGACGAATGTTATTATAAGTAATGTCCACGTGATCTACACGGTCACGAGTGTTCACAACATACCGTAAACCATTATGATGGGCCTCTAAGAAACCAATGATACGCCTAGCACCGTGCACGTTGGGACGGACCATAAGATCTTTGAGTACTAGACGACGACCCATCTTATTCAACTGCAGCTTTTCCTGCTCAGCAATAACACGATTGGCGTCCGCGTCTGTTTCACGCTGCTTCACCTGTTTGATCAAATCCTTTATCGCACGAAAAACATTCTGCAGATGCTTAGAGTCGGAAGAACGGTAGAGTAACTCCTTGACGAAAACAGCGTTCTCCTGATGCAAATCCGGTAAAGGATTCACCTCTGTCTTTGAACTGAAAGTATGAGAACCTGGCACCTGGAAGTTTATACGTAGTGTATATGTCTGGTTATCCTCTGAGTTGCAAGCCGCGTTCTTCACGGTCATTATACTGAACGGCAAGTGGTAACCATTTACGGGAAGCATGATAACTTCATTGACGACGTCCACATATATTTGATGTGGCACGACATCTGGGGAAAATGCATTAGGGGAAGAGAAGGAACGCATCTTGTCCATCTTGACTACCTGTTTCTGCTTAGTGGTACCTGCTAAACCTCCCTCCTCCTTCACACGATCAGCAATAGACGACACTTTCTGTTTACGAAGCTCCAACTGCCGGTCCATACGAGCTTTCAGCTCAGCCTCCGAGAGCTGATTTTGCCCTCCTCGGTCACGTTTCCTCAAACGTTCCTTCAATATCACACTATCCGCGTCACGAAGTAACTCAGATGAGACCCCGGGCTGCTTGTGAGGTTTAACCTCAGATTCCTCTGGAGGCGTCTCATCATCATCCTCCAACTCGTACGATATGTTCTCCAGACTCTTACTAACATTTGAGGTTAGCACGACAGCACCCTCGTCAGTCACTTCTACAGTGTCTCCAATCCACACAGCGAACTCTTTGTTATCAGACATGAGGTGACCGAACCCCAAAGATACGTGAAATACCATGCCGCTACGAACAACGCACTTGTCGTTACCATTGACAAGTGTGAAATCCGCATCTTTGAATTCAAGACCCATAGTGTGTCCCACTGATCGCAGAAGATTTTCGGCAAACTCAGGCTTCTCTTTTAAGACATACTTGTGTACTTCGTCGTAAATCGAACCAAAAGTAACCCCAGGCTTAAATTTGGTTAAAGCGAATTCGAAAGCTTTTAGCGCAAAGGAGTATGCATCTTTGTGTGTCTGAACAAAAGTTATGGGACCAAATGGCTGCAACATACCGCGGTCCCGTCCAGCAGAAGTGTACGTGTGACACAGGCACACAGTTCTGAATACTTCGAGCAGACCGAAACAATTATAGCACCCGGATTGTGAGACAGGGCCATATCGTTTGGTGGTACACCGATCCCTAGGTTGAAAGTATTGCCACTCTGGACATTGCTATATATAACCTCGATTTCGTTGGGGTTTAGGTTATATTTCCTTTGCATCTTTTCCAAGAAAGTGGCATCATCGTGTACGTTACACGTCCCCGCCACTATTGAAGAGTGTGATTGTTTTGTTTCTGAATCAAGGATGTTCTCAATTTGGTTGATGAGCTGTGACTTCATCACTGCGCAGGCAAACTGGGCAGCCCGCTTTTGTAGATCCTAAAACACAATATATTCAACTATACCAAACTACCAACCAGCTCAACATTTGTGCGAACGCACATCATATTACTTAACTCGAACGTCACATCGACTGAAGGAAGGGTCGCAGCAACTTCTAGACACTTGTCCGAAAATGGACCCACAGGGTCGAAACCACCCACCAGACCCAAAACGGGGCTCTAATAAAAAATATAACGGGACATAGCTGGTGTAACCTACTTCGAAGTTAGAGAATATGCTGGATACATATTCTTCGTCAGGTTTGTCAGTGGCACGCTGCAAAATCACCAGTTTCTCATAATGTTGTTTGATTGGTTCAAGATATGTAGCTGCAGGCGGTCAATAGCTATAGAATCCAGGGCTCGTACCTTTTTTCGGAGACGTCAGAATATACCAGGTACCGTCCCTGGCGAACGCGAATAGTGTTTCTGGGAATTGGAAGCCGGTGAGCCATAGTCTGGATAAATATGAGTGTTAAGGTGAAATGACTGTGATGGAGGAGCAGATGCCCGGCACACACCACATAAAGATGTCAACTAAAGTACTCACTGTAAAAGTTCAGAAGGATTCGCGCTCGCATCGTTTTGCGTCTTCCCTGTGCAGACAAAGATAAGGTTGACAGTAGACAATGCAGGAGCGTCAAAAATAGCGCACAGCTGTTGCAGCTTGACTTTTACTTCGTCGTAATTAATCACGACGCCACGCTTGGCGTCAGCCATCGTTAAAAAACGGTAACTGAGGGGCATTCTGCCGCACAGCATTGGGGAGAGGGTGACGCGATATGCGCCAGTGTGAACTGCCTAAACTTAAACTGCATGTGTTGTGATACCTCTTTACGTATGATAAAATAAAATAATAACTAAGCGTACAGAATCGTGCAATATCGCTCTTAGACATAAAGGTGATCATGATGGTTACCCATAAACCGACCAATTCATGGTTATGATGCAAGTTAGCTTTAAAGAGTCCCATGTGTTTTGATATTGTTCAATGTCTTTGTGTGTGAGCATTGATGTAGCTATCAAGATCAGCGTCGAACCCACAGACAACATCCATGGGCTGGATCAGGATTCCAACATCAAAGTTGTGCAGACAGGCACAACATCATTTTAACTGTAACTTGTGATCTTTGATGCAATATTTATATCATTTACTGACGCGACATGTTCTGCTTGGCCCACCCCATCCCACAAACGGTTGACCAGCCCACAAACGGCGGATATCCATTCGCAATTCCCCAAGTCACTCAACGGCACCGACCCGGGACCGTCGAGCCGAAACTCTAGCCGTGAAATACGTTAAGTTACAGGTACAACCATCATGAGCGGCCACGAGGATTCCGCACGGGTCTACATCGGCAACTTGCCAGAGTCGTGTAGCCAAAAGGATCTCGAAGCTGAATTCGAGAAATTTGGCAAAGTAGTGAGTTGCGAATTAAAGAAAAATGTAGGAGGTACTGCATTTGCATTCCTCGAGTTTGAGGATCCGCGCGACGCGCATGACGCTATTAAGGAACGCGACGGAAGCGAGTTCCTTGGGCGCCGCCTACGCGTGGAAACGCCTTTCAGTACCAAAGATGATCACCGTTCTAACCGTAGGCGTGGTCCTGGTCCACCCCGTCGTGGGAGGTATCTCGTAGAGGTGGGTATAGCGATTGCTTAATCGAGACATACGAAGTTGCGTCTCTAATACGTAACGACGATGGATGAGAATAAGTATAAATAGCCACATGGTGTGCTCAGGTCACAGGGCTCCCGCCAACTGGGAGCTGGCAAGATCTCAAGGACCACATGAGAGAGGCTGGGGAATGCGCCCACGCTGATGTGTTCCGCGGTGGAGTTGGGGAGGTTTCCTTCTATTCACGCAGCGACATGGAATACGCCATTGACAAGTTCGATGGATCGACGTTTAAGTCACACGAGGGTACGTGCTTGGAGCATGTCTACTAAAAAAAGACACAGGGGAAAAGTCGAAGATTCGCGTGCGCGAATGGCGTGCAAACTACCGAAGCCGCAGCAGAAGCAGTTCATACCGTAGACACAGACGGTCTCATGGTAGGGAGCGTGAGAGGAGCCGACGCAGCCCGCACAGTCGGGGGCGAAGTGCTGATCGCAGCCGCGAGAGGGAACATAGACACCGCTCACGTTCTGACTCATATGGTCGCCGCAGATAAACAAATAAAGAACAATGATGGTATATTTGGCGAAATTTTCCGCAGGAGCGGATCGGTGAGGCGGGACGATAACCCTGTACCGACTCGAGATGAACTGGACATGGAGGTGCTCGCTCGCTTAACGTTGAATCTGCCCATGAATAACTATCGCTACAAGTTCTAAAAAACGATTGCTTTAAAAACGTGTATCATAATAGAAATTCGTAGCGTCAACGTGGACGCATAGTATAGGTTACACACCTGAGGTTCTGCCGGAGGCAGACTGACGGTGAAGTAGATTAGGGAATGAAGGCTGTGGCGTCCACACGCCTATGCGCAGGCGATGCAACGCAATCGCCTACTACGCGGATGACTGAACAAGCCTGGGATGAGAAATGGCATACCATGGTCCATCACCAAAAGCTCCGGAAGGAGCAAGACGCCCTCCTGCGTCAGAAACTCATAGAAAAGAGGGAAATGGAAGAGTATATTGAATGCACGTTTACTCCAAAGACGCATTGCGGGTATAAGAGCCGTAGCGCAGAGGAAGTGCTCAATATCTTGAAACCTCTTATATCCGAAGAAGAGCGCATTCTCCAGGAACTCGGTAAAATAGATAATGAGGAAGAAGAGAGCGTAAGGCGGCTTAGTTGCGAATTGCGGGCGCATATCGCTGCTACACAAGGTACCGAGAGTACCGAACTCATCCGTTTATGTGAGGAATACCGCGAAGAGCGCCTCAAAGAGCTGGCTAGGGTAAAAAACAAAAAACTCGATATTGTCGGTCTCTTGCATGAGGTTGAAAGAAAGTACAACATTATATGCGTTAAAGAACGCCTAACTGAAGATGAAATGCAGCGAGCCGGATTCAATATCGACTCGTGTCGCCAGATTAAAAAGGAAATACTCGAATCTATTAAAGGTGTAGACACCTTGAAAGATCGTTCTAAAGTAACGGCAGAGATCGATGCAATAATCAAAAAAGCCAAGGAAGACGCTGAGCGTCAGCGTCTACAAGCGCTAAACAACCGAATGATGCCGCGTGGGTTCAGGCCAGTGATGTATCCTGGTCCTCAGGGCATGATGCCTTTTGCCAAACAGGTGCCTCAGATGATGATGCATCCGCGTGGCCCACACCAAGGGCCACCAATGGTTCATGGTATGGTACATCCCACCATGATGTCCTACCCCCCGCAATCACGACAACCCACAGCAACAACAAAACCTCAATTCCAAATCATGCAGACACAGGGGTTACAGGTACCGCGGATGGTTCATCCAAACATTGCACCAGTAAACCCTCAATTTGGGCAGGCGCAACCAATGCAAACTGTGAGACCCATTATGTTACAGAGGAATGTAGCCAGAAAATTAAGGCAGTAAACACCTCTTAGTCAGCTCGCATATTCATGCGTATGGGCTCATGGACCATAGAGTCTATGACGATAACCTCAGCAGAGTCACCTGTTGAATTTTGTCTTATATGCCTCATCTTACAAATGCATACCTGTATATATATCACGCTCAACTGCACTTGTCATTGCTCCCTTTACTACATTAATGAGCTCCTCAACTGATTTTATTTCTTCATGTTTCTGTTGGTTACGACTGGTCAACTAAGCATTTGTGAGTATAAAATTGATGGAACAAAATACGCATATTTACAAAAACGTACATGGTTGTCCAGAATAGACATGATTAATGACGAGCTGGTTCCCTTAGCCATATAAGAATCGAAACCATAATTTCCGATTGCGTCAAAACCGCAGCTGACGCCACGTCCTAAGTGTTCATGTTTAGCCGTAACATATTTCGCCTACCGTTCTCATCTATACCACATAAAATGTTAAATGTGTAGTACGGGAAAAATCTCCTGCTGTACAGTATAGTGGAGAGCAGTTGCGCGATAGCGGCGATGCCTGGCTCCTTGTGATGTTTGAACCGGTATATCTCAATTTGACGCTATTAACGGATTATCTTGCACTTAGAGAAACCAACCTCCAATGCTGAGTGCAGTGCGAACGTATCCGCTTGCATACCAGACGTGCCAATAACGCACGTCTGTGTCCTGTGCCAACTATAAGAGCCAACGACGCAATATGAAACTTACAATTTCTTTAATTTTGACACATTACGCGTGTGGATTGCGTAGCCCAGAGACAAACGGGTATCGGCGGCAATTACCGCGCAGTGGTTCCACACCGCGGCGACAACTGTGCTACAGAACATTAAATCAAATTTATATGTGCACATACCCTCCGTTATTGACGTAAGGATTGAAGTCACTGTGCTTCTCCATATTATCAACTGATTCGCTCTCGGCCCGCCGCGTAGCGGAAGACAGGCCACCCCGCACAACAAATTGGTCACTACATAAAACTACAATACGTATGTGGGCAAAAGAAACTATTAGGCTGCTGTTAAAAGTGGAATTAAGCCGCTTCCTTGATCTTGTTGCATGAAATTAAATTCCTAGATCGATACAGCTGACGATTGTCCTTATAGTTCCAGGTGTCCGAACGAGGGGCGCACTTACCCTTCAAACTCTCGCGGCGACGCATCTCAAAGGCACTCATGAACGGTATAAAGCCTTCCGCGCTGTTTACCGAATTCACGACGCCAAAAGGCGGTTCGCACCCCATGGGAAGCGCACGCTTATGGCTGCTCCACCAGGATTGAGGATGAGACACGTAGTCCACATGCTGTGTACACATACGGTTCAGCATCGCGTGTGAAGGGGGACGGAGAGCCGAGTCGTCACTCGCATATTGTTTGCAGAATGGAGCGGCCGGGAACATGAGACGATTATAATAGTCAGATGTATTCCTGTCGCTAAACACTCCACATGCGTCCGCAGGTACAGGCATAAAGCGATCCAACGGTGTAGCAATGCCTGGAGGTTCAACGCGCGGTGTAGAAGCGATTTGTGGCATGTGCACATTAGAGAGCACATGGTAACCAGTTGACGGTCGTGTCGACTGGCGCGGATAATTTTCCACAGGCCGCGCAAAGCCCGTTACTGCACCAATCGGATAGTTTTCAACTGTTGCATCCTGGTTAGATGCGGAGTAATGGACGCAGGGGTTCGACCCCTTGCAGTACTGTCGGGCAGACGAAACATTTGTAAAATGCCCGGAATGTGCAACGGTTTCCTGCTCATTTACATTCTTGCCCTCATAGGAGCGTGTACTACACGCCAATGTAGTGGGCTGGGTACTTGCATAGGGCATCATCGACATTTGGCCAGACTCCTTGCCGACAACATCGGAGCGCTTTGCAGCTGCGTTGTACCATGCAAGACCCCAAACATTAGCGGGCACCGATCCCAAGTAATTGGTCTTCTCGACTTCCATACGGCAACTTTCGTACTCCAGTGCACTTACGTAAAGCTGGAAATTCAGCATGCTCAAAAACTGTGACTCGAGCATATTGATCTCGGTAACATTAACACCTCCGACTTGCGCGTAGAACTTGTTTGAGAAGTAAACGTCGTCACTGAACTTTGCAGCGAGCATAACGGCAGTTATGATCAGACGGTGCACGTTGAGGATAGACACCACAAAATTCTTGTGCATCTTTGTTATACGGTCGATATATACGAGTGCCAAGACAAAACATTCGTTGCTACAGCGTACGTGCCGAGCGATGCGATTAACATAGTCTGGAATTGAAATTGGCGGCGCGCTCATCGAGTGAAAACGTGTTACCACACCTTTCCTAGATTCGTTGTTGTTCACGATACGGATTAAAGCGTTTGACAACATATTGACAAACGAATCGTCCGTTGCTCGCGCAACTAAATGGTCCCCGACTGCATTCATTCTTGAGAAACATGTGGAGGTAAGACAAAACGCCGATGGCTAGTTAAACCTGGAGATCAGTTATGTGCGATCTCATACATACGCAAATAATTGTGCATATGAATCTTGAATATGTTTTGAATGGTACTTTGCCCACCTCTGAGAAGTAACAGTTGGCAATGAGGAGTGTGTTCACTCCAATATCCAGCCCAGCTGCTGCCACGCCATGGTTGCGCGCAACCGAAAAATGGTCGAGAGCATAAGGGAATCAAGCAAAACGGGCCGGAAGTTCACCTTCTTCCGAAAGATTCCACCAGTATACCGCGCCTTCCGTGTTGCTTGTGTGTTGCCCGAAACGTACAGCCGTAGATAAAGGCAGCTCCCCATCTAATGAAATCCCCATAACAACGTCGAGAAAAAAGTAGATGCGCGTCCCCACTATCCAGCGCAGCGCTACGTAGAAACAAGCGCTTTTCAGATGAGGATACGTCCACTGGGCAGAAGGAATGGCACTGCGTCTCCTTCACCGGTACTCCGCTGTAGTGTGCTGCACAACCTCCCACAGCTATTCTTCTTCCTGCGTGTATTCTCACTCTACAGACACGTGTTTAAATAATAGGCACGTTAAAAATGCCGGTTTGGGTGCGTGACAGTTGTGCTAGCCATCAGGTGCCTGCGCGACACCCACCTTTACAAATCAATATATAGCAGCATTTCAGTGTTTTCACACTTTGAAACTGCGCTAGGTTTCAACACATTTGTATTTGCAGCTCGAATTCTGCTTTTTAGAAACAACGACAGCGACGTCGCCCAGGTTGCACTGACGGTGGTCAGCGGTGCTTTTCTCGTTGCCTTCCTATAGTACCAAGCAGGGATTCTCTCTAGTATCAAAAATAAATTATAAACATCTCTCAGCAAATATACAAATCCACATTGCTGCCTACAAACCTCACCCCTGCCGCGCTCTGTCAACAAAGGTCATTTCCCCGTCTGACGCAAGACGAGACGTGTTTTAAACGTACTTTTGTTGCGTAAATGTAGTGCGGGTATTACCGACTTCTAATTTTCGTAAAATGTTAACAAAAGTTGCGATTAGAGGTATGACCTAATGGCGCTATCGAGTTGCGTGTCACGAAATAAACTACAGGCAGTTGACCACGATAATAAAGACTATTTATCATACAGTGACGCCAGGAAGCCGTGGATCTAACGTACCAAACGCAACTCGTACACCAGTGCATACCTAGGCGGACCCTCGAACCCGTGGAGCGCAGGCGCGCTTGCCGTTACAGATAGAGTCGAAAAATAAACGTATTACACAGTTAGAAACTGTAAACAATAAGAAAAAATTAACGACGTAACCCAACATTAACAGGGCTTTTATTGCAGCAATACCCGCCGAGGCACACATTCGTCATTATCAATTTATCACGACCCACGCGACGCGGAGTTGTTAAAAAAACGCAACAAGAAATTTGTTAATTTTCGGGCACCCCCGAAGGAACTATCAGGCGTCCCAAAATATCGGCGGATCAATTTTTATACAGACGACAGCTCGTTCAAGTAAGTTTTATGCCTACTTATTCGGGGCCCTCAAAATGTTACCGCCCTTATTGCAAGGAATCCTGCATAAGTATACTAAATGTAAAATCAATTACAAGTCTACATTGCGTGCAGAATGGCGGATACTGTTGCTAAGGTGATAACTGTTGAGGCGGGAAAGTCGATGGTCCAATGTGACCCACACTCTAGCTTCTTCGGCCTCATGGGCGCCGTTTGCTCCATTGTATTCTCCTGTGAGTTGCAAGAGGTTAACCACATAAAACAAACACAGGTCTCGGAGCTGCCTATGGTACTGCAAGGAGCGGTGTAGGAATTAGCAGCATCGGCGTCATGCGCCCAGACTTGGTCATGAGGTCCATCGTACCAGTTATTATGGCTGGTGTGCTTGGTATCTATGGACTTATTATGTCTGTTCTCATCGTCACAAACTGTAGGTGGCTAATATGTGGTATATAGACGTGCGCAGTCGGACACCCAGGCAGTTACCCTGTACATGCGGGATACTCACACTTGTCATCTGGACTCATTGTCGGTTTGACGTCATTGGTTAGTTGGCTCCGCAACAAAGTTACACGCCATCGTAGGCCTCCGGTCTAGCCATTGGTATTGTCGGTGACGCCGGTGTTAGGGCGCACGCACAGCAAACACGTCTGTTCGTGGGAATGATCCTTACCCTCGTCTTCGCGGAGACACTCGCCTTGTACGGACTCATCGTCGGATTGGTCATGGGACTTAAACCTATGCCTGACCTATGCGTCCCGTACGCGCTGCCCAAGACGACATGATACAACGAACCGTAGCTTAATGTGAAATTACGTGCAGGTTCAATGGTTTGGTAATATGGTACACGTAGAAACTCCTTAAAATATTCGGCTGGCCAGGTTGCGACATGCGTGCCGCGTCTCTAGCAGCACTGGTCCACGTATCTTGGATGCAACCAACTTGTTATTGGCGATTACAACGAATGAGTTCTCGTCGAACTTGAACATCATGCCGTCACGGCGTACGGTCTCCTTCTTACGGCGAATTATAATGCCACGGGGGGTCTTGTTGGCCAACGTGCACTCCGCCGTTTTGTCGCGTATCGACACTTTTATGCGGTCGCCAATCTTGCCAGTACCGTGTCGGGTACGACCCAAACCGATGATACAACCTTTAACGATGCCGCTACTATCGCCGCAGCGGAGAATCGACATCTTCTGGAGACCCAGGAGGACTCCGGAAAGAAACATGGTGCCGACAGCAGCCACGCTGTGGGATCCTGACCACAACCTTAGTGCTCACTGCAATGCACTGCCCAAGCTACAGGCGAAACTTGTCTAATCTCAATACTTGAAGCTCACTCGCATCCATATGGACGGCCTCTCTCAGTGAACGACCGAGTGTAGTCCTCGTGAAACATACGAAACTCGGCACTTACAGAGAAGCTATGACCGCGAAGTGCACGGATCAAAAATTCAGATTCCTCGATTGTACGGAATCCTGAATGTGTTATCTGGCCCTTGAACCAACTTGGTTTATACAATAACGGCGTAAGAGGTAGATCACATCTACCAGCACCCAATAGTAGGTCGTAACCTTCTTCCGGCGATGTTTGGGGTAAAGTAGGTTCGCAGATAGCCAAAAACAATTTGCTGTCCGCTTTACGTACGGCGTCGCATAGCAAAACACGCTGAGAATCTGTGATATCGTTCCACAGATATACTTGACGACGCCAAGCTCCAATCTCACAGTTCCACTGTGAAATGCTTAGTGACGAACGGTGGTCAGGGGTCACAGGGTGCCACGAATCACGAAGCTCAGTAAGACGTAGCTCACGAGGGACAGTCGCTAAGTAACGCTCGTATGCAGCATGAAATTTAGTTAGATTTATATTCTTTAAACGAGTTGATGCACGAGCTTCGCTATGGCTTGTTTCCTTGCGCCTCTCTACGCAAGTGACCGACCGATAGGATTTAACCTCGCGCATCGTACGATCGCTGGTTCCAACGATACATACGAATACATGGTAGTCAATAAACGATAAGACTCAGAAAAAGGAGACACCTTAGTGTCGATGACTCGTAGACGAAGGATGCCACGACATCAGGTGTGTGAGGCGTACTAACACACTACTCTAAATACACACAATTCATATACACCCTCTCTGATATATCGAAATATATCAAAGAAAATAGTGGCACAACTTATGTCTTAAATTTGGAATGCCGAATCGGATGTGCACACTACCACTTCCGAGATGGCGAATACAACATCGCTATTGCTAATGGCAGCGAGCTCAGCTCTAGCCTACACTACGCTCGCAGCAACTACAACCAAAAGTGGTGGAGCACTTAGTGCAATGATGCCACATCTCGTGAACTCGACCATGTCGGCGCTCACGGGAACGGCGCAACAAGATCTAGACACACCACGTATTTCACTCAAGGTCATGCCATCAAAACGTATACACCTTTCACCAAGTGAAATGAATGCGTTATTATTCACTATAAAACAAGAAATACATCGAAAGGTAGGTTAACAATGGTTACCCATCGAATCATTTATGTCGTAGGTCAGACAGCTGGAAGGTAAAATACACATTCTAAAATATTTTTTAACAACACAACAGAGGATTTGCTAGAACGACGACATGAAAATGAGAAACACCTTTCAGCATGGGCACTAAATCAAGCGCCGGTATATATGCCATTCCGAGGTACAAAGCCAGCAGATAAAGAAAATGACACACACACAGATAAGAACGAAACATCCAAAAGGAAACATGAACCTAGTCTACAAATGGAAGTAGAAAAAATCAAGCAGAAGGCAGACGCAAGGAACAGCGCTGGAAAACCTCCTGTAGTACAAAATGTATGTTCACACGATTCATAGGAAAGTTCATACATTTGTAGGAATTAGCAAACAACAAGAAGAGTGAGGAAACGTCGGGAAATCTGACATAGAAGTCACTACCGATAGAAAGGTGACATAGCTAGCACAGACGGCAAATATTGAACTCCTACAAGAAGCAACGAAAGTGCTCTAGTCATAGCAAACAATGTAACAATATATAATCGCAATTACACATGACACTGTATAGAAATGGCAATCTCCTGCTAAGGCTATGTCAAAGTCTGTCTTCCTTTGGTGGGCTAATCTGACGCGCTATAGGACCCCTCACATTCCCCCTTAGAAAGTAAGAAAGAGTACGTATAATACATTTTTAAGCGTTTTCGAAAATTCAAGGAATCGTGAAAATGAAGGTAAGCGGAACATAACTTTCAATTAACATTACGAATAGATCATTGCACATCACGTTAGAGACGTAATACTAAACGCTCTATCCACATGCATAGGCCAGAAGGCGTTGCAAGAACATCTGCCGTATCTATCGGTAGTATCGGCAAATCCGAAGTTCGGCGATTTTCAGTGTACGTGACAGAAGTAACGAGATTATTATTGTCATTCAGGGAACGATGCTATTTCGCTATATAAGGCAATAGGCTCCTCGTTGCAAGTTGGAAGCCCAAAGGAACTTGCAGAACTTGTCAAGTCACACATTGTCTCACCCACATTCTCAACAGTCAACGTCTCGCCACAGGGGTTCCTCACAGTCACACTATCCAAGGAATTTCTAGAAGAAGAAATACGCAACTTATGCAAAAATGGAGTACAGGTCACTCAAGCACCCAAAGGGTGAGTTAAAGCTTAAGAAGAATCTATATTCACGCAATCGCAGATTTCGGGTAGCAGTTGACTTCTCATCACCAAACATCGCCAAGGAGATGCACGTAGGGCATCTCAGATCAACGATTATTGGTGAATCACTCTGTAAGTAAGCAGTAATCCTAGCGAATGATGAATTTTCAGGCCGCATACTAGAGTTGCATGGATACGATGTGCTTAGAATCAACCACCTGGGGGACTGGGGAACACACTTTGGTTTGCTAGTGGAGTACATGCTTGAAAAACATCCGGATTTCATGACAAATGTGCCGAGCATCAGCGATTTCACACAATTCTACAAAGAGGCAAAGACACTTATGGATGCTGACGCAGAATTTAAAGCAAGAAGCAGGAAAAGGGTTGTCATGCTGCAGAGTGGCGACGAACTATCCATCAAGGTATGGAAATTGCTGTGCGACATAAGTGAACGTGAATTCGCCAAGATATACAAAATGTTGGATATCACAATAGAAAATCGCGGAGAGTCATTCTATAATGACATGATACCACATGTCGTCAACGAACTCAGAGAAAAGAATCTTGTAGTGGAATCAGAGGGGGCACAATGTATTTTCACAAGCGTCAGCTCAGTACCATTAATGGCAATCAAAAGTGATGGCAGCTACGGATACGACTCCACTGACCTGGCTTGTATCAAGTACCGTATACAGGAACTTGGGAGCAAGTGGATCATATATGTCACCGATATAGGCCAATCTGAACACTTTATGAAGATATTTGAAGCCGCACGAATGGCAGGTGGGTTGCAGCCTCATCACAAGAGTTTCACGATGCACAGGGTGGACCAAAGTAGGCAGCGAAGAGGTCAGGATAGACCATCTAGGCTTTGGAATGGTGCAGGATGCGTCGGGGAACAAGTTCAAGACACGTTCAGGAGATACTGTGAAGCTAATCACATTACTCGATGAGGCTGTCTCACGAGCCACCGTAGAGCTCGAGGCGCGTATCAAGGCACGAATGGAAGAGGGAGAAACAGATACTGATGTAAACATAAAAGAGGTAGCCCAAGTGCTTGGTTATGGAGCTGTGAAGTATTTCGAACTTAGGCAAACTATCGCAAACAACTACAAATTCTCATTCGACCACATGCTAGACCCCAGGGGAAACACTGCAGTTTACCTGCTCTATGCCTATGCGCGTATTTGCCAGATATTCCACAAGGCAGGGATAGACCCAGAGTCTTTGCAACCGGAACAACTTAATCTAACGCACCCCGCTGAAATTGCGCTCGCCAAAAACATCCTAAGGCTGCCAGCAGTGCTCAAACAAATCACTGTTGACTTCCTCATCAGCAAATTGGCAGACTTCGTATACACGCTCAGTGTTGAATTTTCGGCATTCTACAAACAGTGCAAGGTTATCGGAGATGCAAACGAGACTACAAGGTTGCTTTTGTGCCACGCAACTAAAACCGTCATGAAGGTAATTGTGCACATTAAAGTAATAATTACATTGCAGACCGCATTCCAGTTATTAGGGATCAAACCATTAGACCGAATATAAACAAATCTAATGAGCTATACCTTGTTGCCACGCTTGGACCATGTCGTACACCATAGTTGTCATACTGTGCAACGCGATGTGTATTTTACGTAGCATGTAGCTTGCAGCACGCTCCGGAGTGGCGTGTAGGAAAAGCCTTTGGCGAAGCTTCTCTACAGAACTGCGCCTGAAGCAGGTCATACCAGAGTGTTCCAGCAGCTTCACAAATGTTATTAGTGCCTCTGACTCCTGACGGACGCACAAATACGCTGATACTAATAGACGCACATATCTTTGAAAGTTGTCCGATTCAACACCTCCTAGTAAGTCGGTCATTTCCTTGGTTAGCTTGAATGGTGCTTGCTCGAAGTGAACGTCGGCAGCGGGTGATGAACCCAGAATAAACCCGTAGTCTATATGCAAGATGTGACCAGAGGAAGATATCATCAGGTTGCCGTTGTGACGGTCCTTAACCTGCAGAAGGAAGCAGAGCAGCGAGTAACCGGCCAATGAGTTTACGAAGTTATCCATGGCGCGATTGAATCTATGACCACCCCTAGGCCCGAACTTTAACGTAAAATAGTTCTCCAGGGAACCACCATAGTCTCGGCCAATCGAGTGTCGGCTTACAGCACCTGGTATGAAACCAACGATGCCACCCAAAATGTGCGTGCAGCCCACAACACCGTGGAGGCTAGCCGGGATGTCGCCGGATGAACCGCAGTGTGGACGGCAGCCCGTACACCATCTGCAAGGGATTATATCAGAATCCTCAGCTGGAGAGATATATCCACGATCAAGGGGGTCGACTGCGGAGCAACGGGGAGTAAGTGACTGAGAGGAATCCTCAGACGCCGAAATATACGTGGAAGCAGAGCAATGGCACGACTCCTGAGAATCAGAGTATAGACGCATATCAATCGGAGTAGTACAGACATCCTGTGCCTTTTTGTGAATACCAGGCTCCATATCGGACCCTACATCGTCCGACGACATAATTGCGAGGGATGCAGAACGCAACTTCACAACTGTCGAGAGGGCCGTGGAGTAAGGTACCACCAGGAACGGCTGTAAATATGATTCCAAATTGTAGGTGCGAAATATATGCATCAAAAAAAGCTTCAGCTGAACTACCAACGCGTCCTGGCGCATGTCATCATCCATCTTGTAAATGTAGCGCGTGGTGTCTCCATGTTCTAGACGAAAGTCGAGCGTGAAAGGGGCACGAGTCGCCGACTTGAGCAATCGTGAAGTTTCTGTCTCAAAAGTGCGTATCTTCTTCGATTGACGAAAGCTAGGATGCCCATAACATAAAGTATAGCCATCAGATTCGACGCTACCCTCAAAGATACATATTCGAGCTGATTTCACGTATGTATCGTTCACCCTTTCGAGGCCCTCCAGAAGCGCTTCGCGACGGTCATCAACATCTAACGTTGTTAAATATGATGTCAGCTGGAGCAATTCTCCATGCATGTAAATGTTTCGTAACTCCTGACGTAGGCTCTCTGATTCGCGTGCCGCCCCGGTAATCAACTCCAAAAACGAGGATGCCTTATGAGCCACCGAATGATTATCACTTGTGTGTGCCATACAGGCTAGGTAATATGGTAACCGCTCCCGTACCACGTCATTGCGCAAGGTCACAGACAGCAGGTGCCACACCCTGTCGCCAGGATCGACAGAAAGCGACTGGACAAGTTGGGGTAGAACCAATGCCGTAACCTGTGGATTCTTCGCAAATAGATGGCACGCTTGGGTACGCTGCATCACGCCAAGGTGGTCCTGAACAACGAAGTCAGACAAACAATCATCGAGACCTTTGTGATTCAAATATATCTGGGACAATAGTGAAACGTAGCCTTGGAAATGTAGTCTACCTCGGGTTGTAGTCCTGAATTCATGCGGTAACCATGGCTTAAGACATTTTTGAAATGCCAAATAATCAAACACCTCGTGTCTTCTCTGGCCCTTCAATGTAGCTTCGACAGTGGGTGAAACGTTCACGTTACCGGCATTCTGAAGTGCGAACAGCAACTTTAAATATACCGGATGTGGTACCACATCTAGATTGGCATGCTGTGTATCTGGTTTCATATCGTACCTAGAGAGAAGCGCTAGGCATCGCTGTCTCACCAGGTGCGCAGCAAACTTTAAAGATCGGGGCGTGCTGTGTATATCACCGTCACTTTGACAGACAGTTACCTCCTTAAACCCCAAAAACACATCATAAGCTTCACCCAAACGATCGTAAGAGTCGCAAAAGGTTGTGCATAGCTTGGATATACTCTTCCTCAGCAGTATATTCACTACGGAAATGTGCGATGGGTAAAGGGGAGACTTCGGTAACAAGGTCAGAATCCGGCACAGACCACAGGCAATGCAAGTGAATTCAATAAGACAACGAAAACAAGGAGTGGAATTCGGACACCGAATCATCCCGTAATTTACACCACCTTCGTGAAAAAACTGGGACAATATCCGGATAACCAGCCAGGTGACGCCCTTTAAGTCTTCTGCGCTTGTCAGCAGGAGTGTAACCAACATTAGTAGCCATTTCACATTGTTTAAATCGCTTTTGCCATATAATAGGCTTCCTCGCTCCATGACACCCGCTGATAACATTCGCTCAACGACGAAGGAGTAAGGGACGAACCTTCCCTGAAGTTCATGGAATAAAAGCTTACGATTCAACACGCCATAAACGCTGTACAAACGTTTGCACAAGTAGGGATACTTGGAGCTTTGTATTTCATAATGAGTCGCAGTGAACAGACGTCGGTTGAAGCTATCGTTGAGATACGTCCGGAAACCGTTCAACAAACTTGAATGCTCATTACCCATAAATATATAATCGATGAACAATATAACATGTATCATTTCGCTAACGTAGTCGTGTCGTAATGACCTCCATTGACAGAGTCTGCTCTGGAGGACAAGGTGCGACGGGAGCTTCTCGGACTCAGAAAATAATACGTTCACGGTGAAGTTAGCACCAAGATCCCACAATCCTGTGCCCTGGCTTCCTACAGCTTTTAATATGTGTAAATCGGCCCATTCTCCATTCGGTGATCTTAATTTGTGCTTCCTTAATGTAGCAACACGACGTATTAATTGTAGCATGTGCCAAGGCTTCACACTTATTCCTGACAGAGCTCCCTTGAGGTGGAGACAACACCACAGGGCCGACAGCAAGCACTTCTTCGATCTCCGAAAGTGGCTTGCAGTGGCATTGCAAACTTTGTAACAACCATGTTGTTTTCTCGATAACCGCCTTGAATTCACTGGGGCCCGTTTCACTTGGACACCGCATGACGGCAAATCGCGAAAAAATGCACAAACAAATTTGCAAAGCTTGATTATCTCCCTGTTGTACCGCCGCCTGCGCCTGCTCAAGGTTAGATAGCGAAAAATGAAAGAAGTCAACCGGTCCAAGGTGACTTCGAGATTGCGTTCTAACAGAAAGACAAAACGGCCGGGAGATAGCAACTTCCTAGATGTCGAACTATCTTCGGGTACAACTAAAGGCTCTACATTGCGGTTGCCGTAAACGATGGAGAGCTTGTGAAGCGGTGCGGTAAATGTCTTGCGATGCCCACGTCGGTTTAAATCACCGTAATAACGCGATCGATGTGACTTGACAGGTTGCTTAGATCTATATTTTAGGTAGGATTCCACGACATGGCTAATATCCATGCTACAGAAGCTATATGTGCAACACGATGTGTGGAGGCAAAGAGATCCAACATAGGCCGTCGTATGTAATCGCAAAGAACATCCACTACGATGCTGCTGCTATTATTATAATCCTTGGTGCTAGACGCGATAAAACAAATAATGAGTGTAAATGACCAGATCCCGTAACGTAGGCGCCTACGATGGACCCACTAGCGAGATCGACTATATTAATAATGCCAAACGTGAGCTATCTATAACCTATATATAGCACATATATTGGCATTCTCAGGTGTATAGAGAAACGGCTGGTCTATTTTGTGAATTTAGACGCAACAGCGAGTAGTTACAGTATATGCCAGGAAGATTGTAAAATCGGGCTCAATCGCCCAGTTGTTTTACATTTATTATCCACTTTAAGACTTTTGAAAAGTCGCTGTGCTGTGTCACCATTGAGTTATGAAACCGACTCGAGGAACGGAGCGGATGGGGTTGGAGGTAGGGAGACACCGTCGAGAGAACCTCTCTTATCCAGCGGTACATTGCTTATTATATATTTAAGACATAGGCGACAATGTTTAAGGAGGTAAGTTTTTTCCCGATAACAAGGTGTAAAAACCACTAGTTACGGAGATGGAACCATCCCTACATATGAATATTGCTGTGCAGAAAATAGTTATCGATTGCAAAGGCCACCTTATGGGCCGCCTGGCCTCAGTCGTAGCTAAGGAGCTCCTGAGTGGACAGAAGATTGTTTGTGTCCGGTGTGAGGACGTCAACATCAGCGGATCGCTCTACCGTAACAAACGTTAGTCCACTAACCACAAATTATTTGCAACAATACTATGCAGTGAAGTACCATCGGTTCCTGAGGCTGAGGACTAACTCAAATCCACGCCATGGTCCCTTCCACTTGAGGAAACCTTCCAGGATGTTCTGGCGTGTTGTGCGTGGCATGATCCCGCACAAGACCAAGCGCGGGGCTCTCGCCCTTAAACGCCTGAAGACATTCGAGGGAGTGCCGCCACCATATGACAAGATGAAGAAGCAAGTTGTACCATCTGCTTTACGCTTCTTAAAGCTGAAACCACACCGTAAACATTGCCGTCTGGGAGATGTTCTTGCGAAGGTGGGTGTTCGCATTAGCGTATATCGACTAAATATCTACAGGTGGGATGGAACCACAATGGCCTCGTACAGAAGCTGGAGACACGCAGAAAGGAACGCTCACAGGAATACTACAAGGCCAAGGTAGAACAGAAGAAAATCGCTGCCAAGGCCAAAGCCGAGGCCCTGACCAAACTACCAGAGGAACACAAGAATGCCCTTGCATTCTGTGGGTACGCATAAAACTCCCACATGTTGCTTCTAACCACCTCAATCATAGAGTAAAACGTTTGTATGTGTGTGACGGGCGCGATGCGCGCGGGCGCTTTTGCCAGATTAGCACTAAGTGAGATAAGTATTATTTTGGTTCGCACGATTAAATAATTCTGAGCCAAAGATGCTCAAGGATAACGTAATACATCAGAACTTGACCTTCACATTCCGGTCACTCCGGAAAAAGGAAAGGCAAAAGGCACACAGATTTGAAATTGGCAACCTTGATATGCCACTACTCGAATCAAATAATGGGCAAAGCGGTAAGGCTTGTTAGGGAAATGATAATTTTCACAGATGCGCCACCCGAGCAGGACCAGCCGGCTGGAGCTGTCGGTGTTACAATCAATTTGCCACCAAGTTGGCTCGAACTGGTAGAGGATTGCATATTTACATTCAAAAACATAACCAACCGTATAAGGGACTTGGAAAACGCACAAAATAAAAGCCTGCTCACCGTATTCGATAAAATGGGCAAAGGAGATCAAGGGCAAATTGGTGTAATCACAGCAGATATCGCAACCATGATGAAGAAAATAGAACGAAACATGGAAGTTATAGGCACAGAGGGTCCTGATTATGTCGAGAACCAATTGCGCAAAAATGCAAGACATAAAATCGCAGGTGAACTGTTAGGTTTGTCTGGTACGTTTAGGAGATTGCAGAAAACGTACTACGACAACGTGCAAGAAGACAATCAGACACGTGCGAAATCTGGTATACCAGATATAACGTTGACCGGTGATGGTTTCGTTCAGGAGCAAGTCCAAGTGTCACACGAAAACATCGCCGATCGCACCAACAGACTACATCAAATTTCCATGACCATGCAGGAACTCAAAGATATGTATACACAACTTGCCACAATGGTAGTTGAACAGGGATCTATGCTTGATCAAATTGACTACAACGTTCGCTTATTCACAGAAAACACAAAGAACGTAGTGCGAGAGCTAAGGAAGACGCTCAAACGAGAGACATCAGGGTTTGCAATCAGGATGGTGCGCAATCTTGTTGGTATCATATTTGTGGAGCTTATTTTAATCGTCATTAAACTCGCGTGATGCGTTACCCACAAACAAACTAGACTTGTTGCCTAATATTAGCAGTCCATTTTTGTTATGATTTAAGAAACGAGTGTTACGAACGCAAGACTTTTGCTGAGAAACTCAGAGAACTATTCAGCACTATATTCAATACAATTAACAGCTTGCTGTGTCGCATCGACAGTATATATCGCCACGTTGTGACCCGTCTTCATTGACAATCTTATATCGTGCTAAATTTTACAATCGAATATATTTCACATTGGCGCCAGTCGGACACCAACTTCCAGTACTTGCACTATTATCACAGAAACTTTTACCCAGTGGTGTGTGGTATTCTACATTATGTTACACACACTATTTTTGGTATTGCAAATGATGCCTAGCATGCATCTTTAGTAACAAAAGACTCTAATGTGTAGCGGGTTTACGCCATACTCTGGACATTACAGCTATAGCACATAATAGACTCCATAACATGTTACTATGAATTATTTATTAGTATTTATACTATAAATATCTATTACTAACGTCAATAGAGTAATGTGGTACTACGCCTATTTGTACAGCTTATTGCTGCTAATCGATCTCGCATTGGCAAATAATTGATGGAAGAAGTAGCTGTTAACACATTTAACCCTTGATTCCAGGGAAATAACACTATATCTGATCTGTGATGCTGTAGACAGAGATTATAAATCACAACACATTTTCACGTTAATCGCACGACATAAGTATCCGTGTAAGATGTACTACAGTGTACCACTACCTCGGTAAGAATATATCGATGAACTGTGAGGTTACCCCGAAGAACTTTTTGGCCTAAGAACCGGTTACTCCATCTGAGATACCTGTGAGTGAAGGGCCGTTGTCCTTTTTATAAACAGAAGTATTTGTTGCTTTGTAAATCTACCGAAGGGTCACAACAAATAAAATGTGATGACACAAGAAGCAAGCGACACAAGATAGACTTGTTATATAAAATTTAGTTAAATCGTTTTCCTTTGTTGCCTTCTGTAGTGGATTGGTAAGATGACTTTTTAAAATGACACAGTAGTGCTCATTCTCTTTAATGACACAACAACCGTTACAATAAGGCAGCTGCAGCATACATGATTGGTCGGGACGCTGCAGCGAAATTTTTCTAGCTAGCCTTACAAACGTGGAATGAAGGGGTTTGTGAACAATTCCAAATCCTACAGCAAAAAAAAATCTTACTTATTCATATCGTAAAATACACATTATAGAGTTTGTAAAATGACATTTAGTTTGGGGGAGGTAAAAATTGCAATTTGTGCAGCGGCATTGATCACATCAATATACCCAGTTCAGGGTCTCATTCTGGATCTCCATCATAGAGTGTTCCCTTCATGTATAGATGTTTTCGAGGGAACCCTCAGTGGTGGTGGTATTTATAGGATGTTTCACTCGAACCGCACACCAATCGGTATTGTTGAATACGGAGAGCAGGATGTGCCTGAAGTAATAAGTTGTGATATTTCATCAACAGATGTCTATGTTCACGAGTATGTACGTGACAATATCCAGATTATTGGTGTCACACAAATTTACGTCGCTAATGTGACACATTTGCGCTCTAGATATTACCTAATTAGCGGTGGTGAGTGCAAGGCAATATCGCGTCAAGATAAATTGAACTTTCTAGCAGGCCCTATTTCACTAAATCTTGATCTATATGCTGATAAAATGCATCCATTTATAGTAAAAAAACCTGCAGAAGGGGCAGACCAGTATACTGAATGGGCCCTTCTTCCGCATTCAGCTGGTCGTTTAAGTGAAACTACAGTTCAACGTTTGCGATTTCGTGGAGAAAAGGTCGTCATATCACCTGTTCTAAACATTGACAAAAATTTTCGTGATCCGAATTTTCCTTCACCATCACTCAGTTCCCATATCATTATGCTCCGTATCGGACCAAGGGGAGATCATATGGTGATATATGTCAAAGAAGGAAAACGTCTTTTACGATTCAATTTATACTTGCCTCCGGTTGAAGATGGCATCTTCAAACCGCGAAATATAATAGATGCATCGTACAAATTCATTGGCTCGAAGACGCCTTCTCACCCATCGAAATATATTAGCTTATACATAGACATCTCTAGCACTCAAACCAGTCAAGCGGACGTCATCGTTCTAGCGAACCTAAAAAGGGGTGATTGGTTGTATACGCAATACACCGTTGTACCCTTAAGGGAGCAGCGCTTTGTGTTACTTAGCGTCATAAATTCGGCACAAAACTGTGAGATATACCGAACAGCTGATGATCTGTTCGTCACGCACGTCGAAGTTTTCGAACACGTAACACATTATTGGCAATACGTCGTAGTAAACATCAAGGTGGTGGATGCTGGTTCTTCCTCGAGAATAAATACATATATAGACGCCAAGAGGTTATATGTGCGCCATGTGCAGGAACAAGGCATCGTATACTTTGATGTGACCGATGAGGATCTGTCTCTGCATCTAGAGATGATATACAACATCAATACACTCGTGGCAGGTGGTGACGGCACAAACCATACCAATATGACGGCTGTGTTGGCATGATTTGCTGTCTTCACATTACAACATCTGTAGAGATATATTGTTATCTATAGTATAACCGTCATTATTGAACTCATATAATTGAGATTAAATGCTTCATTTGTTGAATGATAAAAGAACGTAGGAGTGCTACAA